CAGCTTGGGCTGCCGTTGCTTCCCGGGAAGCAGAGGCATTACTCGTCATGCTTACAGTATCTTTCTCTGCTACAGTCGACATGATGTTGATAGAAACAAGTCATAAACAGGAAGTTTACCAAATTTTGTGGTCCAGGGATTGTCACTCAGCGGCCTCCTTACCCGGATCCGACAAGGACACTGAACAAATGCCCAATACATCTCGTTCCTTTGCAATGGGCATCAATCACATGTGAGCAGAGACATGTCTTCATGAGAAGGGGTCGGGTAAGTTGGGTGCAGCTTATGCTCTTGTTGGCAGCTCGACAGAATCAGATGTGATCCAGACGTAACATCTCTCATTAGCATTCGACAACAATATGTGGCTCTGGGGTTTGTACGTGGCAAGCAGTGAGGGGAAAAGGCGGATACTTGGAAAAAGTATGATTTATCTGGATAATACTGGTTGAATTCCAAAGGTCATATAGCCAGAAACAGACAACAGTCATGGTAATTCACAACCTGATGTAACAGAGGTTCAGAGCATTTGCCCCATTGTGACAACGGGACTGATTATACAGTTTAATGGAAAACATCAAGAGATATGCCCAGAGAAAAGTTGTGTATCCACAATTGTTGGCTGGAAAATTTAGTTGAAAATCCTCATTACAGAGGATATATTGCAACTTGTAAGCCTCATAGAAGAAGAAAAACCCATTCTTGGTACTTGCAACACGGGATGCTTGTTTCAGCAATTGTGATGTTCATGTAGATAGACTCTAGAAGGTGGAATGCTTGACAACCAAGGTTCACTGCTGCAAGAAAACACATTGTCTGAACGTGTAGCTAAGCATCGTTGGGTGATGACTCGAATGGGAGGCGATCGAGGAGATAGGCCATGAGTGCATGGCCAAGGCCATCTCAACACAACGTATGGGGAGGGCCGACCACTGTAGAACTGCCTCTACACTCAAGACAATGAGATATCGGGATTTCTGGAGATGCCCTCACCGCCTTGTCTCCTGTGGCTTGAGATATCACTAGGAAAACGGTATCACCACGATCAACCACGCAGTTCTCAGGCCCTCATCTATATGAAGAGAGACCTCTGCTGTCAGGCTTTGAAAAGGAATTCATATCTTGATTATTGATTTGTTAAGAACCGCCTCCTCATATATACGTACCAGTACATCTTTTGTAGCTTCAGACCAGCTCCATAGTCCCACAGGGAGGCAGAACCATAGACATATCTACGCTTTCCTCTCTCATTTACAACCCCAGGGATGTACTCTTATTCCCCACCCAAGCAGTACATACTCTACTATACAGGACACCAAATTGAATTCTGCCTTACTCTCATGATATATGCTAGTATAGTAAATAAATGCAAGAACCCAGGCAATGCTTAGTGGTAATGAGTATTTTCTAAACATGTGAATTAATTGAAATGGAAGAATAAATTTGTTGGAAGAATATGTATTACTTAGGTGGCGAGGTGTGAGAATCGATCCTTGGGTATTGTATTTGCCAAGTGAAAGACGAGTTGTCAGGTATACACACTGAGGTTGTGCAAGAGGAAAGAGAATGTCCATTTAGTGGTTCTTACCCAGTGTAGGCGAGAGCAGCATACTGTCAGATTAACGATAGAGATGTGATATGTGATGCATATCATCGGCATAGCACATCAAGGTACGTTGGACGCCGTATTTTTCGCTGATTCTGCCCTCCATCCAGTCAACCCAAGGCAAGGGACAGGTGTCATTGAAAAGATTTAAGACTCCATAGTTTCTGCGACTAAGAGATATTCACGTCTCAGGTAAAGAGTCTGGAAGGGCAATGAGTGGCTGGAGTGGTTGTTTCTAGCACAATACTGTTCGGCGCGTCGCAGCCCATAGAATACGGGTCCATGGCTACGTAGTAGTGACACCTCATTGCAACTTGCATAGCATGGGGCGCCCACACCAATCACTGCAAGGTGAATAATGACCCGAAGACACATATACGCGCGTGGAACATGCCGTTTCTTTCATTCTGAACAACATCGCTGCACAACACATCCAAGGGCGAACTGGTGATGTGAAGCAATGTCGAATGATCCAAGTGACAACAACTCGTGACATCTGATGCGCACGAGCTCGAGCACGAAGAAAAGAAATGGTGTGCCGGATGGCCACGCCAAGCCGCACATACTACACACTACATGTTATGTACCGAAAGTTTATCTGGCAGGACCATCTGGTGTGTGTGCTTGGCAGAATGACGAGGGTGGCTGGCTGCCCAGGTGCCCCAATGGTCTACGTGATGAAGGGAGATAACACCATCCAACCTCTGGACAGGAAAGACAATACACATGTGAAGGCGAGAAGGGGTAGCAATGGCGACTTTCTATCGGCATGGAACCATCACAGGGTAAGTAATTGGTTCACATCATACCTCGTAGGCCATGAGATCATGATCTACTACTGGTATCCGTGCGAGAGAGGTAAGAAAAAGTTGATCGAATAGCCCTGTCCTCCTCTCCAGATCAGAGCGCGCAACCCACCACAAAAGGAAGAAAAAATTGCAACGTCGGAAGCCTTTCAGTCTTTCATAGTATGTGAAAGACAAGAAGAAAAGGCAGGAAGGGAAGGAAAAGAAAGAAAAAACCACAAAAAAAAAAAAAACCGAGCGCTCCGGCCGGGCTATTCCCGTCTGCAGCCCCGCTTATGGATCAGTGACTACCGGCATCTGCTTGCTGCACAGGGACTAATAGAGTACAGCGGGTCGATTGGTGATTCGTGAAGGTGAGGGGTTGGTTGGAGAGGGGAGGGCCGAAAAAAAAGAAGAAAAAAAAGCAAGGTGGCCTCAGGTGGCGACGGGGGTTGGACGATCGTTTAAGATTCCAGCATCTTCCCCACCATGCACGCCCGGTACTGTAGTACAAGAGTCGTTCGCCTCACGAGAGGAGAAGAGGGGAAAGGGGGAGAAAAGCATCTTTCCGCCTTCATTCGTTTCGTTGGCAGTGGATGCATAGACATGATGCTATAGCCGCCAGCTCCAGTGCTTTTTTGTCTGTGCTGTCACGGCACGGACTGGGGACTCATAGCGAGTAAGGGAGAGCGGCTCTTCACCGCCGCCAGAATGCGCGTTGGTGTGAGTGGAGAATTATCCTATTGTGTATGAGAGAAAAGAACAGAGCCAAGGGGGGGTTGAGAAATCTTTTCAAATTCTGACATTTGGTCTAGTTTCTCGGTTTACCTATTCTGGATACTTGGGTTGCGCTGTGATCGGCAAACCCATGTGTCTCACATGGGGACCCGATGGGATCGAAAGGCAGTGTCCCCTAAAAGGGGCCACAGATCGGCAGCGTGCATGGCTTCAGGTGATGAGTCTATCATCGAGTTCCATCACGCGTGACGAGGCGGGCGCAGGCAGGGCGGAAAATGTGCTGCGTTTTTCCTCGGGAAGGAGAATCTAAGACAAGCTTGAACGGGACCTTATCTCCCTCTCTTTTTTTTTCTTCTTCTGTCTCCCTCCCCTTCCTGAAAGGTTCATGAGACATCTGGCTGAAGCCCACCCTGGTGTGGATGGGATACATAAGGAAGCATCTCATGTGCTCAGCCGTTATCACGTCGCATGGCACAGTTCGTCACAGGTGGATGGTCGACCACACAGAGGACAAGAGAGAGAAGAAGGTGGTCACCGAAAATGCTCAGACCACGCAGCCTCTTTGTTGATCAAGATGGTGGTGGTGATGAGTGACCGAGCCTTGGTACCACCACATGTGAAGAGAAGAGGTCCTAGGCAATAATGCGCCGATGGTTTCGGGTGGGAAGATTTCCAGTGCCGGTAGCAAATCTCTTGTCCTCGTTCTAGGGCGCAGATCCCATGTTTAAGCTGTGGTCAGTGCTCTGCAGACACTATAGAACCCCTGCCGGATAAAAGTACACAGGCTACTATGGACTAATCGGTACCATAGTAGGCCACCAAAGAGGACGAGGTTGCATTGATGAACCGCTGGAGTCAGAATCATGACATACCCACACCTGCAGAGACCATCTCATCGTCAGCTCGGGCATCAGACCACACAAGCGCACAAACGGGAAAGGAGATCTCCGCTGACTCCTCCTCCTCCTCCTCCTCCTCCTCTTGTTCTTCTCCTCCGGGATGAGACGTGTCAAGATTAAACCAAAACTTGTGTGGACAACAAACAGATCTCGCTCGGGCTCTCCTGGCGCGACACGTCAGGCTGTGAAATCCTACACTACAGAAAATCAAGGAAACTTTGGGCTTTGGATGACGAGGTTTAAGGCGGTATCACGATCGAAACACAACTAGCGGCAGGAGCCCAAATCAAGGAATAAAACCACACGACAACACAAAAGCGAAACACACACACATACATATTTATACCATAGTACACAGATGCGCAAGGATCATAGCTCGGACTTGGGTTCTGACCAACCACTCTGTCAATTTTCGGATCCGTAGTTGGTCTGGAATCTCATCGCTATGATGATCAAGAGGAGAGGAGGCCTGTGGGACGAGCCGTCAGTTGCGAGCCATTCCCGCTCCTTGTACCTTGAGTAACCATAAGTACCTAATGATGCGCCTGGTGTGCACCGACACCTGCTGTATAAGTTTTCTGTGTGTGTCTTAAGAGTGAGACCCACTATGTACCCAATTCCACGCCTATTGCAACCCGAAACGTACACGGGTGGAGGTCACTAGAGGACCCCCCAGTGAGCGCCCGGTTACCCGACAGGTACATGAGTCCCTCCCCCTTCATACTTTGGAGAAGGGCAACCAAAGACCCTACCTGGCTCGCCTTGCGTCGCTGATCCCGTGGAAAATAAGAAGCGAGCGCGCGAGTGGTCGCACACGCACATGCACATGCAAATCCCGGGCTCTGGTTGAGCCAGACTGTGCGGTGTGCAGAAATTAACAGACATACTTATATATATATATGCTTTCCCGAGTGCCCCAACGGAACTTTGGCGAGGGACTGTCCACTTCTTCTCCCCTTCTTACTACGACTCTACAAGGCCTGACTCATGCCCAGCTCGCTGAAATTTTTAAAGCAAGATATACCACCACACCCTCTCTCCTGCAGAGGGTCTGACTGAGACGCCTTGTCAAGCTGCAGATAAGCCCCAGCGACTCCATAAAAAGATCTTTGTCAACTTTTTAAGGTCGGCGCTTCTAATCGGCGCTTCCGTGGGTCTCTTATAATTATATCCACGCCGACGACGCATTTTGTTTTTATTTTAATAATAATAACAAAGAAGGCGACAATACAGGGAAGAAAGAAAAGCAAAGCAGAAAAATCTTCACGGGAACATCATCTCAACCCTACTTTCCTTCTTGTTTTTTGCTTTCCTTCCCTATCTACTTGCTCAACAACGCAAACAAGCCATGGTTGAAATCATGATGTCGGCGCATCAAAGGCCCGCGCTCGGCCACCGTTCTATCACCCGCAAAGCCTCGTTCAGCGACGACGAAGACGCCATCACACCCTGCTCATCACCGCCACCCGAGCCACAAGACTTGATCGACGCCGTCTCGGCCCAGGAGAAGCCTTCTCCTAAATTCACGCCGAGTAGGAGTGGTTCCACGTCTGGTGCAGCGGCCTCGTCACGAAAGACATCGACGACGACAACAACACAGGCATGGCACTTTGACCCCACGGCCGGTGAGGCCATGACCGATTCGCAGCTGTGGCTGCGCATGCTGGAGATTCAGAGGACCTTCCACTGCTACAACAGCGCGAGGATGAGTGCGGCTCTGCTGGAGCTCGAGATGGGTGTGGATGCCGGTCATCTTGCTCGTATGTGCCACCTGCTCGCGCCCCTCCCCTCTTCTCTCTTTCTTCTCTCTGTGCCGACACGGCTCACTCCCTTTCAATGAGATGGGATAATGAAGCTGACACTATACCAACACAGCATCAAGGAGCTGTCTTGACCTCATGAATGAGAGCATCTCCGACCTCACTGATGAGGAGAGGCGGAGACTTGCAGATTGGCTGAGCGAGAACGGCCCGGCGAGGAAGAGAAGTGGGACTTGGAGACGAAGCCTCAATTTCTGAAGGAACCAAAAAAAAAAATTGGATGTGACGCTTTTCGAGAGGAATATGGATCGTTGTTTTGGAGGAGTTGAAGAAGCTTCTTATGGAAGGGCAGAGACTGATTCAGGACAGCAAGGCGTAATTGGGCAATGGACCAGCAGGATGGCGTTAGGGTATACCACCACACAAGGCTGCATGATGCAAATAGGGATTAGGATGCTGTTGTTTTCTGGTCCATGCGCGAGGAAAGGCATCTTTGCTTACAAATTCAGAATGATATCTACATATTGCACCAACCCAATCCTCTTGAATATGGGTGGAAAACGTAAAGGGTAGTCACTCAACAGCACTAATTGGTTATGAGCCTTTTTCAAGAACGCTGTACTGAAAACAACTTGGCTAGATTTCAATGTATTGATAACTCCATCTATAATGACTTGTTCCTCATACTTATATGTTCATTGACCAACAAAGCCGAGTACATAATGGAACGGTGGTCTCAGTAGCACTCACTCCCCTCATAATGTCGTTTTCAATGCTGCCCTGGACACATTTATCTCACTTGGTAATATGAAATGCTGGTTGCTGTTCACCTCTGGCATATCTCTAGCCTGAATTCATGCATGACCATGTATCAAGGACCAATTCGACTTCACATTCATCAGCTAGGTAGTTCTGCCTTGCCAAAGATTGATGAGAGAAGTACTATTGTTTGTCCAGCCTGGAATTGCTTCACTTGTACATCTTGCTTGAGGATGCCATGATATCTTGTCGCCCCAAAATTGGTCTTTCCACAAGTACTCCCCTCTCAGCTCAGGGAACCCAAAGTTCAAACTTTCAACTGTGCCTGCCTGCAGGTATTACTTCTATTATAAGCATGACGTCTTGACAAAACGTTTCTTTTCTCATAATACTTGCCAATTACATGCTGTCACCGCCATTCGGTGATATGCATCATACCCTCTGACCGAACCCTCCTCCTCCTCTCGCTCAGAACGACGAAGGGATGTATAGCATCGCTGCAACGATCACCTAGGTATCTTCCGTGCCCTCCACGAAGAATGAGCCTTAGGATCCCACTTCAGCGCCTCCAGGTCCTTCATCTCAGGCACCCCCTCCCCCTTTTCAATCTTCAGCGCCTCGATCGCCTGCTCTGCATAAAGCACCGCCTGCCTGTCATACCCCAGCATGTTGAAATTCACCGCAGCCAGCGCATACGCGCCTGCCAGGCAGCAAAACAGCCTCTCGTTCTCGTACAGGCCGAGAAGGTAGGTGATCAGGCCCGTCGAGGCCTCGGCACTGCCTGGGTCCTGCAGCTTGGCCTCGATCCATCTGATCTCCTGCAGCCTCGTCTCCGAGTCGGCCACCTCCTGCTCGGACACGCCGGCGCACTGCTGCTGTCGCTCCTTGTGGGGCGTGAATGGGTCCTCCAGGTGGGACAGCGTGATCTCCTGCCCAGGCTTGATGGTCGTCACGGCGGTGGTGATGTGCATGAGTGCCGTCGGGTCGATGTAGAAGACCGCGTTAGGACGGCAGTCGTGGTTCAGCCTGGCAGCCTCGGGGAAGGAGGCATAATGGCGGCCGTCGTGGTCCTGGTCACCACCAATATCCAAGTGCACTTGTAGGGCGTTGGTGGTGGTGAGAAGGGCGGTGAGGCGTTGCTGCTCGGGCACGTGGGCCAGCTGGGCCATGAGCAACTCTCTGGTGGCGGCTGGCAAGGCATGGATAGCTGCTTCGAGGAGGGTGTGCTGCTTGGACTGCGGCAGGTCGTCTCTGAAGGCGTGGTGGACAAGGAGGACGGGCGTGTGCGCCATGATGGGGTCGCCTCGTTTTAGAGTTGAGTCGGCGATGAGGCCGTTGGCTTTCCCGTCAACACGAACGACATGGAAAGGCAAAAAGTCCATGTCCTCGTTGACAGAGACGTCGTACTCCTGCAGGAGGTCTCCTGCCGCCTTTACTTTCAGGTAGTTCTCGTGCGTGGTGATCAGGGCGATGCCCCGTCCGCCTGCAAACCCTCTGTTGGCGTAAAGGCAATAATCGCCCTCACACTCATCTCCTGCTCCTCCTCCCCAGTCATAGCGGCCTGTGAGTTTGTTGACGATCTCAGTGAGGTTCTGCTGTCTCAGAATAGGACAGATGGGATCTGGAGGGCTCAGGCTCCACCAGCAGACGTCTGAATCGTCAAAGGCGACCTGCTCATGGACGAGGGCATTTACAGGCAAATATGCCCCTAGAGAGGAGAAGCAAATGATAATTCTTCTGAGCCGCATGCTTCATGGGTAATGAATTTATGTCAGTGGACGCCAGGTTCCAACTGAGAAAGGGAGCTCCAGGCAGAGAGGTTGGGATGTGTGTTCCCAGAGAAGGCCACGGTCCACGTTTCATCACGTCAACCCATGCTTTGCTTGGCACGTCCTTCTTTTTTTTGATGGGTCCGACCAATTCTCAGCTGCTCTCAAAGCACAGCACAGGCCCAAACACTACAGCTTATCGAAGGCCATTACAATCACTGAATGATTATTACATGCGAGAAAATACACAAATCCTTATACGCACCAACTCCGCGGCTCGATGAATGCATCATGCAATTTAAAGTATAAAGTATGCCTTACATTATAAGACATTGAAATTTAAAGCAATGACGTAGAAATTAGGGTAATCTTCATGTACAGCCCATCCGGAGCATCGGCTCCTCACAGCGACCCGCAACAGCACAGGGAACAGGGGGTCCAGTGCAGGAACCAGCAATTCGATTCGATTTTCCCATGCTACTCAATAGACAAACTGTTAGCACATTTTGAAGATTACCATGTACTATAGAAAAACAGGCTTCTTCTGCTGGAAAAGTCTCCCTTCTTAAATGAAGGTTCCTCTTCAGAAGCTATAGGTTGTTCCGTGGCCACGTCACCTTTTTCATATGTCCCGGAACATCCATGCATCTTGCGTGTTGATCGACGAACAAAACATGACAAAACGAAAGGAATGCTTTTACATATTTTTGCTCGCATTCATGTCGGATTCAATTTACCCCATGTAGTTGCACGAGGAGGATCGAGGCTGTGTGTGCTGGAGCAAACTGTGAATAATAAAGGGCTCCGTCCTGAAGGCTGTTCTGGGGGTAAGCTTAAAGCAAGGTTCCGCCTCGCTGACACAGATGTTTCCCAGGTCCAGGGCCAATATCAGCACTACCGGTATACAATACCACCCCACCAAAGTCAATCTCACTGTTTAGACACTATGTATCAATTGCAATTGCCGACGCACACACACGATGTAGCGTTGACCCCCCTCGTCGTCCTCGCTTTGCGTCGATCGCTCACTCACAAGGGGCCTGGGATTGTCTGATAGCGGCCATTGTAGATGACGATATGTGGGCTAACTTATGTTACTGTCTTGCATGAAAAACAGGCTTGCAGATAAATTCTTCGACCCGGGTTGCGCGTACTATGGTAGCTCAGAAACTCTCTCTCTCCACCACGCATTGGCCTTAACTAGTGTTTGTAATGGAGACCAGCGCTACTACTACAACGCACCATCACAGCCTGTGTCTTCTTCCTGGTTGGCCTTGTTGCTGTGGCTGCGTCATGGTGCTCGATCGCCCTCTCGCGCCACCGCCCCATTACTTGTCCGCTGCGAAAAAAGGTGCGTGTTAGCCACTCACAGCTCCAGGTTCGGAATTCCGGAGACGGTTTCCAGCAAAAATAGCCTCAGCCTAGCGACAAGCTGTATGTCCTTGCAGATGGATAGATAGATGCCTGCAAGGGAAGGGTTTTCCTATCTGACAGATGTATACGTACCATGTTCAGTAGGGCATGGGTCTGTTCATTACTACAGTACTGTCTGTACTACCATCCATGCCAAATCAAACAAAATCTATGGTCTGAGATGTACCTGTTTTTCTTTCTCTTCCCCCTCTCCCCTCCCTCCCTCCCTCCTGAGACATTGTCTCTCTTCTGCAGCCTGTTAGGATCGTAGGTTGCTAGTAGGGGGTCTTACTGTCCCCATCGTCTACTACTTTTCCTCAACACTTTGCCACAGGACTGTGTCCTGCTCCTCTCGTCATTTCCTATCCCGTCAAACAATTCATCTTTCTTCCATGGTTTCTATACGTTCTCAGGTGAAATATCACTTGATGCCGAACGAGAGCTTCCCGATGTGGTGAAGATCTTCCAAGGAGCCAGTCTTTAGAGTCAGACCCTTCACGCCGAGAGGACTCTTTTCACTATACCTTCAGAATTCAACACCGATACTTACCAACAAGTACCAACTTTTGAACTCGCAGAGCTGGGAAATTATACTCGCTTTGTTTCAGGCGGCGTAGCCGCACAACGACAGTCACTCGGTCACACAGTGACGGTGACGATGCACGGCCAAATCTTATTATAAGTAATACATGAAACTTACTTCACAAGCAAACAACACATCCACAGAAGCAATCGGTCAAAGCGAATAGCTAGGACCAGGACCATGATGTCCCCTAAACTACCGAACCGCCGGCTTTTGATGCTTCTGCTCGGCTCCTCCATCTTAATTACAGCCATCTTCTTTCTCCGCGCCGATTTCACCAAGGCCAACCTCGAAGTTGATTCATTGTTGGATTTAATAGAAACGACACCAAGCACAGGCCCAGCAAAACCCAAATACAAACCTACGCCGTCCTACACACCGCCGCCCGTCCGAGATCCCTTCCCCCTCCTCTCGACAGCGACAACACTACCGTCCATCCCAAGCTGGAACCAGCCACGCAAGAACCTCCACAAGGAATATGACCTCCCCCTCGCCCCTCCTCTCCTCATCGGCTTCACGCGCACGTGGCCCATCCTCCTGCAGGCCGTGGTCTCGTACATCACCGCCGGCTGGCCCCCCTCGCAGATCTACGTGATCGAGAACACAGGCGTACAGATGGCCAACACCCGCGGCCAGCTCACCCTGCAGAACCCCTTCTACCTCAACCACACCCAGCTGGCCCTCCTCGGCGTCAACGTCGTCCAGACCCCCGTGCTGCTCAACTTCGCCCAGCTGCAGAACTTCTTCCTCCACCTCGCCCTGACGCGCGACTGGCCCTACTACTTCTGGTCCCACCAGGACGTCCTCACGCTCTCGTACGAGGACGGCCTCGAGGGGGTCACCCCGCCGTACGACCAGCTGGGCTACAAGACCGTCTACGAGCTGGGCTGTGAGGCCCTGCACGACGCGCGGGCCCACGACGAGCGCTGGGCGGTGCGCTTCTTTGCCTACGACCACCTGGCGCTGGTGAACCCGGTCGCGTACGAGAGCGTGGGCGGCTGGGACACGCTGATCCCGTACTACTTGACCGACTGCGACATGCACAGCCGCCTGCTGATGACCAACTGGTCCATGCTGGACCGCCCCGCAGGCACGGTCACGGACACGAGCAGCGCGCTGACGGATCTGCTGGCGCTGTACCGGGATCCGGCTGTGGCGCCTGACATTGTCGATCCGAACCCGCCTCCCTCTGCGCCGGATCCTGCGGAAGAAGAAGCTGGCGAGGAGAAGAGGAGGCGGCGGCGGCGGAAGAAGGAGGAGGAGGAGAAGAAGAAGGAGAAGGATCCTGATCTGGACTACTACTGGGCCCTTCGGCATGCATCCGATCTGATGTTCTGGGCTAAACATGGCGACAGGGGCCGGAATACATGGCAAAGTGGACAGCACGGCGGGGCAGGGGAGCCGTACTATTACCCTGCTGATGGGTTAGCGGAGGGAATTGATGTGATTACTGAGGCGGGAAAGGAAGTGTATCGTCGCAAGTGGGGGCATCGTGATTGCGACTTGATGTCAGGCGCAGGGTTGAAGATTGAAGATCAGTGGCGGGTGGAGAAGGATTGGGAATGATCAGTTGGAGGCTTTGATGCAATACTGGTTCCAAACAACTAAGAGCGAGGTAATAGCGTCTGCTACATTGGGCAGTGATGGTTGAGACGTATCTACTGTGGTAGTTCTGGTTCATTGTTGTACGTGTTCTCACTTGGGCACCTTTTTTTTTTTTTTTTTTTTTTTGAGATACCATAACATTGAATAATTTTTTGTCTAGGAATACACAGATTCCTACTATGTTACAAAGTCAATATTCGAGACAGACGTAATCAGTAGCCAGACTAGACCCGGAAAAGAAAAATTAGAGGGGAGAACAAGGGAATAAATACAAGTCGCATCGGAGTTACCGTGACTCTTCCTTCTCCGGTACCTCGATCAAAGCGTCACCTCCGGCTCTTCCTCTTCTTGCTGGGTCTAGTGTTGCCCGATTCACTCTGCGACGGAGGCGCAAGTGGTGGCCCCATCAAAAGACGGCGCGATCTACCACTCTGGTCGCTCTCGTAGCCCTCTTCTTCTTCTTCTTCTTCTTCATGATCACTTCGACCGCTGTCACTATGTCCTGCAGATGAGCCAGGCGGCGTGTTCAGCCACTGCATTACTCTCGCGTCCAGATCCGGGTCCCGAGGATGGCACGAGGATGATTGCTGACTCCGTAGTGGTGGCCTGTGCCTTGCGCTTCCAGCTGGTGTCTGATCTCGCTGACGACTACGACTATGGTGCGACTGGGAGTGCCGACGCCGCACATGTGGAGCATATTGTGGGGGTGGGGGTGGTGGTGGAGGAGGAGGAGGATGGTACCCCATGTTTGGAGAGTAAGCCATATGTAGTGAAGGACATACCATCGGTGACGGGGGATACCCCATTGGCGGTGGATAGTATCCCATCTGTAGGGGAGAAGGAGGAGGGTATGATGCATGTGGTGGGTAATAATACAAGCCTCTCTGTGGATGAGCACCTCCCGAGCTTGTTGTACGATAGCCGGTGTAGCCTTGTGCGTTCCGGCTGTGCTCACGAGTAGCATACCTCACTGCCTCCGTCGTGCGTGGGCCATAGTCCGGCGCATCTCGGTATTCGACAGACACGTTCAGGTCTGAATCAACTGTGGGTCGTCGGTAGCAGCCGCGAAGGTGGTCTGAGGACCCATGGTGACGAGGCATCGTGTGCGCTTGTTTTCATTCCAGACTGTTGATCGTTGTTGCAACAATTGGCGAAGACTGTCTGCTTGCGATTGTCCTGATTCCAACGTTACGGTAGCTGGGCGCAGTTTCCTTGATTTACATTGAAATGAAAACAACCAGAAAACGTGCACAACTCGAACGGAGGAAGCATTCGTGGGAGTTTTATACCCCTAGAGCCGTCCAAGGCCATTCAGCAAAACATTGGCATACTTACAGTAAGTGATTACCAGATACGAGTGAGCATCAGAACAAGTCCGGTCACCAAATTTGAGACCTGGGAAATGAATGAATGGTAGTGGTAGCTATGATACAGCGTGTCCATAGACTCGATTGATTTTACTTCTCCTGCAATGTGTGATTGAGATATCCTTCATATTATCAGATTCATCATGACCTGACACCAGTGCCTGACTTTCATGTTGTTACAGTTAGCCATTTCCACCTTGGAAATGGGCCTTGAGCCAGCTCCATTGACTTCGTAAAATTTCCTTTGAGATGAATTGATCTCAAGGTTAAAATGAACATTCTCGCTGTAAGTTGGTGATTGTAGCACGAACAGAGGTCAGCTTGACAATAGCCTTTGAGTATTGCAAATGTTCCTTCGAAGAGGGGTGTCATTTTCTTTCTTTCTTTTTCCCTTCCTCCCTCATTTCATGTAATTAGCAACTTTTTCAGGCCTTGGTGGTCTTTCTCATGTTTGAACCCAATTTGTTGCACAATTCCACGGTTTGGCATTGTGCATATGTTGTGATTGTATAGAGGATGAGTTTAGAAGAGTACTCAAGCAAGTATTTACAAAATTCAGTAATTCTTTTGCAAGGCCAGCTGCCAAATTGGGAATTCTCAGATGGACCACGCTCTCTAATCTATTCTGGATAGATATATCTAGTTCTAAAGTCATCTATATATCTGATCTTGTAGAACTTTAGAAAAGAACAAACGTCAAAGCAGTGCCGACGTATCGTCGACGAAAAGAATCAAAGGATATACAAGCGATGAAAATGCTGCCACACGCCTCGTTTCCCGCAACTTGTTAAAGAAAACCACCAAAAAACCACACTGCTCAACGCACTGTCCTCATCCACCTTTTCCCATTCTCCAAGCCCTTCTTTACACCGATGTAGGGACAGCAGTGCCAGAAGGTGCAGCACCAGAAGGAGCAGTTCCGTTGCCGCCGCCACCACCCCCAGTCAGGGAGTTCTCCTCAGCATGACCACCATCGGCCGCCAGGTAGCCGGCGACGGCGTAGTAGCTGTTGTCCTGGTAGTCCGCGGTGGCGTTGATGCCGATCTGGATCCAGGCAAACAGGCCATCGGTGATATCATCGCCCAGGTAGAGGAACTGGGGGAAAGGGTCGTAGCTGGAGTCGGCCTGGACGATGGACCACATGTCGTCGTCGTTGGAGGTGACGGCGACGGTGTTTGTGTTGTAGGGGGAGGTGGCCTCGACGGCGGAGCGGAGGGACTCGGGGTAGAAGAGCTGGCCAATGTGGGAGACGGGCTTGTTGAAGAGGGAGATGGTGCCGTTGGGCAGGAGGGTCGCGTTGGTGTGGGCCAAAAGGTGGGTGTGGGTGGCGCGGCCGTCGTAGTGGCCGGGGAAGATGGTCTCGTACTGGGCGACACCCTCGTGGTCGGTCAGTTGGATACCACGGAGGTAGGTCGAGTTGACACCGTCGGCGGCATAGTTTCCAGAAGTGTAGATACCCGAGTACTTTTTATTTGGTGGAAGAGAAATTGTTAGCAGGGTTGATGAGAGAATAGCATTGGAAAATTCAGACATTAACTGATAGTACTTACAACACCAGTGGCGTTGGCATTCCAGATATCGACTGCAACATCCGGCACAGGAGCACAGGTGCTGATGTCAACATACTGCACCTCGAGGAATAGGTCGACACCCTCAGAGTACAGAGTCTCCTTGACGTTGGAGCGGAAGTACTCGCCCACGACGTAGTAAGGCCCAGCAGTCACCTCAGGAGCCAGAATGCAGGAGGTATTGGCGTCGAAGACAGTCTCGAGCGAGGTGAACACGTTGTAGTCGTACTCGCCCGACATGTTGTGGTTGACCGTCTCCCACTCCTCGAGGGCGGCCAGATCGCGGCGGAACTTCTTGGGGTTGGCCTTGATGCCGCGGGCCTCACGGATGGCCTTGACCTTGTCGGCGCGGCGCTGGACAGAGCGCTGCTTGAGGCGGCGGGCTGTGGCAGTATTGGAGCACTGGGCCAGGGCACGGGCACCCAGGGCGGCGTGGATATCACGGACCTCGATCTCGCGCCGGATGTGCTCATTGTCATGCTGCTCGCCTGGGTGGGCGACGGCACCCGCAACAAGGGCGATGCCCGAGACGACTTTAGAAAAGGCCACCATTGTGATGCTGGAGAGGATAAGGGGTAAAAAAGAAGGAGAAGATGATAGAAATTCTTTCGAAAGCGACTGAAATGTGGTTTACACGAATACACAAGGAGTGGCGAAGAGGAGATTGTAAAGTCTTGCTGCTCCAAGACAATGAATTGTAGTTGAGGCTGCTGATGAGAACTGAATCCTGCCTTTGTTCATCATGAGCAGTGCCATCAATGGCTTTATATACATTATATATCCATCCTATCTCTCTCTGGAAAGACAACAAGGACAGGAATAGAGTTGTTTCGTTTCCACTCCATCAAAACAACGGTCCACCACAACAACAGCAATGCCCCTGTGGGCCATTTGTCTCCGTGGCTGTTCTCCCAGGGATCCACTGACCACGCAAGCTCCGTATGTGATATTTCGAGGACAAGAAGAAAGCCCGTTGAGGCTTGGTTTCGGGCGTTTTCTGATTGGCCAGGACCAGTCCAGGACGTTATAATAGGGTACACAAGCTTAATTGCAAAAGGGGCACGGGATGTGGGAGGAAGATTCCCCGAGACTGCAATGCAGGCTTCCACCCGCTTCCAGCCGCAGCAATGCAGAGATACTCGTCAGCGAACGCGTCAAGTTCAATCTGATGCCATAGGAGGAATCCATGTTTTTACCCTTTGTGTTCAGTGATTGGCATTGTCTTGGGCCGTTCTGGAATATACGAGAGAGAGAGAGATAGACAAAAGACTGGTGAAGGATCCTGGTAATATTACTGGTTTCGCTTCGTTTTCCCTTTCTTCTTTTGTTCAATGCTTACTATATTAGTATGTACATGGTATAGTATTCACTTACATGCATGAAATGCTTATCAAATGGCTTGTTGTTTTGGAACCCTGAATGGCTACGTATTTAGCAGACATAACTTATGCTCTGTTCCAAGTCAAATTCAAGAAGGAAAAGAAAGAGAACCTCTTCCTTGACAAAATAGATGCACGCCCCCTCCCAATATTGTCAAATACTAGTTCTTTCTCCATCATTTCCAAGGCGGTGGCGTACAAACAAGCTTTAGCATTGCCGGACCGAAGAACAGACGGTCATGAGGTTAGGGAGGCGCCACATTCAAGGATCACCACTGCTCCAGCCCTTGAGGCGCCCGAACCAAGAACCAAGATGTCCCCCAGAGGACCTACATTTATGCATGCTTCTTACGTATACCACGCTCATCATAGGTCGAGACTTAAAAGTCCCCGTTATTTGTTGCCGATGAAAACCCCTGCCTGACTCAATATTATATTGGGCAAATATCGACCCCTACTTTTCCGGGTCGGTATGACAGAGACCCCGGTATCTGTCAGGGAACAACAACTTTTTGAATATCTACATTTGCTTTGTCTTGTTGCTATGTATCACTTTTTTTCTCCTACAGAACCACGTACTCAAAGTCGTAAGTGTGATCCATTGTCCAGGTGAATGGCGTACAACTGATGAGCAATATGCTCCTTGATAGGTTGGGGTACTAGTTGGAATGAGATGGATGGTATACACGTTGCTTGGTGGGTCAGTCTCGATACACACACAGCGCGTTATGTGCTGAGGCGACGCGTACTGCTGTCGAAGACAAGCCTTGGCATTGTGGCCGCAAGATGGTGATGCAAGGCTTGGCTTTTCCAGCCTTAGCAGGGCATCGATTCATGTTGCCCTACATACTTACTAAGTACTCATCTATGACTCAAACGTGCCTGCAAGAATGCTTTGGTCAGAACTGCACAAGAGCCAGGAGAAACAGAAGAAGGTGTCTCGAGGATGGTCGTGTCCAGCTCCCCCCCCCCCCCTTCCCCCCGCGCGTCTTGAGGCTTTTCTTCTTTATTCGTTTTCTTTCTCCTTCCTTTTCTCCTAGCTCAAATCAAGTAGGTGGGGTTTCAGAGCCGAAGAGATGCTTATGTTGTGGAGGCTTTTTAGTACGGTGCGTTCGGCATGTGGGAGAAGACGCAAAGGGGGCCCACCGGCCCACTCCATCATGACTTTGCCAAGGTAGTGGATATATCAAACTGCCCTGCTGCCCCATAAATGCTCTTGTCAGTACACAGTCTTGCCGCTAGAATGGATTACGACGCTTTTCCCTCTCCTCTCTTCTTCTTCTTCTTCTTCTTCTTCTTCTTCTTCTTCTTTCTACTGGTTGCGCGCTTGACGATAATGATATGGGTTATCAGATCCAGAGAAGCCATGACATGAGCGAAACGGGTATCTCAACACATACTTTCCGATTCCTTGGAATAGCGCTTCGATTATATATGCTTCAGTTCTTCACTAGGTCTACAATTCATCATTCTTATATTTTCATTTAAGCATCAGACCAGAAATGGAGTCTCGACGAAACTCCACCTAACGATCGTTCATTGACATTTAGCATGGTATGAAAATCACGGCAAGAACGGGAGGCTTCCCTGGAATTATGTCGGTCTTGTGAAAATCTATGTGGCCATACATAGTGCCAGACTGGCTCCCCTCGTCAAAGGGTATTTCAGTAACAATATCACCACCATTGTTAACAAGTATCATGCTACAACATTATTCTACTTTCCAACAGATATCGACAAGAACCTTCCCCTCCTTCTCTCAAGCATGGTGCTTCCCACGCCTAAAGGCCGGGCTAAAGGCATCATGGGCCTCAATGAGCTCCATCGCCTTCCCATGCTCCGTGTCCGAGGTCGACTTCTCCGCCACCTGCCACTCGGTGCCCGCAGCATGCTCGAGGTTCTTGCCCTTCGTCTCGCGGATAAAGAAGAAACAAAACACGGTGGCGAGGACGTCGAAGCCCATGAAAATCAGGAACGTGTTGGCCCCGACATTGGCGATCATGTACGGGCTGGCGATAGAGAAACAGACCGAGGTCGCCCAATGAGCGAGCATAGCTGTCGCGAGTCCGATGGCTCGGATGCGTGTTGGGAAGATCTCGGGGGCGTAGGCCCACGGAAGGGGACCCCATGAGCAGTTGTAGATCTAATTATAAGAAGAAAGAAAAAAAAGGAAGGGAGAAACACAAGTCAGCTTCATGCTAGGCAGAAAACTATGATGGGGAAGAAAAAAGCCCATCCACTCAGGGGCTTCCTTAACAGGCCAGAACGTACCATGATATCCAGATAAATCATGGCCACAGTCGCCTTGCCAGCACTGGTGACAGTCGCGCTGGACTGTGTCGGAATCTCATCCACAATAAGCGCCGTGATCAACATGCAGATGGCCATGAGCGCCGAGCCGCCCATCAACAAGGTCCTGCGCCCAAACTTCTCCGACAGGAACCAGATGAAGAAGGTGCAGGCGATGACCTTGACCGCGCCGAACAGGCCCGTGAGCAGCAGATCGCGGGTGCCGCTGCTCCCGACGAGCAGCTTGAAGTACTGGGGCGCAAACACAGCCAGGGCGCTGCTGCCGGTGGCGTTCTGGAAGACAAAGAGTAAAGGGCCGATGAAGAAGCGCAGGCGGTTGGCGGGCTCGAGCAGCTCCCGGTAGGAGAAGGACTCCTTGGCGGCCTCCTCGGCGCGCAGGCCGAGCTGGGTCTCGCTGAACTCCGCCTGGGTCTTGTCGTCCTCGGAGCCGCGGATCCAGACGAGGGAGCGCCAGGCCTCGTCGTTGCGGCCCCTCGACAGCAGCCAGCGCGTGGACTCGGGCAGCGTCAGGCAGCCCAGGAGCATGATGCCGGCGGCGACCAGCTCGAGGCCCACGGGGATCTGCCACTCGGCCGACCTGCTGGCGATGCTGGCATTGTTGGCGACGCCGTAGTCCAGCCAGTAGGCCAGCAGCACGCCCCACGTGTACATCCACTGGTAAAAGGACCCGCACCGGCCCCTGATCTCCTTGGGCGTCATCTCAGCAGAGTACATGGGCACCACAACGCTCTGGCCGCCCATGCCGATACCAGCTATGATCCTGCCGACGTACCAGCCAGCCAGGGACTTGGTGGGCGCGACCTGGATGACGACGCCGACGCAGAAGATGGCGGTGGCCCCGATGATGGTCCATTTTCGGCCGATGGCGTTGGTGATGGGATATGTGGCAAAGGCGGCGAGGAAGGATCCGAGCTGTTCGAGGCCGACGGTGAGGGAGCTCACCTCGGATGCGCCACCCGTGTGGAAGTCCTTGATGAAGGGCTTGAAGGTCAGGATCCCACCGGCGATACCAGAATCGTAGCCAGCCAAGAAGGAGGAGATGCTGTGGTGATGACGATGACGATGATGATGATGATTATTATTATTTGTCATACAAGCAATGTCACATTCTTCACAAAAAAAATGGTCACCCCCTCCAGCTTTCATCCCTCAACCTCAACCCCATCATCGCATGTGTTTGAGAGACTTACAAGATGATGGCCGCCAGGTGGTAAGCACGGTATGTGCCAAGGCGCGTGTTCAGCTCGGGGATCTTGAGAAAAGCCATGGTTCCTAGATTAGTGGCCTTGGCGAGTCCCAAGGCTCCGTATCAAGCTTTGTTGAAAAAGGTTAAAGTATAAAGTGAAATGGTGCAAGTGGCATCGCGCCTCCGTGTCGGCGGGAACAGCGAGGACATAAGAAATCAAGAAACCACTTCTTCAGCCCTTTTTATTTTTGAACCCCTCTCATCTTGCTTCTCTGCATGACCAGCCAATCCCTTAACCAACCACCCCAGCAACGACGCGTATGCAGTGACTAAGACCACGAGGTCTCTTGTTGTTGTTACACGGGCCATGGTGGGCGGACCCTTGTTTGCAGGTGGTTTTTCTTCCCACCCCAGCCTATTCCATGTTGCTTGTTTCATTGGAAGGATCCGCGACATGGTCTGCACAAGGTGTAGTGCGGATTGCGTGCTGAGTCCCTGGTCGTGAGCAACAGGCCTATCAGCTCATCCGTACAGGCAACCATTATCGAGAACACCCCCCCCCCCCCCAGCAGCTTAAAATGCGGGGGAAATACAAAGGTGTGCGTATAATGGGTCGTAGGTAAAGGATTCGAGAAGGGGGGAAGGGGCCTGGAGGACGGTGTAGGGGAATTTGGAGAAAAGTCGAGGCTTGTCTTGGGATACAAAAGAAGGGACATGGGTCCTGATAAGCCTTGTAGATTCAGCTCGGCGATGAGCTCGGCTTGATCCGGTGCGGTTGCACACAGGACGGAACTTGGGAACAAAATCATTCATTCGGACAAGATGCCGAAGAACTCACCTTACTAGCCAAAGTCCAGAGAGTTGCGTATCTGATAGCCAGATGACGTGCTGAGACTCCTGCATGGTAGCATGCACAAGTACCATTCCTTGGCCCTTAAACGCTGCTCCCAACTGCATTGTAGGGCTCAAGATGACCTCCGGACGGATGTCGGTATTGTGCCTGTGTTCGGATGGCTTCATCAGATGCGGCCACAATAGCACATGGACTTTCTGACAGCAGCTATAGCCCGGTTAGTCTAGATGGCTGGAGAAGGGCCGAATCCTATCAGGCAAGTAAATCAATGCGCTCAAGGTGAGGGTCAGGCACCAATGAAAGAAGTCCCATCCGTGAGAATGAACGACTTTTTGTTGCCTAGACTGGCAATACTCACAAGGGTAAAAGACGACACGCGAGCTTCTTCTTCTCGGGCCCAGGAGTTCTGTTCGGGAAGTCGGCATGTGGATGCGCCCCTTGCCTCGAGCATTCAACGTCTACTCTTAAAAAGCACGTTTTGTGGGTTGAGAAAGGGAAAAAAAAAACCACCAAAAAAACCGGGTCTAAACCCGTGTCCTTGCTTATAATATGTGGTCTTTGTCCCAGCATGCCTCGATGGTCGACGAGGTTTGCAGTAGACACAACTTGTTCGCTAAGGGAAGACATACTATTCTCGTCTTGTACGCTGTTTGGCGTAAACGATATCGGCTGAACAACTACGGTATCCATGGGCACAGTAGGATAGTTGGGCATGATTAACGTGATGGTCAGCATCCAGATTTAGTGGCAAATCATAACATGCCGTTCCCGAGGTCGAGGAACGATGGCATACGGGAACACACCTGGAGGAATGGGACAATGGAGGGCACCGACTCCAGACCGCAATCGGCCGTGTAGCAAATATTTACCATGGATGTCAAGGGCCATGTAAGCGAGATCCAGGAGACGATGCAAATTACTAGACATGGCGCTGGTCTTGTCCGACTTGTAAAAGATTACTGTCGAAGAATAGGTGATATCTCCCAGCAGGTCAAGCCCGCCGACCTCCGATACTAACCTTCACAAGAGACGCCAGGATCTAGGGAGATGTGTACAATATAGGATGGTGCATTAGAGACTCGCAGTCCAGGATAGGTGTATGTCTTTAACAGGTCGCTAGATATAACTGGTAATTATCAAACAATGAAGCTGACCAGCATTCTCACTATTTTTAGGGTGCTACTAGTACTTGTGTGTATAAGACGGGTCAATTTTGACTCATCCGCATCAATATCTTGATAAACAACAAGGCTATTTACAAATCCATCACGAGGACCTCGAGACCTGCTCTTCGTCCCACAGATTCTGCACAGGAAGAGGCCGCAGATTATACACAAGAACAAACATCTAAATAGGGGTATATTGACGAAGAAAAATCTGAAGAATTATTAACATATCTCGGTCGCAGCTATATCCAAAAAGCTGTCACGAGCAGCCCCGCGGGAACAACCAGCCCGAGAAGCCACCGTGTCCCAGAGGCGGCCTCGCTCCCCACACCTCCAGCCGCGCCACTGCTCACAGCCTCGCCTGTAGAGGCCAAGACCTTTTGACCGGTCGGGTACTCAATGTCATAGACCGGGTCCGAGGTCAGCGAGGTCTGCAGGCCCAGGGTGTGCGGGCAGGTAGGCTGGTTGGCGCCCGACTCCCAGTCCAGGGAGCACTTCTCGTCGTAGCCCAGCGAGCAGATGGCGTCGTCGATGTTGTACAGGGCGTAGTTCTGGGCGACCCAGCTGCTCTGGTCGGCGAGGCAGCTGAAGAGGAAGTCCATGCTGTTGGGGGCGCTCAGGGGCAGGCCGTCCGTCTTGATCAGGCTGCTGCAGTCCGAGGCGGAGGCGTTCTCGTACGTCATGGCCACCCCGCCGCCGGCGATGGGGTCGGCCGTGGCGGACTTGCCCGTCTGCAGGTAGTTCCAGGCGTCGTAGCTGACGTCGTAGGCGCCGCCGGACTGGTCGATGCGCAGGAGGTGGACGGACCGGCTGCCGTAGCTCAGCTTGACGCAGATGTTGGTGCAGTCCACGGCCATGGGCCAGTACGCCACGCGGTTGGTGTTGATCTTGCAGCCCAGGACCCCAATGGAGGACGAATACTGGGCGTGGGGCGTGGCTGATATGGCCACTCCGTCTGCGGAGGCGGGCGAGATGAGCGTGGCTAGGACGAGAAGGAGGACAACGAGGCTAAGAGCCCTGAGCCGTAAGGCAGAGGCAGAGACCACCTCATGCATCTTCATCGTCGTCATATTCATCATGAGCCGTCGTCAATTGGGTATCGAGTGAGTGAGCAAATGAGTGGCTGTAAGAGTGACTGTGTGTGTGTGTGTGTGTGTATGCGACATCACGCGATCCTCGTGTCAGAGTCGCCAAAGGAGAGTGTCTTGGGCATAGGGAAGGCAAAGGCAACCCGCCGCGTTGGCGGACGCGAGAAGAAGTGGAGATCGTGTTTGGCCCCTCCCCTTCCCTCGAATGAGTGTTGATGAGGTGTAGTGTAGATGAGAAGAAGGTGGTCGTCGCGTGGGGAAGAAAAGAAGGGGGGGGGGGAAAGGCAAAAGAAAAATCCTCCGGGGTGCCGGCATTTGGAAAGCTTGGGGAGGCTAAGACTTGGACTGGACGCCTTGCCGACGCAGCAGGGTTTTGGGCGGTTAAAATTAGAGTTGTCCAGCTGGGGAATAGCGCCGGGGACGAACCCCAGCCTTGGATGGGGCCCGCGATAACGACAGGACCCCCTGGACGTGGAGTGAAAATTAAGCGCTTGTTACTGATTTATATGTCTGTCTATTCTATGTATTAACCTTGGAATGTTATTATAGATTTAAACAAATCATGGAACTTCAACTTGGATACTCTTCCTCGTCCTGCTCAACTACTGAATTACATTGGTTTCCTAGTCAAGTCTCAGTCATGCAGCAAATAAGTTAGTGTTCCAGCTGCTGGAAATTATCACTTGCAGCATCAGTTCGGGACAGAGAGGGTCAAAGAACGCTGGAGTCGACAATTCTCAATGGTCTATCTGTCTGTCTATCTGTCTGTTTGTCTATCAAAAGCTATGCATACAAGATCTGCCATGGCGCTGATCGTGGGAACCCTCTAGCTTGACGAGTTTGGCTCACATCCTTCCTGTCTAAGTATCTTTCCATCTGCCTCAACGAAAGAAAAAAAAAAAAAAAAGAAGAAAAAGAAGGGGGGGGAAAAAAAAGAGTTATGCTTAAACGTGTACACGGGCCCCAAGACTGAGAGCAATCTCTCAACATTCTCTCAGTTTTCTCGCTTCAGTCCCAGTGTCATGCCCATTCTCTTGGCCTGGGTCTTCAGGGCTGGATGATCCGCGCTCACAAGGGGCTTGATCCACACCTCCGCCTCCGGATCGGTCTCCGTTCCCATTCCCTCCTTCGCAGGCTCTTCATCTTCTCGGCGGTCGAACCGCACACTGCTCTCCCCCAGCAGCGTAGGCTGACAGTCGGCATAGATGGTCTCCCACTCGCCCGGCCGGCTCAGAAAGGTCTCGTGGAACAGGCCAAAGTGCCGGTGTCCCGTCTCGCGCACGAACTTGTGGTACCAGTCCCACCCCTCCCGGTGGACCTTGTCGTGCGCAAACCGGTTGAGGCCGTCCACGCTGCGAAAGTACGCTATCATCAGGATCCCGTTGTGCGAGGGCCGCGTCGTGCCGCGCCAGATTGTGGCAGACAGCATGTCGAACTCGTCGCGTCGGGCTTGCAGGTCCGTGAACATAGCTTGGAAGTGCGCACCGATCTCGCTTCCGCCGGGGCAGAAGGGGCCCATGGGGTGGTTGAAGTGGACGCCCAGGTGGAAGGCCACGACGGGCGAGGACGCAGCGGTGGAGCCGAAGTTGGGTTGGATCGAGGTGGTGGTGGTGGTGGTGGTGGTGGTATTGTTGTTGTTGTTGGCCAGCGGCAGGGGAAGCTGGGCTGTCGAGCGGCCTGGGATGATGTCGACCATGAGCGGGCTGTCCTGGGGCGAGCGTGCCTGCAGGATGGTGGTGATGATGGCGTGTCCAGCCAAGAAGCCGATGGGAAGGAGGGCGAAACGCGCTGGTAGGACGACGGAGATGAAAAGTTGGAAAACACCACCAAAGGCGAGGAGGGTTGGGAGCGTAAAGGACTCCTTGACGAGGAACTGTGGTGCTGCCGTTAGAATGGATTACTACTTGGGGGGCCGGGGGGGGGGGGCGACTTTTCTCCATGTCGTCCAAAAAGGGGAGCGGATTGTTGGGGATGGAGTCACTTACGGCGTCCATAGACGGCGCCTTCTCTGGGATGGCCGTCCTGGTAGGGACAGCAAGTGGCTTGAAGTCTTTCATGGTGATTTCTTTTCTTTCGTTGCCGGTTGATTTGCAGCTGGGAGAGAGAAATCAAAGGCCTCGAAGTTTGATTGGCCAAGCTTGTATGTGGAAGACGTAGGGAGGAAGGGAAAGAACTTTTGACAATCAATTCGTAAAGGCTGCTGGATGGTGAATGATTTGTTTGTGTGAACAAGTAGAGGTTACGTGAGTCAGTTTGGCTTGTGGCCCTGAGCGTGTTGATGAAATTGGAAGGAGCGCGTCAAAGTTGATGTTGTTGGGTTTTATAATTCTTTTTCACCTGAAGTTTACCATTGAACAACACAGAGTGCCCAAGTATATATATATGTATAGACGTAAATACTGTCTTCACCTCTACCTTATCCCCTTGCTGACACGTCAGGGCCGTTTGGGTGACGTCCATCTAAACAGTGACGGGTCGGAGGAAATCAGCCACACAAAGCGAGAACGAGAAAATGACCACGGCTCACCGCACAAAGGTTGCTCCATGTTTTGTCCCGTCGCATTATTACTGTACTCCTGCTTGCCGTCAGTGGAGAAAGACAGTCTGGTAGTGCCAAGGTGTGCCAGCGCCTGTTCGCATTCTCTTTCATTCTTTTGGGGGCATCTCTGCAACTCGCTGCAGAATGGCTGAAACGGGTAAAACGGGAGGAAAAAAACAAATCCTAGAATGGAAAAGCGAAAATGGCCTGGTCGGGATAACTCGAGCGCCGTAGTCAGCAGGGGAAGGGCCCAGCGGGCTGCTTAGTGAGAATGGATGGAACGGGGTTGGTGGTCTTCTAGGCTTGGTCAGGACAGAGGCCAATCAACTGTAGGTGCTGCGGCTAGTGGTTTGCGAATGCGAGCCGGTGGGATTTTGGGCCGATGTCAATGACGACTCTTGGACTGACACCCAGCCGAGGCCAGCATTTTCTGCTTACAGTGTTTCACGTAGCTCCTAATTACTGTAATTCTCAGATTCGTGGCTGGATCGCGCATTCGGTTTGTGAACCTTTCGGGGAATGATTTAGTAATTTACACGTCAAACCAGTCATTTTCTTCAGCCTGAACTTTCAATGTTACACCTGCCAAGTGTCTTTTTTAGTTCATGCTCTCAAAACCATAACAGCCAACTTTTTAACGGGTGACAAGGTGCTCAACTCGTTAATGTTCGCTTTGCATAAATCCATGAATCAATCAATCTGTCTATGGTCTGCACCTGAAAGGGTTTTGAGATTCTAGGGCTCTTCCGGGAATTCCTGATGGGGCGAATCGGTGATTGAGATCAAATCCTCGAATGCTGGGAGTGCATGTGATAGAAGGCCTTAAAGTCGGAAGTACAGCAGTAATCAATTGATTGCTAGAACTTTCGAGATTTCATTGCCTCTCGTCAAATTTCTTGAACAAGTTCTTCTCATGAAAGGGCAGGCATGTCAATCGGAGATAATGTTACTTTTTTGTCGAAGGAACTGCTGAAGTACTGTTTACCACCTTACTCCTCCTTGTTGAACAAACCAGTGCTCAAGTGCTTCTCAGCCGAAAACTGTACACAGTAGCAAGAAGTCAGAAGATCTCACTCCAAACTTCGACATATGATTAAGCTTCCTTAGCTTGAATATAGGGGTATTTTGTTTGTCCGATCTTGTTTGATAAAACAGGGAGGGGAGAAAAAAAAGAAAAAGAGAAAGAGAAAGAGAAAAAAAAGGCATTTCTTTCTGCTATACGCCATGCTGATCGACACACCAAGGCTGCATTGGTGCTCCTATGCCCGATTAATCTCCCCTCTTTAACAGAGGGTGAGATACGCGGCAAAGAGGTTGAAAAGGCTGGCCTACCTGTTGTTTCTCAGACGGGGTGGGACACGGTAGGTAGCTTGAAGCGGGAGGCCCACCTCTGTTTATGTGGCAACTTATACCCCTCGTTTGTGAAAGCCTTATTGTAAAAGCTATGCAAGTTCTCTCCTGCGCGCCAAATTATTGTTTCCACAGCATGATAGATTACATCTTCCAACTTCTTATGATCGATACTACGACAAAGTCATGGCCAAGACTCCCCGCCTGAATCCGTATCATCGCCTTATTTGCCGCTTGTACGAGGCTCTTTTTCTGCTCTACATTCTAGGCGGAGTTCGAGGACCTCATCTCATAGCCCACCTCGATCTTTCTACTACTCTAGCCATTCAAAGGAGATTCTTGAAGAACCTCGCCTTTCTATGTGATTACAAGAAAGGAGGCCCTACGACTGTAGCTGTTGCTGTTGAAAATCGTCATGACTGCCATTTGTTCTGGATTTCGTCTAACGAGGGACCTTCCGAAGCAGTTGTTTCGTTTTTGAAATCTATCATCCAGTCCGTCAAGGCTTTTCAGGTGCTGTCCGAAGATCAGAAGAATCAAGCCGAGAATGAATTGATGAGCACATGTGTCGACTTCGCCAGGTTGAGAGTCAAGAAGCAGGCTCATAACCTTGTCAACTTGGTGACCAAGTGCCAAAAGTATATCACGGAGAATTTCATCGATGAGAGAGGTAAGCAAAAATTCCACCACACTGACCTAGTGTATTTACCAATTGTTGTTCTTCACGTAGGGCTAGTTGGGTGGCTTCAGAAATTCAAAGATTCCCCCCGCCAAGACTTGGTCGCCATTTGCCAGGAAACTTGGAAAGGTCGAAAAGATCCTTCAATGGCTTTGTTGCTCAGACTTAGTCGTGAGCCTGTGGATGAAGATGCAGCTGTCCCTCTCGAGATTGCTGGCATGTGTCGCAAAATACGACACCTTATCGGACGACTTGCCAATCATGTGCGCGCTGTCAGAGAGCTCCTCGAAGATGGCAGCCGACTGAATGCCCTTCTGGACGTCTTCGACGTGGCTCCGGTTCCAGTCCCAACTTGTGTATCCCGGCCACAGGCTGACGAGCACACGAATTTGAGAGGCGTACTCACACGGATGCTGAGTAAAGATGATCCCCGGTTGCCAGAAATCTCAGGCTATCTGTCCAATCTTGATAGTCAGACAAGCTTGGAGCAAACGCTGCAGACCTATTTCAGCCCAGACCACCCGCAGCCATGTGTGCATGCAGAGGTTCAGATGCTGCATCACTTCTACGACAACGATCGGGTGTTCTATGCTGGCGATCCATACATTGTAGCCAGCAAGCCGGCTTGCTTCTGCTGCAAACTCTACTTCCGCCACCACCCGGCCAGCTACGAAGAGCCTGGTTCCCATGAGAAAGTTCATCGCAAATGGGGCCCAATCTTCCTTCTCGGAGGCTGCAGCAACTCAGGCTGGACTGTTCATCGTGAAGTCTTGCAGAAGGTCATGAGAGATATCAGCAAGGAGATCTTCAAGCAGGTCGAGCGGAGAACGACACCTGTTGCATACCACCCTGACACCCTGACGGAGCTGACAGCAGATGCTGATTCTGTCGGGGATGACTCCTCAGAATCAGAGGAGGACGGTCTTACCCAGGACCATGATATTCCCGAGGATGGTTCTGACATTGACTCAGACGGAGGTGCCGAAATTTGACAATGGCAGGAGTTTGGAGAAAAGTACGTTCTGGAATTGAACACAGCTGTATCTCCATGTCATGTTCTTTATATGTTTTGAGTTTTTTTGGATGATGTCAAACTTTTGGTAGTTTTGAGAGCTACTTGGGGCACCGTGTGTTCGAAAATTTCTTTTAGTTATTTTCAGTTGGTAAAACAACAGCACAGGAACACATTAAACATCGAATCGACCAAATTTTTACGGCATGAGTAGCCAGTGTAAATGAATGTCTTAAAAGAACAAAAGGAGTGTATCACTGTCCAGGTTCAACAACCATGTCAATACCATGTTGCCGCCTTGCGTGCCGTTGCAGGTTGTAGTGTAAGGTGAAAGTCTCGTCGCACACTGCGCATCTGAAGCGGTCTCGTTGACCATGGGTTCTGGCATGTTTTGCCATGTCTCGTTGCTGAGCCATCCTGATCGGACAATAAGGACATAATACCGGTTGTGCGTGGCGACGAAAGTGTCGTCTAAGAGAGTGATTTAGATATGTGTTGGAAACGATGGAACTTATGAACTGACCGTATGTCTCCTCTGGTTCTGAATGGCTCCCAACACGAAGGACAGTAGAAATAGCCATCAGGCTCAGCATGCAATACATCTATAATACGCATGCTTTCATGGTCCTCCTCGAATTCCAGCGATGACGAGCCACGAATCGGAGAAATAACTGCTGAATTGGAATCGTTCGATGGATGGGTAATGAGCGACGTGGAACTATATGCGGAGGGCTCTACAGGATTTCCTGTACGTAGGGTGGGGGCGCAGTGTTGATGACGGTCAGTAGCTTGCTGACTCTAATGAGTATTGGAGGCAGGCTGTGAGCTGTTATCGAAACCACGTTCCGGCACTTCGTCCGTCCAGGAATTCTCGTAGGGGAGTTCCGACTGAAGAGGAGTGTTGGGTACAGAAGAACCATAACCATGCATGGACTGAAAACCGCCAGAAAGCAACGGATCATTCGCAAAAGCACGATAGTCAGAAGATGTCAGAGTTTCCTCTTCTTCTTCCAACCCTGGTGTTTCGAAACGCGAAGTACTCATCCTCGAACTGATCTGTCCTTCTCTTTGAGCGCGACACTAGAGATACATTATTAGCGATTCAGTCTTATTTAAAATGGCAGAAGCAACTTACCTCCAGGCCAGCATCTCTCACTTGACTTGAGTTCCCCCTGACAATTGGGATCATCCTCAGAAAACTTGGAGCTGGAAAAGCTCATCATTTATATATTCGTTGACAGGCTCGCTTAGCTTTCAGCATTTTGGACTCCTGTTAATCTCGAGCCTATAAACAGCAGCTTTGTTATCATGATACGAGAAAGGACGTAATAGTGCATCTCGTAGCTGCTTGAGTATATATGAAAATGCACGATTTGAAGCAGGAGGCCCACCTCTGCTTACATCACATGTGCATTCGAAACTGAGTCACTCTCTCAAGTTGGAGGGCCTCCCGCTTGGAAGCTAAAGCAGGGTTGCAGTATTAATTACAAATATGTGATGAACAACCTATTTTGCGAAGGCGCTAAGCAAAGAAGAAAAGGAAGAAGAACGAAAGACCAGAGGGCCTAGACTATGTGAGGTTATCCATGCCCTGGCCGTTGGCTGTTAGGCCGTGTACGGCTCTAAGCCAGTAACCCACTGGCCCTCGCACAACGGCACTGTAGAAGATGGTCGCATACCCTTCAGAAAATTTTACAACTATAATCATTGGACATGGAGAAGAAAATCCTGGAGGGTCTTGTTAGCATGACGGATATGGTCAAGCTATGTGACCTCTGTGGGGACCCACACGCACAAAATTCGCTAAGGGAGCTCTCAAATGGCAGCATTATTATCATACAGCCAGCTCCTAGTCAAAAGCAACTCCGTTGTTAACAGCAACATCTTCTTCACGCGAAGAAATTTAGAAGAACAGATGTTACTATCACGATGAACTCAGCCTGTGCATGCTCTCCAGAGTAGCAGCTCAAAACTCGTGCCACCTTTCAAGACTGACATCGACAGCACAAAATCAAAAAGCTTACCAAGTTTGACGCTAGATGTAACTTCAAAGAACATGTTGGATAGGCTGCGACGGGAGTCTTTTTTTCCTTAATAACAAAAAGAGGGCTTGGCAGGGCTTCAAAGACCTGGTTAATTACCCCCTATGCTAGTCTGTCAGGAGGGGTGAAGAAAAAAGCGAGCAAGACCACCAGCTCCAATACGTGAACAAGGCTTCAGCATGCGTTCCGTTCGCAATTCTTTACTCATAATCATCGCAACCCTTGATGTTGAATGAGAATAAGAAAGGCAAATCTTTGATGACCAAGTAAAGTCTTAAGACCAACAGTTCACGATTGCGTCGTACCGTGAGGTGAGTGACGGACACACACAAACATGATCATTCTTCTGAGTTCGGCATAATTGCAAGCTATGTGTAATCAAGTTCTAGAGTGAACTAGGGGCATGGATTTTGCCCGACTTCATCCTCAGTCACTATACCCTGCTTTTCCACGGAGCTATTTGACTTTGAATCTTGATCCAGCTGTGAGGCCTCACCACTGACCTCACCGCCAACCTCACCACTGGTCTCTCCCAGATCAACAGGCAGAGAACGATCAACATGCCCAGACGAGGACCCCAAGGCCGACAACTCGACCGCGTCGTCATCCTGCATAAGATCTGTGGGCAGGTCCAGGGGTCCACGGTACTTCACTTTTGGCGGCGGCTCGAGGTGCGCATGTCGATTGCCCCGACCTCCAGGGCGTCTGATGTCGGGCCCTGGTGCTCTCACTCTCCTTCTCACCGGCCGCCCAAGGTATAAAGCGGTGCAATACCAGATACCCAAGAAGACCAAGATCCCGGTCACGCCTCCACCCACTACACCCGGGCTGACGCTTAGTTCAAACGGCAAATGAGTAGCGTTGAACCCTGCGAACATTTGAGGGTCATATGTGTATCCCGGCGGCATCGTTGATATAACTGTGATAGTGGGGAAATTGGTTCTGGTGGGCGTGACTGTGGCTTCGGCTGTTGGGACAGCCAGGTATTGCTCGGTGGCTGGGCTCTCTCCACACGCGAGGTAGGTGTAGGGCCCCTCGCTGTTGGCCAGTGTCAACAGCGCCGTGGAGCAGTAGGCACGACCAGGCTGGGTGCTGTACGTAGAATGCGCTTGGTGAGAGACGGTAATAACAATACCTTTAGAGGGGAAAGATAGCAAAAAAAGGACAAACAGAAAGGAGAATAACGAACCAGGTGAAAGTCGTAGAGTGCGGGTGATTAGTAAATCCACATCCCTCAGAGCAGGAATTGCTGTCCACACAGCCTCCAGCAAGACCGCATTGTTCGGCCTTGACGACTGTAAATGGGCAGAACCCCCAAAGGCTGTGCCGGACATCAACAGTGATAACGTAGCTGGGTTCTGCCGTCCTAGTTGCGTACGGATTGCCTTCGAGATAGACGGTTTGCATGTGTGTGAGTGTGCTGCCGTAGCCTCTGGGAGCTCTGTTTTGTCGATTTTCTCCCAGGTCGCCGTGCTCCGACGCATAGTCAAAAGCTCGCAACCCCATCAGGAAGCCTGCGAGGCAAATGAGAATCATTGCTGTCAAGACACTGAAGCTAAAAGACATCTTGGCAAGTGAAGATTGAATGGGTAAAGCTATGTTCTATGAAGGAACGAAAGAAGGCGACGCTTCTTAGTCCCAAGAGTGGGAGCGAGCGAGAGAGACCATAAGATATATCTCAAAGGGAAGTCTCCTCGAGAGCCTGCCTACTGTCAATTCAGAAACTCTATCATATTTGTTGCTTCACTTGAAAACGGTGAGGCTGGCAGCTCCAACAAGACGCCTCAACGGAAACGCATATTCAAAATAGATCCCACTCCAAAGAAAGAAGTTAATGATGGATTTCACCAGAAACACGCTCAAAATCTAATCACGTCTGTGAGGTATCAATTTGACCAGCAAATCATAGAGTATGGTTATAGTACTAAGATTTTCAGCACGACTGTTCATGTTGTTGCTGACGGTGCCCAATGCGCACAAGATGTCTTTCTACTGGATACCGACAGTCTGGTACCACCTCCTGACCTTAATCTAAGCACGGCTGCTTGACCTCCAAAGCCGACTGATCACCTATTTTTCTTTGTCTCTCCTGTCTGAGCGGGCTTTGCGCAGTTCTAGGCATCCTCCTGCCTGATGCCAAGGTTAATCACTTCCAAATTCTCTCATTCAAACGAGTTCCCAAAGGGTTCTCGTAATATGAAGTGGCATGCTCAACTAGGTAGAGTTTTGAGAATGCACCGAATCAATATTTTCGGGTTTTAACAGCCGTCTGTCTTGTCTTGCTATGTCTCACTCTCTGTCTCGGCAGAGATTAACTGCGTCTCGTACAGCGCCCGGCACTTCTTCTAGGACAGGTTGTAAGTCCGCCCATGATCACGACATTGATAAGTCGCATATGGGTATGACTCAAATTTGATCATAACTTTGCATCTTCTCTCAGCATGCCTGAGCACATATTCAAGTCTAGCCAGCAGTCAAATGAAGTTATTACGGCCCGTGTCAAGAGCATTATGGACTCTTGGACCCCTGGGCTCTAGCCTGTAATGCCCCAAATCCATCTTGGCACGCTATGTGAGCTTGAAGTTCGCTTCGCGTTTTGTTGGGATTCACAAGATTCGAGATTTCTTTCGCCCTCGAATTGCGTCACCTACCCCATGGCCCTCACGCTGCCTGACAGCGCAAAGCGTATACCGTTGCACAATCAGTGATTCGAGTTCTTGGGATGCAGCACAAATTGCGTGCTGATTCAGTTGACAGGCTACTCTGTGGTGAATAGCTGCCCTCGAGCAGCGAAACCACTACCTCGTCGCAAAATCGTGTCATATCACTTGCAGACACTCCAACGCTGACAGGAAACGGGTTGGAAAGAAGAAGAAAAAGAAGAAAAAACAAGATGAGAAAAGAATAAGGAATTCGCAACACAAGGAGTCACAAGCGGTAGGATTCTCTCTATGGAACTTTTCATACAAATTCAATCAAAGCCTTGGGGAGGCGCCAGGATCAGACCGACAAGGTGTTGTTAATTTGTGGCCTGTCATACAGCAGTCCAGTTCATGACTTGTGGGTTGATGTCAGGCCATTTCTACACCGAGAGACTGTCGGACATTTCCGCATCGTATTTATTAAATCTCTTCCCGCGCACCTACTAAGCATTTCAATATCAGTTTTCATGTAGACTGTTCCCCGTCTTTGCAAATCCAATTCTCGACATTCTTGAGACTGTATTTACTTTGTCTTCCCCGGCGCCCTCTTAACAACATGTCGTCAATATCCAATCTCCATCTTGAACGCGCCGCATCTCTCGTCAACACATATGTTCCGGAAGCGGTCCGAGACAATTGGCGCATCGTCGGAACGACGGGTGTAATGGTCGGGTTATGTCTTTGTCCTCTGGTGGCCTGGATATGCGAAACTGATCAGTCCCCCGGCGATGCTCAACAACTCGAAGAAGAGGATTCAGAAAGCGACGAGGCTCTTCGCGAGACATAAACTCAATGAGCCGACATTCACAACACGAGCCTTAGGAGACATTTTTTCCAACTTCGAAATCGAGTCTTCAGGACTTGAGGTTGTTCTCTCCGTTAGGAGTTCTGAGGGCGCAAGGAGAATCGAGCACGAGCTTGCCGGGTTTTGAGCATCCGAAAGATATTGAGGATCTGTGAGCCAAGAATGAGACGAAGCATAGTCTCGTCTTGATCTACCAGGCTGTGGAGAAGCAGACTCGTCCCCTTCCAGCAGCAAGGGGGGGAGGGGCAAAGACTTTGGGCGCAAGAAAGGTTTTGCCATATCATGGCTAATGGCAGTTTTAATGAGGGCCGAGAGACTGTAGGAGGCTTGCAAGGCTCTGCTGTATATGGGAACAGTAATCAAATCATACTATCGGGGGACAGAATCTCTCACAGAGCTAATATTAATGGGCATAAACCTTTCTGTGTTATGCTGCGATGTCTGTTATTAATATCTGCGGTCTCATATCTTGACCTTAAAGCACGCTGCTATAACCCAGGCTTGAGCAATTTCATCGCACTAAAGTCCTCGAAAGCAGGCGATCGTGCTCTCTTATTTATTTTGATCATCAAAGACAATTAATGCTCGAACTGTCGATGGTCAATGTGATCTTCGATCACTGAAGGGCGTATGAGAATGTGGTCGTCACCCTCAGCTTTCAAGAATTCCTGCCTCGAGATATCTTCACAGCCCCTGCATCATGAATACTCATTACTCACAATGCATGTCATTAGTCGAAGGGTAAGATATACTTAAGTATGTAGCATAAATATTTCACTGCCTTTATTCTCGAGATCTTCGGCCGAGTCCAGACCGGATGCTCAGCGGTGCTATGACCCACCGGGGTCGTCACGCAAGAAGAGGAACTTTGTCACCATTTTATTCCCGCCAATACGCGAGCACCGGGCGGGCATGCTCAAGGATAGCAGAGAAATACCTTAGTCCAAGAAAAGGAATAGACCTATCAGGGAAACAACTATTATGTCCCCATGAACCGGCAATTTATCTATATCCCACCAGAATCACACTGCGTAGGGTACCAAGTTTCGTCCTACCATGTGGACCTGTATCTGTACATCTCAGGTCGCGCGGTGCCCCAGCAGCCCTCCAGATCGAGAGATGAGGGTGCATTCTATGCTCGACGTGGGAGTGACCCCAATCCCGAGATAAGCGTGGATGGTTACTCGGCACATGGGATCATCGCTGCGCCTGCAGATAAGTCTGCAGCAGGCGGTTCCCCCGCCGTAGTGGTTCCTGTACTAATGTACCAGAAATGTCATGGTAGCAACTTTCGCGAGATGTGGCAAGCAAGTCGTGCTGATCGGACCAGGATTATCATGCAACTATGATAGACAAATATCAAGCAAGCCGGGCCTATGGCACAGACAGAGATCGTGAAAGGGTTTTCCCTCTTTCCAAGATTAGACACTCAACCGGAAAGTAATGATTATACTTCTTCTACTCCATGATCCACGTCCATTTCTGTGCAATCTTTCTAATTTTGAAAAGCTCGACTTCCTAAAGTCTTGAGCACCATGGCTACTGTATCTGAAGTGACGACGCTGCCCGCGGAGATGGATGCCATAATCGACGTCAGAGACCATCACCAAGAGAAGAGATCTGACGTGGAGAAGTCTGGGACGGACGAGGAGAACTCCAAGTCAGGAGAGGACGCAGTTGCAGTTTCTGTCATAGAAGATCATGGCAAGTCATAATTGCGAAATGCCCTGGGACAACAAGGCGTCTAATATGAGCTATCATTAGGTCAATACACCGAGGAACAGTATAAGGGGCTGAAGAAGAAGATCGATCGTTATTTGTTACCACTAATGTGGCTCTGTTATGGAATCGTGAGTGTCCTCCTGAAATGTTTCATTATTAACGAGAAAAAAAAGGGCGCCTCAAAATCATTGTTGCAGCGGTGCCCTTGAGAGACTCTTGATCCAAACGATGCTAATAACATTTCATGACTGAAGCAACAAAGTGACAAGTAAGAATAAAGGGCTCTTCCTTGCTCCATCTTCCAGGTCACGAACTGACCAAAACAAAAATAGAACATCAATTGGTACGCAAGCCACCTTTGGCTTGGAAGAAGATACCCATCTCGTGGGCAATCAATGTAGGTCATCCTCGAAACAGAAACCTACCTGTTTCACTGAGCGATCTTCACACCTACGAAGATAGAACTCGCTGAATTACTTGACCATCAACGACATGTCTTACTAACCTCAATGTCACACACTCTGCACTCAAGACGCATGGCTCACAACCATCTTCTACATCTCCTACATGTGCTTCGAGTTCCCCTCCAACATCATCCTCCAGCGCCACCGCATGGGCCGCACCCTCTCCTTCTACATGCTCTGCTGGGGCATCGTGGTCCTCTGCATCGGCTTCGCCCAGAACTTTGCCCAGCTCATCGCGCTGCGCGCCCTCCAGGGCATGTTCGAGTGCTGCATCAGCCCGGGCTTCATCCTCGTCGTCGGCTCCTGGTACACGACGCGCGAGCACGCCTCGCGCACCCTGGTCTTTCAGAGCGCCAACGCCGGCTTCGGCATCATCTCCAGCCTGACCCTGTACGGCATCGGCTCGGTGCAGGCCCAGCGCGGCGCCGGCTTCCAGGCCTGGCGGTACATGTCGTATTTCCTGGGCTCGCTGACCATCATCACGGGGTCGCTGTGCTTGTTCCTCCTGGGCACGCCGTCCGAGGTCCGCTGGCTCTCGGCCGAGGAGAGGAAGATGGCCAATACCCGTATCCTGACGAACAACACTGGCCATGACCAGACTGGTGTCAAGAGGTGGCGGTGGGATCAGGCGCTGGAATGTCTTATCGACCCTTGTGTAGGTCCCCCCTGTGTTGAGTTTCCAGGATGATCTATATCTTCCTCGTCAAACAAGAAAACAAGACATGCTAATAATTCTCTCATAGTTCTGGTTCTGTGGCATCAACGCGTTCCTGGTATCCGTTCCCAATGGAGGCCTGTCAACATTCGGCTCCATCATCAGCACATCCTTCGGCTTCACCAACCTCCAGGTCATTCTCCTCAACATCCCCATGAACGTCTTCTCGGTCTCCTACTTTGCCCTGGTCGGCATCCTCACCTCACGCCGCAAGAACCTGCGCTTCTACTTTATGACATTCTCCACCATCCCCCCCTTCATCGGATTCCTCATGATGTCCCTCCTCCCCAACGAGCCGCAGTACAAATGGACCAAGTGGGGCGGCTACTTTATGACCGTCCCGCTGGTGATCTCCATGTTTCTAGCCTGGACCGTGATCCCGTCCAACACGGCCGGCCGCACCAAGAGGACCCTCACGTCGTCCTTCACCTTTGTCGGGTACTGCGTGGGCAACATGACGGGCTCGCAAATCTTCAAGTCGGCCGATGCACCCCGATATGTCCCAGGGACGGTGGGCTGTGCGGTCTGCTTTGGGCTTGAGTTCCTGTTGTTCATCGCGTGGCGGCTGGTCTATGTCTTTCGGAACCGGCGGAGACAAAGGGCATGGGCGCGCGAGGGTATCTCGGAAGAGTTGCGGGTGGCTCGTGCCAAGGAGCTGGGCGAGCAGGATACGACCGACTTTCGGAATCCCTATGTAAGTCAAGAACTGTTCGATAATCCTCTCTTTGTTCGTTCTCGCTGACCTCGCCGTAGTTTCTATATACAATGTGAGGTGTTGATGACTCTCGGGGGAACTTTGGATATGCGTTGGCCATGCTGTTCAGAAACTTCAAGAGGAATAGGATAGGCTCCACAGGTCACCAGCAGCGCACCAGTGGTCAGAATGGTTGGTTCTTGATGCGTTGCTATCTCTGGGTGTCCTGAAATGTGTCTGTATTCGCAATCTAAGAGTTCCACTGAGCTAAACTCTCGGGGGTTCGTTGGGTGAAATCTCAAGATGGCATGACCTCCTTCAACTCTCATAATCAGTCTTGCCCATTCGCCATTCTGGTTTCGTGTTGTTCAGCCTCCATCACCCGATCCCACTGGCCATCTTGGTCGACAGCGAGGACAATGTACTGCTTAAGACTGTTAACCATGATCAGGAAGTTGGCATCCCGGTAGATGGCCGTGACTTCAATATCTGGGCTCCTGATCTCAATTACTTGGATCATGTCTCTTGTGCCTAGCCGCCTGGCATGGTATGTTTGCTCCCTTAAGGGGCCGCTTGGTAGGTATTTCCAACATCCTTCCGAGTGGCGGCCAGGGAATGTACAGGTTGTGGAATTTAAAGACCATGCGCATCGAAAGCGGTAGAGAGCGGTTACGACCCGGCATGCAGGGCTTTGCGCCACGAGATCTCGGCGCCAGATAATGTCCGGACGACAACTGCTGGTCTCTAGCTCTTTTGCCATGTTTGCCCAGAAGATATCACCAGTTGAAGGCACTGACATGGCGCTGGCGATGCTCTCCTGGGTCTGGGGTTCGAGGACCAGAAGGATAGGCGACGACTCCTCGCGAAATCGAGGCGAGGTGTCATATCCACATATGAGTTGGCCTTCCCAGAGACATGATGCCTGGCTCAGACTCAAGGCCGCGATATCGAAGGCGATTTCTCTCTCCGGCATGTAATAGGTCGTGGTGCCGACTTTTTCGGTCAGGGTGTTGAACGTGAGGTATATGAACTGGTCAAACTTGGTTTCTTTCTTTAGCAGCTGATAAGTGCCGCGATTGTCGATTTTTCGGATATCCACAAACGGTACAATAGTTTCAGTTCCGGGGGGTCTTCTGGGCCTTTGCCTGATGAGGTGGGACCACCAACGGTCTGGCTCTATGTCCTCCTCAGGCGTGACGACATTAGTGAGAAACCTGTCGACTGGTTTATACCGGTCAACACTTTTCGCAAATTTATAAATTAGGAACTTAGCCCTGGATAGAGGCTCGAAAGCAACGACGAAAAATATGGTCGGGTCCAGAGGGTGGTGAAGCACTGGCAGGTCGCATTCGCCGGTATTCGGACGCTGGAGCAGGTGCAGTACTGTTGTCTCGTCCGGTCGTGGGCCTGCCTGTGGTACTGCTGTATCAACCTCAACCAGGCCACATAAATCCTCCCAGACATATAGCTGGTTGTCTTGTGTCTCTATGTAGACCGTAAGGTCTCTGGTGGTGCACCCTATGGGGGTATTGGGGAGAGAGATTTGCACAGGATCATCGGCATCAAGAGTCCAAGCGAGTCTAAGATGTTGTACTCTGTGTAAGTAGGTGCCTGTGGCTCCGAGTGGCTCACGAGAAGAACAGGAGTCGTCTTACACTGTTCGGCCTGATACACCGATGACGAGTTGATCCCCTACAGCCATGAGTTTCGGGGGGTTCCCCTTAACGAGGTTGTACGTCGGACTCGAGAACGTTCTTCTCTGGCAGGTGGGCAGCTGATGAACGATGATGGGCTGCAGGGAACCCACATTGCCGCCGTCCACCTGGTAGGCGAGGTTCCCATCCGAATAGAAGGTTGAGACGGGGTCTTGCCTCGATGGCGATCCCTCCTCCACACTCTGATAGGGATAATTGCCACAGGAGAGATCCACATAGGTCTTGTCATGGTTCAGACGTGCAAATTGCTGGGCTGGCCACTGTTGGTCGACAAAGTCTTTGAAACCGGTGGTGAGCCGCACAGGATAGCGGGCAGCTGTTGTGATGGACCAAGCCTTGAGGGCCCGGTAAAGAACTTCCGCCCGCTGCTGCATCGCACCCTGCTGTTCACAAAATGGTGGAAGCAAAGTGGGAAACCATTTCAAGAGAACCTTGTAGACGACAGGGCCCGTGCTGGTGGTCAAGAGAGCACGCCAGCGGCGACAGACCCGCATGGAAGTACAAACGTCCTGCAGTTCCATCTGCTCGACGATGCAGAGCTGAATCTCCACGGGGCACTTGCCCAAGATGTCAAATCTCTTGTCCCTCCATGAATGGATCTGGGCCACAGTGTCCATCTCATCATCGGTGAGGCGATCAAGGATATCAAACAAGATCTGGCGCCGCTGCTCGGTCGTGGCAAGATCGAAGGCACGCAGGATTTCGTCCATGGCGATGATTGCATTGGCTGGCAATGCCTGCTTGCCGTCCTTGTCTCGTGCTGCGTAGGAGGAGGAATTGGGTAGCCTCTACAACAAAGCCTGGGGGGGGGGGGGGGCGTTGTCAGGGTGTAATTTGTTTGTCCAGTGGTACGGTAATTCAACGAGCTCAAGAAGTCCGCAGAAAGGAAGTGGGAGGCTGATGGAAAGTTCCAAGGCTGGATGGCAGATCCAACATCAAGAAAGACAAGACGAAGAAAGAGGAGGAGAAAGGCAAGAGTTGCATGGCTGTGGGGCTGTAAATTACAGCCTGAGTTACTGCCTGACCACGGCAGTGTTCAAGAAGCAAAGATGTAGCATCGAGTGAGGGCGTGATTTGTGCTACCATGATGTATCATGTATACTGCAAGAGTACCTGCATGGTACACAGAATATACAGCATAGTGTGAATGGTACTTGTATGGTGTACATGGTACGTGCACATGGTATGTGAGTTAGCGTACTCTTCAATGGTGCTGTGTAAAGCACTCGCCAGAGCAGAGACACCCTAGGCCAGTGTGGCTTCTAACTGTCACCTGCTGTGGAACCGGCTGATGACGCTGCTGTTTATCTTATCAGCGCTCAACCTGCCAGACTTACAGGGCCTCACTTACAACTCACTAACCCCCATAATTCCCATGTGTACTGTAAGGCGTGACCATTTGATTGATTTGACTCAACCACGTCCGTCGATCTGTCAGTCTTTCCCCTCCTCCCCTCCATCTTACCCCCCCCCTTCTCTCTCTTCTCTTTTCTTTTCTTCTTCCTTTTGTTGCACAATACATTTATCGACCATAGAAGCTATATTACCTGACTGTGTCATGGCTGGTGCCGTGACCTCGAGTGGCGATGGCGATCGCGGCGGTAGCAACAACAACAACAATAAGCAGGTCGTTGATGAAGTCACTGCCATTTTCCACCGACCAACCTCCTCGACCGACGATGCCTCATCCATTCACAGCAGCCCAGCCTCTTCGTCCTACCGCTCCGACTCGCCCACGCCCTCCCACCGCCGACGACGTCATGCCATGCTCGTGACGACGCGCAACATCTCCTTCGTGACCGCCGTCGCAGCTGCGCTGTGCGCAGGCTCCATCACGGCCTTTTCGCTGTACGGGCACCTTTTCCAAGAGCGCCTGCACTACTCGCAGTACCAGGTCAATGGTGTCGCGATGGTGGCGAGCTTCTCGCTCTACCTGCCTGTGCCGTTGTTCGGCTATACATGCGACCGATACGGGCCGGCGCCGCTGTCTGGGCTCTCGGCTGGGCTCTTTGGTGTGGGGTACGGGCTCGCGGCTGGACTGTACAAGCACGGCGCAGAGGGGAGGTCCGGGTCTGGGCCCGACCGGCTCTCCTATGCAGCTATGATCTTTGCCTTCATCCTGATCGGCATCGGCTCCTGCGCTCTCTACATAGGCTCCGTGGCCACATGCGCCAAGAACTTTGGCAAGGGCAAATATCGGGGTCTGGCGCTGGCCGTGCCCATCACAGCGATCGGGCTCAGCGGGCTGTGGCAGAGCCAGGTCGGGAGCAGGCTGCTGTACGAGAGGCTGCCGGACGGTACCAGGGGGGACGTCGACTGCTTCTTGTTCTTCCTCTTCCTCGCCATCCTGCTCTTCACGGTCGGCTTGCTCGGCTCGTTCACCATGAAGGTCATCGATGAGCAGGAGCTTATCGACGAGGCTGTCGAGGAGCTCGAGCGCAGCGGTCTCCTGGACGGCAGCGCGCTGTTTACACCTTCGCGCCCCGCCGGTGGCTACGGAACTCTTGAGCATGTCGAACCGGTGCCCATCGACGATGACGACCATGACAACAATGGGGAAGATGCCGGGCTTCTGGACCCAGCCAAGGACTTTGAGGACGATGCGAGATTCAAAAAGAACGTGGTGCTCAATGCAGAGACACGGCGTTTCCTCGGCGACCACACGATGTGGTTCTTTGCTGCAGGCTTCTTCCTAGCTATTGGTCCTGCAGAGGCCTTCATCAACAACATGGGGACCGTCATCAAGACGCTGTACCCTCCCACGGAGGCGCACTTGCACCTGGGCCCTGCCACCACGGCCGCCACCCACGTCTCCATCATCTGTGCGACCAGTACCGCCGTGCGACTGCTCGTTGGTGTGCTCACAGACCTGCTGGCGCCCAGTCCCACCACACAGCACTTCCAGTTCCCCTCCACGGAGCGTTCTACGCCCACCATGCTCCAGCGGATCAAGTTCTCGGTGTCTCGCATCACATTCCTCCTCTTCTTTGCTCTTATACTATCGCTCGGCCTGGCAGTGCTGGCCTCGGGCGCGATCCAGAACCACGGAGAGCGCTTCTGGATTGTCTCGGCCAGCGTGGGCGCAGGCTACGGGGCGCTCTTCTCCCTCGCACCCATCATCGTCACCATCATCTGGGGGGTGGAGAACTTCGGCACCAACTGGGGCATCGTGGCGACATTCCCTGCGGTGGGCAATGCGCTCTGGGGCTCTGTCTATTCTGCCGTGTACCAGGCCGGGGCGGAGAGGAGCCCCAACCCTCCCGGTGGCGGCGACATCGCTGATGACGGCGATCTTTTTTGTTATGGGACGCAGTGCTATTCTGTGGCGTACTGGGGCATGGCGGGCAGCGTCTGGCTTGCGTGCCTGCTTGTGCTGTGGGCGTGGAGAGGGAAGAATGGGTGGGCCAAGAGGGGTATTGTGATTTGAAGGCAAAGATGGCATGTTGGCATTGTGTGTGGGGGGGATGTGTGTGTATGTATTTTCCTTTGCCTTTCTTATCATCTTGGTTCGCATCATCTCTCGGCGTTAGATCTACCCTTGCCTCCTTTTTCTTTGCGCTCTTGTTTTCATTTCAGTCACATTTCACATGTTAAGCACGCATAGGTTGGGGCGTTCAAGATGTGGGCATGCTATCCATCACATAGCCGCTTCTTTTCCATTCTCACTCAGTTGATGAGTGAGTGAGCAAGACTGCTATACAAGTAAGTCAAGAGGAATAATTACCAGAGCATTTTGTGCAAGTGATTGCGCGCTTCTTGTTTTGTACAATGCTTCCCATTCTGGAAACCAGGACCAACTCTTCCTTGTCATTGTTCATCCCTCGTTCCTCGTTTTCTCTCTCTCTCTCTCTCTCTCTCTCTCACTCTCTCTCTCTCTCTGAGATCTACGCCGTGATCTTCTCCCTCCACTCACCCACCACCCTCTCAATCTCTCCCAGAATGACCTCCTTCCTCGCCTCATCACACCAGCTGCCCTTGACAGCATTCCTGGCCACGGTCCGCCACTCGTCCACGCTCAGCCCAAACGCCTCCTGCACCGCGCAGTAGTTGTCCAGGATATACCCGCCAAAATAAGCCGGGTCGTCACTGTTGATGCTGAACGGCACGTTGTTGTCCAGGAACACGCGGATGGGCACCTCGGACACCTTGGTGACGCCGCGCAGCACAACGTTGGACAGGGGACACACGCTCAGCATGACCCTGTCCCCAGCCAGCCTCCTCATGACGTCGGCGTCGTGGCGGGCGTTGACGCCGTGGTCGATGCGCGTGACCTTGAGCACGTCCAGCGCCTCGGTCACGTAGGCCGCAGGGCCTTCCTCACCAGCATGGGCGGTCAGGCGCACCCCGTCGGCGGCGGCCAGGGCGTAGACCTCGCGCCACAGCGAGGGCGGGTTGTCGCGCTCGGTCGAGCACAGGCCCATGCCGGCGAGGGTGCCGTCGGCAAAGTGGCCGGCGTCGCGCATGGTGGAGAAGCAGGCGAGCGAGTCGGGCACGGGCAGGTGGCGCAGCAGGCACGGGACGAGCAGGCTGGTGATGCCCAGGTTGGCCTGGGCGCGGCGGCGGGCGGCCGTAAAGCCGCCGACGATGGTGGCGTAGGGGATCCCGCGGGCGAGGTGCACCTGGGGGTCGAAGAAGACCTCGGCGTGGTGCACGCCGTGCGAGGCGGCCTTGGTGAAGTAGGCGTAGGCGAGGTCCTCAAAGTCCGACTCGTGGAGGAGCACCGTGAAGCCGATGTAGTAGTAGTGCAGGAAGTCGTCCAGCGAGGTGAACCGGGCGTAGCGCTCGTACAGGGCCGCCACCGAGGCGAAGGCTGGGTCCTCGGTCGTCGGGGGGAGGGCGATCTTGTTCTTCTCCGAGAGATGGAAGAGGAGCTCCGGGCTGAGGGACCCCTCGAGGTGCATGTGGTGTTCGCACTTGGGGAGGGCGGCCAGGAAGCCGTGCATCGCCTGGTTGCACATTTTGAGTAATGTTGTGGTTTCTTTAATGAGAGAGAGAGAGAGAAGAGGCTAAAGGCAAAAGAGAGACGATGAATGTATGATTGAATGAGAACTGTAGTGAGTCTTGAGTGAGTGGCTGGGCTCTTGAGGCTGGAAACCGTCGTCGTTGCTTGCCGTCTCTCGTCTTGACACTGCCTCTGGATTATTGGTACCTGTACTGGCTCGAAACACCCGAGATTTTCACTGTAGAATGATATTGTCTCGAAAAGAATGGTATGACAACAATAAATCAGTCTCAATGGATTCAATTCTTTTTACTTATTGAAACTGTTATCTGATTCCCCATCAATCAAAAGGTTGAGTCTAGAGTCGAGGCTGAAAGCACAGATTTCATCTGGCCCATCGAAGAGTTTTTTTTTTTGTTTTTTTTTTCTCTCCTCTCCAGCGGTGACTCCGTCTCCCGCGATTCCTCGTTGCCTCTAGCAGGGCAAACAGAGTCCACCGGCGCGAGTGGAATCCGGCGACCGCCGCACGGCAGCGCTGGATTGTAGAGGATTTAGCAGTTCCATCCTTGTTCCGATCCAACCTGTTCTTTGTTCTCGTTATCAATTGCTACTACCATGTCCTGAAGCGGTATCACAGTAGGAATGCCATGGTAGTAAAAATTCAATGATCAGTAGTAGTAATCAAGTATAATAGTTGTTGGTGCTGTAGTTTTGAGCATATCTGAACCAGACAGCGTTTTCTTTCTTCCTTTCTCTCTCTCATCTCTTTTATCTTTCATTGAAAACTCACTTGCTGCAAGGCTATGTATGATGCCGAGGTATAACTCATTCGGTATTTTCTCTCTCTGTCTCCCCTCTCTCGTTGCAAAGCGTCCGGCGCCCAGCTTGTGCTTGTGGGGCGATTCGGAGCGTGTGCCATGTGCGTGGCTTTTTTATTTTCCTCCCCCACACCCCTTCTCATCCACTACTTCACTCGTGAGAGATCCACCCGTAGCGCCAGAACCCAGAGAGAGATAGTCAAAGGTGCGTGTAAGAGAGAGAGAGAGAGAGAGAGAGAGAGAGAGAGAGAGAGAGAGAGAGAGAGAAGAGGGGGGGGGATGAGAGATTGGGAATGGATATGAGAATGGGGAACGAATCAGTCAATCCTTCACAGCAACACCAGCAGCAATCATCGTGGGGTCAGTCATGTGTGTCTCGTCCCGTCATCACAGATATGCTCATCGCACCGGATCGGTGACCCTGTCCAAGTCGCCATTTCTCTCTGCACCTTTATCTCTGAACCTGGTTGGCTCCTCAATCTCCGAGATCCCGAAAGAGGAAGAGAAGAGAAGGACATTGAACAGAGACAAATCAAATCAATAATAAATTAAGAAATAACAGTCGTTCCCATGTACCCCAGATCTGCACTCGTCGTCGTCGTCGTCACCACCAGTCCCAAGATAGATAACCATAGTACTATGGTAATTAAACCCAACGCTTCGGGCGCTTCTCGCTAGGCCTGGACCACCACATTCACTATAACTCTATACTAGTACTATAGTACTATACTACGTGGTACTCATGTCAGCTGGTCACTTTAGGGCCAAGGCCAGACTTCTCCACCCTACCATGGACGTACGTAGGCAGGTTCAGGGATCCTTTTGGCTCGCTGGCGCATTGAATCACATCTCCTTCGCTGCGTGGCCCCTTGATTACTCTTTCTAGGAGAGAGATGAAGCACAAGAGAGAGACGACAGAAAAGATGCTAAACCCAACCCGCCCGAGCGCCCCCCCCCCCCGGCCTCTCTCCTTCTCTCTGTCTCTTTCCGCCTCATGTTACATTCCAGGGTTTGCCCAGGCCCGTAAGTACTCGTCAGCAGCAACGGAGGAGGTCATAGCGGTGCGTATGTGTGTCATGCATGTATTATAACTTGCACAATGGAGAAGAGGGCCGTTTTCATCCTGCCTGCAGTCCACAGGGTGCGGAGAGAGGGTGGGTGCGTCCCGGTCTTTTGAGCATCCCATCCTCTCCCCTTCTTTTTTTTTTCTTTCTTTTTTTTTTTTTTTCTTCTTTTGGTATTGTAACTCTGGGGTACCGGATATGAGAACCACAAAAAGCTGAGGCTCAGATGCCCGTCATCCACGGCAGCGGCAGCCGAGGACCCCCCAAAAAGGGATGAGCCACCGGATGAAACGAGTCTTGTCTGTTCGAGGACATATTATGGCTTTCGTCTTGGCATGGAAAGCCAAACCACGGCCCGGCATCACACTTAAATTTGTACACAGACTTTGTCTCCCTGCCCTCCCCCCGCCCAGGGACATCTTTCTCCTTTGCCGTTTTCCGACCCCTCCTCCTTTCCCCCCTCCCTGCTTGAACAAACAGCAAGCCGAGCAGCAGATAGAGTTGCTCTGTTCTCTTGCTCTCATGCAGGGCGTACAGATGACATGGTCGAACGTGTGATGGCCCTTCGTGCCGGTCTATGTCCTCCTCCTTCCCCTCCTTGACCCCCCCCCCCCTCTTCTTTCGATAGTGTTCGTTACAAAATAGAGGCTTGTGCTGCAAGTGGAGTACGAGGCTGAGGAGGGGGCAATGGCAGCTGCCATCATCACCACCATCAGTCCGAAGTGGGCGATGACAGCGGGTTGACGCTAGGCGACTGCCATCCGAAGGCTCGCCGTCGTGCTAGACATGGTAAAGCCTAGGCTTTCAGACGACTGGGAAGAGGCGTCACTGTCTCCCTTCCAGCTCGTTCGTTACCCTTTGTGGTGGCTAGCGGAGGGGAATAAAAGGGCTGAGTGCATCAGTGATTGGCAGTCTGAGGATCCTATGGCAGGAGATGCAATGGCCAGCACGGGTCAAAGGTTTCTAGGGATTCACACTGTATGATTCTTTACGTGGTATATTCTGGGGAAACGAGAGGCACGCGCCTCTTGGACTCGGTGCCAAGAACTGTTACATTCGACCCGTTGACATCGCCTCCTCCCCCTTTCCCTCTTTCTTCCTCCAACAACACGTTCCCCAAGAAGATGCTTCCTAGCCAAGGCCGATCTTTATCATGCCTTTGGAGATCCCCTGTGGGTTGTTTGTTTGCCAAGCGGCGCACAAACATCAGGCCAAACCTTCGTGCCGTCAGAGAGAGAAGAGAAGGGGGGCCACAACGGGATGGCAGCCTTTCTAAGGTTCTCGGGAAGGCATGGAACCGTGAAACGAAAGTTGTCTCCTAGCGGGCATGACGCTGTGTTTCTGCAGGGAGGGCGTGAATGCACACACACACACACACACACACACACACACACATACACATACACAGACATTCGAAGATCGACATAGCCAAGGTGCAGTCATGCGCATCACATGGCACGGATAGAATGCCATTGTGATTTGCACTCCTGGCCCATATGCACTCCCTTCAAAATGCGGTCTTTACAAAGTTATGTGCGACATAGCACGTCACAGATAGAAGAAAAAGAAGAAGAAAGACCAAGCCTGACAGTCTCGTCCTGATTCGATCTGCTTCAATCTTGTCTGATCTTAATTTTTTCTTTCTTCTTCAGATGGCAGAGCTGAGGCAACGGGAGGCAGCAGGGGAAGGAAAAGGTGCCCTTGAGCTCGGCCGAAAAGTCCGAACTTCGAACCTCGGACACAACACTTGAGAGATAACGGTTGCTCGATTAGCTGGGATGGAATATGCCCCGGTATTGCTCACCGAGTTATCTCTCATGGGATCGAGGAGAACCTGCGAAAAGCACCTCAGCAGCGAAAGGGGTCCATATTCATCGTCTCCTTCCAACAGGGGAGGGGTCCATCCAGAGAGTGAAAAAAAAAACAAGGCCTGATAAGTCGCCGCCCCCATATCGTCATATCACAATCCCGATCCAACAGGATTCCTCGTGGCGTTTCAGGGAAAAAGGCCGATATGAATCAAGCGGGGGCTGTGATGCTGATTCTTTTACTGGCGGCTTATACGGTTGCCTAGCCCGAGGGCAAAGCCCTCGAGAATTTCTTCTTAGTCGCGGTGGATGTCCGTGAGGAGGAGACAAAGTGAGAGAGAAATTCAGACGAGAGTGATAGACAATGTTCAGTGAGACTCTACTATAGCACAGAATGATATGGATTCGAGGGCGGATTCAACCACAAGATGGTAGACGCAAGTTGCCATCTTGAATCCTCCTCCTCAATCTAAACACACTAAGACCAAAGGTAATTTTGTTTCTTATTTTTCTCAATATTGGCATGACACGATAGCAGCTTCCATCACGCTAAGCAATGATGCGCACGTGTGCAGCTGCATATATATCCCTACGAAGGAAGACAGCAGGTTTCCCATGCTATCATGTCTGTGAATAACCTCGAGCCCCGCTAGGAAGAACTAACGGACTAGACTCCACAATGCCACGCAGATGAGACGACGGGAACAGGCACAAACTCTAGTGGACAGTATAGTAGCATGTCACAGTACTCCCCAAGTGCGGTCTGGACGTGCGCAACTTTGGGAGGGCGACATGGTCAACCCCTGTGACGGTGCCAATTTGTGAAGATTCCAGCAACTGCCCAGGTGATCAGATCAACTTTGCAAAACAAGTAACAAGACGGTCACGGTTAAACGTCGGGTCTCGCCGTTCCTCCTCCAGCCTTCTCCATTCTTCAGAGAAGGTAGACAGAGAGGGAGAGAGGAAGAAGAGAGGAGGGCCCCCGGGGGGGGGGGGTGATCGTCAACCACCTTCAACCTTTTTCTGCTGGTTGGTTGACAACTTGGTTCCAGCAGGCGCTACGTTGATAATGTGGGAGCCACAGCTGAGCCATCCAGGAGGAGCTCGCTTCGCCAGCATCAAGCATGATTTTTGCGTCAAGCCGAGGCACAAACCTGAAAGAAGAAGAAAGAAAAGATGTACAGTGTGCGCCAGCGCAGAGCCCTAATCTCGTGTTTTTCATTTCTTTTTTTACTTTTCCCAAATGCACAGCTCAGCAGGTCGCCTTCCGCAGCGATTTCGTGATCGGAAGGCTCCCGGAATGGGTGACCAGCCGGGCGACCTCGCCAGCGTGAATTAAAGAGAGTAGTAAAATGCGGAGATCTGCCCTCAACATTACCATCATCAGCAAATTGAGTTTACAGGGACCATAGGACCTGCACAGATTATCTCCCTGCAACGGCTGTCCACGACTCGTGTGTTTGCCGAGAGGGTGGATATGCTGGGTCCACCACACTCAACAGACCATGGCACGATGGGTAGTCGTACGTATGGCTTGGACGGCCGGGGCCATGGCCGTGGGCCTGAGCCGCCGCTGATCGCCAAAGGATGTACTATGGTTGCAGTTAACTCTTCTCTATTCTCACACTCTCTTCTGCAAGCTGCAACAGATCGGCGGTAGCAACTGTAGCTATAACAATAGACCAATACCCTGGCTATTCGGATCGGCACAGCAGAGCTTTCGGGCGGGTGGCTCTGTACCTCTTTCTCTCCCAATCACTCTCTCCCCTCTCCGTCTCTCCCCCCGCCCCCAAAGCCTCCCCCCCCTCTTTTCTGGTTGGCAGTACGGCTCCGGAGAGGAAGCACCCCATTGCTGCTTGAGAGGATGTCCACCAGGACGGGGTGAAAGAAGGGCTGCCTGATTGGGATCTTCGGTGACGGCAGCGGCAGCGTACCCTAAGAAGGCTGCCACGGGACTATTTTAGGACTGACACGCATTGCTCTACCGAACCCTCCCAGCGGTGCCACGGTGCCACACCACCTCCTTAGCGGGTCAGGCTCACTCGGCAATCGGCTGGCCCCTCAGGTGCCCTAGCTTCCGGGCTGTAATCCTCCTTCGGGTATGTGTCCCGCGATCACGGTTCATGCGTTTCGAGTTGCGCCGGCTAAGCGAGGGGCCCAGCGTTGCAGCGCTTGCAGTGGGCTGGTGCACACCCCCTCCTCTCTCTCTCGTGCCCTCCTCTCCCTCTCCTTGGGTCCCCCAGGTCCTTCACAATACACACCCCCCCTCCCCCTTCTTCCCCTCCTTCCTCTAGCTGCCCAACAACGACGCGCACCACATGAGGAACGATGATCATGGCGCCAGACCACCACCACCCACCGTCGGCGCCGTTTCGCTTCCCGGGGACGGAGAGAGAAGACTGTCATGGACCTATAATATCGGCACTTATGACTCTATACGTCAGGTCGTGCAGGCTCTGTGTATTGTCAAGTATCTCTTGTACGAGGAGGAAATACGGGCGTCGGCCCCCCCCTTCGAGATTGTACGTCGTCAGCTGCTGGCGCAAGCGAGAGCCAGAACCCCAGGTCGTGAAGGATACTGGATACTGTGGTTACGTCTGAGCACTAGTCAACATGCGGCATTTCTTCCTGCGCGATGATGAAGGTGTGATGACCATCGGTGAGGGCCTTGAGAGATGAGAGAGAGGGTAGCGGGCCCAAAGCTCTGGCTCTCTTCAAAGTCTAGACTGCTCCGTGCCTGGGTTTCAACGCGGCACGCGGCAAGCTAGATCGGCATTTCCAGGGTCTTGGAAATCTATGTCAGCCTGGGATCATTACCGCACCGCGCCTGAATTCGCGCCATAAGCGCCATATCGGCCCTTTGTGCTTCTCATAGCGTGCCCTGTCTTGCTGTCCGCCAAGGACCGAGGAAATTAAACCGCGGGATATCGTCGATCAGCCAGACTACTCGAGGGTAGAACACGAGTAATGAAGCCAGACAGAGGAGGAGCAGAAACAAAAGACAGAATGTCTTTACCCCCACAAGCCGTGGTCCGCAGGTCGAGAGACAATCACAGCTCCTCCTGGCGAGAATCAGCTAGGATGTATGTCCCAACACGTCGCTTAACCAGAGGATCGCTGCCCCAGCTGCCCGACAGGCCAGTGTGATTTGCTGTCAAGGACGAGGACGTAGCCGTCTTTCCCCCCCCCCCCTTTCCCTCTTTCTTCTTCTGCCCCTTTCTTTTTCTTTTGGTTCTGTGACATTACGGCGGGCCTACATTAGCAATCTGGCAATGTCTTCCGCATGAAAATATTATGCTTGCCCACGTCCCCCCAGCTGCTGGATCTAGGGGACAAATACGGACTCGAATCCGAAGGAGGACGAGAAGGGGTGGGGGAGAAGGAGAAGAAGGAGGGCAGAGGGAGCGCCTTCGTCTGGCCAGCCCGTAGAAATGCGTCGAGGTCCGTGATCTTGGAACACTGGTGATGGTCCGGTGAACAACGGGAATTCAAAAGGTGGTTCCACGAGGCGGAGCTACAGCGGAGTGAGGTGCCATTCTCGGGTGGGAATATGGTTTGCGGAAGAAGCCTTTCCTTGTCCCTCCCCAGCTGCAGCACCACTAGACCACACACACCCACCCACCCCCCCATGGCCCTTTTCCGAGTATTAGCACCCTCCCATATAGATTTTGGCATCCACTAGGGGGGAGGGGGCACATCCTGTCAAATATTACCTCCTCCACTAGCGAGTGCACATAGTAGAGTTATTACCAATGCAGCAACATGATCCTATGGTGCAGGCAACCATGCATGCATACACGATGCATGTCAGGTTTAAAAAGGATCTGCATATCTGTTGTGCACCGAAAATGATTCCATGTCGGTACCGTTTCGAGATGATCGTTGTGCGTGTGTGTGTCTGCGTGTATGTATGTGAAGCAGCCGGGCCTCCTGAGGGGTGGGTGGTCAACAATAAGTTCTTGCCGCGCCATGTGAGCTATAACTCAAGTCAACCTATCGGCCAGGCCTATGGCGAGCTGGTTTCCCGTTTTCGTACCCGAAAAAAAGGAGGGTCTCACAGACACAAGCGCCTGGAACGAGATTCGCATTCGGATTCCGCTGTCATTAGATCAGGGAAAAAGGTCGGCGATGCTGTCAGAGACAAGCCACCGAGGCCATCTCAAGGGGGGGGGGGGGGGCTCTTACCAGGCAGACCAGACCAGGCCAAGCCAGGCTAGCCATGGCGCAAAACACAGCGCTCCGGCGGAACCACCCATAATAGGGTCCGGGGCACTTACAAGGCTGGGGCAGTTTGACGTTGACGTTCGGCATCCGGCCAACCGGCCTGGGTCTGCTGGCCAGGATCCAGCCACATGGGACGCTGGACAATCTTTTTTGTCTGAAGCGTGGGAAGCCACCGAGACAAGGGCTGGGCTGGTGGGTTAATTTGTTAGCTACTATACTACACACCGGAGTGCTCTAGTACAGTTAGCCAGAGTAGCACTTATGTACCTCAAAATGGTCAACAGGACGGTGCTGCGTGATGTCAAACCATGCCTTGGACTCCGCCAGCGCGCGCACACACACACACACACACACACGCACACACACACACGTGCGGAATAATGTTCGGCGCCCAGCATCCGTCGGAGCAAGCCGAGATGAATCGTATCTTGTCGATGGCAATCTCCCCTACTCTCCAGAGTCGTACTAGGAACAATGAAGTCCATGATGATCTTGACCACATTGAGCTCTCCTTATTTTGGTGGTAGGGGGGAAGCAAAGGTGGTGCAATCAGGCGAGCTGGTGTCTGGATCTGGTCAAAGTACACACAGAGTAGCCATCCAATGAAGCCCCGCTGGTTGTCTGGTTGGGGGTCATTTTGCTGCTACCTCCCTCATCCCATCAGCTGCTGCCGCTGAAGGGGCTGCAAGAATGGCGCGGAACCAAGAGCCGGCTCCAGACAGCAGGGACTGGAAATATGGGGCCCCCTCCTGGGTTACCCGCACCTGTAGACGGATCCCAATCAGAGTTCTGGACCTCGGTCTTTTCGTTAAATGTGGAACAGATGAAGAGTAAATCCTACGCGCGATCGACTTCCCTTCCAGGCGAAGTGCGAGATGTTGCTCACGGGGGAATCATGGGCCAACCCGACAACATACCAACGTCATCTTGAACGGACTCGAGTCGCAGTGTAAGGAACAAAGTACCTAGGTTGTTATGAAAGATTTCAGATCAGTATTCAGTTACTGAGATTAGCACTGGTACAAGCTTGTTCACCTCACCACAGCCACGGCCAGACAGGTCAGGCCAGGCCAGGCCAGAGGGGCAGAGCCGCGTTGTTACATCTTGCCATGTGCAGCGCATGTCGTTGAGCACGTTGCTGAGACCACAAGAAATGGGTACACCTGCGACCCATGGGCATATGCAGGCAAGCCAACTGGGAGCATCCGAACTCCCGAGAACCTGGGCAGTGAGCCTACCCTTTCCCACCCCCCCTGTCCTCTGCAGGGCACTGATCACCAGTACTGGTCCAGGAGTTCAATGATGGTGGGGATCGCAGCCAGGGGGGGAGGGGGGTTGGCGAGGGCCACCCTGATGCTGATATGCCACTTCGCCCGTTCGTCCAGCTATGTGCGACGGGGTGTTTGCAGAGGGACCAGACGAATGAGGGGTCAATCATCAGGACCTCTTTTCCTTCTTGATACCTGGGGACGAGATAGGTAGCAGCTGGCTGTCTGCATCTTTGCTGTGATATTTTAGGTCTCAGAGTATGGCCACGTGTCTGTACTGTTCCTGACGGAAGAAAAGAAGAGAGACCAAACACCATCATGGGCTCCAAAACGAGGCAAGGGAGCGATGTCTCAAAACGGTTCCTGCTTGGCGGCGGCAGGAGGACGGTGTGGATGTGGGTGCGGAGGTGGGGGAGAAGAGGAAGGAGTGGTGGGTGCTGGACTAGTTTTAGTGGAGAGAGAGAGTTAGGTCAGGGCTAAGCAGTTAGCACTGTTGAGTTGGCCCTGCCCTGTACACACAGATACACATATACACTGAATCGACAGCAGGTGCGATCCAGGTCAGCATGCAACTCATTGAGAAACATACAGTGTTGGCAAGTACTATGGTACTGGCTGAGCTCCCGTGTGGGGTCATTGCTGACCCGCGATCTACCTCAAGCCTCAACGTTTTCGCTGGGAAACCACAACAGCAAAGCCAACCACCACCACCACCATCACATCATGATCACCACCAGTTCAAACTCAGTCTAATGGATCGTTCTAACCTCATCTGTCACTAATCACCGTTCACTGTTCACTATTCATTGTTTTCATGATTCACAATTCAATCTTTGGCCGGCCCATCGATCTCAGGGGTGGCAACAGCCCTGTATCCATGGCTGTTCCTGCTGCTGATCATTGAACCTTGAGCTCCCGTCTCCTCTAATCTTTACACATTCAGTAAAAGGAGTGAGAGAACACTCCAGGCTATGTGCGGCTTAGAGTTGATCTCGGCCATCTGCGGAGTCATACTCCCACTTACAGAGATACGCATACATAGTATAAAGCAAACCGGTGTGGTCTGGTTTCGCCTGCAGTCAACAGCTTCCAGAGCTTCCAGAACGTGGTCACCAGGGAACCAAGGATTGTAATGTCTCCGGTAGGACGACCTGTCGCATTGCCACGGCTGATGAAACATGGCCCTGGTTGGATACAACAGGAGGGTCACTTTCCGTTCTCCAGCCGCGTCGCACACGGGTCCTGACATGCAGTCATCTGGAGAGCACTTGGCATGTCGTGCCAACAAGGGGCCTGCCACATGGAGACACACACAAGGAATGATTGAACCAATGCTATGACGTTGTGCCAGATAGCTATGATGGGGGTATGGTTCTTTGTCATCTGATCATCCTCAAGTCTCCCCAATTCTGTTGTTGTCAAGTCAATTTGGTTGACGGGTTTCTTGACAAACAGCTTCAGATATCACCAAAAGGGAAGATGGGGTTTGGTCTCCTTCAACAGACACTCACTCCTAGTTTGGACCCACTCCATCCACGTCCAACCACAGCAAACGGTTCCGAGGGGCTCTCTCCGTGTGAGAAGTGATACACCTAGACGAGATCGCGACGGTTCTCCTGCAAGCAGACATGCACGTGGCCTCCACCTTGCAGCATGCAGAGAGAGCGGAGCATTCTCAGAATGGAACATGACATCTCTTGTCATATCTGCCGTCAAGACCCTCTGCTACGGCACCTTTCCGCGACTTGACCGCCCCTGCTTCGCTCCGAGTTCCTTGGTTTGCTGTCCGCCGCTCTAACCTAAACTGGAATCTGCTAGGACTTGTGTGTGTGTGTGTGTGTGTGTGTGTGTGTGTGTGTGTGTGCGCGCTGGATGACCAGAAGGCATTAGGAGGGGCGGAAGAAGGATGGGAGGAGAAAGAAAGAAAGGAAAGAAAAAAAGGCGAAGAAAAAGAAGCAGCACGGATGTGCCACAACCCGTCCTTTGTGTGTCCCGTATACAAATTACGGTAGCCATGCCCTTGGTGCGCCACGACACGTTGGTCCTGGGCTGGCTGCGCGGCCTGTGGGCCTTGGGCTGAAGCTAACGATAGTTGCACGTTCCCTGGTGACGGCCAGCTCGCTCCCGCCCTTAACTGGTGCAGACGTGCTACCATGGTATATGTAATGTGTCAAGCCGACGAGGCGTCAAACGTCTCCAATGCTGGCACAGGGTGGTACATGATGACCATGAGCAGCCTGAAAAGGAGCGCCAGGCGCGGGCTTCTCAGCCGAGGACTGCTTGCGAGTCGGAAATGTGAGACCAGAAGACCCGGCTCAGAACTAATTTTGCATGAGCTGATAGTGCAGAGCACACAAAAGACAGACTCCGTTCAGGGAGGGGCTTCGCGTGTCTATCACTACCCAGTCTAACACAGTAACGGCTGGCAATTGGTCCACACATGGCTTGTGCACGTTTTCTTCCCGTCGAGCCGGGCAGGCAGTCTGTTTCATACGAAGCGAAGGGCGATCCGGACCGATTCCACAGTCCACATGGCCAAAGACATGCCTGTCCAGACCAGGAGAAAGAAATATTCCCCGGCGCGGCAGCACACTCCAATCAGCAAATCTCCCGAACCTCGGGTCCGCCAATCGCTAGCAACCCGATCATGGTGCGGCAGCTACATAACAAGCTTACTGGCTTCAAGCACTCTGGCGCTGTAGGAGATAGATCAGGTCGCCACCAAGATTGTTACCAACAAAAACGAACGGCGACAAGAATGCCACCACAAAAAAGATATGAGAGCGATGGGACGCATGAGAGGGGAAGGGGGGGGGAGGCGGGGATTAATAAGTTGCTTTGCAAAACCCCCCCCCCCTTCCAAATGACAAGCTGTCGAAAGCAGAGAGACATGCCGCCCCGGACGGCTGGGTTTCTTGAGTTACACACGGCACATGATTTCATTCGGTGTGGGTCACATAGACCACACTGGCTCTCCAGTTGCAGCAACGTTCATCATGCGGTCAGGTCACACTTTCTTTATCCAGCGCACAGGGTCCAGCCGTCCCCTCATAAGCACAAGCAGAAGAAGGAAGGAATATATTGAAGATCAAGATTCAAACCAGTTCTGGACAAATTTAGGCATGATGGCATGAAGCTTTTGGGCACCCAGGTACAGTACATCCTCAAACCCCACCCACAGAGAGACCAGGAATAAGAGCCAATATGCTGTCAAGTAAGGATGGCCCCAGTCGCATGAAGATGATCTCGGTACCCCTCGCCATCGGTCGGAAGCTTGACATATTTAGAAGCATGGCACCACGCAACCAGAGATGAGCAACAACAAAAGAAGAAGAAAAAAAGAAAGAAAAAAAAAGGAGGTGGGAGAGGCAGGACGAAGGCACGCCAAAAAAACGAGAGCGTGAAAGAGAGAAAGAGAGAGACTGTGTGTGTGTCTGAATTCTGGGTCCAGGAGACTGGCTGATCTACCATAGTCTGGTATTTCTTGGTACAGCCCTAGCAGCATCCGACTGGTCAACCTCATTGGTGATCCACTGCACGTCTCCTCAGTGCGCTGGGACAAAAGCAAGCCTTCAGAATTTAGTGCTGGGCTATGGTACATCTTCATCTGACCGACATTGGCTCAACATCACTCTGCTACCACAGCAACAGCCCTCTCTGCCATTTCTGGAGCTGGTCAGGACGGGCCTGGCCGTTTGACACGACTCACAGTCGGGCCGCCGGGTGCGTTTCTGGCCTAGATCCGGGGCACGTCCAGAGCTTCTTGAGGGAGATCTCACTTCCACACCCCCCTATGGTACGTACTATGGTACTCGCTAATCCAGACTCCGTACTAAGATCCGGAGACTAGACCGGCTCTTCGACGCACAGCCGGCTGTCCAGGGCCAAGGGCTTTACAAGGAAAGGCTCACCTCTTTTTTTGATGCCAACTCAGAAGAAAAGGCACGCCGCTAGCCCCCGGTTTTTGAGGGTGGTTCGGCTTGGGGGCTCCATGACTAGCGATTCGCCATCCAGGGAAGAAAAGAGACGCCCGCCCACATTCCCACGCCCCCCCCCCCCCCTTCCCGAACCTCGAAACACGCCAGTGGTGCCTATCGAGACGAATATCAGTCAGTACCAGGCACAGGAAGAGAGAGAGAGAGAGCGCCTGTGCCAGTACCGATTCTTGATGCCCTTCTTCCAAACCACCCCCCCCCCCGCTCCCCTGTCCCACCATGTCAGGGAGGTCCATCCAGGCCCTGTTAAGACTCCTCTCTTTCAGATAATTGTCCCGAATCCATCGTGGACACACGCGGAGAGCCCCGGTCGGCCCACAAGATCCCAACCCAGCAAATGGAACCCCCTGGTGGCATTGGAGTGGATTGGGAGGCTAGGTAAAAAGGATGTACCTGTACGTACCTGAGAATCTCTGCCCTCTTCAACCACTCTCCACCTATCTTTTGCACTGCCTAGGCAAGATGAGCCTCCTTGGCCTCGTGGAAAGATCCGTCGACTCCTCCTGAGAGCTTTCACTCTTGTGTGTGTGTGTCTGTGGACCTTAGCCTGATTTGAGAGGAGGGGGAAAGTGTGGGCTGGCCTGGAATGGCCATTTATTATACTGCAGTAGTCACCCGTCTTCCCACCACTCGGTTTCCCAGGACTAGATCCTTTATTTCTTTTTCCCCCTTCGGCCACCTGCACAAGCTTTTGATTCCTCTTACTTGCATGCGCCTCCCGGCCTCCAGCAGGCAGGCAAGGCTCCTTCTTCCACCCGGGGCCCCGTCCAGTCCTGTCCCTAGCCTTCGCACAGTTTCCGCCTCTCGACCGGTCCCGTTGTGGAACTTGATCTGTATCTTTTCGTGCGGAAGGCTCCTGTCCCTGGCATTGCCTTCTTGTCCTCGTGGGTTGAAGGCCTCCTCTGTGGCTGTGTCTCTCCCTCCTGTTTTTCATTGTCTTTTTATTTTGGTGAGGAGGAACAGATAGTCAGCAATTTGTTGGTCAGGGGGGTTCTTTTTTTTCTTCTTTTTTTTTTCTTCTTGCCCCTTCAAAAGGTCTTTTTGCGCCCATTGGGATATCCTGCGCACGAGCAGCCGCTACAACAGCACGTCCCCTCCACGAGCCTCACACACTACATACTGGGTCCCTAAAAGATCCCTTAGTGTGGTTCTCGAGCACTTCGCGGGACTGTGCGAGCCGGGCGAAAGCAGCCCAGCAAACGACTTTTGTGGATCAGAAAAAAGTACCGGCCGTTGCACAAGGAGCTGCAGAGCCACTACCTGGTCTGGTGGCGAGGAAGACATCGACTGGATCTCCCGGGGCGAAATTTAGAAAGGAGGGGGTTTCCAGGAAGAGTTGAGACATCTTTGCGTTGCCAGCTCTAATCAAACAGCCAGGTACGCCTAGCTACCATCAGCTTGGGTACGAGCCAGCCAGAACGAGACCTCGGTCTGGGTTGGAGGGAAGCCGTAAAGGGGGGAGGCAAAGGGGTACTGCGGCCACACGTCGGACTTGTTGCGCAGCCGTCCTCCTCGTCCTCCTCCTCCTCATAATTCGCGAGTCTGCCCATCGATCAGCTAGCTGGATGACGGGGGGAAACTAGCCGCCAAAGGGGATCACGAGAAGGAGTGCTCTGAGCTGCATGTTCCCTTGATAGAAGACAAACCCCCCCCCCCCCGGCGCCGCGAACCTCGCCTGCTTCAGAGAGCTTGTGTGGAGTTGCCCTCGGAAAAAGAAGCAGAAGAAAAGAGGAGGAAGAAGAAAAGGGCCCAAGAAGGGGACCAGCAGCAGAGCGTCTGGGCAACAAATGCCCACACGACACAACATGGCTACTGCGTCACACAATCCCTATCCTCGATCCCCAAACCCTTCCACAAGGTCATACGATTCCTCGTCTGTCTCGTCCGCCACCTCCCCAGCACCACCGCCGCAGTACTTGGGGGGCCTGATGAGCACAAGTGCGAGGTCAAACCCGCCACCCGCACCACATCCCATTGGTATCCCTTCGCTCTCCTCACTCCACCAGTCCACGGCCTTTCAGCCGTACACGCCAGTCACCGCCAGTACTATCATGGGACGGGAGTCGCTGCCATCCAACGACTCGGTGGCCAGCACGCCAGGGACCGCAAACGCCCAGCTCCCTCCTCCTCCAGACTCTGCCGGCGGCGGTTCCAGTACCAACAATGTGCAGCAGCAGCAGCAGCAGCAGCAGCAGCAACAGCAGCAGCAGCAGAAGCGAGCCTACCGTCAGAGGAGGAAGGATCCGAGCTGTGATGCGTGCCGCGAGCGCAAGGTCAAGTGCGACGCGACCGAGACGATGAGCTGCTCCGAGTGCTCCAGCCGCAATGTCAAGTGCCAGTTCACCAAGGAGACGAACCGCCGCATGTCGTCCATCAAGCAGGTGCAGGACCTCGAGAAGCAGAACGAGCGCATCAGGAGGGAGAACAGCACGCTGCGGCGCCTGATCTCGGAGAAGGACGGCTCGGTGGAGGACGTGGACGGCATGGAGCAGCTTCCTCTCCAGCTTCCCAGCGTAGGTGCAGAGCCCAAGAGGAGACAGCGGCCAGCGCCGGCCCATGACCTCCCCAGGGCGCGCTCGAACCTGTTGGGCTTCTCCAAGGGCGTCTGGAAACCGCCAGCTCCATACCGACAACCTGTCATGTCCTCGCTGTTTGACGTTCACAGGCCCGAGCTGCCCCCCATACAGACAACAAAACGGCTCATCGACTCGTACTTTGCCTCTACGCACAGCATGTTCCCTATCCTCCACTGGAGGACATTCGAGCAGGGTATCGAAGAGATGTACAGGCCCGGCAACCTACCAAACGTACCGCTGTCGTTCCTGTCCACCTTCTTTGCCGTGCTGGCGCTGGGCAGCCTGTTCACGCCCGACGCGCCGGCCGAGCGGTCCTATCGCGCGGCGGAGCTCCTCGACATGTCGCGAAAGGTGGTCGACCCCTGGAGCAACCATTTTGTGCTCGATGACGCACGGACGCCACTGCTCCAGTCGATGGTCCTGAACGAGATGAACCTGAAATCCGCGGCGTGGAACTTCCTGGGCAACGCTGTGCGGGTGGCGCAGGACATAGGGCTCTACTCCGAGTCAGGGCCCTGGCCCATCATCGAGGGCGAGATGAGGCGCAGGACCTGGTGGACGATTTACGTCCTCGACCGGACCCTGGCCGTGGAAGTGGGGCGGCCGATGCTCATCGACGACGCAGACTGCGACGTGGCGCTGCCCGCGGGCGTGGACGATGCCTACATCCACGAGGGCGGCATGACTGTGCCGCCAGGCGCAGAGCCTCTCACAAACTCGCTCCTGGCGCTCATCAACGTCGTGCGGTCGTACGGCGCGCTGGGGAAAGCCCTCACCTCTCCGCTGATCGCCACGACCCGCCTCTCGACCTTTGACCAGCACTTTGCCTCGTGCCTGCGGACCTTCCCGCCAGCCTGTGACCCGGCCTCGCAGGTCGCACTGAGCCCGCACCTGCTCAACCCCCTGGTCTATCTCCTCAACGTACGCATGCTCCTCCACAGGCACAACCTGACGCCCAGCTGTCCGCCCGACGTGCGCATGGCCGCCATCGAGCAGTGCACCCATACCGCGCTCGAGACCGCCTCCCTCCTGGCGCGCACCACGCCCCAGCTTCCCGACGGCGCAACAGCCCTGCTCGCCAGCCACGTGTTCCGCTCTGCCCTCTTCCTCCTGCTCGTGGGCCATCACGACGCAGCAGCCGTGTGTGTCCGCGCCCTCGCCGCCATCGGGCCCAGAAGAGATGTGACGGTGTCGTGTGGACGATTCCTGTCCTTCTTCGCGACGGTCCTGGCAGGCAAGAAGGCCGAGTACGGCTCTTACTTTGCGCAGGCCCCGCCTGGCCCTCCTGCGAACGCCATGCTCGGCCGCCCGAGCCCCCTGCAGGATGCTCTGCTCCGTGACGAGGAGCTCCTCGTCTACGTCAGCGCCGACCTGCAGGCAGCCACCGAGACAGGCTGGGTCTGGGCGGGCGGCGAGCACGAGGCCCAGGCTGCGCAGACCTCTGCCCCGATCCAGCTACGACCATCCAACAACCACAATCCGGCCTCAGGACCGCCCAGGTCCGGCACGCTGTTCAGCGTAGAGGCGCAGACAGGCCTGATGGAGGATGAGAGCCGCGACTGGGGCGGCTGGGAGCAGGTGGACAGTCTGATCCGCGGTCTGGCGTCGGGCTCAACAACACCGACGGGTGCGCCTACGAGTGCTGGGTCCTGGGGCCATGCCCCGCCGCCGCCGCCGCCGCCGCCGCCGTCGTCGCTGCTGCAGCCATCCAACGCATCACTGCCGCCTCCTGGGCCGCCAACGATGGTAAAGATGGAGTCGGGTCTTGGGAGCCAACACCTTCCGCCGCCCCTACCTCCTGGTGCCAGTAGGCCGGGCAACTCGGGTGGCGGTGGTGGCAGCAGCACTGGGAACAGTCCCACGAGTACAGTCAAGAATAGTTCAGAACGGATCAGCATACGAAACATAATCTGAGGAGGCAGGAGAGAGCAAGCACTTGATAGAGAGAGTGTGTGTGTGAAAACCGGCCTATACAACCCTCCCCAAATTCAAGGCCCAAGACCTTTCTTCGGCTTTTTATCTTCCTCCAATCCTCCTTTCTCATCACATCCATCCCTCTTTAATGACAAAAATGCGGCTACTGGACGATTTACTATTTCTATGACCCAAAAAGTTATATATTTACAGTGCATGGCATATCGTGTGTCCGACTACAGAAGCGAAATGATATATCTGCTTTCTTTGGATCATCTATCTTGCGAGCGATTCCCCTTCTCAATTATCTCTCTAACCTCATCCATTTTCACGAGCGCGAAACCATGTGTCGTCTTGCCTTTATTTTCTTTTTTTCCTTCTCCTTACGACCGCGCAAATCTGGGAATTGGAGAGAAAGAGAGAGAAGGGGGGGGGGGGGAAGGGTGACAATGTGGTGGGCAAACATCATTGACACCGAAAGGAGAAGGAATTTGGACCTGACCAAGTACCTTCCAAGTCACACGCACTAGAAAGGAGGAGGGAGAACAGACAGCTGGGACTAGTCATGGCAGATGGTGTCACCTGCAATCTCCGCCACATGTCTCCAACCTGACGAATCTTTCCCAACCCTCTTTGCAGGATACAGCCCAGCCCTCGCCAGACACATATTATCGCCCACCCCGTTTTGGATCCTGCAACAGACAAACACCGCGCTCTCTCACACTGTGCTTGTGAGACGGCTGTTGAAGTGCCGGTTATCTCGGGCTCGGGAGAAGGACAGGGAAGGGAAAGAAGAGGAAGGTGAAGAATGTTCTAGCGGCCGGGTCTCTGCTGCACGCAGGGGCGCGAGACACGAAGAAGAAGGGAGGAGAAGGAGAAAAAATTAAAGAAAAAAGAAAAAGAAAAATTATTATGGATCCACCGTCTAATGTGGTGGAAGCCGAGGTGGGAACTAAAGTGAGCCAGACGATGCCCCCTCCCCCTCCCCTCCCCTTCACCAATTGTTTTTTTTTTTTTTTTTTTTTTTTTTTTTGGAGGGAGAGGGGGGGGCTTTTGCCTTGCGCCGGGTGGGGAGAGGCCTTTTTGTACATGTGGTTGTTTAACATGGACTCCCTCGTCCCACCATCTGCCGGCCTGGCGAGAGTCTGGAAATAGTGCATAATTGGATATTTTACATGGAACATGGGGCAATTCCGCATATATCCACCCAAACTGTACCTGAAAGTGAACACGAGGGAGAAGGGGGCTTGCTTGATGGGGCGCACAAACCGCACGCCAAGTAATCTATAATCAACCTCTCTCTCTTATATCAGGCTCTACGTGTAATGTACATGAACAAACAATTACAAATGCAAGGACTACTTACTACTGGAGTTGGAATATGATACAGGAGACTCGGGAGAAGGTGAGATTCTGGAGGAGAAAGACACGCTTTGGTCTTTTTCTGATTCAGAGGTAAATTGATTACCATACATAGTACACTTTTGGGAATCTAGGGTAAGAGGAGGAAAAGAAGAAAAAAAGAAATACAGCACAGTACCTTGACAAATTAATATGCAAATGTAGGAGAGACCTCAAGTTCCTGTGCCGGAAATATATTACTTTGTATCACCGCTATGGTAAGCAGTGATAACTCAATCATGTACCCGTCTTCCCTTTCCCCCCCCCCCCCTCCTCAAACAAAAAAAGTCAACTTCATAGTATGGATCTAGGCATGAAGCATACAAGTACAAAATACAGCAAGCTAAAGACCTTCTTTTTTCACTTTCTTTTTTTTTTTTTTTTTTTTGACTTCATCGCCTTTTTATAAATCCCAACTTTCCTTCTAGGTGCGCACCAAAGAACTCGGGGCAAGTTATAGTAATGAATGTACATCGTCAGATGCTATTTTTCTGGTGTGTGTTTGCAATCAGGTACGAGCGACCGGAGTTCCGCAAGATGACCGACCAAGCTCAGTATCCCTAATCGTCCCATCCCCCATCAGAGCCTCCCCCTCCCCCCCCCCGTCCTCTCCGGACGGAGGGCTAGGGGTTTGTATACCGGGTGCCTGCGTCTATGTGTGCACACGAATTTCAGAAGGCGGTCTTCGGCAGCTGAGTAGTTTGGACAGGAGAAGAGTCGGCTTCTCGACAAGAGCCAGATGGGGGTGGGGGGTCCGTCGGCGGCGGGCTTTGCCTGTGTCCCTCTCTGTGTGTCCCTCTCGTATGACCATCCCTACTCCCCTTCTCGGTCTCGTATTCTTCAGGATTACATCTGTGTCACCGATAGTACTACTGGTTATGACAGCTAATGGTCGGCAGGTGTTGTGTTTGAGAAGCTATGTTGTGCTTGCGAGTTTCTGCGCGGTAAGTAGTGACGGGCTTCAGATCAAGTTGAGAGAGAGATGATTTTGAATGTCATCGTTAGAGAAGAAAGAGCCATTGAGCCAGTCCCTCCTTACTGTGTTCTATACGACCGACGGTACTCCCAGGAATATTGTTATAGGACCATAATGGTATCTCTTGTGGTGACGGTGACGTGGCGAGGATGTAAGGCTGAGGGCTGGAAACGCTCGTGCATAGTCAGGTGTTACATCCCGTGACCGCCTGTTAGTCTGGTAAGAAGAACAATTATAAAGGTGTGAGTGAGGAAGGTCTGCTGTAATGTACAGTCAGGAAATAAGCTTGTTCTCCCTGGTGGGAGGTTACTTGCTGGTACCCTAGAAGATGGCTGGCAGTCCCGGGCATCACATCTCAGGCACTTGGGATTCGATGGGATTACAGAGCTGCCCTGCATGGGTACATGGTCTTGTACAGAACGACAACATCTACGGTAACGTATTTGAAGGACAAAAAGATGGCCGCTTGCTTTTCATTTGCTATCCACCATGAACAAAATCTCAAGTCTTATTGACGAGTGCTGTGGGGTGTTGTCGTCCAATCCACAGCGATTAGCACACGGCATGAGTCTTGCCAGTCTTGCCCGCAAGAGAGTGCTTCTCGTTCTGGAAGGGAGGCCGCCGAGGTCAGTCATTTTCGTAGTTCTCTCTCAAACGAAATACACAAGGGGATTGATTCTGCGGGTAATGATATGATCTTCTTACCTTGTACTTGGCGTGGTTGTGTGTGGACTTGGCGCTGTGCGTATGGTGCTTGTGGATGAATTCCTGTTGCTTCTTGATGGTCTCTGCATCCAACTGCTCGAGCAGCTGCGTGCACAGCTTGATGTCGGCAATGAGGGCGTCGCATCGGTTGCGCGTAAAGTCCTCACGCACGACGACGCGCAGCATCTTGAGGTTGTTCGTGTTGGGCGCCATGGTGTAAGCCGGCACGACCCAGCCGCGGCCGCGCAGCTGGTGGGCGAGGGCGAACTCGTCATATGCACGGTCCTCGTTGGTTTTCAAGCGGAAAGCGACCAGTGGGAGACCCTCACCGGACTTCTTGGACATGATGACGAAGCCCAGAGCCTCCAGAGAGTCAGAGAGGTAGTCGGCGGTCCGGGTCAGGTTGGACATGATAGCCTTGTAGCCGTGCTTGCCGAGGCGGATGAGCTGGTAGTACTGGCCGATGACCTGCGAGGCGCCCTTGGAGAAGTTGAGGGTGAAGGAGCTCTGATCGGCACCGAGGTAGTTGATATTGAAGACGAGCTCCTGCGGCAGGTACTCGGCGCCTCGCCAGACGACCCAGCCCACGCCGGGGTAGACGAGACCATACTTGTGGCCCGACACGTTGATCGAGACCACGCGGGGCAAGCGGAAGTCCCACTCGAGGTCTGGCACGGTGAAGGGTGCAACGAAGCCACCGCTGGCCGCATCGACGTGGATAGGCGTTTCCATGCCGCGCTCGACAAGCAGGTCGTTTACGGCCTTGACGTCCTCGTACTCACCCGTGTAGGTCGTACCAAGGATGCAGCAGATGCCGATGGTGTTCTCATCGACCAGGTCGACAACCTGCTTGGGGTCGATGACGTACCGGTCCTCGGCACAGTAGACGAGCTTCTCCTCGATCTCAAAGTAGCGGGTGGCCTTCTCCCAGCAGACCTGGACGGCAGACGACATGACCAGGTTGGGGTTCTCGGTCGACTTGCCCTCGGCCTTTCTCTTGTTCTTCCAGCGACGCTTCATGGCCAGCACGCCCAGCATGATGGCCTCAGAGGAGCCAATGCAGCTCGTGCCAATCGCACCCTCGTCCTGGCCGGTAGGTGCGTGGAACAGACGCCCGATCATGTTCACACAGCGGTTCTGGATATCTGAAATCGGCATGCCCAAGTCAGTGACGAGCCCCGGAAGTGGTTGTGTGGTTCTCTTAATTTTATCTTTCCGCCTCGCTCTCTTTGTCTTTCTCTCTCTCTCTCTCTCTCTCTCTCTCTCTCTCTCTCTCTCTCTCTCTCTCTCTCTGTCACTTACCGGCCGACTGAGGGTACTCCTCGTAGTCGATGAAGTTTTTGGAGAAGGACTCGGTCATAAGCTTCTCGGCCTCGTCCTCCATGTATGTGGTCACGAACGAGGCGAGATTCAGCATGGGGTTGCCGTCCAGCGACAGCTCGTCCTTTTTGGAGGGGGAATTGTCAGCCACATCGCTCCAGGCCACCATCACTTTGACCACTGCCGAGTGTGAGACATCCTCACCTTGATCATTCTGTAGGCGACGTCCCTAGGCATCTCCCCCTCGGGCATCTCATGCCTGGGAAGGTCAGCCGCTGCGAACTTGGTGCCGTAGACGGAGGTGGTGAAGCAGTCATCGTGCTCAGCGAGGTTCAGGTGGAACTTCTTCTTGACCTCTGAGAGGAGGTTCTTCTCCGAGTCCTCAGCGTTGGGGATGTTGCTCAGGTGAACCATCTTGGCTACTCGACAAGTTGGAGGAGCAGCGTTTGTCAAGACTGGCGTCGGGGATAGAATCTAGATTCTGAAGTGTTTAAGAACTGCCTTCTGTAGAGTATGTTAATTGTCGTGTTCTGCCTTGGATGTCACAAGTGGACGTGGGATCACAAAACGCTTCCTTCCAAGTGTGCTGAATCCAAAAAGGAAAACAGATTATGCCCAAGTTTGTGTGGAAGAAGACACGGGTAATGTGTGAGCAATGGAACAAAGAGGAGGACACTTACCAGAAACACCAGTCTGATGAGGCAAATACTGCGGCTAGTGGGTAGTCAGGAAGAAGAAGAAAATGAAGAAGCCTGAGGCCAGGTAAACTGAGCAAAGAAGGTGGTGGTTGTATTACTATTTGAACAAAGAGGGCCAGCCACGCGTTTGAGGCAGATGTGCTGCTGAGGTGGGATGGTGGGATGGTAGAACAAGTACTGACGTAACACCAGCATAGCTACTATAGCTACCATCCACTCGATACAGGGGGTAAGCTCTGCCACCCCAGTGGCCCCCCCTCCCCCAATTGTACCTTCCCTGCCCTGTCATGCTGCCTCGACCAACCGCCCGCCCCCCTCCAGATGCATGCCATGCTGCATGTTAAGAGGCAGCCCACCAACTAGCTCTCCCATCCAAACACATCCAGATCCAATCTTTCCCTCCTGCCCTCCTGAAAATCTCTCGATCCTTGTTTTTTCTCTTCTTTTTTTTCTTCTTGGAGAAAGTTGTTGCAGCCGCCGTTGCCCTCCCCACCCTGACCATTGACCGTCGGCAGACCAAACGCCACGTTTGGCCACGTTTGGCCACGTCGCACACAGAAGCTAGATCAGGAATAGGAAGTACAAGTTCGACCAAGGGTGTTGCTACTGGTGCTGCTGCATAGGACGAGGATGACGATGATGATAATTACGATGGGAGGGGCACACTAGAAGCTATGGCCACAGGTGCGCTCCCACATCGCTTCAGGGGCCCCCACTGGAGCCATGGTTCAGTGGTGATCCACAGGGGTGGGAGGGGAGTGAGACTGGCTTCTAGACCCCTTCTGGCATGGCTCGGCAAGAAAGCTTGGCCCTGAATTTGCGCAGGGGTGTCCTAACGAAGAACTGGCGACCTCCTCATCAACCTCACACCATCCCAGACCTGCAGACAGAAGGGGGGCCCCCTTCACCGATCTTTGGAACTTCGCCCTCTTCTACGCCCACCCGGCACAACTGCGCCGTTGTCAATCAGTGGGGTACATACAAACACGACTTGTCATAACATGGTAGTATACAGGCAGGGCGACACGGATCGCCTTCCTTTGTCCATAGCCCTGGACGAAGCTGGCCAGTCTTCGTATTCAACGCGGCACATGGGATGCCGTCTTTGCCGGAGAATCCTGTGTTGGCGTTTGTAATGCATGAATCTGACCACTGCCGAGTGCGTTGAGAGAGATAGATAGAGACAGAGAAAGACCAATTATGAGGCCTAGTGGCTGGCTTTGCTTACCGGTAGCAACCTCACCTCCGCCCGTCCCCGTCTTGGCCCAACCATCTTGAACGACCGAGTAATAGGCTGCGTTTTCCCCCTCTCACCATTTCTCATACATTATGAGAGGCCATGCAGGGACCACACGGCCTATACCTGCAATGGACGTCTTGATCTTGAGAAGTCATTTCCCCCACAGTCAGGCGGCATCTCGGCACGGCGCCTTAAATTAAGAGTTTTGCAGGTTCGAGGTGATTGGTTTTGATTCCCTTGATCCTCGTCCGTACGGTGCAGATCGGTGTCTCACCACACTTCCAGCTGAGCCTGCGACTACGCCAGTGTAGCTCACACTTGGAACTTGAAGCCAATGCCGAGTGGCAGCCATTTCCGAGGACGACGTTGTGCACACAGTCTCCTGGTAGCATGACCTTCAGAGGGGCCCCGACTTTACCATGGGAGATGTTTCATACACCTCCAGCCTGGCATCTACACAGGAGGCCTCAGTGAGGCGGGATTGGCCCCATGTCTTATGAAAGCGGGGATGTCCAGTCTGTCAGTCATGAACACACAAAGTGGAACTCGTCAAGTGGGTGGCAGGCGGGTACGCAGGCGCTGAAGTGCTAAGCAGGCAAGAGGCACAATCAACGAAGCGCCGTGGTAGCAATATTGGTTTGGAGACGCTATTGAAAATTGCCAGGTGGGCGCCATGGCAGCGGACGAGTGATGACTTGAGGAGCTGGCATGATCGAGACGGGTGACTCACGAGTGCTCGACCTGCCTCTGAGCCCTGCCATAGACAAGTTGACTTGGAACTCTCCTCGATGCCGAGCAGCTATGGAAAGAAGAAAAAAACGTCTTTCTAATGTTTGTTTCCATGGCGGCACATCCATTGATGGCACGGGCAGGACTTATTCAGCTTCACTCAGGCAACCGTCAGCGCAATGACCCATACCTCCTGATATGACTGGATGACCGCCCAGAGGATCCCTAAAAGCTTTCCTTCATTGGCTCGAGGCAGTCAATGTGCCGCTTTGGGAGATCAACGGACCACCAGTTGCGCGGTATGCTTGGCTGGTCAATAATTGATGGACCGATCAGCAGCGGTTTGTTTTTGATACTCCGGCCTCGACCAACATCAATGTGGGACAAGGCACGTCGCCCTTGATTCTACGTCGACCTGCAGGCCAGGCAATGAATTCGAGTTCCTCGAGCGTCTCTTTTGCACAGATGAATCGATGGGGAAAACTCGCCAACCTACCAAGATTTGGATCAGCATATCTACTTGGGTATCCTTGGAGTCATTGGTGTCGGTCATTCGAGTCAAGAGCGGAAGCGGCCTGCTGAGGATTATGGACGCAGTGATGCTGCAAGTTCTTGAAGAGGAGAATGCATTGGCCAATGACGGGGCCAAATGAAGAGCTACAGAGCATCAAACCCGAGGAAAGGGGCGCCCAAGATTTGGCCTGGGGCTCGGGAGAACAATGGGCTATTGCTCGAGAAGTCTCAGTCAGAGTGCCTGCTCACTGATCGGTTACCCCGATCCTTTGACAACCACCTTGCTCATTGGAATTTGTTGACAAATCGCTTACGGCATGCTCGCGGTAAATCAAGTCTATCTCCCTCTCAAGAGACCAAGTGGCATAGAGCAGCTTGCTTGCGGCTACATCGGCTCGATGCTAAGCATATATGGCCTCCTCTAACCACCAGTACTATGCCCTCGGTTCTCAAGACCACTGAACCAGTCGATAAGTAACAAGTCTGCCTCTAACGGCAACTCTTGTAAAATACCATGGCTCACTGATGAAACCAGCAGTCAAACGCAGGTGCCAGTGGCAGGTCTGTCCCCTCATGATCCCATTCCCCCCCCCCCCCCCGGCCCCCTCTCTTTTCCCTCTCTTCCTCTCCCTCTCTCGACACCATATCACAGCCAATCCACGATATCCCACCGAGCATTTCCAACATCTCCATAGTCTTTACGAAGCCAGTGACCCACTCACACGGGACAACCCATCAGGTCCTATGACCCACCAGCGATCATGATAGCGAGTCAACAGCCCTGCCCAGAGAATCCAAGGCCGAGGGCGGCCCGTCCCAAGACCACTGGCAAGAATCAAAACCCCGAGAGCCCTCAGATGCTTCCTCCTGGCGGACCTGTCGGGAAACATGAAAAGATCACTCCGAGGAGGAGCCCATGCTCCCAAAAGCCCGGCGCCAGCGTCGCCCGTGTCTTTGAATCCGGATCAGGTCACCATGCATCCCAGTGATCGACGTTCATTGCCGTGTGGTTCGTTCCCCCCCCCCCCTCGGATTATCCCGTCCCCCTTCCCCTCCTTGACCAAACACGCGACCGTTCCCCCCCCCCCTCCTCTCCCAGCGCATTCATGCATGTGCAACTCTTACTAGGACCCTAAACTGTGAACTCGATAGAGAAATAAGCGCGCTGTCTCTCGATTGATCGGCGCAGGGTTGGTGAAACGGGTGAACACGTGTGCCTTTTCCCTGGAAAGGAGAGACGGCCGTCCTGGAATATGTGTGTGTGCATTATTTATATTGTGGCAGGCAGCCGGCTGACCGAAGTACTAGTATGGTGTAGATTTGTGGAGGTGGTGTTGTATCAGAGATCAGCTCAAATTGAGGTTGCAGGTCTTGGTTGGCTCCTGTACTTCTGCTTAAGATTGTCTAGACTGTGTCTGTGTCATAAAGCTGTTTGACTCTGATCCCAGAACGTGCTCTCTTTGTCATGACTTCTTGATTGTATGATCTATGGAACAGGAAGAGAGCAAAATATCAAGCATTGTTTTTTCTTAAAAAATGATGAAGATGAGGATGAGAGCAACAGTAGGTCGGAGAGAGAATATCAGTGCTTGTCTAGAAGAACCCAGGACGTGCTCACTAGGTATGTCAAGAAACACAAACACATCCTGTCAATCACCATGGTGTTTTTGCAGGAACCCAACAACGTGTACACCTCGTTGCGCAAAGTTCTTCGTATCAAATGCTAGTGTCCTGTCGTCCCAGGGCCCTCCATAGAGCCCTTCCCTTGGGGGGAACACACAACAGCCCAAGTCAGCCCCGTCAAACCTGCATCAACATTTTTTTCAGAGCCTTTCCCTTTGCAGATAGACCCTATTAGGTGATATCAGACTGCCCAGAACGCCTGCCCATGATGCTCTCTTTGTAATCAAACCCATATTGGGGTGTGACAGGTGCCAAGCCCTGCCAAAAAAAAGAAAAGAAAGAGAACATAAAAACCAAACAGCCCTCTCATTCAAGTCATATGGGTATATGTAGTCATGATATGTGCCCCCGCATCTCGTCCAACCCCATGGCACTACTGAGGCTGAAGACCAGGACCAGCCTCATAATCGACGTGATTAGCAAGATTTGGGTGGCCTGTTTCACCACCCATCCCCAGACGCCTGTTCATCCTCTCGGCAGACTAGCACCTCTCTCTCTCTCTCTCTCTCTCTCTCTCTCTCTCTCTCTCTCTCTCTCTCTCTCTCTCTCTTTTGTTAGCTGGCCCGATGCTGGTTTGCTGATCCCGTGTTTCTGCAGCTGAACAACCCAGTTGTCCCTATAACGACGACTGCTAAGCCGCCCGTGTCCTGATACGGAATCGCTCCTTCAGCCTGTCTGAAAGCTTCTCGTGTCCGGTCAGTTCAATTTCATTGCCTGCAGGGGAGCCTTGGTTCTGTTCGGCCCTGAGGCGTCGCAGCGCTTCGATGCGCTCCTCCACGGGGGCGTGTCGGAGTCCAGCGATGTCGAAAAGTCGAGGGCGCCTGCGCGTGGAAGTCGTGGATGGGTCACTTGCTTCGTTTCCCGAGGCGTCGAGAGGTGGTGCCTCATAATTCTCTTCGCTGGCTCTTAAAGTGTCGTCATGTCTAGGTCGAAGGTCGAGACGGCTGTGAAAGGGAAACAAACTCCTGGTCAGTATGTGTAATGACCCAAGGAGGGCACAGAAAGGAGGAAGCTCACCAGAGGGGACATGTCCCAGACACGTTTACCAGCCATGGATCGACACATTGTGGGTGGAACTTGTGGTTGCACGGTAAGACGCGGACGTCCTCACCCACGTTGAAGTCGTCGGTACAGATCGAGCAGCCAAGGCCCTCCTCACCAATTCCCGCGCCGGCATTTGCCTTGTTGGCGTCACCACCAGAACCGCTGGTTCCCTTTCCCACAGAGGTGGTCGAGGCGCCGCTGCCCACAGTTCTGAGGCCATTTGTTGGTGGTTCGGTTCCAGAGGCAGCAGCCTCGGTGGTGGGACTCTCTGGGATCGTAGATAGATGGCGTTGTGATTCATTGCGAGGCGGCGCTTCGTGGCTTGCATCCGCGGTACGCTGCCTTGGCTCTTGGGCCGGGACAGTAGCACTCTCAAGTTCGGTATCGAAATCTGGTTTCGGCTGCTGCTGCTGGTTGTCGCCGAATTTGACGATGGGTAAAGTCTCGAGGACCGCGCGAGCGAGGCCCTTTGCCCGGCTTTGCCTCGACCTCCCGCCAAAGCCGGCGCGCGGGCCATATCTCTCGGGGTATCTGTGGGCACGGATGGCTCCCGAGCCGATGATAATGAGGAAGAGGAGAGTGATGAGGCCGGTGATGCTATACAATATGCTCATGGCCACGGCAGAGTTGTTGCCGTTCGATGAGCTCTCCTCCACGTTGTTTGTAAAATTGCCGGCGATGGCCGCCAGCGCGGCTCCTCCGCCGAGCATGGTGATGTTTTCGACCTGGGAGGCAGTTGTGAGGTCTGGAGTGGTGAGGATCTTTTGGTAATTGAGGTTCTGCCCTGCTAGACCGCAGCACTGGTCCTGCTGGCTGTAAAGGAGAATGGCGGCTGGTTGGGGGTCGTTGCTCATGAGCTGATTGAGGATCTCGTTTGGCTGAATAAAGGAGTTGTTCATCTGGTCACAACACAGATATGGAATTACATCTGCGCCGCTGATGTCGGTATAGGTAGTGGCATCGGCGTAGGTCAGCTTGCCTTGGATGTTGATTCGCTGAAGCACAGGTTAGCGTAAGTCACAATACCATAGCAGTCGGGTTGATGATGATGTTGATAATGATAACAATCAATGGTCGTAGTCCAAAGTGACTTACTCCTCGGTCCGTCTGGGACTCGTTCAACCCCAGATCCGTCGTCAGAGGGATGACTGTGTAGATCAGGGGGACGACATCCTCATCAGCCGCCGAGACTGACAGCTGCATCTCTGAGGCCACCTCCCAGTCCAGCGGCGTTGACATAGGGTACGTCTGGGCCAGGTCCGCACACACCATGGACAACGCACTTGCGAAGGCCAGAGCCAACGCAGAAGCACGGTGCCATCCCATCGTCCCTGCAGACACCAAAGGGTGTCCGTCGCCCCTTGTGGGCGTCAGTACTCAACACGGCCTCCTAGCACACTGAGCTCTCCTTCTCTCACACACACACATACACTCTCCGATCAATAGATTACCGACGTAGAGTATGTGTGGGTGGGTGTATGTATGAAGTGCTGCTGTATAGCAAGAGCGTGACTTGCATCAGCCGAGCTTGGATGTGTAGATTCAGTCGCCGTCTATCTGACCCTGAAGAAAGACGTAGAAGGTACGAACTCGAAATGATGTTGTCACATATCGGTCCTTCGATTCGAAGGGACGGGCGCTGCGTTGTTATCTTTCTTTGCCCAAGCCGTCTCGTCTTAGCATGACGAATTAGTTAAAGAGTTATGTGATCATCATTTGATGACAAGGACAAGGACAAGGCGGCCAAGAGAAACCAAAAATGGCGAGAACGAGGGCTAAAGCAATTGCAGTTTCCCAAGTGCATGTAAGTAAGTGTGGAAGTGGTGACGGGTGCGGGGACAACTTTTAAGACTATGCCAAGCGGGTCTTGGTACAGACGGTACGGTGTAAAATGAGGGAAGGAGTAGCCAGCGACGCTGGCTCTTGCTGGCGTGCTTGTGTGAGCGCGTCCTTGGCGACAAGAAATTTGCTAGTCATTCGACAGTGGTCCCAAAATTGGCGCCAAGAGCTCACCCAAAAAAGATGCCGTTGATGATATCTCCTCACTCTTCCGGCCAGCCCGAAGTCGTGTGTTGTAGTGGTTGGGTCGATCTGTGGGGAGAAAGACAGAGAGGGGAAGAGAGAGAGAGGTAGAGAGAGAGAGAGAGAGAGAGAGCGAGAGAGAGAGACAGAGAGACAGAGAGAAAGACGTTGTACGCGGGGGAAGTTTTTCGGAGGCAAGAGAAGGATGGAGCTGGCCCTATTCTCTCTACTTGGTAACTGGATGTTACGCTTGTCTGCCCAAAAGTAGAGAGGTTTGTGGTTCCCAGTCCTGTTTCTGGTCTCTCCAGCAGATCGCCCTTCTCTCTTGGAGCCTCAACTCATTAAACTTCAAGGCATAGCCGTTGTACGTCGCGCAGGGTGTGACCAGGTCAGCCACGCGCAACGCTGGCCTGGATACGACGGCTCATGAACCAAGGTTCGAGACAGGATGGCAACTGGCTTGGGACGAGGGGGGAGGACGGATTGCATTGAGATAGAACTGCTGATGCTGGTGGGATGGGGGGGGGGGGGGACACTCTGAGACACTCTTTATGTTTTAGCCCAAATATTCGTCAAAGCGGCCATCCTTGGCACCATCGATGGCAGATCTAGGGGAGAAAAGGACAGAGTATCTCAAGTAGCTAGCTTCGCCGGGCCAAGCGGACAGCTCAAGTCGCCGTGATGAGGAGCCTCGTTCGCATGTGCGAGAGAGGGGACGTCGATAAAGAAACTCGTTGATGAACTGACGAAATAATGATATGCAGTGAATGACGACGAGCACACACCTTTTCCCCAAACTTGCCTGCTGTAAATTGATTGGGGCACTAAGGGTTAGGGCTAAAGTATCCTGTTGTTGGACCAGAAATTGCCTGTTTGTTACCCCCCCCCCCCCCAATGATAATTACTACGTGTATCTTTCTATCTCTCAACCTAGGAAGAACTGGCGAGAGAGAGCACAGTTTACTTAACCCATTATTTCAAGCTGTAGGAGGGTTCATTGTGACAGCGCAGGGCACGCAGGTCTCTGATCCCAAGTCCCCGCACCTGAGCCACCTGCAGGGCTGGTTTGTCGTGGGGAGCCGATCATCTCCAGATGAATAGTACTTGCTACTATGGTACATGATATGGCATATTCAGACGAGATCTTCATATGATTCGACAGCCCTAAGACAGTTTCCCTTGTCGTCGAGGAGGCTCAATTTCCGGAACGGGAAGCAGGCATGGATTCTCCCCTGTAGCAGACTTAAACCCTCATACAGGAACCGTTTGAGGAATGCATTCCCCGGTTCGCTTGTTCGGAACAAAGAACCGTGAGAGACGGATGGGTATGGACTTGTAGGGGGGGGGGGAGGGAAGAGCCGCAGTGCTTAGTACGGCTCGCATACATTGTTCGTGGGGCCACAACGACGTTCCCACCTCAACTTGGAGCCGTGACATGGTCGCTGCAGGAGGCCCTGCACCATCTGAAGATTATAATTCTATGCCAGAGAGACAAGAAAGCGATGCAGTCCATCGATGCGTGGGCTGCGGTCTTTCCAAATGCAATCCTCCCACTTCAAGTCACGGTGTTCATGTTCGGATCTCTTGAATGTGAGCGTGTTTCTGTCTCCAGTTGAGACCGAACGGCATCGGATAGCCAGTCAATTGCATAAATTCAAGCTTGTTGATCTTGCAATTCCTGAGAAATGGGGTGAAACGTCTCTGAGTGTGATTGAGTGTCACTCATAGTATGCCAGCAACCACACAGCAGCATGCTCATCGGTGCCGTTGCCTGGAGGAGATCCCTAGGTCAAGAGCAGGGCTTCTTCGGCTATGCAGTTACCGTGCCCTTTGTGAAAAGTCTGGACGAAGGTAGGTGGGGTTCTAGCCTCAGATCCGTTACCATGGTTGGGTCTTCTAGCGCCCATCCTCGTCCTCGTCCTTGTCCTCGTCCTCCCCCTTCCACCCATTCCGCACTTCATAATGCTTCACTGTCACTCGCCAGTGGATCTTATGGCCGATCAGATTTCCTCCATATCCCCAAGATCATCCATGGGGGGCCAGTCTCCAATCTCCACCCTCTCGGGCCTCACAAATACACCGTGCTTCATCTCGGACGGTTCTCCCCAGTACCGCACGCCCCCGATGCTGCCGTCGTTCTTGCCCATTGGCTCGTCCAGCTGGATACCGACCCACGCACCCGAGCCACCGGGAATCTCTTTCACCTCACCGACATACATGACAACTCCGCGGCGTGTGTCGTCAGCCCCAACGCGGCAGCGCTTGCCGGCCTCGATCCCGCGGCTGCGGACCTCGTCCGCAAATGCGGCAATCTTGGCCTCCTCCCGGCTGGGCGCGTCGGGATCAAACCTCCCGAGCTTCTCGGCCTTTTTCCAGGCAAGAACAGAGTCGGTCTTCTTGGCGTATTCCTCCTCGGGCATCACATACTTGTCGACTCCAGTGGTGTCGGTGTAGTTTGGCCTGGCCCCGGGGGGCCTTGTATCCAGAACCTATAATATTTCTGTCAGCTGTTGGACTGGATGATGAAGTAGCTCGCATGGATCTGGTCTTATGTTGCAAATATCTTTGCCCCGGGGGGGGGGGGGGGGGGGCGCGAGTTGTTTGCTGTGGACTCGCTGTGTAGGTGCTTAGCCCCAACCTGCCTTTTGGCTTGGAAAGGACGCAGGAGATACTCTGTAGGTTATGTAGCAAGTGTTTTGCGCGTGCATAGGAGGTTTACTTACAAGGAGTTCAGCATATGCCACGAGCGAGAAGGAGCTTAGATAAGTCGAGTCCTCGTCGCTAGCTTCGATAGGGATGCTCTCCTGACCCGAGAGCTTGAGGGAGATCCTCTGTGATGACGGAGGTATCCCCGTCACAGGCTCCAGCTTTGTCTTGAGTTTGCTGATCGACCACGATGGAGTGATACGACGCTCTGATGAGGTGTTCTCCGACACCACGCGCATCGGTACGTCTGCCATGATTGAGGCCTGTGACGGTCAACACTGTTCAAGGGAGCTGGGCAAGGATGTCTGTTTGTCTGTTGCTATCAAATGAGTGGGAAGAAAAAAATATTGTATTCGGTAAGACTCGAGATCAAGCGGGCGACTGAGGTTATCCAGACCCAAGACTCTACCCACATCCACGCAGGGAAATTGCCAGGCATTCATCCATTTGGGCGGGCGGTGACACAACGCAGCCACCAGCCACAACGGCACAAGCCAAGCCACGAGGGGAACTGACTAATAGTCACACATGTGTGGCGCTTAGCCCCTGCCCATTATGGCTATAGCACCTTCTTTCTCCGTCTCCTCCCTTCCTGCCTCCAGATATACATCATGAAAGCCTCGTCCCTTCCCTGGCATGAAGAAATTACATCTTATGTTGTATAATCTGTACGGTCTTGTATCAATTCATGCATTTCGTCATCATGAACCCACCAGTGTTACCATTCCCACCCCCCTCCTGTCTGTATCTACGAGATCTCCAGCTGCGATGACGCATCTTGTCAGAAGCCTCTTCGTCTTTGTCAATCGTGAAACCCCTCTCAAGCCGCCCAAGGCTTCTTGAATGCCAAGCAGCAGACAAGAGAGACATACACCTTCAGCATCATCCGCGAATCGGGCATTCCATCTGTCCGGGTTGATCACCATTGTCAGGAAGCTCAGATGATTCCCTTTGCGCCGCGACCAGTGGGCGTTGATGTTGTCCCCACCCACACAGTCCTAGGACCGACTATCAGGACCGGTACACTGAAGCTTCTTCTTCTGTTTAGCACCTCCTGGAACCGCGGTCTGCACTCCGTGCCGTCTCTTCTCGTTAACGGTCTCCATGGTGGGACTGTCTTGGTCTAGCGGAGCTTTGCGGCTCAAGCTGCAACGTTCAAACAAAAAAGAAAGAAAAACACATGCTTGGCGACACCGACAATGCCAATTCACCTACTCACCGGTGCCCGTCTGCGCTCTCCTTAATCTGAGCGCCCACGCCGCCTCAGCGGAACACGACTGTCATGCTGTCACACCTCAGATTTCGCGTGCTCCCGGCTCCTGGCTCCTGGCCCTCGCCCTCTCCACCCTGGCCCCGACCCCCTGGGCGCACCTCTCAATTGTCTCTCCTCCGTGGTTTCACTGGCCTCTCCCGGCGCCTCGAGAAACGGATCGCGGTGGGATCAGCCTGAGCCTCCGTCCTGCGATGCTACCCATCACAACCATCTCAGGAGCAGAACCCGGCTTCCGGTCCATGGGGTCAGCACAGGAGCTAAGATATGCGGCGGCAAACTGCAGCTTCACTTCACATGTGTTCCGCCATGTCATTGGCACCTTGACCCGGGCGTACTGACAACCGGAACAGGCCCAAAAAGGACAATAAGACGCAACGCAAAGGTCCGCTGCATGACATGTTATCGGCTGCCTTGACCAGTCGGAACACACCTAGCCACGGCTGCTATGCACACACAATTGATTGTATTAGTTGCTCACCCGACCCATCGGCTGGTTTCTCGGGCGCCGGTCTAAATAGGTTCATCTCGCCTCCTCGCACCACTCACGCCACCTCACCTCGGGCCCCATCGAGGTCCCCTTACGGCCTGACGGATTCGAAGGCATTGTGTTGTCGTGCCGTCCGAACACTGCTCCAACGACTAACAAGAGGTGCTCGTGGCAAAATTTGACAACTGCACAGCTGCCTCCTTACTGAGAAGCACGGTGACTTCTATATGGACAGTAGGCGACAGCCCTTCTCGGCAGCGCACGGCATGTGAACTACCCGCCCGCGTTTCCAGCCACTTCAGTCTTTTCGGGCCAGACACAAGCCATCTCATCCTTGCTTCCAGACCTCCTCGTCTTGATCCTTGGTGTTCACCGCCTTGTTGAGTTCACACGAAACTCAACGCCCAAGACATGGCTGCGAGGATCCGGCATGTGCAGGGCCCGAGCTAGGACGTACCGCCAGTTCACCTTTGTATTTTCCGGGAGCTTCGATGGACACCCACGGCAGGGGTGTAGGTGTAGGGCCGAGGCCCAATCCAGCGGGGACGCTAGTTTAAGGTGCGGTCGCTGCCGGGACACAACGTCACTGCTGATGAGACCTAAGACGAGGCTTTTCCTGCGGCTGAGGGCATTCCTCTGTATCTGACCATCCCAGGCCTGCGACTCCTTCAACATGCCTGGCAAGCATGGCCTCCTCGGGTCTACGAATACTCCCCTGTGCGGTGCGAGACTTTTGATCAAGAACTCGTTGCCTAGGTGTCCATGGGCATGCACGGCTGCATCCCGAGTGCGCTTCCTGAAATGATCCGTTTCTCTGTCAAGCTGACAGCAAGGGAGTTAATGCAGAAGGGGTAGCCAGGGCCTGGACCCTGATGCAGAGTCCAAGCAGTCCTACCCGCCAAAAGAGCTCATCGCATTTCCATGTTCGGCTCGTTACGGGGCAATCCCACCCAGGGTCTCTCTTAGCGACAAATGCACGACAGCTGTCGCTAGTCCTACCACGCATCCACTTCAGTAGACTCAGGCGCCAAGGCGGCCGGCCGGCAACACTCATCACACACATGATGAATCCCTCACTTGACTCAAGGACCTGCCTGTCGTTGCCCACATCTCGCCGACACCAGACCCGCCACCTCGCAAGGGAGCTTTCTTTGGGGGGGTCATATCGTCAGTTGCAACGATACAGATCGGAACCGCACCGTTTCTTTCTTGTCTGTCCTTACGCATGCCTGGCGTCAGGCACACCAGGAGCCAAGGTACCTGATGTGGATCCCGTTTGCAGCTTCAAAGGCTCGCACACGGAGCCAACAAACAGTGTAAGCCACGGAACCACAGAAAACCACAGGACGCGCTACCACAAGCAATACTTGGGCAGCAACAGCCCGTCAAGACTAATCATCGCCATGCATGACATTATACCGCGTAGTGATGGTCATCTTGCAGGAGCGCCATCGTGCATGGAACGCTGGTTTTGAAACCTGACAGCACAATCACCCCGTGACAAGTAGCGCCCACGACTGCGTGCAGGGTCGTTCCTTGCCGGCTCCCTCACACGACCAGAGCTGGCCCAATACCGCTGCGTTCTAGGCAGCCCAATCCTCTTGCTAACGATCAGCTTGCTCGACGAGGAGACGAATGAGGTTGGTAGAGGGAGACTTGACTTATTGCCCAACCTGGGCAGGAGAGCCGAGGGAAAAGCAATACCCTGCTGCGCTGTCAGTCTCCCAGAAGGGAACGGCTGACACTGGTTCACCTACTCGGAGGGCAACGTTTCAGGTGATCGCAGTAACCACAACCCAATTCCGGCCAGCACGCCCGCCCGCCAGCCATGTTGCGCAGCGGCTGATGCCTTTTTTTCGTACCGAACCGCAGGACCCATGCTGATGGGGGGGACGCCAACAAAGAAAAAGAGGGCGAAGATCGTGGTTCATGGGGGAAAGCATAGGCCGCTACTAACAATCAGATCCGGACCGTGCACAGCGTTTTGTCGATCTGCACCAAGGTATGGATGGCTACAGCAGCGCTTGACCCAAGCCCAGAATTATTGCCTGGGTCTGGCACTCCAGGCCACGTGAGCCTTCTTCGCCTTGACCCTGATTCAAGGCAATGAATGGGTGGCTGTGGACACGCAAGCTGACCGCCAATTCAATCCCTTCTGCCGCTTTGCGAGCTAGAGATTGGATACCCGGGATGCCCCTCCCAGGAGCCTGGTCTACATTCTTCATGCTTGGGCTCCAAGACCTCCACACTGGATGATGGCCTTCTTGACGCTAACCTTCTACGCACCCACCCGCCTTTAGCCACATTTCTTATAGTATCAGCTCAACAAACGGGATGTCAACAAGTTTCCTTGAGAACAAAGAAAACAGGACATTGTCAGTGAGAGGATTCGCGATCCCTGACCCAGGTTGTGGAGGAAGAGAGAGAGAGAGAGAGAGAGAGAGAGAGAGAGAGAGAGAGAGAGAGAGAAGTGGGGAAGAAGATCATCTCGAGAAACAATCAACAAAGAAAAGCAACAAGTGGAGAGTAGGTAGGCGTATTGTACAACTGTAAAGGGCTAACCAAGGGACATTCCGCTGCGCACAGACTGGTCTCTAACGTCCCGGGCCCAACCTTAGCAACCCCTCCGCTCGGCGACCCAAACTACGACGACACTCCACGGACCCAGAGGGCTTCAGACCGCGCCCCCCATCGACACTGATCGTGCACGTTCGCATGAGGACACCCACCCCTACAGCTCAAGCTCGAGATTGGCTGCGGCAGGCCAGCCCTGATGACCCAGAGCAAGCCAACGAGAGCCAAGGCTAAGAAGAATGGGAAGGCCCACCAAGGCATAGCTTTATCCGATCGATCAATTGTGCACCCAGAGGGGCCCTCTGGGCCCTCTGGGCCCCAAGAGGGGCGACTCAAGGGTGATCCAAATGCGGAATCTTGAGCGCGAAACGTGGTCGCGACAGAGGAGCAATCGAGGTTTTGTCCAAGGTCCCCAATGCCTTATTCTCCGATGACCAAAATCGGGGGCACCTTGCGGGACCCAACTCATCGACTCACGAAAGCCGCCACAATACCCCGAGACGTCTTAATTGATAATTGCATGGCGCGTGTATGGAGGATTAGCGTGATGGTGCACGACAAGAGGGGAGAGGACCCTAAAAAGACCCCTCGATCGTTCTCCAAACACAATTAACAGCAGCGGTATGGGTCCAAAGCTTGTGGCTTCTGCTACTGAGGACGGATTACCTTATTTTCACAGTCAATGTAGTTCCTGAAGTGGCCTAGGCTCGGTTCTGCTGAACGAACCTGTGCAGGCACCAAGAGTGGTGTTGTCACACAGCGCACACACACACACACACTATTCCTCAGATCTCGCTGGTGTCCAGAGTCCTTCTCCAACACTTTCTCAACGCCTTCACTCCAACTAAGGCCCTACACTTGCATCGCGAGTAATGCTTGTCCTGCGCTGACCTCCGCTCCGGTCTCGGCGGATGCTGGGCTACGAACACCTCGTACGATCCAGTCTTGCAAGCGGTCATCAGCGGCCAGACGGCAAATTTGGAAGGGTCAGCCCAATTCTGCTGCTGCTGCTGCTGCTACTACTACTACTACGTCCACCACCAATACTACTACAACTTGTCCTTACCGCCACTGCTGCCTGACGGAAAGTGAGCCGTCCTGCGGGTGAAATCGGCCCTGGCCTCTCCAGAGCCAACCGTTCTGGCGGCATCATGCCCCAAAATGTATGGCGGCCTGCTCACCCGCGCCTTTCGCAGTGCCATCCCGCTCCAGTGACGAACTCCTTCAGCCTTGACAAAAGGTTGGCGCTGGGCCTTTTTCTTGCGCCACTGACTAATGTTGGGATGGGATGATGATCCTCAATTTAGGCCCAAAGGGACGGCTGGGGGGGGGGGGGGGTGGATGAAAATTCACTCATGAATTTGTGTGTGCGTGTGTGTGTGTGTGAGAGAGAGAGAGAGTGTGTGTGAGTGAGTGAGTGTGAGAGCCTCTCTCGACAAGGGGGTCAGAATCAGAGCTATACACACAAGCTCATGCATGAATTCGTGGCCAAGTCACCAGGCCCTAGTTGATAGCTCACACACCAACGACAACCACCTCTTGGGTGCTCAACGCCGCGCCCAGGGGGGTTCCTTGTGGCCACCCACATCATGGGAGATCCCTAAGCCCAGCGATCAGGGTGCGGCATCACGAGACTCGACTAAGTTACCATCGCCTTGTTCCCCCTTCTTCACATACCGTCTACTTACTTCTTCTGACGTTGTTTCGAGTAATGTACAGCGACCTGGGTGCGTCTCCCCCCCCCCCTCTCTCACACCCCCACCACACACTCTCTCTCTTTTCGTACCATGCGGTTCGTCCAGCTAATGCGTCGCCACACAACACTGGAGACGATCCACCGTCTTATCCCTACTGCCGGCCATGGTATGGTACATATCATGTACTGTACTATGGTACAACTTGGATCACAGGTGGGCCATGACCTCTACCAGATCCGCCCTACCCTATATCAGAGATGCTCGCCCTGATATAGACCCACGCCTTTCAAGAGTCGAATCGGGCCCCCCCAGGACGTCGCAGGTCGCCTGTTACTGACATAGTATCGTCCTCTCGGGCAGCTTCTTCCTGTCTTGGGGGCTCCACCAACATAGCTGAATACACCCCCTTCTTCGAGACACACCCCCTCCCCCGGCCCATGCCTCGCTTTTGTGCATGTCTACCTATAGTAGCTTGTGACCTCTCCTTGCTTCTTCACCACCTACCTCGCTGTACCGGTACCATAGTTACTTTGATTCCTCACGCTGAGGCTTCCTCGCCTTGTGGCAGAGAAAGTAGACTTCCCAATCTGGATCTCGGTTTATGGGGCCCCTCCTCTCTCTGTCTCTCTCTCTCTTCCTCTCAGACTGACGGATCCATGTTCTAGATCGCCTGCTTCATCCTCGAACTCTCTTGTTCCCTTTCTCCTCTTCTTCCTATCATTTGCCTGCAGGCGCATCTTCCCGCAGCTAGGCCGGCTTCTTCCCTGTCGAGCTCGCCTCCTACACGGGCTACGTGACCTCCACGGGAGAAGACGACGACGACGATCATCCACACGGGCAACCGTCTTACCTTTGCGGTGAAGAGGGAAAATTTCTGACAAACCTATTTTCCCAACTGACGTATTCACCCGCTTTGGGGCTGTCGTCTCGCGACTCCGTGATCCTGGCCCCTGCCTTGCCCCCCCCCCCCTTCCTCTTCTTATTGTTTATTCCTTGACTATTCCTGTTATTGTTTCTTTTTCTTTTTCTTTTTCGGGTCTTGTCAGGTATTCATCTTATCCCGGTCCCAATTGGTCGAGGTGGCGCCAATCAGATCACGGCCCTCAACCTCGCCAGACGCGACCCACGCCTTATATCTCTGACGAGAGAACCTACAAGCCACCTGCAACCTAGAATAGTCACCCTCAATCCTTCCGGTCAGCCCCTGCTGGTTCGAGAACGTCAGCCTCGAGCCTTTTTCATTTTCTTTCTTCATGCTCTTTGATTTTCCGCAACTGGCCTAAAAGAGCCATTTCCATTGCGAATCTACATCTCTGGAGATTGTAACAAGAATCATCGAGGGTGAGGGGGAACATCCAACAAGAAAACATTCAAATCGGTGGAACACTCAAATAAATCCATTTATCACGGCAAAGAAGTATTTCGCCCCTCCATCGTCATAGAGGGACCAAGATATTGTCGTCCATCGAGCCAACAAAAAAAACAAAGAGAAGGACGTCTTGTCCAAGGCGGTATATCCGCACAAATTGGTGTGACAACTGGCAGGCCTGGCAGTGTCAATATCATCCTTCCAGGGGATCTCGACAAAAGAACACAGTGCACGTCTCTTCCAATACTCTCATCCGACTCGACGTCCCCTAGACTCGTTGCTTCTCCGAGAGGAGAAAGCGGAAGCAGGACGAGAGCAGGGTAGAGCAAAGCAGGGCAAAGGAGGGCAAAGGAGGGAGGCAAGGACCAACCAAGACATCCTATCCCACAGCCTAATTAGCGTATCGATGAACCACAACAACCGCTCTTAAGGCGAAGACAGGGCACAGACAACATCCACCGTGGATATCAGGTCACTACTCCACAAGGATCCCGACTCAAATGAGTCCTCCGACTCACCTCCAAACCAGCCTCTACAAGACAGCTCCTCCACAACTGCTCTTGCCCAACCTCCTCCCAGCGTCGCAGCAGCAGCAGCAGCAGCAGCAGCACCCCCTACCGGCGCTTCCGTCTCGAGGCCATCAACAGCTACTACCAGGTTGGCACCCTCTGCGGCCATCCAAGGCGGCTCGCAGAAAGTCGCCGGAACGGCTACCTCGATCGGTATTATGTACGCCATGCCAACGGTGCCAACCCATCCGCCGGGCTCGTACCAGTTCTTCGGCGGTGGCGGGTATGCGCCGGCGGCGGCGGCAGCATCATTCCTGGGAGGTGGTGGATCATCAGCAGGAGCTGCTGCCATGCCGGCAACGGCAGATCCAAGAGCACCAGGGCCGATAGGGGCAGGGCCCGGGCTGAGACCACAATCAGGCGGAGGAGGAAAGCGAGGCACGACGGCATCACACACGGGTGAGAGCCCGGCTAAGAAACAGAGCAAGTGGTCACCCGACGAGGACGCTCTCATCATCGAGCTGCGTGGCAGCGGCATGAAGTGGGAGGACATCTCGAAGCGGCTTCCGGGACGCAGCTCGATTAGTTGTCGGCTGCACTACCAGAACTACCTAGAGAGACGCAGCGAGTGGGACGAGGAGCGCAAGAACAAACTCGCGCGCCTGTACGAGAGGTGAGTAGTTGTCCACATACACATATACACACATCAGCACCACCCAAGCAACGCCACGAGAAATCACCCCTCCTCCTCCTCCGCCTCTTTCTCCTCCTCCTCCTCCTCCTCCTCCTCCTCTACCACCACCAGCATCCCATTTGTTCTGTTGGGAAGCTTCCCAGCCTACCTTGGCGATAGCCTCGAGGAGTCTGAGGGGATGAGCGAAGGAGAGGGGAAGGAGAGGGGTAAGGAGAGGAGGCGAGCAGCAGGAGGGTTGCATGGTGGGAGTGCTACGCCAGTCTACAAGCGTCGATGCACCTACGCCCCCAGCTCTCGTTTAAAAACACCTGGTTGCATACACGAAGGTCCCACCAAACAATCCAGACCCAAACCCCATCGAGATTCACGATCGTGTAGATGGAGCCGCGTCCGCCCAACAATTCCCACCCTGGTACCCCGGAGATTTACTGACTCGCATGGGCGCACCCAATCACAGATTCAAGCCGGATATGTGGGCCAAGGTGGCAGAGGAGCTGCAGATCCCATGGCGCGCCGCCGAGGCCATGCACTGGCAACTGGGCGAGAACGACATGGCGACTCGGGCGGGCGTTGTGCCCTTTACGCTGGCTGGCAACTCGCAGCAGCAGCAGCAGCAGCAACAACAACAACAACAACAACAACAACAGCAGCAGCAGCAGCAGGAGGGCGGCGGCGGCAGCAGGTCGTCGCCTTCGCGGGGCCACGTTCACTCTCACTCGCAGGGCAGCGTGGCCCGGGGCGACCCACATCTCCGTTATTCACGCGGCACAGCAGCAGCCAACCTGCCGCATCATTATCACCACCATCACCAGCAGCAGCAGCAACAGCAGCAGCAGGTCCCTCCTCCTCCACACCAACCTCACCCTCTCACCATCCCAGCGCCTATGCCGACCCTATCGCCGCCGGCAGGCTCGAGCCGCGGCTCCTATCCGATCAAGCGCGAGAGCCTACCGCCCATGGGGCCCCCGTCCGAGTACATATACGAGGCCGTGACACCGGCTGCGGGTCCTGGCCTCCCACCAATCCAGCCGAGCGGCAGGGACCGCGGCCCAGACGGCAGGATGCAGCTGCCAGGTGTGGCAGAGCTCACGACGGGGGTCAGTCCCTACTCGACGCCAGCGTACTCCCTCGGCGCCATCAGCGCCAGCCCCAGCGCGACCGCGAGTCCGCGTTCCTCAGCACTACCAGGCCCTAGCATGGGCTACAGCCCCGAGGGGAGCATCAGCTCGAAGCGAGGGAGGAACAGTCCCGATGCTGGTCGGGAGGCCATCAGAAGGAGGCATTGAGTTGCCTCGGGATGAGTCCAGACGTGTGTGCAACTTTTGCTGCTGCTGCTACTTCTACTTCTGCTGCAAGGAGCCCCATGAAATCAAAAAGGCACGGCGCAGGCACGGGAATCTGAAATGATAAAGAAGAAGACGACGACGACGACTACGAACTACGATGATGATGATGTTTGAGGCAGTCAAACAATTTTCCTTCCTTTTTCCTTCTTCTTCTCTCTTTCAACTTCCGGCACATACAGGCATGGGCATGGCATTGTTAACATACAGGGGAGCAGAGAACACGGCCAGGTCAACTGTGGAGTTAGGGAAAAGGCTCGGGGGGGCGGAGGGTGGTGCCATTGTTCAGGGAGAAAGGGGCTTAGGGACAACATGCAGTCGGTGGTGGAGGGGAAAAACTACAAGGGACAGCAAAGAGGGTTGGATTGGCGATGGATTTGGGCTAGATGGTAGGGAGGTTTAACAGGGCGGGGATCACGGCCACGATCACAATACGGGGGCAATGCGGACATGCATGCAATCTTGGACGACGAGCCTGTCAGAAGAGGTCGTTTTGCCCTCGTGAAAGCCCACGGATTTTTCTCCATTTTCTCTTTTATTATTTTGCTTTGTTCTTGTTTCTCGTGCACTTTGGCTCTTGACAGAAAAAGCTTTTGAACTCTCCCACCGACAAGGAGCAAGCGGGCGCATCAATTTTAGGTACGCATCGGGCTGGAGTGTTTGGAATTTTGTTTGGAAACTTTTCTTTCTTTGTTCTTCTTCAAAGCACCAACACAACAGGAAAGAGAAAAAAAATCTTATTTTTATCTACTTCACTTGTATTTATTCAACAGATGCCAATTCTGTGTCTCTTTGGTTTTGTTTTTTTGTTTTATTCTTCCTTCTTCTTCTCTTGTTTCTTTCTTCTTCTGAGGGCAAGGGCCACTCTCCAGCAAGTAGGTGAAAGTGGAAGCAAAGCGCAGCATACACCATGATACCTTTTTGTGTGCATCAGCACCGTTGCCGCCCACCTCTTCCCCCCCCCCCCCTCTTCTCATTTGTTTTTGGGCGTGGCAGGGCCACCGGCTGGACTGGGGCGGACAATGGTGGGGTGGAGTGCATAGACTGACTTGAGGTGGTATTCATCAAGGGGAGTTTGGTTAGGGGAGGAGAAGGGAAGGGGGGTGTTCGTTATGGATGTCTAATTCTGCAACGTAGTTTTGCAGACAGACCCACAACCAGGTCATCATCATGGGTGTTTTACCGCTTGATAGAAAAGAAGGGGAAAATAACCCAACCAGGATACATAATAGAGACTTTGTCCCTCGCCTTGTCTCACAATGAAACATCGTGCGCGCCCCTCGGCGACAACCAATCAAAGTGCCAGATTGGAGGGGAATAAACCTCGGAAGACAAATCACTCAGGTTAGGTTGTGTTTGTCCCTTGACATTATTTCGGACCATGTGCCAATTGGGTTATTTTTTTCCCCCCATCTCCCCTTTCTCTTCCCTCCTTGTTGTAGTAGCATGTAAGTATCCCTTATCCTGCAATAACCCACCAATTGTCCCGCTCGTAGCCGCTGCGAAGGACCTCTCCTCCCGCGGCGAGGACGTCCTCTTCCAATTCACCCTTCTTGTACAAGTGGTAGAACCTGTGAAACGTCTTGTCGGTGTGCTGGTGCTGGTGCTGGTGCTGTTGCTCGCCGTGGACCCCCTGGCCTGCCGCGCCGCCATCGCGGTCACCGCAGGTTTCTTTTCCCAGCGGCACGGATGCACCCGCAGCAGCGGCGCCGGCGCCGGCGGCCACAGGAGGGTCCACCATATACGCGCCCGCTTCTCCACCTCCACCTTGACCCCCACTACCACCACCACCACAGACAGCCTCATCTTCATCACTCCCGCATAACTGGTGCTGCAACGTCTGCTGCCGCTGCCGCTCCTGCATATCCTCACCGCCGCTTGGGGAACGAAGAGGATAAGAAGGGTCGCGGCGGCCCCCGCTCTCAACGCTCATGCTGTCCCTCCTGACGGCTCCGTGACCGCTCTCCTCTTTCTCCTCCCCCTTCTTCTCGTCCACCGCTTCATCAGCAGCAGCAGCACCCCCACCACCAACGGCATCGTCCGCTGCAGCGACGGCCGTCTCACCTTTTGGCTGCTGCCCCTGCATATGATGCTGCAATTTCTTCTCCTCCTCCATCTTCTTCTTGTCCCTGCGTGGCGTCTTGGTGGCACGGGCCTTGGGAACTTTTTCTTCCTTTTTCTTCTTCTGCTGTGGCGCCTTCATCACCCACGGCACGAGCAGGTCCTGCTCGCCGCCTTCATCCCACCCGCGCCGGCTGGTGCCCTGCTCCAGAGCCCAGACGTAGACCAGAACCTGACCGCCACCGCTGCCGGTTTCGGAAGAAGGCAAAGGAGACGACGACGACGACGACGACGACGACGACGACGACAAGGACGACGACATGTTCGTCTTCCCATCCCGTCGTACGCATCGCAGGAGCTGTCGGATTGCATCGACCCGCCTCTCCCTGGTTGACAAGTGATGGATGACCGCAATGCAGATGACAAAGTCTGCCCTGCCGTCCCGAAACGGTAGGTCCAGGCTGTCCGCAACGGCGGCATCAGCACCAGGAAGAGCCACCGCCGCAGGACTGGTGCTGCTGGTGCTGGTGCCGGTATTGCTGCCACTGCTACCGCTGTAGCACCACATATCCCTGGCCAGGCTGACCAGGGCGGCGCTCCGGTCGCACCCGAGCATGACCACGTCACGGTTGACGCCCATGTTCTTCCCATTGCCGCAGCCCACGTCCAGTCCCACGGATCCGGCGGGACGCGAAGCGAGGAAGGATGACACAAAGGGCCAGGGCTTATGCCGCGTCGCGCTGAAGTGCGGCGCGATCGCCTCGTAGACGCCATGCACGTGCGTCTCCTCGTAGATGGCTGCCTTCTTTTCCTCCCCACCTCCTTCTGCTTCCCCTGCCACCGGTCCTGGGGAGGGAGCCGCGGCTCCCTGCCGTGGGGCTTGGGGCCCAGGGGTGGTGGTGGAGGTGGTGGTGGTGGCCGCCATGATGCTGATGAGATACTTTGTAACGACGCTGACTGGTTTGCACTCCGTTGGAGGCCTTGCCCCTCTTTCTCTCTCTGTCTCTTCCTTTTCCCGGTGGATGCAGCGGCTGTCACTGGCGCGCTGGCCCCCACGCCCAATCAAAGCTCACCTCAGCCTGAAGCGCACGCGCACCCTGGGCACTGCAGCAGCCAGCAAGGCCAAAGTATTGAAGATAAAATGCTGCTCAGCGCGCTAACTTAGCACCAAGACACCCAGTAAATGAAGGAACGTATGTCAGACTTACTACGGCACTCCTTTGCAGGACCACAGCCGGGAGATGGTCTTCTTTTTTGCCTTTGCTCACCGTTTATGCCTGGTTCACCGCTAGCTTGTGTGATGCGATATAATGCGATGCGATGCGACGCGGAAGCAAAGCGGTGCTAACCTAGATCGCACCACCGAACGTTCCCACTCGGTCTTCTCTCTCACTCTTTGTCTGTCTATCTGACACACACACCCTTCTTTCTCTCTCCCTCCGTCCTTGTTCTTCCTCGTTTCCCTCCTGAAGCGGCAGGGAAAAGCTGACGTATGTATATGTACGTACCGTAGGTGCCGGATCGCGGATGTACGATACACTCCAACCGGTAAGCCGAGTGGGAGGGGAGGAGAGCCTCGGATGGTAGTAGTAGACCGGCCAGACTTGCTTGTGGGGGCAAGAGGGGGCGGGATGAGAAGAGGCCAGAGGAGTTCGTCCAATCAGCCGCTGGTGGCTCAAATAATCAATCTGGAACAACGAGAGCAGAGCAGTCGTGGAGAGACAGCAACGAGGAAGAGGAGGAATAGAGCGGTTTAGCGAGTGCAACCCTTCTTTCGAGACACGATGGCGTCGTCGTCGTCGTCGTCGTCGTCGTCGTCGTCGTCGTCGTCGTCGTCGTCGATGAAAGGAGATGCACTTAAGCTCAGTGTCACTCTGGACGGGGTGCTGCACACACTCTCTCTCCCTCTCTCTCACTCACAAACACACACTGTCTCTTTTCTCCTCACGTGCTCAGTTGATGAGGAGCTTTTCTTTGCCGTCGACTGTAGCACAAGACGTTGGTTTTGAAGGTTTGAGGCTCAAATTTTCCTTCTTTTGACGTCTGGAGCCCCGTAGCGTAAATCTCCGAGACACACTTTTGGAGTGAAGATCGTTCAGCCTCTTCTCTCTCTCTCTCTCTCTCTGTGTGTGTGTGTGTCTGTGTGTGTGTGTGCTTCCTTGTCTGGCCTCCTCTCTTGTGTCCTCAATCTCGCGTCACAGAGAAAAGAGGGCAAAGTGAAAAGGTCTCTGTGGATCGTTGTACACCAAGTAACTACGTAGGTAGCAGTACGTACCTGCCTCTCGGAGCTGAGGCTAGACCCCAGCAGCACAGACGAGAAAGACAGGGAAGGAAGGACACATAGGTGAGCGGGAGGGGTGTAAGGTTTGAAATTTCAAGGGGGTGTGGGCCTATTGATCATGCAGCTTATGTACCGTAGTACACACACCAGAGTCATGGGTAGTACAGAAAAGATTTAGTACCACGGTACAATCGTCTTTGTACTGTACTGCAAATAATCGTTGCAGTACGACGGCCAATCAAAGGGACAAGGGGGGGGGGGCCCATGTTTTTCCTGTGGTCAGACACCGTTCGCGCTACGGAGCTTTTTAGCATTTTTGGAACGCGGGTACCGGACAAAACAAAAGAAGAGGAAGCATGCATCATGACCTATCGTCGTTTGTGGTTGAGATGGATGGAAGGGCTTGGCATGATCATGAATGCATTGAAACCTGACCTGATGAAACGCTCTTTGCCCGCGTATCAAGATCAAAAATAAAGAAAGGCAGCAGTAAAAGATCAGCTTGAAAGATTCATTACGGTTTCTGATTATGATAGATGTGCTTTTCTATGCCAAAGACTTGACTCGTTCAGGGGGTTCGTTGCGGACGAGTCATCAAGCAAGCCCTGTAAGCGTTTGTGGCACGCCCAACCACGACATCAGATGACTGTCTCGAACTGTTTTGCTGATCTTCCCCCGGCTGTCAGAACCATAGTTTACATGTACTGAAAGATGCGAGCATAGTCGAATATGGCTTTGGACGGACCCCTACGTTATAACCAGGTATCCCATCGTATCCGTGGGGAGATACAGCACCTCCATCATGCCTTGCCCGTGTTCAGGGGGCTCTTGGGATCATACACATCCGTCGTGATGACCTCGGGATACACAATCCCTCCTTGCTTCAGCGCCTCCTCCATGACCTCCATGATGACCACTGACTCGCTCCATGGCAGCGTCGCGCTCTCGAGCTTCCCGTCCCTCAGGCACCGCGCGCACTCGTCCGCCTCCCAGAACATCCCATGGCCCCAATTCCTCGCCGGGTCCTGGGGGATCGGGCAGTCGACCACCTCCAGCTTGCTCGGGTCGGCCTTCTTGAGGACCCTGTACTGGCGCGGCTTGAACGGCGGGCCCATCACCTGGATCTCGCCCTCGGACCCTTGGATCCGGATCGAGGGGCCGAGGAGGCCGTTCGCTTCGAGCTCGGTCGCAGCACGGAGGCTCGTCGTGGCGATGCCCATCGTCTTGTGCTGAGGGAACGACACCACCACCGCTGTGCTCTCGTCCGCGCCGGTGCGGTCGTACTTGTTCATGCTGGCCACAACAAGTGGCTTCTCCTTGGTGCCCGGCTGCAGGTGGTACAGCGTCTGGAACAGCCACGTCAGGGAGTAGATGCCGAGGTCCAGCAGGGCGCCGCCGGCCAGGTCAACGTTGACCATGCGGTGGTCATCGGGAAACTCGAGCGACCCGTCGGGCTTGCTCGAGTTGAACGAATTGTCGGCTAGCACGCGGTACACGTCTCCGATCTCCTTGCTCGTGATCATCTCGCGGATCTTGATGCTCAGCGGGAAGTACCGGGTCCACACCGCCTCCATGAAGAACAGCTTCTTCTCCCGAGCCTTGTCCACCAGCTTCCTCGCCTGCGACGCGTTCACCGTCAGCGCCTTCTCGCAGAGCACGTTCTTGCCCGCCTCCAAGCACAGCATGGCGTTCTGAAAGTGGTGCGAGTGTGGCGTCGCGACGTAGACGATCTGCACGTCCTCGTCGGCCACGAGTTCCGCATATGAGCCGTAGGCCTTGGGCGAGCCGGGCACGCCCAAGTCCTTGAGAAAGGACTCGGCTCGGGGCTTGGACGAGGAGGACGCCGCCGCCACGATGGTGTGGGCGACGTCGCTGACCTCGCGAGTGGCAGGATCGTTGAGGAGGTCCTTGGCAAAGGCTGTGAGCGCTATCAGCTTCTGTCTTCTACTAACCATCCAACAGAATGAAAAGCAAAAACACAAGGAAAGGAAGTGGACGGCTGACTGGTTGCGATGCCTCCTGTGGCCATGATCCCCCACTTGACCGTGTAAGGAGCCATTTTTAATCGTCGTTTTGTTTTGAGAAGTAGCGCTGTGAGTGTTCTTGTTGTCTAGAACTTGAGGCTGCGGGAAAATCTAATCGAGAGTTTACAAGAGAGAGGAAGAAAGAGGAGAACACCTTCTACTTATACCGTTAAAGAAGAGGTTTTGGAAAGAATTGTTGAATATAGAGTGATTGATGTCATCGCTAGCAGCTGTACGACTTATCGCTCAATACCCCGCCTAGATACCCCGCGGTACTGCCTACTTGAGTAATTACCCGTCGAGGCGCGTCTCGAGGAGTTTATTGGCAGGGGTCCAAGCTCCGGGGCACGCGGGGTCGAGAGTCGCCCTATTCCTACAATTAAGCACATTATTTAGGACTGTAGACCTTTGTTCCCAGTGGAGCCAGACACGACTCAGCTCCTCTCTCTCTCTCTTTCTGGCCTCTCTCTCATCAATGTCGATGGCAACAGCGGCGTGACTCACATGGGCTTGCCTGCATAAATGGCACGATGGGCTCCACAGACTCCATGGCATTCATCTTGTTGCCAGTATGGCTGTGGCCTGTCGAATCCAAGAAAGTTGCTTCTCAAGCCGAGGAATCGCGTTGCCAAGGGCTTCGCTCACATGGAATGCATCCATCTCGGTGATCTGGAGATTGCAATAGCGGACATGGAATGAATAGACAGACTTGTCAGAAATTGTTCCTCTGCACAATTGGCCACCAAGTCCTTCTGGGGAAAGGAAAGGCGAGGGCGAACGGCTTCGGCTCCAACACGGACTTTTCAATATTCGGCCTTTGACAATCATCACAGGGCAGAGACACGAGGCTGCACAGAGTCAAGTATGGCAGACTGGTCAGGATGATGAGCAGCCTTAAGACCAAAAAGATAAGGTAACTTCAAGCAAATCCATTTATCATCCTACTTCTTCAGAGATAGCAGAGCGCGAGGATGCGAAGCTATACTATACGCGGACAGAATGAGTCCCGATGCTCCTTATACTCATTCGTAACCTAGAGAGGTAGTCGCCCATCATCACCACCACCACCACCACCATCACTGCCGTGATACAAGCCATCTAAGAATTGGTACTGGGTGCGCGGAGAATGCCCTCATCCAAAGTAAATTTAATAGTAGTGGTAGCAGTGTATGCCAGCGGCTCTCGGCCTTGGCGTAGTAGATGCTATGCACGGAAAACGCCCTGCTCAATCTCTACCGCATCCATGTTCATAGGTCGTGCCATTAACTTGCATGTCTGGCTTTCAAGGGGCTGTATGTGCCAGATATCTCCTCCACAGCGTGACATCTTATCCCAGACAAGACGTCCAGAGCGCTCCTTCATCTTTATTATCAACAACCGGACACCAATCGCGTTACCGTGATCTCCTCCCCCCCCCCCTGGTCCCTTTATTTTTTTCAACAGGTCATGCATCCGTCTTGACACGTCCGCCTCGAAGGCTGAGAATCTCATCCTGTTCTATGAGTCAGCACGCGCCCACACTACAAATTTTCCCAGGGCAGGTCTTCTTCCCCAAAAGAGATAAACTCACCTCGGCCTTTCTCTTCCCCAGCACGCGGTCCGGTGTCACCCTCGAACCACCACCACCATATAGCGGCGTGGCACCGCTCTCCTTGGTGACCTCGGCATAGCAGCTCGCATGGAAGGCCCGGCCGCCCACACGGGTCGTGTCTGTCCACACCCACTCCTGCGCCTCGTCAAGCCACTTGGTTTGGAACTTTTCCTGGCAGATGGGGCACACCGTGTTGATGGTGTCACCGTCGTCAGGCACAGGGATCCATTGGATCTTGGGGGCCGACGAGGCTGGCTGGGAGGAGTTGGCGTTGGGGCCGTGGGCATTATCGACGTGTTCGAGGTCGATGGTTTCAACATTGTGGATCCAGTCCTAAGAATGTGAAGAAATCAGTCAGCCATTGACATAGACTCTTTTCAAGTGCATGAAATAAGAATTAGAGGGAAGACCCCAGGGGGGTGGGGAGGGGGCATGTGCAGTGGTTTGAAAGACTTACAGCCTGGTCCACATACCAGCTTCGATGCTGGCCTCTCTGCTCCGCCTCCACCATCCTCTGTTTGACTCGGAAGTGCCAATCCATATGAGCCGTCTTCTTCTTCTTTCCCTCCTCGTCCGTGGGGAATCTTCTACCACACTGGGTACATTGTGGCCCAAGAGCCTCGTAGAGGGAGTGGACGAGATGTGGACGTGGTCTGAAAAAGATGAGAGCATTAGCATGATGTTCCAAGTCAGAGTCACACGACTAAGATTTTTGGATATTGTTCTGTTTTTGGTTTGCTTGGATATCTGATGATGAAGTCTTCTTTTCTTTTGGGTTACATACTGCTTGAGCGAGGCGACAGTCAGGCTGATATCCCCACTTGATATGACGTGCCCTGCCTTTGCGGTCGCCGCGATGCTCTGGGCCATGGCGATGATGTTGGCGAGGTCTACTCTTCCTGTGGCTGCTGCGGCTGCAGGGGCTGCAGGGGGGGCCGTATGGGCCACGTTTGAGGCCGGCGCAACAGGTATAGCAGGAGGAGGTGCGAACGGCCTGCCTGGTAGCGTCTGGCCTGACGGTGACGCAGAGTTGGACAGCAGACCAGCACCTCGCAACGAGGCAAGAAGAGCCATGGGGTCAGGCGTGGCTGACTTTTGGGGCTCAACACGCTGAGGCGTGGGTGAGCGCAGCGCAGCAACAGCAGCAGCGGCAGCTGGTGGGATCTGAGGTGTCGATGCTGGTGGTTGAGGTTGAGGGGTTGCAGACTGTCGGCTTAGTAGCGCAGCCAGAGTACCCTTGCCCAGCAGCGAGTCGAGAGAGACAGGAGCTGGCGGCGCCGAGGGAGGTGGCACGGGGGCTACTGATGCAGCTGAAGAACGCTGCTGCTGCTGAGGTTGTTGATGATGCATAGGAGCATGAAATGGAGGAGCAGCAGCGGTGGCGCTCTGGCGGGCAATAAATGACACCCGGTATTTTACGGCAATCTGATCTACTTGATTTCTGACAGCCACCAATTGGTCCTGTGGCAGATTCCTGTGCTTGTCCCTCAGCAGTCCCTGGAGAGCCAGGAGTGCCGTCAGCTCTGCCTGCGTGTCAGAACTATGCGGTGACCTTCCCAACGCGGCTCCGACAGCAACGATGAGTTGATCCATGTCATTATTCAAAGAGTCTATGCTGAGTCCAGGCTGGGCAGCCGGCGCCCCATAGTATCCCTGGGACGAAGGGGGTGCAAAAGGCGCAGCGCCCGGTACTGAGGAAGACGGTTGAGATGGCGTTCTGGTATAGGACGACATAGCCTAGAGAGAGAGAGGGCGAGAGGGCGAGAGAGAAGGTCCATCAGTCAAATGCCGGTCTTACAAAAATGCTGGGAGAAGCTGGTCCTTCCTTACCTGGGGCTGTGGATATTGCTGCTGGCCAAAGGCTGACTCGGGCCGCTGACCATTGATGCCTACATGAGCAGGAGGTTGACTGAAAGGGGGGCGCGCGTTGGGGGGCGTGGGCGTCGAGCGGTGGAGTGCTCCTGGCAGCGGCCGACCGCCTCTGTTGCGCATCTGACTGCGCGCCTGCTCCTGTTGCACCTGCAGGGCAGAGGTCCTGGCCTTGATGAGGGCATTCTCGATAGGCCTTACCACATCAGGAGAGAAGACGGGCGTGCTGTCGATGGAGCCAGGCACGGGCTCCTTCCAGGTCTGCAGCATCTCTTCCAGCTTGTGACGGGTCTTCTGGTCGACCGAGGCATACACCTCCATATAGGTCGAGTAGAGGTTCTTGCCAAAGAACAGAGTGTACGGCGTGCCAACATTCTTGACGATTGAGTCGAGCAGGTAGATGGCTGGCAGTTTTCTCTGGGGGGGTGCCTGCATCATAACAATGTCAGCGAGAGGCCAAAACTTTAAGGGTTGGGACGGGGAGCGAGTGGTGGTTGATCTCCAGAGAGCTACGGCCACTGCGGGCAGAGGACTTCGAGCAGTGCAGTCAACCTTGTGAGGGCAGTGGGGGAACACCTACCTTCTTGATGTGCTGTTCCAGGATCTCGGCGATGGGGTACGCAATGTTGGTCAGTTCTCTGGCGAGATTGGTCAAGGTTAAAATTTCATGGCGGACATTATCCTTGAGGTCCTCCACGGCAGCCTGCCAGTCCTGGATCATCGACTGCTCTTCATCTTCAGCAGACATGATGGGCAGCTATTGAATCTCGTGGATGCTATGGTCTGACTTGTGGATTCTTGAGAAAGAAATGGCACTGCAGGAGAAAACGGACGCGATCAAGAGGTGCGTGGAAGAGCGAAAGGCTTCCAGGCTGTAAAAGTGTCTGTCGCGGCCAAAGAAGAGGAAGAAGAAAAGAAACAAAGAAATGCTTTCGACTCCGACAATCACCAACAAGTGAGAGCTGCAAAGCGGGTCTGACGATGTGCAGGACCTCTGTTTTTCTTTTCTCGCTCTTTCTCTTTCTCTTGCTCTTTCTTCTCCAATACTTCGCAGCCCAGAGACAAGTCTCCACCAGCTCGTCGTTTGTCCTCCCCCAGCCCAGCCACGCAAAATGTGCGATACACAGAATGAGCCTCTCCTCACTTCAAAACTCCTTCCTGCTCCTAGACACCGACTCTTTCTGCTACGCGCGTATATTGACCAGTATCCCCAAGGGCCTGGCAAGATGTGTCTAGTCGATCAACACGGAGGTGTTGTGGGATCGGAGGCACAGCAGGAATGGTCAATGGGGACAAGTACGAGAAGACGTCGCGCCGAGGAATCTGGATGATGATGCAGAAAGGGAAAGCAAGAAAGAAACGCCGCCACGATATTTATGATTAAGATGCGACTTGTCGCAAGGATGAGGAAGAAGGAAATGGACAGGGCGCGATTGCGTCGCGGGTGGGCAGCTTGTTGTACAGAAAAGCCGGCCAGGTTTGTCGTTAGATGAAGTCGAGCTGATGGGCTAATCGCGCTGGGGCAGACAAAGCCCCCATGGGCCAACCTGAGCAGGAAATTATGTAAGCCAAAGTGAAGGCTGGTGCACTGCTGGAAGCGGTTGGTCTGTGCGTCACTCCTAGCCACAAAGTCATTGGGTGAAGTTGATAAGAAATGTCAACCTGACAACTCCTTCCCTTAAGGTAAAGGTATGCCAGACACATGCCTTTTATTTTTCTTTATAGACTGATGCTTGGCTCAATTGCGTAGTTTTCGTGACTCAAATTCTGTTTTGGTTTTCATTGCTCATCTCTGACAAAATCGGGGCCCATAGACCTATGCGATCGAAACAGCTGCAGGGGCCACCAGGGCGCTCAGGTCCTTCCACTTCCCAATCAATTCCCAAAGAAATCTGTTCCAGTAACTTGAAGTAGTCAATTCTACACCCATCCATCAAGCGTAAGAAGCTCGAGTGTACATTAGCACAGCCCAGTTTTTGGAGCATATGTGTGGTGACGAATTCCAAATCCATCTGTACAATGTCATCACAGCATCGCAATCGAAAAGAGGCCATCTGCCAAACTATTTCCCATGCCAGACACAGTGTTATTCCGGTTCAAATAGCAAAGCATCACAGGAGAGGTTGATAATAATGCCTCCATTTGAGGGCAGCGTGAGGTAAGTAATGAATTGTTCCCAGTCCCACTTATCGTTGGCCAACGCCTCCTAAAGCAATGTCCCCAGAGCGAATGCCTCTCCCATCAGACCGACTGCTCAAGGTGAATGCGGGTAGCGTTCGGAGTGACCCGCAGAGTCCACTCGATGTCCGCCCGTCCGCCGCCAACAGTATTACATGCGACCTGCCCCTGGACGCTCTCCATAAAGTCGAGGGAGCCAGGCAGCCGCATGTGTACCGAGTGGGCGAGGAAGCGCTTGATGTCGCCATCGCCGATTCTGTTACGAAATACGTCAGCCTTGGAATGAAGTTCTGGGGGAGACATGGAAGGTCATCCTCCTCCTATAGTACTAGGACGTGGGTTAAAAGAGGCAAAGGAATGCCGTTCAATTGCTCACAGAATAATATCGTTGGACCCGTTGTTGTTGCTGTTGCTGTTGCTGTTGCTGTTGGTGTGGCGGCCGAATCCAAACATGCAAGTGCCCTCGACCCAGTACGCTTTATTCAAAAAGAAACAATTCATTAGCCAGGTAGCTCACACAATTTTCATCAAGGTGTAGAGCTCTCCAGATCTACTATGACAAAGACTCACAAAGAGAACAAAGGAAGGAAAGAAACTTACGAAACACATTTTTAGTCTTCCAGCCCGAAGCCAGCACAGTAAAGTATCCCTCTCCCTCAAAGTTGCGCAGGATGTGCTCGCAGTCACGGACCAGCATGCCGCCGTCCTCGCCGCCGCCGATCTCGCGGAAGGAGCTGTTGCCGCACTGGACGCTCGTGGTCTCGGTGCGGTTGAAGGCGAGGGTGGTGGGGGTCTGGTACTTGGCGGCCAAAGGGGCGGCAGGGACGGGCACAGCAGCTGTGGTGACGAGGATGGGCGCCATTAGGGCGGTGGCCAGGAGGGTTGGAAGGATGCGCATGTTTGGGAGCGTGGACTGTGTGATTTTGGGTTTGGATTGCGTTGTTGAGTTTTGGTAGTGGGGAATTTGGTGTTGAATAAAAGAGGGGGAGGGGGGGGGGGGGGATTGGAGAGATATCAGTCAAAGGAGAGAGACACTTTGGCTTCTTTGAAAGTCTCTAGAATCGAAAGTTAGGAGTCGATTCAAGGCTGAGATCCATAGGATAAGTTGGGGAGAGAGGGATAAAAGAAAGTAAGGGGTTTGAATAGTGACCTGCGGAAGTCAGCAGCTCAGGTCATAGAAGCTGCTGGCCCACGTCGCCTTGGAAATTCCTCTTTTTTGACTCCAGTTTGTTCTCGGCGAGAGGATTTGAGACTCACCAATATTGAATCACTTGTTCAAAGGAAAAAGAGGTGATGGCGACCGCGGAAAGCCTTGGTTGTCTGCTCCGCCCCGTAAATGCAATATATTCACGAAGTCTCCTCATAATTCACAAATACAGTCGTCGTGTCACCAATGAATGCACCTTTCATGTTTGGTAAATTTGCTTCTCATTAATTGTAGAGATCGATAGAGATCATAAGCTCGTTATCTCATTTGCAACCCCCTGGCGCTTGCAGCAACAGCCTTCCTTAGTCTGTCCTCCAGCGACCCCAATCCTTTTCCTTCCTCCCTCCGCTCGTTTTGCTTCTTTTTTGTTTTCTTTTTTCTTTCCTTTTATCTCATTTTGTGGGTATCTCATGTGTGGGTATGTAAACTTGTCTTCGTCTCCATCTCCTGTCCTCTCTCCTCTCTCCTCTTCTCTGTTCATCTTCAGTGTTTGTTCTTGCTAATGTCCTTAAAGGCCCAACGGAAGAGCTGTGCAATATCTGGTTAACCTTTGGCTGTTCTCCCACTAATTCCTTCCGTCTCTTGGACTGGGGCGCAAGACACACAAGGAAGACACATCTTAGAAACGGTTGAGATGGCTTGCCTCGGAATAAACGCTGGACCGACCACCAGTGTATGCAGGGTGAAGGGCCGTTGGTGGGCGCTGCGGCATCTTCATGTCAGCAAAGTGTTCGGCACGGCTGAAGCTGCTGTTGGTCGTGCGAGGAAGAGGACTGGTACGATTACTTACCTGGACACCGGGCACAATGGGGCTGGCGCGGTCCTGGCCCTCCCACGACTCCCGCTCCGAGGTCTGGGGGCGGGAGGCGTACTGGTGGTGACCGGACTCGAGGTCGGGCTCGGCCGTGGGGTGGTTGATGATGGGCCCACTGATCTGGGGCTTCTTGTCCTTGGCGAAGAGGCGCGAGAAGCGGTTCTGTGGGTTGACGGCGGCGGGGAAAGGGTGGTGGAAGTTGAACTGCTTCTCCCTGCGGATGGAGTTGGAGCGGTCACTGCCGCCGCTATTCATGGTGGCGGCATCGATATCATAAGGAGCCGAGGTCATGCGCACGTTGTAGACGTTGGCGCCGTGCTCACGGATCATGCGGACGGTGATGTTGTGGGTGCTGCTGCGGAAGATCAGCGAGACGATGAGGTTGAAGAGGCCAAAGACGAAAGCCAGGATGCCCGAGGCGAGGGTGAGGCGCCACAGCGGGAAGGACAGGTCGTTGATCAGGTCGGCGGCGTTGAGGGAGCCCATGACCCAGATGCCCATGGCGATCATCCAGACACCCAGCCAGGCCAGGCTGTGGCCTCGGTTGCTGGCATCGACAGTTGAGAAGGTCGGCCAGTTGCGGCGGTAGAAGTCGTTGACAACGGCCGGCTGGGGCAGCTCGCTAATGAGGAGCATCATGGCCACGCCCGCGGTGATGGTGTGAGAGATGGCCTGGAAGACGAAGAAGCTGGTCACGATATTGGTCTTGACCACCATGATCATGCTCGACATGGCCACGCTGAGGAGGGCCAGGATGTTGCAGGCCCGCAGCACCTGGAGGATATACCAGGCCGGCCCCAGCAGGGAGCTGTTTTCTGACATGCTGAACATCTTGGCTGTGGTTGTTGGTCGAATTATTTGCTGGGAAGAGAGGGAGGAGAGCGTGATAAAGACTGGTGAAGACGGTCAGCCAGGGACGTTCTCTTCTCCTTTCTCTTTTTCTTACTTTCTCTTCGTGCCTTGAAAGGGCAGCTTTGTAACGACTTACGATCGGGATGAGGGAAATGTGTTACTGCCGGCAGTCGTGTTTGGAGTGAGTGAAGTCGTAGTCGGCTGATTTTTGGATTTTTTTTTTATTTTATAATTGTCTGACTTGCGTCTGTCTTGCAGATTCGGAAGCGTGTGGTAGAAGGGGTAGAAAGAATGAATACGGGAGGGAAAGGAGAGAAAAGTAGAGTGAAGAAAGAAGAAGATCGGCACCAGGCAGGAGAATACTATATATCAGCAGGAGACTGCGTCAAGCAGCTCTATTGTACTCGACAACAATGGAACAATAGTGTTAGAAACAAGCAGGCATTGAAGTCGTTAACAATGCCCTTCAGATCTGTCTCGCGACAATAAAAGAAAAGGGTGTGGTGGAGGAAAGAGAAAGAAAGGTAAAGGAGGGAAAAACTGGGAAGCACATAATAAGAAAGAAAAAAGAGGGGGGTAGGAAGGGTAGGCTCGAGATTTAATATCCAGACTTTAGAACAAAGCATGCATCACTCATCGTAGTATTGACCATAACACCCCCACGCGAGCTGAGATGGCGGCAACAAGATACGCGACCTCGAACCCAGCGCGAGAAGGATCCAATGTGGGAACCCTTGAAAGGGATAGATAGAATCTGGCATCAGGACCGCACACAAACGGCAAAAGTATCATGCCAAGCTCAGACCAGAGCATCTGTATCGCTGCGGTCAATGAAACGAAAAGAATGGGTTCTGGGGAAGTTTCCAGCCAATGGATCGATTGGCGCAAAGGCTCTCTCTCTCGTCTCGAGCGGGAAGACTAAAAAATTAGGGTGGTTTATCTCAGAGGGGTCATCCCAGCAGTAGCACTAGACCAGGGTGGCATGGACAACAGTGCAGTTTCATGCAAAAGCAAGTAACATGCGTCTCTTCTGGCAGTTGCTGTGGGTCCCTTGGAGTTGTTGTTCAGCATATCACCTGCCACGAGCTGCACCGTCTTGATGGTGCCACGGAGTCGTTGGACGCGACCCCTTGCTTGCGTCGTTGGCGGTTGCCAGGTTGTTGAGCGGAGGCGAGATAGAGGAAGGGTGGGCGGCCACGAGGATGGGCCGAATGATAGTGCCATGTAAAAAAGAGTCATCGACGGCGGAGGAGGAGGGGCGTACAGCTGGCAAGGCTTGATACCCAACCGTTCGCGCCCAGTTTGCACAATCCCACATCAAAGGGGCAAGACTAGAGGAGACAAGGACTCTCGGACGGTGGCCAGACAGATAAGAAGCCTGCTTCCTTCCGGACCTGACTACTGTGATCTTCAGGGCGGTACTGTAAATGCAATTGATAGACAGAACCTGTCCAACAACCTTGTGCACCATGGTGGTTTTGCCACCCTCCCCCCCCCTCTTTTTTTTCTCTTTCTTCTTCTTCCTTTCTTGGGGAGGATTGTACAGGGTACGTATAGTACGTGAACATGGATTCAGAGACCAGATATGTGGGTACGTGAAAGGGTCTTCCTTCTGGCCAAAGCACCTTGGGGAAATGCTTGAACCATCTCTCCAATGAGGCTCTGAGAAGAAGCTGGTCGAAAATGCAAGCGTACCAAGAGAGACTTGGTCGGTGGAGACTTTCAAGGCGGGTCCGCGGCGCGGGGCGGGAAGAAAGCGCGTCCCCAGGTGAGGCCCGCGACGGGGCCTCGATTGGATGACAAGCGCTTGCACGTGTTTCAAGTCGTTTTTAGCCTCCCGGTTCCGAGGTGCAGGAACATTGAAGAAAGAAAAAGGAGAGAGAAGAAGGGGGGAAAAAGGGGAACTATCATGATTGGGTTCTTTTCTTTTGTGGTGATGTTTAGTCTTTAGGATCAATAAATTCCGTAAGCTTTCATAACAGAGCGGTCTGCTTCAGCCGTTTGACTCATCCCATTCTGATCAGGAGGAAGACCACAAAGTTGATTGGCAGTGACTCTATACTTGGCGGCTGGTGGATTGGATTCATATTTCAGATGAGATACATCTTCAGCCCAAAGGCTAAAACTCAGATTGCAAGAGTACTGGTTTCGGAATCAGAGCCAAAGAAACGGGAAGCCCAGTCTTCAATGCAACCTTCAGTACCGAACTCTGCCAGAGACAGATACAACAGTATTAGGACTGCTACCATGGTACTTGGAACAACCTCCAAGGCTCGAATGTACGGCAATGCCATGAAGAAGAAAAAAAGACAGACCAGGCACGAAGGTCGGCCACGTCAATGTTAGAGACATGTCTCGCGCGTTCGAGGTTGTGCCTTGCTCCTGGCGCTTGTTCAATCATCAGCCGCACAGCCGTCATCCGTTCCCCGGCGCCTGCGCTTGCTTCCAAAATTTGGACGGACTCTCACCGTCCCGAAAGGCCAGAGGTTTCGTCCCAGGCACGCCAGGGGAAGAAAAAGATGGGGAGATGAGACCTCGAGGCGAGACGAGAAACCGCGCCGCGGCCTGGTCTTCTGCGGCCTGCAGGTTCTCCGTTGATTGGCCATCACAAGCGCCTTCTGTTCAGGTGCCGCTCGGCTGAGGAACGGGGGGTTCATGACGACGGCTGTTGGTTGCTTGATACGAGTGGCACTGATTGCCCATCCGATCAGGTCGTACTATACTCATATAAATATGATACGAGGTATGTAATGTTGGTCAAATGACAGGCCGTGTTGACAAGCAGGCAATTTCATTTAAAGTCGTGACGCGGTTCCTGAGAACAGCCGCCGGCCTACTGTCCTGACCGTCTGCGAGCAGGTCGATTACTATGGATCAAGGAAAACGCCTGTCATTCGTGAACGGTCGAGACATGGAGCAACAAAGATAGAGAGAAGAAGAAGAAGAAAAGAGGGGAAGCCAACAGAGGGTGTGTGTCAAAGTGAGAGAAAGTGAAAGTGAGAATGAAAATGAAAATGGCTGTATCTAGATTGGCATGCAAGACATTATCGAGGAGATTCATTTCTTTTTTCTTCTTTTTCTTCCATTCTTTTTCCTCCCTCAGACCGATGGTCAGTCAGTGAACCGAGTGTTGTCGTTCTAATGCCTACTTACCGCAACTATGGTGCGTAGTAATCATGGCCCGGGAAAGAAAAGTCTAGAATCAAGTCTGGGCCTGAATTAGGCCATAGGCCCACCCCACTTTGGAAGACTAGCCACTCGCCATGAACGATTTTCTGCAAAGAGTGGCTGACACATGCGCGCACAGCCTCACCCAAGAACTTCCTCCTCTTGCTCGTCGTCGGCCTCAATCGCTCCCCTTTGTCTGCCTCGACCAAAACTCCTCGACTCAACACCCTGTCCAGCCAGAACCAATCCGCTCTCCTCCACCCTCCATCTGTCTTCCAAGCAGCCCCTCTTTTTGCTATTTGTTTTTTCTTTTGTCAGATCCGATTGCATTCATACACCATGGCTCGTGGAAACCAGCGCGATCTCGCCCGTGCGAAGAACCTGAAGAAGCAGGCTGAGCAGGTATGTTGACCGCCACCAGACAACCCTCCCGACTCTCCTTGTCGGTTCTTTTTCTTTTCATGAAGAATTGGAAGCCAAGTTGCCTCCCCCCCCCCCCCTCCTTTCGGTGTCTTTGTCGGTCCACTTTTGCTGACCTAGACGCCTCGTCTCTCGTACCACAGAAGTCGAAAAACAGCAAGAGCGGCAGCGAGATGCAGCGCGATAAGGAGGCCGTCGCCGCCCTGATGCGCGAGAAGCAGAAGAAGGGTACGTCCTCCTCGATATCTCGCCTTCCCCCACTTCCCACCCCCCAAAACGATGGCCTCCCAGGTCCGAATTGTCCATGGAAACCACCCATTGCTGACTGCGCATCTTGGTCCGGAACAGCCGAGGAGAAGAAGGCCGCCGAAGCCGCCAACAAGAAATAAAAACCTCTGCCAGACGGGGCTTCTCCCTTCCCCGCCTCCGGGAACGAGAGCGCCAGAGGAGTAATGTAATGGGAGGTGGTGTTAGGATACTTGGATTATCATTTTTTATTTTTTTTTAAAGCGAAAGGAGCAAAGGGATGTTTTGTATTCGAGGGGCGGATGTGGGAGTTCAAGAGATATCAAGAGACAACGAGGCGGTGGCATGACGGAAAGGGTAAGGAGGCGGAAGGAGGAGACGACGACGACGATCATATACCCCCGAGGCCTACGAAAAGTGTCCACGCCAGAGAAGAGGCTCCCTTCTTCAGAGGTGATAATGCTGTCATCGTCGGCAGGCAAAAGAGGGATTGGACTCCCCTGGTACTATTTTATCTCCCGGCCAGATAAACGTCGTTTCCTCAACACCTACGTATAGTCTTTGCGTCGCGTCTCGTATTGTATATGATGTGCATGCTGTGCTGTAGTGAACTGCTTCCTTGAGAATAAGGCCTCTTGCATCTCTCTGGACAATCCTCCCTGGCTTGTCTCTCGCTGGGTCACTACGAGTACGGTTGAGTCTCCTGGAAAACTTCTCTCCTCTTTCCACGAGCCGACGAACACCCAAAGATCACGTTGGTCTTGTTGGTTCATCCCACAATATGCATTCCTCCCTACCTATCCTGCGCACCGAATTTTCCTTCTCTCCCAGCATGGGAAACCCTCACCCCCTTCGGGCCAAATCTGAGGGACGGTGGGCACTGCCCTTCTGCAGGTGCTTTGGAAACTCGGGAAACGGGGTGATGTCACGTGGAGACGCTGATGATGAAGATGTGATGGCGATGTTTTTAGCATGAAATGACCACAGTACAAACAAGGCAGACAGTGGCGCAATGCACACAAAGCAAGTCTTCTCTCTCTCTCTCTCTCTCTCTCTCTGTCTGTCTGTTTCAATATCTCTCCCAGCAAACCTCTGAGCAATAGCGAGCAACTCTGAACAAGACACCACGAGGGTAACCATTTCTTTGATTTGTGTTTCTTTTTATAAACAAAGCCAACGAGTGATTCGAAATAAGAAAAAAAAAAGTGTATTAAGGTATTTCCTCATCAACCAATCAAGAACATATACACCCCTCAGGGGTGTAAAAGGGAGAACGGGGGAATCTAGCCTCTCAGTCCACACGCACACACATACACACAACCCCAAGCCAGACCACCTCGGGCCCTGGCGCCTGGATACATGGTGGAGGGTCTGCTCTCTCAACTCTCTGCTATATCATTCAATCATCAAAGTAACCGAGGGCTTTCTCTGGCAAACCGATACCGGATCGACTCCTTTTGTCTTTCCCGTTTATACTGAAACTGACACCACCTTTTCCTCTACCATGTGAGCAACTCAGATGAGACCGGCGTTTATCGCTGGCTCGCTCATGGCCATTGGTAGGGAGCCTGGATGAGTCATCAGTCAGCCAATGTGTTATCATTGCATGTGAGAAAGGGACAAAAAGAGAGAAGAAGCAAGCTTACCAGCAATACCGCCGAAGGCGTTCAGGCCCTGGACATTCGCAGCAGGGAAGCTGCCGGCGGCGCAGGTGACGGCGCACACGCACTGGCCGTTGGCCACGCTGCCGGTGCCGGTGGTGACGCCCGTGCTGCTGGTGGTGCCCGTACTGCTAGCGGCGGCGGCGCCAGCTGCCGTCGTAGCGGTGGAGTTGGTTGACGTGCCGCCGGTGATGGCGGTCGCTGAGCCGGTGCCGTTCTGCGCGATGGCGGTGGACTGGAACGTGGCTTGGCTCTTGTCGGCGGTCGGGTTGATGGAGAAGACCATACCCTTGCCGCAGTGGCCCGTCTGCTTGCAGTAGAACCCTTTTTTTCGTTCATCGTTAGCCGTTTGGTCCTAGCAATCACTTTGCGTGCCTCCCACAGGAGAGGCAGAAGAAGAAGGTGAACTTACAGAGGGGAGTGGTGACCTGAACCTGCATGGCAACCTGTGGTGGCGGGTTGACGGCATTATTGGCGTTAGGCTGGAAGCCCGAGTCCATACCGCCAGCCATGGCCACACAGGGAGAGGTGAAGGAGGACTGGGTGACGGTGTGGTTGGTGCTCATGAAGGTGAAGACGACCATATCACCCACGGCCGCGGTGATGGACGAAGGGGTGTACACCAGACCCGCAGTGCCGCCGACCGTGACCTGGTGAGTAGTCGCCGAGGCTGGTGCAGCGGCCGCAGCCGATGCGGCAGCCGGGGCGGCCACGCTGGCGGCCTGTGGCACCGAAGTGGCAGCAGCAGCGCCGCCGATGTTGTTGATGATGGTGGTCTGCGAGCCGGCACCCGGGTTCACCCACACGAGGATGACCTCTGTCGCGGCCCCAGCGGTTATGCCCAGGCCGGACAGGCCCAGCGCGGCCAGTTCAGCGGACAGGGCGCCCAGCTGTGGCTTGCGTGGTGCGATCATATCCCTCCTGGCGGGGTAGTCGTTCTGGATGGCCTTGGCCATGGCCAGAGGTGCGGCACAGAGCGCCAGTGTCGTGGAGAACTTCATTTTGGATGTGTGTTTGTTGTTGTGTGGTTGGTATTGAGGATTAAGGTGTTATCGAGATGATGAAGGTCAAGATATAAACCTCCTTTCCTCTCTCCTTGTTGTTGATTTGGCTCTGCCTTTTGTTTTCAAGTCGAACCTGTTCGAAGATTATGGCGAGTTCCTGCTCGTGGGCGTATAATGAATGGATGTATAGAAGTCGTGAAAATGGTCTCTTGGTCGAAAAGGAATTGAAAATGAGCGTGGACTCGAAAATCTACACGAGCCGCCTTGGGAAGAAGGGGGAATCACAAAAGGTAGAAAGAGATGAAGAGAAGTAAGGAAGGAAAGAGAGAGGCCGAGAAACAAATTGGACGTATGGGTAGAGAACAACAGCTTATATCAAGCATGGCGATCACACAGGTCCACGCCTTTGCCAAGGACAACTGGTGATGGGAGGAATACTGGCGACATCCTGGGCACAGGAGACCCTCTCGAGACCGGACCAGCGAATCATCTGCACAGGGATCTGTGAATCGGGCAGAACGGGGTCCGATCCAAGCCTGGGTATGAGAGGAACAGGACAAGGAGGAGAGGAGATAGATACTGTGGTTTGGTATAGTCAGGATCCGAACCTCATCTGGTCTTGGTCTGCTGGTCCTTGGTGGGGTGGGTGAGCGGAAGAAGAGGGAGGGGGGGGCGCAACGAGATGAGGTACGTACCATGAGTAGTGGTAGTAGTGATAGCAGTTGTCATTTACTTGCCATCCCAACCTTAATGCTAAGGTTGTGTCAAAGCCAAACGTGCCTTGCGCAGCCAAAACCTAGGCGGCTGTCGTCAGTGAGGACGACAAGGGGAAAGGAGTGAGGAGGCGGCTATGTGAGCAGCGATGATGAGACATCCGAAGAAGGGGCCATAACATGGGCTGTCATGGCTGGTTACAGGGGTATGCCCCGTCGACAACCTCCGCTAGCCAATGCTGGTGGAGGGACGACCACCTGTGACAGATCCGTCTCGACTTGTGTTTGGCATTTTTCCCTTGCCGCTGATTCACGATAGGGAAATCGTCCGGACAGCCAACTACAATCAGTTCTCAATCGGATGACAGCTTTTCTTGGGCATTTATTGACTTTGATTTTTTATACTGAGTTTTCGTTTTTTTTTCATGGACTCACTCAACAATTTGGACCGAGAAGAGGAGCATCAAAGCTGTACAAGATGGGCCCTGGACAGCTACAGCGATCACTATGCTGTAGCAAGTAAAAGGTAGGCATTGCGTTCAGGCTTTATTTCCCCAATACTATGGAACCTCTTCAGTGGGTCCAGGGGTGTCGATTAAACTCGCGGGTCCTCCAAATAACGTTTAGATCACCCGCATTAGTCCTGGGCCTTGCAGCAGCAGTCAGTCAGTGGCGCGTCCCAACTTTCTCAGGCCTGGGTCTCAGTGTCTGTCTGTCTATGTGTCTCTTCTCCGTCCATACTCGGCTTCTAAAAACCCGTGCGAGGCTGAGCACGGTTGCCATGCCTCCTGGTTTGTCCCTCTTTTCCGTGATATACCATACCGATCCCATTCCTTCATCCCAGGATCAGCCACTCGGCCCAGTGACAAGTCTAGATTGCCGGGAGGCCGCCCTTCGTCTCATGAATTGGATTAGTGGACCGTGGTGGACTGTCCTATACTACGCCGAATAGGTTCAGATTATGACTGACTTGTCATAGAAGCCGCCCATGCAAAGAGAGGGTGAGAGAGGGTGAGCTTGAGAGAAATTTCGTCTGGTCTCAAGTGTGGCTTTCGTAGCTATCATCCCAGATCCGCCTGGCTGTATGTCACCTACTGTCTGATGCAGTAGCGCCTGGAATGCAGCGCACTGCCTTCCACAATGTAGCCTTACAGCTCTACAACTTGCTGGCGTCTTGAAAGCTCCCATAAATGAGCGCCGTTTTTCATAGCTTCTGAACGGGGTCACGTACAATTCTCAGCTAGGTGGAGATGGAACAAGCTTTTTCTCTGTGGACATTGATCCAGGCTCTAGCACGAAGCGAACGGGTCTCGATGCAATTCCTCACTGCTTGGAAGAAACGACAAAATTCCCGCGTCTGCGTGATGTCAACTGCTGTATAGCTTTTTGGAGAGTCGCGATTCGCTTGGCCGGGTCCATTATGGTCATGTTCCAATTGAAACAAACATCTTGTGTGATTATTCCCATGCAACACAGGGGTTGGGGTTGGGTACGTTTCGTGTCTTGAAAGAACCGGACAGTCCTGCCAAAACGCCACCGAATGGCCAAGTTCCCACCTCTAGTGCGATTGATTGATTGAACGATTTGGGCAGAAACACCCTAAGTGGGAAGAGTGAGAAAAAGAGATACAGAGAAAATCGTATGACAACCCACGTGGCGGCTGTTTGGCCATAGTAGTCCCCCGGGCGGGGCAACGTTTCTACCACACTATGTCCCGGAGTCCCTGACGATCCAACACGGGCTGTCGCAGAATGGCTAATCTGAAGGTCGATCAATCAACACCAACCAAGCCTTTGATCTTGTGGCTTCTATCAAATGCTGAGACTCACTGCCCTTCCCGTCCTTGCACAATAATTCTAGTCCGATGCGAAGATACTTCCGAATCAACGTAACGACCTGCTTCGTAAGGATAAACAAAATCCTTCTACCGTCGAGGGTGCGACTGCTTCAGAGCAGCGGGCCGTGTCAAGCCCCCCGTCCTGTGAGGGCGATGATCGGTCGGAGCCCGAGGATCATCCAGAGTCCGAATGACGGTCGTCATGGAGCATTTCGTTTCTCTTCTTGCTGCCGTTTCTGTTGGCCCTCGTAGAGTCCTGTATAGTATCCAGCATAGTACCAGGACATGAGAAGTCTCTTCAAACCCTCATCTTGAACTGCAAGCTCGGGAAAGGGAAAAGAAATTAGCCATGTTACTCAGGAGATACTCGCAGAGGGGGAGGAGCGAAACACGCTTCCAGGACTTCTGTCTTTCTCTCTCTCTCTCTCTCTCACTCATATCTTCTCACGTACCAGAACTGATCAGAGCTTGTGGTGGAGGCATGAGGCCTGCCCCGCCACTCACGCCGCCGGCCATGCCCTGACCCTCCTCTTTGTGCCCACCACCGTTCGTCGCCAGGTGGTCGTCGTCATCATCTTTTATGCGCTCCTGTTTTGAACGTGCCGCGTCAGTCAAACCAACCTGTCATTTCTCAAGTCAAACCTCCACAACATATGAACGAGGGAGGAACTCCCGTCGATCACCACATGGAACATGCAAGGCCTCAGCAGGCCAAGACGCGGTGATCTTCAAATGATTCTCCCCAGGGTAAGGTAGGTAAGGTAGGATGTGGGACATTTGGCTTCGTGCTGCTGCCATGTTCAGGACGAGCATCTCTGCCCCAAAGAAATCCTGTCCTGGGTCTGGCTGGATCCAGGGCAAGGTACAACAGTCCTGCCATATGGTGGTGCTCACCTCGGCCGGGCCATTCGCCGCGGCAGCGCCCGTCTTGGCTACGTCTCCTACTCCCCCTCCTCCTCCTTGCCGACCTTGTGAATTCGCAGCAGTGGCGACAGATTCACCTGGCAGCGCATGGGACGCAGGCTCCTCGCCCTGAACGAGTGTCGTTTCAGGCTTGGCATGTCTGTCCCCGGCAAAAAGTCAGCTGGAAAGATCCTCGAACGGAGGGGAGGAGAGAGGCTTGTCAGAACAGGGTCGTCTGAAGATTCCCCAAAGCTCACTCTGGTAGATCCTCCAGCTTGCCTCCCGTGGCGTGGATGCTATGGTATTTCTAGGAGTGGAATGGTCAGTCAATCTCACTTTGCGCCCAAGATCGGTCTGCAGCCACACAGGGTGTCGAGCTCGGACGTCTGCAGCTCACCTTGTACTCGGCCAGAGCCTCGTTCCAGGACTCCACCAGTGCCGAATCATCCCAGATGTCCTCATGTGCCATCTCTTCTATTCTTTCATCCATTTTGTTGTTGTGGCTCAGATGGTAATGGTGGTGGCGGCGGGGTTGGCGGTGATATTTGACGTCGATGTTGGCTGCATGCTGTGTTTTTGCAGGGTGCGCGATTGAACAATGGCGCCTGAGCTCTTTTTCACTCCATCTCTTTCAGGCACTGCAAGTTGTTGCTACGACGTTCTGTGGGCTGGGAAATGGTCACTGCAGGCAGAGATCAACTACTCCCTCGTCTCCAAGAACACTGCACATCTTGAGAAACAGAGAGAAAAGTCCCCAAATCCCCATTCTTTACATCTCTTTAGATACTCTGGTCATTTTTGAGCACGCACACTAATTCTCTCGCATTTCAATAGGACGTTTGCATTGCGTAACTGGAGAAGCGGCGTGGAGGGAAGACACATACATTTGCGGGTCACGATTGTCACCCGCTGACACTTACACAACTCCCTCGTCCACTCTACCTCTTTACACAACTGGTCAATTTGTAGAAAACTGACCTCCATCGAGATCTCCAATACCTGAGGTGCGTTTGAGATCCAAACTCAAAAGGCATACCCCTCGTCCACCTAATGTAAGCCGTCTCGTCAAGCCACTAACTTCTCCAAGATGTTAGGACAATGACTTGTATCGTTACAGCGCCTTCAGCGCCCACCAAGGCACTAAAGACAAGCCCGCAGAGACCACTAATACCACCAAGACCGCTAGGCGCGCTAAGCAGCGAGCATGCCGAGAAGCGAATGCCGAGTTGTTATGACACGGACTTGGCGAGGAGAGAACCCTCCGGTCCCCAAACCTTCATCCCACACGACCAAGTCCTAGCCATGAAGCATGACAGACACAACACAACACAGCTGAGGTTGATTGTCAACCAAGTGTCGACAGAAAGAGGAAGAGGGAGCACTGATCAGATCAGAAGCATTCAAGGCACTGGATGGCGACCTGGAAGTGCCTCCCTGCCCCGGATTCTTCGGAAGGAAACGCATCGAAGAGGGGAGAAACCCACGGACGCTACCCGATTAAACCCCATGGGCGTCTCCAGATTCCCTCCCCGGGTCATTGATGCCCAAAAGGGTGTGTGAGTTTGTATTGGTGATAGCGAATAGTCTCACTTCTCTTTCTTATTGTCCGGGTGAAGGTTGTCCGCGAGCATCCTTTCCCTTATCAGAAGCGAGCTTGACGGATCACAGTCACCCTCGTGATACGATGTGCTGGGGATCGGAAAAGGGAAAAAGTAAAGCACCACACACTATCATCCTGCTGCCGTGCGTGGACCATGTCCCTTCCAGTGGATGTGGAGGGCTAAAGAGGCACGAGAGGGCTTGCGGAAATACCAAGCTGAGCAAGCCGGTCAAGCCGGTGTGAGACACGAGCCTGGAGTACTTATTCACGTGCTATGATTCGATACTACATGGATCGACGGCACCGCTGGCTTGGTAAGTGAGTGGCGGTCGGGTGTAAGACCGTTTGGCTAAAACTTTAGGTGTGGACCGGGGAACGAGCAAACATTAGCCCCTAAGAAGCTAAAGAAAACAGATCCAAAGAGATGTCTAGGCCGGGGAGAGAGAGAAAGGTCCTCACGTTAGGTATCATGAGCATAGTATGTTGTTGCGTCTCCCTTCAACACACGAGACTCAGAATTAAGATTCCTTCCTCTTCTACTACTTTCTCCCGAATGGCATGACAGCTTACTCCACAGCCCCAAGGCCCAGAACAAACCCCAAAGAAGGAGAATATTATACTATAGTATTATGTATGCAACCATGATCACAAGGCCCATGCAGCAGCGGGTTGTGGAGGCCGGGCCTTGTCTGACAGCTGAGAAAAGAGGGGCTAGAAGATGCAGGCTCGTAGGCCGTCTGCCTTACTGTCCCGTGCAGTGTCTCTCCACAGCAGAAGCAACGTGCTCAGAATATACTTGCATAGAAGGAAAAGGTGGGGGAGGCCCTCTGCCGGCTGACCTCGCCCCCCCTTCCCTTTCCCCTGTCATGCCCTTGCCCTTCCCTCGACGTCACCCCATCCTATCTCAAGACAAGAGGGAGGGGGAAGGCTGATCAAAAAAAATCCTCCAGAATTGTTTTGGCGCCCGCCCTTCCCCCTCGGGAGCTTGTCAACTGCTTCTGTAATGTGGTGTGTGCTTGGTGGAACATGGACATATTCAAGGGCCATGGACTGTTTTTATTGGAGAAGAGGGTGGGAAACCCGTGATTTCCCCCATTTACATAAACACATTTGCTCCCCGTTCATAGGTGGTGGCGGCTTACCTACTCTTTAGTCCAATGAGTTGACATACACAGCTTTCTTTCAGAGACAACCTAACTAACCGAACTTTCACCACAAGTACTTACTTAGTATTTAGCTTCATTCTAAGAAGCAAACCAGGCAGAAACATCAGCACACAAACACAAGCCACAAGACCCCCACCTTACGTGGTGCCCCTAGATTTCACTCAACTGATACACAATGGACGAAGCATTTCAGCCCAGGCACAGCATTGATATTGCCTTGCCAACAACAGAGGAGTCAGTAGCTAGCCAACTTTCTACTTACCTCCCCTCCCCTTTCCCCCCAAAGAATTGGGACGACGCAACCCAATTCGACACTACTCAAACAAAAAGAGACAACAAACTGACAGAAAATTTCACAATGGCTACTAGTCACTCAGAACACTACATTGGCATCGATGTGGGCACAGGCTCTGCCCGAGCCTGCATCATCGACGCCACTGGAGAGATCAAGGCATTGGCTGCCCAGGACATCAAGCTGTGGCAGCCAGTCAAGGGTGAAGCTGCACACTATGTATGCCCCCCCCAAGCAGTCATTCATTGAGAGGAGGGAGGCTATTGTACCAACTTATTTGGGAACAGAAAAGAAAGTGCTGTCTGTTTTGGCTGACTTGATTCCCTTCTTTTCTCTTCTTCTACAGGAACAATCCACCACAGACATATGGAATGCAATCTGTTACTGTGTGCAGAAAGTCGTATCGGATTCTCTCGTCCCTCCCACCAGCATCAAAGGCATCGGTTTTGATGCAACCTGCTCTCTCGCTGTTTTCTCACACGACACCGACGAGCCCGTCCCTGTGACCGGTCCAGACTTTGCCAACGATGGCAACGACCGAAATGTGATCCTGTGGCTCGACCACCGGCCCCTGGAGGAGACCCAGAAGATCAACCAGACCAAGCACAACCTCCTCCGCTATGTCGGCGGCACGATGAGCGTGGAGATGGAGATGCCCAAGGTTCTGTGGCTCAAGAACAACATGCCGCCAGAGCTGTTCAACCGCTGCAAGTTCTACGACCTGGCCGATGCCCTGACCCACCTGGCCACCGGCAACGAGACGAGAAGCTACTGCAGCACGGTGTGCAAGCAGGGATACGTCCCTGTCGGCGTCGACGGCAGCGTCAAGGGCTGGCAGGAGGACTTCTACCACACCATTGGCCTGGGAAAGCTGGTCGAGGATAACTTCAAGCGCATAGGCGGCGTCCACGGGGTGGTAAGCCCTTCCCCTTATGCCGGCTTTTTTTCCTTTCCGGCGGTAGAGTGACAGCTGGGGCTAACTGTAGACGTGCAGAACGGTACATACCTGAGCGCGGGAGAGCTCGTGGGCAAGCTCTCTGAGAAGTCTGCCAAGCAACTCGGCCTACCGGCTGGAATCTCTGTCGGAAGCGGTGTGATCGATGCGTACGCGGGCTGGATCGGAACTGTGGGCGCTAAGGTCAAGCTCGGCCCCGACCTCCTCGACGAGTCCACCGCCAAGAACGACGTGAGCCAGGCTTTCACACGACTTGCCGCCGTGGCCGGCACCTCGACGTGCCACCTGGCCATGTCGAAAGAACCTGTCTTCGTGCCTGGCGTCTGGGGTCCGTACCGAGACGTCCTCATCCCTGACTACTGGATGGCCGAGGGAGGACAGTCTGCGACGGGTGAGCTGCTCAAGTACATGCTGGAGACGCACCCTGCCTACTGGGAAGTCCTCGCAAGCTCCAAGGCCCTGGGACAGAACATATACAACTTCCTGAACGAGCACCTGCGCGAGATGGCCCACCAGGCGGGCGCTCCCTTCATCGGCTACCTCACCCGCCACTACTTTTTCTATGGCGACCTCTGGGGCAATCGATCGCCCATTGCGGACCCCAACATGCGCGGCGCCGTCATCGGCATGAGTAGCGACAAGACTCAGGACGGCCTGGCCTTGCTGTACTACTCGGTGATGGAGTTTATCGCCCTGCAGACGCGCCAGATCATCGAGACCATGAACAAGTCCGGCCACAACATCCTCAGCATCTTCATGTCCGGGAGCCAGTGCCAGAACGACATCCTAATGGACCTCATAGCCACGGCATGTAACATGCCGGTGCTGGTCCCACGCTACGTCAACGCCGCCGTCGTCCACGGCGCCGCAATGCTCGGAGCCAAGGCCGCCAGCGCCGACGAGAAGGGCCAGACCGAGCCGCTGTGGAACATTATGGACCGCATGAGCAAGCCGGGCAAGACGGTACGGGCGGATACAAACTCTGGGAAGAAGAAGCTGCTGGATGTCAAGTATGAGGTCTTTCTGGAGCAGTGCAAGACACAGCAGGAGTACAGGAAGAAGGTTGATGCTGTCATCAGCGAGGGAAAGATCAACGGGGAGAAGAAATAGACATTGGTCTCTCTCTCTCTCTCTCTCTCTCACTCATACACACTGAAGAAGGAGAGAGACAGAGACTACCACCTGCAATGGCTAGCTGTCTAGGACATGGGAAGACCTGAGTGTATTGATAGAAAAAGTTGAACAGGAATGAACATCTGAAGAGGTTAAAGAAGTATATGTGATATCGAGCTTGATTGTGTGTTAGTGGTAGTGTGCTGTGGGTCTTTGTCTTTTTCCCACTTTGCTTGTAACACTCCCTAGCTGTCAGGGTGCAAGGGTGCTACTGTGCCAGGATGTCAAGGGCTGCTGCAGTGGGTTGGGCGCTGCAAAGGAGCTACAACCCCCTACCCCAAATTTTTGAAATGCCTGCCGCTGCAACCCTGCGGTCCTGGCCTCACCTTAGTATTTCTCTCCCCTAAGACTGGACCCTCTCCAAAACAGCTTCTCTGCAGACTGTAAACACAACCTTGCCTCTCCCCAACTCAAGGAGGTGTCCCACCCCTCTCGACGCGTTGTGTTGACGTGTCATATCCTCAATTCTTCCTCTTGCTTGTGTTCTTTTTCATTCTCAAACACAGGCAAGATGTCTCTTTTTGGTGGTGGCAGCGTTGCCTCTGGAGCTCCCAGCTCTGGCACAACACCCGCGCCTGCTGGAAGCCTGTTCGGCGGTGGCGGCGGCAGCGGCAATACGGCCCCTGGTGGTACGACCGGTGGTGGTCTCTTCGGCAATCTAGGTGGTGGCAGCAAGCCGGCAGGAGGAGGCCTGTTCGGTAATCTAGGCACCAACACCGCTGCCGCTCCTGCTGCAGGAGGAGGTGGTGGTGGATTGTTCGGTCAGGCAAACACAGCACAGCCTGCAGCAACTGGCGGCAGCATGTTTGGAAACACTGGACCGGCGCCGGCGACCTCTGCAGCTTCTGGTTCCTTGTTTGGATCCACGCTGTTGGGGGGCCAGACAACCAACAACCCATCCGGCGCATCGAGCCTCTTCGGCGGCGGCGGCTTTGGTAACGGGACGAACAACAACGCGACAGCTACCAACGCGAATGCGAACTCCTCGATCGCGGCGGCGAACCCCCCGACCGGTGCCTTCTTCGACAGCCTCCTCGCCAAGAGCAAGCGACAGCAAGCCGATGGCGACGACGCCATGCTCGACGACCTGCCGCCCCTGCAGCTGGGCCTGGGTGACCTCCGACAGCGCCTGAAGAAGCTCGGCTCCCGCAAGCCCGACGGCGATCGCAATGTGGGAAGGAATACACACTACCTCCTCGCCGCGTCGGGCATCGAGCCCGGCTCTGCAGTTCGTGACCTGGGCTCGCTGGGCTTTCAGTCGTCGCGGCTGGACCGATCTACGCACGCGGGCCCCCAGGGCGAGGTGGACGTCGAGACATACCTGTCGAACCTTCAGAGCAAGACTACCCTGAGCATGATCGCGGATGGCCTCGAGAGGTCTGTGAAGGACTTCGACGCGTTTCTCGAGGACAATGTCACGATGGAGTGGGAGGCACAGCGGCACCGGATCTACCAGCACTTTGGCATCACAGTCAAGCAGAACACAGGCCTCCCCGGCGGAAAGGAAACTGGTGGCTTTGGCTTTTCGAGGCGGAAAGGGCAGCGACCTCCGAGCCCTGGCAGGTCGACCCCAAGAGGCGGCAGTGCTTTTGGAAGATCTGGCCTCGGCAAGTCTGTCATCGGCACGCCCAGCAGGATAGGGTCCCATGCACCACAGTTCTCAGACGTTGGAGCGGCGAATGGCGATGGGTCTCTGGCCGGCAGCGGTGGCGTCGATGACCGCTTCTCGCGGGACAAGCAGCTCAAGCTCGCCGACAAAGTCCACAACCTCAACGACGCCCGCCAACAAGGCCTGCCGTATCCAATCTTGAAAGAACTGGCAGATGTAGCGGCAAGGTCTGGCGAGAAGCATGCTGAGCACCTGGCTGACGCTTACACTGCACTGGTCGAGATCGTCGGCGAGAATCCTGATGCCGAAGCCCCAGGCGCAGATGCCACCGCCAGCGAGCGACAGTACGCGAGCTGGTATCTGGATCCCGATGCAAACTCGCCACACAGAATCGCTATTCGAAAGCGCATCCTGGCTGGTGCCAACAGGTTCCTGGAGAAGAAATTCATGGACGGTGTCGAGCAGCAGATTGCAAAGAACCCATACCAAGCTCAGCTCGGCGGGAGGCCTGATGTTCTACACAAGATCAAGGCCTACGTCCGACTTTTGCACCTCAACAAGCACCTCGCTCCAGAGATTACAGACCTACAATCTATCAAGTCCGGCGAAGACCAGGAGTTTGTTTGGGCCATCATTTTCTACCTGCTGCGGTCGGGACACGTCACCGAGGCAGTTCAATATGTCAACGACAATCAGAACCACTTCAGGTCAATTGACCGGTCTTTCCCTGGTTTCATCAACAGTTACGCCTCCACCGAGGACCGGCGACTGAAGAGACAACTCCAGGATCGCTGTAATACCGAATACAGCCAGCGCATCCGCAATGCTCCCGAGAACACGGTCGATCCTTACCGTGCTGCCTGCTACATGATTATCGGACGCTGCGACTTGGCACACCGGAGCTTTGAAGGGTTTCAGGCCGACGTCATCGACTGGCTCTGGCTTCAGTTCAATCTTGCCCGCGAGGGCGATCGGTCGGTGGAAATTGCGGGTGAGGTGTATGGTCTCGAACACGTGCAGGACACCATCAAGAACATTGGCCAGAAATTCTTCCCCAAGAACAATCTCGACGAGGCTAAGGGCAACTTCGGACTGTTCTTCTTCATGCAGGTATTGTCTGGCATGTTTGAGCAGGCCGTTGCCTACCTGTACAACTTTGTGTACGTCGACGCGGTGCACTTTGCCATCGCGCTGGAGTACTACGGCCTCCTTCGCGCGTCAGACGGCGTGACCAATGACCTGCTGTCTCATAGCACGCAGGGCCTGTCGCAGATCGCCTTTGGAAGGATGCTGGGGTACTACACCCGCGACTTTAGAGCCGCGAATGTTGCTGCCGCTGTCGACTACATCGTCCTGATATGCCTCAACCACGACGACCCGAGCGAGGAGAAGCGCAAGGAACAGGTACAGCTCTGCTACGAGGCTCTGCGGGAGCTGGTTCTGGAGACCAGAGAATTCAGCAAGCTGATTGGGGACATACGGCCGGATGGTCGGCGCCTCCCTGGCATTATTGAGAACCGCGGCCCGCTGCTGGGTCTGGAGGAGGAGAACGATCTCATCCGAAATATCACCCTCCAGGCAGCGCGGTTTGCCAACGATAATGGCCGGACGACGGATGCCGTGCTGCTGTACCACCTCGCGGAAGACTACGACACAGTAGTCGTAATCCTCAGCCTGGCCGTGAGCGAGGCCATCTCCCTCGAGACCGGAAGTGAGCCCATACGTCTGGAGCCCGTCAAGCCACGAGCCGAGGGCCACCAGGCAGCGGCCCAGCCAGGGAGCAGCCTCAGCCTCGCGTCGATTGATGACCCTGTGGAGCTGGCGAGGACGATGATGCAAATGTACGAAAGCGACCGACAGTTCCGCCAGAAGATACAAGACGTCAACCGCACAGCCTGCAATGTTTTACTACAGATGGCGCAGATCAAGAGCCTTGTGGCGAGTGGCCAATGGATGGCCGGTCTTGATGTAAGTTCTAGTGCGAGTTCTGAAAATTGGCAGCTACTAACAATTCACTCCCCACGACAATAGCAAGTCAGGAACCTCGACATACTCCCCCTCACATCGAACGGCGACCCGACCACGATCCGGGCCTACGCTGCCAAGTTTGCAGCACTGCCACAACCGGTGTCGGCCAATGTGGGCAACCTCTTGATGTGGACTGTTGTCTGCTGTACACAGCAGCGCGACAGGCTGCTCGCTGGACAGTACAGCGGAAATGAGGGTACGTCTCGGGAGCTGCAGGTGCAGCTCAAGCAGATGTGTCAGGACCTCACGGCATACACCAGCCACCTCAGATACCGGTTTCCCTCGAGCTTGTTAGAAGCGCTGGCGAGAGCTTCGGCGGACTGAAATGGAAAGGATTGGCAATGGGCTGCAGGTGGTGGCTCTGGAGAAGTGGTGATAGACATATGATGGCTTGTAATGGTGCACAGCGTATGTTTTGCGAGGAAGATAAATACCTGGTGCGGCAAGGTTCATTCTGAAAAGCCGACGTCTTCATGGTTGATTTCAAAAGGCGTCGGTAGTTTTTTTTTTCCAGCATACACACACATGAACGATTGAACGCAAGCCTGCAGATAGGTTATGTCAAACAGAGCCATCATGAATGAGCGCATGGTCTATACGAAGAGTTTCAGACTCAAAAATACGGAAGAAGCTTAGGCGCAATGCACAATGTCGCCGTGGTTTCTTTGTCTCGATATGTCGAGACAGGCTGTTACTGTTACCAGAAGTAATGCTGTGTGGGCAGGGTCCATCCTGCAGCGCTGCACCAGTGAGGTCATGGTTTGAGGGCAGGGGGGTTCCTGCAGGGTTGCTCAACGACATACGATGGTAAGGCGCGACCCCCCTAACATTGTGGTAACCATGGTACAAAGTACATTATCAGTACCCGCCCCAACGAACTGTGGTATAGTGCCATGATAGGCTCAGAGAGCAAGCAAGAACCCTGACCTGAAGCGAAACCAAGAGCTCTTAACTTTTGGGCTGGGGGGGTTTTTTTTTAACCCTGTGTTGAATTTTTTTTTTTCTCCTTCCCTTCCCATCTCTCTTGTCTACCCATTCATCTGTTGCATGGGAAGAAGAGAGAGAGAGAAAAAAATCTGACTCGGACTGAGGCCTTTCCTTCTCAATTGTGTACAAGTTTCTGAATCATTCTTTTTTCGAGGACCCCTCGACGGCTTATTACATACTGTAGTAGTACAAGCCTGACTCTCTCACATTCTACCTCGGAACTGACAAACTCTCGAGTCGAGATTTCGAGGTAACGGGAATAAAATCTGCTGACCTGGCCTGTCCTCTCACTGTTCCCGGCGGCTGTTCTCTGGGGCTGCGCCTCGTGTGTCGAACGGGTCTGCCAAGTCAGTCACTTTCCTGGTTTTGGGGTGTTTTTTCTCTCTCTCTCTCTCTCTCTCTGTTCTTTATCGAGATCTAAACGAGCCGAGGATGTGATAAATAATAATAATGATAATAAAACAGGGCGGAGACAACGCAGGTCACACCAGCCTGCTTGTCCAGAGACGGAAACCACCCTTGTCGCCTTGTTTTCTTCTTCTTCTTGGGGCCCTTGTTGGCGATTTGAAGGTTATTCCTGCAGTGTCTTATTCTTTCTCTTGGGTCCACGACGAGCCATTGAGAGAGAGTGTGTGAGAGAGAGCCACGCAATAATAGTTCTCTCTCGACTGCTACGGTTTACAGTACGGCTCACGGCCATTCGAGATCTGTCTGAAACCGCGAGACAACGCCGTGGTGAGAGAGAAAGAGCGAGAGGAAGGAGGAAATAGTTCTCATTGGGGGGAAAGAAAGGTCACACCTGGAAGAGGTCCGTGACAGGACCACTGCCAGTCGAACACGAGCGGCTGAGCAGAAGAGAGAGAGAGAGAAAAAGGAGAAGAAGAAAAAAAAAGGGGGTCCCAGTAATTATTAGGACTGGGACTCGGGCTGGAGGAGGAAGGGTGCTCAAACAACAGGACAGGATAACGCCATCGGACCCCTATACATGTAACATACATATGTACATGTATATATAGTAGGGTCTCGAGGAAATGTCCCACAAAGACTCCATCACGGCGGCATCTCCATCGACTCAGTCCACGGGGAGCCGCAGCGCCACGCCCGGCGTCAAGAGAGACCTGTCTGCCATTGAGGTCAGCACCGGCTCGATCATGAACGGTGGCGACTCCTCGCAGCACTCGGCGCCAGGCTCACCAATGGGGCCCGACTCTAAGAAGAGAAAATCCGTTCCTGGCTCACGGGGTGTGGCCAATCTGACCCCGGAGCAGCTGGCCAAGAAACGTGCCAATGGTATGTCACCCTCTTCCATTCCTCCCCTCCACTCCATCTCCTGTATTTCATAATGCGCAATGGCATGACTGATATTTTGTATCCAACAGATCGTGAGGCACAGAGAGCCATCCGCTCTCGGACAAAACTCACGATAGAGAACCTCGAGAGGAGGATCCGTGAGCTCACCTCACAGCAGCCATATCAGGAGCTGCAGGCTGCTCTCAGGGCCAAGGAGGCGGTCGAGGCCGAAAATGCCGACATCAAGCGGCGGCTGGCCTCGATCGTGGCCCAAATCAGCCCCATCATCACGCAGTCGCCTTCTGGGCATTCCGTCATGCCCTCGCCAGGCCAGTCCTTCATACCCACGACGGCCACCCCGGGCCCTACCCATGCCGCCGCCGCCGCCGCTGCTGCGAGTGTTAACAACACATCGACGCCATCCAGTGTAGCGTCCCCTCCAGCGACGTCTGTCGATCCTTATGCGCAGTGGAACTCGGCCGCGTCGAGCACCAGTGGTGGCCCTACTGCACCACCGCTTCATGCGGCGTACAGGGCACAGCTGAGCCAGCAGCGACACGAGCTTGCTCATGGCTTGGAGTTGGGCTCGGAGAGACTCGGCCTCGGCTTTCTCCTGGAACAGGTCAAGGGTTCCACCTCCAACAGGGCCCAAGATATGTCTGGTGGTGGTGGTGAGGCGGTGGTATGTCAGTCTGCAACAGGGTATCGCGAGGGGCCGCCTCCACAGATGGGCATGGCCAACCAGCACCAACACCAACAGCAGTACATGGTCTCGGCGCGCGACAGTGCGCTGCAGAGCGCCATCGACCCAGTCCTGCAGGGCGCGATAGATCCTGCCCTGTCGAACCACCAGCACCACTCGACGCCTGTCAAAAACTGCGAGCCGACCTGCACGCTGGACAGCCTACTGCTCGAGTTCCTCCGCGAGCGGCGGCAGCGCGCGGCCGAGGGTTTTCCCTCGCACGAGATCATTGGGCCTCGCTGGCCCAACATATCGTCCATGCTGAACCCCATGAGGGAAGCCCACCCGCTGTCCAAGGTCTTCATCGACATCCTGCACACCTTCCCCAACATCAGCCAGTTGCCCGAGCGCGTCGCCGTGCTCTACATCATGTTCCTCATCATGCGGTGGCAGATCGACCCTTCGCAGGACAACTACGACCGCCTCCCGGATTTTGTGCGGCCCCTCCCCTGCCAGCTGTACAGCCCCCACGCCGCCTGGCTGGACCATCTCCCCTTTCCCGCCATGCGCGAGCGCCTCATCCACGACTATGCGCCACCAGATGTCTTTCCCTTCGAGCACTTCTTTGTCCCTTACACCACCACCCTGAGCCTGAACTGGCCCTACGAGGACACCGACACCCTGCTTCAGGGCCCTGCCGAGACCGATGAGCTGATGATCAACCCCGTCTTTGAGAGGCACCTGCGCAAGGCCGAGAACTGGTCCCTGGGGGATGCCTTTGCGAGGGCCTTTCCAATGCTTCAAGGGACCTATAACCTCAAGCCGGACGGCAAGGCATCCAGCAGTGGTGGTGGTGGTGGTGGTGGTGGTGGTGGCGGTGGTTTCGCCGATGAGAGGAAGCACGGTCCTGAAACGCAAACATGACCCTGCCTTTTAGGACAGCTTTCTGTTACAACAATCATCCCTGAGCGGCTCTTGGGCTGCGGGCGCTTGTCATTCCCAGTAGCTTGTTTGGTGCCTCTAATACTCTTAAGAGCCAAAGAGAAATATCGGACAAAAACTTGATCATCGAGAAAGTCGGGCTGCTAGACCAGAGAGCGGACGCAAAGTAAGGAGGGGATCACCACAAAGCCAGATTCACACACGATGGGGACTTACTACTTTGCCATTATCGAGAAATGATACGGCGGCCAGTTCTATCGCCTCCTCCTTCCCCCCCCCTCCCGGCATGCCGCCTGCTATCCTCCCCCATAGCCGACGGCAAACTCTCTTCCTCTTTTCCCCCGTCCTCTGGTTGGCATATAGGAGTTCGTTGCCTGCTAGAGATGCAGCCCCTCCTGAGCTTTATGACAGCCAACGAGCCTCTGGTCATCTGCAGGCTGTTCTCACAGCCTCTCTTTCGCTCTTAGACACTCGGCGGTCTCGGGGGAAACCCCAAGCAAGCGACAACCAAACTGGACAAATGGTCGCAACAACCCAATTCCCCAACCAGAGTCAAAAGGCTCAAATCTTATGTCTCTTTCGCTCTCAAAAAGATCATTCCCAGAAGAAAGATTTTCAATGGAAAAGAAACACAGGAGAAAAAGAAGAGAAGAGGGGCAAATAGCCAAGATTTGTCAAGAAGTTTTTCTGTTCGGAGCCAAGGGGGAGTATATAGATATACACCTACATATATATCTGAGACAAGAAATGCAAGACAATCAGTGTCATAGGGCTGGGCATTCTATCCAGGGTTTAGGCGATGCTTCTTCTTCTGCCACTCTTTTTTCTTAAGAAAAAAAAATGAAAGAAAAGAAAAAAGAAAAGAAAAGAGGAAAGAGGAAAGACATTGACAGCGGACACACAAAAAAATCCCCTTGTTTGCTTCGGTTTGTGTGTCCATGAGGGCCTTTTTTTTTTTTTGAAAAGGGGGGGGGGGGGTTGTCGAGATAGAGGAAGACAAGTATTCCATGCAGGTCGCCTTTCTCTTCCCGTTACACCGACTGTATCGGCATGCATAATGTTATGATGTCCGTCCTCTGGGCTCGAAATGTGCCCCCGAGAGGAAGAAGAGAGACTTGACACACAAACTGATAGGCACTTTATGCCAGAATTCCACATGTAAGTATACATGGGCGTGCGTGTGTGCGCATCCATCGATCAATAGGGGAGATAAGTCTGGACTCGGGAAAAAGGCTCTTGGTGCCTCCCTCTCCTGTAAATTGATATGAGCATACAAGAAAATCGCATAGCATGCCGGGCGTGGAATAGGTTGTAAGTGGCAGAACAAATCGTATAAGGATGATGGTATCTCAAATAGCAGCCGCCAGTATCCTGAACTCCATATATGTGTCCATCCATGTAGGTGTGCGTTTCTGAGATGGACCGCGCCTCATGCAGAGTGTCTCACTCCGTGCGTACGCACTTGTCCATCCATATTACTACGCGTACACAAGTTTTCTCTCTCTTTCTCTCTCTCTCTTTTTGGCCTCAACAATCCCCGTCCTCATCCTCATCCAGCCCAAAGCTAAACTTCCTCACCACCGACCCGGCAGCCACCCAGAGGCTCGGGTCTTTTTCCCATGGCATCGCCTGCCACTGCAGCGCCTTGACGACCCCGCCGCCGTCCCCGAGCTTGAGCCTGTCGAAGTTATCCAGGGCGCCGGCTCTCAGCTTTTTACCAGTTCGCAGTGAGAACACCCCCACGCTGCCGTCGTCCATACCCGCGGCGACAACCCGACCGGCGCCCGAGACCCGTGTGATGTCCAGGCCGATGTGAATGTGCGCGGCGTTGCTGTACTCGGGCATTTGTACGACAGACCTGGACGGCGTGACCGCCGCCGCCCTCCTGCCACTACGACTGTTACTGCGGCGGACCTCCTGGGTCATCCAGCGCAGGTCATAGACGGCCATGGCGCCCCGCGGCCCAGCGGCGAGCAGCTGATGCCCGTCGTCAAGGGCCCGCAGGTGTGCGACTGATGAGGGGTGACGGAAGCCATGGAACCCTGGGCTGGTGTCCTGCTGGCAGTCGCCCGCCCTCGGGTCGAGGCGGAAGAACACGCCGTCCCGGGCCCCGCCGTAGCACACAGGTCCGCCTGTGGGGTGCCAGTCGACGGTCAGCACCTCGCCCCGCGAGACAGATGAACCGGCTCCGCGAGGGCCTCCCAGGCGCTTGGGCGACCAGTCGTTATTCGGGACCTCAATGTCACCGAGCGTGCACACGCCATGGCTAGTCGCAAGCAGGGCTACCAGGCCGGAGCCGGTGGGACAGAGGCGAGCGGCGTTGATGGTCAGGCTCTCATTGGGGAAGACGAGGGCCTGGCTGCTTTCGCTTTGGCCGAGGAGCCAGGCCGGGTGCGGGCTGATCTCGTGCTCGTAAGGATGATAGCTGCTGCCGTCGGTGCCTCCGCCACGGTCGCTCGAGAGTGCGGGGCGAAAGAAGACGACCTGAGCGAGGGGCGAGCCGGTGGTGAGGTCTGTTTCAGAGGCGGTGCAGGTCAGAAAGATCTGCTGAGAAGGTGCGTGGTAGTTGAGGGAAGTGATGGTGTCGAACCGAAATGGCTCGCGGTGCACCTCGGCACGGCGCGAGCGGCGCCTGAGAGGGTCGCAGTTGTAGTTGATGTAGGCGTTTGTATCGGTAGGGATGTAGCACCCGGCGAGGGTGTAACGGTCGCACGCTGGAAAAGGGTGAGAGTGAGTGAGTGGATGAGGAAATTCCCGAGCTCCAAAGTGGCGTGCCACACTACCAGAAGAGGGGAAGACATACGCGCATACACAACACCCATGCCCGTCGCCTGGTCATCGCCATTGACCAGCAGACACGAGATGGACTGCCCACTCCCTCCTCCCCCTTGCTGCTCCTCCTCAGCAAAAACCACACTGCCCTTGTCGCGCAGCCCCCTCGTCCAGCTCTCAACGGGGAGCTCCGGGTCGACCAAGGTGCCGAACTCGCGCACCAAGTGGCCGCCGGTCAAGGGGTCAGCAAGAACTCCAGACCGGCGGATGTGGTGCTTAAGCTTTTCGCGACGCTTGCGGGCCTCGGCCGCGCGCTGCTCCCCGGCCCTGCGCTTCCTGACATTGTCGGCGCTGTAGGAAGCTTCTTGACCACCAGACGGGGCAGCGGCACTGCCAGGTTGGATCTTAAAGTAGCGGTTCTTGGCTTGGTCTAGAGGAGAAGAGAGTCAGTGAAGGATGGTCTGGATCAGATAGATAGATTTGGTCTGAGAGAGTTACATACCAAAGTAAAAGCCTGGGATCTCTCGATTCTCCATCTTGAACGACCAGCCTCAAGAAGAGTAGCCCGGCCCATATGAGGCCTGTGGCCTAAGTGCTTCTTGCTTGCTGTTGTCGTCGTTGGTGGTGGCGACTGTGGTTGTTGTAGCTGCAGCTTAGAGTTGAACTTTGGGTGTGGTGGGGCTTGGAGTCAGGTCTGACATGTGAGGGAAGAGAGAGAGGCAAAAAGCGGAGAAAGGTACGACAGATCTCTGATGGCCCTTACCAACAAGAAAATGCCAACACGGCTAGGCAAGCTTTGGAGTCTTACCTGTGCTTTCCCAATCTAGTAATGGTTGGGACATGGTCTAGATACGGAGAGCATCATCACGCCTTCCCTCACTGCACTGAGGTTCGCTCTACGTCACGTGCGCTGACTGATTTCCCAGGCCTCGAATGTGACTGCCTCGATTTTATTCATGGCTTTGTTCTCTCTCTCGACATAGACATTTGTCACCATCCAAAACTGAGAAGCCAACACACAAATCATTCAGCCTCGTCAGATAGAAGGGGATCTTCCCTGTCAGCCTTGCCTTACTTTGGTCGGAGAGGGGGTTGGTCAGGTCAGCCTTGCCCGTTACTGGCCTTCAGGCTGCCACCCCACACAGCAGCCCTAGCTGATCATTTGATGAATTCCCGTTCTGCGATCATGGTATACTATCATTTCCTTGCTATCATGAATTATGCTCACTTCATCGTTTTTTTATGTTTCCTCATACTATCGCAATGTCTATAGACTGTCCCACATGCATACGTCAGTACACCAGGTATGGCTCAGCTTGAGTTTGGCCTGAGCTCTCCCTGCCCGGCGGCGGCCCCTTCCCATCGTGTTGGGTTTACTACTTTGTACAGTGCAAAGGGCTCACCGACATATCACGCCACAGGCAAGAGAGGAAAGCCTGGCACCACAATCCCCCTTTTCTCTGCCCCCTCTTCCTCTTTCTAGAAACCTTCCAGAAACCCAGGAACGCCACCACCTGACCGCTCACCCGCCCACCAATACACTACCATCCGTGGATCCATCCCCCCCCCCCCCCACCCCGTTGCCATCGACCATCTTGCAGACGGGACCTGAACCTGTACTCCACACTCCTGCATGATGCGCAACTGCATGATCCTTGGGAAGTGAAAAAGGGAGCAACGGCTTCTCGCGGCCCATATACCCGTACAGTGTACACAATAAAAAGAGTTTCTATACATGTTGCTTCTTCTTTATGTGGAGAAGGGTAGAGGGGTCGTATAGTATCGGTGGTTCAAGACACCGAGTAAGATACTATTCTCACTATGAGGCATTTTAGGGCCAATAGTTTATCCCACAGTGTGGACTCCTACAGAAGCCAGTAAGAAAAAGAAATATCATTGGAACAAAAAAAGGCAAAATGGAGTGATTTTGTCAGGTGCAGCAGATAGATGGGGCAAAATCGTTCCAAGGAAAGAAAACAAAAGAGAGAGAGTGAGAGCGAGGATTGATCCATGTCATGACTCCATCTGTGCCTGAGCGGCTTTGCTGCAGCCACTTTAACAGAGCAGGAAGGCGGTGATACCCAGTAATTAACTAGTATCAGAAGGGCAAAAAGGAAAAAAGAAGAAGAAAATAGACTGCCTTGCCCCTCCACCACCCCTCATCCTCACCTGATGACATAGCTAGCATAACTCTGCTTTCGGGCACTCCGGTTCTGACCCCAACTAACCTTTGAAAGCTCAAACCATCACACCTTTCGACCACAACCACCAATTCTCCAATTGAGATACCATCTTTTGAGAAACATACCATCAAATTTGGTAAGCAAGGCTCTCAGATCATCCTCTCTTACCTCACCTCTTTTTGCTTTCTTTCCATCATGACTTGACTGTCGGTTTGGGGGCCCCCGGGGGGGAAGGTGGGGGGAGCTGTGAGCTGGAGGTTATCCATGCGCAGCAAAGCTCGGCGGGTAGACACATCAGAGGACAGACCACCACCACTCCCTAGCTAACAATCACAGCATCACAGCAACATCACAACACGCAAAATGGTCTACACAATCACAGTCCACCTCCATGCCAATGACGATCCAGCATCCGTCGAAAAGATCAAGGCCAAGCTGATCGAGGCCAGCCGTGTCTACTCCAAGGACAAGGAGACCATCAGCTGGTTCGTCATGCAGTCCACCTCGGACCCGCGTGACTTTACCATTGTCGAGCGCTATGAGAATGAGGGCGTGCGTACTTCCTTTTCCCTTCTTCTTCCTCTTCTTCTTCTTCTTCTTCCTCCTCCCCAGCCCCCTCTTGACCACTCTCACATCCCTGCACCTGTTACTGACTGGCATGTATACAGAGCCAAAAGTACCACCTCGAGAACCCTTACTGGCCTACCTTTGACAAGTACGGTATGTTTGTGTGAAGATAATATGATGATACCCCACCCTTCCCCCCCCCCCCAAAAAAGCACAAGACAAAGCCCTATGGAGCAGTCTTTCCCTTTCCCTAGCCTGAAAAAGAGTGGCTTGATCTTCTAACAGCCCTGATTTCAAAGTGATCCCGCTGCTCGACAAGCCTATGGATCTCAGACGTTTCGAGGAGCTGGACACCAGCAAAGATGTTGTGGTCCCTGCTTAGATAAGTATTTCTTAGGTATCTAGTAGTTAGCCCATGCCATAGAATTGCCAATGTGGTCTGTGATAAACACAAGAATACTGCCAACACAATGTGCACACACATCTTGATCAGCATACATACACTTCACATGTGATGAGACAGATGACCCAGCACATAGCTATCTTGAAATAAAAATACAGACACACATGTACGCAGGATGCGAATCCATCATGTCTTTCACCCAAAGAAACACGAGCTTGAAATGACATTATTTATTCTTGTATTGTATTAAGTTCCTCTAATGAACTGCTCTCGACGGGCATTTCTACTCGCTCCATCCTTTTTGTGTAATGCACATGCGAATTAAAGGAAATTGAAAGCCGTCAGCCACATCGTGGCAGCGCATAAGTATGGACAGTGGGGTATATCTTCCCTCTCAAATCCTCTCCTACTGGGACTTCTCGTGCTGTGTAGACACACGCTGGAGGGAAACAACTGTAGGACAAGCATGTTAGCAAAGTGTCGACGTAGTAATGAGCTTAGGCACAGGGGTGCACAGCTTGAAACTGTCGCCGTGTGAAAGTGGGGTAAGGGGCGGGTTGGGAGTTTAAGCTTACCGAAATCCTCAAGTGACCGTTGCTTCTGGTTGCCCTTGGGCGACTTTCCGTGCATGAGGTTATCAAAGCCCACGCTGTCCTGGAGGATATAGTAGACACCACCCATGACACAGAAGATACCAAAGGCGAAAATCCAGATACGGACAACAGCCACAATGGAGGTCTGTCCACCAACGAACCAGCCAAAGATACAGAAGAGAGTGGCAATGATGTCGACGACCAGGATGGCACCAGTCAGCTGCCACGAGGGGATGGAAGACCAGAAAGGACCGTTGGCACGGGTGATGAAGATCAGCCAGTTCTCGGTCAGGGAGATCTCAAGGAAGACGACCTCATCCAGACGACCAAAGTTCTGGACGATACCACCGTTCTCGCCACCAGCGTACATGGTGGTGACAGTGATCCAGGTACCGACAGCGAGAACGACACCGAGCAGGACGGACATACCCCAGAGCTTGGGCAGGTTCCACTTGACGGGGGTGCGGCTGAAGGGAGCGTTGTCGTAGGCGATGGCCAGGGTGGCGATATCGGCGAAGATGGCAATGAAGACAACGAGCTCGATGTTCAGGGAGCGGTTGAGAATGGCAATCCACAGGCCAAGGTAAATCTCCAGATGGATCGACAGGGCAATACGGTAGACGACGTAGGCGTACATGCGGTGGAAAATCTGGCGGGAAGTCTTCAGGGCGTCGATGATGGCACCAAGACCAGGGGCCAGGAAGACAATGTCGGCAGCGGAGCGGGCGGCGTCGGAGGCACCCTCGACGGCAATACCGGTATCAGCCTTCTTCAGGGAGGGGGCATCGTTGACACCGTCACCAGTCATGGCAACCAGGTAGCCACGCTGCTGCAGGATCTCGACGACATTGTACTTGTGCTGGGGGAAGACCTCGGCGAAACCATCGGCAGCCTCGACGAAATCGTAGACCTCAGAGCCGGGCATGTCACCACCACCGCCGAGACCGAGACGCTCAGCGTTGTAGACGTTGGTGCCGAGACCGAGCTGGCGGGAAGTCTCACGAGCGATACCGACGGCATCACCAGTCAACATCTTGATGGACAGACCCAGAGTCTTGGCCTCGTTGATGGTCTTGGCAGTGTCGTGACGAGGAGGGTCGGAGCAAGGCATGATTCCGAGAATCTCCCAAGAGCCTTCACCACGCTTGCGGGCAACACCGAGGGAACGGAAACCACGGGTAGCGAACTCGGCGACCTTGTTCTTGTAGGCCTGGTCGACCTCATCGGGGATGGGGTGGTCCTCCTCGACGGTCTTGAGGACGAACAGAGGAGCACCCTTGACGCAGGTGATGCGCTCACCCTGGGGGGACTCGACAACGGCAGTGACCTTCTTGGAGACGGGGTCGAAGGGGTAGAAGTTGATGACCTTGTACTTGGACAGGACAGCCTTGGCGCGGGGGTAGTACTTGAGCGACTTGAGGAAGGCCTTGTCGATGGCGTCGATACCCTTCTTCTTGCGGGAGGCAGCCAGACAGGCAGTAAGCATGAGGTCCTCAGAGTCAACACCGGCGACGGTGTAGGGCTCAGCCAGAGACAGCTTGTTCTTGGTCAGGGTACCGGTCTTGTCGGAGCAGAGAATCTCGACACCAGCCAGAGACTCAATGGCGGACAGCTTCTGAACGATAGCCTTCTTCTTGGCCAGGTAGGCAGCACCGACAGCCATGGTGGTGGTGACGACGGCAGGCAGACCGACAGGCACACCAATAATGGTGATGGCCAGGGTGAAGCGGAGGATGTCGACAATGGAGTTGGAGCGGTAGAAGCTGGAAACCCAGACGATCAAGAGGGTGAAAACGACGAGAATCAGCAGCACAGTGCCGATACCGTTGAGGACCTCAGTGAAGTGACCGGTTCCAGAGTTGGCGGCGTTGACAAGGGCAGCGGCGCGACCGACGAAGGTGTTGTCACCAGTGGCGGTGACGATGACGAAGGCCTCACCACGCTTGACAGCAGAGGAAGCGAAGCACTGGTCGCCCTTGTGCTTGTCGACAGCCAGGGACTCACCAGTGATGGCAGACTGGTCAACCTGGAGGAAGGCGTCGTCGGTGACAATGCGACCGTCGGCGGGAATGATGGTACCCTCCTCAACCTGGAGGATATCACCGGGGACGACCTCAGGGGCCTCAAGCTCCTTCAGGGTACCGTCACGGAGGACGACTGCCTTCAGGGCCAGCGTCTTCTTGAGCTCATCGACAATAGAACCAGCCTGGAACTCCTGGACGAAACCGACGAAGGCGTTCAGCAGAAGCAGGGCGCAGATGACACCGAAATCGACCCAATCCTCCAGACCGGCAGCCAGGACGGCAGCAGCCTCCATGACGAACTGGATAGGACCAACGAAGTACATGAAAAACTTGAGAATCAGGTTCTCCTTCTCCTCCTTCATCTGGTTGAGACCATACTTCTTGCGACGTGAGACGACCTCGGCCTCAGTAAGACCGATGCGGGTATCCTGATTAGAGAAAGTAATGAATTAGCATGAAAGAAATTTCGTAACCATGAAGCGCGTCAGAGGCAAGCCGACTCTCGAGAAGACTTACTGTTTGCAGAAGCTCCTCGGGAATGACGCGACCGCCGTGCTGGTCACGCTCCTCCTCTTCCTCCTCAGCACCGTGTCCATCCTGGGACTCGAGATCCTCGATGAGGGCATCAATATCCTCATCCTCATCCTCGTCATCCTCAACCTTGGGGGCCTTGGTGGGAGTGGGCTCAGCGGGAGCAGCCTCGGCGTGCTTCTCGTCGAAGTTGCCCGACTCAATCTGCGTGTTCAACGCAGGAGAGCCGTGTTCGGCCATGGTGAAATATTGCTCGATGGGCGCAAGCTCAGATTAGACTGTCAATTGGTAGAATGGTTAGACGCGGTTCGCGAGGAGCCACAAAGTGTGGGTGATTGAAATCTCAACAGAGACAGAGGGAAGGGAAGGGACCAATTCGAGGATTAATGGTGCGCTGATGGGTCCACGTGTGGAAGACACGGCTTGACTGTGTATGCGTGCCGTGTGGGATCTGGTGAAAGGTGTGGGAGAAGGGGAGGGATAGGGAGGCGGTAGACTAACGGTATTAATGTTATTGTTGATTTTCTGGTGGGGGAACTAAGAAGATTGTGCTGGAAAGCTCCGTCGTGTGTTTACAGACGGGAAACAGATTCCTGGCTGTATGGGGTATACACGAAAGAGTTGGATTGCCGCACAAGCGTCTTCACACACAACACACACCACACAGAGAAGGGCACCTTTAATGTAGACCAAGGTTCTCCGCGCAGGTGATAGGGGGGGAGGGAAGAAGAAGGGGCAGAGGTGGAAAGACGAAGACGGTGGGAGCTTGTCTTTTATTTGCGCGTGAAGGCCGACCAAGAGATGGAGGGAAGGGCTAGGGTGCGGCAGGGTCGATGGGCCGACCGCAGTAGGACTAGGAGAGTGAATGAGCGACCTCACTAGGACCAGACCAGGAACAGTCTGTGGGGCCTATGCTTTGGGGTGGAGGAAGATACAGTACACTCCTAAGATTTTCGCCTGCTCTGTTATGTACAAGGTGCGAGGTAGAGCGGTGGGATCTTGGGTATGGTAAAGTGTGTGCGCGCCCATGGGTGTGCACCATAGTACCATAGAAAACATGGAAGTGGGCAGAAGAGTGGAAAGAAAAGGTACCTTATCCTACGCCACGTTCACACATCAGATCGCGGTACCCCGTACCCACCATCACCCGTCAAAGCTTACCATGTACCTGCCGGCAGGAGGATTTCACCAGGGCGACAGGGGCAAAACAGAAGGGTGAAAAAATTGAAAAACAGAAGGGGAAGGGGGGAAAAACAAAGAAAAACAATGACTTAACGTGCGAAAAGTTTACTATACTGTGCAACCCCCCCCCCCCCCGGCTCATAGAAGAGGAAATAAACCGAGCCTCGCGGCGCGACGCTGACAGGGCGACCGGTGCAGAGTAGCGCCAGGACCTACTATAGTCTGGGCGCGCGCGCGCACGATAACAATGACCCATAGCCCATGGGGAAGAGGGAAGATAACCATTGCGCCTGGCCCTCGGCAGTCCTTGTTTACAGGGCGTCTTCGGATTTTTCATCCCATACTGTGCCATCAGGTATTTACGTACTATGTAACATGGGTCCGGCGCCCCCACTTTTTGTCGCCCTATCCTCCCAATCACAGTGCGTACAATGACGATTCAGGCCAGTGGCAGCTCTCAATTCCTCGTCGAAAATCTGGAGGAAGAACGACCTTTTTCGAGCTAGGGCCCGTACCCACGAGTCGGTCGGGTAGTGTGGACCATGGGTGGGGGGGGAGGGCAAGGCACCACCGGTAGGGTGCATCCGTCCTGCAGAGCTTATCCCTGTCGCATGCCTGTCGAGCATTTAATCCCTGACCCCCGAGCTTATCCTGCCCCACAAGGGAGAGGGAGGTACCTGCTAACGTCAATTTTGCTGGGGGTCAGCGCTGCGCGATTTATGATCGATACATCTGCGTTCCCTCGTCCTCGGCATCAGTTGACGAAATGACGAACAACCGAAGAACAGGCCGGGGCGAGAAAACCTCGCAAGAAGGTCTCTTCCTCGCTGCGCGTGTGTGTGCGTGGTACCGCTGTAGGAGTAGAGTAGTGGCAGACCACCGTACGCCGGGTCTTTTTCTTTGATACACGCGAAGCAGAGTGACTGGAAAAATCTCACCTCATCTGAAAAAGTCCTAGGACCGGCGGTCAAGAGCATGAAAGAAACAACGCAACCCATCACAGACGGTGGGTGTGCGGCTGCAGCTGCTACTGGCAGCCAGGCGGTTCGAGGTTATTCCCGCTCTACAAATCTTCTCCTTCCCCTTTCCTTCCTTCCGGCGGTACCAGTTGGATGCTGGTCATCAGCGCTCACGGACTGTTTCGTCTATGGTGGCCGATCCAGAATGACATACCCAGAGGCGCCCGCACACGCCCATAGGCTTTTTTATTCCGACGTTCCGTACCTGGCTACTGCAGTACACGACGATTAACAGCATCATCAGTGACTCCATATTGCCCAAAAGCCAAGACCCCAAGGCCAGGCACTTCATCTTAGAACAGCCGAGATCTCTGCACACCACCACTATCCGCGTACTCTGTATTATGTAAACTATGTGTTCGGGGAGTGCGAGCGAAAATCAGAATTTGCAACCTCGATCTACGTATGCATGCCTAGAAAAAAAATATGCAACGCCCACGCGGCAGGATGCGAATTCCGCAATGCATGACTGCGGCTTTTTCAATTTTTTTTCTTCTTTTTTTCCCGCCTCCTCCTTCGGGTCGGATATCCCATGATCAACAGCCAGCCAAGGCACGGTGCAGGTTGACGGTGAGCAACGCACAGATCGCAAGGCAGGACTTTTGTGCTCAGTCAGCTTATATCCCTCATAATTTGCTGTGCTGTGCTGTGCTGTGCTGTATGTTGCTCATATGTTTGTCCATCTTCCCCAGACTTTGACTCATTCCCCTCTTTTTTCATCCAGGAATACCAGGAATCTCTCACATCTTGCAAGGTCGACGGCAGGCCCGAGTTCCAGATGTCGTCACAGAGCAAATCTCAACGGTGAGAATCTTCTGGCTGGGCTAGACGGCCCGCGAGGCTTGAGGCTCAAGGGCTACTTGGATACTATGATTATTACCTGCGCGTGGCAATGTCAAGGGCTACTATTCTTTCTGCTGTGTTTGTGTTATTGCTGCACTCATCAAGCGCAAACACACTTACAGCACAGCACAGCTGGGATCGCCCTTGCTACGGATGCCCAACTCTGGCAGGACCCGCAAACTATGTCTGCAAGGATGATCGTAGCGTCCGCCCTGACCTTATCGTAGACCCCGGGCCTAGTTTCGCCGTCGTTTGTGATTTCGCATTGACAGGTTTTTGTGCAACATTATTTCTCCTGCCCTTGCCAAATTATTTCCTAATGAAGTGGACGGAGGACGACCAAGTTCCTTCATTTCTCTCGAGACGAACACGCCGACTGGTTCGACACATGAACATGCCAAGATACAAGCAGTGATGATCTCGCGCCGCCATCTACCGTGCATACTGTGTATACGATCATGGCGCCCCCCCCCCCAAAATCTGCATCCACTCCAACATTCCTTGGAGATCGGAAGCGACAAGGGGAGAGAATGTTCCGTCATTCTTCTACACATCGTGAGCCGCACCGCACTGTGCCTGTCTGTTGCCGCCCTTCCCATTCACTATGGGTGGTGAGCTGCATCGCACCCCCCCCCTCTCTCCTGCATCTGGGTCACCAGCAGACAGTCGTGGGGTTGGAAAGGGGAAGAGGACCCCAGAATCCATCTTTATCCCACCCAAAACCCACCTCGTGCAGTGTTGCCCCAGGGCGAATAGCGATTGTGGTTGTGGGGATGCTGGGCCTACGAACACGCTAGCGAATCCGCACGACGTCTTCGTCCTAAGAGGCAAGCCGCTGTGGCCTGATTGATCCTCACCTTCGACAAGGCGCACTTGCTAGGACACGGCGGTCGGGTAGCTTAGACGCTTGAGGACAGTGCCTAGATGAGCCCTTGCCAGGCCGTCTGCGGCTGGGCTGCGTCTCTGCCTCTGACTTGTAAAGTTGACAATAAAAATGAAAGACGGCCACCAAAAATGACAGACCCACAGACTGGCCCCGCCAGCTCGCCCTGGCGGCATCTTATTCGAACATTCGCTCTCGCTGCAACAGGTCTCGATGGTCACGCAACGATTATCACAAACAAGAAAACAGGCCGACGGGCAAATCAGCACGACACAAACTCTAATCACAATCTCCAAGCAATCGAATCGAGTGCTGTGGCCCCCATAGCGATCTCAAAAACGCTCACTACGTCATCCCCTCCACACACACACACACATAGCTGGCCATGATTGGAAAGGGCCCCGGGCGCCTCTTTCGTGCAGCTCTGGCCACACAGCATACATGACACTATGCACGTACTATGGCAGTCACTCATCCCTCCATCCTGCCTTCCCACACACCCGACGGCGATTAAGTCAGCCAAGACATCGCCACCACCGCCTGCGGCTGTCTGGATGTGTGTGTTTCGAAACTCCTTGCTATGGGTTTTTTCTGTACAGTAGCGTCGATGCTTCTCCAATAATCCACACCACCCCCCCCCCCAAAAAAAACTACCCCAAATGGCTTGCTGTCGGGTGTGCGCCGTGTCAAGATTTTCCAACCGGTGTGGTACTAGCTATGCACGCTATGCATTACGGCAGCAAGAAATTTCAAGGAGCCAGCTTTTTATCGCGCCCTACTTCGGCCATCCGACTCAACAAGTCGGCATCGGCATCACCGGGTGCTGGCCACCAAGAAAACCTGTGACCTAAATCAATGGCCTGGAGAAGGACGCAATAGCACACACTCTCAAGGGCATCTTTGCGGCCTCGTGAAGCTTTTCGACAAGCGACGGGCTGCTGTGCTAATGTCAGGCATCAGGCAGAATACTCAAGCCTCTCCGCCCTACCCGAGTCTCAAGTCATTCATGGCTACCATGCCAATACGTACTCCCTTCTAATGGTTGCCCCTCGGCTGCCAGGTCAAGCATCGCAGTCAAGAGATCTCGCGTACTAGTGAGTACATCGTTATAGTTGGCTACAAAGAGCCGTCAGTGCCAGAAACGGCAGTACCCGCCAATCGCGAACGTATCACTCACCCCCCCCCCCCTCCCCACCAGAAAGAGCCCACCACCGAGTGCGTCTTGGGTGGGCAGGTCGAGCCCAGCCCCAAAGATCTCGCATGCAGTGCAACTCAAGTGGCCGTTCGGAGGAGGAATCTGGGGGCGGGCGGGCGGACCGGAGTATTCCCGGAAGGTCCAATGGAAGAGTAGGGTCTTGGACCGCGGGTGAGTTCGCCCTCTATCTTGCCTCTCTGGAAGTGGACGGTAAAAGACGTCGCAGTGCAGCTGTTCTACTGTGTACCATAGTATGCCTGCGACGACCCCTATTCTCCACATGTAGAGCCGCTAGAGGGACTGTCAATGCTAAAGCAGGTGGGGGGACGGTGCTGGTAGAGAATGCCGGCCATTGAATCGGCCAAAATAAGGGATGTGGGAAGAGGCGGTGATGCGCTCCACGACGGTTCACCGACGGTATTTCCATGTTGTGCGCTGTTGTTCCATGGCAAACGCCGCAATTCTGGGTGGTTCACCATCCCTTTCAGCCGAGCCATCTTTCTACACCAATGATCTTTCTTATGAAGATCTCATAACAGAACAACTACAGCCGCAAGATGAGATGCCAGCCGATCCTCGCCCACTCAAGAAAAACGTTACTGTGGCCGCTATGGGCTGCCCAAGTCGCCCAGCCAGTCTGCATCGCTCTCCAAAGATGAATGGAGGAACCACAAAAGGGCCGTTCTCAATGGCCGTTCCAACCTCGAGGCGATGGCCTCCGTCAATCAGAGAGGGCAGCGGAGAGACGCGTGGAACCTTCAACTGATGATGGGTCGCTTCGGCGTGATCGGCCTCAAGACAACAGTCGCTAAGCCCGTTCTGAGCGGAACCCACCGGCCGGGGCACACGGCAAGCACGGCAACTTTTACCTGTGGTACTAGAATACAACATTAGACACAGGCACACAACGAACAGGGCAGGCGCCAAATGGGTGATTATGGATAACCTTAAGAGCTGCCTGTCGCCAGAGTCGTCTTTGTCTTCTGTGGTAGGGCCAACCTATCCCAGGATCTCTCGTTTCAGCCTCACAATCACGGAATGGATCCTACACAGAGTGTCTTCCGGTCCGGACATTGACCGTCATCTCGACATCTCAGAGTCACAATATGAGGATTCATTGAGACTGACAAGGGTCTTCAGCAGACTAGACTACCTGCGTTGGATGATGCCCTACTCCTATGTACAATCTCTTCGCAGCGTGCAATGCTCCTCCTCTCCATCCTCCTCTCGCTCCCAAGCCATCGACCATGTAACCTCCAGCAGAAAATAGATCTTTTGGACTCGCCCCAGAAGAAAGTCTGGCCATCTCTCGGGAGGGAGAGTAAAAGGAAGGGGAGAGAGCACGGATTTCTCAGGGCGGAGCATGAGCACTCGTGAAAGTGGGTCTGGGTCTGGTCGGAGCCTCAGCAACTCAAGGGTTTGGGGCTGCTCCGAGTGGCTGGACAACGACATCCCCTGTCACTGAAGCCTGCTTTTTCCAAATGAGGGTCGCCACTTATCCGTTGCCAACGCGCCTTGTTATTTGCTACCTAAGGCTGATTTGCGGGTTCCTTGTCGACCTGTGGAATTGGACTGAGCAACTGGCACTCGGGCCATTTCCTAGGTATCCACAAGGCCATCTTATACTTGCCAGCACTGTGCCGCAGTACTACCTGAAGATCATTAAAGTATGGAGCCGCTGCGTACTGTGCAAATTCCCACCCCGGGACCATCGCCAGGAACATCTCCGGGCACTGGAGCACGTGTATGGTACTATTACTGATGAGAAAAGCCCCTCCATACACCGTTGCTCTTCATTGTCCAGGGGGGGGGGGGAAGCAACTGGAAGAAATGGCCGTGGCTGGACGTCTGTCTCATATCCATCCTCATTTCCGGGGGACTGCAACTTGCAGCGGTGCACTCGCTAAAAATCCTGCGCGACGAAATTGCACCCAGGTTGCTGCTTATTATTTGTTTGTTTGATGTCATCTTTTTCGCGAGGACGTTGTGTTGGCCACACCATTATTGTCATTCGCACCTTGCCCTCCCGGCCCCATGGGTTCCTGGCTGAAGAATCAACCTGGACGCATGCGAAAACGCCTGGCCTCCCTGTTTTCTTCCCATCCAGAGAGGACATGGAGCCGAAGCAAGAGCAATACCCGCCGTGATAGTTGATCAATATCCTAAAGCACAAACCCACACATGCATCGGACATGCTACGATACATCGTTACGTCGTCAGTTATGGTACTGTATAGCCCACTGGCTCTTAAAGAAAGAAAGAAAAAAAGAGGATGTAACCTGACGCGCCGTGCGCGCAGGTGATTGACAAGGGCCGCGCCCGCAGATGAAACCGCCGTCCGTTCAATAAAACCTTAAATCCATGGTACTATGGTTCGTGTGCTGTGTGCTTGGACGCTCTGAGCCTTGACAGACCTCTCAGCGGTAATCTGTCCTTCGAGATTGTTGATAGCAAGGTCTCTTCAGGAGAATACAAGGAGTGAAGGGGGGACCAGAAGAAGAAAAGATCCTTTCTCAGGAATCCGGTGGCTGGCTGGCTTACGACACTGTGTAGGATCTTGTCACCAGAACACAATTCGGTGTTTCAAGTCAGTAGCAAAACGCAGTCATGGCTGAGTCTTTCGCGATGGCACATTGACCAAACCACATAGCTTGGTCTTCTTCTGTTTCTTTCCGCTTCCCCCCCCCCCCTTCCTTCTTCTTCCTCCTCATCACTTCTACCAACTTTCTTGCTATCAATTGGTCCTCATGAAGTGAACTACGGCCTTACCCAAAGATTTGAATTGCCCTCTAGACTTGCACACAGCCTTGCGCGGCAATCGACAAGTTGCCAAAAAGTCTCAGCCTTGCATAAACACCGACGTCTCTGCCGTTTGGCGTCTTGAGAAGCCGAGCTCCGCCACCTTGCACGTTTTTGTTTCAATCGGAGCGATTCTTTTGCTCTACCCGGTTTTTGTTTCTCCCCCCCTCCCCGCTCTGCATGTGAGACGAACACAGTTGACTATGGTTTTTTGGTTGATGTTTATGCCGTGAGCGGGGCCTCGTTTATGGGATCATGTTTTTGTTGCTAGGTCGCGTGGCATTTCGGGATGAGCCTGGCCTGTCTGCGGCAGTAAACGTTTCAGGAGCTGAGCTCCTTGGGATGGGAGGATAAGGCTGCTTAGCTCAGCTTGGAGGTGCTTCTTGACGACATCGCAAGTAGTGCTTGTGGTGTATATGGCCATCGTATCCGTGCTGAAGGTGAAAGATGAGGGGAGTGGTGGTGCTGGTGGTAGTGGGATCGAGGTCCAGTATTGCGGAGGAGGACAGTCCGTGTCCCTCCATACAAACCCCTCGCCCTCGTGGGCCTACATCACATTGGCTTATCTCTCTGTCTCCTCATGTCAACCCTTCTCGGCTCGACGTACCGAAACGCTTCATCTGGGGAAATGCTCCTGGAAATCCCCGGCATGACGACATCTTTCTGGGGGTGGGTGTCGTGACGGGCTGTTCGTGTGCTGGCCCAAGTGCCTCTATTGTACGTGCACGAAGGCACGCACGCACGCACGTACCTACATGAGCGCGCTATGGAAGACATGGACGCAAAAGGTGGGTGGCTCCAGGTCTGCATGAGCAGCCTCCTCAGACCTGGACGGCTATGCACGCATTTTGAGAGGAACTGCAGCAACCTCAGCCTTGTTTCTCACCTACCTCACACATACAGATCCGGATCCTACCACCAGACAAAGCATGCTGGGCCATCAGAACACCTTGATTTGCAAGGCATCAAGATGCACACACTTCAACAAACAAGAGGAGCCTAAGATTCCAATCACACTGAGAGCCAGACTTTACCATCAGTGAACGCTTGACAAAACTTGTACTCGCCCATCTTTTAGGCGATACCAGTCGAGGCACCCCAAGACACGTGCGGACCAAGGAGTGCGTTCTATATGTTGTTGACCTGGTTTCAAGTATGTACTTGCTATTGCAGCAGCCCCTCAGCAAAGTTGGACCTGCCTGAGCAAAGACAGTACAATCTAATTTGGTAGTCTACATTGGGAGGGATCCTTCTCCAATTTGCTTCGTTCCACCCTCTTCAAGCATTCAATTTGTACTCATAACCAATGCTCAGTCGTTATGCACTACACCAGCAGGCAGTGATGTCTATTAGACAACAAATGAGACAGCAAGGCACCAAGATAATTGGTCAATTCACTATTGTATGCCCAATCAGATACATCCCCGCTCTCTCTCAGTCAGTCAACATGATTACATTCACAAAAGGGTAGTTCATCTTCAAGTATCAAAGCGGGTGTGCTCTCGCCAGGTGTCGGTCTCAAAGCTTTGTGTTTACCAGCGATTACTATGTTAACAAAAATATAGCGAAGGCTTTATCACTGATCCCAGGGACAGTTGCTCTCTAGGGATTGAACAGTCACAGACGGCTTCACTTGGGCAGAGATGATTCTCGATCAATTACAAATGGTCACAAGACCCAACCACACCTTCCAACCCTTCAATGACCACCCGAGAGTGAGTCACCATAGCCTGTTTTGAGCTATGAATGATCTTGCCTATTGCTCTTCACATTATTCCTTTTTGGGGTATCACAGACTCAGGTGATGTGACCTACACACTGCCCAGATGACCTTCGAAGCGTGAGGTATGCTGGTGATATTGTTCGTCCGAGGCTTTGCTTCCCCCTTCACCAGAACATTATTGTAATGTGAATGGTATCGAATATTCCACAGCAGGAACAGAAAGGCATATCGATAGGTATTGATAGCCTTTATCGTAATGTCGCAAAAATATATAACAACGTCGTCCACCTCGCCATTCTGCCGACTTTTCTTCCTCCTTTTCTCCAGTCCACCAAAACAAACTCCACCCAATCGTCAGCGGTACTGGGGGTGGCTGGGGCACGTCACCCAGGCTGTTGCAGTATTATTACATGCCCTTAGTGGCAAGATATTCCACTGCTGCAGCCTGCTATTTGGTGTAGGATCAGCCTGCTGGCTTGCACGCTCAGCACAGTATCGACCACTCCTCCCCTTGCCACAGCCACTCCCAGCAGCCGCAGGCATCGCAGCAGCACCACCACCACCAGCTGCTGCTGCTGCTACTGCGGCACCCTCGTCGCTAACTTCACCTCCAAGAAACCAACCAGTCCACCCTCGTCCAGGGCTATAAGTTGTCAATACACAGAAGGATATGGTCAGTTGGTCAAATCCAGTGGCAATACCTTGCAGCAACTAACGTCATCACAGGAAGAGGAGCAGGAGGTGCAGCAGCAGTCGCAGCAACAACAGAAGGAGGAGGAAGAGGAGCACCAGCAGCAGCTATATTGTCACACCAAGTACATCATCATACTGGCGATATCCTCACCACAGCAGCTATATCTTGGGCGTAATGATGCCCCTGCATGCGGTGAGGATGTATGTATCAATGCACTGCAGCACCTCCTCCTCCCCAACACACATCCACATCCACATCCACAGTCGTAATGCAGACTGTCATATCATGTGGTCATATGCACTATCGATCATGGTAAGGTCTGATCTATTATATCTCTCCCTCATCATCAAGAGCATATGACTGACCAGCTCCATCAACAGCCTGGATAGCTGGCCTCCGTCAGCGAACAATGGAGAGCTAGAACTGGCTATCTAAATCGGAGCCCTCGCCGCCACCTTTCGCCTCCAACCAAGCCGCTCGGGATGAGCCAAGTCAAGACGAGGTTGGAGGCGAATGGAGAGACGTGCTCCGGCGGCAACAAGCCAAGCGACGGCAGCAAGCCAATAGCACAGCTGGTCCCTCTGCGGGTCCAAACTCAGCCTCCTGACCGCCTGGTAACAATTTACCAGGCGGTCCCTATTCCAGGAGCGCAACCAAGACGACCATTCAAGACTTTGGGAGAGAGTCCTTGAGGGGCGTCAAGAGAGTTTGTCGTGACCCAAACTCACCCGCAGAGGAGGGCCATGGCTGTGGCCGAAGCTGAGCCCACGGGTCAGGAGACTCCGACGCCCCAACATCGACGGTCAAGATGCTGCAACTTCAGCAGCCGACTTGGACGAGGCCTACGACGGTGCCGTTCTGATTTATCATCCTCAGCTGCTATGGCTTGCAAGAAGTTCCCACGTGCTTCAGATTTCTGGCTGCAACCAACAAAACCAGCCATCGAAATACTTATTGGGAGGCCGAAGTTGAGTCTGTTGGTCGACTATTCCATCATCAAAATAGATGCTATCCCGATCAACAGACTCAACTTCGCCTCCTCCATGAGCTCTCCGGGGGAACAAGGAGCAGCGAGACGGACGAACGACATGAGCGAGTGGATGCTCGCAGAGGACGAGACCCAGCATCTCGATTATCAACAGCCTGCGTATGAAATCAACAACCCAGGCGGCTTCGGTGCCGTTTTGATAATACGCTGTGTTCAAACTTGGTCCATATTTTCCGACTTCGACACCCACAACCCAGCCGTCCAAGTCTGCCCGTCACGTCGTACTGATGCTGCCCACTGCGCACCGCAATTATACCCGAGAGCCCAAGGGAATCTGGGGGGTAGTTTTCCATCAAACCGGTCTTTGAGAATAGCGACGACAACGACAACGACAAAGGAACGACCTAGCGAGGTACCTTAACAGGAGGAATGAGTGAGGAGGGGTCATGTAATCCTGGCAGCCTCCTTCACCACTGTCACGCACCGTCTTCATTTCGAGGCTTTGAATGTTAGGCCCCAGATCATGTTCGAGGACATCTGGGCGGCGGTGCAGAATTCATGAAACGGCGGCCGTTATCCTAGGTAGACTTTTGCATAAATCAAACCACCTGACACACACTCTCTCTTCTCGCCCTACTTATAACTCTTTCACGAGATGCTTCTCTATGGCTTGATAGCAAGGACACAGGCAAGAACATATCTACTGACCTGATCCCCCAAGTGCTTCCTATTATTTTATTCAGGATTGTGTAAACTAGAGAATGAAATGAAGCCACGATCCGCTCGACCTCTTCTATACTATCACCACCAATCTTGATAACGTAGTGATATGGCCAAGTGTGCAAATGAGTCCGTCGGAGTCGTACTTGAGCCGAGAGGACACGTCCCCAAGTACTACTCGTAGTCATGGACAGGTAAATGGAAGCGGTGATGCATTCCAAAGGGCCCCTCCCACCTCTTCGCTGACCAGTACTTAGTGCTTGAAAGGGCGATGGGAGATAGACCTGGGGTCCCATTAACAGGGAGGGCGCTTGCTTGATGGGAATCTATCTCTCTTTCTCTCTCTCTCGTGGCCCATGCCAGTGTCCTCCTGTCGACCGAGATCACCCAAATGCATTTCTTCTTCTTTTTTTTCGTTTCTGGTGGAAAGTATGGGCGTAGACACATCTTGAAGGTAATAATGATGGCCAGGGAGATCTGCACTGTAATTCCACGGCAAGTATACCTACCTACTTGTGTACAGAGGGGGGGAAATAGTTGAGCGGTGACATGACCCCCTGGTGCTTATTTGGGGTCCAGCAGGGGGGGAACCAACCACTTTCAGGGTCACCATATCCCACTGTTTACGACGGAGATCGTGGATGATGTACTTTCACGAAATGGATGGAATCACTCAGGAAGAATTCAAAGAGACGTTGTAATACAAATCAATTATACAAACTCAAGTGCTCATGCGCTAGTTATCTTTTCCCGCACTGCATCGCATCGTCGTTAGCAATCTTCGGTCCCAAGCTTTCCATCACTGAAATGCCCCGTTCCCTCTCCCAGAAGCTGAAAAAAAGAAACAGCAGGGAATTGCTCAGCTGTAAGGGGGGAAAAAATGCAACTACTGGATCACGTCATGAAAACTCCACGCCATGCTTATTGGGTCTCGTGGAAGTGACCCGGGCAGCAGTGAAAAGACGAGTCGCCCACCCAGAAAAGACATTGTATCCCCCCAATTCCAACTCCATCCATCCAGAGCTTATATGCAGTGGTATTTATGTACCTGTTCATTCCTTCCTACTTGAAATGCGGTGGGATGGGCACTTCTCACTAGTCTCGAAGACGATGATATATCCTCAAAAGTAATCATCATGGTGGATCTGTCGCAGTTGATCATGCCCATGTTGGCGCTTGGCCCTTTTCTTTCAAAGGCGAGATCTGCACCCTAAAAGGTCGGAACTATTGGAGAGCTCGGACCAACCACGCACGGCACAGCACCTCAGACGCATGGTTCGAATATAGCCAGCCATCCAGCCAACTGGCCGAGTATGTAGGCGGCTAACGCGCATTATGTACTCGTCGATGATGGCTGCTCTAAGGAAATAGAGGCACCGGGCCCCTGCAGGTGGTTGTTGATTTGGCTGTGTGGCTTTTTTTGGGGGGGGTTTTTTTTTTTGGTTTTAATAAGGAGGATTGTTGATGGCATCAGACCCCATTGCCGGGAAAGCAAAGCCAGGAGGATAGACAGGCATGCCCTGCTGATTTGTAGAGATACCGTAACCAAAACCTGGCACGATGGGCTCGTCATTTGGGTTGCCGGCATTGTTGGGCCGATCGTCGTCGCGACGGTGGGCGTGGTGGTCCCGACCGCCCCCACCACCACCGCGTCTGCCGTGTCGGCGATCATTCCGATCTTCATTGTGGTGCGTCGACTTGGGGCCATGGCTGCCGCCCTTGTCGGTCTGCATACGGCGAGAGATGGCCTTGGACGACACACCGGCGCCGATCTCGATGTCTGGCTCCTCGACGACCATGCCATGGGTGATAGGCTGGCCACCGCTGCCACCGAACGGCGCCGTGAGCATCCACTTTCGGTCAGCCTCGGTCAGCTTGTGGATGGGAATTACGCTGATGCCCGTCTGGTAGTCGCTGCAGTCCCTGGGCCCGAACCCAACGCCCCATCTCGTACGGAGCTGGGCGTCCGGGCTGCGGCCGTCCTCCATGGCCTCCTTCGCATTGACAGCATCCTTACGGGTGTACATCTTGACGAACGCGTGGCGCTTCTCTTTATTGACAATACACGTCTGGACGGTACCGAAGCGGTTGAAGATGGCCCGCAGCTCATGCTCGGGGCATGTCACCCCGCCCACGAACAGCGTACGGCTCAGCACCTTGATGTGATTATTGGGAAGGGACGGGTCAAACTGCACAAACTTGTCCTGTTGCGAGGGAGAGGCAGGCATCTCACCATCACCGCGCCGCGGGCTCGAGCCACGACGCCCACCAGGTGGCGAGCGCTGCCGATAGGAACGACCACCCCGCTCCCGATCGTCATAGCGATCACGCGGTGGAGAGTTACGGCCATGGTCGCCAAAACGACGGTCATCACGACCACGAGGAGAGTCACGGTGATCCCAGCGACGTCCTGGGGAGCGCGAGCGCGATCTACCACGCGCTCCACCGGTAGGAGATCTCAAAGCATGGTCATCAGGCCTTGGAGGAGCCCAACCACTGCTGCTGCCACTGGGGGCCATCGGGTACGCACCCTGGTTGGGCGGCGCTACTTGAGGTGGTGCGCCCGGAGCGGCGCCGTTGTTGCCGGCAAGAGCCTTCACCACGGCAGCAATTTGCTCAGCTGGGAGGCCCTTCTGGATCAGCTGCTGGATAAGCGCCACCTGCAGCGCCGTCGGGTCACCGCCTGCAGCGGCCCCTGGTGCAGCGTTGCCTGTCATTCCAATGCCCATGGCAGCTACACCATTCTGAACGTTGCTAAAGTTGGGCATAGCTGTGGGCTGGGTCTGGGGCGGCATAAAGGGAGGAGCAGATGTTCCCATTGGGGGGAGAGCAGGCTGTGGTGTATGCTGCTGCTGCTGCTGCTGCTGCTGCTGCTGCTGCTGTAAAAAGGGCAAACCTAGGCCTGGCTGGGCAGGATTCATGAAAGATGGAGCTGTGAGGTTACTAGGGAGCCCAGAAGTAGTGTAAGGAGCAGATACTGGGGCTGGTGTGGGAGCTGCTGGGGCTGCACTGCTCTGGACCGCCTTGTTCTGGTTCTGCTGCTGGGCAATGTTCTTGATGGTAGCAAGAGTCTCGACAATGTTGGCTGGGAGTACTGGTGGTGCTGGGGTTGGCTGAGCCTGAGCATTGTTGCCAAGAGATGCCAGCACATTGGGAGGTGGGCTGCCTGGGGGGGTGGTTGATGATTCTACAGAAAGTGAATTCGCCAGTCAGATTCTGCTACTGTCGTGTACATGGGTGGGTGGGTGGATGTCTCCCCGCAGATACTCAATGTAAGGCTGCAACAGCCACATTTGGGATACTTGGAGGCTTATTGGGTGATCGACGGTGGTGGTGGTGGGGGGGGGGGGAAGGACGGGTTCTCTTGGTGGGGTGGACTTACGGCTGAGTTTCTGCCTGAAGCCCTCAGTCATTGCAGTAGGAAAGGTCTGTCCCTTTTCCCAGATGTCGACGAGCTTCTTAATCTTGTCCTACATGGGGAGAACAAATACATGAGTGAGCTACTGTTCACGAAGACCTTACTGAACCAGCAGCGACAAGTAGTCTAGATGGTCTCACTAGAGGAAGATACTGTCGAGGCTGGTGATATTTCCTGTTATGGGGTACGATGTGTTTGACATACCTTTTGGTCCTGAGGGGCAGAAGAGATGATGTCGTTCATCAGGACAGGCATCAGCTCAGTCACCCTGTTCACGCCAGCAGCAAATGTGCCATCTGGTGCAGCACTGTTGACAGGTTGACCTTGCTGCTTGGCCTGCTCGAGCCACTTGCGGGTTACAGAGTCTACAACGTAGAGCACACCAAGTTTATGGGTACCAGGGGCCTTCTTGAAGTGGGTGAATATCTTCTGAATGAGAACAGACTCGGACTAACATCAAAACAAGGGATGCAAGTCAGTATAAAAAGGGCAAACAACCAGGAAAACACAAATACACGACAATGATTGGTGTGTGGCGGAGGAATGGGAGAAAACGGGACGGTGGGAGTAAGGGAGTGCGCCGCGCCGTACATGACCGTATTGACGTGGCTTGTGTTAAGATGTTGAGCAAGGGGGCATCATCATTTCCGTACCTGAACATTGGCAATGCAGAGCGCCGTGATCGCGCTGATCCTAGAGCCTGATACTCCAGGAGGCTTGAGGGCAAGCATTGCCAGGAGGTTGGTCTCCAGATCTGCTACGGCAGACGACATGGTGATGGACCTGGTTGGGTCGACAGCCAGGGGAGAGGCCACACACTACTTGTCGAAAAGGCGATCAACGCTCTACCAGCTTCGTGGTTTTTTTTTTTTTTTTTTTGGTGTTGTCTAGCACCTGTTGTGAGGCAAGAGAACAACAGCGGGAGCCCCTGTGGAGGACGCGGCTTGGTGAAAATCAATTGCAACCAAGAAACGTGTGCCTGTCCAAGTTTCTTTCAATTTTCCTCCTCTGACGCCAGATCTGACGACCTTGGTAAAAGGTGTTGGCTACAGAGGCACTGCTGCGACGGTACGGAGGCAAGACTCTCGCTCTCTGGCACCTGGTTCTCAAGGAAAGGAGTGCCAGTGTACGCGACGCTTTGCGAAAAGAGAGTCAAGGACCAGATGATCCAGAGACAGTACGGTGATGTACGATGGTCAAACGGCACAGCCTAGATCTGGAGGGTCCTTGTTTACTGCGAGAGGCAGGCAAAAATTTCTAGAGCTGGGCCGACGTCTTTTTGGGTCTGTGACTGGACGCGTCTCTTCTTCTTTTCTCTTCGAGGTGGCGCAGCACTGTCTGTGGCAAGGAAAACTTCCAGATCAATCTGCAGTTGGTTGAAAACAGGCTAGAAGATGCCGAGACTACTGCAAATGTGATGAAAATCAAGTCGGGTGGATGGATACTCGATGAAATCTAACACGGGTGGCCGTGTTACTGCCAAGGTGTTGTTGAGTTGTTTTGGATGGTAGAAAAGAGAGATTAGAAAATTTGGAGGTGGCAGATGATGGGGGTTTTAATCGAACGGCAGGCGCATATGAGGGTGGGCAGGGGCAAAAACTCTGGTAGGTAGGTGACTTGGCCAGTGCCTAATGTGAAGAAGGGGGCTAGTGAGGTTAGCGTGTCCGGCAATGCCACTGTCAGTGGGCTCTCACAGCAGCTGCAGGACAGTAGCACGTGGGCCGGAAAACCTGGAACATTCACTAACAATATTTTCCAAGGAGCCAGTAAGGACGTAGCAGAGTATGAGGTACCTCTATTTGCCAATCACTGCTGCCGGTCTCCATCTGATATTTTTCTTATCTCAAATGACTTCACCCTGACCTCTATGTATGTGTTTTCTTTGTTCCTTTTTCTTCTTCTTGAAGATCTCTGGTTATGGTTCTTCCTCTTGACATGTTTCAGCGTCGGAGAAAAGATTATTGGGGGGGGGGGAGGGGATACATACTATCTGAAGTGGGCCGGGGATTTGATGAAGAGCGAGTCGCGAGCCGAAACGTTCCAGCTGCTGAGTTTGAAGCGGAGGCTACGCAACCCTCCTGTCAGAGCTGTTTGGTTGGGCCGGGGCAAACTTAGCGAGCTATCCCTCCTCCCTCATGCTGGGTTACTCTTCACATTTTCGTTGCACAGGACCTCTCCCCGCAGAACACGAAAATGCGAGGGGGTTTGGATTGAAATTGATATTTGATGACACGAAGACGATTTATAATTAGACCTTAGATCGGTAGTTCTCGTTTCGTACCATGTATGGCATATATTGTCGTCTGAGCGAACGCCACTGCGCTATGAGCGTAAATTGAGCGCAATGCGCGTGTTCGGACCTCTCGCAGCTACTATGTAGCTGAGCTGCCAGCGTATCTTCTGACGTCAAGGCTGGATGAATTTGGGGCTTTGGGGGGAAGCATTTTTTTTTAACCCGATTCGGGGGTAGTATCAGTACACGCCGTAAGTACATAGTACATAAAATACAATATACAACCATGAATGCGTACATCGCGCGTAGGCCCTCCTCTTGTAATCTGGTGATATCATAGCGGAGGTATTCAGTGCTGCCTCTTCTTCCAAAATGTTTAATTGATTTATCTCTCGCAGCCAGAGCACATTGAGATCTGAGGTGTCCATCATCAATGTGTGAAAGTTGGTAGTCTGGCTTTGTAGCGAGAACCTGGACCTGGGGCAGGGATGTGTTGAGAATCCAGATTCGGCTACCCTCGTCGTATCCTTTTCGTCTACCCCGGAAGCCCACGGCCATCAAAATTCGCGCTTTTTTGTCCGAGCTGCCCTGCTTGGTACCGATCTCTTTTTCCTTCCGGCCGAATTTCTATCTGTTCTCCTATCTCGCAGTGTTTTTTGCATCCCTTACCCTTCTTCACTTCTCTACTCCCTCGCCTTCTCTTTTCACATCCAGAACAGCACCGTCTGCCTTCAAGATGGCTTCTGCTATGCGCCTCGGCTCTTCCGCTCTGAGGACCTCTCTGAGGACCTCTGCCTTCCGACCTACCTCCTTCAACACCGTCCGCTGCTACAGCGCGAAGACACAGGTATGCCCTGACCAAACCGACCCGTGCTGCTGGCCCTTTGATGCGCCTTGCTGCTGACACCTCTGCCGTCTACTAGACCCTGAAGGAGCGTTTCGCCGAGCTTCTGCCCGAGAAGATCGAGGAAATCAAGGCCCTCCGCAAGTTAGTAACGACCAATGTCTTCCTATATACACCCCTTCCTGCGCCGGAATCGATGTGGCTGACTTGAGCTTCGGATTACAGGGAGAATGGCTCCAAGGTTGTCGACAAGGTGACCCTCGACCAGGTCTACGGTGGTGCCCGTGGCATCAAGTGCCTGGTCTGGGAGGGTTCTGTCCTCGACTCCGAGGAGGGCATCCGCTTCCGTGGCAAGACCATTCCCGAGTGCCAGGAGCTCCTCCCCAAGGCTCCCGGTGGCAAGGAGCCCCTGCCTGAGGGTAAGTCATAATCTCGATGGAGGCGGACAATCTTCCACTGCTGTGCTTCGCGCGTCGTGTGCTGATCTCAATGGTTGCTTAGGTCTTTTCTGGCTCCTCCTGACCGGCGAGGTCCCCACCGAGCAACAGGTCCGCGACCTGTCCGCCGAGTGGGCCGCCCGCTCTGATGTGCCCAAGTTCGTCGAGGAGCTCATCGACCGCTGCCCCTCGGACCTGCACCCCATGGCCCAGTTCTCTCTCGCCGTCACCGCCCTCGAGCACACCTCGTCGTTCGCCAAGGCCTACGCCAAGGGCATCAACAAGAAGGAATACTGGAGCCACACCTTTGAGGACTCTATGGACCTGATCGCGAAGCTGCCCACCATCGCCGCTCGCATCTACCAGAACGTCTTCAAGGGCGGCAAGGTTGCCGCCGTCCAGAAGGACAAGGACTACTCGTTCAACTTCGCCAACCAGCTGGGCTTCGGCAACAACACCGACTTCATCGAGCTGCTGCGTCTTTACCTGACCATCCACACCGACCACGAGGGTGGCAACGTCAGCGCCCACACCACTCACCTGGTTGGCAGCGCCCTCAGCTCCCCCTTCCTGTCCGTCTCCGCCGGTCTTCAGGGTCTGGCTGGTCCCCTGCACGGCCTAGCCAACCAGGAGGTGCTGAACTGGCTCACCGAGATGAAGAAGGCTATTGGTGATGACCTGAGCGACAAAGCCATCACTGACTACCTGTGGTCCACCCTGAACGCCGGCCGTGTAGTCCCCGGCTACGGCCACGCTGTGCTCCGCAAGACCGACCCTCGCTACATGGCGCAGCGCAAGTTCGCCCAGGAGAAGATGCCCGAGGACCCCATGTTCCAGCTGGTCAGCCAGGTGTACAAGATCGCCCCCGGCGTCCTGACCGAGCACGGCAAGACCAAGAACCCCTACCCCAACGTCGATGCCCACTCCGGTGTCCTGCTTCAGTACTACGGTCTGACCGAGGCCAACTACTACACTGTCCTGTTCGGTGTGTCCCGCGCCATCGGTGTCCTGCCCCAGCTGATCATCGACCGCGCCGTCGGCGCCCCCATCGAGAGGTAAGCTTCGTATCTTCCTTGTTTTTGTGTGTTTTTTTTTTTAATCCCAAGGGGCTGCGCGCTCCTTTTACCGTATCTAGCCTGCTGACGAGAGGTGACCCCCCAGACCCAAGTCCTTCTCCACCGAGAAGTGGATCGAGATTTGCAAGAAGCTCTAAGCCGACTGCGAAAAAAAGTTTCAGGAGACGAGAAGATACACTGGCATTTTCAGTTAAGACAAAGGACATCTCTACTACACAGCACACAGCACACCAGGGGCACGAAGGAATTCGGATAGACTTTTCTTTTGAATTGAGGGATGCTAGGAAAAATTTACAGGTGCGCGACTGGTGGGGAGGTTAGACCTGATGGAGAGCGAAATACCCCGTCACTCGTGGCGCTTGTACATTATGAAACTCTTGTATCCCAGGAGCGAAGGAAAAATATGAAATAAAATGTAAGATCTGACTGACGCAGAGAACATGACGAGATCAGGCATCTGATTTGGGCAGAGGAGGGATCCCAAGCATCCTTCGCGACCTGTCTGTTGCTGATTTTCAGGATCTGTACGACAATCCCCATAATCTGTGGCTGACGGCTGAGACTGTGAGCTGGTAGCTAGGGTTGTCAATCCCGAGCCTGCAAGAACCGAAACCCAAGCAAGGCCGTCCGTCGAGCTGGGTGCTAGCTCCGGGGGTGGGGGGGGGGGATGCGCTGCTATCATATCTGATCATTTGGGTTGAGAAGAATGACTGAGAGAAGCGAGCTGGAGCCCTAAGATTTTTTTTGTGGTTCCTTGTAGAGCGTTGAGAAGGTGACCATGTCTTTTGAGATGTCCCGGCTCCGGGGAAAGGCTTTGTTGAGATCCATCAGTTGGGGGGACCCCAGTCAAGAAAGGGTACACCTGCTCACCACAGATTTTCTATGTCTTTCCAAAGTACTTCGTATCGTGTCACCGCTGTATCACAGTGGTCTTGTAGGCCAGCGTGCCAGGGCCCTCAGCAGCTCAACCCACCACCAGTCGGGGTTCGAGGGAAGGTTGAGCCCCCCCCCAAATCTGTAAGACCCTGGCCCCCTGTATATTCGCAAGGTTCCCGAGCCCAGAAAGCAGCAAGCACCTTGGGGCACTTGGAAAGCCGGTTACCCTACTGCTGATTGTCCCGAAGCCATCTGGAGCTGCTTTTTGTTCTGTTGTTATTCTTCTCAGCTGAAAGCCATCTATCTCATCCTCCCCCCTGACCCTCGGTCTCTTTTTGACACTGTCTCCTCCAGTCTTCCCACCTTGTGAATTTCATCGACACTTGAGAATTGAACGATTGTCCGTCCACTGTCAAACCTTGTAAGTTTCCCTGACTTGATAGTGGTTGTTTTGTCTCAATCAAGTTTGGCGCCGGAGGCTTGGGGGAGAGCTCTCCACTGGGCGAAGGAGGGGAATGGGGGAAGGACCTCTGGGGAGCTTGCTTGGGAAACTCCGGTGACCAGGCACCATCACCGAAGACACGCTGTTTACCGACTGACATGTGCAACACCCAGGTCTCCGAATCCACCGACATCTCCCGCACCACCTTGTTCCCCTTTTTTTTTTTGTCTTGTCTCCCTTCTCTTGTGAGACAATAGGAAACCTCAACCAGAACCATTCTTGAGTCTCAGCCTGTCTATCACAGTCGCCTCTTCCCTTGTGTGTATTACCCAACCCCTTCCCAAATGCTCCGACAGACGATCATCAAGAGGATAGAAAGTTTCCATTTCGTGTATATCTGTCCCTAATCTGTGCGATACCAAAAAACAAAGTAGCCCCTCAACCAAAGCCCCTCCTGCGAAGAAGCACCCTACTTCCCTTGGTCAGGGCCCCCTCCCCCGTCAATCTTCCGCCATCGTCATGTCCGCCGTCGCCACCGTGCCGACTCCGGCTCCGGAGAAGAAGAAGCTGGAGAAGAAGCCCATCAAGTTCTCCAACCTGCTCCTCGGAGCCGGCCTCAACTTGTTCGAGGTCACCTCCCTCGGCCAGCCCCTCGAGGTCGTCAAGACCACCATGGCTGCCCACCGTGGCGACGGCTTCATGTCCGCCCTGGGCCGTATCTGGTCCCGCGGTGGTGTGTTTGGCTGTACGTATAAAAAGCAGAAAACAAGGAGAGGAAAAAAGAAGTCCAAACCTCTTTCTCCCCTTCTTCTCTTTGCACCCGTGATCAGATAAGAAATGAGGCTGACCTGACCTGATCCCATTCGCCTCGTCTCATAGTCTACCAAGGCCTTATTCCCTGGGCCTGGATCGAGGCATCCACCAAGGGCGCCGTGCTCCTCTTCGTCGCCTCCGAGGCCGAATACTACGCGCGTAATGCCGGCGCGTCCGAATTCCTCGGTGGCATCACGGGTGGCGTGGCGGGCGGTGTGGCTCAGGCCTACGCCACTATGGGCTTCTGCACCTGCATGAAGACGGTCGAGATCACCAAACACAAGGTCGTCTCCGCCGGCGGCAAACCCCCCTCCACCTGGGCCACCTTCGCCGACATCTACCGCCGCGAGGGCATCCGCGGCATCAACAAGGGCGTCAACGCTGTCGCCATCCGCCAGATGACCAACTGGGGCAGCCGTTTCGGTCTCTCCCGCCTCGCCGAGCAGGGTATCCGCAGGGCCACCGGCAAGGAGCACGGCGAGAAGCTCAGCGCCGCCGAGAAGATCCTCGCCTCCAGCCTTGGTGGCGGCATGTCCGCCTGGAACCAGCCCATCGAGGTCATCCGCGTTGAGATGCAGAGCAAGACGGAGGACCCTAAGCGCCCCAAGAAGATGACCGTGGGCAACACCTTCAGGTACATTTACCAGTCCAATGGCATCAAGGGTCTATACCGCGGTGTAACCCCCCGCATCGGCCTGAGCATGTGGCAGACAGTTTGCATGGTTGCTCTTGGCGATATGTGAGTCCACGCCCCCCCCCCCCCTTTCCCCAACGCCCTTTTGCTTCCTATAGCATCTGTCTGGCCTGTATCAAGTTTCATTAAGCTGACGCGTGATTATTTGTTTGCAATTACAGTGCTAAGGGTATGGTTGAAAAGGTGACTGGTGACGCCGTCACCACTAAGCATTAAAGCGACGGCGTTTTCAGGATAACATATCAAATGACGGAATGTGATGTGTGATACCGGGTGTGTGCGGTTTTTCCAATGGTTGGAGATGGGTGAACTGAGTATACAATTTGTTGTTGCTTTTTCTATAGACGAACGGTCGTAACGGCCAAGAACTTCTTTTGCTTCCTCACTCTGGTCCGCTGCTGTACCAACAATTGCCTGACAAGTACACGCGTGTGATGAGAGATGGACGGTGTCTTTGACTCGCTGCGAGCCTTGATCAATCTACTTTGACTTGCTCAAACATTCATGGTTGTATACGAGATGGCTTTGGCTATCCCACATGACGCTCTTATGGAAGCCGTTGACGATCCATCAGAATCCCTCTCACAGCTCTCCTGCAGACCTCTCTATTAAAGGGTAAGGTGATGCCCGTCTGGACTTGGTTGAACATACGCGTAGAACGTGGATGTGTCAAAGTAGAGGAAGGGCGCAATAAAGAGAAACGAAATAGTTCATTGTAATGTTCACATTTTGTTTAACCTAGTAGGGCTATCTGAAGCCATCTACTTTTTGCAAGTGAATTCGATATGCAGTGAGTGGCATCATATGAACCCCTTCGTTACTCAAGACACGTTGTACATAGAACCTTGTCCTTCCATCTTATGTTGTTTTGTGTGTGTGTGTGTGTTGGCCAGCAGCAAAAACCCATTCTGATTGCTGCGCGTACAACATCAGGGGAGCATCTTCTCTCGTGCTCCTAAAATTCCAGGCCTCAGACCCAGATGCCTGTTTTATCACCCCATTCTGCCGTCGTGGGGTCCCATTCCACCACCTCGGCTGTACCCCTGCGCAGGTAGGCCTCGTCTTCCTCCACAATGCCAGGGTACTCAGGGCCCTCATACAATTCTCGCTCGCCAATGCCCTGGTTGGCGAGCACGTCACGGATCTCTGAGCCGAGCATCTTGTAGTCGAGGTCGAGTTCGCAGTTGCGCCTGTGCTTCTTGAGGAGTGCCTTTTTCGCATCCTGAGGATCCATCTTCTCATCTTGCGTATAGGTTACCTGCTTAAGAGCCTTCGTTCTCAATGGCGGATTTGAGTACATCTTGGCGTTGGACTGCAGATACGCCTCAAAGTGGGCTTGTACGGGCATGAGCGTGTTACCGCCGAGATACGCCTCACGACAGTAAAGCCCCGTCTCAGCATATTTCATGTCCTTAACCATGCCTACAGTGGGGTCGCCACTATAACGTAGTTGGCCATTGGCAACGTACCTCCGGCCCAACGCTCGACCATCTGTAAGAGCCACGCCCCGAGGTGGTGGTGGGTCAGCATGTGGTGTGATTGTCGTGGGTGCGCGTTTCTTGACGCCGCCTGGTAGTTTGACAAATGACGGCGGGCTGCCGTCGTCGTGGTCCGTAGATAAGACAAACACACGCCCACTAGCATCGCCGATGACAAGCTTTGACTTGTCTGGAGAAAAGGCACCAAAGGAAATCTGTGCTGGGGCCTCAAGAATGACTCTGCCTTTAGCCTTCTTTCCCAGAGACCGCACATTCCAGACTTTGACGATGCCGTCCGAAGACCCAGTGTAAAAGCGATCCATCGACGTGCCCCAGGCTGTAAACTTTACACCAGTATCATCCGTGTCATCACCGGCGGTGACTCCCGCGACAGGCTGACCATGAGCCAGCACTTGGACGGGCTTATCGCCAAGTGCTGTGTCCCAGACATATGTCTTGCCGTCGGTGCAGCCGGCAGTCACAAAGCAGAAGTGAGGGCTGTTGGGCATGATTGTAAGCTCGTTGATGTCCACAGCATAACAATCGAGTGCATTCATCTCGGTGAAAGCCAGGCCCGTGGAATGTCCGTTATCAACGACCTGCTTAAAGATGCGGACCTGTGTCTTGACCCTATCAAAATTGAGAGCGTATCCAGCAGGAGACGTAGCAGCAATGAATACGGGCTGGGTCGGATGCCAAAGAACTTCAAAGACGTTTTGGGTTCTCGCGCTGGTGATCGTAACACCTTTGCCAGAAACGGCATCCCACAAGCAGAGCTCGCCTGTATTGGAGCGGTCAGTCGGGATGTCGTTATCATCACCCGTGAGACTCCGTGGAGAGTAACCGACTAGAAGCAGATGTTTTACACTCTGCTCGATGCCCCACCTCATCGTAGAAGGGAAGTATGTCCACTTGTCAATGACCATCGGGGTGCCGTCCGAATTCACTATTCTCGAGCAAGAGAAAGGTTTGAACCGGCTTTGGGCAACGTGTCTGTCGTCTTTGGAAACGTGATAGACCCTGACAGCATTGGTCGGAACGTCCGCGGCCGTAGCAACCAGGGCCTCGTCCTGGTTGTCGAACAAGGAAGCTTGGACGAAATTCACGGGTCCCTCATGCTCCCAGGTACCGATACAACGCATTGAAGCCCCAGCTGAATCAACCTTCCACACCTTCACCTTCTTATCGAAGCCGGAGCTGTAGATTCGATTGTGAATCCTGTCATAATCAGACGACACGACTGAGGTGTAAAGCCACGGAGACTGAGATTCGCGCATGGCTTCGGTGGAATTCTCACCCCTCTCGACCAGAGGCCGGGGAATCCGGTGGTCCGGATAGGCCTTCAGGGTAGCTGAGCCGCGGGCAACAGAACCCAAAACCAGGTTGCCAGGCTTGTTGTACTGCTGGTTGTGGGAATCCATGTGGACAGTCGTGCCAGCTAGATAAGTCTGGTTCGACACCCAACTGACCGTCGAGAGATCTCCAGCACAATTTGTGAATTCGCATCGCATTTCCAGTCCATCCTCGAGAATTTTGCGGCATTCGTCCTCGAAACCCACAAGCCTTCTGTTCAAGCCCAGCCTATTTCCTGACATCTCTCTTGCTAGCAGGAGAGACGAGAGGCGGCTCTCGCGCAGACCCTCCTCCCGTGTGTCGTACGAGTCTTTCTCAAGAGATAAGACCTGCTGCGTCTGGAAGTTCTTGGCAAGGGTCCGCGATTTCAGGATGTCGTCCAGGGATGAATAAACGTCGTGAAGAAAAGCACGAACATCATCCACTTCTCGGCCTGGAAAGTGAGATCCGATCTGTACTGCGAGTCGACTGACATCGTTCGGTTTCTTCAGCCTCTTGAGCAGCTTAGCGAGGTCGCGATAGGGTTCGCGATTGTGGCGATTTTTCAGGGCCTTCCCGAATACATCATAGACAGCCGACGTCGCCTTACGTATCTCGTCCAAGGTAAAATCCACATGAAACACCTGTGGCTTTTCCAGCAGCGAGGGGTTCAGCCTCCTCAGCTGACCATTGCTGCGCAAGATGGCTTCTATTGCCTTGACACCAACATAAGGGCGATGCGATAGTGCGAAGTACGACTTGGCGCTCGTAGTGACCTCGAAGGGCTCTCCTGCCACGACCGATGCCCACGCAGCTTTCTTGGCGCGAGAACTAAAGTTTGCGGGGGAGGTAAGAGCACCCAACCTGGACTGCCTAGAAGAGGTTGGCGTTCGGGGGGGCTCTCGGCGTATGCGAAGGGACTTCGGTGTTGACGTGGGTGCTGCTGAAGATGCAGGCGCATATGCATGATGGGCTGTTTGATTCGGATGATATGAAAGAGGGTCTTCGTGTGAAGAGGCTGATGTCGGGACATAGCTCAGCATTTCCGCGGCAGGACTGGCTCCTGGCCCGTGAGGATTGGCGAACGCGTGCCATATCGGATTCGATAGACCGCTGGGGGTAGGAGGAGGTTGAGGGCGAGGGCTAGCAGCTTTTGGGGACGAATCCATGACTTGAGGGCTGGGAAGGAGCCGCTGCTGCCCTGTTTGGTAGCATTCCTGAACATCGAACGAGGCGCGTTAGCTCGAAAGCTCACGAGCTTCCTTCCCTAAGGGCTTGTATCTTTCTTACTGGCAGAGCAACCAAGTACGAGAGCTGCTCCTTCCTAGAAGCGATGATATTCTGGTGAAGAGCATCAGATATGGAACCGTTTTGCTGCGTAATGCGCTTGCCAAACTGTTGGCATAGCGCTACTGTCAGCTATGGAAGAGCCAAGAGGCTATATTAGCCAGATAGCCAGACGCGTCGCGTGAACTTTCACTGTTCACAAGTTGTTGTAGCAGGTAGCCCATCTTACCTTCTCCCTAAGCCTATCCTCGTGAATGCTCGGGTCTTCCAAGGCCGCTTCTCTTGCGCCAGCCTGAGCATAACGACGCACCAGCGACTCAGCGGTGGTTTGCGCATTCTGGGCTGTCGTCAACTTGACGCGTTTGGTTGGAGGTTCTAGGGCGGCGAACGGTGAAGCATGGTCGCCAAATACACGGCGCGCGGGGCCGTTGGCTGCATATTGACCGCCGCTGCCGCTGTTGTCGTCGCCGCTGTCACCCGTGAGGTCAATAACCTCAACGCGGCGCTGAAAAGGCAGCATCATGGCGAACGAAATGCGTCGGTTGCTCTTATGATAGAGTGGGTATTATGTAGTTTAACTTGTCATCCTATTAACCGCGTCTTACTAATCAAATCCAAAGCGCTAAAACGAGTTAATAAGCTAAGTTTTAGCTCTAGATAATTTAGGTGCACATTAATCACGAGTTCTGATTTTTTAATAAATTAAATTTAAAAGTTTTTTTAACTACATATATAATAATAAAGAATTATATAAGCTATTTATATTCTACGCTAAAGATATTTAGTAACATTTTTGTAATTATATAATATAGATATAAAAATGTCTTGATATTCTGTATTCTACGTTGTCTTAAGATATTAAGAAACTTGAAAAAAAGCCTTGGTGTAATGATGCACTGCAGTATCCGAAGATCCTAAAGTACACAAGGGTGTAATGAGCACTGCAGTAATCCGAAGATTCCAAAGTACACAAAGAGGTTTATGCTAACAAGAGCGGTGCCAAGTACAGGCCTTGAATACGGAAACACAACTGAGTAACTGTGCGAGTGTTCACTGCCTTTGGGGCTATCAGAGTAAGAGAGTAATCTGACACTTAGACTGATACTTAGATTGACAACTGAAGAGCTATGTACTGAATCTATCTAATGGTAATGAACGTGTCCTTATATATCCAGCTTCTTCAGTCCTGACTATCCTGACTATGTTCCGATTCCTCATAGTCGTTCTCCAAATATGTTGACTATGTCCATAGTCGACATAGTCGCGCTAGTAACCCTAACCCGGGTTACGTAATCCTGCTTGGTATCCGACGTTGGGTCGTGACACCTGGTCCCTTTGTTGGTGGGGCTTATCCTGTGACCTGCATGTTGGATGGGTCATAACAAAGGGGTTTATGCTAACAAGAGCGGTGTCAAAGTAGTAACCAATTGAATACGGAAATCTGAACAAGTAATCCGTGCAAGTGCTTTCATTCGCCTTTGGGGCTATTCAAGTGTGTGACAAATGAATACTTAGATTGACGACTGAAGAGCTATGTTCTGGTGGTCTATCTAATGGTAATAAACGTGTCCTTATATATCCTGCTCTTCAGTGTGGCTCACCTGGCTCACTGATGATCCAGATGATCCATCCCTGTCATAACCCTAACCCTTGCTTACGTAATTCTGGTTGGCCATTTGGTGCGGGACTGCAATGCTTGGTTCCTGTTGCTGAGGCTTGTTTTGTAACCTGCAAGTTGAGTGGGTCATAACACTTGGTCATTGATCCAGCGATCAGTTCTTGGATTCGAAGAGCATAGTCGATATGCTTGTGAATCATTCCAGATTTAATAGCTGTTCAATTATTCGAGTTTACAACTATGTAAAAAGAGTCGTATAAACTGCTTTCTCAACACTACTTTTCGCAAAGAAGCTTTGTCAAAGAAAATTAACGTACGTCTTACCTCAAAAGCACGTTATAATCAAGTTTCTAGATTATTTCAAAAGCAATACTTTCAGCAATAGAAATGCCTAAAAGTATGTCCTCCATAACTTTATGGTGTCAGGTCTCCTGTAATGCCACAGCCCTGTAGCTAATTGGTGCTGGCCCGCTTTGTTGCAATGCACCAAAACCGTTCTAATACCGCTCCACAGAGACTGAAGCACCTAAGGTTTCTTGATTTCTTCAACACGACTCCTTTTCCTAAGCATTCGCTCTAGAGGGGAACGAGTCCTTGCAACATGGAACGTTCTAGATGACATTTTATATTGCTCCTATTACCAGCTCTAAGATAACCATTCTAAGCCTCCAAAGTCCTGTAAACCTCCTATCTCCACCGGAATGTACCCAAGAATGTAATACAAAAGCAGGAAAATGAGTACAGAGGACTGATCGAAACAGCCGCCCCCATTTTTACAGCTTGGCCTTGGGCTGCTCGCTTTGTCTCGCAATCTCATCATACATATCGTCGATTTGCTTCTTAAAAGCCTTGGCGGTCTGCGGGCGCTTGATCTTGAGACTGTGATCTGCGTTAGCACAAATGAAAAGGCAAGGGACAGTAAGGAGAAGCAGAGGAGGTTGGAAGCAGCTTACGTGGGTGTGAAGAGCTCATTGTCGATAGAGAATGGCTCAATGTCCATGTAACAGTTTCTCACCCTCTCGTAACTGTTGAACTTGTGCTTCCTGCCAATGTCATCAAGTTGCTTCAGGAATGCCTTCCTGACCTGAGGATCGTTGGCGGCGGCCTTGAGTGCGGCATGGTCGGCTGCTGGGACACTCTTCTTGAGAATCTTGCTAGCATACGGAGCAAAAGTTTCCGGGTCAATGCCGAATATAGCAACCAGGCAGTCCTTGCTGGGCTCGCCATGCACATAGGCCATCTGGATGATGGAGCTGCTGCCGAGATAGACATTCTCGATGCGCTCGGGCGAGATGTACTCGCCCTGGGCAAGCTTGAGCACGTTCTTCTTGCGGTCGATGATCTTGAAGCGGCCGAGATTGTCTATCTCGCAAATATCGCCTGTGTGGAACCAACCATCAGGGTCGAGCGACTTCTTCGTTTCCTCATCATTCTTATAATAGCCCTTGAACAGAACAGGGCCCCGGAGGAGCAGCTCGCCGCGCGGGTTGGGCTTGTCATGGACCGTGTACTCTAGGTCAGGGGCGGACTCGAGGCAGGCCTCTATGAAAGGCATGACAGCACCAAGGTTGCCGGTGCTGTAGTCATTGCTGTATTGGACCATGCCCACAGCGTACGTCTCCGTCATGCCAAAGCCCTGGGCGAAGTTGTTGCCAAAGGCGGCACGGAGGAACGTCTGGACGTCGGGATCCAGCTGGGCACTGCCGCTGACCATTGAATGCGCACGGTCTAGACCAACAGCTGCCAGCACCTTTGGGGTCCAGATCCTGTCATAGAGGAAGTGCTTGTTGGTAGCCTTGCCCAGAGGCAGTTTCATGTTGGCCTTCTTGGTGTTGATCACGTGTCGGGAGAGCGCACCCTTGACTCCATCAGCCTCGACGGTGGCCTGGGTGATGGCGGCTTGGAAGCGGTTGTAGAGACGGGGCACGGACATGAAGCCTGTCGGCCTTAGGATCTTCAGATCCTCTACCAGGGTTGGGATGTCACCGTGAAAGTACCCAACAGGAGCACCGGTGAGGAAGGCAGCCTGATCAGCCATACGTCCAAAGATGTGTGCCAACGGCAGGTAGGAGAAGTGGATGTCGCCTTCCTTCACAGTACCGGTGGAACGAGCGCATGAGATACCAGCAACTGCATTCCCATGATCAAGGACGACTCCCTTGGGGTTACCCGTCGTGCCAGACGTGTAGTTGATGGTGAAGATGTCGTCCTTTTGGGGAGGTCGCATCTGCCGCCCAGACTTGAGGCCCAGTGCTTCCACCTCGGTCATGGAGTATATCTGGATGCCACTGTCCGCTGCCAGCTTGTTGAGCAGCTCACGCTTGGAATGGCCGGCCATCTCGCCATCGTCCAGGGAATCAAGGGTAATGATAAGCTTGAGGGTGGGAACCTTGGACGCAATCTTCAACAAGGTCGGGACGTGCGGCAAGGAGCAGACGACGCAGGCCAGTTCGCCATGGTTGATAATGTACTCGGTCGTCTGGGGGCCGAGAGTTTCGTACAAGGTGACCGGATACAGAGACTGGGTGACCAGAGCAAGCTCTATTTTCTGCTATCAGCACCGAAGCTCATCAAAAGGAAGAAGGGGGGGGGGGGGGAGAATGGGCGCAAACGAACCGGTGATCTGCCATTCGGGCCGGTTCTGGGCCCAGATGCCAACACCATACTTTGGGGCCGTGATACCCACCTTGTGGTGCAGCTCCACGATACCTGCGCCAAAGTTCTTCCTCCGCTCAGCAACCTCGGCGTAGGTCATCCAGACGTATCTGGGCTCCCACGTCTTGGTCGCGGGGTTCCAGGGCCTCCATCCCAGCATGCGCTTGTTCGGGCGGGCCTGCCAGGCGTCCTCAAAGAGATCGTGAAAGGTGAAGACATTGGGCTCTAACCTCTCCAAGAGGGGCCCATCGCGGAAGGCCCAATTACGATACACTGGGGATCGATTCTCGCGCTCAGAGCCGGGAATCGGGAGACTGTAGGGCGAGCCAGCTGGGGGAGGCGTCGAGGACTTCTCGAGAATTGCCTTGGCATGTGGATCGGGACGCATCTTGAGAGAAAGGAAGGCAAAAAATCTCCTGGCGGTAGAACTCTGTCAGTCGACGACGAACTGGAGAAGAAGTTCTCAAGAGAAAAAGAGGGCGGGCACACTACCAGACAAGGCGATGGGTTCAAGAGATGCTAGACTGTCCGTCAATGCCGCAGTTACTGTAGGAAGACCCGTTGTCACAAGCAAAAACTTGGAGCAGTCGTGCAGTTCTGGACGAGCAGGTGTCGCGCGTGAGAGAGGGGGAGGGAGAATCAAGACAAGGACTGGATGCACTATGTGAACATGGCGATCAGAGGAGGAAATAGGAGAAATCCGGCAAGCTCTCGAGGGATGCTATGAATTACATATCAGGTAGGCGCTCCTTGAGAGAGTCCGGGGAAAGTGGACGGGGCGCGGATGACCAGCTCAAGTTTAGGTGGGTCTCCCGAGTGCCTCGGCACATGCCCAGACTGCATCATCGGCATTGGCAGAGGAGGATGAGGCCGAGCGGCCGGCAACAGAGGAAGAAAAGAATAATAGATAGCTTGAGCTAGGCTTGCACTATTGCTAGAGATAAAGTTATTGCCTCCAGCAAGTGCAACACAGTAGTGCCATGAATACTGTGCACGCTATGGTAGACAGACCCTAAACGTGTCAACTCTACAGGAGAGAGGAGCGGATCCCGCGCTCACTTCACCCTACCAAGGCCCCCGAATTTCAAATATACGACACCTCGAAAATTAGAAAGCCTTCAAAGGAACTAGAGAAAGACGCCAGATAATATATACATATATATAGAGAGAAGAGTGTGTGTGCGTGCGTGCGTGCGTGCGTGCGTGTGTGATTTGTGGCTCCCCCCGTATTGATTACCTAAACTACTCCAAATACAGATCATGGCGACTAGACCCCTTACGTACTAACAGAAGGCAGTACAACACTGGCCATGAGGAAGATAGTGCTGCTGCTCGGACCTTGACCAGATGCCAGATGTACGTGATGAAATCACATGCTCCAGTTCTCGCTACCCAGTACTTGGATACTTTTCTCCATCAACGCCACGTTGACAACTATGACAAGGCTTCAAGAGTTCGCAGTTCGCACAGGCCTTCCACCAGGGTCGTCTTGGCTGCGAGGTCCCAAGTCTTGAGATGGGCTTGGCACCTCATAATTAGAAGCTTAGGGCGGCCATACCAAACTCCCAAACTTGTCGGCAGCAAACTCGCACCTTGGCAAGATGGAGTCCATCGACCACTGCACTGCGTGACGGGGTCGTGGTAAAGCATATCGCCTCTACCATAGTCCAGAGTACGTACGGCCAAGACCATCAACCGTGGGCTCTTACTATTCAGAGACTGCCAAGGTGTCAAAGAGATCCAGTCAGAAAAACATGTTTCCCAATCACTCGACTCCCTCTGCCCACCTCCACGCGTCCAGCCCACCTTTCTGTGTCGAGGTCGATCATTCATTCATTCATTCATTCTATACGTGCGTGTGTATATGTGTGTGTGTGTGTGTGTGGCAGCTCAGCGAGAAAACCTTCTCAGCCCGATCCATCCCACCGAGCAAGGCTGCCCAAATACTTTACATACTATAACAAACTAGGGAAACGAGACGAGACGTGGTAGTAGCAGAAAGACAATAATATCCATGCCTTCGGCCCGGGTCACAAACGAGACTCGAGTGGAAACGTCTCTTTTGAACAGTCAAACGCGAAGAAAAGATGAGCCGACTCTCTAGTCCAGCCGTGCTATCCGCCTATTTCGAAGCCGAATCTCTCTTCAATTTGTGGCTTTAAGCGCCTACTCAACAATCAAAGGGCGGTTACGAAATCACCTCCACCACCGGGCCAGGGCCAACCAGCAGTCCTCTCTCATAGGTGCACATCTGTCTCCCGGCCCAGTTTACTGAACCATTATAGCAGCACTGATGCTGGCCCTGTCGGGATGCAAGCACCCAGGGGAATTGCAGAGTACAACGGAGGGCCGGGGGGACGCTGCCAAGCCGCGTTTCACAAGGGCTTCAGGATGCCAATCGAGGCGTGGTCGACTAAACCCCAAGCGGTGCAATCCCGGGTAATTCTGCTGCTGCGCATCGACAGCACTCGAACTGCTCCGAGTCTCATCTCATGCTCAATGCCTCTGCATGCACACCACCATCTCATTTCCCACATCTTATAGGATTTTCCTGCACTTGAATCGTTTCTTCTTAATTGGTTGCCGGACTCCTTGTCTTCTTTTTCCCTTTTCCTTCTTGTTTTCTTCTTATTCCCTCCCTCTTCCTTCTCACCCCCACCAGTCAGTGCACAGGTTGCTTTGCAGATTTACACATTACTTACATTCTTCCTCATTCCCTAAAGCTACTGATTATCTTCATATCTTTTTTGGTACCCTTCCCACAGAGACGTGCTGGCCTGGTCTTTCTTCGCACCGCACACGCACTCAGACTCAGACTCACTGTCTGTCTCTGGTTTCGGTAGAACGATAGTGAAAAAACGTGACGACCTTTTCTCCGTGATCAAAATGGGTTTCCCAGTGATGCTCGCCCTGCGCGCCGTGCAGGCCGCCTTCGCCGTTGTGATTCTCGGCCTCACAGCATATGGTACGTCAATCTTTATCTTCTAATACATTTTCTAGAATCTATCCTACATTGCAAGTCCCTCTCCAAATAGCAATTGCTGACAAGAGGGCGTGCAAATAGTCGCCAACTGGTACAATGTCGACACCCTGACGTCGTCACCATCTCAGGTCAACTTCCTGGTCTTCGTGCCCCTCTTCACCCTCCTTTCCGTCGCCTATCTCGAGCTGGCTCCTAGATTTATGCCCAAGTGTGAGTTTACAATCAGTCTAGCCCACGTCCTACTTTTGAGCCAGCACAACTAACTCAAAAACCCCCCAATCAACAAAAGTCCACCACCCTTGGGCCGTCCTTTCCCTCGAGGCGACCAACGTCGTCTTCTACTTTGCCGGCTTCGTTGCCATGGCCGTATTCCTGTCCCGCCTCCTCTTCTGCCGCGGTGCTGTCTGCGGCTCCGCCCGCGCCGCCACCGTCTTCGGCGCCTTCGAGTTCGCCCTTTGGGCCGCCACCACCGCTTTCACCTTCAAGGACGCCCTGCGGGGCCATTCTGGCGGTTTCCGAAGGGGCGGATCCGGAAAGACCCAGATGCAGTTCGAGCAGCGCGCCGGCGGCCCGTCGATGAAGGAGTCTGCCATGGCCGCGTGAGGAGGTCGCTTTTCTTCTTCTTCTTCTTCTTCTTTCTCGGAGGAGGAGAGAGGGGAACTGAGCGTGGATCAGGTGTTGAAGGCTTGGGCGGATCGGATGGCTGGGAAAAGGTCGGCGTTGATGGGAGCTGTGCCAGAGGAGGAGGAGGAGGAGGAGGAGTGGGAGCTTGCGACGTTTGTGGGGAGCGAGGATGAGGTCGTTGCTGGGAAGAGGGCCTGGTTGATGAGAGCTGCCGATTAGATGCGCCAGCTGTGCTGGCTGGCTCGCGGTATGATAAGGAAAATAGGTAATGAGCTGTACTTTGTCTTTTTTTTTTACGATTGTATTAGAAGAATCAGGTCGGAATGGACCGGATTGGCTGGCCCCGAGGATCGAATTTGGGTCATTCAGATACCGGCGGCACGGAGGCCTTGGGACCAGGCAAGATGCCATGTCCTCATGTTGTCAATGACAGTCCTATATGAATTGATTATGGTCCTCCTTACCCTATACGAGCCCATCGTACTTGTAAGTCCCTACTTTATGTGCTATGGCTGATGGATGCCCGGTTGAAGTCTATCTCCCCTGTCGTCATGGTTTGCTTTGAGGGCCAATTATATAGGCCAGGTGGTGGGTTTTACAGGTCTCTTGCATAATGTCAGCTGACTATTTTGACGACACGCTTTCAACTTGGTTCAGTGAAGATTAAGGTTGCCTTGGGCCTGCAAGTAAAAGTTTCTCAACATATAACGGGGCTGAGTGTGGAAGAGTGCATGGCTTCTTCAAGGAAGACTTTCTGTCACAAGCCATCCAATCTAGGTCGGCCCACTATCAATCCATAGACGATAGATAGATAATACCACAGACTACACAGTGGAAGGACAAGAGAGAGAAAGAAAAAGATGAACCTGGTCACCGGTCTCCTCACGCCCAGCGTAATACACCCCTTTTTTCATAGCGCATGCATACCAAACACCACAGCGTGCCCACGCAAGCGACGGCCCTGCAGAGATTCTCGCCCAGGCCAGACGGATTCGGAAAGCACGAAATACATCTTTACAACGACCAGATTTTCTTTTGAGCTTATCGATGGCTGGTTCAAAATTCGGAGCCTCCACCATGCTCATGACCATTGTCCCAAGATCGAAAATGCCGCCCTGGTACTGGAGCGTTACTCTTACCGTTGCGGCAGAATCCCGCTTTTTCCGTGTTGGTTGCTACTATTGACAGCAGCTTCGTTCATATGAGCAAGTGAATGAGATGGGGATCAGATTGAGTTGGTGAATGTCTGTGGGCAGCCCTCAAGAGCTGCTCCAGAGCGGGCCTTGCCTGTCGGCTAACCACTTCACTGACACCGCAACAACAAGAGACCAGAATCGCATCCGCAAGACCACTCTCTTCCTGTGCTGGCAGCCTTCGTCCCACGGTTTGCGTGCCACAGCAAGCTAGCCAGCGTATGCATGACGATCCCGCAACGTCTTGGCTTGCGCCTCATTGATCCATCGCCTTGAGACCATGTTCACGCCTCGACCCAACTTCTCCCTTAATTATATCAACATCTATTGGCAGCCCAGAAGAATTCGGCGGACTTAAATGGGTGCAAGAAGAAGAAAAGAAACCAGAGAAAAAGCGCTTGGAATTACCTGCAGTCATATCTGGAAAGAGGGATGGCGGACAGCTCCCTCGTCTCCCTTCCTACATCGGCATGAGAGAACGATGACTCCAAACCCTAAGCACCAAGATAAACCTCCATCACCAACCTTAAAATCACCTCACCCATCTCAAAGACAGTGGGCACATAGAGGAACATCTTTCAAGCGAGAAAGAAAAACCAGAAGGGAAGAGAGGGAAAGAAAAAAAAAGGTGACAGGAAAGAACAAGAACAAGATAAAACAACTGCTGTCTCTTTAAACATCTGCATCCACTCATCCGCGGCTCTCGGCGCCGTAGCAGCATGGAGAGATAGACGGCCGAATGGCCCCCGACTATCGCTGCGGTGCCGATGAGCAAGCAAGGCCTAGCGAAACGTCGAAGAAGCTGAGGATGACGTGCTCGCTCCCCCACTCCTACAAGCGCGCCGGTCTATCCCAGTTTGGGACTTAGAGAGCCATTGTTAGTAGATGAATTCCCTCCCTTTGAGGCGTACTCGAGAAGATTTATATGGAGGGGAGGTGGTCACGAGAGGGCATGGGGTGCTTCTTAGGTAAACGGGTTAGAAGATTGATTTTCTGCCTCCTTGCCTCTTCTGTGGCATTCGAACTTTATTTAAAGAAGGGGTGAGGTCCGCTTTCTTTTGACGTCGTGTTGTGTAACCTGAGATAAGAAACCCAAAAACGACACAAAGTGTATTCCTCTCCCCAAGGCCCGAATCAATTGGCATTCTATATCACCATGTCTGAGCTCAGCAAGAACTTCGAGACCCTTCAGCTTCATGCTGGGTGAGTTCGAAATGACAGATTCCTCAAAAAGAGTTGTGCATGTGTATAGTGAGCTGACTGTTTTGGATGTTTAAAGACAGGAGGTGGAGCCTACCACCAGAGCAAGAGCTGTGCCCATTTATGCCACGACCGTATGAGAGGAGACCTGATGAACACTGGCTGAGGGGAAAATCCTGGGCATACGCTGACATGATGGCCTCCAGAGCTATGTCTTCAACGACTCTGCACAGGGAGCCAGGCTCTTCGGTCTCAAGGAATTCGGCAACATCTACAGCCGTATTATGAACGTGAGTGGGCTCTCATTAAGGGAGAGGGAATACTGTACAGAGGGCTGAGAGAGAGAGAGAGATAATAGCCTACCGTCGATGTCTTCGAAAAACGCATGGCTGCTCTTGAGGGTGGCGCCGCAGCAGTGGCTGCCGCGTCTGGCCAGGCTGCGCAGTTCATGACCATCGCCGCGCTCGCACAGGCCGGCGACAACATTGTGTCGACCTCCAACCTGTACGGAGGCACATACAACCAGCTCAAGGTCATGTTCCCTCGGCTGGGCATCAATTGCAAGTTTGTGGACGGCGACGACCCTGAGAAGCTGGCAGCTGCTATCGACGACAAGACCAAGGCTGTGTACCTGGAGAGCATCGGTAATCCTCGGTACAATGTGCCAGACCTGGAGAAGATTACCCAGCTGGCGCACGAGAAGGGCGTGCCTGTCGTCGTGGATAACACCTTCGGAGCTGGCGGTTATTACATCAGGCCCATCGACCATGGCGCCGACAGTGAGAAGCTCCTCCTCCACCCTGAAACCCCTCAAAATGAGAGGAGATCACGCTGACCGCAGATATCTCAAGTCGTCGTGCACTCGGCTACCAAGTGGATAGGAGGCCACGGAACTACGATCGGTGGCGTGGTCATTGACTCGGGCAAGTTCGACTGGGGCAAGAATGCGAAGCGCTTCCCGCAGATGGTTGAGCCATCCGATGGGTACCACGGCCTCAAGTTCTGGGAGACATTCGGCCCTATAACCTTCATCATCCGGGCGCGCGTGGAGATTCTTCGTGACCTCGGGGCGTGCCTCAATCCTCATGCCGCACAGCAGCTCCTGCTGGGTATTGAAACGCTCAGCCTCCGCGCGGAGCGTCATGCACAGAATGCACTCAGCTTGGCACGGTATCTCGAGAAGAGCCCTTACGTGGGCTGGGTCTCGTACCCGGGCCTCGAGGACCATCCGAGCCATGAGGTTGCCAAGAAGTACCTGAAGAGAGGCTTCGGTGGTGTCCTCAGCTTCGGTGTGAAAGGAGGCGGCGAAGCAGGCAGCCAGATCGTGGACGGCTTCAAAATGATCTCGAACCTGGCGAACGTTGGTGACTCCAAGACACTCGCCATCCACCCATGGACGACGACGCACGAGCAATTGTCAGAGGAGGAGAGGAAGAGCTCGGGTGTGACCGAGGTGAGTCGTATTTGCTATTTTGGCTTTGGGAGGGGAATAGATACTGACACCTTGCATAGGATCTCATCCGAATCTCCGTGGGTACCGAACATATTGACGACATCATTGCTGATTTCGAACAGTCTTTCAAAGCTGCATCTGCAGCAACGACGAAGGGTGAGGAGGGAAATCCAGAAGGCAAGGAGAAGGAGGCGGCGCCAACTGTCATCTGAGAAGGTTTATAGAAATGCTAAAGGGAACACTTGTCCTCCTAGCTTTTATCTTTCCTATGTAGCAAAAGAAAAGAATCAACTTGGTCACATGTGTCCAATTGGAGAGTTTACAGTACCTTGCAACTTCACACTACGTTGGAAGAGACAAGACTTAGGCGTGGAGGAGGCGAGATGGTAGAGCACGAGGGCCCGAGCTGCAGTAAAGCCACTCTGTTCACGCAATGAGAGGCGATGAGGGGCATCTAAAAGTCGTAAGATTGGTTGATTGGATGTTCAAAGAGATTGAGCGAGAAGAGAAGAAGAAAAAAGGAAATGGGACGAGGAACTCGATGGAGTTGTATGCATAGGATCTAGTGAGACCCCCCAGACTTATTGTGAGCGTCTCCTGCAAGACCCCTTCCCGGACCCACTTGAGCAGTAGCAGCAGCAGCAGCTGCTGCCACTTAGTCAACCGCAGCACAGCTGGGCACTACAACACTAATAACGATACTCTCTTCCAACAACTTCACAACATCAACGAGGCCGCTATTCACCACCGCCAAAATGCGCACCTCGCTCTTCTCCTCCCTCCTCTTTCCCCTCCTCGTCGCCGCGACGACGACAACAACCTCCATAACCCTACACATCCCACCGTCCAACGTCCTTCCTAACCCGCGCACCCTCCCGCCCTCCACCCACGCAACGCTGACCTCCCTCGGCGTCGACGCCTCGGCCTACCTCACCCCATCCAACACCTTCGTCTTCCACAACGTCTCCCAAGGTAGCTACCTCCTCGACGTGCACTGCCCCAGCCACGGCTTCGCCCCCCTGCGCGTCGATGTGCTCCCCGTGGTCTCCGGCGAGGGCCAGACGCAAAAGGAAGAGAGGGTGGCAGGCCTCAAGGTCAGCGCCTGGGAGACGTACCGGGGCAATGACTGGGATAATAAAGGGGAGGCCGTCGTCGTGATGGGCGGGAGCTTGGGGGTGCGGGTTATGGGACAGAAGGCATTCTATATGGAGAGGAGTACTTGTGAGTTTTCTTCATCGGGGATGGACCGATGCATATGTATGTGTGGCTGTGGGAGAGAAAGACATACTGACGGTGCGCGATAGTCAATATCTTGAGCATCCTCAAGAACCCAATGATCCTGCTAGGTCTGGTCAGCATGGCTATTTTCATCGGCATGCCGAAGCTGGTTGATAACAGTAAGTTCTCCTTGCCCATCCACTTAAAAACCACCACCCTCGTTTGGTTGAGACAGGATTGTGTGATGTGTTTGCTGACGACAATGTGCACTACAGTGGACCCAGAGATGCGCAAAGAATGGGAGGAAAGCCAGAAGAGCAACCCGATGAACAGCCTCATGGGCGGGGGCGGAGGAGGCCAGAATCCGGTGGCAAACTTCGACATGGCCTCGTTCCTCGCTGGATCCTCGTCGTCGAAAGACAACAATAACGATGGCGGGTCCTCGTCGAAAAAGGAGAAGGGTGGACGCAAGTAGCTTCTTGGCAAGTCGATAACGGAAACGTCATGTGCCACGCACACGGACGGTATAGAGGCACTTGAACGGCCATCAGAGACGTGGATTAATTACCTCTAGGCATTTTGTAGTCGAAGAGCTATATTGCATCTGGATTTGAAAAGCACAGTGAATATACATTGACTACCAACTGTCGTCGCCACGTGGTGGCCCCTCGACGAAGATCCGTTTCCCTTTTTTATTTTCGTGTTTGACAATTCAATGCTTGCAGATGCCAGTGGTACCCTTACCCTTTCAAGAAGGGTAAGGAAAAGAAGAAAAAAGGACGGGAAGAAAGGGAAGGAATCAGGACGCCAGGACATAGACTATCATTACATCATGTGAAGCTTGTCCCTCTCAACCTCCCTGGCTGATTTAGAAATCGCCGCCGCCAAAGTCATCGCCGCCTCCAAAATCGCCGCCGCCGCCGCCGCCACCACCGTAGTCGTTGTTGTCCTGTCCATTCTGGTACCCTTGGTCATAAGCTTGCTGGTCCTCGTGGTCCTCGTGGTCGTCAATGGCATCCTCCAGCAGCATGCCACCGATCAGACCACCGCCCAGGCCCAGCGCCGCACCACCCATCGTTCCCAGACCGCCGCTCTTAGCTGGCCTCTGTTGCTGCTGTGGGTAGTAACCGCCACCGCCGCCATAACCGCCTCCTCCGTAGCCGCCACCATATCCGCCCTGCTGAGGATAGTAGCCTCCCTGAGGAGGAGGAGGACCACCATATCCGCCGCCGTAGCCACCCTGTTGTGGGTAGCCGCCATAGCCGCCGCCACCACCGTATCCTCCCTGCTGGGAATACCCGCCTCCGTACGCACCACCCTGGTTGCCATACTTGTTCTTGCTCCCGCTGCCGAACAGCTTGCCCAGCAAGCCCCGGCTCTTTCCTCCTTCCTCGCGCGGCGGCAGCTGGTTGGGATATGCCGACGAGCCTGACGGGCTAGGCGAGGTGTTGATGTAGTCCGAGGCGGCACCTTGACCCGGGGCGCGCGCGCCGCTGCTGCTGCTGCTGCGGCCCGCGACCCGGGCGTCCTCCTCCTCTTGCAGCCGGCGTGCCAACTCGGCATCGCTCTCGACCTGGCCAGACGAGGCGCCGGTGCTCTGCGGTGTGAAGGGGTTCGACTTGGAGTCCGTGGGCGCCGGGCCGTCACCAGGGCGATAGGCGGGCGGTGGTGGGCCGGGCGGGGCACCGTCGTCCTGGGGAGGCCGGGCGGGCTCGGTGGGCTTCTCCCATTGGGATTTCTTGGTGTAGGTGTTGACGTAAAACCTGTTGGGTAACGTGTCAGCGTATTTGTGCTTGGCTGGTCGGTGCGTGGAGCCGGGGGGGGGGGGGTTGAGGATTCATGTTGGCCTACCATTCTTTGTACTGGTCGTTCCATCTGCTGACCCATCCCTCTGGGACCTTGGGCGGTGGGGGCCCTGATGGGGCTTCGAAGTCTGCCATTGCTGTGGGTGTGGTTGCGTGCTCAGAAGTGAACGTGGGTTCGGAAGATTGATTGATAATTGATTCGAAGGAGAGTGTATTCCTCTGATGGGGGAAAGAAAGTAGGACAAGGTCTGAGGGAGGAAGATAGAGAGATACGAAGGTGTAGGGTAGTTTGCTAGGTTATGGTCGTGTAAGTCAAAAGAGTAGTGGGCGGGGGCAATTTCGAGACGTCACTGAGTTTGTAATGGCTCCTTGGCGAGTTAGCAGCTTCAGTGCTCTGTTAGCCTGGATGGACACGCTGACTGCTGCTGCTGCTGCTGGTGCAAGTCAGCTTCTGGAGTGCGAATGCAACAAAAGTGATGTCGATACTGCAGCCAGAAATTGAGAAAGAAAAGAATGTACGATTGGAATAGTCTACGCAAGCTTTTAATATTTGATGCTGGATGTGTTTGTCGACTGGATTCTAGAAACACAAGGTTGCCGGGATGAAGATGATGCGAAGGCGAGACAAAGCGAACAGCAGCTTCAGCACAGCCCCCACGGACACGCTGAGAACCGTTGCGCCCCCCCTTCCCCAAAATGGCGCCTGTGTAATCGTTCCCGAGACGCCGATCGCAGGCCTCCTTGGCCTCTCTCGGAAGCGCTGTAGTAGCTCCTCATAGGGGGCCGCGCTGCCACCATTCAAACCCAAAGAAGTAAACCCATAGTATCCGATCCATCCTTTACACCTACACACTTTACAAAGGCTCTACAGGCTGCACTGCCACACGTCGATGTACCATACGACTGGTGGTCCCTTCCTCCTGACTTGGAATGGACGTCGTCTTTTGTGGCTCAGCGTCTTGCTGTGTGTACATAGCAATAGTGCCTCGGAGGGACTGCCATTAAGTGACTGCTTGACTGCACGGCTCGCTATCGTTTATGATCAGTAATTTAACGAGCCTAGCTCGACCCACTACTCGGACCTTTCCTTTTTGGACAACTTCACAATCGTACTGCACAATAGCTCATATGCGCACTAAGCATCAAGACTTGATATTGAATGTTCACTCTTGACAACATCCTGGTATCTGGGGAATATTTGTTTTCTCTCGAGAACCAGGCTATGGTTAAGCACCAGAATATACTTCTCGCCAGCATTCCAGGCAGCATTAAAGAGCAAGAACCTATCCTACGTCACCTGTCTGCTGACTTGTAGACATCGATGAGGAATAGGCAACGTATTATCACTATGCAGCAAAGTCAGGTCTTTCTAGTAAGAATGGATGCCATCATGAAGCGGCAGGATGATACGCCTACTTCCTTGTAGCCCTTCTTCAACTCATTTGTCGACAGATTCCGGAGCCACTAGTACAATCGGCTCGACTGCCCCGGGGGGAGGGGGGATATATACTACCTGCAGAACGAGTCTACAACCATGATCTCTGGCAGCCCATGGTCCCTGGAGTATGGGAGGTTCACCTTTCAGTAGCCCAGAGGTCAGAACGCCTAGAAGGAGGAGATCCCGAATGGCGTAGAATCTTCTCGTCACCCATAGCTCGCCGCGAACACATCTAGACGCAACTCTTAGCTGTAACTCTCTACTACACAGGCTATGGCAGGTCAGACCGCGGCTCCATGCCTTTGGTCATATTTTACTGGCTATAGCACCGAGTGCGTAGCCTATGATGAGGCGTAGAAGGCTTTTGAGCAGCTGGTCAGGGCCAGGACCTGGAGCAGGCTGTTGAGCCTGGGCAGATTGGTACTTGCGCTGGGCCGGGACGGTCTTAGGCCTTGGAAGAAGGCGGAGGATATCTGGTCAATGCCTCGGTGGTCGCTGGGTTCTGGGCACGAAGAGGAGAGGGCCGGCTCTGGTGTTTTTGCTAGCAGACTAAGTTCAGTCATTCGGATCAGCCGTTGCCATTGGCAAACAATCCATGCGTGATTGTCAAGCCTTTATGAGAGTGGCAGTTTGAACAACCCGTCACTGTTCTGGTCATAAAATTCCCCAGGTCAATCACAAACGAGGCCATTTCTTTGTAGACATACTCTCTTATGACATCCCGCAAGTCCTGACGGCTTCGAACGGGAGAGCCATCGTCGTCATAAGGGTCAATGCGAATGCCCCTAAGTCTAGTCATCCAAGCCCGCTTTTGTCATTCACGGTGGTCGCCTGTCCGCACGATTGATTTGAGCCCTCAAGCCCCCTCATCTTGGTCCATATAGAAACAACCGTTCATGATGCACAATCCCCTCCCCCTCCTCCCCCCAACACGGAATACTACAGCGAGATCGGTTCAGCACTGCCATCAAAAGAACAATGTTCGCCAGGAAAGACATCGAGCGCGATGTGCTCAGTAGCTATCGCCAATACCATCGCAACTTGAAACTCTCTCGGCAAACCACCTCAGAAGTACAGCCATGGAGAGTTTCGACGTCCGAAGGGCGTGTGGAGAAGGATGGTATAGACCGCGTAGGTGGCTCTGATCACTCACGGTGCCTCGTGCCGTTGCCTCGGAGGCAGGAGGTCCAGTTCGCTAATATACACTGCACATACTCCCAGAGTCCTACCAGCACCGACAGCTCTTGCCACTTTGACAGCATAAGTCATGAACCAGAATGGGCGGCCGCTCGGGGCCAAGAGCAGCCTAGAGCTAAGCCAGGCCATAAGCAGGCCAAAGAAGGTGTGACAGACCCGTCCACCGAGGGTAGTGACACTGTTGTGGACAAGGCACATGCGACATCTCTAGCTGTGGTAGCATAGTGGCCTTCGTGCCATTGCACTTTGCGTAAAGTTTCACATAACTCGGCTCGTACCACTCTGTCATAGTATGGCGGACAAAAAAAAACCCAAAAAAAAAACCACCAGAATAACAAAACCAAGAAAGGAACAATGGTGTAGCGGCTCTTAGTCCTCCGTTGAGGGTCTTACTACTTGAATTGGCACGGAATTTCCTGGTGGCCTATTAGTAGAATGGAAAAGTAGGGAAGAAGGCTGCGAGCCTAATTGAAAAATTTAGTTGGGATTTCCCGTCGCAGGGATATGGTTTCAAGACCATGTGCTTCTCACATCTTTGACAGGCAGTGAGTGTGCCAAGGAAAGTTCACATCTCATCCAGGACAACTAAGGTCAGATTGCACATGATGATATGCTACAAATGCTTGATCAAGATGCTGCCTTCAGGAGTCTTGCAGAGCTAAACAAGAGGCCCTGCAAAAGTCCTAGAGGCCTGTGTCATAGAACTTGCTTGCCCTGTGACGTAGTCCTAGCTGTGGCCAGGAAGCCCCCCTTGACAGTGAACTCCCCTGGTGATTGCCCAGATAAAGAGAGTCAAACACTTCACCATGCATACAGGCAGAAGGAAGAAGGCAGGGCGTCCACCATAGCTCCAAGTAATCTGGTTGCGAAGTCCATACGAGGTAAGTACAACATGTGGACCTTGCTTGCCCCTCTTCATTGGTGGGTGAGCATTGTCAGCCTGCCAAACTCAGGTAGCATGTGAAGGCCGCGTGCCGTTCCGAGCTGCCAGACGGTAATACCGGAGATATCCAGAGGGTGGAGGGCATCCTCCTCCGTATTTTGGCTTCAAGATGTGTGGCGGATAACAGGGCCAGACCTTGGGAGGGAGATGGATGTTTTGAGTGTGTCAGACAAATCCAGTCGCCTAATGTGGTCTTACTAATAACGAAAATAATATGATGGAAAAAGAAGAGAAAATCTTGCTAATTGCGTGTGAGGCTCTGGGTCTCAAGCACAGCAGATTGGATGGAGTTGGTTCCAGCAATGCTTATTAGCCCTGGCAAGAAGTTGAATACAGCGGCGAAATTGCCTGATCAGGTGCCTCAACTGCCTATCTGCTACTATGATACAAGTGATAGGGCTGAGGTGCTGAATGGTTTGAGCAATCCAAACCCTCCTTGTGGATGTTACTCGTAAGCCTAGCTGGGTGGCGGCATGCTGTAACAGTACTACTACTGATTGCATGGGCAGCCCTCCCTCCGTACGGAGGCAATGTGTGCAGTTTGGGTGATCTTATTCCCCGTACAAGTACGAGGTTACAACTTGTGAGCAGCTCAGAGCCTCGTGTCCTGTATATCAAGATTGGAAGAGCCCCCTTTGAAACCCCTTTCCCTCCGTATTCGAGAGTAAGAAAGGTGCCCAGGAACGATTGGTAACTATGAGCAGCTAGCTGCATGCCATGCCTTGGCGAGTGACAGCCAATCCATCCTGGGTCTGCAATCAGAATCAATCCACAGGGATGCACTGATTTCCCTATCCATGATGGACATTGCAGAATGCTCAGCAGATCATCAAGACGCCATATTTCATAGCCCCGGTGTGCGAGGGTGTCAGCTTTTTACTGATCAATAGTGGTTTGTAAGCCAGGTGGCTCGACCAAGCAGATGTGGGTGACATTGCAAATGTCTGTTGTTGATGGGGTGGCCTCGTTTTTCTGTCTTTTCATCATGAAAGAAATTAGACCATGGGCCTTTATCAAACACGCCCCTTTCTTTTGGTCACCAAGCCACAGCCATTCCACTGTGCTGCACTGCCAAGCTGAACCCCAGATTGGCCCCACTTTTCAAACGCGTAGGACCTCCACCGCCTTGTCAGCCTCTGTGTATGTACCATGTGTGTGCGTGTGTGTGTGTGTGTGCACATGGTTGGATTAGGTTGGGTTGGGCTCAGTGCACACCTGAGCCTGCAGGCATTGTAGAAGGTGATCAGGCTCGGCTGGTCCGGCCTTCCCTCTGTCCTAGGGAGTTTTTTCAGCGGTTGATCCAGTCTCTGCTGGGTGCTGGACCGCTGGAAGGTGGTCCCTGCACGCGCTAAGGTGACTCCCATGTCTGCAGTCCTACACCTGAACCCGCAGCAGGCAGGCCTGGCAACAGCACCAGCCCAGCCAGCCCTTGGGCAAATGCTGGTCAGGCCAGGTCTGCCTGCCCCATGTGCCACCATTCTGCCCAGGTGCTTGCTGCCTTTTGCCTTGCTTCTGTCCCCTGTCCCGTCCCTCTCTTGGTCAGATCTGGTCGGGTCTGGTCCCTCTCTCCCCTCTGCCTTCCGCCTCCCAAAAGCAACGGCCCTCTGATTTCCTGTTCCTTACCTTACCTCTCCAAAAACCCCATTGACACCGACACCCTTTCTTCCATCATCATAGCACCCAACCTCCACCTCTCGCCTCTTCTTTCGACTGTCGTGTGTCTCTCGCATCCCCATTCCCACCCCCTTGACAACTCTGCATCCTCCTTTCATTCATACCACCTGTATCCACGATCAACAAGACTCCTTTCAAAATGGCTGAACTCCGCCGAAAGCTGGTCATCGTTGGTGATGGTGCCTGCGGTAAAACGTGTCTGTTGATGTGAGTCGCCTCCCCCTTCTCCTGCCATACTTGGGCAGCCTACCACATCCATCCCCTTGTCGACACCCCAAGAGACTGCCATCCTCATTGCCATCGTCCTGCTAACCACAATCACCAGTGTTTTCTCCAAGGGCACCTTCCCTGAGGTAAGAGACTCGCTGTCTCACCTGCGCCGAAATCATCATCTTCTTCATGGCTATCTATCCGAACATACCTCGTCGCGAGGGCAACCCTCTCTACAATCCACAACCACAAATCACCAATCTCCTTGCACCACCACCACCGGCTCCCATTCTGAACTTTAAATCAACCCTCTCGGCAGCTTTTGTTATATTTTGCACAATAATCATATCAAGATCACATGTCTAACAACGTCACTAGGTTTACGTTCCTACTGTCTTCGAGAACTACGTTGCCGATGTCGAGGTCGATGGCAAGCACGTTGAGCTAGCACTATGGGATACGGCTGGTCAGGAGGACTACGACCGTCTCCGTCCTCTCTCATACCCCGACTCCCACGTTATCCTCATCTGCTTCGCTGTCGACTCCCCCGATTCCTTGGACAACGTGCAGGAGAAGGTTAGCCTCTCGACACCCCTGTTCCCCTGCAGATCATACCTGCGATAAGGCCATTTGCTAACACCGACACTCTTTATAGTGGATTTCCGAGGTTCTTCACTTTTGCCAGGGTCTGCCCATCATCCTCGTCGGCTGCAAGAAGGATCTGCGCTACGACAACAAGACTATCGAGGAGCTGCGTAAGACCAGCCAGAAGCCGGTCACCCCTGAGGAGGTACGTTCGATATCCCATCCCTTAACCCCCCTTTCACCTCCCCCCATCTCTTCCACCTGGCGGCTTGGTCCAGGCCAAGGGCCCGCCGGAGACGGGATGTCTCGTGCCCTGTGTCCTGCCTGTGACTTTTGACGTCGAGTGAGGAAGATACAGATGGCTGACCGTGATTGTTACTTGAACAGGGCGAGGAGGTTCGCAAGAAGATTGGTGCCTACAAGTACCTGGAGTGCTCGGCCAAGACCAACGAGGGTGTCCGAGAGGTGTTCGAGCACGCCACGCGTGCCGCCCTGCTGCAGCGGAAAGGCGGCAGCAAGAAGCACAAGTGCCTGGTCCTCTAAGGGCCTCGCAGCTTCGTTGTCCCCCACGACAGCTCCTATTCGACGGAGCTGTGCTCGGCACCATAATGCGGCATTATTCAGACTTCCACCTCTCGTTTGTGGGTAGCCTCGGATCCCCGCAGACGGTCGCTGGAAAGATGTCATGATGTCTTAGAAAGGTGTCGGTCGGGCGTCTCTCTTTGTTGTCTCTCTCGGCTGGCGTTAATATTATCGGCCGTGGTCGTCATCCGTCCTGCTCGGTACGCCTCAGAAACGTTATCGCGCATTATCTATCTTCATTGGACCGGCGTGTCATCTTTGTTTGGGACAGTTATACGGCAGGGAAACAGTTACCTCTGCAAATTAGGATCAGGAAACAGCGAAGTCGTCTTCCCTATATCTGACTGCGGCGTGGTCTGGACGGGCAACGGGTGTTCGTGATGTGTGGCGGTGTTGTGCGTGCTGGAACGGATCAAGAAAGCAGACAAGAGCAGCTGTGTCGTGTGTGCGCGTGTGTGCGTGAGGTGGGCATCCATCGGTACACCAAAGGGGGATTTTCTCACGCTCAGGAGGAGGCCCTTTTCGTAAATACCAGTTGGCCTTTGGCCTGGGAGCGGTCGATCCCCTCGTCTCCGCCAGCTCTTTCGTCGTCCCTTGTCAACTGAAATTGCACAGAGAAAGACAGAGGAAACAGAGAGAGGTGGGGGAGGAAGGCAATGCAAGAGGGAGAGAACACAGGCGGAGGAAATGGTATTCGTTTGCGTACGACCTCTTGGATTGCTGGACTTGTTTCCCCTGGCACTGTGGTCTTGTTTTCCATTATTTCTTGTTTCTCTCGCGAGTTCTTTTTCCTTCTTGATAATTTAAACGGGCTACTGTGTTCTGTCATCGTCGTGCTACCTCCTTTGTTCAACCTCTAGGCTGGAGAACTGCGCCGGGGTGCCCATTCGGTAGCCTTCTTCTCGCAGTACAGATGTTCTGCTGCGAGTGACAAGATACATCTTGTGTACAATATCAGTCAATTTGTCTCTCATCTCTGGTATCCCCTTCTTCTGGTTGTTCCCTGCATATATGTGAGACAAGCGGCCGGTGCCCTCGTGGCTTTTCTTACCAATTCCAAACAGCGAGTTTGTATTCCTGTGTTCCTTTTTCAGACCAAGTGATGGTAAGAGATAGGAACAGATATTACGACACGGAAACGATGTTGATAACACACACTCACGGGCAAGGTCAAGACTGTATTGGCCTTCTCAATCGTGTACACAAGGACGACAACAACAACAACAACAACAATTTAGTAACTCGAACCCTACAGGCCTCACGTCAAGTTCCATACAAGGAGCGTGTGTAGCATCGTCCTTCCACTTGCTGCTGCTACTGCACTGCCAGCCACCGGTTGCTGCATGCCTCTAGCACAGTTAAACACCACCAACACCACGACCGAAATCACACAACCACCACGGATACATTTACCATACCGAGAGTTGGAGATCCTCCCTTCTCTTGTTTTTTATATATATTCTCCTTTCATCTTGTTACTTTCTTTGGGCTCGCTTAGCTAGGGTTGTCCCGGCCACAGCAAACCCTGGCCGGTGCCTACAGATGACTCTGCTTAGGCGGGGCAGGTCTGGGTGAAGGTGTCAGCCTCCTCCTCTCGCCATGCTATCTCATTCGTCGATATTGTAGAAAGGAAAAGGAGCATAGTGGAAATGTGGGACGGAATGGATATGGAAAGGTTTAGAGAAAAGAGAAATGGGAGGGGGGGGGGGAACAAGGAATAGAACTGACGGCTCCGCAAGACGAGCAGGTCTTGGAGGTATCAGCGCCGGCGGCACCGCACTTGGGGCATTGTGTTCCGTGCATGATTGCTGGTTGGGGGGAGTTTCTTTTTCTCTCTCTCTCTTTTCTTTTTCGTGACCTGGAAAGTGTCTTTTCTCTTTTTCCCTTGCGGCGTTGATGAGTGGAGATTTGTTTATTTGGTAGCAAATCAATGTTTTTCACGATGAGTGGTGGGTGGGATGAGTAAATTGTAGAGAGACCAAGAAGACTTGCGAAAGGTTGAGCGAGTGGGAAGCGGGGGTTTTATAAGCAGAGAAGAAAAGAGGAGTAGCCAGGCTTGCCTGCAGCCTGGGCGGACCCCTCGTGACGAATCTCAGTGCGGTCGAATAGTCAAGTGGTGTATATTTGAGCAGATTCGTTCTTTCTCTTTTCTTATCTGGGACCGAGAGCGACTGACACTTTACGCTCCACCCTGGGAGAGGGGGGGGGGGTGAATGGAGGGGCGGCGAGCCCGCAGGTAAAGGAGAGGGGGGGGGGGGTTTGTGTCAGCGAGGAGGTCATACGGACGTGCTATGGCTGCTGTAGTGGTTCCAGTTTAAGAGTGCTCGCGTGGGTGGGTAGGTGGTAGTGGGCATGTGCATACCCGACCGACCCTGCCGCATGATGAGTGAGTGGGCTTGGCTACTCATGCACACTACATACATAAGTTCCTGCCTTGGGGGGTGGGGGTCGATTATTATTCTTGAGGGTTTGTTTGGTGCATGGTGGTTTCCGGATGGATTGATCACCTGAAGACCGAGTGAGGCTAGGACAGGGCACAAACGGTCAAACCAGAAGACCATTTCAACGTTGTTCGTCATAGAATTACTGTCACCGTTATTATCAAAGGCAAAGGAAGAACAAGAAGAAAGAAAATGCCACAGCTTTCGAGAGAGAGGTAATTGAAAGAGCTAGTTGCCATGTCAGGAAGCTGGGAACAGAACAAGTGTTGACCATCAACCCGGTGACATTCCGTTGACTGGTTGGCTGCCTACCCTGGTGTCTACATGCTTCCAGAGTATCCATATATCCTCTCTTGGGGTGGAGAGAGGGAAGAGCGAGAGGGGAAGGGGGGAATCGTTCAATAGCACGGAACATCATCGGCTCATGTTGTGTGACGATGTTCAAAATATCGTGTGATGAACACATGAATTTGCGGGCTCTCTCCTCGGTCTGTCTGATATTTATACATGCACAGGGGCCCTGCTTGTTCTCCCCCACGTACATATACGATACAGTCAGTGGTCTGTGCGCACAAGACGAGAGGCAATAATGCATGTGTGATATTGACTTCTAAAGTCGTGGTAGTATGGACACACAACGGGCCCTCAGCCCTATCCAAGACTTTGTTCTTCTTCTTCTACGTCTACGCGTCTGAACCAGCTCCCAAACGCCTGGGCTATGTGTGCCTCTAGCCTTGTTTATTTTGATTTGTTTTACATGCACTGAGTAACTCCTCCCTCACCTGAAGAGAGAGAGTAAGAAAGAAAACAAGGTCAGTGAATGCTTCGTGACAAGGTTGTATCTTTTTGAGCTGCGAGCGTTGATTCATGGCAGAGAATTATCTGCCCGCCAGAGAAAAAGGAGGAGGAGAGCTGGCTTACCTTTTATCATCTTTCCCACAGCCTGAAATGTACTGATGACCATGACACAACACCCAAAAGCCACGATCGCCATGGCCACATACGTCTTCCACGACCGACTCGTCAGCTTGATGTAACACAAGGGCGGTAGTATATAGGCCATGGCGCACGCGCTCGTGGCGCCGACGAGCTCAAAGACGGATCCGAGGTCGCACGTGGCCAGGCTCAGGACCATGGCGCTGACGACCAGGCTGGTGCTGAGGATGAGATGCATGTTCATGTTGAAGGGCTCCCCGGGGAAATAGTAGTTGAGCATGACCTCGCGGCACACAAAGGCCTCGAGCGGGAGCGTGGTGAGCATGTTGAGGCCGAAGCAGAGCCGCGCCAGGTTCACCATGACGTTGTCGGCGGGAAAGTTGTTGAGGACGTTGCCGAGGGTCCGGTCACCAAAGGTGAGGAACCCCGCGAGCGCGATGAGCATGCAGGCCAGCATGGACACGCCTGTCGAGAAGTGTGTCACCCTGCTGAAGCGGTCGATGGTGGGCGTCTTGAGGGATCCGTAGATTAGGAGCGAGTTGTGGTGGCACACGAAGGCTGAGGTGGATGCTGTCTGTCAGAGAGGGAAAAAGAGAGTGTGTGTTGTTTCCTCTTTTGTTCTGGTCGTTTTCAATCGGGTAGAAGGGGAGGAGCGGGACAAAATGGCAAAAGTGTAGACTCACCAAACGATATCACACCGATCGCCTGAAAGATGCCCGAGTTGATGGTGAGGAGTGGTGTGCTGAACGATCCGCGTTCCGCCGAGGGTGTCAAGATGCCCTGAACCATCACCGTGACTAGAATGATCATCATGCTGATCAGGGCGAGCGTGCTAGCTTTTGCGAGCTATTGGTTTTTCCCAGATCAGCCTCCGTCCGCCCACCGGGGGAGCGTTCAGATCTCGCAGGCCTGAAGAAAGAAAGACACAAAGGCCTGCCATAACTGATACGTACCTTTGCAATATCTCTGTACAGCGTCAGGGGAAAGCTGACGCCCAAAACAAACACCACGATGGCCGCCCTCCTGTCGGTCAAGAGCCCCAAGACCGGCACGTCCCTCAGGCCAGGCCAGATCGCTGCCAGGACATGCGGTATGGTATCGCCCACGACCACACCAAATGCAACCATGCCGCCAAATGCAAACAGCCACTGAGCAAGGCTGATGGCGATGAGCCCGCTCCGGCCGAAGCACTTCTCGACGGTGCCCTGGAAGCTGTTGGCGCCCGACAGCTTGCTGTTCACCACAATCAGGCAGATGGTCCAGTCAACGACGACGGTGAGCCCGATCAGCAGAATGATGCCGGACAGCAGGCCGGCCTGCCGGAACGCATACGGTTGCCCGATGATGCCCGCGCCGATGATGCTGTTGGCCATGTTCATGAAGGCGCTGCGCAGGCCCGACTTGGGCCGCTGCCTCTCCGACTCGGCCCAGCTGTGCACGTCCTCGAACTCGCCCGCCCAAGGGCTGTTGGCCAGCGCCACCGACGGCGCCTCGATCCCCGTGAGCAGGGGCCGCCTGTGCTGTCCAGCCCCGTGGTCGTTATAGTCATCGTCATCGTGGTAGTCGTCGTCGAGCTCAAAGTCGAGGCCATCGATGCTGTCGCGCTCCTCACTCGTCCGCATCGTGTCGAAGCTCGTCGTCGTTGCCGTGCCGTTGGGCGTGAGACCGTGCAGGATCGTCGGGTTCGGGTCGAAGCGTACCCGCTGGGGCGTCCGCGGCGTGCGGTCTTGGGGGTTCGAGGAGAATGCTGTTGCTGGCGGTTCTCCTCCCGTCGTCGAGGGTGTCCTGACGGCGGACTTGATCCCCCTCCCGTTCATTGGTGGTGGCGGTAATGGCGCCGCCACCCGCCCATTCTGTTCTGTGCCATCTGGTGGTGGTGATGCTTGTGCTGGTAGCGGTATGCTGCTCCTGCTCTGGTCGTAGTCTTCTTCTGCCTCTGCTTCTGCCTCTGCCGAGAGTAGGCCCACGTTCTCGGCGGCGGCGGCCTGGGTGCTCGCAGCGCCGGCGCTCGAGTCGGCGTGGTGGTCTGGAGTTTGCGATTTGGCCTTGGCCATTTTTTGGATGGGAGCTGCTACTGCGTGCTCATCTTCGAGAGGGAAGGAAGGGAGAAGGACAGCGACGACGACGAGAATGGGGAGGAAGAGAAAGGAGGGTTGTTCGATGGCTCTGCTCGAGCCTCGTAGAGTTGAATTGGGAAGGCGAAGAAAGTAGGAAAGCAAAATATAATAACAAACAAGAGGGAGGATGAAGAATGGGAAGACAAGGCTCGTCAGCGTTTCCAAAAATTACCACGTATATGGGTCCTGTGCTTACGACGATGATGAGGATGATGGTCTGGTCTGGCTGGGCTCGTCTCTCTCCATATGCAAGGTCAGGAACCGCTGCGGCTAAAAGAGGTTACAATGCAGGTCCAGGTCCCGGGCGCCGGGGCCAAGAACCGCCCCGGAGACTCCACTACCGCAGCCCATCCACCGGATACGGGTTGTAATAGCATCAAGTACATACTACGTAAGGGAGCACAGAAGGACCTGAAGAGTGCATTGTTCACATGTTCACTAGGCGTTGTCTTTTTCTGAATTGAAAGTCCCCGCTCTGGCTATTCCCCTTGGGACCGCGGCGAATTAATATACTACTATAAGCAAAAATCCTATATACAAAAAGTCTCGGGGGAATTTCTGCACCCCTCTCAACGCTTTTTCTGTTTGGTCAAGGGCTGGGGTATCTATCATGCAAATCAAAAACAAAATGCCATGATGCCCTTTTTTTTCCCCCTTCTATCATGCTCCTCCTCGCCGCCACAGCGAGAGGTTGTTGAGAGAAAGAAAGACCAGTCATCCTTATATGACTGCAGTTGCTGAGCTCGTCCTCGAAAGACATCACCCAACATAGGAGCTGCTTGTGACGTGGCTACTATGCTAATAATGCCAATGCAGAGACTACGCAGAGTATAGTTGCTGAATAGTAGGACGTTGACTGGATTCTAGTCCCAGGGACTGCCGCCGAGGTTGCAAGTGATGTTTTGGTGGCACCAGCTGACTCTGCCACTGCGGACGTGCTGCTAGTCGTGCTGCTAGCTGTGGTGCTACCAGCACTGGTCGATGACGAGAACGACGAGGATGATGACGCCGACGTTGTTGAGGAACTCGAAGAGGTGGTTGTTGTTGTCGAACTAGCCTTGGACGCAAAACCTGAGATACATTTGTGTCAGTGAATAGTTCAAAGAGAAGCTTAAGATACTACATGTGTGTGTGTGTGTGTGTGGGTTGGTGTTTCATACCGATCCGTGACTCGTCCGCGTCAAAGACAGTGTATACGTTCTTCAAAAAGACATCACCGAGCAGGAAGGCGCCGGTGATCACCTCGCGCCCATAGAAATTGCTCGTGCAGACGTCCTTGTCCGACGGGTCCGACAGCCAGTCCTTGACGGAGACGGTATGGCTAACGCCAGAGAAGGTGACGGTGATGGGCAGGGTCGTGTCGCAGGGCGCAGTGAAGGTCACGTTGTCTGTGCTGCTCGCACCCGGGATCAGTGCGTGGAGGGCTGCCACATCGTCAGAGGGGCCAAATGCATATGTCGTGCCGGTGTCGATATATGCCAGGATGTCCGTTACCCCCGCCTCGTTGCCGTTGTAGCCCATGTTGTCGACTGGAATGGCCCAGGCTCCATCTGCTGAGCTGTCCACCGACGTATACGTGATGTCGCCCGTGTACTTGCTCGAGTCTGTACCGCCAAAGGTGAGCTCTCCCGTGTTGGTGCCGTCCTCGGCCCTGTTGAGATCGACGCTGAATATGTTGGACGAGAGGACACCGTCCGACTTCACGGTCTGCATGAAGTTGTCCGAAGCCCCATTGGCCATCGACATGCCTAGGATGCCGTCAAAGGCGAAGTGCTCAAAGTCGGTTGAGGTGGTGTTGGCGACCCCAAAGGACATCGTGACCTTCGCCGAGCCGACCGAGAGTGTGTCTTCTGCGAGGTCGCCCTCGACCGATCCAGTACCATAGGCAATCTCAAAGCTCTTCCCCGTCGACTTGTACGACGTCGAGCTGGACGGGTCCCAGGTCGTATGCTCCCCGCAGGCCGTGGAGTCGCAATTCGAGCCCATGATCCAAGTGGTACCCGCGCCGGTATCGCACAGCATGTACAGTGACTCCTCACCCGAGCCGATTTTGGCCTCGATAAAGTACGAGATGTCTGACCCGTCCTGGTCGAGTCCGACGCTGTTGGTCGCGGTGGGTGTTGCTGCGGTCATGACAGAGAAGTTGTTGTCGCGCTTGTCTCGTGCCTGGGAGCTGGCGGGCGTTGGTGGTGACGAGAACCCCACGAACCCACCAAACTCATACTTTCGTCTCAGAAGTTCTGCTTGTCGTGCTGCTGCCGCCGCAGGATCTTGGGTGCCCTATTGTTTCACCCATCCGCCAGTCAGCTTCGTTGGGTTTGGGAGGTTGGCCAGACAGATACAACGCGTCTGCACTTACGGATGATGATCTCTGAGAGAGCTTGAAAGTCAACAGTTCGGCGGGCTCAGCATCTCGGTTGACTGGAACATGGTCGAGCTCATTCGCCGACACGGTCCTTTTGTCTTGCCCCTCACAAGCATGATATTTGTTGCACGCATAATTTGGGATGTACGGAAAGAATGCTTGAACAAGGGTGGCCCATAGTGGAAGCTGTGCAAGAGCTGCACGGTGCATGATGACGTCCTTGCGACCTGCTTCTGCCCTGTAGATCTCCACGAAGGAGGAGGAGGAGAAGGAGGAGGAGGAGGAGGAGGGGGCGAAGAAGCTTCCACGAGGTCGTAGTCGTAATGACTGGGTGATCCGAGGTTCCCGAACAAAACTCTGGCTGCTGGTGGTGGTGGTTCGTGTCCGGATTCGCTTTCCTGGTGACCCGGATTCCGGTGTGAAAAGTCGTGGACGAGATTTCTTTGATCGAGCCCGAGAAACAGTGAAGTCCTGGCTGAAGTGGTTGATGATCCGGGAATGACCCAGATTTGTTGGTATTATGTATTAGATATTATGTACGGAGTGTGTTGGCGATAATATGAACAAGTTGAATGTCATCTATGCAATGCTTTCTTGTCGATGAAAGGAAGCAAGTAAGCACCAAAGCAGAAAGATGCAAATGCTGGTTGCCGTTGCTATTGTACAGACTGGAACGTGAATGCCGGGCAACAAATCGAGGGGTCTTCGAGAGGACGACCGGGAGCGTTCCGAAACACACACACGAAAAATGGCCGGCACAAGAGTGACCTGACAACCCAGAAGCTGATCAAAAACACATTTGAAAAGCCAGGCAGACAGGCAAACAGGCAGAGGCACGTAACCAGAAAAGAGAGAGAAGTGGGGGGGAGGAGGAGGAGGAGGAGGAGGAGGAGGATGAGAAGGAGAATTTGCCCTGGGAAGAGGGGAAAATTGGCACTGAGGGCGTGAGGATGGATGAGAAGAGGGGGAGGGGGTCGAAGGGTTGGAATGGGATGGAGGAGTGTAAGAAGAAGATGGGTTAAAATCTCCCATACACAGAGCCGTAATGAGGCACGAAGGAGGACGAAGAAAGACGACGGGCTTGGGACGTTGCTTGTCCCTTGGCGACTACCCAGTGCTAGACCACTATGGCATGGTACCATAGTGCGTACAAATTGAGGTTACAAGGCGCCCATGCTGCTGGCTGGGGCGCCAAACCGGGGCACCTCAAGGGTTCTCCATAGCACGATCCACCCCCGCGGGCCAAAAACACCTGCAGGGCGCACCCCCCACCGTGCAGCCAGTGTTGGGCGACGTCTTGCTCCTTCGGGAAGGCCTGTCGAGCATCTAAGGCCAGAGATGGAGCTTTTGGATGCCATATTAGAGCTACTACGGTACTACTGTCGATCCATCCGACCTCTCGTTTCTTTGACTCGATCCCCCTGCATTATCTTTTGGGATTGGGTGTGGCGCCCGACCATGGCGCCCATCCAATGCACCAGACCAATTCTGGCGTGCTGTTGCGCGGCTCAAAATGAGCGTCAATTGATTTTCGCTAGAGCCGTCTTGTTTGATTGGGCAATGGGGGTTGTTTTAACCTTAACAAGCTCTAATGGCGCAGATGTACCACAATATTCTTGCGTTTCATCCCTGAGGTTTTGCAGGTCATGCCATCCCATCCTCGTCGCTTCTCAGATGCAGAAGAAAGAAGCAAGGGACGAATGCTCCGAGACCTCATGCTATAAATTTAGATCCTATATGGGCTTTGCCGTTACCAACTGACAAACCAGCCTGTGAACCGATTGTCGTCGTGGCATCAAATCTCTTACTTCTTGGGCCCATAATGAAATTCAGACCCTTACAGTCTAAAAGAGAGCCGATCTGAATCTCTCCGGTGCCATAAAGAGAGGTCATCTCATTTCAGACTGACCAAATGCGGCCAAGCGTCTTTTGCTGTGTGGCCAGAGGGTTTTAGACGTCAACCTGATTTAGGTTATCAGCATTTTATTTCGTTAAGTGTCCACCACTGTAGCCAGGATCGTTAATACGAGGCGCCGCTCAGTATTGTGAAGTCACCTTTCTATTGAGAGATCAATTATCAAATGAGATATCATTCAGATGCTGCAGCTGCTTGCACGGCAATACGAAGTTGTTGACAATACACTGCGCTATTACGAGCACCGTCATAGCCCTGCAGGAAATATCAGCAAATTAGCCCCTGCCTGGGTGCTCGCTGCTCCTTTCCCGTTGATCGGATCGCAGTGAATAGATTGCGGACATTTTAGCGTCCGAGCCCTCTCTTTTTTCCACCGTCCAGGGCAAACAACAGTCGGGAAGAATCCAACAACATCTTATTTTGTGCTATGATAATGGACAGCCAGCCGCATGAGACTAGTGGGTCGCAAAAGCCATGTGATGAGATTCTTATTATAACCGTAGGTGGAAATTTCATGCCCGCCGACAATCTGCAGAGAAGGCGAACGAGGTTCGAACAACCCCATGTCCTCGTCAATGTCGCCTTGGGCGGGCGGCTGCTTCTTTGAACTCGAACCTGGCCCGTCCAAGAAATGCAATTGTAAAAGCGGTCTGGCCCCCCTCAGCAAGCGAGATGTCTCACTCTCTGGCAGCGTTATGCAGGTCGTCTCGTGAGACAGGTGCCAAGACTGTATTGCAAAAAGAAGAAGAAAAGAATCACGGGCGCCGATGGTATGTCTCAGACCAGAACTGTGCCTGCTCCACCACTCGCCTGCTTTCTGTGCCCTCACATCTGCGCAATAAAGAACTCATGGTGTCGTGGAAGAGAGCCATTTCGTCATTTCCCATACTCCCTGACGCCGCGAGCGTCCGCAAAAACACCCACGTTGACTCGTTGACCCACCGAAAGGAGGCACAGAGGTTGACTGCTTCTTTGAAAACGGATACTCTCTCCGTGTCATTCAGTCTCGTGAGCAGGAACGAGAGGTATGACCAGCCCGAGATATCAGTGTGATTGCGGAAGCACCACGACTTGGTCGCGGCGACCAGCGTTGACAACAAGGACCCATTCTCTGCTGGGTGCTGTGGAGACAAGGCCAGAGACAGATCAGTCAGCCAGCGAGCATGGCACCACGCATAGTAATTTTTAGGATGTCTTTCTCCAGCAATCATGACGATGCGCTTCAGATCCCGAACCACTTCAGGAGGCGAGCCGCGTCCTCGAGCCGTCTCGACCAGCCATCGCCGATGGCTCCATAAGGTAGGAGATTTTGTATGCCTATGCAGACGGCTCGTGAGGAGGCTATCGATGTAGAACCGGTCCTTCCGGATCATTGCCAACTGACGGGCCTCACCATTGCGCAGGCCCTCTGCCTGTATAAGCTTCTTCCTTACGTTCGCCGCTGTGAGATGCTCCGGATCCATGAGAAGCATGACGCTCGTGACGGACAGGAGCTGCTCTGCGGCAAGTGTAGTTTCCTGGCTGCTGTGATGACCCTGCAGCATTGTCCGCGCTGTGAAGAAGGCCTGCACAAGTCCGAGCTTGGAGATACCCAAGGCATTCCCATCTTGCACAAGAAATGTGCCAGGTTCGAGGGGATGACTCCTGCCCAGTATCTCAATTTCGAGGAGGTCCTCCTCGTTCTCGTCCTCGCTCGGGGTTTGGGTAACAGCTTTCGAAATCGCCTCATACGCCGAAGACGAATCACCTCGGCCTAGAGCCCGGACGGTGTCTTTGTCAAGTGCTCTAGACATTCTCACCGTCTCCCGATACCCTTAGCAAGCCTCTGAGTAAGACCATGTTGTTAGCAACTGCGGGCTTATTGTGGATGTAGCGTACACACCAGTTACGACGGAAGACTCGACTAGCTGAGATATTCCAGGGCACTGCGGTCCACATGGTCGATCTTTTGTCTTATATATTGATTTCTGGAGAAACGATGAGGGTTCCAACAGTGCAGTAATGGACATGCCTTGAGACCGGCGTTCTTCTTGCGGATGTTGGCATCCAAGGAAGAGGAGGCTTGCGCATTGCAAGACACATCCTGATCCAGAGTGCAAGCACATAACGCTTGACTCTTCCTTTCGCCATTACGTAATCAATACAAAGCCTGTGGTGGTTTGTCCAAAATGTCCAGGCATGCAGTCGATGCTTAGGCTGATGACAGCAAAAGGGAATTCGAGGTGAGAGCAGCATCTAATTACGAAGTTTCCAGATATAATGTCCAAGAGCCGCGAACGACACAGCGGCAAGACGTCACGTCTGCGAGGGCTACCATACCCAGACACTGGAGCGGTACATGGCCTTACACACGGCCATCACAGACATATTGCGCCGGTTTCGTCTCTTGCATGTAATCTTCTCTATCAAACAGCCTAGGATAGAGCTCGTTCATAACTGCTTAGAGACAACCTTGCCAAATTCTGCAGGCCGGAGAGTGGGCACTGTTCGTGGGGAGTCTGAGAGCGCCGTAATTGTGTTGCATCCATGTAATCTTTCGCAATAGAAATCTCCATCGTACTGGCAATAGCTGGTCTGATGCTAAACAATATGTCTTGAGAGGCAACTCGACTTTGGGCTGAAGATGTGTTCAAATTGGTCATTTCTTGGTGTACCTGCCTATCCGCCTGGCAGTTTTGGTATAAAAGTGTTGACCAGTCCCAAATCCAATGCTCCATGCGATCATCCTCTTTTCACCAACCAGCCATTATACGGCTGCGCGCGTACTGCTATGCCCATGAGGCCATTTCGTTCCCCCAAAGAGCTCGGTAGTCTGCCCGCGTTCGCGTGCGTTCTGTTCTTTCCGAGCACCATTTCGACTTCGTGTCTCGATGTCTATGCGCCGCCGACGAGGATATTGTTGACGGGGATATGGATCAACTTGACAATATAGCCGACGAAGCCCATAATCAAGACTAGATCCCCAAAAGTCAGTCAGGCCAAATCCAGAGATCTTGTGGCGAGGACCGGCTTCGTGTCTGTTTATGGTAACAGCAACAGCAGGAACTGGCAGGTCTGCCAAAGGTATCGCAGCGTAGTGATGATACTCGAAGCAATGTAATGGATCGGGAGGTGGTTCGCAGGATTACTTACAGCCGACGCCAACTGCTTGCGAGATCTAGCATCATATGTTAGTAGGGGGCCGGACAGACGTTGTGACAAGCTGCAGGTGTGCATACCTTAATAAATTCCTTCTGGTCCGGCTTCTGGCACCTCTTCACTGGATGCTGCATTAGCAGGATGTTCAGGACTTGCGCAGAAGCCCCGAAAAGGGGCGCGATCACGACTTACTGAATTGCATGCCGTCGTGGACGAACTCCTTGGGCGCCTCGAGGATCTCTGACACTTGGTCGGCCATTTTGTATGATGTGTTTGAATTCAGAATGTTGACAAAAAGTCCAGAAGTCAGTGGCGAGACTCGAGCGTGTGAGATGATGTGAAGGTGACACGGTAGGTTGCAAAGGAGCGAGGAGGTTAATTCAAGGTACGGAAACAACCTGTAGAGCAATGAAAGTGTGGAAACGTCGCCTCAAATTGAAGTTCAATCGCATTGCTGGCCTTCCCGGCCGGCCAGAGCTGAGCAGGGATAACCTGACCTTAGTGCCAATTGCATGGGGAAAGATGGTGACCCCAGCTCACCGCCCACGGGGGAAAGCTGCTACTCTGTGGCAGAATTCTCAAAAAAATAAGTATGCATGGAGGAGAAAAGCTGTAGACAATTGAAACCTGCACCTGCAAAGCTTGGTAAAAAAGCAAAGTCAAAGTCACCTGCTCACAACCTGCCCATAATGGCTCCAGAATTGAGACCTAGAAGGTCTAAGGGTATGCTCACTATTTCTGAAATTCAAAGAACACATACTGACAATGTTCCAAGCTACAGCCACAGAAGCCCTGGCCACCACCACCGTTGAGGAGACGCCAAAGTCGAAACCTAAGACCCCCAAGGCTTCGAAGCGAAAGGGTGAGATATCCCACCCCTATTGATGATTTTGACCTCCGGTGATGATCTACCAGAACTGACATTAGTACTAGCCACTGAGGATGTCTCTCCGGCTGCCACGAAGAAGCAGAAGGCTGTAAAGACCCCATCCAAGCCCAAGGATGCCCAGGAACCAGCAAGCAATGAAGTCGAGCCTACACCCAAGACCAAAAAGGTCAAGACTCCATCCAAGGCAAAGGACCCCGAAGAGGCTGCATCTGAGCAGGTAGAGAAGACACCTGTCTCCAAGGCCAAGAAGGATAAGACGCCTTCAAAGGCAAAGGACACTGAGGACAGCACCTCAAAAGTTGCCGAGAAGACACCTGTATCCAAATCAAAGAAGGGTACCACGCCTGCCAAGGCCAAGGCCACTCAGGAGCAAGCCTCTGAGGCAGCCCAAGATACTACTGCCACTAAGTCGAAGAAGGAGAAGACACCTGCCAAAGGAAAGATAGCCAAGGAGACACCAACCAAGGGAGCCGAGCAAGCTACCCCAAAGGCCACTGGCAGCACCGTTACAGAGCCCAAGGAGACTCCCAAGAGTGCTTCCAAGGCAACCCAATCTGCGCCTGTCTCGGCTGCTAAGACAGCAACAAAGACACCCAAGTCGGCCAAGAAGTCTGGGAAGAAGGCCGAGAAAGAGCCAGTCGAGAAGAAAGATACGGTCAAGAAGGCTGATGCTGAGGTCATTGCTCCTCATGAAGAGGAGCACTCGTCCTCTGAGGAGGAGGCTGATGAGCAGACCAAAGCCCTTGTCCAGACTATTGACAGTGGGGATGAAGATGGCCCTGGCTCTGGAGTTGTTCTCTTTGAGGAGGGCCAAGATGTTGGCAAGATTCCTGAGTTATCTAACAAGGAAAAGAAGGCGGCAAAGAAGGCACTTGCTGCCTCGAAACAAAAGGAGGATCCAGGTGTGGTCTATGTCGGTCGTCTGCCTCATGGTTTCTACGAACACGAGATGAAGAGCTACTTCAGTCAGTTCGGCCCCATCCGCAACTTGAGAGTTTCCAGGAACAAGAAGACTGGTCGGGCGAAGCATTTTGCATTTGTCGAATTCGAGGAGCTCAGCACTGCTGAAATTGTTGCCAAGACCATGGACGTGAGTGCCGCAGACTCCGAACCACTCGATTGTGGACGAAGACTGACCTGTATTAGAACTATCTCCTCTTTGGCCATATTCTCAAGTGCAGTGTCATTCCGAAGGCACAAGTTCACGACGAACTCTTCAAGGGCGCTAATAAGAGATTCAAGGTATGCTTTCCCGTCCGCACTCGACACCAGCCAGGTACTGATTTATGATACGCAGCCCGTCCCATGGAACAAGATGGAAGGCAAGCAGATGGAACGCCCGCTTCTTGAAGACAAGTGGGCGCGAAAGATCAACAAGGAGAAAAAGAGGCGGGCTGAGAGGGCCAAGAAGCTGGAGGCCGTGGGCTACGAGTTCGATACACCCGAGGTCATGGATGTCAATGCTATTCCCGCCATTACTGCACCAGAGGCTACTGAGAGCAAGACTCTGGAGGCTGTTCAAGATGCTCCCACGAAGACCATCGAGGCGCCACCCGCCGTTGAAATTGCTGAGGGCGAGGTTGCCGAGAAGGAGCAGGAGGCAACACCCAAGCCTGCGAAGCGTACCAGAGGCAGACCAGCCAAGACGCCTCAGAAGGCCACCAAGGGGGCGGCGACTCCTAGAAAGACGAGAGGCTAAGGTTTAATATCCTAAAACCACTTCCCATATATATTCTTCCAGGACACTTTTTCATTGGGGGTATCAACAGAGCAAAACCATACCATGCTACATGCGGTCAAAGTGCTCCTTGGGTCCAGGCTGTCTAGAAAGACATAGGGCTAAGGCATTTGGATGGTCTCTTAAGTTATTAATATTGTAAGAAGCCTCTCGTATCTTTTTCGTGTTTAATATGCAAGAAAGCTTCCCTCCAGTATAGTAAGCCAAAGCTACGAAAAATTACAATTATGCTCTTTTCGCGCCCCCGGACCAAGGCTTGTGTCGTGTCAAGTACTTTAGATTGCTCAAGATAGGTGCAATGGAATTTGCCTGATTGAGCCGAACATCTCTTGCCACAACCAGAGGCGGAGGGCGGCAGCAGGCGATGTCATCCCAACACGAACTTGAACACGAGGTTGTCTGCGCATAGCGAACCCAACGAGTCCATTGAGGAAGTACCTCGGACGGTCATCAGGATTATAAAAGGCAGATTTTAGTCTACTTCGCTTCATTCATATTGAACGAGCCAGGGCGCATGCGTTTGAGCAGAAATATGAGCCCTGGTTTTGCGAAGATGAAATATGTATGAAGAGAGGAGAGGGAAGAAAAAACGGTCTTCCAAAAACGGAGCGAAAGAATCTTTTGCCAAGCATAGCAAACAGCTCTCCCCACTATTTGCTGCTAGGGACCCCTGAGTCCATGCGCAGCCAGTGAGGGAAGACAGCCAGGACAGCCTGGGCCACCGTAGCTTCCGCTGTGGGTGCCTGCTAAACCACCCGGTGCTGCCACCCTGCAGTGCCTAGAACCACACCAGTAACCAGTCCGAAGGGGCTTATTGGAGTTGACACCTGCAACCTTCGAAAAACTGCTGCCATCCACCACCACCCAATGCTATCTGTCCTTTCGAGACGCATCAAAGCCCGGAGTGGTGTCCAGTGCTAACTGACCATGTCTTCGGCCGCCCCACCCGATGCAATCTCAAGCTCAATTGCAGGCACAGGTACAGGCAATAAGAAAAAAAACAAGAAGAAGGGCAAGCCAAAGAAGGCTGTCGACACCAGCACCAGAGATGGCGATGGCGGCACCACCCAACAGCCCAGCCCGAGTCCTCGAGAGGAGGACAGGACGAACGACCTGTCTACTGCTGAAGAGGACCCCCCAGAACCCCCGGTGGTAAGTTCGAGCGCCCAGAGCCCTAGCAAAGCACAAGCAATTGAGCACCACGGACGAAACCCCGGCAGACCCACCTTCGTGCTGTGGACACGAGCTTTCTCCCTGCATGTACTGTGTACCTCCCTCATGGGATGCTCCATATATCCTTTGCGATGGAGTTGTCGTCAATGGCATTCTCAACCGCAGGATCGCTTACGTCCTCCCCGGATCAACTCGCTGAAAATATGACGATCTGTCTCTAACATGTCATCTTCCCAGGCCGAAAGCAGGGATACCGAGAAACTGCAGAATCCACCTGCAGCTACAAAGTCCGAGCCACCGCATGCCAACGGACATGCGCGAGCATCGTCAGTGAACGGCCTACCAGTCTCCGGCGACGCGCCCTCGACGACCACCACAGAGATCCCTTCGGATGACACTAGCGCAAAGTTAGAGGCAATGTCACAAGAAAGAGAGGCGCTTCTGGCGCAGGTGGAGGAATCGCGCAAGCAATTGGAGACGATACAAGAGTCGCACTCGTCAGAGATCGCCAAGTTGAAAACAGCTCTTGAGGAGACAGAGGGCGCAAAGAACGATGCAGAAGAACAATACCAGGCACTGCTGATGAGGGTTGAGAAAATCAAGGAGTCATTGGGCGACCGGCTCAAGAGGGACAGGGCAGAACTCGAAGAAGCGAATCAGCGCATCGAAGAGCTCGAGGTTCAGAATGAGGAATTGCAAAAAGGGTCTTCCTCGTCCGAGGAGGAGGTCACCCAGCTGAGAGACGAGTTACAAGAAGCGAACAGGGAGCTAACGACGCTGAGGAGTCGGAACAACCTCTCGCAGCAGAATTGGCTGAAAGAAAAGGATGACATGGCGAGACAAGTGCAACATCTCAGGAGCGAGCTGGAGTCGACGAGCAGTGCCATGAGCGAATGGGAGGTCATTGCCATGGAGGAGCGGCAGACGCGGGAAAGCCTGTCGGAAAAGGCCACTGATCTGGAGGAGCAATTGGTCTCCATCAGGGAAGCGTATGATAGGGCCGCGGAGGAGCGAGACAGCTCACTACAGACCATCGACGGCTTACAAAGGGCGCTGCAAGAGATTCAGGATGCCAGGAGGAAAGAGTTGCGAGATTTGGTGGAGTCCTCGGAGGAGCAGCTTCAGGAGATGAAGAAGCGGGTCGAGGATGCCGACAAGAGGGTAGCAGAAGCCGAGGCAGCAAAGGCGAGCCTCTCAAAGGAGCTCGAAAGGACGGCGCCCTTTGAGAAGGAGGTCAGAGAGAAGAACTTGCTCATTGGGAAGTTGAGACACGAGGGAATCATACTCAACGACCATCTCACAAAAGCACTCCGGTACCTGAAGAAAACAAAGCCAGATGAGCAGGTTGATCGGTAAGTTTCATGCACACACCCTTTGCGAAAGAGGACTAACATTGTGTCCAGGCAAATCATCACGAACTATCTCCTCCAGTTCCTCTCGATAGACCGATCCGACCCTAAAAGGTTCCAAATATTACAAGTCATCGCCGGCTACCTAGCCTGGACGGACGAGCAGAAAGAGCAGGCAGGACTCGCCCGCCCCGGCGCCTCTCACAGCTCACTGCGACTGCCAGCCTCGCCGTTCCACAGGACGCCCAGCACACCATCTCTGAGTACCGATTTCTTCTCGGAAACGTCTTCTACGTCCGGCAAGGAGTCTCTGGCCGACTTGTGGGCCGGTTTCTTGGAGAGAAGTGCGGAGGAGGGTCGCACTGCCGAGATCCATGGTTCCAGCTCAAGAAAAGGCAGTACCTCTTCCAGTGTAGGCACGGGCGTCACAATAACGAAGCCGGATGGGAAAGGCTAGTAGCTCTACTCGTCCCCGCTGGGTCCTATACGGCCACATAAAGACTCTTCCTGGTTGAGAAGGCCTTTGAATATGGGGACGGGAAGGCAGGGTTTCGGCGTTCAGGAATATCCAAGATCAAGCAAGCAAAGACATAGTGTCTACACAGCGTATAGTAATTATTTACAGAAGGCGTCACTGACCTCTAGGCGCCTTGGAGGGGCCTATTCTCACGATTACAGGGCCACGTGCATGATAAGTCAGAGTCTCTGGAATGGTAAAAGTTGCGACTTATTTCCCCCGTTCCAATTGCCAGTCTATGTATTGAAATTGGGGAGGTTATCTCTTTGTGAGCCCTACTTAGCTGGCCATTTCAGTACCTCCCATCATTCGTTGGGCGAATGATTCTGCTACTTGTTCCATGGTCTGGAGGTCGATCCGTCTGTTCTCCACCGCATCACGCATGCTGTCCACGACCTCCTGGCTCTCCATGGCCTCCTGCATCAATACGCCCTCGTGCGCCCAGTAGCCCGCATCCGCAGCCCTGAGCTCCGCATCCCGGGCCACGGTGTTCTTCAGCACGTTGGCGGACCGGATTCTCATGGTGGCCGCGCCCACCGCATCCCTCATGATGTCGATCCGCTCCGCGACGGTCATGTCGGGCACGAACAGCCTGTTGGTCGCGCTGAGATACAGCACAGCCGCGAGGGCCAGGTCCAGGCACGCGAGGGCGGCATACCGGACCACGCGCGCGCGCCAGTAAAAGAAGACCACCTCGCGCAGCATGCGGGCCCTCTCATTGCCGTCGACGTGGTCCCACTGCACGAGGAGGCCTGCGTCGACGGCGGCCAGCACCACGACGGCGTACGTTGCGAGGCGGCGCCACTGGCTGGCCGCCCTGCCCTTGAGCAGCAGCTCGCTCGTGGCAAGACCGACCAGGGCAGCGTTCAGCAGGTGTGGCGTGACGACGGACGGCGCGGCGTAGAGGAGATATGTCGTCGGGTCCTGGGAGTTGCAGAAGGGGCAGTCGGCCAGCACGTCTGGGCCGTACTTGTAGTAGAGCAGCTTGCCCGCCTTGCTCTCGAGGCGGGTGCGGAGGACCTCGTCCCTCGCGGTCAGGGGCCGCTTCATGGAGAGCTGGGACATGAGCAGGCCGCTGGAGACGGTGGGATTGGAGCGGGTGACGACGAAGATGTTCTCGGGCGACGTCAAGGGAGAGAGGCAGAGCAGGAAGAGGACGGCTGCGGCGGCGAGGACGAGGATGGCGACGAGGGCTCGGTTTGGCAGGGGGACGATGGGCTTGTTCCGTTCCCGTGGGCGGTTCTTTATGGAGCGGTACCAGGTGATGGCCTTGGGAACGAGCATGGGCCCGAAGAAAATGAGGAGGGACTTGATCCTGTGTTTTGTGACATTAGTTGGATCGCTCACGTCGATGGGAGGAAGAGTAGGGTTGTGTATGTATTCATAAACACTACTTACGTCCCCCATGATATGACCGCCATGGTGACTGTGATTGTTATTAATGTTGGAGATGGTGATGGAGGGGAGGGAAGGTAGAAAAAGAAAGGAACCCCTCGCTCTCCCAAGAGCTTGTTCGTTGTTTCGAGGCAGCAAGCGTGGTGTTGCATGTGCAACTAACTATATAAAGTACTTAAGTAGCTACGTAGTGCTATAGCAATGCCAGCCCGTTCGCGCTGCGCAGGGATCCAGGCTCAACCGCTGTCCACTGCAAACCTCTTGGCGCCGCCTGGACAAGTAGTGGGTTCAGGTGGGCAAGGTGGGGGCATTGCAGCGAGCTACTGCTGGAAATATTTGTGAACTCGCGAATTCTTGAAAAATTTCCCAACCTTCCATTCAACAACCAAAAAAGCACCACCTTGACCATTTCACTTTTTGCAACGGTCAATCCGCAAGAAGCGCCACTGCTCTCAAAAAAGCATGCGCGATGCCAACACGAGATTCATGTCTGCATCCTGCTTCTAGTCATTCTATTTTCTAGACCAGAAGGAAGGTTTTGGTAAGTCTTGACGATGCGACACGATCTGAAAGAGCGCGTCCATGCTATGTGTGAGCAGAGGGAGCTGTGCCCTCGCCTCTTCCGACGAGATAAAATCCATCCCAACCAAAGACCGGGCACTTTCGAAGCTTTAGCAATCTTTTTATTTCCAGTGGTTGCTAGAGTCAAAGTGTTGCCCAGAGCGAGCCCAAGTACTCTGCCAAGAGTCATCTCACTTAGTGTTGCAGAGTTTCAGTCCTCACCGGCCATGAAGAACTTTGCGTCAAATTGTTGAGAGACATGCGAGCATTCTTTTTAGTCCCTGTTTGTTTGAGGGTTGTTTTGCCATGGGGGATCCGTAGCTGCAAGGCCATAATGTAATATATCTACACAGCACGCTCATATCATGTGTCCTTCTTGGAAGGCTCCTCCTTCTTTTTCTCCGTCGTGCCCTGTGCTGTGTCTGCCTTGTCCGTGTCCCTGGCCTTGAACGGCTGTTCTCTCTGTTTCGACGACGTGTAACCACCTTCACTTCTTATGTCCAGGACCAGCTTCACCAGCGCCCCTATGGTGTCCGCAATCAACGTGATCACACCCGTGCACGCCAGCTGCCAGGATACAACGCTGACGCTGCCCATCGGCGCCCGTGGGAACGAGATGAGCCACTCCGCATAGTGTGGGAACCAGCCGTGGGGCAGCCAGAACATAGGCTGGCGCGAGTACCAGAACGGGAGGAACCAACGGGCTCCCGAGGTGCAGAACCACCGGACTGCGTTGACGGTCTTGTCGAAGGAGGCTTTGGTCGTGTCGATACCGGATTCTATGTGCACAAGGCCGAATGCACCAGGTCAGCAGCCCGTCCATGCTCCCGAAAGGAAGAATGTACGTAGAGTTACGGAGAGAGAGAGTGTGTGTGTGCGTGGCGGGGGAGGGGTGGAGGATGAGAGGTGCAAGTGAGGAATGAACGAGTGTGTAGGTTAGCCAGACGTACTCGACTTCTCCAGCTCCTCCAGCATCTTGTCATGCTGCCGCCGCAGCTTCGCCCATTTCGCGAACTCGTCCTGGCTGCTCGTCGCGTTCAGGTCATGTCGCACTTGGAGGTACGACTGCTGCAGCTCGCGCTGTCCGCGGATCTGCCTCGACGTCCCCGACGGGGCGGAGATGTAGAGCTTCCATAACTGTGACGATGACACCGGTCTCTTGTCAGCATGCCGCCAGGTAAAAACTGCCTCAATACATAGGAAATAGGAAGTAAGGGGAGGTGTCGGAGAAAGCCTCACCAGGTTGTTGATGGTTGCGGCGCCGATGGTATTCACCACAGCCACAGCGACCTCGACCGCAAAGATGATGACGAGGAGGGACGCCATTATCCCCCTTGTTCTTTCTTTCTTGGGTTTATGACGAGAGGGGGACAGACAGCAGGCAGTTGGTGTCTGAGAACATAACCGCTACTACAGGGCGAGGTAGTTGTAGCAGTAGCAGGGAGAATCGGTAAATTTGGTGGAGAGAGGTGTTCAGCTCTACAGGTACGAACAGCTCAGAGTGTCGGCGTTTTTGCAGGGTTGGCTGGTTGCATCATGGGTCGCCCTGGCAGAATCTGGGCACAGACCCAGGCTTCGTTCCAGAACAACCCATCTCTCTCTCACCCAAGACTCCCTCTTTTAGCTTTCGAGTGCGACTAGGAAAAAGAAGAGATGAGGCTTTCATTTCATTCCAATCTCAATAATGAGAACGGTATGCAGTTGGACTGTGTGCCAGAGCTTCAAAATCCCAATGAACAGGAGAGAAAATACCCAAACTCCCATGCCCCAGTGCCATGGGGACATTCCTCGCGCCGCTGCCCCAGATTCTCTCAATAACCACATTCTTCGAATACGCTCCCAACCCCTCCCCCATTCCTGATACTCCTATGCCGGATGCTTGAATTGACCTCGAAATATCATTAGTCGTAGCAACGAAATCATTTCATATTGTGAGACCTCGCTTTGTGCAAACCAGAAATCCCGGACCTCGACTTGAACCTCTTCTCAATCATCATACGAGGCCTGATTGCTGCTGTTATCGACGAGGATGACAACGGTCAGAACTGCAGCGTAGGCTTCGCGGATGGCACAAGCCATGCTGTGTGGGAGAAGTGTTAGAAGATTTCGACTGTGATGCTCTCGGTGTATGGAACAATCTTTTTCACACTCACCAAGTCTTCCCGATATCCGCCACCACCGCGCTCAGCCCCCAGTGTGCACACCAGGCCCTGGCCAGCACTTCATTATCTGGCACACCAAAGGCCTCGATCACCAGGACATCTTCCTCCTCGTCCTTGCTATGATCACCTGATTTTCCTTTCGTCGTCGCGTGGCCGTTCCCGTTTCCGTTCATCGACGGCCGGCGCCCCTTGGACGAGCCTTCACCTGCTGTTGAGTCGGACAGGTCGCGGTCTGCGTCGGCGTCGTTGATTCCCTCAGCCACAGACTTATATCCTTTGAGGTCCACCCTACTCCTCGCGCCGTATAGCCCAGCCCAGTCGCGGATCGAGATGACCTCGTCTGCCGCGACGGCTAGGTAAGTATAGTCGTAGAACAGCGGGTGCGGCCCCTGCGTGCACGGCCACGCTGAGATGAAGTGCACATCATAGGTCAGGCGCAGAGGCCACGAGACACCGTCGATGGCGAACTGTATCGCTGCATTGAACCACTTAGGTCCCGGGTCCGCCATCCTTTCCGCGCAGGGCTTCATCGAGAGGAGTTCGATGCGCACCGTGTCGACAATATTGTCCGTGTCTGGGCGAATCATGTCATAATCCTCTACAGGGAACGCATCTGTGGGGGGTCCCAAGGGGTCGGAGCGTTCTGACATCAAGCGCACGTCCTCGGGGGTCAGTCGCTGTCGAGGCGGGCGGGAACGGACGCGCGCAATCTGAGAGCGACTCAGGTCCGGTGTGGGTCGTGCTGGACCGACCCAGCCTGCGACCTCATGGCAGGTCGGGGCGAGAACCTTGCCGACGATCGAGGTCGACGTCCAGTAGGTGTAACTGTTCCGATACTGGAAACCGCAGTTCGGGTTCAGGTGGATGAGAAGTGCCAGGTCGTCGGTGGCCTCATCCGGGTCGATGTCGATCAGGGCGTTCATCATGACGAAGGGAAAAGAAGGCTAGTCTATGTGTCAGCACAGTTCAGGAACGACTTGCCTTCCTTTTATCTTCTTTTTGTTCTCCCCCCTCCCACCCCTGGGAAGATTAGGGACTCACGCCAGGTAGTACCAGGCCGCTGAAGAAGGCCATGGCATGGGAGCTGATGGCATCAAGATTTGAGGCATCATAGCCCTGTCTCAGAGAGGCCAGAGTCTCGGCAAGATTAGGCCACTTCATCATCTGTGCAAACCTCTTGATCATCTTGACCTGCCGTCGCTTCAGTTTATACCGTAGTTTTACTACAAACCTGTCTGTCAGCACAAAGAACTCTTGCTCGCGGTGGTTGTGTCTTGCGTTCTGGCGCACCTTGGTCAGCGGTGCTCCCATAGGCTTCTATCCTAACGTTATCCCGCCACCTTCTCGAGAGGGCCAAATTCCACTTGATAGCCGGTGGCAGCTGCTCTAAAAGCTTCTCCTTGGCCCACTCGCCATGCTGTCTCGAATGTATGCGCAGGTCCAGCTCCATGCTCAGAAGTAGCTGGTGGAAGAACTTGACATACTGTTCGTGGTTGACATGTGCCGTGTCAAATATAAACCGCGTGACGATCTGGTTCTTGGCCTGCGAGAAATCTATCCAGTGGTCTGGGCGGGTGAGAACCAAGATGAGGTCGGTAATCTGCTTGTCTAGAGTCTTGTGGGGACTCAAGACACGGTCTGGGTCCTTGAGGAACTTCCGATAGAGGTTCTTGTACATGTAGTCGACATCATTGTCCTCCAGCCCCAACTCCAAGTCTTTAAGCCTGCCAAAGATGCGCACCAAATCCACGTCACGAGCCACAACCCCCGAGTCACGCAGGGCGATCGTTGGTGGCCTGGCACTGGCGGTGGTAGCCCACTGATTCAGGGTCACAGTGCCGGGGAGCGTGCCGAAGTAGAAGGAGTAGCTGGGCTGCTCCATCGTCGCCCAGGGACGAGACGCGGTGCCGGGGCCCATGGTTCTCATGGTCATGAGCTGGGTCATCGAGTCGTGCTGGTTGACGCCGTCATCCTCTTCGCCTCGGTTCCCAGCCGCGGTGGCGTATGTCGAGCAAAACTCATCTCCGGCGTGAGGTATCCGTCGCATATGGCCTTTGAAGGCGGGGACGCCTTTACATATATAATCCATAGCATGGCCTAGAGGAAGTTCAGCCCCAGGGCCGTATCCCGGTGGCGGCCATGTTCCCGGGCCCCCATGCGAAGCCCTAGGACTAGGTGAGAAGCGCGGCGCGTGGCCATTGGCGAAAGCGGGTTCCTTTCCTTTAAATGGGAGTGGTTCAGAATTCTGGCGCTTGTGCAGTTTCCGGGGCTGCAGGCTCTGGAGAGTGGCACTTCGTAAGGGGATGTTCTGCTTGCTGGGCTTTCGCTGTATGGTGGACTCCGGGTCACTCAACCTCCGCGGCCGTGTGGTCGGTAGTGGGTCCTCAGTGTCCTCGATTTTCTAGGTACCAGTGTCAGTGACATGTGTCAAGAAGAAGCAGCCGCTTTACAATTTGCAACAAAAGCCAAGAAACTGGCAGAGAGGGTTTATAGTACCGGTAAGATGCCATTTTTCTTGTCCCCGATGTGCTCGGCCGAACTCTTCTTGGGCTTGAAGAGGGTCTTCCAGAAGCCCTTCTTCTTTCCCTTATCCCGGCTCATCTCAGCCGCTCATGCAAGCGTCAGGAATCCTGTGGGCATGAAGATATGTGTGGACAGTCATGAATGATGATGGTGATGAGAAGATGGCTGCGGGTCGATCTGAGAGGGGTTATTGCTTGTCTTGCTGTGGTCGGGTCAATGATTGGCTGAGGCGATGACGATTTCGTGCATTGCGACAAGCGATGAGGTGGCAGTGAGTGAGGGTGGTGGTGGTTCAAAGATGCCGAAGGGGGGCGGCAGTCCTCGCGAAGTATTCCGTTTGGATGGATGGATGGATGAGGCAGCTGGTTTACCAGCCAGTCCCAGCCCCTGCCCTAGAATAAATCTGAGCCTCCCTTGGAGGCGCGTTCGCTGCAGCTGAGGGTACAAGACAAGCCAACTGCGGGTCCTCTCTTTCAGGGGGGTTGGTTATTCGTTGGTCTGGTCCTTGAAGTGATAGACAGAGAGAGAGAGATTGGAGGGGCAGGGTATGTATATGCTCGTTCGACCGTAATGAGAAATCCTCATACGTCTTTGGATCTAATTCATTCGCCTTTCTGGCCTGAGAGTGAGGTGAGGTTGGGATGATCAATTGCCTTCGAGAACCAGCTCAAGTCGTTGTGGTTGCAGGTCTTCCGTTGCAGCAGGGGTAAGGTCTCGGCCCTTGTGGCAGTGGGATGTACTATGGAAAGTGCAAAGTGTATCCTGTCCACGCTAGGGTGATCTTGTCTGCAGGCAGTCGAGTACTCTGAGGGGGGCTAAGGCCCTAACAACATCCTGTAATAGTGCCTAAGCGTTGCTGCTAAGATAGATGTACTATGGTACATGGTAAATCGTTCTTACCGTATGGAACAGGTGTTTTAAGGTTGAAGCACTTCGGGTGATTGGCACTAACTGCAACCCTGACGTCCCTTCCCCACAGGACGTCCTGCCCCCCCCCGCCTGATGAGCGCAGGGGGGGGGCGGCATCTATCCGTTTCGAGGAACGGGCACCATAGAGCCCACAGCATCTCATATAACAACTGTAGCCACTATCCCCGCCTCTCGTGTTCCTAAACTGTTGCGTGCCCACAGCGGAGAGCCAAAGGAACACACGACCAGATCGATATATCATCTTATGCGCTGTCATTCGTTTATAGCGCTTCTTTGGGTTTTGCAGAATCCCTCGCTCTACCTCTAGCCACAACATAAGCGAAACTCGCACATATTTGCGCCTCGTGGGCCGGGCAGTAATTATACCTTATTTCTTCTTCTTCCATATTGTACTTCTGCTTCAGAAGACAGGCAGACTACACAAGCAAAGTCAGTCAGTTGATCTTAAAGAGTTGGTGGATCCACCTGGGCTGGACTCTTGAAGGGCGGAGACTGATGACCTGCGGACGTCTTGGCCACTTCCTAAACGCCCGCGTATGACGATAGGTCTACATCTTTGCGGCGTCTCCTCCTCACTCTGGGCGAATTGGTCGTATGCACTCCAGTCCATCTTCTCGACTCTTCTGCATAATAGTATCGGGTCACAGGACAGGGACTTGATTTTCGGATTGACCTATCTGAGAAGTTCATAGCTTTCAGCAGAGCCGGCTACTTACAGTCCACCTTCACTCAGATGGAGCTCTGGGCCACGGGACTCAACGCCTGGGGTCAGCTCTGCCTCAACAACCACAACAATCCAGCAAGTGACGACCACACAAGAGAACCAGATGATTATTATCAATTTACCCCTATCCTGCGGTGCAGGCTCAAGATTGAGCATGTGCAGACGTTCCTGTCACACACCATTGTAGAATGTGCTCATCATGTAGTAAGGACGGCAGGCTACTTCCCCAGAGAGCACTTGCAGCTGTACCAAAAAGACCCTGAAGCATATCGCACTATGGCTGAGGCATCCAATGGACTCGTCGTACGTTCTCACCAGTCTCGCTCACTATACATCATCAAGTACAGTCAGCCAAAAGGAAGAAAGAAAAAAACTACTCACACGAGCACTGTCTGTAGGTTATCAGGACCCCGAGTGGTGCTGTGAAGCAGTTCAACTCCCTCAAGGACGTCCTCGATAGTGCGCCAGGCCAAGAGCTCCCGGCTCTCCAGGACTGTGTTCAAGTGGTCGCTTACGACGCGGGCTTTGCGGCCCTCACCTCGACGGGTAGCGTGTATACCTGGGGAGATGAGCGCTATATGCCATGTCTCGCGCGGGATCTGGACGAGTTCAGCCCATCAGACAAGCCGGGCCTAGTCCATTCCCTGCAGGATCTGCCTACCGGTCCTATCACAAAAATAGCTGCTGGCGGATATATCCTCGCTGCGCTGACCAAGGGAAACGACCTGTACGTCTGGGGCGGCCATCTCGGCAAGAGGACACTACCTGTAGACCTCGTTGGCGGGCCTACTCCTATGGACATCGATGACCACGACATAGCCGACGTTGCTGTCGGGGACGCTCATCTAATCGTCCTGACCACACATGGCCACGTCTTTGTCATTGGTGATAACAGGAACGGACAACTGGGCATAAAGTCTCAGCGCGCAGACGTTTGGGAGGAGGTCGAGCTGGACTTGTCAGACAAAACGACACCCGTGGCGGTCGTAGCCGGGCCGAGGGGCTCTTTCATCACTGTCGAGAGATTGCCACATTCATCCGGGATATAATTTCATGACATCAAGTTATCCGTCCGTTGCCTTCTATGCATCTGCTCTATGGTACAGCCGTGGATCACCGGTGATTATTAAATCATAGGTTCGTAAGATAATCCTCAATCTCCTGGGGACTCAGTTTTCGGAAACGCGGGCCCTTGGCACCCTCGACTCCCTCCACGCCGAGAAGATGGTCTGCTGGAGGTCCAACAATGCCTAGTCATGCCAGTCAGTTGGTCGGTTTGAAAGTCCTGTAACAGGGTTGTCTTTGAGGGGGTGGGGAAGAGGGTAGAAGGGGGAAAACGGTGCTCACCAATCTCGATGGTCTCGCCATTCATCTCGCCCTCGATCGTCTCCTTCAGCGTCAACAGTGCGATGTGTACTGCATCCTCCAGCTCCAGACCCTCTGTATACCGCTTCTCCAGGAATGTCTTGGCCGACGTGGCACTCTTTCCGATGGCCGTGGCCTTCCATGGGAAATAGCTGCCCGAGGGGTCAACCTGGTACAGCATAGGGCCGCCCTTCAGGATACCGCCCGTCTTGCCCGAAAGCTTTTTCACGCCACCCTCCCCCTCCACAGACTTGGCAGCCTTCTCGACCTCCTCCTCTGGCAGGACACCCTCGTCCCAGCCTGCGATCAGCAAGCTGACACCATACGGCCGCACGCCTCCAGACTGCGTTGCCTCCTGCACGACCCTGGCGACGTCCTGCACCAATATCCTTGTGGGTGGATACTCGTTGTAGATGCGCTTGTATTCGGTGTGCGAAACCTTCCGTGCCTTGTTGACCAGGACTCTGTAGTCGGGACCCATGCCGGAGTAGACCATGCCAATGTTGGGGGTGATGAGGCTGATCTTGGACAAGGACGAGGGGTCGGCGAGGGGTGAGGAGGACTTCTTCTCGGTGGCGAGGACTATGCCATTGGTAGCTGTTATTCTATGTCAGTATGGAACGCAGGGGTAGCCTCAAGTCAGCCGGGGATCTCGTCTACTTGCCCTTGATGCCGAGTGCCGTCACACCTTGGTTGACGGCGTTCAGGGCATACTCTGTTCGAATCTGTCAGTCCAATGCCCTGCTCAACATGAGATATCTCAAGGGGACAGGTTCTGTTCTCAGCTGCGAGAACAATACTGACCAATCTGCACCAGCTTGCCACTATTTCCTCGTGGGTTAGCACAAACGCTCACATGTCGTCCACATGTGTCAAGCATGCAAAGAAGCTCACCTGGGGGAGAAGGTCGTGAGAGAGAAAGAGTATCGATCGGCCATGATTACTTGTCGATTACAGCCAGATTTGTGTTCGGGAGGTTTCTCAGAGACTGGCTGTTATGGGAATGAAGAATGGGTGGTGCACACGACGGGTGCGAGGTTGCGGGTTGGTCAAGGTTGTGGTGTATGGAAGCTCCAAATAGGCACGACCACTTGCGCGTTCGAAGGTGGCTCTCAAAACGTCAGCCGCGGCGGGAAGCTGGGGCCGCGCTTGGGCCACACCACAGACGCCTGGAAGCTAGGTTGCCGGCGGCACCTTCCAGCTGTCCAAACCCACTCAAGCTCCCCCCTTGCAAGTGCCTGGAAGCTCTTTCTCTTTTCTGTGTCTCGCAGCTAGAATCTTCCCTTTAACACCAACCACAACAGGCAGCCTCACTCACAACAGTTGCCACTCCACACGTGTGCTGACCTCGAGGTAATGTCTGTATTTAGACAACGTTTTTCAGTTTCGTCTCCATGATCTGCAAGCAGGCGAATTCGGCAGGTTGTTACGTTTTCTAACATAAAATGCTGCCGGATTGACAATTTGTCATCCGTTCTTTGGATCGTTTTCCCTTCTGTCGCCGACGAACTACTTTACCAGCTTCTGCACAAAGATCGATACGACGCTATGTCTGATCATGGTGTTTTCGCAGACGCCACGGTTCCAGAGCCGACGTGGTCTTGGGGTGATTCTCCTGGGCAACCGGGCGAGCCGGTCCCTGAGGTACCACCACCTGCTGCGGAAACTTTCGAATCTGGTGGTGGGTCTGATGCCGCGCAGGACCATGATGCCCACGCTGCAGCTGCGGACTCGAACGAGGCAGATGGGGCGAGATACAAACCCCGGACCTGCAGGATATGTTTCGAAGAGGTGCAACCAACATTTGACTTTCCTAGCACGACCACACAGTTCCTGGGAAGGAAGCCTCGCGTCCGATACATCTCGGAAGACCCGGAGTTTGGGAGACTTATGCGGCCTTGCAAGTGCAGTATGTCAAATCTGTATTGCTCACGGCTCATCCGTCGTCCTGGTCGATAATGACTCCCTTGGAAAGCCGTCTGGAGCTCACCTCTCTTCATATCTTTACTCACAGCTGTGTGAAAAAGACCAATCACGCAGGAACATTTGCTGACCCCCATAATAGAAGGTTCCCAGAAGTATGTTCATGAAGGCTGTCTTCGCGCATGGAGAATGGCCTCGCCAGCGCAGCGCAACCTGTGGGAATGTCCGACCTGCAAATACACGTACCGCCTGGAACGGCTGACCTGGGGAAGGTGGGTCAGTAGCAAGGTCGTACGAGCAGCCCTCACCGTACTGATAGTGCTGCTGGCCGTCTTCGTACTCGGGTTTGTTGCCGAGCCCATTCTTCGCCTGGGAACACTTGACCCAGTGGCGAACTTGTTAGACTTCACCTTTGGGTTGGACGATGACTATGATGAACTAGGTGACTGGATCCCTGATGAGCTGCCTGATACGTGGTCATGGCATTTCACCAGGGGCTTCCTTGCTCTTGGTCTAGTGGGCTTTTTCAAGTCATTCCTCATAGCCAGACCATGGCAGTGGTGGAATGTCCGGGTCGGCGGTAGACGTCGGGGAGGACGTGATCGACTTGAGAACATCAACATGTTTGTGGTTATGATTGGAGTAGCGACATTCCTGATAGTAGGCTGTCACTGTGCTTGAACACGTATGGTGGACGATCTTGCTAACGTTGACTAGGCTGTCTGGAAGGGCGTCAGCGCCTTGTCTGCCCGGTTCCTAGAGAAGTTCAGCGACACGATCATCGACGTCCCAGGGGATGACGATGACGAGGATGGAGATGTAGGAGCCGAGACGAAGAAAGAGCAATGATTTCCCACAATCTATCGCGCGCTCCCTGTCCGTCGTCAAGCCGACTTCACTATGCATGACCCCAGCTCCTTTCTTATGGAACCGCACACTCTTAAGTTGCCTCGGATCTGCTCTACCATGCTGTTGCAACTAGTCTGTATGCGAAGATGAAGGTCTCGTCACTTCCTAGGACTGTGGGCGTTTTGTTCACCTTCCACCATGGACCAGTACGAGCATGTCAACTCGGACGCTGGGGAAGAGATCCTCGGGCCTCTTCCTCATTCTTGGTCTGCTCTTCGGGCCGCATGGTCACATTTACGGAGGCGCAGCTTCAGCAGCAGATTGATACATTTTTGAGTAAATACTGTGCTAGCGTCAGTGTACCAAGTCATACCAATTCATTCCTACCACTTAGCCAATATCGCCAAAATCCTGGAAGAGTACGATCAGTGGTTCACTCAAGGCCAGCATTCGATGAAGGGGGAATTATGAGGAAAGTTAGTATACGGGACAGAAGGAGGCCGCTGTCAGCTTTATTTCCTTAGGACTGGAGGAGCTCTCGCAGGGGTGCTTTCTTCAGGTGAGAGGCGAGAGAGGTCTGACTGGTCGGCTCTCGCAGAAACCATTCTCTCCTTACAAATTCCCGTGGTGTAGTGTCATCTGCCATACCATTCACAAGCGATTCTGTCTGCAGGTCTTTCTATTCGTTTCCTGCGTGTTACGGCAAGCTGCAGGATCCCTAAAAGAGTGCTCGGTGCTGATTGTATTTGACAGGTGGATCAGAGCCGAAATGGGGTCCTAGTCCCTGAAATAATGTAGTATGTGCTTTTAAGGGTCCATTTTGACGTAGCAATCGATGTACTGGAAAAGTCCATGGCATCACATACCTCGGTCGTTGTACCCTCTCAACAGGTATGCACGCAGATGGATGGCGGCGCATCTAGCGAGCGAGCAGTTGAGCCTGGCTCTGGGCCTGAACTGAGCCCCTGAGAGCAGAGTTCGGGGAGTCAGCCGTCAGCACTTGACTCTTCATCCTTCATACAATTTAGTTTGTTGTACTGTGGTAAATGGGTAACGGTGGTACCGTAGTAAGCGCAATGCAGCTGATTTCCTCGTACTGCAGTACCATCTAAGTACCTATAAGCACCCACTATTGGGCAACCAATATTGTGCAATTGCTCTCTCACCACCACCAACAACAACCACGACCACCACAATTTTGTCGCACCTACCGACGACGTCTTCTCTTTTGATTTTTTTGAGCGTCGCCTCTTGAGGAATTGTTATTGCGCGCACATTGCTTTAGCCATATTCGTCCGTCCGGGTCTGAGACATCGGCGCTAGCCCCGAGGCATTCTTTTTGTTCGGCGCTCGCCCGAGCGATCAGAAGCCACGACGAGCATCTCCTGAACCGCCACCCGAAAGCAGCACTCGCGCCGCCTTACGACGACGATATAATCACTCATATTGCTACCTCTGTTGCTCACCGCGCGCTCCATCCGCCGGCGACAGCTACGTGTGTACTTGACAGCCCGATTCCACTTGCCGAGGTTGGCTCCTCCATCACCGCCGCCGCCGCCACCGCCGCCGCCGCACCCACCGCAGCCCTGAGGGGCCTGCCCCAATCCGACTCACGAGCTTCGACGATCGCGAAAATACCCCTTCGACGTGCAATCCTTTCCCCCTTCCTGCCGAACTTCGCCTCATCTTAGAACCCTCGGAACCATGCATCTTCCGTACCCTGCGCGGAAGGACTCGAACCCGGCGCCGTTCCAACCCCGCAGCAGCAGCAGCAGGTTACAATCTGTCAGGCGCCTCGCCCTGCCGCGGCGGTACCGACAACATGCGGTCGCGATCGCAGTCTTTGTCCTGATCGCGCTGGTGTGGCTTGTCACGCGCGGCAGCAGCTCGACGCCAGCCGCCGGCGGGCCCTTGGGACTGGCGAACCATGTCCCATCGGGGAGACCGCCCGCGGTGATTGTGACGGTGCTAGACGAGAGGAGGTTTGGATCCAAGTATACAGAGTTGTTGAAGGAGAACAGGAAACTTTACGCCGAAAGGCATGGTACGTCACCGCCCCCAAGAAAAAGGTGTGGCCACAGGGTTTTGTATCGATGAGGAAGAACAGGAGGTAGAGAACCGTGTCTCAAGGCAAGAGGAATGCAGCAAAAAGGAGGACATCAGGCTGACTGAAGAGGACGGATTTCTCCGTCATCAGGCTACATAACATTCTTCCCGCAGGTCGGCGACTACGACCTCAAGAAGTCCCCGAGCTCATGGACCAAAATCGTCGCGATGCGCCACGCCATGACCAAGTTTCCTGACGCGTCGTACCTGTGGTACGTGGACGTCGACACGTTCATCATGAACCCGCAGATATCGGTGGACAGAGACGTCATGGCGCCCGCAAAACTAGAGGCTACAATGATTGTCGACCACCCCGTCGTCCCCCCGGACAGCATCATCCACACGTTCTCGCACCTGGGCGGCGGAGACGTGGACTTGGTGCTGACCCAGGACAAGGAGGGCCTGGTGACGTCGAGCTTCGTGCTGCGCAACTCAGAGTGGTCGCGGTACCTCCTCGAGACCTGGTTCGACCCGATCTACCGGAGCTATAATTTTCAAAAGGCCGAGACGCATGCACTGGTAGGTAATGCAAGAAAAAAAGAAGCAGAAGAAGAAGAAGAAGAAGAAGAAGAAGAAGAAGAAGAAAGAAACAAAACGCCTCCACGCATAGTCGGTTAGTCCTGAGGGACAAGTCCAACAAACGGCTGACGTCTAGAGCAGGAACACATTGTCCAGTGGCACCCGACCATCCTGTCGAGACTGGCCCTGGTGCCCCAGCGAACTATCAACTCGTACTCAAAAGCCGGTACCGGCGAGGAGTACCAGACTGGCGATCTTGCCGTCCGCTTCCCCAAGTGCGCGAAATCAGTCCAGAAGACGACCTGCGAGGCCGAGGCGGAGCCTTGGGCCATGGTGTGGAGGTCAGCCTATAGAAATCGGTGACCTGTGGGCAATCATAGCTGTTTGAATAGAAACGGTTTTCGGGGTAAATTTTTCCATACTCGGACTGTTTTTCTCAATCTCTCTCCAGTGGGGGGGGGGGGGGCGTTTGACATGGGAAATGTGGCGTTCATGGGGGGACAAAGGTTTTGTCTGGGTTCTGGGTTTTGTCAGGTGCCATCTTGATTTTTGGTGCATAAAGAAAGAAACAGACACACACACACACACACAGAGAGAGAGAGAGAGAGCTACTTGCTTTCATTCAAAGCGTGGCATTGAAATGTGGTTGGTATATAGGACGCAAGAATATGTCCATCGATTCTTACAGTGATTGAGTCTTTGAAAACTGAACAAGCTGTTCAAAGACACCTTTTTAATCGTCCACCTCGCGAGCCGCCACCTCTTCTTTGACTCACCTGGAATGTTCTTTGGTCTGTGTATACAAACACTCACACTCACACAGGGAGAAGGAGTGGAAATGGATCTGTCGTCTACGACTACGGTACAGACTCTTTCACTAGGTATCACTATAATAGAAGAAAGAGCAGGACCTCGCAACCACCTCGACAAAGATTGTTTTACGATAATTCTCACTCAACTCATCGTCATCGACGACGGGGTCGCCGCCAGCGTAGACAGCATGCTCGAATCCTCATCTCCAGAGACGAATGAGGAGCTGCCCCTCCTGGCCGCGAACCGCTCCCGCAGGTTTCTCCAGTCGTCCTTCCAGTTGCGGATGGACCTGTCCAGCTCCGGATCAGCGCCTTCGGGGACGTAGCCCATACAGCGTACCTCGATGGCGCGCAGCTCCAGGCGTAGGTGCTTCAGCTCTGCTTCGTGATCGGCCACGACATCCTCGAGCCGGCTGATGGCGGTGGTGCTATCGAGGAGACGCTGATTTGCCATCTCTTCTCGCTTGATAAGTACTGCGTGTAAATGCTGTTTCATGAGAAAAAAGCCGTGGTCAGTAACCGTATGCGCTTGACTAAAACATTGGGCCGGGGGAAGGAGGGGGGAGGGAGTTTAACACAAAAAAAAAAAAAAGAAGGGGGGGGGGGGGGAGCGGCAGAGAGAAAGGGAATTAAGGGAAGGAATCACATCTGACTCTTCGCGCCGCACCCGAAGGCTCTCTATGACGGTGGCCATCTCCGAACACAGCTTCTCGGCCTCCATGACGACGGTCTCTGCCACCTCCGAAGATATCCTCGGCGGCGTCGTACTGGTGCCGGCATCTGCTGAGTCAAGACGCTCGACCGGTGGTCGCTGCTGGCGGCTTGTCGTTATCTCGGAGGGGACAGGTAGGGACTGCGAGTTCTGCACCGCGGCGGCAGGCCCCTCCCGGCCTGCTGTTGACGGGCGCCCCTGTTGCTGGAAGCGGGACATGAACCACGAGGGGCTCATGGGGGCCATGATGCCCAGTGAGCTGTTGTCGCGGCCACGAGGCGATTCGCCGCCGGGCGGCAGCTGCAGCGACCCTTTCCTTCTTCTCCTCCGCCTACTTCCGAAACCCGTCCTCACATCCGTCTCATCCCTCCTCGTCGAGCTCGAGTGCCGGCTTGCGCTCCGGTCCCTGCTCCCGGCCCCACGCAGCGTCCTCTCCATATCGTCGACCTGCTTATGCAGGGCCTCCACGCTAGCAGCCCTTACGCTCGCCGCGGTGCTCAGCTTCTCAGCTAGGTCATTCAGCCGCTGCACGAGCACGTCGCGGCTGTCCTGAGTGACGTCGTCTGCCGCCGAGCCCTCTGAAAGGGAGTCCGTGTCATCGTCAACGCCCGTATCACTGGTCATAACATCGTCGCCGTCATCCGAGCCCGAGGGAGGCGGCTCGACAGCAATCCTGACGGGGCTGGATCTATCGGAGTGGTGGCGGACGAGGTCATGTTGGTGGTGCGAGGAAGAGGGGCGGGAAGGCAGCTGATGGGAGGAGCGTGCGCTGCCGAGGTTGCCTGAGGAAAACTGAGGTCGTAAAGGCGAGAAGGGGGAGATGTGGAAGTTCATTGGGAGTTAAGAGGAGGGTGTATGTGTGTATGTGTGTGTGTGCGCGCGCACAAGACTGCGCATCGCCCAAAAGGAGGGAAGTGAGTGAGTGAATGTATGAGTGAGTTGTCTCTGCAACTCAGCAGCAGCTTGTCGACCAAAAGATGTTGTAGGCACGTACTCTGTCTCGTTGGTGAAGGATGCTCGGAATGGCCCCTGCCTCTACTGCTACCTCACTAATTAAGTACTTAGTACTGCTGTGTGCTCTCCTTAGCTGGGGCGGCAGCGGCGTCCGTGGGTGTTAGTACTGTACGGTCAACAGGTCAATATGAAGGACACTTTTCTTCTTCTTCGGGTTATTCCATACTTCTTCACCAATTCCCTTAGCACAGGGTGAAAGCTTGGGTGTGCTGGCCAATTGATTGTTGCTCGTGGGGGACGGTCGAAAAGCGCATCCTCAGCCCCTGAGTATTCTGAAAGTCAAGCAGAAACGATGGGGAACAATTAATTACGGGCCTGATGGATCATCAAATGATGTGGCATGACAGCTTCATGATTTGTTGTCTAGCACCCTGCAACGGTTCTCAGTGGGACCCCTGCATTATCCATTGGACCTGGGAAATCTTATTTTCTTTCCTCTTTCCTTCCACCTTCTTATGCACCTCCATGCTGAATTGATATGCACAGGAGTAAATCAAAAGACGTGCGTTCCAGTCTGCTCAGGCCCAAACTGTACACAGTATTAACGAACTAACCCATTGATATAGAGTAGATGAACACCACCCTACTAAAGTGGATATTACCCATTCGAATAATAGTATGTTGACGTCTCTCTGGTCCCAATTTTGCCGTTGCCAACGTGTAAGTCGACCCCTGGCGAGGCTATGAAATACAGTAAATCATGCAGAGTACTACAACGCCTGCACAGCCAAACACGCATTTTCACATGACTACTTACTAAGGACTTGAGTACTAAAATCAAATACCAAAGCATCAACGTTATTCTGTATGATATCATAACATAGCAAGATGCTGACTATGAGACTAAGTACAACGGTTTCACGGACTTCGGCTCAAGCACTTGGAGTATCTCGGGACCAGCACAGACAGCTACACTTGTTCAAGAAAACAAAACTGCATTCAATTCGTACCTGGGCAAGGAAATTTCAAGGAATATGGCTACACCAGAATAATACATTTTTAGAATGAATGGTAATTAGCTGACAAGATCATATCACGGAGGTCAGTTAAGCATTCAAACCTTGGGCTAAATCTCACAGTTCGCTTCACATTGGAATATCTTTGATGCAGGTGGCTGGCTGGAGTGGAAAGGTGAAGAAAATAAGAAAGAAAGAAATAATAACGAGCAAGAGGAAGGATGAAGAATGGGAAGACAAGGAAGACACTGCTGCCCAGCTCGCATCATAGGGTGGACAGTGAACAGTATAAGCAGATCCTCGATGGCTATAAGGCATGCCTCGAACCCATTCGGATCTGGTGGGGTGCTCAGCAGGAAGACAGAGAGGAGGATGGGGAGCAGTGTCTGTGATTACTGTGGCCTCGGAATCTGGATCTGGATCTGGATCAGTTGGTAGCAGCAGTGGTAGCTTGCACTATGTTTGTTCACTTTGCTGGCAAGGGAAATATGAAGATGGCATAGTGGAAGTGGGCCGTTTTTAAAGAAAAGTATGGAGTACTGCAGTAGTAATATGACGAATATTCCAGCAGCCAATCAGTTGAGCCTAAAATAGTATTACTATGTCATAATTTGAGGCAGGAAGCTCGCCAGCCTTTTGGTCAGAGTTATAGTAATCAAATGGGCAGATTCGGTTGCCATTCGTTCCCGTACGACTTCTATCTAGGAGGAATGAAAGAAGGCAGAGAAAAGAAAGGGGGGGGGGAGGGGGAGAAGAAGAAGAGAGCACAGCAAGAAGTCTTTCCACTATTCTTCTTTCAAGCCTGTCCAAGTACTTCCCTAGTATATCCAGCCAGCCTTTGCACCCCCTCATTTGCTATGATCTTCTCAGCAGTGCACGTAGGGGATTTATGTGTGGTTTCATGCAGAACTCAGCTGAGTGCTAAAGAACATGACAGCATACATGTACTCTTACTGTACATAGTAGCAAGGCCGTGACCTGATATCACAATGACTGTTGCAATGGTACTACTGTTTAGTAAGGCGGTCTGGAGGTGAACCACCTGTCGGGACAAGGGACTGCCTACATGTAGTGCTGCCGGAAACATGGAAGCCCCAGATTGACTACTACTATGGTTACAGCGGTACAATACAGTAGTACCGCACTACTGCAGCTGTAATACTGCCCGCTGTTAGTGGTGCACAGGAGAGGGGATGGGTGCCCCACCACTAATGAACTGACTAGCTTGCCCTTCCAAAAGCCTAGCAGCAAGGGAAAATGCCGGCCTAGAGACACAGAAACATAGCGTGAGAAGGAGGGGAATGGAGAGAGAGAGAGAGAGAGAGAGAGAGAGAGAGAGAGAGAGAGAGAGAGTCCACTGAAATGACCACCACTGTCCACCACTACTGACTGAACTTCGGCACCTGCTGTCACACATTCTGTTTTCTTGTGCTTCTCCAAGAATCACCAGTCTTCATTTCTCCCTGACTGACTCTTCTCCTCTCCAAGTTGTGCATCGTTCTGTGCAACAATTCTTCTTCTTGATAATCCATCCCAATTACACTCTTCACCCCTTCCTCTTCGTCAAATCCCCACAGATTTTTGTGGTATTTTTATTTTCCCTCCCTGTCCAGTTCACACAGAGAGAGAGACAGAAAGTTGTTGCGTCATTCTCATCCTACCTCCAGTTCCCTCCCACCCGGGAAACCCCCAACCCAAAATCCAATATCGATAAAGTCCCGCCGCGCCTTGCCTCGGCTAAGCGCGCTCTTCCTCGACGACAAGACTCATCCGTCAAGTCAGTTCAAGGTCCCCTGCGACCCTCGACCCATTTCGCGCTGCCCACCCAACCTTTTCCACAGGCCAAAAAAAAAAGACACCAATTGCCGTACTCGAGGCATGACACGACCTTCAATGGTGCAATCATAGATCGAAGAGCTGTCTTTCTGGGAACCGTGGGGGCCCACGCGACGAACCAAGATGTCGTGGAAGAAGAGCGATCGGCTCATGGTGCGCATATTCTCTCTCTCCTCCTCACTCCCGCCAAAACTGCTTGGCACGTGCCTATGCCTGTGTCGATGATGGACGGCCTCAACTGACACATATGCAACACTATCACCACCCGTAATACAGAAGAGCATTGCGCACTTCTCCAAGTTCCCAGCGACTGGTGTCTCCCTGCGTCAGATGGTGCAGTTTGGCGAGAAGCCCTCTACTGGTAGGTTTGCTGGTTGTCGACGGCGGTGTGCCGTGGTTCCGGTCCTCAATGTGGTGGCTGCTCTTCGTATGGCTCACAGCTCGACCCCCTTCCAGGTACCCTTTTCCGCGCGTCACAGTTCCTCGCCGAGGAGCTTCCCATACGGCTGGCCCACCGGGTCGAGGAGCTCAACAATCTCCCCGATGGCCTGAGTGAGATGCCCTCCGTCAAGAAGGTGTCTGACTGGTATGCACAGTCATTTGAGGTTCGTCCAACACCCCGTCTACCTCATTGGTTCCCTCTTCTTCGTCTTCTTCGTCCTCCTTCAACTCTCTCTCCTCCCATGACACACAGGCACACAGGGAGAGAAAGAGAGAGAAGAGACAAGGTCAGTCTTTGGGCGAATGGTAGCTGACGATGCTTGGCCTCCCCTCTCTTTCAACAGGAGATCACAGAGCTCCCACGGCCACAGCTTCCCCAAGACGTGCGGAACCGGCTCATGAAACCCTCCAAGGGCTCCGGCAAGGGCTATCTTCTGTCCGAGGCGACCTCTAACCCCAGCATAGAAGAGGGCCAGTACTCCTCCATGCCCAGTCAGCAAAACGGCAGCGGCAATGGCAATGCATGGGCCAAGAAGTACCAGGCGTCACGGCGGTACTTTGCCATGGTCGACGACACGGGCGACTGGCCGCCAGACCTGTACTTGTACAACCAAAAGTTCGCGCAGACGCTCCACAAGATCAAGAGACGACATGACGGCGTGGTGACGACGATGGCGCAGGGCATCCTCGAGTACAAGCGCAAGCGCCAGCGGATGCAGATCGACAACACGATCCAGTCGTTCCTGGACCGCTTCTACATGTCGCGCATCGGGATCCGCATGCTCATCGGCCAGCACATCGCCCTAAGCGACCAGAACCACTATACTGACCCCAACTATGTCGGCATCATCTGCACCAAGACCAACGTCATGGAACTCGCCCAGGAGGCCATCGAGAACGCCCGCTTCGTCTGCGAGGACCACTACGGCCTGTTCGAGGCCCCCAAGATCCAGCTCGTGTGCAACCCGAACCTGAACTTCATGTACGTCCCGGGCCACTTGAGCCACATGCTCTTCGAGACCCTCAAGAACTCGCTGCGCGCCGTCGTCGAGGCCCACGGCCAGGATAAGCAGGAGTTCCCCGTCACCAAGGTCATCGTCGCCGAGGGTAAGGAGGACATCACCATCAAGATCTCCGACGAGGGCGGCGGCATCCCACGCAGCGCCATCCCCCTGGTCTGGACGTACATGTACACCACCGTTGACCGCACCCCGAGCCTCGATCCGGACTTCGACAAGAGCGACTTCAAGGCGCCTATGGCGGGGTTCGGATATGGCCTGCCCATCTCGAGACTATATGCTCGGTACTTTGGTGGCGATCTGAAATTGATCAGCATGGAAGGGTAAGTAAATGAACCCTCTGCTCTTCCCCAGAGGGATAAAGTTCATCGTGACGGCAAGGAGTGTGTGATGCTGGTGTGGGGGGCCCAGGGGTTGGAGATTGGATGATGAAAGGGCCAAGACAAAACCCAATGAATCAGGGCATGAATCAGAACTTGTCAAGGCTGAGACTGACCTTGTGACACACAACGACAGATATGGCACTGACGTCTACCTCCACCTGAACCGACTGTCGAGTTCCTCGGAACCTTTACAATAGCAATCAGCAGTCATGAGGGATGTTGTGAGGTCCCAGGGATTGACGTTGGGGATGAGGTATATACTGCACAAGAGGCTCAAGAGCCCACATGAGATGGAAGTGTCAGAGAGGCGACAGGTTGGTGACGCTGAGGACCTGGTCAAGCAGGGTGATCCAGGAACTGGCCAGTTTCGGGATCGTAATGCTGATCTTTAAAGAGAAGGCAGAGGGACCAAATGTTGGTTTTTTTTTTTCTTTCTATTTTGGGGCAGGGGGGTAAACCAGAGGATCAAGGGGCTCAAGTCATTTGTTGTTGGCTCTATTCTTCTCTGTGATGATGCACCACATGACCACTCGAGTGGGAGGTGTGATGTTGGAATTATGTTCAGAGCAAAGAAACAAAGAACCTCTCTTTGTGTTTGGACAGTCTTGTCCTACGTGCCAGGACACAGTGGGAAAGAGAGTTTGCCGGGGGGCGGGGAACTATGAAAAGCCTCTGGAACTTCGAGACATGATGGAAGGTCTCATGCAAGATGGTCACTTGAAAAGTTGTGTCCATCTCCCACTACAGGAAATTATTCCATGGGCAAGGGGAGACTTTGTTTTCAATGATAACCAAGGCATAACAGGCTTTACAACCGGAATGATTCAGGGAAAGGTGAAGCCCCAAGGTTTTGGGAAGGGTACAAAAACATTTTTGGTGCCTGGCCTGCGGAGGGAGGAGAGGAAAGGAGAGGGAAGGGGGGGGTTCCCTCCAAGATTCGGATGATGACTGCATAAAGTTTCAGTGGATTGTCTGTGTACAGGTCACAAAAGAGAGACAGGAGAGAAAAGAGGACAACCACAACAACTATTACTATTACTACTACTACTTGTTGGCCGAGGGACTGCCATCTAGTCTGTCCATCTTAGAGAAGGACCACAGACATAAACAAATAAATTACCTACAAGGACACAAACATTTCCTTCCTAGTGCAACCAATGAATGGGAAAACCTATATAGTGAGAAACTCATTTGGTAGTCTAGTCTAGTCTATAACCACTGTTGACATCCACGGAATCAAATCAGTCAGACAAGAAGAGAGAAACAGAGAGAGGCAACATTGGTGACAATGGCATTCATTCATTCGTTAGGTGTATGTATGGTGTACTTGCTCACGTGTATAAATGTGTAATAACTATGACTGTTCTTCCCACGATATGGTATCAATGCCCGATAAACCCTCTGCCTGCTCCAGTAACAGGGTGCTCCAAAAAACAGCAGTGCTCTAATATGTACTATGCTTCTTGTGCTTCTTTCTCTGCCTCATCTCCCCCCTTCTTCATGCCTTGTAGAGTGTATCCAGGAACCCTCTGGCCAGGTCCACTACAACTCCCTTATTGGGCAGGCTGCCCGCAACACCGTACAAGGCTGCTGAATCCCCTATCGCCTTGCCTTTAGCCCCCTTCCCCTCGACGACCCTCACCCTCTCCTTCTCCCTTTCGGCCTCGATGACCGCCTCCAGGTCGTCTGTGAGCTTCTCCCACACCTTCACGATGGGCATGGTCACGGCGACGTGCATGGCGGGCGGATCTTGGAGTGAGTTGAGGTGCCAGCCGCGGTGGGTCATCTCATCGGCGATGTCGTAGATGTTGAGGCTGCGCGCGGTGAAGGCCACGACGCTGACAAGCGGCTGGCCCATGATCTCCAGCTCGGCCGAGAGCACGGGCGACTCGCGTATGCGGTCGGCGATCTTCCTGGTCGTGCCGACGATCTTGACGCACGAGTTGAGATAGCCTTCCTCACCCACGCTCATAAGGCTTGTCCAGCAGCCCGCGATCAGCGCGCCGGGACGGGACCCCGCCAGACCAGGGGAGGCATACACGCCGCCTGCCCAGTCTGGACTGACAAAGTACTGATACGCGCGCAACTCCTCAGTACGGTAAAGACAGACGCTGTTGCCCTTAGGCGCAAAGCCGTACTTGTGAGTGTCGCACGAAATTGACGTCACGCCGCGCAGACGAAAGTCGAAGGGCGGCACCTCGAAGCCGGCCTTGTCCAGGAAGGGCATCAGGAAGGACCCCAGACAGCAGTCCACGTGCAGGGGGATGTTGCGCCGCAGGGCGATCCTCGAGAGCCCCTGGATGTCGTCTATGATGCCGTGAGGGAAGTTGGGCGCGCTGCCCACGATCAGAACTGTATTGGCGTTGACCAACCTGGCGACCCGGCGCGTGTCGACCTGGTACCTGGGCGCAGGGCAGGGCACCAGCTGCATCTTGATCTTGAAGTACTCGCATGCCTTGCGGAAGGCCGTGTGCGCAGTGTCGGGCAGAATCCTGCGGAAAGACAAGAGTTTATTCTGGTCAGCAACCCTAATTAAGAAAAGAGAAAATCCTCGCGAGGGTGCCCAAGGAAGGCTCTTACATCTCGGGCTCCGTGATGCCGCGCTCAGCAAAGGCCTTCTGCCTCGCGCTCAAGCAGGCCATCAGGATGCTCTCGGTGCCACCGCTCGTGGTCACGCCGGCCCCGTGTGTGGGCGCGTGGAACAGCGACAGCACCATGGCCACGACCTCTGCCTCCATCTTGCGCACGCCAGGGAAGACATCCGGGTGAATGGGATTGGCGACGGTGAACTTTCCATAAGCCTCGGTCTGCAGCTTCAGCAGGGCGTCCTCGCCGTGGTAGACAGCACCCGAAACGTAGCCATCCTCCCAGCGGGTGTGGTCCAGATCGGCCAGCCTGGCCAGCTCGGCGCGGAGGTCGTCGTCGGACCAGCCCTGCTTAGGCAGGGCCAGGTAGCGCTTCTCGCCAGTCTTGATGAGCTTGAGCTGCAGTTTTGCCTTGGCCTCGTCGACCTGGGCCTTCACTTTGCTGCGGACTCCAGGCGCCTGCAGCAGCCATCCGTACGATATGCGGCGCGCGTCCGTGTACAGCTCGACGACAGTGCCGATGAGCCCGCGGCCCTTGAGCTTCCAGAAGGAGCGGCGGGTCCACCTGAGGAGAAAGTAGAAGAAGATGATGTTCTTGAGCCTGCGTAGTCCAGTCAGTCAGTCAGTCAGTCCCATTCCAGTCAAGTCGCTGAAGTGGCCCACTCCCGGGTTCCGAGGTAAGTTTGCTTTTTGTCATCCGATTGTTGCGCCAAGCCAACTCAACTTACAGCTCAAGGTTCAGGAACTGCAACGAGCTGCCAGCCCGCGACTTCTTGACGTTCGTGATTCCATCACGCAGGCTGACAGGCATGCGCGAGCTGCCGGGCATCTTGTCTGTCTATCCTGAGGAATTTAAAGACGCTGTTGTTGTAACTGTACTGGGGAGAGGTAGAAGGAATTGGACGAGGAAGGCTAAGGCAAAGAGCAGTGACAATTTGTACACATGAAAAAGGTGGCAGCCGAACCCCTCGTTGAGGCTTGAGAGATATGGCCTGGCAGGAAAATAGAGAGAAAGAGAGAGCCACAAAAGAAGGGGAGAAGGAAATTGTAGAATGGTAACCTGAGAGGGAGGGAAAGATCACGAGCCAAAGTTCCAGGCAAAAAGAAAAGGTGGTGTACCGAATCGGCGGGCACATGGGAAAACGGAAACGCTACTTCTGATTTGACGTCTTGTAATGACGCGGGCAAGAGCGAAGGGCCCTTACCCCTCTCCGCGGGTTCCGTTCCGGCGCGATCAAAATCGCATGTGCTAGTACAATCAGCCATTAGTTACTTCTTTAATTATCTATGCTTGGTGCATGGTACTCTGGTACATCTCTTTTCTTTTATTTCAACGGCCGTTGTTAATGCCCGCGACTTCCTTGGCCCGATGGCACAGTATCTCGTGCACAGTCTTTTTCCCGCCCAGGGGTGTCAGCACGGCCTTCCGCGGGCGCGGTATCATTCTAGTTCACTTCTCTTAGTCGCCAGCTCCAGTCGCATCGGTACGGCTGATTGTCCATGTTTGTACATAGCATACGAAGACGAGGACGAGGATTTAGGACATGTCAGCTTTCAAGAATGATACGGAAAATAGTTTGTAGAAAGAGAAAGAGAGAGAAAATGAGAGAGAAGGGGAGGCGCGCAAATTTGCCGTTGTTCACCTGCTTGCTGCTGATGCAGGTCGCAGGCGCTCGCAATCGTTTCAGTCCTCACACAAACCCGTATTCGTACGGGTTGATGGAGGACCAATGGGGGCACATATCTTCAAACAAGGGATAGGAAGGATGGAGGAGAAGCGAGGGAAAGGCACGTGGGATGAAGGGGTAATGAAATTCCAGATCCACCAGAAGGAAGGGTGTGTAATGTTTCCCACGCGGAATAATCCATTCTCCCACTCATATCTCATTTAGACAGACATGACTGATGCTGTTGTTGTTCACCTCAAATCGTGTAGACCCCGAAATCGGCTGACAAGTACATGATATACCACCAAGATCACATTTTATGATTGCATTGTAGTACTAAGTCCTACAGAGTATAAAGGAGGGTATCGTGCAGCCGAGATATGAACGAAGAAAGAAGGAGAAAAAAACAGAAAGGGATGGGAAAATCCATCCATTTCTTCAGAGGAAGCTTCTTGCGACAATCACCATCAATCACCACTAAGCAGTACAGCAACTCGCAAATCAGCCAACTTTACACCCGCCTCATGGGATCATCCTCTCGTTCCTTTTGTACAAACGCCTCCTCCGTCTCCTTGACGCTCTCATCATGCGGCACCTGTGGCTTGTCCACGTGCCGCCAGAGAATGTACCTATGAATAAAGTAGACAAACTGCTCCAGGCCGTACAGAGCGTGTCTTTTCATCGGCACATTAAATACCGAGTCCAGCTCCTCCAGCGTCTTCTCCTTGGTTTCGGGCACAAAGAAGAGCACGAGGAAGAAGCCGATGATGTTCCACCCGGCATACCAACCAAACGCGCCTTGTGGCTTGAACGCTGACTGCATCGAGGGCCATGTCACAGATAGGACAAAGTTGAAGAACCAGGTCGTGGCGGTTGCCAGTGACATCCCGATGGGTCGAATGTACAGCGGGTAGGCCTCGGCGCTGTAGGTGAAGGGCACAGGACCCTCGCCAGGAGAATACACGACTCCTGCCAGCAACAGAATGGATCAGTCTCGAGGCCACATAATTCCGCCCGATGCCTTCCGTTCATAAGGTACTTACCAAAAAGATAGATTCCCAGGGCGATACAGGCGATTCGCGCGGTTGAGTCGGTGATCCAGAAACTGAATCCAGTGAATAACAGAAACACTGCCATTAGTGGGAACGTAGTCAGGAGCAAGTTACGCCGCCCGAAAGTGTCGATTGCTGACTCAAAGTGTTAGCAATGAGCTAGGCATGGAAACTGAACTTGGAAGGATTAGGGCGCTACTGACTGTAGATAGCTGGTATAGCAAACAGAAAGTTGACGATGCCAAAACCGAGAGACGCTGCCAGGGCAGACGTCTCGGTAAAGTTTGCATCCAAGAAGATTTCTGATGAGTAATACGCAATTACATTAACTCCGCAAAGCTGCTGCATGAACATCACGACCTCCGAGGCCAGCATAGCGTTCCTATTACGTCGAACGGTTAGGATCTCCTTGATGCGGCTGCTCTTGCCGATAGACATGGCTGCCCGCTCAGCTTCGAGGCCAACATGCATGTAGAAGAGGTCGCGGGCGGCTTGGATCTTGTGATGGCGGAGCCTGCAGATGGCCTTGTAGGCATCATCGTGTCTGTCCTTGGTCAAGTACCAGCGTGGGCTTTCCGGGTAGAAGGGGATCAGACAGCAGACGACGACAGCAGGAATCATGGCGCTCGACATCATGAGCCGCCAGTTCAGACCCAGGGCGATGCCACGGTCAGGGACCTGTACACACCATCCAGTCAGCATGTTTCGATGCTACCCCTGAGGTGTGCAAGGCAGCGAAAGACAGTGGCGGAATGGCAGTGAAGGAAGGACAGTGGGGGTATGGGAGCTGGAAGAACGGCAGATGGAAAAAGGGGAAATGGGAGAAAAGCAATTAGAGAAAAGGCAGATGGAAAGACAGGCAAAAGAGGAAGGACAGTGGAGGTATGAAAGGTGGAAGAAAGGCGGATGGAAAAAAGGGAAATGGAAAAAAGAGAGATGGAAAAAGAGAGATGGAAGAAAAGCAAATAGAGAAAAGGCAGATGGAAAGACAGGCAAAAAAAGAGGAAGGACAGTGAAGGAAATGGTAGTCAAGACAGGACAGTGAAGGAAGGGCAGTGAAGGGAAAACTGCTCACAAAGTAGAAAGCGAGGTCGGCAACATAACCCATCATAATTCCGAACGCTGTCCACATCTGCCACTGCATCACCAGAGCTCCTCGTGTCTTGGGCGGAGCGCATTCGGCAGCAAACATGGCTTCAAAGTATTAGCATTCTGTACGCTCACACAGAAAATCTCTACTTGTGGTTGGAGAGTTGGAGCAGTAGTACTCACGAGTCGTAGCAGACTTGGGTCCAATTCCGAGACCCAGGCAGAAACGGGCGATGAACATATGGTACCAGGTATCTGAGGGAGTAAAGAACATCAGCACCAGCACGCAAAGCATAAAGACAAGAGACTCTCAGGCCTTTCCTCTTACTTGTAAAGCCCTGCCACAGACAGGCCAGAGCTGAGATGATGCAAGCAACAAAGACGGTCCCGCGACGGCCGAGTTTCGCATTCATAGGCTCAGTAAGCCAGCAACCGATGAAGGCGCAACACAGGTACGGGGCGCTGTTGAGCAGTCCCAACAGCCAAGTGTCACGCTGCGAAGTCGAATCACCGATGCCGAACTGGGTCTTGTAGAAGCTCTGCGCACCGTTGACGACTGTTTCGTCCATTCCCTGCACGGCAGCACAGAGGGCCTGGAGTGATAGAGAAGGAGGGTCAGCATACTGCACAGCTTTCCCACGGTGATGGGCTCAGTACTTACACAAACGACAACCACCCCCACGAGTGTCTTTGGTAGACTCTTGTATTTGTGATCACGCTCGAGTTCGAGGCCTGCTATCTCTTCGGCTGTGAGACCCGAGATATCATCCCATTGGAAGTCGTTCCCAGCGATCAGGGCCCCAAGTTTGAACACCCTCTAGTATGGCGTGTTGTCAGTGAATCGCTACTATCGGACTCCCAGGTACCGCGAACAGACTCTGAGCAGGAAAAGAGCGTACCCGGTCTTCCTCGTTATCAAACCCATGGCGGTCGCAGTAATCTTCAGACATGCGTATCAGGTCTTTCTCGCAGACTTCTGCAAGTGGATTCTCTGCCTTGGCAGAGGCACGACGGCGGTCCGCAAGACCATCGCCCGCAGCGTTGGTGGGTGATGAGGCTGCAGGAGAGCCAACACGATCCAGATGCTCAATGTCGGGCTTGGAGCCGGCCGAGGACGACCGGTGGCGTTTCTCGTCGGCCATGGTGAGCAACGCCTACCGTGAAGGAGAGCTCGTTCGTAGTAAGTATATAGGACGAGGGAAATAGATTATTCGTATAGGGCCTAGCTGGTCAAAAGGTGGTGTTCCCTTAGGCTGTGCCGGTCTGGCTATGCTGGCGCCGAGATCCGTCGAAGCTTGCCCCAAGACCACAAGAGGAGTCCCAAGTCACTTAAACCTTCAAGATCACGGGGGGTAGTCAGGCACATAAGAAATGCCGTCTTGGATCTCAGGGAAAAGCAAGACAGACAAGGAGGGAGGAGGGGATGAGTATTTATCTACTTGCCGAAAACCTTACCTCTGCCATCCTCTCAAGGTTGGCTGGCCAGCCCATCCGCTATGGTAAGAATTATCAATGATCCAAGCCACAGAGGCAGGACGCTTAGGAAAAGCCTCTGTCAGCTTAACCACACACATGCTGTCTGCGTATGGGCAACGCGGGGCAGATTGGGGTCGATCCCGGATGCATGCTCTTGTCGATCTCGAAAGAACACTGCCACTACAGCGAAGAAACCTCGAGGCACCCACGATGATCAACTCGGGGTGTCCGGTGTGCCTCGTGTCCAGTGCCTCCCTGTCGAGGTGGTCAAGGGCTGATCTCTGTGCAACGAGCAGTCGAGATATCGCGTCTCTCCAACGGCCACTACAGTGTTTACCCCGCGATCCCATGATATCAGAGCCTTCTATGTGTGGCCCAGCAGGACGAAGGATCTGTTTCCCGGGCCCTACGACGTCATTGCGCCTATTGGAGGGGTGGTGGCCAAGCCCTACAGAGGGAAGGAGGATGGCTAAGAGACGTGAGTCGACAGCATGGGAAGCTCTCTCTTCTGGAAGTGATAAATGACAAGAACGATAGGAGGATTACTTGCACACGCAACCTTTAATCCCTCCTCTCTTTCTCCTCTCGACCAGTGCGGTCTGATCGGCGGGGTGTTGGATGATGTTTCCCAAGGTGCCCTTGGTGGTGGTGACGTTACGACAGTGGTTTGCCAACAAGGGGTTGATCGAGCGCTGAAGGGTCCAAAAGCAGGGGTACAGTAGTCGAATCCACCCCCGCAAAAGGCTAAATTAGCGCCTCGACCAGAGGGACGACAGGCTGGGGTACAGTGATGGAGTGACCCAACAGAGCCAGGTAAAAACCTTTTCTCCAAGAAATCAGTGTGATGAGAATTGCTTCCATTGAAGGTGGTGCATTCCAGAAGAAAAGTAGAAAAGGAGGAAGCCAGACAAGCCTACGCTACTAACTGAGGCAATCCAGGCACGCACGGGCCAGCGAGTTACGAGGCCCTCGAGACAGTCACTACCCCTTCCACAGTTACCGCCTCTCGACAATTAATACCTAGTAAGCACTCACGGACTGATCAGATGGTTGTAAATAATAATATAGTCAACCAGTCCCTACACATTCACCTCAAAAAAAAAAAAATAAGAAAGAGAGAGAGGGGGGGGGTGGAAAAACTGAGCCTGTTGACCAGTACTCAGTCCGTCCTACAGAGCAGCACAATACTAGTGATGATGGGCAGGAACAGTCCTTGGGTAAAAGCAATCGAGAACAATGATATGGGGCAGCGTGTCTGATCTACTACCCAAAAGCATCTGACATTCGTAGCATGGCTAGTCATACACCTACAATGAGCCGAACCTTTGACCTGCTGGCCTCATTGGGGTTCCAGACATATGTTTATATTTCACTAATATCAATTGTCGAAAAGTCGTCATTCTGCTCAATGTCCCTTCGTCTGTCAATGAAACGGCCTGGGCTTCTACCAAATAATACTCACACATCTGGCACGGGAATCTCAGATCTTCCCATTCATCAAGAGAGTCGTGTGCCAAAATGATAATCGACCGATCCCACCTTCAAGCTGATTCACAGTACTGGCCCTGGCTCAGTCAGTCACACATAGGTGGACATTAGTATAGGGCAAAGAGACCAGAGAAGCCAAAGTACAGCCTCGCCGTATTCGAGATGCCCGTGCCAATGACATCACTCACACATCCACCACTCGAAGGTGGTCATCACAAACCCTTCCAAGCCTGACTTGGATGCCCCGAAGGATTCCTGCACAGCGGGTAAGACAAGCAGGAGGATGGGCAGAATCCTGCCGATCCGTTTCACACTATCCACGTAGCATAGCACCTTCAGGTACTCAGTAAGGGTCTCAAGTCAAGACAGTCAAAGAGTATAACAACAGCCCCCAAACGAGATCAGCAAGGACGAATGGGTGAACCGCCAATGGTGCCTTGGAAGTGCCAAAGCCATTCATCCATCGGTTTCGCCGGACTTGATTCGCAGAGCGAAGACGCAAGTACCTGCTCGCTCCCTGTTTAGTGGACCAGAGACCGCCGTCTGTTGTCTCATCATGACTGCGTTCCATCGTAGTGGTGTTGAGGATATCCCTGGTCGTACTGTTCAGCATAATCTCCTCCCGCTGGTATACATTGACCGCCTTGTCGATATGAAACAGATCTCCCCCTACTCTGTAAAATGTCCCTTTTTGGGGCAACTACTCGCTTTGAAAGACCAAGTCTCGGGCGCACTGCCGCCATGACCGGCTTACCTGACGTGGGATGCCAAGCTTCTTCTGTGCGACCACGCCCGAAGGCCGTGGTCCTGTCTATAGAAAAGATCTCGATGACATTTGTGAATCTCAGGTCCCCGCCGTTTATCATAGCTGACGACTGGACGCGATACCTGTCTTGTTGCGTTGAAAATGTTTGGCAGGAAAGACATGAACTTTCGTATTTCGACATTACTAGCCTTGCGCAGTTATTACTGATTGCTCCATCCAGTTCCTCTGGCTACTCCTCCTCATATCGACCATTGATACAAATATTTGGGGACCAAAGAAAATAGAGCAAGAGAAAGAAGAAAAAAAAAGAGGAGAAAGGGGAGGTGAGGTGATTTCCACCAGATGCTATATGAAAAGTCCTTAATTTTGCAAGACTCTTCATGACCGGGATTCCTCTTTAGCTTTCATCGTCCCATATCATAATCATAAAGCGTACAATCGTTACTGCATGCACAATCCTGCGGGTGTCAAACAAATGAAAAGTACATAACATGATTATGAGATCCCACCCCTTTGCTCAGTTCGCGGAATGATGCCTAGAATCTCTCTTCGTAGCCGTAGTAGGAGTACCTCCAAGTACCGCCGTGCTCTTGAGGTATTCGTCCCACGTCGGGCCTTTTGTGTCAGGAAGCAACATGCTCCTCCTCTTTGACGACCTGCTCGTGCCGCCGCTGCCACTGCCACTTCCATCATGGTCGCTCTTGTACCTCGATGCAGACTCGTCCAGGCTGGGCCGTTTGTCCCGGTACTGCTGACTGGGATACTCAGCGTTCTTCGCATCCCGCAGGCCTTTCCCGACAACAGCCTGGGGCGACACGGCCAGGTTCTGAGCACTCCCGATCGGCACTGAAACTCCGACCACAGCGTTTTCTGCTGCTGCTGCTAAGGCGGATGCGCCCGCCGACCCATGGAACCGCTCGCCGCCACCGCCATGGTCGCTGCTGCGATCGAGACCAGACGGCGTCGAATGGCTGTAAGGGTTCCGCTGAGGGCTACGATTCTTCCTGGCCGACGCCACCGACGAGGTCCGGCCGAGGGAGGCTGTAGGTGCTGCCGCTCCCCAGGCTTCCCTAATCGGGGTGCTGCGGCCATTGATGTCGACTGATGTTGGACGTGTTGCCTTGTGCGGCGTCGGTAGCGGTGGCATGGGGTTGCGGCGACTTCGATCTTCTGGGTCGCGGTCTCCTCGGGAGCTGTTGGCTGTCGTTGACGGCGTTGTCGTCGTCGAGGCCCTCCGATCCTTATGAGAGCTATTGTTGTTGTTGTTGCTGCTGCTGCTGCTTGGCTCCCCCCCTTGAGCCTCCCTGGCCGTTGACTCCGGAACGTATCGTGCGTGACTGACGACGCCTGTCGCGTTCATCGAAGCGCGTTTGTCTGAGGCCGCTGTGACGATGATGGGCGCCGGTCGTCCAGCACCAACAGTAGTAGCTCCTTTCGACTGCGATGCAGAAGAGCCCTCGATATCCGACTTGAAGTCATTCATTGCCTCGTCCACGAGCCGTCTTGTCTTTCGCGATGCCTGGTCGGGAAACAGATACCGTGAGATCTGCTTGGGGAGCCTCTCGGCCTTGCCGTCCAGGAGGCTGTCGGCTTCAAGAGGCAAGGCAGAGACGACCTTGTCCAGACGCTTGGCTTCCTCGTCTGGGTAAGCCTGGATCATTGTGGTGAGCCAGTGTACGAATCCCTGCGGTGTCAGGCCCGGTATGGTCGGGAGCGACTTGCCATCCGCCTGCACGAGGAAGTACTGGCACCCGAGATCCATGTACAGTCTTCCCAGCGCCTCGTTGAGATCACTGGACCTGCGCGACCCGAAGAGGTTTGCAAACGGGAAGCATTCTTTCTCGAGGCGGTGGTGCGAGTAGAAGGCCGCCATCTTCTCCGGTATGATGACTATACTCTTCTGAGGTATGAACTCTTCGACGATGTAGTTGGCCAGACCGCGAACCACATGCTCCATGCGCTTGGTGTGAGAGCCATCCTTCTCAAAGAGCACACCCCACTTCTTGTCAATCGTCGTAAGTTCCGGGCCTGCACGGACAGGAGGCTTGCGAGTCTCTTCAGAGGAATATGGGTCGGGGACGGCTGGTTTTGTCTCATCGCTGAAGCGGACGGTCGATGATTTTGGAGTGGTTCTTTGCTGCTGCCCAGTCGTCGGCGACGGCGTTGAGCTCGGCCTTTTCTCGATGGTAGTCTTAGGCGGATACGACGAGAAAACTACCCCCTCTGTGTTCACGAAGGGCTTGATAGGAGATGATGGCCTCTCCCTCGCGGCTGGCGGTCGTGGGGTATGGTCTTCGTCTTCGTCTCGTGGGTCTTTCACAGCCTCCTTGCTCAGCTGCTCGAACTCCTCTCGAATGATCTTCCGCAGTTCCTTTAGCAGCTCCGGAGACACTGAGTTCCCGGAAGCCTGGGTCTTGGCTGCCCCGGTGGCAGTGTACTTCGTTGCTTCGGTCAGCCAGGCTGGGTCGGATATTTTTGGCGCTGTGTCACAATGAAGACTGGCCTTCACAGCCCTCGTGTGACCCTCCGCCGCCTTCTTCTTCGTCTCGTCTGCCCGCCCATTATCAAGAGGGATCTCGCCTTGCGATCGCGGCGACACATCTTCAGGGGACTCGGTTATCCAGGCTTGAGGATGAGAAGTCGCGTCCCAGTCCGTGGGGGTCAGGCTTGGTCGCCTCACACCTTCCTTGGGTTGGCTCGATTCATTGTCGTTTGCTCTCCACATTCTCTAATCTGCTTCTTGAGGGTTGGAATTGGTATACAAATTGGACTACGCACACATCATGTGTTTGCAATGGGGAACGATGCGCTTAAGCAGCTAACATAAGAACGAGCAGTCTTGAGAATGATTCGAGATAGTAGGGCCTTGATGAGCAGGAAGGAGGGGACTATGCCAAGGCGAGCACAGAATAAGATTATGCAACCATGACAGAGGATGTCTTGAACACACGAGATATCATAGAAAAGGACATGCGAGACGAAGTCAATATGATTTGTTGCCCAGCCCGTGATGACTGACTGGGACACAAAGGAGCCTAATTTGTGGGGGTCAATCAATATCTGGAACCAGCGCGAGATCTTCGGAATATATGAGTTGTCCTGGCCCAGGGCACATGGCTAGCCCGACCTACTTTGTCAGTGTATGCGTGTGTGTGTATACGCAGTCCCATCATGGTTGTGAGCCTCATACAGGTCGGGCGTTGACCGCCGCCGCCACCCGCCCACCACCACCACCACCTCCCAACGTCATCCAGCGCGGGAGGGACCACCCTTGCTGATCAGGCCTCAACACACACACTTAGACCCCACCCTGAGGCCTCGACAACACGACGCCAGATGCTGAGGAGTGTTGCACTACACAATTCCAGGTCATCGCCGTGGAATCGTATGGATTCTGATTATCGAGGACTGTCGATCCTCGCGGGCGAGCGCATGAGAACGCCTGATCATTGCAGTGGCTTGATTAAGGTTCATGCCGGCAACTAGCTGTGGCAATATAGGCCTCCTCTCTTGTCGCGATACACAGCAGCAGCAGATACACTCATGCCCACCAGGTCCCTGCGGTCGCTACCAGCGAACACCAACGACGGACGGCATTCCTGACACAAAGCCCAAATACACGACTCCGTAAGGGACATGAGCTGCTCGAGATCTGTCAGCTTCCCTCACCAGGGAGACTGAATGATCTGCAACCGTGTTGGGTGCTCAGGAGAGCAGACATAACAAAGCATGTAACGATCTTGGACACTGATAGAAAGCATGTAAATAACCCTTTCTGAATTCAACGCCATCTACCTGCCGGAAAAAATGGGACCGATACCTTCCACTAGAGGGGGAAATGAAATGTACCAAGTTGTTCAGCTAGAAGAAACTGCTTCCTGTCTGAAATACCCACTCCGTTGACTCCAGTAATTGACTAATACGCAAGGCATGTCGCCTCGAGACTTCGCCAGCCGAGCCACTTCCCAAACCGGCCGCAGTCGAGGACCAAAAAAGAAACCAGGAGTCAGCGTATTCCTCTTGTGATCTGTCACGCTGTGCAAGAGCTTAAGCCTCATCCTCACTGTCGTCGGAGAAGTAGACACGTGGGCGTGCGCCCTCGGCCGGCTGGTTCACCAAGTAGCTGGGTGGATCAGGGACCATGCGGCGATTGTCGAACTTGACAAATCCGCCGCGACGGGAGACGCCCTTGATAGAAGGGACGCCGGAGGTGTTATCACTGTTGCTGATAAGGGTCTGAGTCCGCTTGTGAATCTCGCCATTGTGACCATACGCCGTGTAGATTGGCTGGCGCGGCTGCTGGTGGTAGGAGCTGCTGGTGACCATAGGGGTAGAAGGAGTGGAGGACGGATTGTAGGCTGGAGAGGAATGGCCGACGCTCTGGTGGCGATCGTTGTGGGTCTCGAGGGCGGTAGACGTGAGGATGTGGTTATAGCCGCACTCAGTAGTGTTCGAGGTGCTGTCGTTGATGCTCATGGACGCCAAGTCGTCCTCAAAATCCTCCTCTTTGGTCTTGTCAAGCTTCTCGGCGTCCTGGAGGCCATAGCGTCCGTAGTCTTGCTCGTCGGGAGCGCGGGGGGCACCAGGAGCAGGGAGCGGTTCGGTGCCAGCCATGTCGGCTTCCGTCCAAGCAATGCAATCGCGGCAGCGGCGAGAACGGTTGGAGGCTTTGCGGGATGCGTTGCTGAACTCAGAGAGAGGCTTGTACTCGTCACAGTCGTCACATTTAAGCTCAGTAGCGGTGCCCTGGATGTGCTTGCGGCATCTCAGCTGGGCAGGGCGACCGGCCCGCTTGGCATCACGATACTTGTTGAGCTGGTTCTGAGAGAACTGATCCAGGCGCTCGAACTTGTTATCGACTGTGCAACGAAGCCTGAGACAGTGCAACTGTCAGCGTATGTCTTGACTTCGAAGGAAAAAGAAAGAAAGAAAAAAGGCGAAAGCCTGTCAGCCTTACATCTGTTTGGTTCCAGCTGTGACAACGAAGTCGTTGATGTCGTCGGTGCAGGAGCCCGGCATCTTGACGTTTTTCGTTCGCTGAGAGCTGAAAAGACTGCTGGTCTAAAAAATGAAGGCAATCTTCCTGGCCTTTATAGGATAGAAGAGGCCCCAGCACTCTGTTAGCAGGGAGTGCTGCCAGGGGAACTGCAGCAGGCAAACAGAGGAGCTTAAAACGTGAAAGGGAAAGAGGATTGGATTCGATTGGGAGGACTTGACAGACTGATCAGTGCCAAAGGAAGATGATGAGGTAGAGGTAAGAGTGCTGACTGCCTCAACACTCAGTGACACAAAGTTCAAAGAAGTAAGGCATCAGATGAAGGAAGGGAAAGTTGAGCCTCGGGCGAAGCCAGCAAGATTGCCAGCAACTTTCCCAATGTGAAGGAAGGGGCACTGATAGAGGGGAAAGACTTACCTGGAAAGAGCTCCACTCTCGTATGTATCGTTGCCTTTGAAATTGCAGCTGCCCCTGTTAAGTTGCTGGAAGAAAGCAGCTCAGTGATGTCTCTCAGCTCACAGAATGTTGGAAGTCTCTGGGCAGAGGCTTGAATGGTGAATGATAGACTTGTCTGTTTGGCAACTGTTAGTGAGAGACAACAACAATTGGGAAGAAAGTCCAGAAACAGAGCTTAAATCAGACTGTTGAAGGGGCAAGATACAGAAAAGTTTTCTTCCTTTTCTTCTTTGGTATTGTATTTATCGTGGGGACAGACAATAGATGCATGTGACTCACCCAAGCAAGCGTCAAATTGTCGATGGTACAGATCTGCCAGCTGTAGAGTATTGCAGGAGCTGCCGCAAGCTGGAGCGATACCTGAATGTTCTGATCAAGGGGGCGCTGAGGGTATCTAGTTCATTGCAATAGCATTCAACACACAATCACATGCTACCTATGGGTGGCATTACATGTGATACTGCCATGGGTTGGTCTAATGGTGCGAGAGCACCAGCAAACAGGCAGACATAGGAGATGGTGAAGCAAGCAGGCAAAGAATCTGGGTAACATATCGAGAGAATGCACGGTGACCAAGTGCCATGGCTTTATTGCCTAGACCTTACTTTCTCTACTGACAGTTTGAGTCTCTCAGAAAGAGGTGATTCACATATTCAGCAATCAGGCAAGCACTCTTGCAGAGAGGATTCTTGGATCCTGTTGAAGGGGTGAAGCTTAGACTGGCAGAATGCCCCAGCTTGGATCGTTTTCCGTTTCCCCTCTCCGTTCCTCTCAGCGAGCGACTCTTGACGTTCAAGCAGCCGCGCTAGATGATCTTCCTGCTTAACTCGCAATTTGCATCGGTGGCCGCCTGGGTCCAGAGCCTGTCCCTCTCACCCAGATGTCCCATCTCAGGAAACACAAAAGACCACGAGCAGTGTCCTTGCCTGCTGTCCCAACATCCAGGACCATTGCCTCCCTCCTCCATAATGAGAGGAAGCAGTCCTTGCAGATGACATCCCATCCTCTCCTCATATCAGATCATGACTGTCGAGACACATAACCACATCTCCATACTTAGGTGGAGACTGCAAAATCGCCAACTGTGTTTCTGCCAGCGACGGCTAACTTTGCCACAGGGGTCCGAGAGATTCCATGCTGCCAAGAGCACGTTGCGAGCTGTCACGCTTGTGGCGCTCCTAAGGAGATAAAAACGAGGGAGAAGACGCATACCTACAGTTCAGGGAAGAGATCAGCTTGCTGTTGCCTTGCTTGCAACTTGTGAACACCAGCCTTGGCACGCCAGATGACAGAGCGTTGAAGAACGAAAAGGCGCCCTGGCAACCGCGTCGACGAGGGTCGTCCTTACTAGCAGACATCGCTCAACGGTCACGGGACCACATTCGACCATGATCTGTTCCCGTATTCGATCCACTGTAGGGCCTTCCTCGATCCTCAGCGGAGACGAAATCGACATTCTCAAAGTCTCGAGGTACATGCGGTATTCTTGTACATGGGCTTCTCCACTCCGGCCTCACCCTGTACTGTCATGAGCTATTCACCAATGCGATCAGGATGTCCCAATGGGGGCATCAAGGGCGGACCCACTTGGGAGAGATGCAAGATGCCCCTATCGTCGCCACGTGGAATGGGGATTGTCAAGTCGGTGAGCGCGCAAGAACACCCTTTGGGGGCTGGGCTCGGCCGGGGGTCCCCATTCTTCACTGACCGCCCTACACGCCGGCCTTGTGCGCAAGGCGGTCAGGGGGGGAGGAAGCTCCCGGCTGTGTTGCCGAGCAGACTACTGCAGATCTGGTGTGATTGAGGTGTCCAAAAAGACAAAATGGTTAAGAAAGGCCGCAGTCGCAGTCCAGCCACCAACATTACGAGGCCTTCCAGCGATCGGTTTGTTGTTTGGCGGCGCAAGTCGCGGCTTTCCAAGCCAACCACGGTCTGCTGACGAATCTGCTGGCACAAGATACTGCAGCGCCAGCGAAGATTGCGGGTCTCCATGGACGAAAGAGGCAAAGACCGTATGACTCCCCTCTGCAAAGACTGTTCGACGACGGGCCGCGGCTGTCGTTTTACCATACTGTACATGGTAGAATTCCAACGGGCAACGCCCGGGGAAGCGCGGTGCGACCGAGATTTTCAGACGCCGAAAACGAGCCAAGCGCGATGGGTCGCTCAGGGTCGGAATGCCCCCCGACCATCAACTAACAGGCCCGGAATGATTCAGGCTGGGGCCGGCTCCCCCCCCTTTTTTTTTCCCTCTTATTTTTTGTTCTCTCTTCCCTCCTAGCTCATGTCCAAGGGTGGGCGCGTTCTTCTCTTTCCGAGCGACTGAACGACATGGTTATTGATTGACTTGCTGAACTTTCTTTCTACCGAGTGCCCAGACACCAAATCATCACATGGCATGAGTCAGTTCGATTGGTTCTTGGGCTAACATGCGACGAGTAATCTTGATGTGGAGTATAAACCTCTGGGCAATGGCTGTCCTGCCCTGTATGTTAGATTTGGCGCCCCGAGGGTGCACTGAGATGAGACAGACTTTGGTGGTTGTGAGGTAGCCAATGTCCGGCGAGACGACACACCAGCGGTCTCGTCCCCTGATCTTACCATTGGCCGGCGTTGCAACCCGACGAGGACGGGCATCTGAGCGACGAGAGATGAACGATATGGAGGTAGAATCATCTCGTGAAGGACAGGCGACTGCAGAGAAGTGCGAGATGGCCAGCACTGGACTTAAATGGACGATCAGGCGGCCCAAGCTTTTTGATACGCACCAATCTTGTTCACTGCCTGATGTTCTGTGGATTTGCATGGACAGCGCATCATGACAGACCGACTGCGACCTCCGGACTTGCTACATAGTACAGACAGGAGCGCTGACGTTACCTTGCCACTACCTGGATTTTCTAATGAAGACAGGACGTATTCGTGATACCAGGTGGACGGACGTTGGGTGGTTTCTTTGCAGACGGACATTATGGTAGCATCTCCAGGAGCCCCGCCCTAGCTGTCATGAGGAACTATGGTAGCGGCCACGAGGCGGGCAATCTGGCATGGTGGAACTCCTGTGGCTTAACACCCATGGCTCATCGTCTTCACAGGCCCAATCGAGATTTCGTTTCGCCAGCGACGAGATTAGCAATGAGGATCCTACCAGCCCCCTCTCGCTCATTACCGACGAAGCCCCCTCAAACCATTTACCCTCCATATGCTACCCAGTACGTGCCAACCAGCCAGGCAGACGGACACCCGACCTCGACAACGTTCTCTGCACTCTTCTCGGTTCTGTCCCTGTTCTTCGACATCTCCGTGCCCCGCCCCCGTTTCAACCGGGGCGCTTCGTCTCAACTTGATGTGGGCAAATCTCAAGCGTCTTGACCTGGACGTTCGAGAAAAATTCCTGCGCGACCAGCCCTGTGGAATACCGCGGGTAAGAAATGCCGAGGCCAATATTCTGCGTAGTAGACCGCGTGGTCTGCCTGTTAATAGACGTCTCGTCTCTTCCCGGCTGACCTGAACAAGAAATGGTTCTGTGGAGTTTCGGAACCAAACTTTGCAACCCGCGTCCCGCGGCCATGGCTTTTTTGTCCGCTGGTGAGTAGCAGGGCTGACAGGTTTCCCCTCCAACGTCCCAAGACACACCACATCTGTACCCTCGCGCGCCATCTTATCCCCCTGGCCTTGCTTAGCGGACCCGAAGCCACCGTTCGAGCGACCGTTTTGGGGATGGGCACCTCGACCCAGGAGCTTACCATCACTAAAAGAGGAAGCAGTCCTATCCTGTTTTCTGCAGGCACGATGAGCTGGCATCTGCGACTGGCAAGAGATCGACCTGTCGAAAGCCGTGGAGCTATCGCCATGTCCTCTGGGTTCGTCCTGTATCTGCTTTGTTGAATATGACGAATCGCTTCCTGTGGAGGGAGAGAGGGGCTGGGGGTCCAGCCACGCGTACTGCTCTGCCCGGTCTCCTTCATGCATGAATGATGTCGCAGGCTCACGATCCTCGGCGCCTTGAGAGGGCGGAGACACAGAGAGAGACCAGTCAAAGCGTCCACACCGGCTGCGAGATACGGACAGCCCACGACCAACCAGCCAGTCCTCTTTCAGCGGCGCGATTCCTCCAGATGTCGTCAGGCCCATCTCGTGCTCCCATTCCCCTGATCTCACTTGTGGGACTTTGCCTGTCTGTGAACGGTAGTGGCTGACCAATGGCTTGAAAATCTCAGACCTAGTCCACGGCGACGAGTCTCGCGTCTCATCAGGAGAGAGGACACCACACGGGCATACACGGCATATTACACATAGAGATTGCATTTGTATAGATACACGAGCCTTCACAGCGGAGCCCTGCCATCACACATGCGACGATCGTCTGGATGCCCAAGGTGGCTGGCCACGCAGCGGTTGAGCGAGGACCACCAGCTTGGCACAGGGCGCCCACTTCCTTGACCACTACTACGGTAGGACTGGTGGGCCACGCCCGGAACGGATCGCGTCTTTTATGCACCCCTGGCTTTAGCTTTGTTAGTACACAACAAGGTGACGAGCTGCGCGGTGCTGCCGTGTACGTACTACAGTAGTGGCCATGCTAAGTAGATGGTTAGCATGGGCTTGCAGGAAAGCTTGATCCACGACTAGTGAGACGGTGGTTGAGAACGTGTGCTAGAGGCGCCCAAGAGTCAGGGCCCGGGCCCAGGGCCATGGACACTGTGACTGCACTGCCCCCTGTCATCGCTCGGGGTACTTCTCGCCCCCTGTAACCACGGGCTCAGTACCCCTACTATTCTGGTACACGCTCCCTGTGAAATGCGATCACATTCTCCTGGCAGGTCGTGCTAATTCATAACCCTCGCACACACACAAAACATTATGCATCGAATGGTCGATCGTGATCACCGGGACGACCTTTCTCTTTATGGTGCCAATCAGGTAGCGTGTCTGCCTTTTGTCTTCAGGCTATAGTGCATGGCTTTATTCTCCTGGGCGGGCCCCCCTCAAGCGGCCTGCTGGCATGAACGGCGATCCAAGGCATGCTAGGTACTACAGCAAGGTACACAGAACACACACACACACACACACACACTGAGCCATGCTGAGGTGACGGCCAGGGTTTCGGCTGACAAAGTTACCGTGCCGCCTCGTTCACTACAATATAGAGCTAATATACTTTGGTACATAGAACTATGGTAGTACCACTATTGATTGTAAGTATCATCATAGTGGTATGATATGGACGCGGTACACAGTATGTAAGCACATACTAGTAGGCCCAGTAGGCCCTAGCTGTCTAGACGCTGCAGGCACATTGACACGCCAATACACGATCTTCCCTGCTTTCGCGCCCTCTTCAACAGCTCAGCCGACCCAGTGAGAAGCAGTCACTCAGGCACTGTCTCGTTGACCAGAAACAGGTCCCACTCCCACTCCTCCTCAGGGTCAAAGTGAGTTTTTAGTTGCCCAGTCACTTTCCATTCCACTCATTCTCACTCTCACCCTCATTCCCACCACTCCGTTCCACTCCACTGCCCACTTTCCCTCCCGCTGTTTAAACACACACTCATGTTCAGCTCACCCCCTTGCTAGCTGGCAGTCATGCTTGTCAGACCCGTTTGTTCCTTCCCTCCCTCTCTCATCTGTCTACACGGGGAATCAACCCTTGGAGCTCGAGTCTCTCTCCTTCTCCCTCCCCCTCCCTCTCTCTTCTGCAACTTGGCTGTGGACCTCACTTTCTGCCCATGGCATTAGAGTTATGCTGTGACAAAAAGTCTCGTCAGCAGCCGTAATTGTGCTGTGCTTCTCGTCCTCTCGTTCGCCCCCCCCCTCTCTTCTTCCCGCCCCTGTTTTCGCCCCCCTTCCTTCTTTCTATTTGCCATTACCTCTCTCGCTCGTCTCATCGACTCGAACGACACATATCGCTTCTTCTGCTGGATCAAGCCATTATCAACCAACAAATAGTACCGAGATGTCATAATAATCGCCAGTTGCTCGCCTGAGTGTGCGACGTCCACCTTCAGTCCGACCAGGGTCGAGCTCAACCAGGTGGGCCCACAAGCACAACCCCATCTTTATCACCGTTTTTCTCTTCAGTTTTTCCCGGAAGTCTATTTCTCTGTAACTATCTCTCTCCTTCCCCTTCACGGGGCGCTCATTCGCAGTACCGGCATCACTGTGTTACGTATCCAGCCCACCGCCTTGCGTGCGAAGGACACCACAGGCACGCAGCACTGCTGTGCCGAGAAACAAGCATCCAACAAGCCACCGACACCACTACGCCATTTTAAAAAGATTAAGAAAAAAATAATAAAACCCAAAAAAAAACCGGGGGGCCCCAAAGCCAACGCGCGAACCCTGGCCAAGAAGGAGAACAACCCCGGTCCTGAGCGCAAATTGGACTCTCAAAGAAACGCTGTTGCCCGGATCGTTAGCGAGATTTGCTCCCCTATCAATCATCGACATTGATTGATCTGAACCGGCAGAGCAGGTCCAGGTCCAGGGACCAGTACAACCCCCTCCCCCCCCGTTCACCTTGGGACACTGTTGACCGTCGACCCGTCGACAGACCACCCCAGCTGCATCCATTCATGCTAAGTACCGGGTCTCGCTGCGCCCAAGGCTCGGCTCCACGGGTCCTCAGTGCTCAGTTCCCAGGCCCCGTTCTCTTTGTCCTCTCCTCGCGGTACGACGGAAGATACGGTTCCCCCTGCTGCACCTCCTGTTCATCAGTCTCCAGGGCTCCCACGTTCACCAACTCGCACCCACGTCCCTGGTCCGGATCGTCGTCCGCGTACTGAGTAGCAAAAGCAGAGCAGAGCAGAGCCGGACAGGGCAACAGATCTCTCTGTGTCTGTCTGTGCATGGGCTGGGTTCGTCAGTGCCTATCCTCCTCGTTGCGGGTCCTCCTGTCTGTCCACTTTGTCACCAGCCCAACCCGCAATTCCGCAGCTGGTCCTTGTCTGCTACTGTCTTGGGTTTCTGCCCACCCTCTCTCTCTCTCTTCCCGTCTCTCCGGCGCCCGCGTCTTTCTCACCTATCCTGCGACAAAACGACCATCCCCTAAAACAACCACCACCACCAGCAGTTGGCGCTTCAAGACTAAGCCTGTTCAGTTTCGAGCTGTTGAATCTACGCTCTCTCTGTCCTTGGTTTTTTCGAAAACATCACATTGTTCTTCATCATCATCATCAAATCCCCTCTCAGTCATACCCTTTGACGGTGCAACAGCATCACTCATTGGCGTCGGGAGATCAGGGCACATTATTTGATTAGGGTCGGGTCCATTTCTAATAATTGCATCTTGACGCTAAGCACCGAGGTCACTACGTGATCCGCCCAAAGTACCTGCGTCAAAACTCCCGGAGCCGCCTAAGGGACAGACCCGCATCCCAATCTTGTGGTCCCTCCCTGCACGCCCATCAATCTCTTCAACTTTTCCTTTTAATCATTCCAGGCCCAACCGCTCAGGAGGCCCGTCCACTCTTTTTTTTTTTTTTTTTTTTTTTTTGGGATCTTTCCTATTGTCATCCATATCCCCTCAACTCGACTCCAACCTGGTCTCTCCCTCCCTCCCTCCTCACCACCACATCCCAGGTGTTGTTCCAAGTATCAACAAATCCGAAAGGCCACCTGCGACCACGGCCACGACCACCACCACGACCTACGGCCACGACCAGGACTGGGCTAGTTATCGTATCCACCGCTTAGCATAAGTCGACCTTTTGGCACCTCCAGACCATTGGACCCTGGATGCTTCGTCTACGGTAGTAAGCTCTACTCGGAAGAGCTTCACCTCGACACCCTCACGCGCCGTCTCGCGCATGGTAAACAGCACTGTCTCAACCGGTGACCACCAGCTGTGACAGTACCCCATACCTGCCAGGGACAGCAGACGGCGACCTCATCCACGCTCTTCCACCTCTCAAACCCCGGATTCTGCCATCATCACACCTCCATCATGACTGTCGCACACGATCTGACCCATCGCGGCTCCGCTGTGGGCTCCAGCGCAATGGCACTGGAGGACAGGTTTGAGGTTCTCAAGGAGATCGGTGACGGAAGCTTTGGCAGTGTTGTCCTGGCCAGGGTTCGCACTGCTGGGGCTAGTGTCGCTAGGAGAGGAACTGTGGTAAGTCTGCACTTGGGATGACCTGAACATGTGCCCACGGCGTGATGAAGTATTTGTGCTGATGGAAGTGTCAGATTGCCATCAAAACCATGAAGAAGACCTTTGAGTCATTCTCACCTTGTCTAGAGCTCCGCGAGGTTGTGTTCCTCAGGACACTCCCCCCTCATCAGCACCTCGTCCCAGCCCTGGACATCTTCCTCGACCCTTTCACCAAGAAGCTCCACATCTGCATGGAGTACATGGAAGGTAACCTATACCAGCTGATGAAGGCCAGAGACCACAAGTGTCTGGACAACTCAAGTGTCAAGAGCATCCTGTTCCAGATCATGCAGGGTCTGGAGCACATCCATGCCCACAGTTTCTTCCACAGGGACATCAAGCCCGAGAACATCTTGGTCTCGACGTCATCCCACCAAGACACAACAAACTCATTCAGACGGTACTCATCTCTGGTCACACCCCCTTCCACCCCTCCTACCTACACCGTCAAGATTGCCGATTTCGGCCTGGCAAGAGAGACACACTCCAAGTTGCCATACACGACATATGTTTCGACGCGATGGTACCGAGCACCCGAAGTCCTGTTACGCGCCGGCGAATACTCTGCACCTGTCGACATCTGGGCCATCGGTGCCATGGCTGTGGAGATTGCAACACTGAAGCCTTTGTTCCCCGGTGGAAACGAGGTGGACCAAGTCTGGAGGGTCTGTGAGATCATGGGCAGTCCTGGAAACTGGTATAACAAGGCGGGTCAGCGCGTAGGCGGAGGCGACTGGCGAGAGGGCACCCGTCTGGCCGGAAAGCTGGGCTTTTCCTTCCCAAAGATGGCTCCTCACTCGATGGACACCATTCTGCAGACACCGCAGTGGCCCGCGTCGCTGAGCCAGTTTGTGACCTGGTGTCTGATGTGGGATCCCAAGAACAGGCCGACATCCACCCAGGCCCTTGCCCACGAGTACTTTACCGACGCGGTCGACCCCACGCGCCCCAAGTCCTCGGCCTCGAGGATATTAGGCCGCAAGCCTTCAGAACTCAGCCGCAGCTCCAAGGACGCGATCACACCGACAATCTCCTCCAAGCCGTCCTGGTTCCGGAAGTCATTGATCGGCCGCTCCGAGTCTTCGAACGATCTGGCGGCGGCGGCTCCTCCTCAGGTGGTGGTGGTTGCAAAGGAACCTGCGCCTACTGCTAAGCCGCAGCCAGTGCATGTGACAGTCGATCCCGCACCCATCATGCCCGCCAAGTCGCGACCGCCTGCCAACAAGAGAACCACATGGACCAATGGGATATCAAACGTGGCGCCTATGCCGATTCTTCCCACTATTAGGCCCATCTCTCCCATGTCGGATGCCGTGACCGCGCAGCGGACGCCTTCGTATAACGATGCGTACGCAAACGCCCACAGGCATGGCCATATGGAGGAGAAGCAGTCCAAGAAGATCGGACGCCAATTGTCGGTTCAGTCAAGCTCGAATCACTACGCAGATATGCATAGACAACAAGCTGAGCGTGCTCTCAACGGCCACGGAGGGCTCGTGTCACCGCCCAGTGCCCATAAGGAGGGCTTCTTCTCGCACCTGCGCAAGAGGGCGCGACGGTTCTCTGGACGGCATCAAACCCCGGTATCACCTATCGAGCCGGACATGGAAACACCGGCCGGCTGTGGCCCGTGGGCGAGCAACAGGTCGTCCATGGTGATCGACCCGCCTCCTGCGCCGGTAGCAAAGGACAACCACGAGTCACTCGACAGAGCGTTGAGAGAGGCTCAACAGCATTCGGACAATCTGCACGCGCCGACACCTGCCGTTCACCAGATCTCCTCCACAAGCAACCTCAAACGCCACCACTCCATACCGCATCACCAGCCTCGATCGGCGGATAACCTGTCCGGAGCCTCACGGGCGACAGGTCCTGTCTCCAGCCGAACACGACGAGCGCAGGCAGCGCATGGCGTCCACCATTACGACGCGCCTGATGAGGAAGATGAGCTCCTCGACGAGGCTCTCACCTCGACACAGAAGGCGGTGAGGCGGATTGACAAGAACGGCCCGGCTAACGCGCGGAAATCGCCCGGCAATCCCGGGTTTCGAAATCCTTACCCGACACCTTCGCCGTCAGCCAGCGGCAACGTCTGCCTGTTTGGTGAAGGGCAGGAGGCGATCGAGCCCAAGCCACTGGACTTGAACAACAGAAAGGCATCGGCTTATAAATGGCCGACACCACCCTACGAGGAGAGCGAGTGGGCAGCTTCGGCATCCGCGAGCATCTGGGCAGCAAGCAATCGATTCTAGAGACGTTTTGTGTGAACTGGAGGGTCTTTTTTTTTCTTTTTTTTTTTTTCAACATCGGGCGACAAGAAAAAATTTGGGTTTGGGCCCGGTCATCTTCCATACGGAGTTTTTCCATTGCTTCTTTTTTTGTCTTTTGTTTCTACTTCTTTCTTGGGCATCAGGGAACAACAACATTATTATCACGTCACTCATTCGGGCCAGGTCCGATCAAGGTTGGCGGCAATGTGATGGGCGGCAATTGCATTTGGATCTGTTCAGCTTCACTATACAAAATACTTCGCCTGTTGGGCTTTCTAAGTCACGAACGGGCAGTGTCTCTTTTTTCGCGTCAACAAGTCGTCATACTACACAATACCCCTTATAGATTGCACAGCACGACAAAGCGGTCGGAGACTTTTCTCTGTCTTTATCTTTTCTCGTTCTCCTTTTGATCGTGTTTTGTCGTTAGATCGAGCAGGACAGTCCATTATCACCTCTCTGGATTTTGAGGGCTGAAGGGGTTGGCTTGGCTGTCGAGCTGTGGTGCGAAGAATAGGGAATTTTTTTTTTTTTTGGCGTGGATGGGGGAAGGCAGAGAGACGAGCCAAAGAATAGGCAAACCTCTTCTACTTTTCATCTTTGTTTCCTTCTTTTCATTATTGTTTCCTGTGTCTTATAAGTGTGTACACAAGAGGCTGAACGGAGTTGGCAAATGGCTCGTCACGCACTCCCAGCTCAGGCCTGGGGGAGGCCTGTTTACTTCACTCTTGTCACTGATTGCCGAGTAGCAGGCTGTGAAGTTCTGTATATAGAGACCACCCTTCTCCGCTTTTTTCCTTTTTTGTTTGTTCTTTTTGGATCTGTTGGGTGGCGGCGATGAGACAGACAGCTGGGCGGGTTAATCGGGACTCTTCACAAACTGGGAAGACGGTAATGGCAAAATAAAACAATCCACGGCGTCTAGAACGTCCTTGAACAATCATGATTGCTACCTCTATGGACATGTCCCTGTGCGTGAAATGACTACAAGTAATATTGATCACAGTTGCTGGTGGCAGGCAGGTCTCTTGAAGGGAGGGGGGGGGGCACAGGTGTGGTGTACAATGCCAGAAAAAGCTGCTGGCTGATGATATAATAATGCTTAATCTCCACGGTGAGATGAATGAGGCCTAGAATAGGGCTGGAGGAAGCTACTGCAACTGCAAGTGCGCATGCTGGCTGCAGCAGCTGCAGGTCAGATCCGCAGCAGGAGCCCATCTAGGCACGGTACACTAAATCCGTACCGTTTTTACCGTCCGATGTTTCCCCGTTGGAATTGTACAGTAGTAGCGAACAAGCCCGTTGGCGTTGGCGGCGGGTGTTTAGGGGCTTGGGCTTAGGTAGACCTGACATACCATGCCAGGCAGCAGAATTCTTTGGCTGTTTCCTAAAACTTAAGAGAGGCTGGTGGATTTTTCTTGGGTGGGAGTAAGTAGGTGACGTCAAACTCCATGAAAGATCCTCTCAAGCCCAGCGTTTGGAATCGGATAAGATGGATTGAATACAAAAAGGCCGGCTGTGTATTCTTCTTCTCGTGTTGACGGGGAAGAGGGGGTAAAGTCGAGGAGCACTAAAGCTGCATTGATTTTGTACTGACTGACTGTACGTACTATATGCAGTTGGCAGTCTAGGGTGCCCATATTAATTTAGGTACTCACAGGGGCAAGGCGAAGCAGCGGCCCCTCGCTTACGACCCAAGTTGGTAGGTACACATCACCCTTCAACAACCCCACCGCCCGCCTGTCATTGCGTCGTGTGTCGCAATACCTCCCACCCTCAAACCACCTGATCTGAATCCCTCAACAAGAGCATCCTTAGGTTTTCCCTTGCAACGAGACGAGGCGACAGCGAATTCACACTCAGCTAGGTCTTCCTAGGTGTGGCCTTTCTCTGCGCGCCACACATCGCCCCGCCTCACTGTGCCCCATCCTCAGAGAGAGAAGTGTCACCCTAGGTCTAGTATATAGAAACGAGAAGAGGAAGGGAAAGAAAAAGGACTGCGATTCACCGCGCTCTTCGACACCCACGACTCCTAAGGGATCCTGCTTTCCACTCAAATTCCCACCTCCTCATTGGATACCCATATCTTGACGCGCACACACTTCTCTGTCTCTCTCTTTCTCTCTTCTTTCTTCTTGTTCTCCTCCTTCCCTCATATGAGCATGACTCTAGGTCTGGCAAGATAGCCCGCACCTGGCGAGTCCACATCTCTACTCTGCCAAGATGAGCGCCAGCCTACCAATCCGTTCACCAACGACGCAGTCCGTGAGCCAGAGGAACAAGGAGAGCAGGAATTACTTCACCGGTCAAGGAGTGTCTTCGTCCACTGAGGCTATCAATGGGCCCGTTAGGGCACCCGTGAGGGACTTTGCGCCCGTTGCGGACAGGCTGATTGTCGGCGTCGATTTTGGTACTACCTTCTCAGGGTAAGTTAAGCCACCTGGTTATGTGGGGAGGGGAGGGGCCGGCCTACTTTTTCCTGTGGCGCTTGACTTCGGGCGGGCATTGGTCCTCATATGTATCTGCTGCTGCACGATCCACGCCTCCTGGCGGACTGTCTCGCTCTCATAAATATATATATACATACATACATATATATATGGACTGCATTGGACTGACACATCTTATCTTAGTGTCGCCGCGGTTTACACGTCTACGCCAGATGACATAGAGATCATCAAGACATGGCCGGGCGGCAACGGTATCACCTCGGACAAGGTGCCTACAGAGATCTCCTACGACATCCCCGCCGACAGCCCACCAGGCACCGAGCCTACGGTGAGATGGGGCTTTCAGTTCAAGCCCGAGGAGTCGCGCCTGCGGTGTATCAAGCTGTTTCTCGACCGGTCGCAGAAGCTGCCCTTTTATGTGAGCCCGCTCGAGACGGCGGCCCAGCTCAAGCGTTTCAACAAGACGGTCGTCGACGCCGTGTCGGACTACCTGACCCAGATCCACAGGCACACCATGGACACGCTGACAAGGCGGTACGGCGAGTCGTTCATGGAGAGCACCAGGGTCGATTTCGTCCTGACGTGCCCAGCCGTGTGGTCTGATGCCGCCAAGAACACGACGCTGCAGGCTGCCGAGAGGGCGGGCATGGGCGACAAGTCATCCATCCAGATGATCAGCGAGCCCGAGGCCGCCGCTGTGTATACCCTCAAGGCCATACAGCCCAACCACCTGAACGTGGGGGACAACTTCATCGTGTGCGACGGCGGTGGCGGCACCGTAGAGTAGGTGGAGCTGCATGCCCCTTTTCTTTGAGAGTGAAAACCCCTTTTGGCGTTGGGTCGGGGGAACGCACACCAAGCTGACCATGCTCTTCCCCCTTCTCCTTAGTCTCATCGCATACAAGATCATTTCTCTGAAGCCACTCAAGGTGGAAGAGTCGGCTGTAGGGACTGGTGGGCTCTGCGGCAGTGCTTTTGTGAACTACAGGTTTGAGGAGCACATCAAGAATCGGCTTGGCAAGAGCAGGTTCGACGAGATGAAGGTGAAGAAAAATAAGACGTGGCAGATGGGACTAAAATATTTTGAGGAATTTGTCAAGAGGAACTTTAACGAGGATGAGCACCAGGAAATCAATGTTCCGTGAGTCACCCCATTACTTCTCACTGTGCCGACTGGTCAGGTCAGGTCAAGCTAACCAAAGAACCACCGGGCCCAGTTTCCCAGGCCTTCCAGACGACGAAGAAGCCGGCCTCGACTCGGGCTTCCTCGTCATGACCGCAGCTCAGGTCAAGGATATCTTTGAGCCGGTGGTCAAGGAAGTCTGTGACCTCGTGCAGGGACAAGTGGAAGGGCTGCGCTCCAAGGGCGGCATCGTCTCGGGCATCATCCTCGTCGGCGGGTTCGGGCAGTCCGATTACCTGTATCGCCGCCTCAAATCCCACTTCACCAGCGCTGCCCCGCCCCCTTATAGCGAGAGACCGACGCACGCCCTCAGCGTCGGCTGTGTAGGCGAGGGCGGGAATATTGAAGTCATGCAGCCTGTGTATGCGTGGACAGCGGTTGTACGCGGCGCGGTGTTGCGAGGGCTGGAAGGAAATATGGTCATCTCACGGAAGGCGAGGATGCACTACGGCACGAGCTACGCCACTGTCTTCGACGAAGAGAAACACAGCGTCAGCGAGAGGTATTGGAGCCCGCTGTGGGAGCGGTGGATGGTCTCGGATCGTATGCAATGGCATATCGCAAAGGTGAGCACGGCTCCAATTCAATGTCCATCTCGGAAGTCCGACTACAGGTCTCCCTCTCTAACGCTGGCGATGATGGATGGGGTTTTTTTTCTCAGGGCGATGCATTATCACCACTTACGCCCATCGCGTTCCACTACACGAGGAATTTCAGACCGGGCCAGTCTCTAGTGGTTACGGACGACCTCATCGCCTGCGAGGCGGATGAACCCCCGGCTGCATACACGCGGGAGCTGGTGCACGTATGCAAGCTGACGACGGACCTGAATGCCGTGCCGCGGAGCCTGTTCACGCGACTGACCACAACGAGGGGGGTGGAGTTCGATAACCTTGACTTTACGCTGGAGATGATCGTGGACAGCGCTGGCCTGGGGTTCGAGCTCAAGGTGGATGGGGTCAGTTATGGACGGGTCGACGCTGATTTTCAGTAAATGACACAGAGGGAGGAGGGTGGTACTATCTATCTGCCACACTGGATGGGTCAGTGGCTTTTATTGCAGAGATGTGGAGGGGGCAGATGTGTTGTACCAGCATTTCAAGGCGCAAGATTGGGAATCTTGTTCTTTTTGTCTCTGTTTCTAATTTTTAAGTGACGGCAATAACGAAGCCGGTTCATTGTTCCCAGAAGATCAGGGCAAAGCAGAGTTGAGTATACAAGTAGTCTCTGCTGATCCTGCTGATAAGCACTTGTGTGCGTATGTGGCCCTAGGGGGAAAATGATACCCCCTTGACGAGACTTGGGGGACAAAAGTGAGGCTGTGGACTCGTGGTGATTGGTTGTAGGGCACACACCTACTCAATCATGCCTCCTCGATGGATTGACTCGCCACCTTTGTCCTTTTTGAGCAGTGTGGTCCAGTCTCGGAAGTTTGCCTCCCTCGAGAATGACTGTTTTGCTCAAAGTCTTTATATCTTCATGGAACCTGGGGACATTTAGTCACTGCCATACGCACACGCACAAAGAACAAAGAAAGAGAGCGAAAAGAGAGAAGAAAAATCATAACAAACAAGGTCAGGGCAACGCGTAAGGGAGACATAAGGACCAACCCCAGACGGGAAGCTCGACCAAGCGAAGAGCAAGTTTTCCTGCAGCCGAGCAGTCGCCCGACTAGTATGGCGAGTGTCACACCGCCTCTGTAGGTACTTTAAGCAACCACTCTCGTGGGCTGTAGCTCCGTTTTCTTTTTTCCCACCCCTGGAACACACCAAAAAAAGTTAAGAAGAAATTCATGACTACTGCTAAAGAAATTCAAACGTGGCTTGCGAAAGGAAAGAAAAGGAAGGGGGACATTGCCCGGGTAATCGCCACGTGGCGAAAGAAGTCTGCTGAGGAAAGAACTACACAAGCTGGGAAAGGAGCGGTATGTATACATAGCATGTAAGGTGCTCCATGCGCAGCGGTTTGTGTTGCTGGAAGCTGTTGGCTCAGTTGAACTTTACCAGCGTTCGCTGTTTACCTCCCAAAGTTGGTCACAGTCATATCACACAACATGCTTTGAAGTCTCGAGAAAAGGATACTGACATATCTGAAGCTCTCGACAATCTGCTACAAAGAGATGTGGCCAATACGCGTATGTCCATGGGCCAATGTCAAAGTCAGCGAACAAGACTATCTGTCATCATCAAGATCATCAACAGCATCACCAACCATCAGCATCCTTCTTTCACCACGCCTTTTCACTCGTCCGTGGAATCCTGCTCCGACCGTATCACCTGGAGTCGAGTGTCATTGCTTGGCTGAGACGCCGAGACGACGGCTTCCTGCGTCTCCGTCACCAGCAAGTTCTGCGAACCTAGACACCCGAGACGATGGCCGAGGGCTGAAGATGAGAACGAGCATGTAGTGGGTGTGGCGGAGCCGCTGAAAGAGAGAGAAGGAAAGAAACAGAAACTGAGGGAGAAAAAACATGAGGATCAACACCGACACACACAAGCCATACCACCCAATCAGGTGGATAGTGACCCGTAATGGGCACCTCCTCCGGTTCGATACCGCCCTTCCAGCCGACAGTACAATCTCAGATCTGTCCTTGACCTTGAATCTTTCTTTAGCCGGATACAAGGTCCAGTGCTCGAAGGAAAGAAGTCGACTTCAACAGAGAATCTCCAGCCTCAAAGCAAACCCCGGTCCTCCCGTCCTGTCTTTTCCCTTTGCCCTCCGAACGGCTGCGAAAAGGCGTATCGCGGGGACTGACTCCAGCCAAAGAAAAAAAAATAACCTTCACGGCAGTCCTCTATGATGGACGGATTACTCGTGTGCTCTGGAATTCAGGCACGACCTTTCTGTTTGTGGCTGTTCTTCTTCTTGGATCGTCGATGACTCGACGCTGCGATCGAGCTCGGCCCAGCTTCTTCCACGACTGGTTCCAGGTGCCATGAGCTCTGGTGAGGGGGAAATTGAGTTTGATAGCTGCTGCTGGCCGCCGCCGCCGCCACCACCTCTGCCGGCAGGCTCAAAGGCCTCAGCATGCTCTGATAGGTCTGTTCATTGATGAGCCCTTGCTTGCGGAGATGAGCAACGAGGAATCCGTCCGGACGCATATCTGTGAGGCGGTATTCGCCTGCCACGATGTGCTCACGGATATGTTCCATTCGGCGCACAAAATTCTCTCTCCTATCGCCGCCTGTCCTGGTCAGTGCGTCAAATGTGCCCAGATCTTCACAGAACCCTGAGAGACACGCTTCAAGTCAGCGCAAATGCCATCGTCTTCCCCTGGAGAGAAAGAGTGCGTGGCAAGGAGAGAAAAGAGAAAAGAGGGGTGTGGGATGGGGAGCAAGCAAAGGAAAAGGTGGATATACAGCACCGCAGCCTAGACGGAAAGGTTCCTTGCAGGTGTTGCTCAGTGTGCTCTGTCCAGTCCGCAAGCTCATCGCCGTTGAATGTCTGGCCACAGATCTCGCAAGGGAGCTGGTAGCGTTGGCGAGGTGGCTGCTGTCGATGGATATGAGTGTCCACATTGGAGACACGGCTGTGCCTTGACGGCGCCGAGGATACACTGCTGGCCACGCTGTGCGCACGGCCAGCCCCGTGCGCCGTCGACACAGTTCCCTGCGATGACTGCGACAAGGTCTCCCAATCGGTAGCGTGATCCGCCAAGGATGATGCCCTGGCGCTGGCGACGGAGGTGGTAGCACCGCTATACCCATGCGCAGTCGTATTGTCAGTGGGAGCTTTGGATTGGAAGTTCTGATAATGGTCATGACTGGGTGCTGGCCATCCCAGAAATCGAGCGACAACGGTTGCATGATGGGAGTTGTCGGGTGGTGCATGATATAATCCTCCCTGTGCGAACTGTGCTGAGGTCAACACAGAGATTGGATCCAGGTCTGGGCTCTGAGGGTCAGGGAAATCACCGTAGTCGCTCAAGCTGAGCGACTGACTGTCCCAGTCGACACTCTTGTCTTTGGAAGACCTGCTGCTCGACATGGCTTCCACACCCTCCTGGAATGCTGACTGACTTGGAGTAATAGAAAATTGTCAAGATTGCTAGGAGATGAACGAGAGGAAGACTGGTGCCAGAAGAACGTGTCAGCCAACATCTCCTTGACAGGAAGGAGGGGAGGGGGAAAGACGCGGCTATGTATGAAAAATTGGGAAGAGAGACAGATTGTCCTGAGATTTGGGACACCCCTTCCTTGTCCCTGCGGGACGCTGCCTGCAACCTCGCCAACGACAACGCAAGAGATCAACCCTGCATGACAAAAGCAGCTTCCCCCCTCCCCCCCCCCCACCGGATCACAGAATGCCCTACCTGGCTAAAGGTACAGTGCAGATGACACACTGCAGCATCGGGTCGGAGACACCAACCAGTCGGCTCAATGAACCCCGGACCCGTCGTAGGGCGGCATGCGACTCGTCATTCGCTTGCAGGGCATGCTGTGCAAGGTCTCGCCAAGGGAGGCTCGACCATGTTCCGAGAGTGTATTTGACATATCCTACGCGCGAATACACCAGAGATGCAAGGAGGTTGGCAGAGGGCAAAGGCTCAGGGTGGCCATCATCAGCTGACCCGATGGCATCGTAGCCTCAGAGCAGTGGGACGAGGTTCCCGTGATTGGTGAAGATCTCGAAACAGGCCAGCCCACTTTGGCGTGGCGGCACACCTCGCAGATGTTATCCTGCGTTTAGACACCCTTGACGCGTCTCCAAAAAGTCTCCCACACCAAATTCTGGAAACCTGAGAAGAAGGAGAAGAAGAAGAAAAAAGAAAAAGCAGAGAAAGAGAAGTCTCTTGGGAATGCGTATTCCCAAGGTCAAAGCTGGTATGTACGTGAAGGAGGAACCATCACATGCCCTTATAACGCAACAAAGGGAATACGCAACAGCTGTGCCTGCAAACCCCCCAGTCTCCGTCTCGAGAGACAGATTCTACTGCGTGCCCAAGTATGCAGCCCGCCGAGCCAAGCTGGCGTAACCCAGTCTTGTGCAAGCCACGCCCCTCCCTCGGTCGACATCGCCATAGCTGGAGGGCCGGCTTATATCGAAAGAGGAATCAAGAAAAAAGAGGAATGGTTATCTCGTCTGGCGATTCTTCACCGGTCGATCAAATGTGGTACGTCGTGTATGGTTGTGTGTTCCCCAGGATTGGACGGCTCTAGCTGCTATCGCCTTTGTAAACTGACTAATTCCTCGAGAGATGGTTTTAACTTGGTTGTGCTGGACAAGAACAATATGACCAGTCAATATTGCTGGGATGGGTTAGTTTTGTATTCCCTGCGTGGACCATCAAGTCCCGCTGTCGGTGAGTCTCGAGCTCTTCGGCGATCACAACGTTCATTCAATCATTGTGCTCGTGAACAATGAAGAATGCTGCGGGAGGTTCGAAAAAAAAACCAAACCAAAAAACCAAAAAACCACAGCGTTTGATACATCGAGAAGCACCATGGTCCTACTCTAGATCTCGCCTTCTATACGATCATGCGCATCGACTAGATGCCGGCGCGCATGCACATGCAACCATCGAAGCACCTGACGCTGCACTGTTTCTCTAGCCAGATTTTACCGGCCGCCGATTTGCTACCACGGCCACGGCCGGCACTGCAGGCTGGAAGGTTGGCACGTTTGGGGGGGGGGGGGGGGAAGGAATAAGCTCGGGTCCGGGGAGGCGATTTGACCCCAACCATTTTGAGGCTCTGCGGTGATCGATCGGAAGGTCTTGCCCTCTCTCCTCTCCCTCGACCACCCCCACCGTAACACAGGCCGCATGGGGCCATTCTCGATACAGTTCGACCCCGAGCGAAGGGCTGCATGATGGACTCACCACCACCAACGAACTCTCCAGTCTCAGGAACCTCCCTTCGGTCTTTTTGTCGGCCCCAGGATGGATGGCGCGAAGAGGAAGCCACGTCGGCTGCCGGATAGGCGAGAACCGCACTGTTGCTCTTTCTTCTTCCTTTTACTTTCTTTCTTCCTTCTCCATTTTGTGGCGCGCACTGATCGCTTGAGACAGCTTCCTCAACACCCGGGAAACCAGGCCCGTGTAGTTTATCAAACTCGAGTATCATCTGCTTGTACGGAATTGAACTCCTTGTGATACGTAACAGCAAGATGTATACTAGCACGCCTGGCTCCTGAAGGGTAAGAAATAGAGCTGGGCTAGAGAAGAGAATCAGGGCAGAGAAGATCTGGCCGAACCGAGTACGAGAACGAAGGAAGAATTGTGGACAGCTGTATTCCGCCACCAAGAATGTGTCGCTTGGCGCGCTTTTTGGAGGAGGGGCGAGAAACACACGAGTCTCGTTGAGACGTAACCAGACACGTGAGGTACCTCGTTTGTGCCTCTAGTCGATTTGATGCCCGTGAAATATACAACATCGATAACATGGACCAGGTACCCTGATCACGCAATTGGCTCACGAGCCGCTGGCGATACGACTGGGAAAGGAGCGTTGAATGAGTATTTTTGGGTCACACGCTGAATTGCTCCGGCGGCCCCTTCTCGTCGCTTGGAGCATCGCACATGCCAATGCTGCGACAATGACGACAAACAGATCATGTTTCGGTTTTCTCTCCTTTTATTCAGGTCTGCAAAGGACCCGCGCTTTAGAAATGACATTTCTGAATTGAAGCTGTGCCCCGTTCTCGTCGCCTCGCTTGATAATGCCCGGGAAGGTAACACAGCAGATCTCCCTCTGCACGAGCGACTCCTCATCCTCACCTCCAATATCTTCCATGGTAGCCTGGTCGAACATGGTCTGCTGGTACGGTACGATCCCGGGCGTCCAGACCTCGAGGACTGCCCTCTGCACCACCAGCAGCCGCGACAGCTCTATGGCGCTGCTGATCAGCTGGCGCAATGCCTGATCCCTCGCTTCTGCCGCTGGTATCGTCGTGCTCCCGTTGGTGGTCCTGGAGGAGGAGGCGGCGGCGGCGTCGGTTGTGATGGCGCCTAATATTCGGTTCACGAGACGGATGATGTCCTCGGTTGTCTGCGTAGTTTGTGCCTCCATGCGCTCTGCTGCTTCCTTTTTCAAGACCGACAGCGTGACAGATCGCCATTGGTTGACGGACTCTACGGACCCTGAAATATAGGATACGAGTTTGGTTTTTGTGAGCTTGAAAGGTTATCAGGCAGGCAGTGTGACACCAGCAAAACATGCATGATAGAAAGAAAAGAAAGAAAAAAAAAATAGTTGGGGCCAGCAAACTTACCGAAAGAGGCCATCAGTCTCTCAGTCCGCCTGAGCTGGTCTTCCTGCTCAGCCGACAGGCCCACGAAGTAGGCACCAAAAATGCGCTGTGCCAGGATCCCAGACACGACAGACTGCAGCAGGTGCACCTTTGCGGCCTGGGCGAGGTCCTCACACATGGGCACGAGCGCGGCCAGCACGCGCAGGGTGTCCTCGTCGGCCCTGGCCAGGTCGACCCTGGCGCGCCTGAAGTTGGAGATGACCCAGTTCTGCAGGCCGTTGCCCAGCCTCGCCCAGCCCTCCACAAAGACCTCGTCGCTGGTGCTGGCCGTGCCGTCCGGGCGCGTGCTGGTGCTGACCCACTCCTTGAGCCCCCGCACCTGGGCGCGCAGCTCGCGGATCTCGTCGTCCCTGGCGGCGACCTCGCGCCTCGTGGCGTCCCGCAGAGCCCTCGCGGCGTCCTCGGCGGTGGCGTCCCGGGCGTGCATCTCGTCCCGCAGCAGCCGCAGCTCGGCGTCGGCCCTGATGAAGTGCTGGTTCAGCGCCGTGTGCTTGGCCTGCCAGAACGAGGCCGTCTCGCTCTCGCTGGCGGACAGCTTGTCCAGGTCGCGGGCAAAGTCGGCCCGCATGCCGCACAGCTCCCGCTCGAGCGAGGCTATGCGGGCGTCCTTGTCCTCGGGGTGGCTCAGCAGGGCGGGGCGGCGGGTGGTGCTCGGCGTCTTGCTTCTGCTCCGGGACCGGGACGCTGCGGTGCTGCCCATGGCTGCGGCGCGGGAGGTCTGGTCCTCGGGCGAGGGGGAGGAGGAGGAGGAGGTGGTGAGCTGAGCACGTGGGGGCGGGGCGATGACGTCCTTGCGAGTGTGGACTGCGGCGGCGGCGACGCCAGCAGCAGCAGCGCCAGCAGCAGAGGCGGAGGTAGAGGCGGGGGAGGAGGAGTTCATCGTCGTTGTCGTCGTCAAAGTGGAGGAGGAAGATGCATCTCTGCTGGGTCCACGACCCCGAAAGACGTGGTTTGCTGCTCCGGTGGCGGCACTGCCAGGGCCCCGGCGCACTTTGTCGGAGGGGCTCATGAGGGTGGGAGGGATGAAACGTCAGAGATATGTTACTATACCAGTCGTCAAGTTGATCTCAACAAACTGCTGGGGAAAATCAGAGTCGAGTCCCTCTCGGTCTCTCCTTATCTTCTCTTGAATTGAACCGTCTTTCTCTCTCTCTCTCTCTCTCTCTCTCTCTCTCTCTCTCTCTCTCTCCGGTAGTACGATCTCGTGTAAAGAGGTTGGTCACCCGAGCAGCGACATGCACGCTGTTGTGCATCTTGCAGAAACCCTCAAACGAAGAACAAAATAGAATTTCAATACAAAATAAATTCCGCCTACCTTCCTCCCACAAGCAGGATGGTGGGTGGTAGCGAGGAAGGATTTCCAAAACAAAACCAACCCAGACGGGTGCCTGGATATCATCAGTTCCAAATCGTCAAATCAAAAGAGCTTCCTCCCCCCCCCCCCTCCAAGCCTTGTCGTTTGCCCGCTTAGCCGTTGGCCAGCAGAGGTTAGCAGATTAGTAAGCGCCTTACAGTAGGTGAACCTAGCGCAACTATAGTGAGCGACCCTCTTCGGCTCTATCCGATCACCCACTGAAGGAGGCCCCATGGTTCAGGGGTTCAGTGCTGCTTTTGGCGGCGGATGGTAATGACAAGCTTCCAGTGCGTTTGTGGTAACTAACATGCACTGAGAGAGAGAGAGAAAGAGAGAGGGAAGGAGATTTAAGGGATCAACGCACCAAACTGTGAACACTCATGAACATCCTCCCCCCCCCCCCCCCCTTCTGCTTTGTTCACATGAGCCGATTCATCCACAGAGGCGCCTTCAAGATGACCTCGTCCCAAAAGACCAATGCTCATGCTCCGCTCACACACTTCCTCTGCATCCCTCTGTCCGTACCAACCTCTCGCCCCCAACTCTCCGCCAGCCTTGCCTCCTTCCAGGATGATGTCACCCGACCCAAGGACCTCGGCGGCTTCGACCTCCCGCCGGATGCTGTCCGTCCCGTGGGGACACTGCATCTGACACTGGGGATGATGTCGTTTCCAAGAGGCGGCGGTGGAGAAGAGGGGCTGGCGAGGGCTGTCGAGATGCTTCGAGCGCTGAAGCCGAGGGAGGTCCTGGCTGGCTTGTTGGAAGGGAAGAGGAAGTCGGTCATTCCAGGTGCTGCTGCTGCTGCTGCTGCTGCTGAAGATACAAGCAGAAGGGGAGGGGGGGATAATAGCAGCAACAAAAGCAACAGCAATAGCCATCCACAAGTCCTAATCACACTCAAGGGCTTAAATTCTATGCAGAAGCCCGAGAGAACCACAGTTCTCTACGCACCACCGTCGGACCCAGAAGACATCCTTCAGGCCTTCTCAGAGCACATCAGGGCAACGTTCAGGGACGCAGGCCTGCTGGCGCCCGACGAGAGGCCTCTATTACTCCACGCGACCATCGTCAATACCGTGTACGTCAAAGGCAGCAACAGGGGCAACAAGAGCGGTCAAAGGGGCAGGAAGGACAACCAACGCCACGTTGTCAGGGACGCGCAGGCGATGCTCGATCGGTATGAGGAGCATGTTTGGGTGGAGGATGTGCCACTGGAGACGATTGCCATCTGCAGAATGGGTGCGAAGCCGCTCAAGGAGGATGGCGTGGTGGTGGATGTTGCATATGAGGTCGAGGCAGAAATTGCTTTTTGAAGCAAGACTTGGGCTTTGGAAAGGCACGACTCTCCCTGGCTACTATGCCGCTACCCCCACTTTGCCCTTACTGAAGCATTTGCTGAGGGCTCATATGAGGGAGAAGGGGAGAAAAGAAAAAAGGACAACTCCTTTCTTCACTATCACCTACGCCTAAAGAAAAGAGGGAGAACAATCCGAGAACAAATTTATAGTCCTCTCTGTCTTGTGTAGAAATTAAGGACGATCGATGACTAAAGAGCACGCACACGACCTCATTTTTTGTTCATAGGTGGCCGGGCTTCATTGTATCCAAAGTTGTTCGAGTAGAATTCAAAAGCATCCACTAGTCACTACCTGGAACCAGTAACATCGAACACCCGAACCTCCCCGATGCATTCGTTAGAGCTGGACAGATTCTCCCTTCGAACCTGTTGGCGTGTGATGATTCTCATCCCTGCCTTTTTCTCCTTTCTCCTTTTCCAGTCTTACTTTGTATTTTCTTTTCTGCTTTCGATGCAAGCGTGCGCAGAGAAACCACTGTCTGGTTGGGAGTCCAACGACACACTGCCTTGTAGTAGGAAATCAAAACAATGCAATTCTGCAAGGTGCCAGCCTGAAAGGGTGGATATGTATGGCAGGGCGTGTGACCCTAAAGAAGCCGGGAAGGGCGTTTTGCTGCAAAGCCTTGTTGGGTATCCAGGAAAATGCCAGAGGGATGCGTAGGGAACAGACTCTATCGTAATGACACAAAGCTGTCGTCGCTCATAGCAGCAGAGGAAGGGGCAAAAACACACAGCAGGCCGGGTAGAAAGAGAGAGAGAAGAAGCGAGTGACCTGTCACTCTTCACTGCTATCGGAGGCGTTGAAAAAGGCCTTCAGATCCTTCTCGAGGTCGGCGAAATCGGTCTTGAGGGTCTTGATGGCATCCGTGATCTTGTTCAGGCACACCTTCTCGTCGGGCTCGTCCACACCATCGACGGTCTGCTTGTGACCGTACTGCTGGATGATCTGGCAACTGTCTCGAACCTTGTTGAAGCCCAAGGTAGCCGAGGAACCCTTCAGGAAGTGGCCAAGACCGGACAAGTCCTCGAGGTTCTTTTCTTCCCTGGACGGCGGAGCAAGAGAACACAGTGATCAGTTGGCATTTGTCCAAGAAGAGGAGAGCAGGCGACCACCAAAATAGAGTGGAGACAAGGAGTGAGGAGTAAAATGATGACGACGATGATGATGATGCAATACTCACAGTGCCTTCTCCATCTTCTCGAAAGTCTCCTCAGCCTGCTCGAAGAAGTTCAGGACCAACGGCTTGGAGAACTCGCGCTCGGTCTCATCCTCGTCCATCTCCAGAATCTGGGTGAAGGTCGGCATGTCGACTTTGTCGCCAAAGTCAGGCAGAGTAGCGTCGTCGTTCTACCGAGACACTCCCGCCTTAGCAGCAGCACAACAAGAAGACAAGGATTCGAAATCATGGAATGGGAGAAGAGGGGGAGGTTAGTTACTTACATCAGCCATTTTGCAAGCAAAGTCCCTTGAAATCGTGTACTTGGCACTTGTCGCAGCCTGGTGATGTCTCTATAAAGTGAAGAGGTTTTGCCCGCCAGTCAGATGTAGAACACTTTTGGACAAGTTCTGGGGAGCGAGAGCGCAGGACCCCGTCGTTCCCTTGTCATATAATCTTGGTCAGTGCTCTGTCTCTTCTGCAAAATAACGGGACACTGTGGAGCACAAGCCTGGCGACCTTGGGTAGAGGCGGGCCGGTGTGATGCAAGAGGGGGCGGGCGGGCACAAAAGTCTTGCGATGGGGACGTCCAATCCTTGACACCACCCCTCTTCCCCCCAGAAAAACAGACACACTCTTCTCTCTCACTCACACACACACACACACACACACACACACACACACAAACACACCCCTCTAAACACACACACACACTTGCACACACACATCTTGCCTGGGCATCGGTAGCTTGTGCATGGATGTATGGCGCGTAAGAGAAGTGAGCATGGGAGGAGAGCAAGGGCAGGGGGGGAGGAGGGGTGAATACCTGCCTGAGGGAGGCACAGGGGTGGTAGGCTCAAGTGGTGGGCAGGTGCAGAGGGACGGAGAAGGGCAGACAAAACAGACACCAAAGAATGAATGGGCAGCACAGTCAGGAGTGGGTCCAACGAGTTGAACGAGAGAAGGCTGGGGGTATCAAACCCTACTTCGCAGAATGGCCTCGTCTCGTCTCTTGACAGGCGGTTGGTTGGAAACGATCGTTGCAGACGACAGGATCTGGCCTCAGGTCGTTGAAAGAGCACATAAACAAGAGAGAGAGAGCGAAATCGCCTTACCTTTAAAGCTTTGTTGGTCTTCACGAGAAGAAAGAGAAGAGAAGGAAGGGTAGAGATACAGCGCTGTGACTATTCCTAGGCGAGGAAAGGAAAAGGGTGGGTGTGTTGTGTGGCTTTCGGCGCGGTGAGCGGTAGATGCAGCAGTTGAGGAATGGAGGGAGGAAAGGTTGCGATGTACGGAGTACAGATGAACGAGCCTTGGATTAAAGGAAGGGGTCCACTGGCGGCGAGTCGAAAATTGAAAAGGAAAAAGAAGAAAAAAAAAAGGTGACCTCCAACAACCTTTCGAGAACAAAGTGGATCTGGCCGAGATAGGCAGTCTAGCCTGTGCCTTCAAGGGTCTAATGGGGTGGGGTCAGATTTTGGCTTTGGAAGGCTGCCTTTTACCCCATACGGGAGGAGGGGGAGGGAGGAGGGGGACAAGTTTAACTGCAAGAGAATTTGTATACAGGTGATACTGGCTGAAAAAGAGTAGAAGATAGCCTAGGGAAGAGAAACCGGACTTGGAGGGGGGGGTCGTCTGGTTTCTGCTTTCAACGCCAGGGGTGGGGGGCCAGGAAAAGGAAGACGAAGGAAAAGGAAGAGAAAAAAAAAGCAAACTTCACCCTCATCTCCCCCAGGCAAATGGCCGAGGTGCTGTTCCGCACTGAGAAGAAACCCAGCCACTTGACCTGCCTGAGCGCGAGTTGAAAGGGTGTGCGGGTGAGATGTGCGGCGGCTCACGCCTTCCTTTCTCCCAGAGATTTCAGACGATGATGCTAATTGCCCCACCCAGCTGGGACCCCTCAACGTCATCCTGCTTTGGGGAACAAGGGTCCACACAACATGGATCTGCTGTCGTCAGTGTACATATTAGTACTACTACCGTGTTCCAAAGTACTATCAATATACTCTGTAGGTATTGCCAGTACCACTGTGCCATGTATTCCATTCTTGTCGAGTCGGGTCTCATTTTCTTTTGTCTCGAGTCTCGATATCCATCATCCTGCGCTTTATCATCTTCACCTTCTGCCTTCATCAGCGTGGGCCCTCCACCATCCTTCTATATACAGTATTCATCACTCCCTATTTCCGACATCTGTCACTTTTCTTCTTCCACCCCTCCTCCCCCCTTCCGAAATGACAATACATGCCGTCCTTGTTGCCCACGGTTCGATCTTGATCCCTTGAACTCACCAGTCAACCATCAACTCCACTTCGGATATATTATGGTGCTTACAGGACATCAAATTTTTTGTGGTACGGACAGTAGGATGAACCGAGACATGAGGATGCTCAGGACATGTTGATCAACATTCAAAATGCTGGTATAGTAACAATATTAACCCGAGGGAGACGGGGTGTAGCGGCCCGAGAGCTTGTGTGTACACATACTGTAGTAGCGGAGGGGAAGGGGACTGACAAGCTTGACAGTGATGATATGAGGTGCGCATCCACACCCACACGTCCTGTCCACCGGGTACCTCATCCCTCGCTTCTGCAGACCCTCTCTGACACACGCACACACGCCACACACAGAGAGACAGAGAGACGGGGCGAGAGAGCGAGAGAAATACACAGGTCCGTCCCGAGCAGATATCGAACCCCCCTGAGCTGGTTCACCGCAGCATTCCCTGCTCACCCTCTGGACCCTCACCTGCCGTGGTTTGTCCGGCTGCCCGGCTACGCGTGCCTGCAGCCCTTGGACCACCTGGAATCTCCTAGAATACTTCCTAGATGCATTAAGCACCCGCCCATTCCTCCAATAGCCAACACAGATGCGGTCATGATCGACAACTCAGCCTTTTCCTTCTTCCTGCCGCATCCAACACGCCGAGTCTCGTTTTGCGCTGACGCGGTGATCAGCTGTCCCGCAAATAACCAGCATACCAGACTGCCAAGTTGGTGGACAATCCCGTTCCGCGCCCTCGCTATTTTCGTACCCCACCAAGAGCAGCTCGCAACTCGCCTGGCCTGGAGAAGGAGGTGTTGAGAGAGAGGGGTGGGGGAGGGGGTAAGGACAGGCTTTGGCATACAACGCGACGCACAGAGCACACAAATTGTTGCGATGCACCACCAACATATTCTCCCTCGTCGTTGGGTGGGCCTAACCACGACGCTTGGTTTATATCCGCGAAACAGGACGCCGGTCTCGACTTGCAATTCACACTCCAGTGTATTGATTACAGTACTATGGTACTCCAAAAAGTCACTTCGCAACCTGCGGCATGGATCCAAAACTATTGAAAAAGGATTCGTCCACCAAAAGCTCCTCCGACATCGTCCCGTCTCCATGACGGGCTCTGGTGGGTTCAGATGGACGATCGATGACCGGGACCTCCCCGAGACCGCTCCCCCGGATCTCTTCATTCCTCACTCGATCATAGATGTGTCTCTTTCCCCCAAGGCACGGCTCCGCATCGGAAGAGGTCTGGAAGCACCTCTGTACGCCCTGAGCTCGCTGCGTTGTCTTGCGTCTTGGTATGCTGGCTTGGGTGTGATGCATCAGGGCCCTGGGGTTATTTCTGTCGGAGCACGCCATCACACCCATAGACGACTCGTGCCCACCTACCCCGGCCTTCAAGATAGCCCCGGGAGTAACGATACACAATGGTGTCGACACAGCTTACGGCACACAACCTCAACTAGCGCTGCATCCCAAGCGCGTGGAGGTGGACGCAGCAGAGCCTGCCTGTTCGAACTGCCCGCCCTTCACTTTCCGGAACGAACGCAGCGCCCTGTCAAAAGTTTTCAAACACAGGGAGCACCGGCCTTCTCGATAAAGCCGTAGAGATTACGAAGGACCAGGACAACGCCTCAAAAGAGAGGCCCGCCTTACGAGCGGTTGCTTGGCCCGTCCCCGTCCCTTGGCGCTGCCTAGCCCTGGCTTCCTTTTGGTTGCGGTTACGGGGAATAAGGTACCTAGGACGTCATACCGCTTGGGAGGTTGCACTGCATATACCTGCGACCTGGGTACCCCTGCTCTCTGGGGTCGGAATCGCATACCCCTACCAGATCACTATTAGTGCAGCCATTCGCAAGAGCAGGCGCTGATGATTTTCACACTGGCATGCCGCCCTCCACTGACGAGGCACACACCCCTCATCTTCTTTCCTTCCTAAACCCAGCTCGAAGCCGCCGAACCGATCTAGATCAATTGATTGACAGTCACGTTGCATGCTAATCACTTAAATCGGCCACACGAGGCAGCAGGGCTACCAGTGTACATACAACGTCACCAAAGCAGCACAATGGATTACCAAAGGCGGTTGGAGAAGGCCTTGGGTGAGCGACACGGAACCCGAAGAGGGCCCAACTCGACTCCAGGCGGTCAGACGCCGGGAGCGTAATGATGCACGGCAAAGGTCAAGCGACGGAAAGCCGTCGGCTTCTGCTACTCATTTGTGGCATGAGGCATCTTTCATCGTCGTGTGCTGAGATTATGTCCTCTCGCCTCAAGATACAACAGCAGGGTTCACACAAGACTGACTGTCTCTCTGGAAAGATGCCGCAAATAATGATGAATCTCTGGTTTAGAAAACCTTGGAGAAGAGGAGGAAGAATTATCGTGTCTATCGTAAGCAATGGGGATTCTGCCAGACGACCCAGTCAGCAAAGAAGCTTTACCAATCGGTTGTCCAGCAGGTATGGACCGCGTCGGTTGATCCCGATGGGACAACAGGGTTTTTGCGTCGGTTCATTCGGCCGGCAAGGCTGAAAATGGGCCTTGAACGCAAGCGCTGTTCGTTTACACTTTGATTGTTCCTGCCTGGGTGGCCCTATTCTGACGTGTCCTCGTTTTGGGAGAATGTAGTGGCGATGTGATTGAAATGTCAAAGTGGTTCGTGAGGTCGAGCCCACCAGCCGAGCCTCGTGCTGTCTCGTCCCACCTGCCCCGCAGGGCTCCAATTGTGTGGACGACAAAATGTGAGTGAAGGATGCGGGTTTGCACAGCGAAACGAGTAGCCTTGTCCCCAACGAAGACGTCAGAAGACAAAAAAGCGTCGGTACTTTTCCTGAGAAAGACCCCTGAATCCAAGCCTACATACACAGTATGGTGTGTACTATGAGTAGTGCTCTCTCATGCATACACTGAGCAATGCTTTGTCAATGAATCGACTAAAAAAGTTCGCAGCTTTTGCACCGCGCGATACGCGGAGACGGTGGGCCTCCCCCAACCGCATACCGTAAGCGGGATGTGAGAGGAGGAACACATGCGCCAGACGGCGTGCATGCAAGGTGCGTAGCAACGAAGTTGACAAAAACCTGTTTTTCCTCAAAAAAAAAAGGCTTTTCGGACCAGTCGTTTGAGCTTGTGCCGAGTATGACCAAGCCAGCCATGCTGATTCTCACAATTTCTCGGGGGCATCGACCGGCCTAGACTAAAGGATCATCCCGTCCACGACGTCGTCCACTAACCGTCACAAACCAGAAGAGGTCTGGCTGTCCGTGGTGGACCAGAATGGTGCGGCGCTAAAGCGGAGACATGATTTTTAGGCAGGGCGAACAGGCTCAGAGTCAAGCAACAAGGAGCTTTTTCGTCAAGAGGCATTCAAAGGAGGAGACTGGGGTCCCTGACTGCCGTTTGAAACCACTGCGGGAATTTCCCAAGTCGCGCTAGCCGTGGACTCTATTGTATGTGTGAGTGTGCGTGTGTGTTGTGTGCAGGTAAGTTTGGCACACCTGACGAAGGAGGCAGGTCTCCTAGGACATTAGAGAGGACCCGGGGAGCATGTCTCCGGCCACACCCGAATTGAAGGAGGAGGAGGGGTTATGCACAGGCCGTAACAAGAAGACGCACACGCTGTTCTATTATCTCCTGTCTTATTTCCACCCCTCCCTTGGACTGACTGCCCTGGAGCCAAGGAGGGAGAGAAAGAGACGCAAAGAGGGGGAAGGACACTGCAGGTCCGCTATTCCGTCTTCAGGACCATGCCACCTTGGAGGCCACACTCAAAAGCCAAGCAGCGTCCTGCCAGCTGCCGTCATCAGCCCTTGGAGGCGATAAACGCCGTTCATGCCCAGATAGAGCAGTATTCATGCCCTCGAATTCGGGGTAAGCAGAGGTGTCTGACAAGGTATCCTCCGCCTCGACGTCAGTCGCCTCTCCGTCCCCGCCCTCGTTGTCCTCCTCGTCCCTCTCCTGGACGGAAAACAGGGTCCAGCCCATGACGTTCCCGAACCAGGTATGAGGCCGGCCATGGCCCCTCGTGACCAGGCGCCTCACCGCAGCCTCATCGTCCTGGGCCGTGTCCAAGTCCATGCCCAGGGCCTCCAGCTCCAGCTTCTCGTTCAGGTTCACGAAGTCGGGCCCAGCCATGTATTCCTCGTCGCGCTCGCCCAAAAGGTGGTCTGTAAAGTAGCCATCCGACACGGCCCGCTCCCCAGGCGTGACGGCTCGGCTGCGGCTCCCAGTCCGGCTGCCAAAGGCCTCCTCATCGTCGAACACGAGGCCCAGGCTCCCCCGCCGGCTGGCGTGCCTGCTGGCGATTGCGTTCTCTCTTGCTATGCGCTCCCTCTCAAACAGGTCCGGGCCAGCAACCTCATCATCCTCATCTGTGCCGTCGGCCGAGCGCCCGAGGCTGGTCGAGCTCGCCCGCGACACAAGCCACGATTGGCCCTTGGACTCTCGCGTCTCACTGCTGATGACCACCCCGGCACGGAGCAGCCAGTCTCTGTCGGCGGGCCCGCGGGGGACGGCCGACGACAGCTGTAGTTCCTCCCACAGCTCCCTCCTGGAGCCTCGCCTGTGCCCGCCAGGAGTCGTAGTACCGGACTTGGGGCGAGAGGAGGACGAGGCAGAGAGGTGAGTGGCCGACTTGCTCTTGGGCAGGTTGGGCGAGGCGGTGCCGTGAGGGGTCATTGTGCCTTGACGACGGCGCGAAGGGGAGCGGGCGAGCAGCGAGGGCGTTGTGGGCGCCGACTTGCCCTGGATGTAGGAGGTGGTCTGGACAGAGAGCTCTGGATTGATCATGTCCGCGTCGTTGATTGGAAGTCTTGTGGTCAGCGGAGCTAGCGATAGGTGCTGGAGATTTGTGGAGGAGCGGTTCTTCCGCCTGGCCTGGTGGGCATTATATGCCTGCTCCATCTTTGAAATGTGTTGTGGTTTGTTTGAAGGGGGGGGGGTTGTTTTTTTTGTTTTTCGTGGGTTGTAACTCTTTGAGGGGATGTGTGGCGCCACCACTTCCCGGTCCTCGGTCCAGAAATCAGCCAATGCCTTGCTGCAATATTATTGTCAAGCCGCGTAGTAGTCGATTTGCCCTGCAGACGTCGCTGTCACACGCTCTTGAACAGGAGGGGCATCGAACGTCGAGAACGAATGTGGGCTGATGGGATTTATGGGCTGATTAAGGAGTGAGTATAGTCGCATCTGGGCTCCCTTCTACCGTCCGGGGCCGAGGCGTGTTTCCGAGGTTTCCCATGGGGAGGGAGGGTGTTTTCGGGGGGTGGAGCCTTTTGTTTTCGCATGTGCAGCAAAGCGCGAGGCATCGTTCGCTCTGGCCGTACCACTCAAAACCATAGTGCTACTACAGTAAAGCAGCGGTAAAAGGGAGGAGCAATTCACCCGCGGGGAGTTTAGTTCATCGTAAGCTTTGGGGTACCGCACATGCAATTGCATTTTCTGCGCTAATAGCGTTCATTAGCGCCCTTAGCACTGTAACGTCGGAGCGCAAAGGTCTCCTATAGTACAACCTACAGGGCCTATGTAGTGTGCACGGGCGCACTCAATTGGTAGGACCCTGAACCCAGCCAGTGTTCAGAGACACGGTTATGCTTGCCTAGCGATTGGAACTTGCTGCAGAGCTGAAGCTGGCACGGTAGGCACCAACTGTATCTGAGCTGCAAGGGACAGTGTCAATCGAGGTTATTCAAGCACAGTCTCAATGATGAATTTTTGAGATCAGAATGCGCAAAACCACGAACAAACTTCAAGACGGCATGAGGAGCATCAGCGACCTGACCACACCGCTGAATCCATTAAATCCCTGTCAGATGTACGCCTGCTAGCGGACAGATCCCAAGATGAGGAATCTTCGCAATGTTGGCTACAAGGTCAGCAAGGCTGCGGCTGATATCAGTGCGATCTGCTGGGACGCAAGCAAGGACGAGACGTTGATTACCTGCGGCCCTGCTGCTCCAGACCAGAAGATTGAGCTCTTCAGAGTCGCTGAGGATGTCACTCGTCATGATCTAGCACTACCTTTGTAAGTCTGCCCCGGTGATTCTGCGCTCAGAAACCCTCCCAGGAAAGAGAACATTGTCACTGAATTTTTCATCCACCACCAACCAGACTTTGTGAACGTATAGCATCTTGGGATGCGCCTAGTCCCAATCCAGACTTGCCTGTCGACAGGATAGTCAGTCTTCACTACTTCAGTGACTCGGCAACGACATGTCTCGTGCTCGAGGGCGGTGACATTGTCATCGTTGAGGAAGGCCTGGGCTCGGAGGATGTCCACATCGAGATCATGGGCTCCATCGATGCAGGCATCAGGGCTGCACAGTGGTCGCCGGATGAGGAGCTCCTGGTCATCGCCACCAAGGCAGACACCGTGGTCTTCATGAGCCGCAGCTTCGATGGCATCGCCGAGGCCACCATGACAGAGGCGGATATGTCGGCTTCCAAGCACGTCAGTGTCGGCTGGGGCAAGAAGGAGACCCAGTTCCAGGGCAAGGGCGCCAAGGCCAGAGCCCTGCGCGATCCGACGATACCAGAAAAGGTGGACGAGGGCAGGCCGAGTCCGAATGACGACGGCCGCCTCAGTGTCAGCTGGCGAGGGGACGGTGCCTATGTTGCCATAAATTCCACCGTATCTGCATCGCGACGGCTCATACGTGTCTACACCCGTGATGGCGCTCTCGATGGTGTGAGCGAGCCGGTAGACGGCCTGGAGGGGTCCCTGAGCTGGAGGCCAGCTGGAAACCTGATGGCCGGCATCCAGCGGTTTGATGATCACGTCGACGTTGTCTTCTTCGAGAGGAATGGGTTGAGACACGGCCAGTTCACGCTCCGCTCAACGGAAAACCTGCTTGATCCTGAAATGCATATCACTTTGGAGTGGAACTCGGACTCGACCGTCCTCGCTGTCTTGTTTGGAAAAACCGTCCAACTGTGGACAATGGGCAATTACCACTGGTACTTGAAGCAAGAAATATTGCTCAAGTCTCCTTGCTCATATGTGTCGTGGCATCCAGAGAAGGCACTACGCCTTGCCATGGCGTCCACAGGTAAGACCCGGTGCCCATTCCAAAGACACGGACAGTAATCCTTTTGACTGACGGAGATGTAGGCAATATTTTTCACACTGAATTCGTTTTCGCAGTGGCCAAGGGCTCATTGATGCCACCTCATGACTTTGGCGCGGTCGCTGTGGTCGATGGGACTTCCGTCAAGATCACGCCGTTCCGTACTGCGAATGTACCACCGCCCATGTCCATGTTTGAGATCGAATCCGGTCATACCGTGATAGATATTGCCTTTTCTCAGGACAACTCCGAGATGGCAGTGCTACATCTTGGCGGTGTTGATGTCTACGGCTGGCAGACCAAAAATGGCCGCTCAGTTGTGCCTCGCCTCTCCAAGAGGTATGCCTTTGGCTCTGATGGAGTCGTAGAAGGTGCATTACAAACAGGCTTTGCGAACAACGGCGACCTCAATGTGCTATACTTCAAAAACGGTCTTCGCATCTGCGGACTGAGCCCAGCCTCGGAGGCAGGTAGCCTGGCACTCAACGACTCTATCCAACTCGAGGAAGCGGTCCTCTTCCCACAGGCGACCTCCATTGACAACAGTTCCGAACTGTTGAACCCGGGCGACATGTGTGTTCAAAGCAAGTCTGGGAGGATATCTCGTCTCCCTGGCAATGCCGAGGCCCTCGAGTCGTTGGCCACCGGCTTTCCTCTTCAATTACCATGGGTTGAGATAACCCATATCGATGATGAGATGGTTGCATTTGGCATGTCCAGAAGTGGCCATCTCTATGCAAACTCCCGGCTGTTGGTCAAGAACTGCACTTCTTTCCTTGTGACCTGCGACCACCTTATATTCACCACTAGCAATCACTTCCTGAAATTTGTTCATCTTAATAAGCCAGAAGGTACGTTCTCACTATGGTGTGCTTCAGGAGCAGACCGAGCGAACGACTGACAATCACAGATCTTGAATTGGCGCCTGACGACCCTGAGAAAGACGAGAGGTGTCGAAGCATCGAGAGAGGCGCAAGACTCGTCACAGCCATACCGACGACAATGAGTGTAATATTGCAAATGCCACGAGGCAACCTGGAGACCATCTACCCCCGCGCCATGGTTCTTGCCGGCATACGACAGCTTGTCGACGAGAAGGAATATGGCAAGGCATTTGCTCACTGCAGGACACAGCGAGTTGACATGAACATACTATACGACCACAACCCGGAGCAATTCCTATCCAACGTTGGATTGTTCCTAGATCAACTCAAGGATGTGACATATATTGATCTGTTCTTGGCCTCCTTGAGCGAGGACGATGTCACAGAGACCATGTACACGGACACGAAGAAGACGAAGACCACGGCGGGCTTTATTCCGTCCGCGCAAGACACGCCCGCAACCACGGTGAATGGGGAAAGTACATCGAAAGTCAACGCTATATGCGACTCCATCTTGAAGACCTTGCAAGCACGGCGGGACACAAATCTGCAGAACATCATCACTGCAAACGTGTGCAAGAATCCTCCTGCCCTCGAGGACGGTCTGCTGGTGGTTGCACAGCTAATGCAAGAGGATGAAAGCATGGCAGAGAAGGCGGTTGAGCACATCTGCTTCTTGCAAGATGTCAACAGACTCTATGATCATGCTCTTGGCCTTTATCATCTAGACCTCGCACTGCTGGTCGCTCAGCAGTCGCAACGTGATCCTCGCGAGTATCTGCCATTCATTCAAGACCTCCACCAGAAATCTGATGCACGGCGCAAGTTCGCGATCGACGACCATCTGAGCAGGCGTGACAAGGCGCTTCAGCATCTGCACGCTCTCAATGCCTTTGATGAAGTCAAGGCCTATACCACGAGATATAATCTATACCAGACCGCGCTTCGTCTCTATCGTTATGAGACCGAGCGGCATAGAGACCTCACGGATCTATACGCCGCGCATCTTGAATCCCAGTCAAAGTACCGCGAAGCTGGCCTAGCCTACGAATCCCTCAACAACTTCGCTCGAGCCACAGCCTGCTACCGCGCAGCCGGCGCAAGCTGCTGGCGTGAGTGTCTTTTCACTGCACAACAGCAGGAGCCGCCACTATCTACCGATGCCATGGCCGACCTCGCCGCCGCCCTAGCCGACGCATTGTGGGAGGCTAAAGAGTACGCTTCTGCAGCAACTGTTTATCTCGAGTACCTTGACAAGCTCGACGACGCAGTCCGCTGTCTATGTAAGGGCTATCACTTCGCTGACGCGATGCGCCTCGTCGTGAGCCGCAGCCGCGCTGATCTTCTGGCCTCGGCCGTCGACACAGGGCTGGCAGATGCGCTGTCCAGCTCGACCGAGTTCCTAGCCGACTGCAAGGCCCAACTCCGCGCGCAGGTGCCCCGCATCGCCGAGCTGCGGCGCAAGGCCATCGAGGACCCGCTCGCGTTCTACGAGGGCGAACGACCCTCGGCGCTGGCAGACCTGCCAGATGATGTCTCCGTCGCCAGCTCGCGGGTGAGCACCAGCGCGTCGCTCTTCACACGGTACACCGGTAAAGCCGGGTCCGTCGGGACGGTGGGCTCTAATGTGAGCCGCGCGACGAGCAAGAACCGCAAGCGAGAGGAGAAGAAGCGCGCCCGCGGCAGGAAGGGTACGGTGTACGAGGCAGAGTACTTGGTCAACAGCGTGCGCAGGCTGGTCGAGAGGGTGGAGGCCAGCAAGGGCGAGGTCGAGAGGCTCGTCTTCGGGCTCATGAGGAGAGGGATGGCGGAGCGGGCGAGGGCGATCGAGGCGCTGATGGATGAGATTGTCGAGGCCTGCCGTGCTGCTGTGAGGGAGGTCTTTGGAGAGCCAGGAGAGATGCAAGGGACCCAAGAGCTGCAGCTGCAGCTGCAGCAATTCGAGGTGCTGCCTGCAGCCTTGGAGGGAGAAGGGTATAGGCCGAAGGGCCCTGATGCGGTGCTCCAGGCCTCTTTGGACGCCGTCAATGCTCGACAGGTAGCTCCTGTCATTACGGCGTTTTCAAAACTGTCTCTACTAGGATAGAAGGACAAGGAGTAAGGGGAAAGAAAAACAAAGGAAGAACAAAGAAGACCTGGTCGTCATGGCCATGCGGATGCATTTGATCTATTCCCCCAAAGATGTACAGCAGATTTATATCTCTATGTAAATTTAAGATGGCGGTGGCGCCGTACTTTCCGGCGGAATCTCTGGTGCTGCAAGATCCGCAGGCCTCACCTCGCTCCTCGCCTCCTTCTTCTCCTCAGACCTCTGTGCCATCGACACCAGCTCTTCCGGCACTTTCTTCAGGGCCGGTGCACGGTATGCATTTCGGGCCATGACCTGTCCAATCTTCTCCAGCATGCCGTCCGTCAGCACGGGCACTGGGCGCTGCTTCTTCTCCTCCCTGATCCTGGCGTTCAGCTCCTGCACCGGGGTCATCATCTCCAGGTAGCCCTTCCTGCGCGCGATCTTGGCAGCCTCCTCGGCCTCCTTCTTGGCGATATACTCTGGCTCGTGGCGTGTGCGGAATTTGGAGTACTTGTTGCGCAGCTCGTCGAGGATCTCGGCGGGCATGGGCGGGCTGAGGAGGGTGGGGACAAAGGTGTTTTGCTCGACGTCGATGCGCAGGGTGTCGCAGTCGTGGTCGGGCAGGGGATTCTCGAGCTCGTTACGCTCGGCGTCCTCGAAGTCGCGGGGCCAGGGGATCTCGACGTTGAGGCCCGGGACGGCGCGGCTCCAGGTCACACGGCCAGTGGGCTTGTCGCGCAGGATGCCGGTGGGCGTGAGCTCGTTGATGATCACGTCACGCACCTGACCGGTCTTGGGGTCCCGGAGCGGGTGGACGAGGCGGACGGCCTGGATGGGTACGCGGAGGGGGGAGAGCTGCACAAACGTTGTTTCTGGTGTGAGGTTGGACTTTGAGATGAACTCGGAGACGGTATAATTTTGCTGCAAGAGTAATACCGAGTGTCAGCTCATGATCATCTCGGCTCGGCTCGAATCACTTCCCAACTCACCTGCAACTGCTCGCCGTCAAGCATGACAGTTCCCTCGTTCTCGACGATCGTCCTTATAGTCCCTATCTTGCCCTTGTCCGGGCCTTGCATGATAGCCACCCGGTCACCAGCCTTGATGCACAGGTACTTTCTCCCGCCGGCCCACTTGCAGGCCAGCTCGATCTGCTTGTCGGGCAGGTCAGACATGGTGCGGGTCAACGACAGAGAGCCCCAGTAGGCGCCTGTCTTGCCCTTGACGGGCGTGTCGCGCTGCGGGGCGAGCGGTCCCAGCTCCCAGTCGTCGCGCCGCCTCTGCCTCGCCTCGGTAAGGCTGGCGTTGGCATCACGCACGGCGCTCATGCGCTTCCTAAAGTCCTGCCTCTGGGCTGCGCGGTTGACCAGGTCGTTCCTCTTCTTGATTCGGCGGGCAGCCTGCTTCTCGGCCTGCGCCGTCCGCTTGAGGAGCTTCTGCATCGTGTGGCTGTGTGTGTGCGTGTGCGTATGTGGGACCACACGCCAAACCACCTCTTCTTCTCGCTTCGCTGTGGCAGATGTTGGGAGGGCTCGACCGGCTGCTCGAGCCACTTGGGGGGGCTCTGGACGGCGTTGGCCTGTGGCGTGTGCGTTGGCCTGTGGCGTTTCGAGGGCGATTGAGGGAAGAGAAAAAAAAGTCGCTGGCGTGTGTTGGATGAGAGCATTCAATTGCTCGATTGGGAATTTTCGAGCTCGGGCCACTTTCTCCCGCTGCAGACTAACAGACAACAGATTGGTACAGGGGGATCCCTGGTTCCTGACTTTGGTCCCACTGTGGAAGTCGCTACTGTTGAAATGAACATGCATCATACTATGGTTGCACCTACTGACTTTCACAGGTCCATTAACAGGCTTCACACAAGGCCCTTGATCTCTCAGAAAACACTTGAGACGAAAAGGTACTACCATATTTTAAAAGGTTTATTTACAGATAAGACATGATCTGTAAAGTGCATTTCTGTACAACGTTCTAGAATTTACGGCAGCAGCCCAACACGCGACCAAGGATTTCTTTCAACAAGAGCAACAGCATTAGCAACAACAACAACAATCTTGAGATGGGATGTGTTCTTTGGTTTGTTGATCTCAACATTACTTAAACTCAGAAAATTCTCCATCTCACAATTGAATTAGTCAGACAGACTCGAAAAGTAGTTGGTTCTTCCAACACAAGGCCTGTTCTGTGCTGTGCTGTACAAGACTTGAGCTGGTCTCTGCCGTCAGTCAGTGGTACAGTAGGCCTCCTGCATATCCTGCCGCCCAAGTCGAAAGAAAGGGCGAAGTGAAACAGACATGTGCCTTGGGAACATTTAAAACATCTTGATCTTGCAATGGACACAAGAACCTTCTCTTCCTCTCTCTCTCTTCCTCTCCTCCCTCTTTGTCATCTCTCTTCCTCATCTTCCCCCCCTCAATTGCCAATCCGGAAGAAATTCTCTCCGCCTCTGACAGCCGCTACTCACCGCGTTTCGCGCACACCAACGCGCGTCGTCGTCTCTTCCACGTAAGAAGCGCTCCTACTCTGAGGCTCTTAGCCTGTCCTTTTGGGTCAGATCTGTCGTACGACGCTGCAAGATGGCGTACTATACCGACTCATCCTCCTCCGAATCGGAGGACTTTGAGGATGTGATTAACCAGGTCGTTGCCGAGGAGGATATAACTGGGGCGGCATGGTACGATGGACATCTCTCGGAGGAAGATTCTCCTGGGGGGAAGCCTCGTCCTAAGGAGCAGCTTCCCAAGGACATCGTTAAGATGGATGCCAGGGCGTACCAGCTGGAGATGCTCGAGGCCAGCCTCAAGGAGAACATCATTTGCGCCATGGACACAGGCTCAGGGAAGACACATGTGTATGTTTCAAACAACAGTCTCTCTCTTGTGCGAGCCTTCTAACCCGCTTCCACAGGGCTATATTGAGAATAAAGGCAGAGCTTGAGGAGATGCCCGAGGGTCAGGTACGTCCACAGGGCAGCACATTCATCAGAGAAAACATGTCGTTCCCTAAGCTATCCCTATTGAATCATAACCAGGTTCAGCATCATGTAGATTCCTGCTGACCAGCCGGTTCCCAGGTGGTCTGGTTTCTCACGCCCACAGTGTCCTTGTGTGCTCAGCAGTACGCGGTCGTGAAGGCGCAGATCCCCTCGGTCCAGACCAAAATCGTCACAGGCGCCGACAAGGTGGACAGCTGGTCCTCTACAACCTGGGACGGCGCCCTCCTCAACGTCAAGGTCATCATAACGACCCCTCAAGTGCTTCTTGACGCTCTCCTGCATGGTTTCGTCAATATCTCATCACTCGCGCTCATGGTCTTCGACGAGGGTGAGTGGTATGAAATGAAACATCCATCTTTGCATCTTGCTAATGACAAGCCGTAGCTCACCACTGCAACAAGAATCATGCCTATAGTAGAGTCATGAAGGAGTTCTACTGGGAATCCAAGACCAAACATGAACCAGTGCCTCGTATCCTGGGCCTGACGGCGAGTCCGGTAGTACGCTCCGACATCTCGAGCCTCAAACGCCTCGAATCCACGCTAGACGCTGTCTGCCGGAGCCCAACAAGACACAGAGAGGAGCTCATAGCGAACTCGCAGCGCCCTGCCCTGTTCAGTATCATATACAACCCGAAATTACAGCCCTACGCCGCTGGCTTTTCAGAGTCCCTCACAAAACTGATGGCAGCTCGCAACAAGCTGAACATCTTGGAGGATCCGTACGTTGTGTCTCTCCGGGCCGAGATATCTGATCGCTCGAGGAGAAAACTCGAGAAGGCGATCAAGGAGAAGCGGACGTATGTACAGGATACCATGAAATCGTTCTGTAGGAGGAGTATGGAGATGGCCAAAGAGCTTGGCGCCTGGGCTGCGGATTGGTTCATCTCCGAGGCGATACGGCTCTTCCTGGCTGGCATTTATAGGCAGGGAGCTTCCAGCAAGAGCTTCAGGGACGCTGAGGTGATCTTCCTAGCCAGGGTCTTTCAGGACGCCAACATCGAGCCTCCTCCACCCCTGACTACACACTCGGGCCTGTCAGAAAAGGTCCAGCGGATCATCGAGGTGCTCCTGAATTACGACAAAGACGCGAGAGCAATCTGCTTCGTCAAAGAGAGGGCTACCACAGTGGTGCTCTCCCACATATTGACAACCCATCCGGAGGTCAGCAGCAAGTTTCGCATAGGAACCATGGTCGGTACCTCTTTCGTGCCAGGCGTGAAACGCGATTTCTTGGACCTGCCCGAAACAGGCGGCTCTCAGTGCCTGGAGGCCTTCCGGGAGGGCAGGAAAAATATGCTCGTGGCAACCAGCGTTCTGGAGGAAGGGATTGACGTGCCTGCTTGCAATCTCATCATATGCTTCGACAAGCCGAACAACCTGAGAGCTTTCATCCAGAGGCGAGGTCGGGCCCGCATGCGGCAATCGCATCTCTACCTCTTCGTGGAGGACGAAGCCGAAGCTGACTGGGAGGCTCTCGAGGCTCAGATGAAGCTACAGTACGAAGACGAGAAGCGAGAACATGAGAGACTCGAAGCAATCGAGAACTCTGAGGCTCTTGACTACCCTGAGGAGTTGCGCGTCGAGAGCACCGGGGCACGGCTCACCATCAACGACGCGAAATCACATCTGCAGCATTTTGTATCGACTCTGGCATCACGTAAATTTGTCCAAACTCAACCCGACTATCTCATTGAGAAAGTGAGCCAAGGCTATCAACCCGGGGACCAACCCCTTCTGAAAGCTACCGTGTTGCTACCTGTCTCGGTGCCCCAGGCCCTCCGCCAGGTCACCAGCAGCAGAACTTGGGTGTCTGAAAAGAATGCGTGCATGGACGCCGCATTTCAGGCCTATAAGGCTCTGTACGAGGCAGGACTTGTGGACGACCACCTTCTGCCCCTGAGGGACAGATTGGAGCTCGAGCTCGAGGTTCGCCCTGGAATGAGGGAAGTCCGGGGGCTGTACAATCCCTGGCTGAGCATTGCTGCGGCGTGCACTCAAGGAGACGTACCGCTCTGCCGCCGAGCCTTAAAGGTGTCGGACGGGAACAACTCAGAGCTCTGCGAGTTCGAACTCGCCATCCCTGTTGCTCTGCCTGAGATGAAGCCCATGGTCGTGTGGTGGGACCATCGCGCCCAACTGACCCTACGCATAGACTCGGATGCGGTGATGGCTGACACTGATGTGCGACATGCGGATCAGACCACCATAAACCAGCAGGACCATACTTCCGTTCTCTTGTCACTGGCGTACGGCCATCGCAACATGACCATCCGAGATGACTGCATTCTGCGCCTTGTGTCCAAGTCTGGCCCGCTTTCGATGGAACAGCTTGGACAGGTCGAATTCGCCCCCGGCCTTGTGACAGCCAATGGATCGAGTTATCTGGTGCGCGACGAACGAGACCAGTCTCGACATCCTTACTACTTTGAATCTGTATTGCCGTCCAAGCCCCCAGCCGAGTCCATTCGAAAGGTGTACAGGGGCTTTGATGAAGACCCGACAGAAGCCACCTATTTGTCTGTAAGAAAATGGCCCAAGAAGACAGGCTTCTTCCACCGACCATGTTCTCCTCAGCATTCTCCCAGCACAAAACCTTACGCCTACATTCTGCCGGCAGAGACAACCACAGTTGACCGCATCCCCCTAGTGTATGCGCAGATGGGTCTGCTCATGCCTTCTCTAGTCTGTTATACTGAATTATATCTGGTGGCTGCTGAGCTTTCAAGGAAGGTGCTGGCACCACTGAGAATCTCCAATGTCTCGATGCTTGTGGAGGCCATCTGTGCCAAGAGTGCACGAACTCCAGAGAACTATGAGAGGATTGAGTTTCTAGGCGACAGTATCCTCAAAACATGCATTAGTAAGTACTCGCAGCATAAATCATGACGAGGCCGAGACTGACACATTCATCACAGCTGTTAATCTTGCCGCAACAAGTGAGTCTATGGATGCCAGCCGTCACCCCCAAAGCCCTACCACTCTCCTACACTGCTAGTAGCCGTCGTTGCGTACTTTCTTTGTTCTTTCTCTCTCTCTCTCTCTCTTTCTCTCTTCTTTTTTTTCTTCTTCCCTGTGGGAACATGAGCTAATGTTTTTCTCAAGAACTGCACCTGCCCGAGGGCATTCTGTCTCTTATGAAAGATAGACTGGTCTCGAATGCCAGGCTGTGCCGGGCAGCTTGTGATGCCGAGCTAGACCAATTTCTTGTCACCCAGCAACTTGTAACGAAGGGATGGCAACCTCCATACATGTCGGATCTGGCCAAACAAGACCAGGAGCCAGAATCTAAGCGCATATTGTCACCAAAGACGCTTGCGGACGTAGTGGAGGCTCTCATTGGCGTGTCGTTCGTCGATGGCGGACTGCCAAAGGCTCTGGAGTGCATCCGTCTCTTTATACCGGAAAGCCAGCCGCGGCCCTTCAGCGAGGTGCGAGACATCCTGTTCGGGGCTGCCGAGCCGAAGGGCATGAAGCTTCCTGCAGATCTGCAGCTGCTCGAGCAGCTGATTGAGTACAGCTTTTGCGAGAAGGCGCTTCTCGTGGAAGCCGTAACACACCCAAGCTACAATGTCAGCGGAACAGTGGCGTGCTACGACCGCCTCGAGTTTATCGGCGACGCCATTCTCGACTACATCATCGTCGAGGAGGTCTTCGCCCTCGAACCGGCTCTCGAGAACTGGCAGATGCACCTTTTGCGCACGGCACTTGTCAACGCCGACATCCTAGGGTTCCTGATCATGGAGTGGAGCTACAAGCAAATGGGCTTCGAGGTCTGCCGCGCCAACGAAGGCGACAGCGACAGCAAAAGTAGTGGCGACAGCACCAGCGACAAGGCCAGCCCCAGACTCGAGCAGACCGAAGTCCCCATTCCTCTCTGGTCGTTCATGAGGCAGTCCTCCGCGGAACTCACCATGGAGAGAGAGATCACCAAGGCGCGTTTCGAAGAACTCCGCGATCCCATCCTCGAGGCCATGCGCTCTGGCACGCACTACCCCTGGGCCCTGTTCGCCCGCCTCCACGCGCAGAAGTTCTACTCCGACTTCTTCGAGGCGCTGGTCGGGGCCATCTGGGTAGACGCGGGCCCTGGTTTCGATGCCTGCAGGGCCTTTGTCGCGAGATCAGGTGTCTTGCCGTACCTGAAGAGGCTGCTGAGGGATCAGGTGCATGTGCTACACCCCAAGGAAGAGCTAGGAAGGCTGGCGGGCAGGGAGAGGGTGGAGTATGTGGTCAAGGAGACACTCAAGGATGATGGTGATGGGAAGGAGTGGGCCTGTGAGGTGAGGGTCGGCGGTCGTTATGTCACGGATGTCACCGGTTGTCTGTTTAAGGAAGAGTCAAGGGTAAAAGCTGCCACGCAAGCTTGCGAGATTTTGAAGAGGAAATAGGCGCAGGTCTGGGGTTCGGACCGACAAGAATGCCTTTTCTTGACTCACACCACTAACCATGACGGCAAATAAGGAAACAAAGAGAGAAGAAAAACGAGCTTCTGCAATGGTAGACATGGATACGTCGAACTCCAGTTCTGGACAGGATCATGACAATTCAAGCCCAAAACCTCAAGCAGACACAGTCCCAGAAAGGGTCGTCGTGGAGCTGCGAGCTTCTGTAGGGGAAACCCCTGGCTTGTATAAGCCTATTCTGTCTATATATAGGTGGTCCTGGTCCCCCCTCCTTCCAGGGGACAGACTTAAGCTTTCCAAACTTTCTTACAACCCTCCAAACGTAGCCACTTCCCCCTCTTGTCTCCTCCAGTTTCAGCAAAAGGATCACTGCTATGAAAAAGATAATTAACTGCAGGAGAGTAGACATCAAGCATAGAGGACCCTGGGATTAGAGCTCCGTAGCAACACTTTCTTACAACTTTGGGGTTTATTTTGACAGGTTTGACGCGTGTGGAAACACTTGACTCGGGTGGGAAAACGTGATCACTCCTGAAGGCGTGCTGGTGGTCGTGCCATTACCCCTTCAGTTCGTTCCTAGTTGCTGACCTGACTTCTGGGTAAGTCTCTCATCACAAGAATGTCGCTGCAGGGGAGGGTTCGCGAGACGTTGTTCCGCGTCATAGACAAGGAGACCTCACAAGCCTCGGACAGGATGGCGAATTCACCTTTGCCGAGAAGGCTCTGAAAGGACGATCAGTGTCTCATGGAGCTATGTAAGCTATAACTCTTTCAAGGTCTCAAAAGTGCACGAAATTCTTATGGTGAGTGCTGATCAACACCAGGCTCTCTGCAGCTGAGCGCACCACAGACTCAAACAGGCGACGTCTCGTGTATTATAAAGACGACACAGCGAAGCCACTGGCGGTCTTCGAATTCAAGTATCGCTCTAAACGTGGGTCTGATCATGACTGATTGTTTGCAAAGAGATCAACGGGATACACATTAACGGTAACTACAGAGGCTCTCCAAAAAGAGATGGTGCTACCTCGACCGCAAAGCCCTCTTGTGGAGTCTGAGCTGGACCGACTCCCGGAGCACGAAGTTCGGCGTCTGGCGGGCTTGTATCTGTCGCAGAGCCAGGTAAGCCCTCTCCCAGAATATGACCATAAATTATTTACCTGACGTCTGCTCATATTACTGGAACAGCGAGGCATCAAGCGATCTGCGAATGTTGAGGTCAAGGACGAGGGCCCCGAGGCTTCTCAGCCAGAGCGGCCGGTGAAGGCGATCAAGACGAAAGAGGGCGAGAAGGTGCTGGTCGATCTCACCGGAGATGACTGAACTCTGCAGACCTAACAACGTTCTTGGGGGATGCTGTATGTTAGATGATCTCGGCAAGATATCAGGATCTTTTTTCTGTGGGAAGCCCAACTAGTTGTTTTGTTTGTTCCTCTGTTTCTTCTGGCTAGATGCATTTACACAAAGTGTAAATTTAATCATCTATATCAGTAATGATGTAATGAAACTCATCGGTTGTCTTGGTCAGGACCACTTCAGGTGCATTGATGATGATGACGACGACGTCTCTTAGCCCTCTTTGATCAGAGATGGCTGTTGATTCATGAGTGGCTCTCTTCCTCGATAGCTCTGGCCATCGTGATTCAGGTTCTACAGTCAGTCAGACAAGATTTGACAAAATCGAATCATGAAGACAAACAGGTGTCTGCTCCTTGACTTTGTATGAAAAAATGAGTGTGGCCAGTATCATAAGATTATACAGCAACCCATTGTTGATAGACTGAAAGCATAGATATGCAAGTATTGTTTCAAAACGGTTGGTCTATGTAATAAATTTGGGCAAGTATTTCCATGGAGATTTGGGAAGCCGATGATGTGAAGTCTGTCCTAATACAAGAAAGGAGGGGCAGTACCTTGGAATGCATTCACTAGACATCCAATTTATACTACTGGCATGCCAATTTTGTATAATAATAACTAAACAGTTGTTTCAATATTCTGGTTTCTACTTCGCCTACATTGGAAGTATGGTGTTGTTATGCTTACCTAATACAGAGTAATAGGCACTTACACTACTGTATCTTTATAATCACAGCATTCCTGAGGGTACTTTAGGTGAGGATCTGACATCATACTGTGCTAGTCAATACTTTTGAAAGTATTTAATTCCTCGCCACCAAGTCAATTACTACTGTTTCGTACTACAGTGGAACAAACTTTACACCAGAAATTATCATCTCGGAGCAAGCGTGCGATAGCAATGTCCTCCAAGACCTGTTACTGCTGAGAAAAGGGTGGTGTCATTGCTGCAAATAGATGCCCTTCCGCCCTCTTCTCCTCCGTCCAGTGTGGCGAGTCCCGACCACGACCTGCTCGTTTTCCCTCCGACGCCGCATATCCTCCGCAATGGCCGACCACCTCATCAACAGCGGTAATGGCATCGCGCCAGCTTCGACGACGGCGTCTGCACACGAGTCCTCCACCGAAGGAGACCAACGTCACGAGAGCTTGAAGAAGCAAGCGCAGTCCTGCCCTGCAGCCTCTGACCACGACGGCGGCGGCCACACCCTCGCCTCTCTTCCCAAGTCATGGCGCTTCACCACCCTCCTCCCGCCCGATCCTACCTTCCCGACGCCTGCAGAGTCTCACAAGACGCCACGCGACCAGATCACACCTCGCCAGGTGCGCGGCGGCCTCTTCACCTGGGTGCGCCCCGAGCCGCAGGAGGACCCCGAGCTCCTCGCCGTCTCCCCTGCCGCACTCCACGACCTGAACATTGCGCCCTCCGAGGCCACCACGGACGAGTTCCGCCAGCTCGCAGCCGGGAATGTTCTGCTGGGCTGGGACGAGGCCAAGATGGAAGGCGGATACCCGTGGGCGCAGCTGTACGGAGGCTTCCAGTTCGGCCAGTGGGCCGGCCAGCTGGGCGACGGACGAGCCATCAGCCTGTTCGAGACGACGTCCCACAATAGCAGATATGAGGTCCAGCTCAAGGGCGCTGGGATGACTCCCTACTCGCGCTTCGCAGATGGCAAGGCCGTGCTGCGGTCCAGCATCCGCGAGTTCGTCGTCAGCGAGGCGCTGAACGCGCTGGGCATCCCGAGCACCCGCGCTCTGGCCCTCTCCCTGCTGCCGCACAGCAAGGTGCGCCGTGAGACCATCGAGCCCGGTGCCATCGTCGTGCGGTTCGCCCAGAGCTGGATCCGCCTCGGCAACTTCGACATCCTCCGCGCCCGCGGCGAGAGGCCCATGATCCGCAAACTGGCCAGCTACGTCGCCGAGGAGGTCCTGGGCGGCTGGGACCGACTACCTGGCAGGCTGAGCGACCCATCTGCACCCACCGAGGCGCCGGATCTCGAGTTTCCGCCCCGTGGCGTGACCGGCAGGGACGACGTGCAGGGCCCTCCCGAGGCGGCTGAGAACCGCTTCGCGAGGCTCTATCGAGAGGTCGTCCGGCGCAATGCCCTTGTCGTGGCGAAATGGCAGGCCTATGGCTTCATGAACGGCGTGCTGAACACCGACAACACGTCCATCTGCGGACTGTCCATCGACTTTGGGCCGTTTGCCTTTCTGGACAATTTTGATCCGGCGTATACCCCCAACCACGACGACCACATGCTCCGCTACAGCTATAGGAACCAACCCACGATCATATGGTGGAACCTGGTCCGCTTCGGCGAGGCCATTGGCGAGCTCATCGGCGCGGGCGCCACGGTCGACTCGGACAAGTTCATCAACGAGGGCGTGTCCGAGGAGGGGCCCGAGGCGGACGAGCTGGTGGCACGGGCCCAGAAGCTCATCGAGCAGGCCGGCGAGGAGTACAAGGCCGTCTTCCTGGCCGAGTACAAGCGCCTGATGACCGCCAGGCTCGGCCTGCGGAGGTTCCAGGAGCAGGACTTCCAGGACCTCTTTAGCGAGCTGCTCGACACCATGGAGGCGCTCGAGCTGGACTTCAACCACTTCTTCCGCCGGCTCAGCACCATCAGGACCGCCGACCTGGCCACCGACGACGCGAGGCGGCACAAGGCCGCTGTCTTTTTCCACAAGGAGGGCATCAGCGCCACCGGCGTGTCCGAGGACGAGGCTCGTCAGAGAGTCGCCCGCTGGCTGGAGAAGTGGCGCGCGCGCGTCCTCGAGGACTGGAGCGCGGGGGCCGCGGAGGGGACTGTCGACGACGCTGCCAAGGAGGAGGAGCGCATCGCCGCGATGAAGCGGGTCAACCCCAGCTTCATCCCGCGCAGCTTCATCCTCGACGAGGTTATCAAGAGGGTCGAGAAGGGCGGCGAGAGAGACGTGCTCCGCCGGGTCATGCACATGGCGCTGCACCCTTTCGAAGACGAGTGGGACGGTAGAGAGTTCGAGGGGTCATTATACAGTGGAGACAAGGACGAGGAAGCTCGCTGGACCGGCGATGTGCCCAAGTTCGAGAGGGCTATGCAATGCAGCTGCAGTTCGTGATTGAGCGAGCACACACGCACACATACACGTATAGAGAGAAAAACTTCAATTGGATTTGTATAGGTCTTATCAATGCCACTCTAATAGGTTTTCTGCTTCTAGGTTTCTGTCTGTCTGTCTGTGTCTAAAGCATATTCGTATTCTGCTGCCATGTTGCCGTCAAACAAGGCCAATATTAGTTTTACCAGCAACTTTTCTTCTTTGTTTTTTTCCTTTCTTTCTTCTGGTGCCACTTTCTAGAAGCCCTCCCAGGTCTCTCCAACCGTCGCTGAGTAATTTATTGTATCCAAAGAAAGTTTGGTAAGGATGACTTTTGATCGTATGCTTGCGTGACAACACCCTTTCTCTAGGGCAGAGCCTCGAACTCGTCACCTTTTTCGTAGTCATCGGCAATCTGCTCGCTCTTGACCCTCTCCAATTGCTCCGTGATGTAGTTGCGCATGTGCTCGTCGGCTTCAGCCTTCTGGCGCAGGTCGTCTGGGTTCTGGGGGAGCACGACACTACCGCCCCCTGTGCTGTGATACCCATTGTCCTCGTAGCCATTTGCCTCGCTCTCATCAAAGTCACTGCGCGCTCCGATAGACCGCGCAGTCGAGGACCGCCGGAAGTGAGGCTTCGATGGCGATCTGGGCAGGATTTGCCGGCTGAGGACGTCATCGAAGTAATGTGCCATGCCGACAGAAGGTGTCCGCGGGGTCTGCGGGAGCCTGCAGTTGACACTATTGAGATTTTGTTAGCGATATGATGTATGCATAGCGGTTACAAACAGATAATGGTTTCTGCCCTGCTGCTTACCCTGTGTCATGAATCAGTCGGGCGATCAGACCCGTCCAGCCGCACTGATGCGTCGCTCCCAGTCCGCGACCTGTGTCGCCGTCAAAGAACTCGTAGAACCACAAGTTGTCCTTCCAGAGAGGATCAAAGTCGAGCGTGTCGTTGCCCCCATTGATGCTCCGTCGGCCGTCATCGCCTCGGGCAAATAGGTGCTGGAGGCGGTGCTGAAGCTCTTCGGCGACGTGACCCAGATGCATGTAATCGCCGGACCCGACAGGACATTCGACCTTCAGGCTCTGTCCAAAGAACAGATAGTACCGCTGCAGCGACTCGATGAGGAGGAAGTTGACGCAGATCCAGATCGGGCCTCGCCAGTTGCTGTTGCCGCCGAAGAGCCCACTGTCAGAGTCTCCCGGGACGTAGCCTACCTTGAACTCCTGTCCGTGCACTTCCATCGAGAACGGGTTCTCTTTGTGATACTTGGACAGAGACCGGATGCCGTGGGGGCTCAGGAACTCGTCCTCGTTCAGCATCCGCGTCAGCAGCTTCTCGAGACGGTCCTTGCTGACGATAGACAAGAGGATGCGGTCCCCCTTGCCGCGCTTGCGGATGCTGTGCATGTTCCTTTCCGTCACGTCGGCCCTGTGCTTCATGAACCATTCCAGCCTCCTCTTGAACGAGGGTAGCTTGTTGATGAGTTCTGGCTCCAGCGTCAGCGTCGCGTACATGGGAATCAGGCCAACCAGCGACCGGACAGGCAGCTGTTGGATCCAAGGACCCCCCCACGAGATTGCGTCGTAGTAGAAGCCGTCCTCTTCGTTCCACAACGACTTTTCGTCTTTCTGCCCCGTCCGGAACGTCATGGCGTCACTGATGAGAATGAAATGCTCAAAGAACTTGGAGGCGATATCCTCGTAGATGCGTCGATGTTTGGCGAGCTCAAGGCTGATGTTGAGCATGCAGAGGCAGTAGAAAGCCATCCAGCCCGTGCTGTCAGCCTGCTCAAGAGTGCCGCCTGTGGGCAATGGCTCGGATCGGTTGAAGAGTCCGATGTTGTCCAAGCCCAGGAAACCACCCTCAAACACGTTCTTGCCGTCAACGTCCTTGCGGTTCACCCACCAGGTGAAGTTGAGCAACAGCTTCTGGAATACGCGCTCCAAAAAGTCCAGATCCTGTCGGCCGTACATCTTGCGCTCGATCTTGAAGGTTCGGAACGTCGCCCACGCGTGGACCGGAGGATTGACGTCTCCAAAGTTCCATTCGTACCTGACTGCAGCGTTAGCTTTCCCTTCATCATTCATAGACCGAGGAACGTAGGACATAGGGAAGTAAAAAGAACTCACGCAGGTAGCTGGCCGTTTGGATGACAGTACCACTCCCGTGTAAACAGGTCGAGTTGCTTCTTGGCAAAGTCCGGGTCGATCATGGCCAAGGTGATGCAGTGGAAAGCGCTGTCCCATGCAGCAAAGAAAGGATACTCCCACGAATCCGGCATAGACAGAATATCGTCACTGTGCATGTGCTTCCACTGCTCGTTACGGATGGCCTTCCTGTTGGCGGGCGGTGGTGGTTGGGTCGGGTCGCCATTCGCCCAGTGGTCCCAGATGAACAGGTAATGCTGTTTGCACCACATCATACCCGAGAAGGCCTGTCGCTGGATGTTGCGCAGGTCATCAGACATGGGCAGGGGGCTGATCCGGTAGTAGAAATCGTCGGCCTCCTCCTTGCGCCGCTCGATGATGTCGTCGAACTCTTCTTCATCGAGATATGTCTCGGTCTTCTTGGTAAAGCGGAAACGGACAACTTGGAGAAGTCAGCGAGGGTGGTCCGCGAGTAGGTCAGATTCGTTGTCAAAACATACCAGCGCATTCACCAGGAGGAACACCCCCGGCCTCATTGAATGGGAACCAAGCAGCACACTTTGTTCCAGTACGAGCGGGGTTCACAGCGTCCTTCTCCCCATTGACAATGTGGCGGTGGAACGCATCCTTGACATAAGGTTGGGGGTTTTCGCCCTCATAGAGAACCTCGAAGTTGGTATCGTTTTCGGTGAAGATCATCTGAGGGTCAACGTCTTCTCCGCTGGGACCAACACCGGGAGAGGGGGAGAGCAGGAAGTAGCGGTCGCCCAGTGAGTGATGCTTGGACTTGGCCATGTTCTCGGCAAACATGCCAATGGACGGCTTGTTCTCCTCGGGCTCACGGCCCCAGGACCAGGTGTTACGAAACCAGACATGAGGAATGATGTGCAGCGGCTTAGCCTGCGGTCCTCGGTTCCACGCAGTCACACGGAAGAGCAGTTCATCCGGGTCATCGTCCTCCTTAGCCGTCTCGATTATGATATCCCAGTACTTGTCATCCTCGAAGCAGCCAGTGTCCAGGATCTGGAACTCCTTATCTTGCTTGCCGCGCCTTGCGTTCTCCTTGCGGAGCTCATCGTAGGGAAATTCGGACTGGGGGTATTTGTACAGGAATTTCATGTACGAATGCTAAAGTACCGGTTAGCTCTTGAGTGTGATTGATCAACACCTTGCATAACCGAGGTGTGGTATGTATGTGGGGGTGGGACGGCTTACAGTCTGCAGCACAATTTGAGCGTCAGTAAGAGGTAATTTGACAGTCAACGGGAGCGGGAGTTACTACTGACTGGAGTATTGTCGAGGTGGAAATGAGCCTCCTTGACGCTCTCGCCATGGTTACCCTGCGGGTTGGACAGGCCGAAGAGCCTCTCCTTGAGGAAGGGACTGATCTGCCGTCAGCGTTCACGTCCAGCAGCACAGCCTTGGGGGAGCGGAGTATGCAAACGCACTCTTCACCGTTCCAAAACGCAAAGGCAATATTCTGCAGGCCGTGTGTATCGCAAACACCAGCAATGCCATCTTCACCCCAGCGGTAGGCCCTGGATCGTGCGTGGTCGTGAGGAAAGTCTTGTGGAAACGGATTAATACGTTAGCTGTGCTGTCCAGACTCAATCCGACTCAGGATCCGGGGACCCCAGATTTTCAAGCTCATGGAGCTGGAGGTGGAGCTTGGAGGAGAGGGCAGATGGTGGTTACTTACGGCTCCATGCGTCACCATCGTGACTGTAGTCCTCTCGCACTGCAGTGTCGCGGAATCAGTTCAGAACCTCTTGCAGCCACGCGCCCAGTAGGCAGAAGGGCAGTCGTGGGAGCGGTATGGGACGAACCTGTGGCCCATTGTCGCTCAGCGAGATAGGAACCCCACTTCTTCCAGTACTTTTCACGGTTGCGGTCTTCCTTCAGCCGCTTCTCCTCCGCGGTTAGGAACTCATGGTTATCGAAGACGACCATGGTTGGTTTGGTGGTGGTGGTTGTGGTGGGAGGAGCAGGTCGAGACTCAAGGGTGCGCCTAGGCTGGACAAAAGCACGGCCGGGATCGAAAAGAAGTCAATTGAAGGGCAAAGGCCAGCAGACAGAGCAGGCAGCACGAGGGCGTCGAGAATATCACTCTACCGCGACTATCCGAAGCTATCAGAGAACGTGAAGAGCGATATTAAACTGGACACAGGGCTGGAGGAGTCGAAGGCCGCTGGGCAGAGCTTGGAGGGAAATGTATAGGCAGTATAGGACTTCAAGGTCTTGCAAAAACAAAACAAGAGATGGCCCTCGAGGTTGTAGAGAAACGAAGAAAGGCTGCAGCACTGGGGTGAGCACGACTAAAATTCTCGTGGCCAGGAGAGAAGAAGAAGGCCAGCGGGCACCGTGGGAATGGACGATACTAGGTAACTAAGTAACGGTAGTACTAGTAGTAATATCTATAGCGTGAGCCGCCCCTGGTGGGCTAGATTCCTACCTTGCTGCTTGGCTCCTGCAGGAAGCCTGTGCGATAAATTCGGCAACAGAACTCCTACGTCCCTAGCTAACTGGCCTCTGCAGGTCGTCATGCAGGTCCCTATGCCGCCAGGGCCACCAAACAGCTGGCTTGCCTGGCGCTGGGCTGACGATGGCCAACTAATCCATCCCGAAAACCCTGTTCACTTTTCCCCCTTCCTTTTCTTCCTTCTCTCTCGCTCCTAAAAAGACACGATCGGTTGATCGCAAAAATCTGTTTCTTGCTCCCTCAATTCTATGGTCCTTCACGACAGACCTCTATCCTCCTCTCTCTCTCCTCTTGACAATCCTGTGCGATCGCTCTCATACATAGTATTACTCCGACATAATATGTAATCTCTATTGCTCCCCCCGAATGATGTCATTCAGCAACCATGGTCCGGAGCTACTTGAGCGGACACGTCTGGACCGTTGCTCCAGGCGTCTCATATCAGCAGAATGCCCCACCCCCACCAAAGCTGGTTACATGGCCGAAGCTCCTGTCATTGCGGAGCACGTCTTGCTGACCAACGTGCCAAGTTAAGACGCCCCCACAAATGGAAGAAGAAAAAAGAGAGGGAGGGAGATGGGCCAAAAAAAATAATTCGGGTCCTGGGTCGTGGCACGGTAGTACAGGCAGATGCTCACGCTTCCTGCGGGCTTCTCAAACTGCATCTGTTCTCCTGCAAATCATTGGTTTTGAGTTGCGCCCCCTGCCGACGAATGATTGGACTTAAACCTGGCTGGAAGACGCAGGTCATTCTTGTACTGACGGGCGGGCCTCGTAGCGTCTATTGCACAAGAAAGAAAAGAGTAAAAAAGAAAAAAGGTCACGATTCATGTAACGCCTCGCTCTGTACTAGTAGTGATGATCGTGCTATGGTACATAAATCGACAACATGGCTTGCATGGTCCGGGTTGATTGTCACCCTAGCTCTATCATCAAAGTCTGGGCCGGGGAGGTGCCGTGGCCTCGTCGTTGACAACAATCTCCTGGCTCTCACTCTGAGCCCTCTCGCCGTTGCCGAAAAAAATGACCTGAACTGTGAGATCGTCCCTGCGCAGTGAGTTGTTAGTGCATGCAACAGAGACAGCTGGGCCAGAAAGGATCCACACTACCTGTATCGCCGCGAATATGGAGACGGGAGGGTGAGCAGGGCGGACACCATCTCCTCGTTCTTTCCACCCAACGCGTTGCGGATGAGGTGCGTTGCGACATTATTGTCCTTGACGACAAACCTGTCGTCGTCCCTGGAGATGCCCCACTGCCGCACGCGTATCGGTGTCTTCTGGCCGTCCCCGACCACGCCCTCGCTGCCGTGCTCTACCGGAAGACCGTTCTTCTGCGCCCCAAAGATTTTGGACCACACCGAGTCGAACTGCGAGGTCGAGGCCTTGCTCGTCTGAGTTTCCAGCCATTTCCCGACGAGGCCGACGACCTCCTCGTTAGTCAGCATCTCCCACAGCCCATCCGTAGCCAGAACCAGGAAGTCACCCTTCTCGGGGTGGACCTTGGTGGTCGTCACAACCGGTTCGGCCGTGACATAAGGCGGAGTCTTGAGCAGGGGAGACTGTGCCCGGCCGAAGAAGGACTCGCGCAGGCGGCTGGCGATCTCCTTGCTCCATTTGTAGCTGGCATCACCAAAAGCACGGGTGGGCTCTAGACCGCCTAACACCCTGCCGTTCCGGATGACATGCTCCTCGCCGGGGTGCAGCTTTCGCATGCGGTTGGCCTCATCCTGGTTTCCACCAGTTTGGTCCACAGACAGAGGCGTGGCAGTCCATTTACCATTCTCAGACCGTCTGCCCAAGACCGCACGGGAGTCCCCGGTACAGGCCACCCGTAGCAGGCCGGAGCTACTGTCGTAGAACGACAGCAAGGCGCAGGAGCCCGACAGGGCCGGGGCCAGCAGCTCTGCAGCGACGGACCTGGAGTTCGACTTGAGGACTTCCTGCACGCTCTGGTGGACAATCTCGTCGTCAAGACGGGTGAAGCCCTTCTTGATAGCCGCGTCGACCGCGTCCGCGTTACCGCCAGCCTTGTACGTCTCGTTGAGCTCGCGCGCCACGTAACTTATCAATGTCTGGCGGAGCTTTGCCGAGGTCGTCCAGCCCCTGTACACCCGAACGGTCAGCGGCATGATGCCAATAAGTGTCATTTGGGGGCTTGTAAATGCCATGAACCTACGAGTGCCCATCAAACACGCCCCAGAACATCCAGTCGCTGCCGGACTCGGTGTTCGCCCGGACAGGGACCTCCACAATCTTCTCGGCGTGGTCGTCCTCGATCGGGTTGTTACTGGGCAGCTGGACCTGATCGTATCTCAAGACGCCCCTACCTCTGTTGACGAGATACGACTCCTCCATCTTCCTCAGCTTCTGGGTGGACTGGTCGGGTGTGAGCATCTCGACGACAGTGCGGCCCTCGTCGTCGGTGGTCTTGGTGATGGGCCCCTCTCCAACAAAGGTCCCGGTCTGTAATTCGTCGGCTCCTATGACGAGGATAGAACGGGTCGGTGTGGTGTTGTCGAGGCTCGTCGGGGTGCCAGAGGACGACGAGGAGAAACCTTGGGTCAGAGCTTCCGAGTTGACGGTGGAGTTGCCAGTGTATGTGTACCAGGCTCCGTAGCCCACGAGGCCGGACACCAAGCCGACGATGGCGCGTCGCGTAACCATGGAGGACGGCGGTTTGGTCCTGGAGAAAGCCTCGGGTTGGGAGCGCGAGAGGTAGGCAGACGAGGTCGAGAACGAGAGCCGGAGGGAGTGGTTGTAGTAATTGTTGTTGTTGGAGGTGATGTGAGACGACTGGTGCTGGACGCTGGGGCGCACGTATGAGTAGAGGCCCCTGCGGCTACTGAGAGCTCGGAGGTGGGAGAGCGCTCGGAGGTGGGAGAGACCTCGATGGCCTCGGACGGTACCCTGACACGACCGAAGCCATTCCACTGCAACGCGACGCATTGGGAGTGCTGTCGAGGACTCGCGAGGCAATCCTCACCAGGCAGCGTCGATTGTGAGCGGGCTGGAAACTGGGAGGTCGACGGAGCAGATCAGTGCGTATGAAAGTACGCAGATGACTGCAGCAGCAGCAGAATAAACTACAGGTATTGATTGCTATGTCACTACCAGGTTCATTTAGGGGACCACCCACCTACCGTCCCCCTGTCTTTTAGGGTCTTCTCAGCGTAATAATGGCCCGTGCGCGCTAAGCGCTATAGGCTCACGTCACAGCAGGTCATAGGGCACTCGGTAGATAAGGTACTGTCTAGCAGGGTAGATGGCCGCACTTGTTCTGATGGGATGGCATTTTATGGACAAGAACCTTCCAAGTAACAAGCCATAATGGTGCAATCAATCTTGGACGAGGGTCTGTCCGTTCATTCTATCTGTGCTATGCAGTAGTCTAGTGTATTTAGAAGGGGGCGTTGCGGAACTCCAACACCTCCAACTACAGTGACCAGCCCGCCGTTACATGGGGTCAGGTACACCAAGTGTTCGTCTCGCCGGCGGGCACCTCCGCTACGGTCCGAGCAGCTTGACTCCGCTACGGTCCCGACCCGGATCCCACTCGCGGGGCTTCCTCTTTCCATATCCCCTCTGAGGACTTTCTGAATCCTCTGGTACAACCGACTCTGCATGCTCAGCTCACATAACCAGTGATGCTAGAGGGGTTTGGCTCGAAAGCTGCACCTCTTTTACCAGCCTCTCGGACCTCTCACCCTGCCTGCGGGACCACGTGCCAGGATCTCGTACTTTGGACTCTGTGAATCTCGCTTCATACCATCCATATTGCCACAACCTTTCAAGGCTCGATTTGTGAGCAGATATAATTCTCCTGGCAGCAATGGCTGAAGCGAGTCCCACAGATGCCCCGCCCGTCCAAGATGGCGAGTCGACGCTCCGGTCCTTTCACGACTACAGGTGGGACCTGGACAAGGACTTCCTCGTAAGTCAAACATAAATAAATAAATATAATCAGTCATCTCTGTCCCCCAACCGCCTGCCCGAGACGATAGGATTTGATCGAGTCACCGAGCTCACACACAAGGCACCCAAAGGGAGGCCTCGTCTTGGCCCTCGGCGGCCACCACGCCCTCGCGATGAAAGCCTCCCAGGCCGACATCATTATGCACTCGCGCATCTTCTACTTCGCCCGCATCAGCGGCCTGACTGTCGCCTACGCTACCTACAGGGCCTGGCTGCGAGAGCAGTATCTGGCTGGCCAGCAGCCTCGCATATGGGAGTGGACACTCCTGGAAGCACTGTGCGGCCACCGCGACAGGCTTGCCTCCAGGACCGCTACCAACCCCCCCTCCTCCTCCTCTGCGCCTGGCGCGGTGGCAGAGGCTGCAGCCGAGAAGGAAGCTTGGATGAGGCAGCTTCTTGGCTCCGAGACGGGGGCTGGAGCTGCACATGAAGACCCGTCAGCTCCAGATTGGATGAGGGCCGCACCCAAAGGCGAGCTATACGTTGAGCGGCCGTCGGCTGCCAACGAGGACGACGAAGAGTCCGACCACGTCCCCTACCCAGAAAAGTTCGCTGCCATCATCCAGGCGGTGCAGTCGGGCGAGCCGGTGGAAGGCATCATACAGATTCCTGATGTCGTGGCCAGGAATCCGGTGAGTAAAGCGTCGTTTATCCCTCCCTATTTGGCTGGCATGTCAGCTGATACCAGCAGACTACAACGCCCTTTGGCTCGATGCAGAGGCCTCGGAAACCCTGGGAGAAAGATCAGCCCGTGGCAGACGGTACCTCGGAGGCGAGGGGGCATGGACTGGAGGGTGCTCTCGACCAGTCATTCCCTGAGCAAGAGGAGACGGCAGAGCTGGCTACATGACGAACCCAGTCGAGCCTACTATATTGCAGTCGGACCCTTCTCGCCTTCACTGCACTATATTCAGGGTCATATATACTCGCTGCACTGGCGACTAGAATTAGGAGCATACATAAGATACCCAAAGGCAGAGCTCACGAGATTACCACACCCACATATAGTGTGTCGGCCCCAAAGGATTCAACGAAGAACTTGCCGTTGAAGCAGTAAAGATCCAGCAGTACTCATTAGAAGCAAACGGTGTACCTGGATGACGCTGTATAAAGTACTGTGAATACAGCCAAATATGAACTAGCAGAAGGGGGATCCTCTCTACAACATAGCACAAGCACTCTAGCAAGCCCATTTACATCTACACAGACACACAGAAGTCTATCCTCTTTCTTCTTCTATTTCTCCTCTCGCCTTTCCTCTCCCTCCTTCCCCTTCCGAGACAATAGCCTGGTTACGATTGCAGACAGGTCTGCCACACACGGCAATATCACTTTCCCTGATCACCATTGCGAGGAAATCATCTCTTGCAAAATTGATGTATTTTGTCTTCGTAGCGACCCTTGACTCCTACATATGTACAACAAAACCTGCTAGCATGCCCGCAACCACAACGGAAAAAGAAGCCCCAGGAAGCCAGGTGATTTTTACCGTTTATTACAGCCCAGCTAATCACTATGCACCATACGCAACCTGTCCCATGGGTTTATCTTCCTCGATACCTGGAGCCACTGTGTTTTGGTATTAGCATGGTTCATGTAGCTGACGTGGCTCGAGGTCTTGAACAAGTCACTTACTGAAGTTCGTACGGGGATCTCCAGTTGCCTTAGCTGCTGAGCAACGGGCCATTGTTGGCGAACTATGAAAATGCTGTCAGCGGAGTCGCAGGTATTGTAGGATGTCCGCGGACCAACGAACCTTCTCGAGATGGCGTCTGTGAAATAAAAGTTCTCAATAGGGAGCTTCAGAGGTGCTCCAGTGGTCTTGGCACCCTTGTTCTGTTCGACGAGTTGCACCTTGCTGAGCTGCTGAAGGGCAACGGGCTCGACAACATCGTAGGCTGCAAGGGCAGGGCTAATCTCGACCATTCTGTCGCGCAGAGCAGCAACGTCATCATAGGGCAGAGGAGCTCCGAGGAACTCGCTTGCTGCCCGGATGATCTTCCAGTCGGTACGAGCAGCACCAGGGAGTCCTGTTGCGGCCCTTGTCATCTGGACACGGCCTTCGGTGTTGACATAGGTCGCGTTCTTCTCCGTGTACGCAGCACCCGGTAGGACGACGTCGGCAATCTGCGCGCCCTTGTCACCATGGTGACCCTGGTAAACGACGAAAGCGTCCTTCGGTATGTCGGCCTCGTTAATCTCGTCCGCGCCAAGCAGCCAGATGAACTTGGGAGTCGTCTCGGCGACCTCCGCGGATGGTGTGACGAAGCCGACCTCAAATGCGCCAGCTCGAGATGCTGCCCTCTGGAGAACATTGTAACCATTCCACTCCTCGGTGATGAAATTGGCTGCATTCTTGTCGACAAAGGCGCCAATGGTCTCATAGAATGCCTTGGCATCGGCATGATCCGTCACGCCAGAGCCCACAATGACCATGGGCTTCTTTGCAGACGAGAGCTTCTTGCCAAAGGACCCAGACAGGGCCTTCTTCAGAGCAGCCAGGTCGGTGCCCAAGTGCTCAAACTCGAAGGTGGAGTCGAAAGTCTCACCGACCAGGCCGACCTCGAGATCTGACCGGAGCCACTGCTTCCGGATGCGTGCATTCAGCACGGCGGCTTCGTGTCTGGGGTTGCTACCCACGATCAGAATCGCGTCGGCCTCCTCGATGCCCCAAATCCGAGAGTTGAACAAGTAGTTGGACCGTACGTCGACACCATGAGCGACAGGTTGGCTACCAGAAGGCATGTCGAGAGCAAGGTTCTCGGAGCCGAGCTTGTTGGCAAGCTCCTTAATGGCGACCATGGACTCTACATCCACCAGCTCACCAGCGACGACCTTGAACTCGTTGCCTTTCGGCGCCTTCTTCTCCCAAGCTTGGGCGATCTCTGTGAGGGCCTGCTCCCAGTCTGCAGGCTCAAACTTGCCATCTCGGCGTATGAGAGGCAGAGTGAGCCGCTGTGTCTTCAGGCCGTCGCATGCAAACCGGGTTTTATCGTTGATCCATTCCTCATTGACATCGTCGTTCAGCCGGGGAATGACACGCATGACCTCGAGGCCACGGGCGTCAACCCGGATGTTGGAGCCAAGTCCGTCCAGAACATCAATCGATTCCGTCTTCTTCAGCTCCCAGGGTCTTGCACGGAAGGCATACGGCTTGGAAGTGAGAGCTCCGACGGGGCAGAGGTCGATGACGTTGCCGGAAAGCTCGGTGTCGAGGTTCTTCTCCAGATATGTACCGATCTGGATATCGTTGCCACGGCCCGTTGAGCCCATCTCAGGTGCTCCGGCGATATCGTTTGCGAACCGGATGCATCTCGTGCAGTGGATGCATCGGTTCATGGATGTCTTGACCAACGGGCCGATATTCTTATCCTCCACACCACGCTTCCCCCCAATCTCGTGAAATCGTCCGCGGTCCGCTCCGTATCGCATCGACTGGTCCTGAAGGTCACACTCGCCACCTTGGTCGCAGATGGGGCAGTCGAGGGGGTGGTTGGCCAGCAGGAACTCCATCACACCTTCTCGGGCTTTGTGGGCAAGCGGTGAGTTGGTCTTGACGACCATTCCGGGTGCTACTGGCCATGCGCATGACGCGACGGGCTTTGGTGCTCTCTCGACTTCAACCAGGCACATACGACAATTTCCCGCAATCATCAACTTCCTGTTACATGTTCGATTAGCTTTCGACTTCTAGGGCTACGGGTCGGGTGAATGCGGATCGGGTTTTCGTACTCGTGATAACAATATCTGGAGAAGTCTAGGTCAGCAGAGTAGTAATGAGGGGGTCCAAAGAAAGGGACCTGGCATACCTTGGAACGGTCGATCCAGCCTTCTCGCATGCTTGGATAAGAGCCGAGCCGGCTACGGCACTGTCAGACGAAGACGATTCAATTGACACCGGAGAAGTACTGTACCTTCTATGGAGACTTTCTTTCCATCTTCGAGGGTTGTTAGCAGATATTCCCGCACCGCGGATACCCTGGAGGTCGTGTCCACATACCAATTGTGAGCTCGACCTCAGCAGGTCGTTGAGTTGTCGCAGAGAAAGCTCTGGCGGCGCTGGCCACCGGTCGCCTGCCGTTCCGCCAAGCCGAACGTGCTAGAGTCTGTCGCAGCATCGTGTCGCCCCGACGGAGACAGAAAAAGGGGAAGGCAGAAGGAGGAGGAAGAAAGAAGAGGTGGCGGCGAGTGTAAAGTCGTGTAGGCCCTTGAGGGATGGATCGTTTGGAATAGTTGACGTCTCCAGGTTCGAAGTGGCGCTGGAAATGCCCGATTACCAAGTGCGGGGGTATGATTGGCTGGAGCTGCGATGGGGCCCACTCTGGAGCTCTCGTTATAAAACTTCACGTTCGTTGGCGGATCCCGCGTTTACGATCTACTTTTTTCCTCACCAAACAAAATTGTACCATGTGCACATTTATTGTGGGTGGGCTCGAGCATGGTTCCGCGCAAGCAGAGCCTGTGTATCGGTCGAGCTCTCCTCTATCTTGTGCTCTAGAATAAGTTCAGACGCCGATTATGGAAGTATGTGAGAGCCAATGTGGCTCAATGTGCAATGCCTCTTACCGCCGGTCGTTACATCCCAAAATCTCCTTCACGAGCTCGTGTACAAGACGATAGTCGCAACTAGCAAGGCGTGTCTTTCCCTTGCATCTTGCAAGCCATGTAACATCCTACTGATGATCTGTTCACGTCCAATGACCATGTAGTGACCTCTCAAAATGTGCTGCCTCCACATGTTGTTCGTCGGCTTCGGCAAAATGAAGGCCAGCCAGAATCCTTGAAGCTCTCTTGCCTCTATGGGCATAAAGCATATGCGACCATCATTTGGCAGCAGACACAGGAGCGGCTGGTAGGAGGGCTCAGGGGAACGCTGTTGATGATCCCGCCAGCGCCACTGGGAGGTCTGCAATGTAATGGAGAATCCCACGGTCATTATGGCTGCCGTATCGCCATGTGCAGATCACGGCTGTCTTTTCGCCCTCTCAATACTTGTGTCCAGACCTTGCCGTACGTTCTTGACGTGTTTGTTGCTATATGCCTCCATCTGCTTTGCACCGTGGTGCGCCACGTCAAGGAGCTCCCGCGCCGTTCGTTCATGGGGCGGCAGTCCAGCAGGCACGCGGACAGGCGCGTTGCTGTACTCAGCCAGCTTCTCCGGTGACAGATGGTAGTGGAGATGAGGGTTTGCGGGGGCCTCGACGTTGGCAAAAAGCTTTTCGGCCTCATCCCAGCCGATTTCCTGTGGCTCGTGAGGTACAGAGAGAGGACCCTCGAGCCTCTTCTTGGCCGCGGCGATGCGGCGTCGAGCTTCACGTTCAAACATGAACGCCAAATTTTCTCTCACCGCTTTCTCGTTGGTGTCTAGGTTGTCTCGCATTCTTTGCAGGTACTCAATGCGGTTCTCAGCCGGTCTCATAGGCTGCAGGAGATCGTCTTTGAGCGGGACGAAGATGGCGGGAACGGTGTGAGTAAACGCCACTTCGTCTTCACCTTCCTCGGGCGGAGGTGAGTCCCGCGTCGCGTCAGCCGCTGCGGCCGGCGTGTCGCACCCGAATTGAGCTTCACCTCCAGGGTTACCAGTACAAGACGAGGCCATTTTAGGTATCCGGTATCAAGCTGGTTGTGACGAGGGCGTTGCCTTGAAGTTGTCGTTACAATAGGCAAGAGGTTCCGCAGTAGCGTCGAAATTAGTAGTGTTCTCGACCGAATGCCTGGCAGCTGCCGGAGGGAAGGATGCAGAAACAGGTTATGAAGCCTTCTTAAAGCACGAGTTTAACCCTTGCAGGATCTCTGTCGTCTCAATGTTCCTACCCAAGAGGCTGAGCGTGTGACTTGGTGTCGTTCTTGTTATCTGATAATGCGACGTAAAAAGAGATCGGAGAACGATACACAATTGGCCGACGCAAAGTCCAGCTGTGAGGGGCAGAACTTCAACCTGGGAAGAGCACGGCACAACACCACTTCTATACATTATGTCCAGGACAACTTTCCTGACAAAAAAAATAATAATGTTCGAATGGGCCTCGTTATCACAAAGAACTGTGGTCTCAATATAGATCAATGCCACACAACGCCACACCCAAAATGGCTCCACAACGGTCCCTTGACCAGTGTTTCTATTGGGAAATTCTAGTGATAGGTTCTTCAAAGCGAATTCCTCTATTGACGACTCTGTGACAAAACTTCTGCGATGAGCCGGGGCTGGGTGATTGGCATCTCTCCAACTGCGGATGCGACGTTCCCAATGTTGTATAAATAAGTAACTCCGGTGGAGGGCGTATTCTGGTATTTTTGCATTTATCATGATTCTCCTAAGGATATATTATCAACGTGCAGGGAGCTGGAAAAAAACGCAGCCGTGTTTCTACACTCCGGGGCCTTCTTCTTGAGTGGGATCTGGCACTGCTTCTCAATGCAATGCACAGAAGTAATGTGATGTCTCATAACCCGGTGTACCGCTTCCTAGCGCACTTAAGCAGAGGTGGAGATGGACGACGTCGGTCTCTCCTGACAAGCTGTCAAGGTCTGTCGAGACCAGCTGGTGCACGTGCTCCCAATACACCAGTCGCCCTTTCGCCCTTTTGCCCTTTTGGAGGGCTGGAACTTGCTTGTCGGAGAGTGGGTTGGGGTTGCTGAGCTACTTGTGGAAACCTGGACGGCTTCACCTCTCGGATGCACGGCCGGCTCTTCCTTCCCAGCAATCAAAGCTGTTGTTAATTTTGGGCTTCAAAGTCCCAAGCTGCCTCTCATCTGGATGGCAGGACCTTGCGGATGTACTCTCTCCCAATTTTGAGCGCAGCCCGGACCAGATCCTCCAGTCTTCTGTCCCTTCTCCTTCGCATCCATAGCAGAACCAGAGCCAGGAGGAACGCATCGAGGACCAGATGCTTCATGACAACCCATAATATCCAGCCCATCCAGGCGCTGAGACTGCGCTCCTTCTTCAACCGCCACTCTCGGCCTGTCGTGATTTGCTCTCTGAGGGCTGCTATTTCCGTAGATAGTCGTACGATTGCTCGCTCCATCTTCTTGGACCATTTGTCCCCTCTCTTGACGTACTCGCCGTCTTCATCAGGATCGCCCGCTGCCATACGCCTCTGATAGTCATGTTCCGCCTCGTCCTCCTCGCTCATCGGGCTGAGGACCTTCAAGGGGCCGTCCGTACCAGACATGGGTTGTGCGAATCGATGGGGGCCACTGTCCGCACCGAGCTGCTTTGCGGAAAGCTCCGAAGAGCTGGGGCTGTTGTTTTTGATCTGGTTCCACACAAATTCGAGCTCGGATACCAACTCGGCTGCATTTCTGCGTGGCGAGTGTCAGCAACTTGCTCAACTCGTCCAGGGCGGGGTCATCTGAAGGCTCTGCCACTCACGGTGTCGTTGCATATTTGTGCATAGTCTCAATGAGTGCCTCGATATATCGCCGCTTTGCCTCAGTCCTGCTGAGGCCTCTCTGCGAATCCCAAGCATCCCACTTATCCTGCTCCCGCTGCAGGTCATCCGAGGCCAAGCCGGTTATTACACTCGGCCTCTCCATGACCCCGTCGACGTCGCCCTCCATTGCTTGTTTGTAGAGGCCATATAGGCGCATCCGGTCTGGGGGTGGCGGTCGCACTGCTCCAGTCTTGGGTATCTTCTTGACGGTGTTGAGCGCATGCACAAACACCCGGTCTGACGGTGAGATGTGACGTTAGATAAAGCCTCGTCATTTCGCCCCCATCCACCTTGCACAGCAAAACTTGCCTACTGAGTCGGCCATGTCTGGTGAGGTCTGCGTCCACCGGTGCCAGCGAGGGCACCAGGGCGACCGTCTGCTCGTGGCAAAGAGACGCTTCGGCGCGTGGGATCTCCAACCACCGATGTACGAAGTCACCAGGGCTCTAGGTGGCTTGCGATTGGGAGGCCGGACTCGTGCGGGAGAGACAGAACAAGAAAAAGGACAGGAAACAAGAGAGGAACAAAGGACGTGGGACAAGTACGCATAGATTAAAAAAAATACGAAGAATTCGAGCAGACGCTTCTAAATTGTCTCATGCAACGTAAATGGTAGGTCGCTCGACTGCCAGTTCATGCTCCCGCGAGAAGCGATGTTCTGCAGTGGTTTTGGCGCGTGGTGAATATGGCGGGACCGGTACAATGCATCTGATTGAACCTCGGCGTAATGGTAATGGCTGGGCTGCTAGCCCGCGGACCCCAATTGAAAGGACGGGGACCCCTGGACTGATCGACAGCCCTGTACTTACATAGTATGACTGGCACATGTCATTCATTTGCTTAGTGAGAGCACCCGTCTCTTCTTTCCCCATGTCAGATCCCGCGCATTGAAAATGAGATCAAGACAGAAACGGAGCGCACCACCTATTGAGGTCGTATATTTCTTTCTTCCGTTATCGCAATCTTTATCTTGTATGAATTGGAATTCGATCATTATAGGTTTATAGGTTTGAATGGACTGGCGAAATCCATAGTGCACAAAACACAAACTTTTCAGATGGAAGCTTTGCAAGATGGGGTATCGTCTTTCTTCATAGTATCAGAACATTTACCAGAAACTTCATCCTCCCGCTTGCGAATACTCAGAACTGCATGCTTGCTATGGCTGACAGTTGGATGCGAGACAACTGTGGCTTGTTATCCTAGAAATCCAGACCCTTGGAGGCTCCCTCTTGCGCTGCGCGTTTGTTCTCCTGCATGACCCGCTTCTTCTCCCTGTAGGTGTTCATGAGCTTCTTGTTCTCGAGCGCGTTCTGCGCCGCCTTTTCATTTGCCTCCGACTTCTTCTTCGCAGTTCCTATTCCCAGCTGCACCGTCTCGCCATAGCCCACTAAAAACGACCCCTGCGTAAAAAGCTTCATGTTCGTCAGCGGATCCCTCTTTTGCTGTCGTCCCTCGTCTAGAGATCGATACTCGATCTGCACCCGGGGCTCACGAAGAGCCAGTTCACCGGAGAGTCTGTCCTTTGCAGATCCGCTCTGTGCCTTCTGCGGCTGTTGATCCGCCAACGTCGCGCCCGAACCCATCGTGGGAGCTATAAGTGATGGCGTTTGCTCTCCTAGCCACTTGTTCTTCTTTATCTGTTCGGAAATCGTGGTGCTCCAAAGCGCTTTGAGCCAGGATGCTGTTCTCGACACGCCTCTGATAGGATCAGAGAGGATGATGGCTGCAACGTGAGCCTCAAAAACATCGCCTAGCACCTTAGCACGCTCCTTCGAAGAGGCCTTTGTACCGCCTTGGCGGCCGTCGAGTCCGTATTCATCTGGAACGACAGCACGCTTGTCGAAGCCGTAGTGGAGCGAGTAGTCCTTCAATGTCGCATTGCGAACAAGCACTTCCCGTATATGGCACATATCACCATGCTTCAAGTTCGGGAATGTGAGAAAGATGTATGCTGTAGACATCAAGTAGAGGTAGGCATCACCCAGCCACTCCAGCTGCTCGTAACTTCGATCGTCATGATTTTTTACCGCCCCGGCGTGAGTAAAGGATGCCAGTTCCAAGGACGGGTCCAGGATGCGGGGGACAGGAGGCAACTGCGGTGACACGTCCGATGGGGTCCACGGAGTAAGGATGGGCACCTCTGGCCGATGGTCTTCAGAAGCCTGTTCCGCAGTGTCGTCGCCCCTGGCGAGGGTCTGAATGCTCGGCAGAATTTCTTGGCTCAACGTTGTCAGGCGCTGCCTCAAGACTCGGTCCGCACACCTGCCCTGGCTTTTGAGAGCCTGGAGACATTCGATTAAATCATCAGCACGCCCTGACAAGTCATCCAGCGCGTCTGTCGCTCTAGACTTTTTTGTAGCAGGCTTATCGCCGAGCGCTTCCTCGTGTCGGCGCTTTGACATCTGTTTGCAGTTCGTCAGATTCAGATCTGATCAGGGTATTTCCAGGCTGACTCTTACATTTCCAAGGTCATGTATGTATGCACTCTCTCGTAAGGTGTCTCAGCCCTCACAGGGATGGTGTATGGGATGGTGATAGCGTAGAATGATCTTTGCGAAAAAGCGAAAGAATAAATACAGGAATAGCTGCCTGTGAGGTCGCAGGTACTTAAGAAGAGAGAATTCGCGGTTTTCACTGTGTCATTGGGTAGAATTTACTGATAACATGGGTAGGTACAAGGTAAAGGCTGTACTGTACTATGACTTGCTGCTGTAGGTATGACGGGCCGAAGCAGACGCTGCTGGTCTCAGTGGGCCCCACTTTCAAAGTTTCGACCAACCAGAAACTTCTGCTTGACGTCTTCTTGCCGACAGGCAGGTACGACTTTCATCAGTCACAGACTCTCCCGTTCTTTCACTCAACTTTTCGATCCTCAGCAATGTCATGATGTCTGTCCCTCGAGAAAGGCTCCTGCAGCTCATGCAGGTGAGGAGATGCCCCCCAGCTCAAACAACATTCCACACTGCCCTACTGACTTCCTTGGCTAGGCGCGATGCCGCATTTTTGCGACGACCTACAATCCAGACGGCATTCGAACCGGTAACAAGATTCTGCGACAGAGGTTACGGGGGCCGGCGCTCGCGGCTTATTATCCTCGAAAGATGTTCACATACAGAGAACTGGCTGATCTATATGGACCCGAACTGGAGTTTACAATCGAGGAGGAGGAAGATCGACTCGAGCAGATTGGATTGTAAGTTTTGTTCACGTGGCTGCGACGCGTAGACTTGTTCTTGCTGACTGTGTGTGTAGTTTGAAGGCGCGTGGGAAAGGCGCACCGAAAAAGAAGAGTGGTCCTCCAGGTGAGTTTTGCGTGTTGCTTGGTGAATAACCTGGCCATGAGACTGACCATGACTTGCGCAGATGCGAAGGGAAAGAAGAAATAAGACGACGGCTTCGCTGTTCAATACAATACCAGTTCGACCACATGCGAAGTATTCTATACGCTCTGATGCCACTCTGATCCTGTTCCGTTCCTTGCACCGTCAACACCTGGCCGTTGTTCCTGGGGCGGTCGAACCTCATCGAAGAAGACCGAGTACAAATGTAGCTTTGGAAGCGCATGGTGATAAATGCCTTGGGATCTACGTGACAGGCTGTGGAAATGGATGGCATATGTGAGATGATGAGCCCCTTGGAGTGATGAATCTTGGGCTCACATTGGGAGTACACGGAGTTGAGCAATCCGTGACCAAGTGATCTCATTGGACAATTATAGAATTCCTTCAAGTTTGGCCGGTTTCGAGGACCGATAGGGAGACAACTTGAGGTCAAGAAGACATACAGTTCATTCAGACGCCAGAGGGTGGCACTGCTGACATTATATAGTGGCAATGCTAGTGGTGCCTGATATACAGAGTATAGTACCCCTTTCCCTTTTGTTCTGGTCTATCTGCCTTGTCCATAAGTCACGATCTAGATGTTGTCACCATTTGGTGACTCCAGCCGCCCCTTTCAAATATTTTCTCAGGGGCTAGCCTCTCTGACAGGCTGGAGTCTACTATGTCTTATATCGCCTAAGATTGTGTATGGAGGAAGGGACTGCTGGGACTACAGGCTGGTCTTGACATTTTGGAGATGTTATGGGGAAGGGGTACACTGGACAAGGCACATCTTACTTGCAAGGCAAGACAAGACCCCAAAGGGTCAAGCAGATGCTGCCTGTGAATGAGGGCGGGAGCTGCCTTTTACTCTGTTGAGAAAAGTGAAAATTTTGGCCCGACATGGAAGATACTGTCAGCTGCTAAAACGGTGAAAGGGTGGTTACTTCCAAAAACTGACACCTCCCTACCTTCTCCTTCCATCTGGAAATTTAAAGGCCAGGCTGCACATCTTCGCGAATAACAATTTCCACCTTCTTCTGCACCCATCTATCTCCCCATCTTCCTCCCTCTCCCTCCTCTTCTTCACCACACACGCACACACCACATCACACCTTTTCTCTTTCAATCCACCATACATCCTCCTCGTTTGGTCAGGATCTACGTGATCTCAGCTTATCTTCTACCTATCTCAGCCCTCAGTTAAATTTCCTGTCCATCAGGACGCACCTTTGGAATAGCACGTGCCCAAGGGGCCCTTCCTGTGGATACAGTCGACGATTTGATATTCACGCCATGCCTCAAGGCGAAAACGCTCCTTTCGACGACCCCTCGGGCGTACCTCTGGCCCTCAGGAAGGTCGTCACCCCATTGACCACATCCAAGCTCGTCAACCAAAGTTCGGTCAAGGTGAGTGCCTCGTGACCTGTACTTCAATCGGCGTGGAATTTAATGATTAGTCTCTAGCCCACCCACGATGTCCTCGATTCAAACCCAATGGATAAGCTCTTTGCAAAGCTCTGCGAGAACCACGACCAATCTTCTAGCCAGAATGACGGCTCCGAGGGTGCTGTATCTGCCCACCTCTCCTCCTGCAATTCCTTGCCCATCACCCCGGCCACCGACTCATTCGTCGCCACAGTTCCTTCCACTCGACCTGCCAGCGCAGCTCCCAACGATCGAGCAGCGTCGGAGGAGCTTGTTCGACTGAAATTGGAACTGGCCAAGGCCCAGAATCATATTTCTCGTGTTGAACAGGAGTTGGCTCAGACACGCCGAGATCACCAGGACAGTGGCCGTGCGACTCCCAATCTGTCCTCTGACTCGGACTTTACTGGCGGTGCTCCCCTTCTTGATCCTATTGGAACCAAACCTTCGGGCATTGCACCAGTGTCAACCTTTCCTAAGCCACAAGTCACTCGAGAGAACCACTGGCAGACTGCCATCTCCGATGACTGCCGCTCTGATACCAGTGATGCCCTATCGGCCACGGGCTTCAGCCGATCTCGGGCGATCTGGAACAACAGCAACAAACCTAACTACCAGAGTGCCTTCATGCCCCCTCCCATGCCGGCACAGGAGGTCCACCCGACCTCCAACTGGCCTCAGCCCCGTACCCAAGCCTTCATGGATGGAATGCCCGGATATGCTGGCCCGTCTTTGGATAGCTACCGCGGTGACCGATACAGTCAGGAGCCTGATCTCATGCGATCCAACAGTGGCCGTCGCGGCAATCGATACGAGAATCGCTTTGGAGGCCAGTCATACGGCAGCAGTTACGGAGGTTATAACATGAACAACATGGGCCAGACCCAGTATGAATCTGCTGTAAGCTACGCTGGAGGACCCAACAATCTGTCTAGTGGCGGCTTAGGTATGTTCCCACAGTATGGACAGCAGGCTGTCGGTAGCCCGCTCTCGCCACACGCGACTGAATTCACATCTGCCGCGGGCCCGTCTTGGAAGTCTGATGTAAGTTTCTTCTCGTGGGTCTTGGGATTTTGTTGCTGCTCCTTTCCAAAAACTTGCGCGATATTGACATTATCCTCACTCGTCTAGGCCATTGCTACCGAGGGACAGACCTACCTGCCAACCACTGAGCCTCTAAATTACCGCCGTCTCCTGGACCGCAATGTCAACTGCAACTGGAAATATATTGTTGACAAGATCGTCTGTAACAATGATCAGCAGGCATCCATCTTCCTCCAGCAGAAGCTCAAGGTAGGCACGCCCGAGCAGAAATTCGAGATCGTCCAAGCCATCGTTGCTCAAGCCTATCCCCTTATGGTAAATCGTTTCGGCAATTTTCTGGTCCAACGCTGCTTCGAGCACGGAACCCCTGAGCAGGTCATCAAGATCGCTGAAGCGATACGCGGCAACACACTGAATCTGTCAATGGATCCCTTCGGATGCCACGTTGTTCAAAAGGCATTCGACTCTGTTCCTGAGGACTACAAGGCCATTATGGTCCACGAGCTGCTTCGTCGAATCCCCGAGACGGTCGTCCACCGGTATGCCTGTCACGTCTGGCAGAAGCTCTTCGAGCTGAGATGGACCACAACTCCACCCCAGATTATGAAGTTTGTAAACGAGGCTCTCTGCGGCATGTGGCACGAGGTCGCATTGGGAGAGACTGGCAGCCTAGTTGTTCAGAACATCTTTGAGAACTGCTTGGAGGATGACAAAGTGAGTACATATATACTTGAATCTTGCGTAGCATTGCTCGGCTCACAAACTTCTACAGCGTCCTTGTATTGAGGAAGTCCTTGCCAATATCGACATTGTGGCTCATGGTCAGTTCGGCAACTGGTGCATTCAGCACATTTGTGAGCATGGCGCCCCTGCAGACCGCAGTCGCGCCATTGACCACGTCATTCGATATGCGGCAGAGTACTCGATGGACCAATTTGCTTCCAAGGTTGTCGAAAAGTGCCTCAAGATTGGCGGTACAGAGTTCCTCGGTCGCTACCTTGATCGGGTCTGTGAGGGACGTGTCGACCGGCCCCGTATTCCCCTGATTGATATCGCGAGCGACCAGTACGGCAACTACCTAATCCAGTACATTCTCACCCATGCCGGTCCTCAGCACCGTGAGATCGTTGCTGCTCACATCCGCAAGCACATGGTCTCCCTCCGGGGGTCCAAGTTTGGTTCTCGAGTCGGCATGCTTTGCACCAACCCGGCCGTCGCCACACGCCCTGGTCCCGGTGTTGGACCCATGATGGGGAGCCGCATGGCTCCAGGACCTCGCTACAGTGGTGCCTACCGTTGAGTTGTGAAAGCTCACCTTCGATCATGGGCGAGGCTCACCATGTTCCTACGCCGAGCCTTCACTATGATGGCAGTACAGAGCCGCAACAGCAGCCCGCATTGTCTTTCGTTTCTTTTTCCTGTTTGTCTGTCACATTCAATTTCCTTGTTCGATTCTCAGAACTGAATCCGCGGTATTTGGCGATTCTTTTATGAACATTTTCAGCAATTACTTTACAAAATCACCCGACATCCTACGCTCGGGAGGCTACTGCCCATCCGAGTGCTTTGGACAACTCATGATTATCTTCATCTAACAATGTCGAAGAGAGGTGGAATTTAATGTCGGGATGGGAGACGGAGATGGACACATGTCCCCCAGGTCTGTTGACACAGTCTCCCGAACGTCACAGATGATACTGCTTCTGGACGATGGTCTTCAATAGGTGTCTCGTTGGTAGAGCTTGTACGAGGGGTGCAGGGGACGATGAAAATAAAACATGGGGAACGAAAAAGTTGCAAAAGGAGATTGTATCACCGTTGTTTTGTGCTATGAGGAAGAATGGCAGACAGCCTTACGGAGCCTTTTTATCGAGTGAGGCACTTATCAGTTAGCTAGCTTTCTACCTTCACTCTTTTATTCAACCTCACTGATGGCAGATTATCATTGTAAATCAGGGGTTTACCACTGCAGGTGCTTGTGTACGGTATTCAATGTCGAGGGTTTAAGGATCCCAGTGCAGTAAACGACGTGAGGTGCGTTTACGCACTGTAACCTTTTGGGTGGCTTATGTAATAACGGCGCACAGACCACAGCTGCCTTGAGGCGTACGGTTTTGCCGAGCAAGCAAGCAACTCGAACACCCGGACCAAGTTCGTCAATTGAAATCTTGACCTCCATCCACAAACCTCGCCCGCAGCCACCATGTTGTCGAGACAAGCACTGCTCCGCTCCGCTAGGGCTGCAGCTCCCTCGCGGGCAATTGCTTCTCAGGTCCGCTTCTACGCCGCCCCGGCCGCCAGCGAGAACGTCAAGCCTCCTGTCGCCCTGTTCGGCCTTGATGGCACCTATGCTACTGCTCTGGTACGTCACGGTGCCGACTTCTCCCGAGTTGAAGATTTCTCTGGTCTCAATTGCACCTTCGCTCAGCTGGCTGGACACTTGCGATGGGTCATGCAGCAGGAGGACGATATGGGCATAGAAAAGCGCTAACAGTGCTGCGTCATTTTGCAACAGTACACGGCCGCCGTTAAGACTTCGACCCTGGACCCGACCGCCAATGCCCTGAACAAGTTGGGCAACCTTTTGACCAAGGACCCCAAGCTTGTGACCATCCTCGAGGCGCCGACTCTAGACGCCAGCGACAAGTCTGCCATTATCGCCGAGCTCGAGAAGAGCGCCGGTATCAGCGGCGAGACCGTCAAGAACTTCCTGCAGACTCTGGCCGAGAACAACCGTCTGTCCCTGCTGGGCGGCGTCTGCACCAAGTTCGGAGAGCTGATCAGCGCTGCGCGCGGGGAGGTCGAGATGACGGTCACCAGCGCTACGGTATGTGTTTTCAGGCATCACAGGTGTCGAGGAATACTTGCATTGAAAGAACAGACCAAGAGCATGAAATGTGCTAACAAAAAGTCCTGCGCAATTTAGCCTCTTGACAACAAGACCCTGAACAGGCTGGAGACTGCTGTATCCAAGTCTTCCTATGTCGGCCAAGGCAAGAAGCTCAAGGTCAAGAACGAGGTAAGAGAGATTACCAGCCGGAACTTCGGGATTCCTCCGCTGGCAAGGATACTGACGGGCGCACAGGTCAACCCCGAGATCGTTGGAGGACTGGTTGTTGAGATTGGTGACCGGACTATCGACCTTTCTGTCTCTTCCAAGATTGCCAAGATGAACAAGCTCCTGACTGACACCCTGTAAATACTACCCTTCGTGTTGAGGATAGACGTGGAGGCGGCATGGAGGTGGGCGAGTTGATGCCGTGGACCGACTGAGACATTCGGCAAAAGGATACCATCAGCATCAGTTGCGTGTAGAAACAAAAATTTAGAGGAGTTGCACCGGGTCCTCGAGAGCCTCTCATTCTCCCGGTCTCCAACACGTGAATTATAGACCTGCAAAAAAGAAGGAAAATTTCCTGTGAATTCTTACCCATTCGGTCTACCTTATTTTTTAGACCTGAAAGATCACCCAGGTCCCCGCAAGCATAGTCCAGTGCGTCCAGCCCTCAACAACGACAACCAACCAGACCTTCCATTAGCCCACCCTAACACCAGTACCTAGGTATGCTAGACGATACACGCAAAACCAATGCCCCAACGCCAATACCAGAACGAACAAAGGAGGACATAGGACCGTCTGTGTTTTTGAGTCATCTCATGATGGTGCTCAGTCAGACCGCAGCATGCTGTCCACCAGATCACCAAGAGGGCCCCAGAAGTCCTTTCCGGTCGCGAGGTTGTGCTCGTCAATGAACAACACGTACTGCTTGAAACTTGTGTTGAGATGGGGCTCCAGGCCGAGCTCACGGATGACAGGGTAGTGGTGGCAATAGATGTGAGCGTAGACACGATACATGCGCTTAAAGATCTGGCGGACCAGCGATGGGAAAGTCTTTGGAAAAGGTACACCGATCCGGCTGGGCATGACAGCCTCGTTGTCGATGTTGCCCTGGACCCAGGTCATGAGCTGTTCGATGTAGGCTGGCGCAGCCATCTTGGTTGGACGCTTGTAGTTTTCGTTGTCCTGCCACAGATATTCGAATCTGATCCACATAGGTCAGCGGTGTCGACATTAGGCACGGGTGCAGAGGTCATATTCGACATACTCATCGGTGGCTTTCATCTCCGGACACGACTGTGGAGAGCAGAACTCTGTGATGGCTCCGTAGAGAAGATTGATCTGGTTGTAGAAGTCGACCACTATAGGTTTAGGGCGGTTAGGCACTCATATATACGTAGACCAAACCACCTCCTCCCTGGGGGTTCAGGGGCATTCCAAGCTTACTGTTGACAGCGAACCACTCGTTCTCATCCTCGCCTTCTGGTAGTCTCACGATCTTGCGGAGACTACCTCCTCCCAATGTCGCCTCGGCATACTGTCGCAGCTGGTAGCTCGTTGTGCCTTGCTTCCCACCGGGCCGCGGGCGGAACTGATTTCGGCGATTACCGCTGCTGCTTTCGATTGTAAGCCTGCGTCCTTCTCTGTGTCAAAGCTACCATCTCTGTTGGAGAGGTCAAGCGCATCTCTTCTATCCTCTTCCACAGGCGCTACAACAGCAGTGTCCGAGCCTTCGCGTACGCATGTCGGCCTTGGGGTGCCAGTATCCTGAATAGCGTGGGTGGGAAAGGGGGAGAAGAGGGACAGATGCAGCAGAACGTACACGGTCGTAATGAAGGAGGTCATCGTTGGGGATCTCCGCGGTAATGATCAAGTCGGGAACCAAGGAATCTAAACCGGCGAGTGGGCACGGAGACCATGTCAGCAGCGTAAGGACAGGGGATATCAGGGAGCGTCTTGCCGAGCATGCGCGTTTCATGGGTGACAATACCTAAAGGCTGGGTCCAGCTGCAAGATTGCAGATCGGCTTGTTTCCGATATCTGTGGGGGGGGGGGGGGGGGAAATGGTGGGAACACCCTTTCGTTGGTAATGAGATGGTGACAGGTGAAGAGATGCGATGGCGTTGTGAATGTGAAGTGAATAGTTGTGTTTAGCGATAATCTCCATGGGTAAACACGATGCCTTGTAAGGCGATACACTCTGACGTGGTTGCTGGCGCGACCCCCGGCTCCCCCAACATGCTGGACAAGCCGCTGAAGGTCAATTAAGGTGTGGTCATAGCGCCTGTCACCCTCCCCTGAACCCTGCCAATCTGCCTCTCTCTAGCTGCTGGCCCCCGTAGTAGTCTTGTACTGTATAGGGTACTACTGAGTACTGTAGTCTGTATGGTGCTATAATACATACCACGCACTCATGTATGTACTGTACTGCAATATGCCTTAACAGCCAACCAGCTCAGGTGAGAGTCGCCTTTCTGCGCCTCTTTTCAGAAGGGTTTCTGACCAAACCATTCACTCCACCAGTCCTACACATTAGATGGTTACTGAACCTTGAACACTTACACGAGGCAAAGACATTCAAGACCCAACCTTGTGCTGCATGACCCCAGCAGGATGTCACGTCATCCCTGTGCACAAGATCAGCTGCACTATCCATGTTTCTCCGCATCCTAATCTTCCGGTTGAGGTCAATATAGCCTCAAACGGACAGGTGGGGGTATTCTTGCCAGCAGCTTTTCACTAGATGCTGCCCACGAGTCGCCCCTCCGACCGAGTTCCTGGTCGTGGATCGACGTGTTCGGGTTATCAACGGGCGAGTATGCCGTTCTACCGTGGTGGTTGTGAGAAAATGAATGATGATGTTGCTTCCCTCTTCGCAATGCGACTTCAAAAATCCAATTCGATATGCCTCGCTCCCGACTAGACTACATTTGTGTATGTCTGTTATACTGATTGCACCCTGCTGCTGAGTCTCTGGCGGTTTGCAGAGTATTGGCTCCTCAACATGCATGCCCTCCTGTGCTTCTGTCTGCTCGTAATAACGCCCGCTGCCCTCGCCAAGGCACCTATAGACCGGCGCAAGATCGTCGAGAGCCTCAATGTCCACCGCAATGCGAGCTCAGATACAACGCCGCTCCAGGTGGGCAACGGGAACTTTGCCTTTGGTGCAGACGTCACGGGCTTGCAGACCTTCAACCCTTTCGCGACTATGTCGACATGGGGCTGGCACAACTTTAGCCTTCCGACAACTCCAAACCAAACATCAGTAGATGGTCTGTCAACTGTGTTTTCTTCTTGTTGTTCTTATCTGCCTCCCAAGTGCTGACAAAAGGGCTAGACTTCACTGGATTGGACTGGTGGACGCATGGCCGCCTCGTCAATTATGACCAGCCAAATCCAGCGGAGAACGATATCTCGAATTGGCTCATCGAGAATCCGCAGCGCTTGAACCTCGGCAATATTGGCCTCTATTTCGGCCGAGTTCAGGTTGATGAAAGCGACCTGACCAACAAGTCCCAGATTCTCAACCTCTGGACCGGGTCTATTGTGTCGACCTTCTCCTACAATAATACGCAGATCAGAGTGGAAACACGAGCAGCGACGGACTCCAGCACGGTAGGGGTCAGTGTCGAGTCTGAACTCTTGTCCACGGGTGCTCTGGGGCTGTTCTTTGATTTCCCTTATTCCGATATAAACAAATTTGACGCACCATATGTTGGCGTATGGAATGCGACAAGCAACCATTCGACGTCGCTAGAAACGTCGGCAACCCAGCTCGTGATAGAACACTCGCTTGATAATACGTCTTATTTCTTTACAGCGGCATGGGAGGGGGAAGGGCAGGTCACCGGCCCAGCAGCTGGGACACATCGATATTTCCTCATGGTCCCCGGCTCCACCAACCTGACTATGACGGCGACCTTTTCACAGTCGAAGGTGTCCAGCGTCGTTGGCTTGAGTGACCTGGCAGAGGAGGCCGAGGCCTGGTGGGAGAATTACTGGATCTCGGGTGCCTTCATTGACCTGACCTCGACCAACTCCACAAACGCTACCGAGCTGCAACGCCGCATTATCCTCTCCCAGTATCTCCTAGCCGTGAACTCGGCCTCCCATTTCTCGCCACAGGAGTCTGGTCTTGTGAATAATGGCTGGTATGGAAAATTTCACGTAGGTCTCCCAAGTCTGGCTTGACTTCGCTTCAAATATCCAAAAGGCATGGAGTCTGAAAGTGTGTCGATACCCAATGAATATGGAACTGGCTGTATAGGGGTTTGGCATGAAATGGGCTGACCTGCTTCCCTGCAGCTCGAAATGGCCTTTTGGCATCTGATGCACTTCGCTCGCTGGGGTCACTTTGATCTTCTTCAACGCAGCATTCCGAGGATGTATCAACAGTTCCTCCCGTCGTCCTATGACAGAGCTAGGCTTCAGGGGTACCAGGGCGCACGCCTAGGCAAGATGACAGATCCAACGGGTCGGAGCGCACCAGGAGAGATCAATTCACTTTTGATATGGCAGCAGCCGCATCCCATGTATTTCGCCGAGATAGAGTACCGCTCGTTCCCTAACGACACGACCCTGAACAAATGGGACGAGATCTTGACGGCGTGCGCAGACTTCATGGCTTCTTATGCTTGGTACAACGAGTCGACAGGTGTCTACGATCTCGGTCCCCCAATGTATCCAGTCTCTGAGAACACGGATCCAAATAACACCGTGAACCCGACCTTTGAGCTGGCGTACTGGCGATTCGGCCTTGACATCGCCATGAGATGGAAAGAGCGCCAGAATCTCTCTGTCCCCGAGAATTGGATTACCGTACGAGACAAGTTATCGCCTTTGCCCGTGGTCAACGATACTTTCCCTATCTATCAGGGCGTACCTGATATGTGGACCAGCAATGAAACGACTTATGATGTAAGTGATGTGTGCCTTGGGTCTTGTTTGGCAGAGGTTGACTGACGAGTTGGACGATACAGCATCCCGCAATGGCAGGCGTTTACGGCTGGCTTCCCCCGCCGAGCAGTGGCCCACCGTTGAATCTGACCATCGTTCGGAACACTGCCGACAAGATTTTGGAGTTGTGGGACCTGGAGGACTCGTATGGCTGGGACTTCTCCCTGTTGGCTATGAACTCACTTCGCCTGGGTGATGTTGATCAGGCTGTGGCATATGTATTGGACCCTTACTTCGAGTTTGATGACGCAGGCTACCCTGAGGGGGGCACACGAGTCCCGACTCCTTATTTCCCTGATGCTGCTTCTTTCTTGCTCTTCATGGCGATGATGGCTGGAGGCTGGGATGGGTCACCTGGACCACACTTCCCCGAGGCGTGGGATGTGCGGGTTGAGGGTTTTGTACCTGGTTTATAAGTCTTCACCGTGAGGTGCTTGACACACATTTTTGTGCACACCAGGTGTTCAAAAGTTCCGTACACAGTGAAAATCTAAATAGTACTGGGATAATGCAAATCACCTCATCTCGGAACACCTTCTGTTCTTCTCCTCCTAGGATTGAAGCTGAGGTCGTTTATGTGGGTAAGACAAATGTGAATTTCTCCAAGGCTGACAGAAGTTGGGGAACTCCTAGCCACATACATTCGTCTTGTCCACCATTGCCCCCCTTGGAACACTTTTGTGGCGCTGTGCATAGGTGGAGGAAAATGTCCCATCTTGCCACACCTTGACCCTCCAACGACGTCCACTGTGGAAAGGCAAATAGCAGCCCGGAGAAATGCTTCGTTGGTGTGCGTCAACTCAACGCCCAGTTCTTCATTTCAACTGTAAAGAGTTGAAGTAGATGATACCTCTAGTCGTATCATAAGCTGGCCGCCACATGGCCCAAAGTGGCCAGGCCATGCGCGTCAATGCCTGCTCGGGCATTTCACAATATATTCTGCCCTTGCAGTCAACCAGCGACAATGGCCGGCTGCCCCCGTCTCGTTCCCCCTCCCACCCCCCCCAAAGAAAACAACTGTCCATCTCTTCCCATCCACCACTTGTAGTACAGCCGGTGAAGGAAGCAATCATCAATTCTCCCCAGCTCATATTAGAACATCCCCCACAGTCTCGCCCTCAAACCCCAGGGCAGAGAATTTCTTCAGCTTCTTTTTATCTCTCGACTTCTCTTCCACTTTCTTCTCTTTGGCCAGCTTCTCAACCAGAGCAGGGTCGGCCTTGTCGTAGCCAGGCGGTGGATCGTCGTCCTTATCAAGATCGATCTCGCCAAGCAACATGACATTCTCGCCTCGGACCAGGAACATGCCCAGGGGCACGTCCGCATAGAGCCCTCGCTTTTCTGCACCTGTGGCGTGTGTTTCGGGAACGGACTCGGGGGTCACGAATATTCTCTCGACTGTTGACTGTATAACAAGGTTGGCTGAGGCTTGGGGTTAACTCTGCTCAGCTTTGTCCCGGGACGTGAAGAAGCCATACCAAATTGATCCCAGCTGCGCAGGACGCCCATGAGTTTTCTGCCATCGCGGAGGACAATCATGAGTTTCTCTAATGCCTCTGTCAGCCCCTAGCCTGTAGTGAAGAAGAAGAAAAAAATGTAGCAACGGTTGAGGCGGCGGATCTTACTGTCGGTCAGGTCAAGAAGCTGTGCGGCGGTTGTGAACATCTGCGCGGGGAGCTGTTGGGGTGGGGGAGGAGCGCGACCAAGCATCGCAGGGCCTAGGGGGCCTTGGGGACCAGTGGGAGGCTGAGGTCCGCCTCCCTGGCCAGGCGCAGGAGGCTCATTGAGGGACAAGTGTTCCATGATTTCATGTGGGATGGTTGTGTTGTGGTCGTCCAAGGAGAGGGCAGCAAGTCCATCGAGCAGTCAACGGGAGGAACAGCAAGGCCTGGGCAGATGATAGTCCACCAGAGGGAAAAGTCGAGTTGACTGAAGCCAAGGAGCTCGTGGTTGAAAAAAAGTGCGCGACGACGGCGGCGGCGACGGCGACGACGTTGACAATCGGATTGAGCTTGGCCTGCCGCTTGCAAGTCCTCAGGATGTGGGGCTAGCCGGTACGTATATACATACAGAGGCACTACGTACTTGAAGAGGTACCTTCTGGGCTGCAAGTGATGCAGCAGGGCGCTAAATGAATTCCCGGCAGGCACAATGAGCAGGGAAAGATGCCGCACCGGCTAGACCAAAAGTATGAGGAGCTGGGAGGGCTAGCATGACTGGGGGGTGAGCCAGAGCACTGTCGGCGTCAAACTAGGCACAACAAAGTGCTGGGGAAGCTGCTCAGGCACTTCTGCACCCATTCTCCCCCTCTAGCCAGGCTCTACTGTCTTTTCTCCTCCTCTTCCTCGTCGTGCCCACCTCCTCTCGTCGTGACCAGGATTGGTTGCAAACATGCACCTGCAGAACAATAAGATCCTCTGCCTCCTCACGTCGTGCAGTATTGGAACATTCCAGGCCTATTAAAACAATAAGTCCAGCGGCTCTATTGTCCTTCGTTTTCTCTGCCCACACCGTCTTTGAAGGGGAACTACAAAATCAAATCGCAACCGTACTCACCCTCAAGGAAAGATTGCAGAACAAAACAACGAAGCTTTTCCTTCTCACCAGGATTTCTTTTCTGGACGAATTTCTCAGCCCAGGCTTTGCGGCTTGTCATCCCACATCATCACTGCAAACACCTAAACATTCATTCCTCCCAGCCTTGAGTGATCCGGGCCACTTCTAATTCCATAGAAATCGCCGACCGCACAAACGATTGACGGGCTCCGGCACAACGTCGAGCTCAACATCGAGACTCCCCTCTTGGATACAAGATACTCCCTACCACGCTCTGCAACGTTGCTCGTCTCCTCCTCGACTTCTACCTTCTTCCTCCTACAAGATGGCTGCGAATTCTGCCGTCGCCGTGCCTCACGAGGCCGCCCCTCCTGTACGCAATGAATCGAAGCGCGAGAGGAAGCGTCAGCTCCTGCAGGAACGCCTGCAGCAGATGTCTGATAGCTTCTCCAGAGGCCGCGACAACGCCTACCGCGAGCAGCTGCAGAAAATTCAGCTTGATACGACTCTTATCATGCGAGTTGATCCATACGCCGACCGCCCGCTGGACGCTCTTGAGGACGACGCCCCGGATACCCTCCCGCTACAGAACACCGACCCTGCCACGGCCAAGACTCTCCTAGAGATGGCTGGTCCCAGATTCAGGGAGTGGACACAAGATATCGAGGATCTCATTGAGGAACGAGACTATGACATTGCCAAGCAAAAGGTTGGTTCCCGGCCACCGTGTGCCCCGACTTCAAATATGAAATAAAAAGATTCTTGTGTGTTAACAGAGATGCCAGGACGAATACGAACACAAGTGCTCCGAACACCGCCAAGTCAGGGCGTATAAGGTACTCCAGGCGCAGAAAGAGCACGCAGTTCTCTCCTCCACCGTCCGCGATCGACTCATCAATGCGATCACGGCGAAGAAGTTCCGGCTCAGCAAGGAGAAGGAAGCGCTCGAGATTAGTGATGCTTCCGCCTTGCTTCTTCACCCGAACCAGTTCAGCATCAACAACCCCGCTAGTCCCGGGGGTACCCACGGCAAGAGGGCCACGAGGCTGAGACGGGAGATGGATTCCGAGATGCCGGGCTTCTCCGAGAACAAAAAGAGGAAGAGAAACGGCAATGAGGATGATGGGTCCCCGGCCCCCCAGCGTAGGGCTCTGGATACCAACGGGATCACCCCGGTCTGGCAGAGTGACAGGCTGCGGTTCGGCAAGATGACTGGTCCCATCTACAGCATTGACAAGCTCTTCACCGACAAGGAGCTCTCGATGACCTATCACCATGCGGCACTCGCCGCCCACAAATACATGCTGCGCCACAAATCAAAGGACGGCCTCGCCTCATCCCCCTCGGACAGTGGTCGCGATGACCACGAGGATGGAGAGGACGGGACAGACTCGGTGCCCTCGGCACCGGTCATGGAGCGACAGGTTTCGCACGCCACACGGAGCACCAGAGGCGGGACACACAACGCTAATTTCTATGACAACAAAGTCACGGGCATCGAGGCTCTGGCCAACCTCGAGCTGCCAGGCAACATGGACCGACTCGCCGCCCAGGAGCCCAGGCTCCCGCCCATTGTACCCGCCCCATACAACAAGGCCAAGCCGATGACGGAGGCCAGCGGTCCAGCTCCGCTCGTTGCAGACGATGCTATTGCCGACCTGCAGGCAATGTCTGTCCTACGCCAGTACGAGCAGAGCCATGGTGTCGGGTCCAACTTCGACGTCCCCAACGGCGGACGAAAACTCTTGGAGGCTGTGGCTAACCGCCCACACGACGAGAAGTATGTCGCCTACGTACAGGGAGATCGACCAAATCCAGATGACCTTCGGGCCGAGCTGAAGGTAGAGACGAGCAACGTGCGCGCAGAGCCCACGACGGTGCCCCCTCAGGGCGGAGTCCCAATGAGCCGGCACAGCTCAGGTGGCGTGGCCATGAGTCGACAGGGCAGCAGCACCCGGGGTCGTGGACGACGCGGTTAAACGTGAAGGCTTATCACAATGCATGCAGTACTCTTTTCTCTGTGTCGAAAATATTTCTATTACTTGATCCAAGCAAGGAGGCATATAGATTATGACGCATATCTTTCTTTTTCAACCCAAAAAAAAAGGAGTCCAGAAATTCAAATGTACCAGTGAGAAAACACCAAACCATGCCCTCGCACGCTGCTTTTGCTGTAGTCAAGTCCCCAAGCACTCATGAAAAAAAAAACACTTTGCCAATTCAACCGACCATTTACGGACCAAATACAAGAGTCCTCACCTCAATACTTTCGCGACCCTCGGCGTCAGGGTGGGTTCGAGGATCCTCGAAAGCCGAGTGTGCCAGTCTGCCGCCCTGAACACCCGAGCCCGGCTTCAAGGCCTCACTGTCAAAGCACTCGAGCAGCAAACGCTCGTTGCCGGTCATGCCACTCAGGTAGTGCCACTGCTGGTCGCGGTTGTACCGGATGGCAGCCGTGAATCCGTTGTAGCCATTCGCGTACCTGTGTTCTACAGGGATGACGTCGGCATCATCGACGGTATTGGAGGATGCAAAGGCCAGGGGGAAGGACTCGACGGGCTTCTTGTTCAGGGGGCGCCAGACGTTGATGATGCGGTAGCGTCCCTGCAGGAGGGACTCGGCGTCGTCACCAAGGTGTCTCCGCACGCGCATGGCGGCCGAGACAGGCGTCTGGTCGATGTGCGTGCGGGTGACGGGGCCGCGGCTGGCGTTGGGGTCCGCGCGGCGGATGGTGTGGTCAAAGATGAAGACCCTCTGGGCGCCGGGGATGTTCTTGAGCAGGAGGTCGACGACCTCTGGGTAGTAGTTGGCCTGGACGGATTCGTCATCGACAAAGTCCTTCTCCTTGGACTCCGGGACGTCCTGGATGACGGCGAAGGCGTCCCTGTCTAGGCTGTAGTTGGACTCGTGGCCGCGGATGTCGTGAATAAGGGTGTCCACAGACACGGCGTCAAAGTTGCGGACGGGGAGGCCCTCGGGAGGCGTGTCGACATGGTTGAAGGGCTTCTCGCCGTTCGCGGGAGGGCTGTAGTAATTCAGCTTGGCGACGACGGGGCCGTGGGGAACGGTGGTGGATGCGATGGCCATGGCTGTACGTATGTGCTAGTATGGAATTCAAAGAAATAATTTCTGAGTAAGACGAACGCTGTCACGGTAGATGATAATCTGTACACGTATAGAGAGAGGGTCAACGATGGGAGGAGTTCGTATTATATTTTGTCTTTGTTCCTCTTTTTCTGTGTGCTGGGGGACGAGTTGAGAGTTCGTTACGACAGGCGTAATACGGTTGACGATTTATGTCTTCTATATAGGGCGTACCATGTGAGTGAGTGTTGGTTGGGAAGTGTAAGAGGAAGATATTGGTTGGAGATGCAGTGGTGATTTCAAAGCAATGCTATATTACTGATCGAATTGGTTTCTAAAGGCTATGAACAAGCCATGCACACAATTGGGTTCTACTATCCCCAAATCACGTCATTGTCCGGGAAAGGCGCATTATGGGCGTGGCGCAGACTAGAATGGAAACTTTCTAGGAAGTTTTGGAGGGAAAGGGAGGTGTTGGAGAAATACTCGTCCCGACTTCCTTCTCTTATATTCTAATTCATAAGCCAGAAGTTGACTAATTCACCAAGAAAGGCGGGGCCGCAGCGCTGCCGCAAGAGCAGCATGCTCCACTTGTTCTCGATTGGCTAGCCGGACTTAGGCCTTCTGATGCTGATGCTGATGATGATGCTGAGAACAAATGGGTGTGCTCTCTTGCTGACTCGAATATGATCAAGTGAGTGCTCACGGCCACTGTTTGCGAGCAGCAGGCAGACTCCACTCTATTGGCCGGCTGCCCGGACTGAGACGTCCTGGGCCCGATGCCGAGAACAAGTGGATTCTACGATACCTCACATAGCAAACCATCATCGTCAGAACATAACTTCAGAACAGCATTGTTTGATTAGGATTCACGAGCGCGTCCTTAAGAGTCAGTCCATATCCCTAACCTGGCCTCGGGCTATACACAATAATCTTTGATGCCGTGTGTCCTTCGTCAAAGCTATGGTCTAGTCCGCTTCACTGCTGCCAAACCTCCAGTCCGGTCAGAGCACAACTCCATACGCGCCCAAGAAAGTTCTCGATGTAGGCCGGTTCGTGAAACTGCGTGTCGAATACACCAGCGAGCTCCGCCTTTCCGCTCCAGGTCGAGAGAAAAATTGCCAGGCCAGCTGGGGGCGGGATGCTGGCAGCCCAGACATTCGTGAGCTCGAAGGGGCCATGTGTGCCCGAAACCATCGAGTCCACGTTGCCTATGGAGGATAGTGTGACAGGACAGAAGGCGGGTCTCACACGGGCGCCCGAAGGCTGGCTGCTGCTGCTGCTGCTGCTGCTGCTGGCCTCCTCCTTTGGTGTGAAAGTCTTGAAGACCATGGGGGCCATGGCAACCTGTTCGTGAACGTCTGTGTTTTTTGAAGCGTCCGGACGAGGCCGAACGGCTGTGTAGAAGTCCCGAACCTGGATCGCTATCCGATGCAGTTCGTCGTCCCTCTTGTTCTCCATGCTGCTAACCTCTGCTGACTTGCTGGGGACCACCAGGTCTATGTACAGCGCCTGGGCGGAGACAGTGTGGTAGGCAGCGGCCGAGTGGTCAGGGCTGTTATAGGGACGGCTGCAATATGGACGAAGGTTGATCATGCTCTGGTTGACGAAGCGGACGGTATATGGCTCTTCTCTGTATGGTTGCAGGTCTGCGAGGGCCTTGGCCACAGCCGCCATGACCACATGTGTCACACTCAGGCCTGGCGCAACCTTCTTGCAGTTGCGCAGCAGTTGTTCTGTGACGGCCTTGGACAGAGGCGCCGAGACGCGCTGCACATTCCTCTCCTGGATTGCGTCACCAGCGGCAGAGCACCCTGGAAGCCCGAGGATGCCTGGATGGGAGTAGATCTTCCTATTGTCCCTTTGGATCTCATCGAAGCGCTTCAACATGGTCTCTGGCAGTGAGTCAGGGATCGCAGCGGCAATCCTCAGGCATGGAGATAGCCTCCATGGCTCAGACGCACCAGACACATAGTCCGGGAGCCCATGCACTCCGCCCTGCTGCCCATAAATCACACCAGCGTATTGAAAGAGCTGGTTGATCAGCTGAAGGATGCCCACTCCGTCTGTAAGATCATGGGGGCAACAAAGGAAAACGACGGATTGTTGCTGGACAGATCTGACGACAAATATAGTGGGAACTTCGAAAGGAGGGGTCTCGTTGTTGAGCCATCCAAGAGGATCGATGACGGTGTCGATGACCTTGAACGTTGAGTGTAACCACTTCTCGAGGTCACTGCCCTCATGCCAGGCTGAATGATATACCCTCTTCCATTCGTTGCTGTGGTCGTCGTGCACGATACGGGAGCCCAGTGTAGGGTGTTGCATGCGAAGACTGGTCCAAGCCTTCCGCAGAGCAGTCAAGACGCGATCTTGATCTTGTGCATCTGTGGTGGTGGTGAAGACAGCACAGCCAGTGATGGGAAAGCAAGTAGATGATGGTGATGATGATGTGCCAGACCCGGCCCTTGCGGTCAATACATAGAACTTTTCACATTCGTCCAGATGGCGTTCCCAGACGCCGGGTCGTGTCTCCTGCCAGTGGAAAAAGGAATCTGGTAGGGTAGATCCAGTAGTTGTGGTTGAAGAAGCCATCTATTTTTTTCTTGACCAGCTGCACAGCTTGGGAAACACACGAAATACAATGAAGGCTATTTGGACACGAGAGTAAACCGTTGATGATGGTCGTCAATCCGCACAACAGACTCCTAGTTTGTGTTCACATACTTGTAACAATTTGTATCCTTGCAAACGGACTTCGCGGTTCTTGAAGAATGCGAAGTCCGTTTGTGTTTCCTTTTCTTTTCCTTTCTCAAGAGGATCTTGACATGGTTGATGTGAAGTGGAATATAAACTCGGGAGCTGTGGCATTCACACCACATTGGTACCTGCAGGCTGGACAACCAATTTCATATGTCTCCAGCAGTAACAAGCACAAGAACCCACTGAGAGTCTTACCTGCCAGGCCCTGTACGGCCCCACCTTTGGGGTGAATCGTGGCATGGTTCAGTGGTCCAAAAGCCGTGCTGAGCTTGGTCTAGCGCCTAAGGTGGGTTCTCCCATCAACGGGTAAAAACAAACCTCGACCCACTGGGTAAACATTCTAGGTGGGCAGAGTGAAGCGCATTGGCATCTCTGCCTGACACGACAACACTGCAAGACACGCCTTAACACCCACGCGCTGCCTGGCCTGGCCTGGCTTGAACACGCGCAGTCACCACCCACTTGCTTTTTAATCTTCTTTTACTTCACGACACTATTAATATCGAGCCAACACCAGCAATTGCACACTCGACTTCTCACCCCTTTGACGACCTGCAGCCTATCGCTAGACCGAGTCACCACCACGCTTGCCCTCCATCTCAATGCGCATTGCATGTCGAACCATCGCCGGCGGTCCCATCGCGATTTCGCCGAGATGTCGGGTATCGAGATCGAGTACCCCTCCTCCCCCGATCCTCTGGTGGATGAGGCGGATGACGACAACAACCACAACACCTCTGTGCTTGCACCGCCGTCCACCACCCGCCGCTTCCTGCAGAGTGCCGCTTCCTCTCGCTTCTCAGCCATGCCTGGCACCTCGCCCAGGAAGCGCATGTTTGCCCTCGATGTCGGGAACGAGATCACTCCCCAGACCATATACGTCACTGTCGAGGCAGGGCCGGACGGCAACCCCATAGCTAAAGCTCCCATAGGGACCAGTGTCAGGCGGCGGCTCTTCGGATCCCCCTCTGCACAGCCCAGCCCAAATCGTCGCGTCAGGACTACGACCACTACCGTGCCTCTTCGAGGCCTGACGGACGACGAGGCCGCAGCCACCCCAAAGCGCCGTCGACGTTCTTCCGGAAGGCCAGGCACACCTGCCGCGGGCTCTACAACCAAGAAGAAGAAACAACGAGCAACGCCAGCGACCGGGCGGACCAAGAAGATGAAAGGCACACCTGTGCCGAGCAGTGACATCCTGCAGTCCGAGACCCCAGCCGGCGCAGATCGTCCGACGCCTAGGAAGAGGGGCAGACCGCCCAAGCGCAAATCCCCCGACGGGCCTTCAGAAGGAAACGATGACCCCAGTCTGGCGCAAACGTTGCCGAGGAAGAAGGGCCGTAGAGGTCGGACGTCACTTGGTCCAGATGATCTAGAGCGCCTCGCCGCTGCTAACAGTATCGGTGTCGAGTCCTCAGTCGATCGCGCGCATGTCTCGAAGAGTCTAGAGGCGCTAGACGGTGGTCAAGGACCCGACCCAATCTCAGCTGATATTGCAGCGGACGGCGAACAGGCGGATGAGGAAGATATTTGGATGGGCGGAATGTCTGACACACCGCTTCCCAAGCGGCGGGAATCAGCTTCAGCAGCGGGTGAAGAGAACACGGGCGTTTCTGAGCCTAAGCACGTCGTCCAAAGCGACCAGCAGCCCGAATTGGAAGACCAAGGACCTCTGCCAGGCGAGTCGGATGACTACCCTCCTATGCTAGAATATGACGACGATAAGAGAAGTGATACGGCCTTCAACCCCAGCGATAAGCCATCAGAGGTTGAGCACGATCCTACCGAGTTGAGGGATCAAGGGCCGCTGCCCGGCGAGTCGGACGATTACGCACCCCTGATGGAACACGAAGACAGAAGTGACGCGGAATCCCAACGCAGCGAACGGTCTGCTGAGGCTGGGGATGCCCTGGACCAGACAGTGGACCCGGACACCTTCACCATGATTGGGATCGAGACAATGCCCTCATTCAGAGGAGACAGGAGCATGGCTCCGTCAGATCCACCCGAGATAGGCGAGACTACAAGTTTCTTTATCAACAGGACACTGGACTCATTGAGGCAGGAGATGGCTGAAAGTGACGAAGACGAGGTGGACGTACTGGTGTCCAGAGGTCCTACGCCTGCTGACGACGAGCCTGAGAGGCCACAATCAACAGCTTCGTCTCCACAAGACAGATTTCAGATGCCGTCGTCACCAGCCCATCAACCAGTGCGGTACTCGTCTCGAAGCCCAGGAAGGACCGAATCAGCTCCTGGATCAGCTGCAGACATCGAACCGCATGGATCTTCTCCTTCACCCAGGCGCGTGCAGAGCAACACCGCAGACAATCTACGCTCGGGCCCGAATAGCCTGGGTCCTGAAGAAGAAGAAGAAGAAGACTCGTTCTCCGACATCCCTGAAGAAGTTCTTGCAGCTGCTGAAATTTCGGGCGAAGAAGAGCGACAGCAATTCAGCAGAGCAGGCCCCGGCGATCAGATGGATTGGACTGCGCCAGTCGTCCAAAAGAGTGTATTGGACGCTGGCTATGACCATCTATCTAGTTCTCTTGGTGATCAGGCTATCATCAACCGCCCTCGCAGCACCCAATCCACACCTTCCCGATCTGACCGCACTCAGACGGATGATAACGCAACTATTTCCCAAGAATCTGCCTCTCGCTCTGTTCAATCCACACGAGTGTTGAGCCAGATGATACAGAGGAGTTCGCCACCCCGTTCCCTACGGTCTCGTTCAGATTCCAACCGCTTGTTAACTCCAGATGAAACCACATCTTCGAGTGACCAAAGCCCACCAGAGGGCCAGATAGCGTCCAATGTAGACTTGGGGCCCATCGCTGCTGAAGACGTGGGCTCTTCGCCCCCCGAGATCAGAAGTTTCACGGAGGACGCCGTGCTGCCGACGCTGCCTCTCCGGCGAAGCTCAGAAAGCCCAGCAACTCGGGGGCCGGACATCCGCGTTGAGAGGGTGCAAGAGCAACATACTTATCCTGCAGGGCTGCAGTCTTCTCATTTGACGGGGCCCCGGCCGACTCTGTCTCCTGTGGTACGAATCGGAAGGACTCTGCAGAACATACTGTCCGACCCACCATCTCCGTCCGCCCGCGGCAGCGTCCTTGGTAGTCCCTTCAAGGGCTCCGTGAGAAACTCCAGCCCATTGGACGGCGCCGCTGTCAATGAGGCTCTACAAAACAATCTCTTATCAAATGTTGCAACTCAGAACGGTCCGTCCCAACCAGCGCCACACATCTTCGGACGTCCCGCTCAGTCGCCTCCAAAGCCATGGACGATGGCCTTTGCGCCCCTGAGTCAGATTAGGAATCTGGTTACGCAGGGCGCCCAGCTGTTTTCGTCGCCGCGCGTCAACACTTCTCAAGCTCTTGACGATCCTTTCGGGCCGTCATCTCCGACCACGGATAGAGGGACTGAGAACAGCCGTGGTACCGCCTTTATGAATCGCATCAGGGAAGCATCGCGTGAAGGGAGCGCGTATAGTCACAGGACTGGCCGCCTCACCATCAATGGCGATGACAAGGTGAGGCATCGCGCACCTAGTCTTCCCCCGGCTATGCGCAGCCGTGTTGTAGGCCTGGGAAGGACACCGACTTCTCTCGCAACGGGCCTCGACCGCCCCCCAGACAGCCGGGAGCGTGACCAACAGTCAAGCATCAGCAACGCATTCGACGGTGTATATGACGATGAGGCGGATGAGCTGGCTGGCGATTACAATCCGGAGGAGGTGCTCCAAGACCAACAACAGGCAGTGGACCCACCATTAGCACAGAGCGTGGAACGGCGTCCAAGTCATGGCGGACTTGGCTCTGAAGAGGACGGTGTGCACGTGGAGGGAGATGAGACCCAGCTTGAGGATGCACGTGTCGATGACCAGGGCGAAGAAGAAGAAGAAGAAGAAGAAGACGATATATGGGCTATCGAAGCGAACAGGACTGCCTCTTCGCCTCAAGCTCTCATGCCGCCAGACGATACGATCAACTCTTTCAAGAAAGACGAATTGTCCATCGACTGGGGTACGCAAAGTATCAGTTCCTTCAACAATTCGCGCTCTGGGAGAAGTCCGGGTTTCAGACCTGGGCGTAGTGTGCACGAGGTCCCTCCCGAGAATCTTGAGGACTACTCGCTCGTCGACCTTCACAGCGGAGCCTCCACGCAGTCGTCAGCTAGAAAACCAACGCCCGAAGCCCAGAAGCAGCCAAAAAGAGTCGATCTTTCCGACTTCTTCTCCTCGTCTCCCAATTTCATGGAACGGCAAAGGCGGGCTAAAGAAGCGTCACTGGCCAAATCCGCAGCGCAGGAGCCTGCTCCCAAGCTGGCTCACATTGCATCACCGGAAGTGACCATCCGGCTACAAGATCCGGCATTGCGGAACCCACCGGTGATGACAAGCGAGCTACCGTCTCCAGCAGCCGGAGCCAGCCAGGAAGGCACAAGAGAATCTACGGCGTGGGCAGGGTCTACAACTGAGCCTGAGCCAGCCGGCCAAGGCCAAGCTCAACAGGCAGAATTCACACCGAGGCAGAGGCAGAATGATGCGAATCTGTTCGAATCGTGGTCCACCTCATCTCGACCGCTGGCGGGAAGCGCTCAAGACTCGGATGAGCCTGGCAGTTCTTCACAACCTGGCACCCCAGAGAATCCCGTTGACTCCAGCTTCGAGGCCCCTGACCTCCGGCCGCTGCCTGATCCGGAAGCTTCACCATCTAAGTCATGCTTACGGTCCCCTTTGAAGCTCAAGCCAGCCGGACGAGTGGTTGAGTTTACCAGCAGCACGCTGTCCATGTCGATACCACTGCCGGCGCTTGTTGCTTCACGGAACGAGACTTCTCTTGCTACTGCTCCTGACCTGCCAGTATCTGGTCCACAGCTTGCGGGCAAAGAGAACCAAATCCCCTCGTCCCACTCCATTGTGGATGTTCCTTCGCTACGTCAACAACACTCTGAAGGAACCGAGAAATCGCATCAAGAGACCCACCTTTCACTCTCGCAAACCCAGTGGTCTAGGAGGCATTGGGTCCTCCTCGACAAGTTTTTGCAAGAATACCGAAGCGATCCTGTTGGGTTTGAAATGCGGTATGGCAGCACCGTCATGACGAGCCCACGGAAGCAGGCACCAAGTACCCTGGTTGGCAAGCAGGTGACATCACAAGGCGAGTCGATGGTACTGGAGCCGTGGCACTTGGATGTTGTTGGTGCTTTCAAGAACATGGACGGCGGTTGGCCAGAGGATGTACTTGCCAAGAGGCTTTTTGCGCTCCTTGTAGGAGAGAAGAGACGCCGTCTTGGGCTCGTGCCGAAGCGGCGATGATCGATTTCTGGCTTTCCATGTATTTCACCTTTTTTTTTTTCTTTTCTTTTTGTACGCCTTGATTACGAGCATATGTGACGCATACATAGCCCCTGACAGGGCTTGGCTGGGAATGTCGTTTGATGCAATGCAGGATACCCGGATTGGTTGGTTGGTTCATTCACCCAGATTGTATGGCATGGGGTTCGCGGCGTCAGGTGTTAGATAATAATTCGAAAGTCTGCTTATTACGCAGAGAATGAAGCATGAAGAAGAAGCAAAAAAGACGACTCAGTAGATTGGACGGTCAATCGCCGCCCAATGGTGAGTTTTGGTTCATGCCACCGCCTCTCTTGATCGCCGTGATCTATCATGCTAGAATTACAATCGCGTCCCCCAGCCTACCCCTCTATCCCTCCACCTGCTTACTGACTCTTTTACTCGAGCATCGAAGCTTGGTTTGTGTAGAGGACATCGACCACGTTGCTTAGCTTGTCGATGGTCGCCAGAGCAGAATCATACGCCTCATCCCTGTGTGTCTCGTCAAAGATATTGAGACACCCCGCGCCCTGGTCCAAGACACCAATGATGACCTTGTCCAGGATCATCTGTGACAGCTTCTCCTCGACCTGGACAGGGCTGAGTTTGACCATCTTGGCAACATGGTCAATCTCGACGCGCGAAAAGGGCTCGATGACCTTGATGAGGTTCTGCTCGAGCATGGCATCGTACAGGCGGCGCAGGTGGCCCCGGATGAAGGCGTCGCTGCCCAGCTCGCGCTGGTAGGAGCCCAGCACGCTCTCGTACTCGTCGAGCGACCGGTTGGAGTGCGCGCGCGCGATGGCCTTCATGGCCTCGAGGGATTTAGAGGCGTACTTTGTCGCCTGCTTGGACGTCATGAGCGTGTTGACATCGTCGACCTGGTTCAGCATCACCTTGCACAGCAGCATGTACTGCAGCGCCGCCGTCGCCTTGACCGTCTCGTCCAGCTGCGAGTACCCGTCCAGCGCCTCGATGAAGTAGCTGTAGGCCGTGTTGAAGTCCTTGTCCTCGGCGTGCAGCATGCCGGCCTGCATGTCCAGGTTCGCCTGGAGGAGCGGCGGGGTATAGACGGAGGCGGCTGAGGTGCGGGCGCTGGTGAGCGCGGCGCGTGCCTTTGGGATGTTGCCCAGGGCGTGGTAGACGCGGGACTCGAGAAGCTGAACCTCGACGAGGACAAGCTTGTCGTCTAGGCGCTTGAGCTCACGGAGAAGCCCGTTGATGAGGGTCAGGGCGTCATAGTAGGACTGCTTGGCCATGTAGAGGGCGACCAGACGGGTTTCGAGGTTCTGCCGGAGAAAGCCTCGGCGCTCTGACGTAGCCCATTCTATACATGACTTTGTAGTGGATATCTGGAGTTCGGTGGTGTTGGGGATGTCGTGGAAGAGATCGAGGAGCTGTCGGACTATTAGGAAGGCAGACGCCGTCAGTGGATGGACCAGAAAAGAGCTGGAGGCGAGGCGAGGTGGGGGGCGTGAAGGTCCCTTACCCAGCTTCGCGGTCTTCGCCTTCGCAAACGAGGACAGGACAGTGCGGCTCTTGGTGACAAGCTCAACCAGATCCTGTGTGTTCCTGTTATTGTGTTGGTCAGTATGTGAAGGTATATACAGACGGACGACAACGACACCTCGAGCCCCCGAGGGGGGAGGGGGGTGGCTGACTTTTGGTTCCGGTAGAGCTCTCCCAAGCTGATCAGGGCAGTTTCATATTCTCGTATCGCAGCCTCGGAGGTGACAGAGGGCGGCTTGGAGATGATGTCCTTGTAGATCTGCTCGGCCTTCTTGGGATCTGTAGGAGCGGCCTTCTGCGCCTCGCGCACCCTCTCCGAATCTCCTTGCGCCATTGGGTCCCTGTGACGTTGATACGGTATCCTGCGAGGTTGTGTCTGGTTCTGATACGGCGCAGCTGTCGTATGGTCCTGCGAGGGTGGGTAGTTTTGGTGGTGAAGTTGTGTGTTTTGCAAGGGCTGGGTTTGAATGAGCTGTCGAGTGATGATGGTGGCGGTTGAAGTTCCGGGCTTCAGCCTTCTCCCACTAGAGCAAGTACAACAAGCTCCCAGGTTGCCGTGTGCACGCGCAGACACCCAGCAGCCAGGCTTGCTAGGCAGGCGGAGGTGTTACGTAGCGTGGCAGCCAATGGCCACAGGCTCTAACAGTAGGGGCCCATTGCTTATCTTATCTGCCACTGACCGCCTTTGGCAGAATGTACAATATTCTAATCCTTGCATACATTTTGCTTTGCCTTTGCTCCCGATCATTTATGGACTTTTCCCTGCCTCTCTCGCGCGCTTTCCCACCCACAAAGACCTCGACTTCACCAATATACCACAACGATGAAGGTCAAGACGCTTAGCCGGTCGATATCGGCGCATCAGCCGGCCGGCTCAGATGTTGCCAAACAGCCAAAGAATATGGACGCGGCTGTCCACCCATTCGAGCGTGCGAGAGAATACAAGCGAGCCTTGAACGCCGTCAAAATGGAGCGCATGTTCGCACAGCCTTTCATCTGCCAGCTCGGCCAAGGCCACGTTGACGGAGTGTATCAGCTCGCAAAGGACCCCAACTCCCTAAACATGTTGGCAAGTGCTTCAGGTGATGGTGTGGTGAAAGTGTGGGATCTAGAGTCCCGCGAGCAGAGGTGGCATGCGAGCGCACATGCAAATATTGTCAGGGGCCTAGCCTGGACAAGAGACCAGAAGCTTTTGTCCTGCGGAACAGACCGCAAAATCCATCTGTTCGACCCCTCGACCGCGGACGAATCTGCACCCCTCACAACTTTCGCCGGCACCAGCGCGTTTACCTCCCTGAGCCATCACCGATCCAAGAACGCCTTCGCCGCTTCATCGGGGAGCAACATTCAAGTCTACGATCTCGAGCGGTTCTCGGCAGCCCCCGAAGAATACAGCTGGCCGAATGCCACCGACACCATCAACGCGGTCAAGTTCAACCAGGTGGAGCAGTCGGTTCTGGCCTCTACGGCCTCGGATAGATCTGTCGTTATATGGGACGTGCGGTTATCCACACCCGTCACCAAGACCGTCATGACATTCGCATCGAACGGGCTGTCATGGAACCCGATGGAAGCCTTCAATCTGGCTGTGGCTAACGAGGACCACAACTGCTATATCTTCGATGTCCGCAAGTTCGACCGCGCCCTCAACGTTTTGAAGGGACACGTTGCTGTAAGTGATCACTGATCGCTGTGCATCAGTCTGGACAAGGCCATTCAGACTTTCAATCCATAATACTGACATATCGTAGGCTGTCATGGATGTCGAGTTCTCGCCTACAGGTGAGGAGCTCGTAACGGCCTCATACGACCGGACCATCAGGATTTTCCCACGTGATCAGGGACACTCTCGAGATATCTACCATACCAAGAGGATGCAGCGCGTCTTTGTCACCAAGTGGACCCCGGACAGCAAGTATCTCATGTCAGGGTCGGACGACGGAAACATCCGGCTCTGGCGAGCGAATGCTTCCAAGAGAGAGGGTGTCAAGTCTTCGAGGCAACGGCAGGCTGAGGAGTATAATTCGAAGCTGGTGGATCGCTTCGCCCATATGTGAGTACTTTCACCTTGAGGTCTCGTTTCTCATGTGAACCTTTTCTGCATATACTGACCAACATCGTCGCTATCCAGGCCCGAGATTCGGCGTATCAAACGCCACAGGCACATCCCCACGGTCGTGAAGAAGGCTGGACAGATCAAGGGCGAGGAACTGAAGTCGATCAAGAGGCGTGAGGAGAACGAGAGAAAGCATACCAAGAAGCAATTTGAAAAACGCCGGAGTGAGCGTGAGAAGATGATATTGGCTCGCGAAAAATAAGAAGGAAATATCTGGAAGATCGAGGTCGTCTTTCCTTTTGTACTCGAAGGTTCATTCGATGATGCATTGCAAGGCGTTTGGGTAAGGTGGAAAAAAGAACTTCATGATACCTGGCAGATGCTCTGATGAGGATGACTGCTCAGTTCAATCTTATTTCAAAAAGAAGATGAAATAAAACCATCCAATCATACGAAAGCGTTCCAACCAGACAGCCGATGGTGTGTGATATGGGAGAATCTCAAAGGGCGTCTGCTGCTGGGACTGAAAAAAGGCGGGGCTTGCCGCCACCACTGACAGGGAAATACGAGATGCATGCTGCAGTTCAGTGGATGCTGGAGCCCTACTGGAGCCATGCTGAGGCCAGGGGTTACAGTAGGGTTCCCCTTCCCCCTGGGCGCCAGGCGTTTAGTGCAACCCTACCTCACGCCTCTGGGTCCCTGACATAGCTCGACGTTTCAACATGTGAATCGATGCGGCAAGGGGGAGCTCTCCGTTGTCGCAAGTTGTTCCTCTGTGCTCGACAAGAATATTCATATATTCTACCCTGTCGTCTAGAATCTCTGGTACAGGCCAGATTAGATTCTTCTCTCGTCGCCTTTTTTTTTCTCCAGTTTCAGATTTTATTCGAGTCAAAACAAAAGAAACAAACTTGGCTGGTTCACCTGGCACAGAGATCTCTTCTCTTCCAACCGCCCTCCGTCCTCACAAGTATCAAACATCCTCCGTCATTCAGAGCTAGTTCTCTCAGCCAGTTCATCACGATGGCCTCACTCGGCGGCTTTGATCGCCCGCCACAGCGCGACTCATGGTTCGCGCCGCTGTCCGTCGACCTCTTCCTGAAGGTCCTGAACGTGACCTTCTTCCACCCCTTCGTCGCCTGGATGATCCCTCTGTGCTTCCGCGCCGAGCACATGGACTGGGACAAGATCCCTATCCGGGTCTCCGTGTGGTATGCGACCCTGGTGACAGTGTGCTGGACCCTGGGCCAGGTCAACCGGCGCATTGCCTTTGGCCTCCCGCGCAAGGTGAACCTCGAGAATGAGGTCATTGTCATCACGGGCGGCTCCAGTGGGCTTGGCCTGCTCATTGCGGAGGTTTATGGCATGCGCGGCGCCTCCGTGGCGGTGCTGGACGTGAGGGAGATGGACAACGGCGAGGCGAGAGGTGTCACATACTACAAGTGCGATGTCACCAACAAGGAGCAGCTGGCACATGTCTCTAGACAGATCGAGGAAGAGGTAAGTTGATTGATTGATTGATTGCTGTGCTCTCAGCTCCAGGCACCCCGTCAAGCTGGAGAAACGAAGAGACAAAAGATAAGAGCATAGCGTGCTAACATGGCTCGATACAGCTTGGCACGCCGACAGTGCTGATCAACAACGCCGCCATTGTGGTCGGCAAGCGCCTCCTGGACATGAGCACCGAGGAGATGGAGAAGAGCCTCTTCACCAACCTCCTGTCCAGCTTCTACACCCTCAAGACCTTCCTCCCCGCCATGATCCGCGGCCAACACGGCGGCACCATCGTGACCGTCTCCAGCGTCATCGGCCAGGTCGGCGCCGCCCAGCTGACCGACTACGCCGCCGCCAAGGCCGGCCTGATCGCCCTGCACAAGTCCCTGACCGCCGAGCTGCGCCAGTCCCATCCGGACATCCGGACCGTCCTCGTCACCCCGGGACAGCTGTCCACGCCGCTCTTCTACGGGGTGCAGACCCCCAACTCCTTCCTCGCCCCCGTCGTGGAGCCCGTCGACGTCGCCAAGGAGATCATCAGCGCCATCGACAACGGGCTCGCCGAGTTCATCAGCGCCCCTCTGTATGCAAGGCTTATTGATTGGTACAACGTCCTGCCCGTGGGGCTACAGCATCTCGCTCGTAGGATTGCGGGCATCGATACGGCCATGAAGACCTTTGTGGGGAGGAAGGGCAATGAGTTGAGTGAGAAGAATGGCAACCTTATATAGACAACGGGGCGCGGGCGCCTTGTAGATTTATATATATATGGATCACAGCGGGACAACAGGGATGGCTTATATACGGCATAATGCGACTTGGGTCTAATGAAGACACGAGGCTTGTAAACGGGACTGAGACTCGATTGGGGGGAGAGCAGGAGCTCGCTATCGGTTTATCAAAGAGACAGGGCGGTGCTTTACGTTACGAGGCGGGATATATTCTCGCAAAAAAAGAAAGAAAAAAAAAGAGAGACCAGAACCTTGAAGCCTCGCCCCATGAGTCCCCGAGACCGTATGTATTGTATGATTCAACCAGCAAAGTCCCTTGCACTTTTGAGCATACACAGTGCCGCCTACCTTGCAGCCGCAATTGGATGAGACGAGAGATACAAGGCTGATGGATGGGACGAGCAAGACAATATGGATCGACAACGAACAGGCTATGCATTAATCTTTCGTCCTCTAGATCTATAAGGGTGGCAAGACTGTGTCCCGTCTACCACAAAAATGCATTGGCTGATGGCCCAGCTAAACAGAACACCAGGTATGCATGCTCCGTGACGCCCCAAAGTGGAGAGACCCTCTTGTTACTGCTACCCACTTTTCTCGTGTACGCAGATTATTCTACCATGCAAAAGCCGCTACAAAACACAATGGCATCTCTCCAATGGTCACCCAAAAGCATTCCAACTCGTTCTCGGGAACCTTTAAGGTTGTTTTTCGACCTGCTGATAAGCAGATTGAATAGGTCAATCGCCACATCGTGTAGCATTATGCCTCGCTGATGCAAGAGACGTTCTCTCAAAAGACCCGTTGTGTCTGTCGTGTGTATTGTGAATGCTGTATCTCGATGCGGTTGGTTTATCCCTCATCACAACCAGACTGCAAATGCCAACGTCACGGCCACCAGACCGGCGCTCATCTTTGTGATGCTGCTCTTAGGGCTAGCCGGGCTCTTTGAGCTGCCAGTGCTAGAGGAAGAGGAGCCGCTGGATGCGGTGCTACCCGAGGAACCAGCATTCGTCCCAGTGGGCACTGCCGAGGTGTAGGTCCCGTCGTACAAAGTCTCTCCGAGGGTGGGCAGCGCGACGTTGCCGTTCACGAGCCAGGCCTGGGTGCCGCTGGTGCTGGCGGGACACGTGGGCGTTGAGAGGGTGCTGGTTGTCACATCGGATTTCATGACCCCGGTTGGTGTGAGGGTCGCCCACTGGGTCTTGAGGTTGGTGAAGTCGGGCGAGACTGGGGTGGGAGTGCCGGTTCTCGTGTAGCCGCCGACGATGCCGGTGCCTGTGGCAGTGCCAGCAGGAGCACCATACGAAATGAGGCCGTAGTCGTTCGTCTCCTCGATCCACTCGTAGATGATAGCACCCGACCAGTCGTTGACCATGTCATCGCCGAAGATGGCAGCCTGGTCCTCGAATGTGCGAGGGGGTGAGGTGTTGCAACCGGTCTCGCTGAAGAAGATGGGGACCGGGAAGTCGACGGCCTCCGACTCGAGGTTCTCATACCCAGAGGTTTGATACGTAACCTGCAGGACTCGGGTCAGTGGGACGTTCTTCAAGACGTAGACGCGGGGTTTGTTAAGGGGCTACATACGCTGCCACACCACTCGTAACTGTTCAAAGAGAAGAAATCCACATTATCCGACACGTTGCCGCCACAGGTGAGGTAGTCCTGAAGCATGGGACGGAGCTGGGCGATATCAGCAGCGCTGTAGCCGACAGGGATGTCTCGGTAGTTCTTGGAGTCCCTGTAGGCCTTCAGGTCCCTGGCAGCGGCCTTGATGAAAGGCGCCGCCATGCTCTGGCTGGCCTGGGCAATGACCTCGTTGCCCACGAAGAACTATATATACACTATGTCAGCGGCGGTTGGCCACACAGGAAGGAAAGATCATCCCCCGAGGGGGGGGGGGAGAGAGAGAGAGAGAGAGAGAGAGAGAGCGCGAGATTTGTGGGGAGGGGGGGGACAGATATACTTACACCCAGAGTGTTATCGTACTGTTGGAACTCATCCATAACCGCGGTGAATCGTTCATACTGGGTCTGATTCCACCAGGGGCTATTCGGGAGTATGTAAGTATCGAAGGTGTCCAGGTCAACAAGGAGGTAGATGCCGGCGTCGGCGAAAACGGTCATGCAGTCAGTGTGGTCAGAAGAGGCGTCGACGTGGTAGACACGGATTGTGTTGGCTCCGAGCTCCTGCATCAGCGAGGCGTCCAGAGAGCACTGAGTCTTGTCGACGAGGGGATCATCGTCAGTCAGCTGGTAGGCGACACCCTTGATGAAGAACTGGGTACCGTTCTCGTAAAAGAACTTGTTGCCGTAGGTGGAGATGGTCGTAATGGCGTTGACAGCGGAAATCGAGCCCAGCAGGGCAAGGCCTGTGAAAATGGAGGTTCTCATCCTGAATAATATGGCTGGTTGTGAACGAAAGGTAATTAAGACGGGTAAATTTGAAATGTGCAGGGCGTTCAATGTGCGCTTGTGATGTGATGGTATGCTGAAAGCTCAACCAAAAGACTGGAAGCAGAACCTTAGCAAAGGTGGGCGATGAGCGTAACACGAGAGAAGGGTGAGAACAAGTTCCTAGTGAAGAAGAAACAAGATGCAGTTCAGATGCGCAAGGATCTCAAAGTCTGGGGGAGGTGAAGGGGTTCCTTCCTGCCGCAGACGAACAGCACAGGTGAGGGTGTTGTCGTCAGTTGTAAGAGGCGGCGGTGACGAGCAACGGCGAGACTGCCACAGCACAACGTCACGGAAGGGGAAGGACTGCAGTGAAACGAATGAATGGATGAACCAAAAGACACAAACTTGAGCCAACGAATGGACAAGAAAAGCTGAAGTGGCAGTACAAGACACAAAACAAAGAAGGAGAAGGTCGAAGCAGAAAAGTTTCAAGAACTTTTTTTTCTCTCTGGAAAACAAAACCACGCTGGTGGTACCTGGTTCCTATACTATGGCTGGTGCATCGCAAAGCAGTTACGCTACGGGTAGTACATGAGCTAGACTAGCCGCAACCTCCCACCGCCCGCCGGGATGCATGGTTTCCTGCTCTAGTGTGGTTGGTATCTGATATCCGGTATCTAGCATCCCTGCCCTCCCTGGCCAACTTTTTCCCAGATTGTAGGAGCACCAGGGCCTGTCACTGCTCAGGCCCCCTTCACATAGTGCGGTCACTATCGTGTGCTGATTAGTGGATAGCTTGGTGGGTCTAGTCAAGTGCAATCGGTGTACTGTAGTAAAGATCGTAGGAGATTTAGTGCTACAATACTTCTATGTGCGACAAAGACGAGAGAAGAAAGGAAGAAGAGTCATGCACACCCTCCCTTCCCCCCCCCCCCTTTTTTTTCTTTTTTTCTTTTTCGCCCCGTCTCTGTGTCAACCTGGTCATACATAGTATGCATCACGAAATCAGCACAACCGAGATGCCTTCATGTTCCATGCTGTGTCTTTCTTCAACACAACGCGGGGAGAGACGACGCGGTGTGACCCGTCTCGCCTGCATTTTACGTAGATCAGGAGATGTGGAACCAGCGGCATGTTAAAGTCGCCCTAACGCGGGTCCCCCGGCCCAGGTTTATAGTGCAGACTGTGTCCAGTGGTCCGTCCTTCCTCGAGGGCCAACCATGTCCAACCTGCTACGACTGTATTATGCTACTATGATGACTGTGTATGATGCTATTGGGAGAGTAAGTAGTCTGCAGAATTTACCCCATAGTCGCCGTGTTCTGTTGGGCCACGGCACGAGGCATTGCGTGAAGCTCAATTTTAACGAGTCCTCAAAATCTCCGGCCGGCTTGTCCTATTGTAGCGTCGTTGTAACCCTCTGTGTGGGACATCGTCATGCTTGGTGTACTGTAGTAGTAGTGGCACGTCAGGGGGGTTGCGGCCTCGCCTCCATTAGCTGTCATCCCACCTGCTGCAGGTACAGGTGCATTTGCTCCGGCAGATGGGATTTGTCGAGATGGCAGGATGACTTTCTGATGTTGCTCCCAGACAAGGAAAATCCTGCTTTTTCCTTGCATCATGCATCCCATTCTCTTAGGGCTATTGGTTTCCGCTGTGGATATTGGCTGAATGTGGACCTTCTCGACACAGAGGAACTGGCCCCCCCCCCCCTTTTTAGCGCCGACGAGTTCTTTTTTACCAGTAATACAGTTGCGTATGGTTAAATCCCAAGATGAAAGGAGAACGGGTGGCCCCCACGGGGAAGAGGAAATGAAACACACACAAGAAGCCTGGCAGCCCTGGCACATTGCTGCTGAGTCTGGGTCAACACATCTCGATCACCACCTTCTCCCGCCGCCCAGGTAGCCATGTATTTGAGTAGTAATACATACACGCACCCCCGACCACATGAAATTGGCACAGCCGTGAAATGAAGGCAGCAGTTTGCAGGAGTTGTCAGGCGTTATGAATGCATTGTTTGTGTATGTGAGAGAGAGAGGAGTGGTGGACAGACCCGAGGCATCGTCGCGCCTTGGTGGAGAGCCACGGAAACGAGGAGGTACTATAAGTAGTACCATGCCATGCCATTTCATGCCCACGCCACCGCCGCCTGTGACGACAAGGTACCATATATGACACCATGGGATCACGATTGACCATTGCTCCGACGAGCAGCTCTGTCCTGTAGTTCCTCCTCTAGCCAAGACTCAGATGCGTAGGAGCCCTTTGGATGCATCTCAGCTCCTGTAAATTGGACTGTCGTGGTCCCTGCGGGGATACCGAGCGGCTGGCAGCGACGTTATCATCACCCACTTTCCCGACAAAACAGGTACAAGAAGAAAGCGAAGAGCGGCGAACATCGCAGGCACAGGCTTCTCGGCTGTAGGTTGCACGAAGCCAGGTGAACGACAATGTTGTATATGTGGCCACAATAAGATCTGCCCCGCTCAAGGGGACTCTTCAACTCCAGTGTGTCTTTATACACACGCTCTGTATATTTCTTTGCACCTGCTCTCGCCAACACTTTAATCACCACCAAGCCAATGCTGAGGTTTAGAAATAAACACACCATGTCTCGTATTCCCATTGTTACATGCGGCACAGGCATCTCTTGCAGTAAGTATAAAAAATATGTATAAAAAAAATAATGAACACATCAGGCTTAAACCAGGTTGGAATATATTCCAGTGGTTTTTTTTTTCTTTTCGGGTTTTTTTTTCTTTCAAACCCCTCCCCCCCCCCTCCCCCCCGTGCAATATTATTCATTCCCCTCCTCTCCATCATAACTATGTATGTATAGATAGATTGAAGAGGATAATATAGAAAAGAAGAAAGAAGAGAAGAAGAAGAAGAAAAAAAAAAAAGGGGGGGGGGGTTCAGTTGACAGCCTTGTTCACGTGGACCAATGGGATTTAAACCATGTGCCCCACACCATCATGCCCCCACGGTCGCATGTGCCAAGAAGGGATCATTAGGGGGACCATCTCTTAAAGCCAACTACCAGATGACAGATTTCGAGCAATTCCCACAGCTGCAACAACACTCGCCCAGGTGGCTTGCTACCATAATACACACATCGTATGGACCTTATATGATATAATACCGCAGGTATCTTGGAAGCGCATGGAAATGGACAGCCTGCAGGCGCCTCTCATCTCCAACCGCGACCCGGACGACCGCGACGACAACCTCGACGATGTTCTCGACTCGGGCATATCGGCGGCTGATGGCTCCAGCCAAGCTGAAAAGTCCTCACCAAGTCTCTTCGTATGGCTTTTGACGTTCTCTGCCGGGATCAGCGGCCTCTTGTTTGGATGTATGCTCCTGGATGGTTTCTCTTTCATTGCTCTTCTCCTGGCAGCTCCCCTCACCCTCGCCTGTACTGACTTGTGTGTTCGATTCGTTTCCAGATGATACTGGCGTCATATCAGCAACTCTCGTCTCCCTCGACAGGTCCCTGTCCAACCGCGTCCTCACTTCGTTCGACAAGACCATCATCACAGCCGCCACCGCCCTCTTCGCACTGCTCATCACGCCCTTCTCCTCCCACCTTGCTGACCGTCTCGGCCGGAAACGCGTCATCCTCTTTGCCGACCTGCTGTTTATTGTGGGGGCGCTTCTACAGGCTGTTAGCTCCAGCATCTTCGTGATGACCCTCGGTAGATCCATAGTCGGCGCGGCCGTGGGAGCAGCCAGTTTCGTGACACCCTTGTACATCGCCGAGCTGGCGCCAGCGGCCCACAGAGGCCGCCTGGTCACCATGAATAACCTATTCGTCACCCTAGGACAGGTCATCGCATACGTTGTGGGGTGGGCTTTTGCGGAGCACGGCAGCAGGGCAACGGGGTGGCGGTGGATGGTCGGCCTGGGCGCCCTCCCGGCAATTCTACAGAACATTCTGGTGCTGTTCATGCCCGAGTCACCGAGATGGCTGGTCAGGGCGGGACGGGTCGACGAGGCGCGGCAGGTTATCAAGCGAGTGGCTGGTGGCAATACGCAAGGCGCGTCTGCCGCTGCCGATGTAGTGCTGAAGGACATCAAGGCCGAGATTCTAGAGGAGGAGCAAGCTCAGAAGGCCCGCAGGGTGTCACCACAGACGAGGAATGCCTGGTTGGACGGGTGGGATGAGGTCTTTGCCGTGCAGAGAAATCGTCGGGCGCTGGCGATTGCTTGCCTCCTCCAGGGACTGCAGCAGCTGTGCGGATTTGTGAGTCCACTCCTACCATACAGACATACACACACGGGCTTATTCACTTTTCTCTCTCCCGTGCTTCTTCTTTTTGCGCTGACCGTTGGACCTCGTCAGAACTCGCTGATGTACTTCTCCGCGACCATCTTCTTGATGCTGGGCTTTACAAGCCCAACACTAACGTCCATGACCGTTGCCCTCACCAATTTCTTGTTTACTGTTGCTGCCGTCGTCATGATCGACAGGGTTGGTCGGAGACGTATTCTCCTCTACTCGGTACCTTTTATGGTCGTAGGTCTGCTCCTGTCAGCGTACGGCTTTTCGCTCATGAAGCTGTCCACTTCGACTTCGGACGTTGGCTCGGCTCCTCCTCCTCCTCCTCCACCAGGCCGAGGCGCTGCGGTCGTCGTGCTATTCTCCATCATGCTATACGTCGCGGCGTACGCGATCGGACTGGGCAGCGTGCCCTGGATGCAGAGTGAACTCTTCTCCCTAAGTGCTCGATCGATAGGCAGCGGCGCAGCCACGGGGACTAATTGGGCGTCCAATTTTGTGGTCGGTCTGACGTTCCTGCCGCTGATGGACGCGCTGTCACCATCATGGACATTTGTGCTCTATGCCGTTGTGTGCGTGATCGGTCTCTGGCTTGTGTATCTTATCTATCCTGAGACGAGCGGTCTGACACTGGAAGAGGCTGCTAGTCTTCTGGAGAGGGATGACTGGGGGGTCGGAAGCCATTGATCCCATTCATCCGTCCACCCGTTTCCAGTTCTATTGTCCATTGTATATTCGCTGTCCTGGTCCACCATTGAACGAGCAATGCTATACCAAATAAACCACGACGTCCAAATCATTTTTATACTTCCCTATCTCAACAATCCTGACTCGCAGTCCGACAATATCTGGATGTGTGGCTCCTTTGACACTCAGGCGCCTCATCTAAGAGGCGAGAGAGACAGAGAAAAAAACAGAAAGAGAGAGAGAGAGAGAGGAGAGCAGCGTCCCAAGAGCCATGGATGACCCGAAGTCTACCGGGACCGGTGATACTACGTACCACAATATGCCTGTGTGCTGGGTAATCCAGAGCTGACCGGCTCCGCTTCCAAGAGAGTGCGGTCAAGAAGAGAGACCTTGCGCTGCTGATGCTGGCAAAGTGGCACAGGCACAGCACACAGACCGTTTTCCGACGCGAGATCCGAGGGCTGACATATGTTTATTTTCCAAGATCGAACTTTCGGCTTCTTTTCTATGCACCACAGCTGCTCACATTTCGATTCTGTAAATTCTGTAAAGTGACAGCATTGTGGCCTTTCTCCCTATACGAGAGAGAGACTCCAGCACTGTGGGTCTAGAGGAGGGCCACTCTCACTAGTCATGGGTGCTTGGCTCCTCAAATGTTGCATCACAGACGAACCGAACCTCACCGCGTGAAGTGTACTTTTTTCTTCCAGCTCACAAGCTCTGGCGTGGGGTTCCCCTTCCTACACCAAGGGGGCCAGTGGGCGGTCAGCAAACAGAATCCAGCTTCCTTGCATCGATGTTTAGTAAATATTTAACGGCCATTATCCCCGGCAGTACGGCGGCGGTATCAAAGCCGCGAAGGGCCGACGTGAGATGGACCCCAAAACGGCCCGAGAAGCCAAGGGGCCTCTCCTCCTGCTGACAATTCGCAAGTTACAGAAGCCCTTTTCCCCCCCTTCTCTGTCCTTCTAGGCTGGTTTACTACGTAATATCGCAGCTACATCAGTAAATTCCGCTGAGCGCCGGGGTCAAGCCTTGAGCCGCGAATTAGCTTAGCTTAGGTTGGGCTCTGATTGTGACCCATCCCAATCTTTGCTTATACAAACTAGCTGGGGCCTGCTGGGCAACGGGGCACTGCTCCAAAAAGTCTTGGGAGATGACAGGAAAAAAAAAAAAGAAGAAAAAATTAAGCCCGTCATTCGCCCCGCCGGCTCGCTAGACCAGAGGAGCAGGAGCTATCTTCTCTTCTAGCTTACCATAGTGATGCCTTCTTCCGTCTTTCCAAATTGGGGTCGTTCATAAGCGCAAACCTACTTATCTTAGTATTCATCCCAACCTCTGTTCCTTGAAACTTCAACTTCGCGACCCTTTTTGTTACCTTTTGTTATTATTATTTGTTCTTCCAAATCTCACCCCGCAAAATCGGGCCACAGCTACGCCCTGGCAAGTCATCACAGTAACCGCCATACTGGCTGCTTTATAGACCAATCGAGGATCGATCCTCTCCCCAGGGGCCAGCAGCAGCAGTATCGTCATCATTACCACTGCTACTACTATTGCCCATATACAAACATAATCGTCAGGCAGGAGGGCCGACACTCAGACACGACAAGATACGACCAAAAATGGCCAACGACAGTAATGAGATTGACCGCGAGATTCTCGCCGCAGAACAAGATGCAGCGCGCGACTACAACAGGCGCGCCTCCACCGAGGTCGAGAGGGTTGTTTCCGCGTCGTCGGTGTCCACGTCCACTTCTGGTGGCTCACTGCGAGAACGCCATGGCATGATGAGCAGGATGTCGACGCAGCGTGATCTGGAACGCCATCCCACAGAGCTTGATCGTATACAAACCGCCAGGAGCCAGCATAGCGCGACCGTGGGTGTGAGTATGGGCCGGAGCAACACCAATACTCGTGACTCCAGGAGACCAATGCCTCCCATGGGTGGAGGCAAGAGCCTACCGCCGAAGCTGAACGTGGACGATTACGTGGTGGAGTGTGAGAGATATATATCCGCTGAACCCCGCCAAGAAGAGCTGCAAACAGCTAGCTAACACCGTTTATCAGTCGACGGCCCAGATGATCCTCTACATGCGCAGAATTGGCCTCTGAGAAAGAAGTAAGCCAGCCAGCCAGACAGTCAGGCATGTTGCGATGTTCAACAGGGCCATTTTACTAACAGGCATAGGATCCTCACCGCCGCCATGTTGGGCTTCACCACCTTGACAGCAGCCTTCACGTCGAGCATCTTCTCCGCCGGGACCCAAATCATAGCAGCTGAGTTTGGTGTCTCGACCGAGGTCGGCATCCTGGGCGTCTCGTTCTACGTGCTTGGCTTCGCTACGGGCCCTTCGCTGTGGGCCCCTTTCTCGGAACTGAAGGGACGTCGGCTACCTCTTGTCATCTCCATGTTCGGCTTCTCCATCTTCACGATCTCTTGTGCCGTTGCCAAGGACCTCCAGACAATCCTTATCGTCAGATTCTTTGCCGGCTTCACCGGAGCGTGTCCTCTGGCAGTCGTCGCGGCTGTCTTCTCGGACATGTTCAACAATGCCACCCGTGGGATTGCCATCACCATCTTCTCCATGATGGTCTTCACCGGTCCCCTGCTGGCCCCGTTCATAGGTGGGTTCATCGTCGAATCGTACCTGGGCTGGAGGTGGACCATGTACATCACCTCCTTCATGGGCTTCCTGAGCTTCGGCCTGGATCTCATCTTCCTCGAGGAGACCTATCCGCCGCAGATTCTGGTTGCCAAGGCCGCCGAGCTCCGCCGCAGGACCAAGAATCACTTCATACACGCAAAGCAGGAAGAGATCGAGGTCGACTTTCGAGAGCTCGTCGAGAAGAACTTGAGCCGGCCCATGCGGATCCTGTTCCAGGAGCCCATCGTGCTCCTTCTGAGCATATACATGAGTTTCATATATGGGATTCTGTATTTGTTCCTGACGGCCTATCCACTGGTCTTCGAAGGGGTGCATCACTTCTCCCCTGGTGTTGCTGGTCTCGCCTTCTTCGGCATGATCATTGGCGAGCTGATCGCCGGCCTCGTCGTCCTGGCGCAGCAGCCCTGGTACCAGCGCAAACTCGCCGCCAATAACGGCATACCCATCCCGGAATGGCGTCTCCCCTCAGTCATGGCCGGAGGCCTCGCGTTTGCCATCGGCTTGTTCTGGTTCGGCTGGAGCGGCTACCGCGCAGATATCCACTGGATCGTTCCCACAGCCTCCGGCCTCCTCACAGGGTTTGGCCTCATGTCCATCTTCCTGCAGGCCCTGAATTATCTCGTGGATGCGTATCTCATGTTCGCCGCATCGGCCATAGCAGGAAACACAGCCATGCGTTCGCTGTGTGGCGCTGGATTTCCCCTCTTCTCAACATACATGTTTGAGGGCATGGGCATCCAGTGGGCCTCGACGTTGCTCGGATGTGTGGGCGTAGCGCTAGTACCCATTCCCGTCATCTTCTACCTGTATGGCCACAAGCTTCGGGCCAAGAGCAAGATCGCGCCGACGTTCCCATCACAGGTACAGCGGCCTGCGAGCGAGAGATCACATGAGATGCCTCCTCAGAAGGACGAGAGAGGAGATGGCCAGGGTGCTTTGGCATCTGCAGCACCAAAGAAAGAGTCTGACAAGGCCACTGAGGCTGTCTGAGCTTATAACGTAGAAACAAGGCAATGTTCTTGGATTTGTTGGCTCACGAAGGATGATAAAAACAATAGAGGTTCGGGGTCATGCTGTGGCATGAGAGCAGGCTTGCATGGTCATGCGGACGGAAATTGTCAGAAAATATGTAAGAACGATTTAATAGGCTACATAATGTCAAAATAATACTCGAGGGTCGAAGGATTCTGCAATGTTGAGATTTTACGACTCTGGGAAGGTATTGGTGTCCACATTCGTGCTACGTCTCTCTATAAACAAGTGCGCATGTCGTTCGATGTCGTGTTTAGAGACTTTCTTTGATGCCTGATGATTTGGGCAAGATCTTATCAAGATGGTACACTGCTAAATACTTCTGCAGCACTAGGGTCTTTCTAAATAAAAAGACGCAAGCAAATAGCAATCTCGGGCACGGTTATGTTAATTATTAATGCAGTGTTTACTACCGAGATCCGGAGCCTGTGCCACGGCGGACGCATGTCTCTGTAGCGGTGCTTTGAAAAGTGGATTGAATTACCCCTCCACCAAGCTACGGCTCTTAAATTTCCCTAATCGAATATAGGCTGCGTCTTTCGTGCCACCCCCCTTTTTCTTCTCTGATTGAATGTCAATTATTTTCCTTGTGTCTTGACCAAGGCTCCTATTCAACATGTCCACCACAACGCCAGCGTCAGAGACCAAACCGAGCCAGGTTTACGAAGCAGGATGTCATTGCGGGTACATCAAGTTCAGCGTGAACCTGTCGCCTCCCTTGCCTGAGAATAAACCCCTGCTTTGCGATTGCTCCGCGTGCCGTCGGTTTGGCTACCTGCTTGTCTGTACGTTAATTCTGTATTGTGAGAAAGGTAGAAAAGTAGAGAAAAAGGAAAGAAGGAGAAAAGACACAGCTCGGGAGGGACTTGTGCCCAGAAGATGGAACTACACGGCGACATCTTGGAGGCGCCGTGAGAGATGCCCAAGTCCCCCGTGTTTTTCCCCCTCTTCTTTCTGTGTCTCATCTGTGAATGGAGCAGAGCTTATCCTGCGCGAAGAGAAAGATACACACCACCCAAAACCGGGAAGCGAAAAAGGATAACATATACTGACAGCCACAAAACATTATTACCCGCATAAAAGATCCGGTCCGCCAAGACGTCGAATGGCACGGCGACTCATGGACGCGCCTGTCCAAATACCAGTTCAACACGAAGCAAAAGGACCAATTGTTCTGTGGCAAGTGTGGCGCGAGCATAGGCATTGACTTTCGCGACTTTGATGCGCCTCACCCCAGCCGGTTTGGCATCAGTGTGAGTGCCGAGCTGAAACAATCATCGGCGCGAGCGTCGTGAAATGGAGGATGACTTGCTGATTCTGTTTGCCCCCGCGCCCCCCCCCCCCGATGCTTAGGTCCGCACTTTCAATGGCATTGATCTCGACGCCCTGGAGTACAGGCCGTTCAAGGGCTCGGAGAAGGTGGTTCCGGCAGAGGACTTGTCCGGAGTGCAGTATGAGCTGGACGAGAAGGAGAAGGCCAAGAAAGATGCAGGGGAGGATGCAGAGAAGGAAATTGCTGTTGCAGCTGTGACTGCTTGATAAGCATTGGATTTTTGCACCTGCTTTTCAGGGTCTGTCTATAAGCACCGTATCTACAATGGCAGAACAATTGCCCAGCCTGACGCCGGGCTCCCATAATCTAAACTTCAGATCGTAGAGACAGAGACCCAAAGGAGTAAATAAGAGGACATTAAGGTTTGTCTGGGCCAGCTCCTACAATGTGGTTCCGTTGCCCTATGTCGCCTGACGTCTTGCATAAATCTGCTCCGCAGACTCAATCGTCTTCATGTTGGCACCGAGTTTGTTCTGCCCACGGGGTTAGTGCGCTGTCCCTCACTTATTATGTATGAGGTAGAATTGTATCAGCTGGGAAGAGGGGTGTTGTGCCTACCATGGTCTCCATCCACTCATCATACGGGTCTGAGTCGAAGACAATACCGCCACCTATCGATGTATTAGATTACTGGTGGTGGTGGTGGTTTCTTTGATTTGAAATAAAGGTACGTGGGTCTTGGGAGAGGGTCGGGGGGACCTGGACTTACCAGCCTGTAGATATGCAATGCCATCTTTCACCATCATGGTTCGAAGCGCAATGCATGTATCCATTGCTCCCTCCTTTTCTTCGCCCGAGGCCGAGACACTTCCATACCCGAAATATCCCACCGCCCCAGCATAGACTCCTCGCTTTTCTCTCTCCAGCTCGGCAATTAGCTCCATGGCCTTGACCTTGGGAGCGCCGGACACGGTACCGGCCGGGAATATAGACCGGAAAGCATCGAACCTCGTCTTGTCTGGTCTCAGCACGCCAGAGACTTGAGAGACCAGGTGCTGGACATGCGAGAATTTCTCTACGACCATGAGCCTGTCGACGCGGGTCTCGAGAGGGTCACAGACACGTGTGACGTCGTTACGGGCCAGGTCGACCAGCATGACGTGCTCCGCGCGGTCCTTGAGAGAGTTGGCCAGTCCATTAGCCAGCTGCTCGTCCTCTTCGGGCGTCTTGCCGCGCTTGACGGTACCGGCGATGGGATGTGTGATGATACGGCCCTCCTCGGCCTTGACAAGCAGCTCTGGCGAGGCACCGACGATCTGGAAATCCTCGCAGTCAATGTAGAATAGGTAGGGCGAAGGATTGACGGTGCGAAGATGTCTGTAGATGTTGAAGGGGTGAAGGTCCGTGGGGCGAGCAAAGCGCTGCGAAGGCACGGCCTGGATGATGTCGCCCGTGACGATGTGCTTCTTTAGATTCTTGACATGACCCTCATAGCCGTCCTGACCGATGTTGGACTTGGATTCGCGTCCCAGCTGCACCGGGCCCTGTTCAGGCAAGGGGATCTCAGGGGCCTCGAGGACCCTGATGAGGTCCTCGACAACCTTGGTCGCTTTGGCGTACTCGGCATCGACGTCGGCTGGGTTCTTGGGCACTCTCAAGTAGGTAATGACCTTGATCACGCCGTAGAAGCGATCAAAGGCTACAATCGTGTCGTAAAACTGGAAGAGTGATTCCGGGATCTGGAGAACATCCTTCATCGGCCGAGCAGTCTTGGGCTCAAAATATCTAGAGTGGCATGTGAGCACGAGGGGTGGAAGGGCTTTCTGTTTGCTTATTGACCAATACACGCAAGCTTACCTGACACAGTCGTATCCTATGTAGCCAATGGCACCTCCGGTGAGAGGGGGCAACCTCAGGTTAGGCACATCTGCTACGACAAATTGCGACAACTCCTTCTCCAAGGCAGGGATGGGATCGCAAGACTCGCCATGGCCCTCGCCTGTCTTGAGGATCTTCCTGGGGCCTGCACCGACGAAGCTATACCGGCCGACTTTTTCGGAGGCGGCACTCTCAAAGAGGACCGAATAGGGCGACTTGGTGTGAGCCACAACCTTGAGGTACGCAGCCGAGGGAGTAATCAGGTCTGAGGATATCTGGCCATACAGAGGGACAAGGTTCGGCTTCTTGGGGCCCTGCTGCTTGGCCAGCACCTCCTTCACCGTCTCCAGCGAGGGGACGATCTGGTCCTGAAAGCCTGTGTCAGTGGGGGCCATTGAGCACGAGATGAATGAGCTGGATACAATGCCTTGGAGCCACTTACTGGACCGCTCATGTTTTCAAAGCGAAGAAAGAAAAGAAAAAAACTGGGTCTTGAACCAAGGCCGTCCGCCGGTACGCACTGCAATGTGTCAAAATGAGTGACTGTCTCGTAGACTTGACTCATAGGATACGCCCCCAGCGCGATGGCGGCAGCCAAAACGGCTCCCTAAATTCTAGCCCTTCCAGGGGCGAGCGTGGTGGGGTTGTACAGTGATGAGTGCTGAGCTTGGGCAAGTGGGGCACTACAGCAATGCCAGCAGACGAGTCTGGAATTTGGAGGGGCCAAGCCCTAGGGCGGGACCATCCGGAAGTATTTTGACTGCTTTCCATTCAACACCAGAAACGGCCAAGGTGACAATCATCATTCACATAGATTTCACTACATTGGGGAAACATAGAGGGAGGTAGAAAGAAAAGGGAATAGATGAAGAGAAGAAGAAAGAAAGAAACCAAGAATTCAAGACAGCTCCTACTCCATAGTTACCCACGAATTCGAGGCTGTTGCAGTCTTGAATCTTCCAAATGAGGTCCTCGGCGTAACACCCTAGAAACCGTTCTTTGCCTCAGATGTTCTTCACCTCGTTTTTAGCTCTCAACTGCCAGTGCCTTGACGCCCACGAGCCTTGCACTCTTGCCGTCTCCCTGCCTAGTCACCACAAAGTACTCTGCTCTCGACTTGTCCTTGGCAATTCTGTATACCCGCACGTCATTTCCCTTCCCAGCTTTCGTCACGGCGTCGATAATGTCCTTGTACTGCCCGTTCTTGTCCCAGTCTACCGGATCCATGATCTCGACCTCAGCACTCGCAGGATTCCAGTGCTCGACTAGCTTGGCGATCTCCTCTGCTCAATTTGTCAGTCGATCGCTCTGTCACAAGCTCGACCTCGACCATCTTCCTACAGTGCTGCAGGATTTCAGAGGGGAGAACAACATACCTTCATTCGGTAGACCCTCTCCCTTGCCCCACGCCAACGAGACTGGCACGAATGGCTCGTCCGCATCCGATACATAGAATGCATCTTGGGTAGCAGTTACCAGTGGTTGGGGTATATCTGTGCCCTGATCTGCTGCCTTGAACTCCTTCTTGCCATGTGATGCCTGCGCCGTGGCCGAGCCAGAGCCAGGGTCTTGGTTGGCTTTGTCTAGAAATGACTGGTAGTCCTCGTCCGATGCCATTTTGTATTCTTCACTGGCCCGCTGTGTGTGGGTAGGATTGAAAAATCCGCGTGCCCGAAGGAAATCGACTTGCGTCAACGAAACGTCGTGACCGCGTCGAAGGGTTGCAAAGAGGGGGATGCGACCTGATGGTCGGAACAAGCTGTGCAGGCTACGGGACACAGTTGGAAGGGATGGTCGCAGGTAACGGGGGCAATGCCTGCGATGTGAGACGTGTCTGGTGGTCCTGGCAGTGAAGGAGGTTGCGACTTGTGCTATCCTGGAGGGAAAGAAGCCCATTTGCTCAGGTGGTGTAGTCTGCAGCTGAACTGTGCAAATCAAGATGCAGAGAGGGCCGGGCAGAAAGTTATGACGCAACCGCGCCAGCCACCCCTCCTCGGCTGTTGAGAACTTCCACTAACAGCTTGTTGGTCACTGCGCTATGAACTCAAACACAAATGGTGTCTGCGAGAGCAATTGCAGTTCCAAGAAGTTGGGTCTTCGCAGAGGCAAAGACGAAGCTGGAAAATGGACAATTTGTTCCACATTTTCATTCTTGTTGATTTCCTTTTTTTGTTCCGGGTCAGACAGGATCGAATGCATGCCACTATGATACTTCACGAGTAACGTTGAAAAAGGCGGCAGAACCTGATTTTTACCCGCTTCTCAGCCGAATCTTCAGTGCAGAATCGTCAAATGTCCTCCTGTAGTGATGATCCCAGATATGCTGGCGTTGACCACCCGATATTCTCGTCAAAGTGAGGCAGCATACCCAGAAGTTTTCTACTTCGTGTTAGGTCCCTGAGTCTGGCTTTCCATCTTGAATTCTTATGGCGGACAGACCTCTAACATCACCGAGGTCATTGCATGTCAAGTACCGGAAGGGAAAGACTGCTGCTTGAAAAGACATGACGCTGAGATTGGGGCAAAGTATGGGATGGTAGTTCCCATCATGAGTATAGTCATCACACGTCGCATTCCGCTGAACACACATCTGCTGTAACCCTTTTGATTGTTCCTTATTCAGCCTCTACTGAGCTCAAATAACCATTACCAGCCCAAACGTGCGTAAAAGGAAAAGCCTTGACACCAGACCGGCACAAAAAAGATCAAAGCTTTTACGAGCGTTCCACATCCTTCTTGAGCAGGCCCTGGTACTGGCGCTTCTCCTCGGGAGTCTGGAACGATCCATGTCCGAACTCGGAACCTTGAAGCATTCGTTAGCACCTGCATGTAGTATCCACGAGATGAAAGGCGCGGAGGCAAGAGGAACATGACGTGAGTAGTGACAAGAGAAAGGATGGTGTAGCCTTATCAGGGTTGCAGAAGGGGAGTATTTGATGGGCGAGGTATGCCTGACTTCCCATGAGGACAATTGGGGGTTCAACTTACTGGTGTCGATCCATTTGAGCTCGACCTTCTCCAGAGCCTTGCGAGAGGTGTGAGGCCAGAGAGACTTTCGGAGGGTCATCTGAACGCAAAGTCTTAGTTCCTGAGAGCAGACAAGGCCCAAGGCATGTAACACGAGAAATTACTTACCACACGCTTCTTCACGCCAGGAACAGATCCCTTGACCATGACGAAGTCGTTCTTCACCTCACCGTAGCGGACGAAGCCACCGAGACTAACCGTCTTGTTAGCAACCTAGTTTTCAATATCCATGTCCTAGTCGAACTTACGGGGTGATCTTCTTCTTGGTGACATCGACCTCAGTGGCAGCGTTGTCATCAGCATCGCCTTTGCCAATCCTGTAGACCTTGTGGTTGCAAGAGGTACGGTGGTGGTATCCCATCTGACCAGCACGGGCAACAGTCCACTGAACGTGGGACGGATGCCATGCACCGATACAGGCAACCTTACGCAGACCCTTGTGGGTCTTGCGAGGCAGCTTCTTGGTGCCCCAACGGGCAGTAACGCCGTTGTATCCGTGACCCTTGGTGACGGCAATAACGTCGATCATCTCGTCCTGCTCGAAGATGGTGTCGATGGAGAAGGGCTTCTCGAAGAGGGAGTGGCCGAACTCGACCTTGTCGGCGACGGAGCCACCGTTGATCTGGATCTCCATGAGGTGGGTCTTCTTCTGCTTAAGGGGGGTCTTGCGGATCTGAGTGTGGGCGAGGACGCGGACGACAGAACAGTACTTCTTGATGCGCTCGAGCTCGCGGGTGATGGAGGCACCGCTGTGCTCGGAGTGCTTCTTGGCGTACTTGGTGAAGGCCTTCTTCTTGCTCTTGTACCAGTTCTTGTAGAACCGGCGGCGAACCTCGTCGCTCAAGTGCTCGGCCCAGACGGTGGTGAGGGATCGCAGGCCACGGGGGGTCTCAATATAACCAACCAGACCAACAACGATCATCTGTAAAAGATGTTAGCCATTGGCACAGTCGCCAAGCGGGCTGCATTGTTCGTACCGGTGGTGTGTCAATAACGGTCACAGCCTCCACAATCTCCTTCTTGTGCGACTTGGCGCCAGGTCGGTCGAGGTCGCGGACGATCGTGGTCATGCCGGCCTTGTAGCCCATAGCGGCGGTCAGGTGGACAGGCTTCTTGGGGTCATCCTTAGGGAAGCTAGAGACAAAAGACGTGACGTGAGTCAGCAAGCCGGACCATCACGGAGCTGCTTGATCAATTGAGGATCGCAAGCACCAAAATATGGAGGGAGTAAGGAACATCAATCAGGTGCTTCGAATTGCACTTACGACTTGACCTTGCCACGGTGTCTGGCAGCCCGCTTCCGGGGCAGGTAGGCCAGCGAGCCATGACGAGGAGCCTCGAACTTACGGTGCGACATGGTGATTCAGTTGAACACTGTCGCTGTTGTCGTGAGAAAGTGAGGTGGGTTGGGTGGACGAAGGAGAGGAAAAGGAAGGAGAGAAAAGTTGAGATGCGGCTAGCAACAGAAAAGTTCGCGACCCCAGACTGGACCGTCTCTGCAAATTGTGGGATTGATTAGGTAAGATTGCCTTGGGTCTACCAAAACCGGTGTTCCATCAACCACTCCTCCAGCTGGTGACAGCTGCATCCAGCTGAAGGCCCCACCTCGGCCCCCAATGGCCTGCCTATTGAACTCAAGACCCCAGCTCTCAAGCATTTTGCAGAGAGCACTTACTCAACCACGAGATCCCTACCTTCCCGGGCTTCCACGTAGTGTGTCAAGATCACATGTTGATACAGCTCACACACTCACTACGTTTCTATCTCCCATACTTTGTACGATATGGCTGAGATTCCAATTAAGACGCTGGTCGCATCTGCAAGCCCGACTGACTTCGTTTGATCAGACGTTGAGTGATGCTTCGAAGGATAGAGCTGAAATTGTCTGGGACGTGTGTTGCGGGATTAGAGATGCCCAGTTAGATCGAAACTCGTACAAAGTCTCCTGGCTCGCGCATGCCATGGCTCTCGTGCACTGAAAGACGGCGGAAGATCATTCTCTCATGTTGACGCCGGCACTCTTTCGGATCAGCCGTGTAGCGTCATGTAATGCGGCATGTCGGCCCAGACACCAGACCCGCCACACTAAAGAGGCCTTCACTTGGACGCTTGTCTCAGTGAGAGAAATGTGCACGTCTCACAAGCCTCATCAAGAGTAACAGCGGATCGGATACGCACATTAGAACAGCGCCGGCGTTCTAGCCAGAATATCTTCCTATCGCAACTCACGACAATGGTAAGATGGCACCTCGACCGCCTGTCCTCTCTCAGCCTGGGGTTCGAGACCTAATTCAGAGAGAAGGCTTTATTGTACCATGGTAGTGCATGGGCTCGTTTGGGCTCTTAAGAATCTGTGGACCCAGCCTCCAGCAAACCCTGATCGAGATTGATAACGAGGGATCTCGTTTGATGTGACAGGCTTGTGCCGCACAGCATAGTTGATCTGCGCACGGCACCAACAGCGCCGGAGTCGCCTTTGTCATCCCAGCCTCCCAGGGGTCTTTTAATAGGCAGGCTTCCGCAGAGACAGTAGAGATCATCCGTCGCGAATCGGCTCATGCTGGTCACCCACGTACACATGGTGGCACAAATACCGTCCGTTGCCCACACACGACAGTAGTGTGTTTTGTCATAGGCCGCCCCTGCCTGACAAGCCGGACAAGCTTACACAACTATTGGCAGCACATGGCCCAACCGACGAGATCGCAGGCGAGGGATCACAGCATCATCTGGAGGTCAGGCTTCGTTCTGGGCTATTTTACTTATGTGCGTTCTTGGACTGCAGCGATCGCCGGAACTAGGCATCATCATATCAAGAGATGAAGGGCGTGGCCCGCGAGCCTCAACACAATCCCTTTGATACATCTCTGCATTGAAAAGTCAGCGACGCTGCGGAGTCAATCTGAGCAGGGTCTATTTAAGCAGCAGAGACAGCCTTCTCTCTGCATCAGGGAATGAGTAAAGTTGCAACTAATCCTAGAGAGGCAGCTGTTCTGCGGTCTAGGGTGTGGGGCGAGAACACATCGTGCTACTCAGAACCAACAGGACTCCGGAGGTGGCCATCTGCTACTTGAAAGTGACAGCACCAGCCGCAGCCGTCTTACCACGGCCGCAGGCCAGGCCGTCTCGTAAGTATTGGTTGGGTGGTAAAGAGCCGCTTACTCCGGCCTCCCTACGAGGCCCCTCGTTCTGTGGGACTCGCACCTCCGTTGCGCTGACAAGGATACTCATCTGTCGAAACAACGGTACGAGGTACTTGGTACGCCACACCACAATTAGTTGCATGGGCATACATGCAAGAGCTGCAGGACAGACTCTGTGTGTGCTCTGACGCAGGACAGATTGTGTGTGTGCCTGACGCGGGTCGGGCTGCTGCTGGTGGGATGACCGCTTCCCGAGCCCTCCTCGCCCCAGCATCCTGGGGGATTGATCTCCCAGCTCTTGGGCTCTCACAAGCGTTGGGCGATGACATCTGCATTCTCTGTCAAGAACGCGGAGTTTATCACCGCCTCCCATAGCAGGAGCAAAAGGACCTATGTAGACCTGGCTGTCTGCCAAACCGTATCCCGTGGCTGAGGGGTAAATCGCACCGCCACAACGACGGTGCGCCATCATGAACTGCAAGTGTTCGGGTCCTGTAGCGTCAATGTTGAGATGACTTGCTCGGTGTAATGGGTGAGACGGGAGACTCGCCGGCTGCAAGGTCTGATCCAAAGGCTTGAATTGTTGTAGGTGCGAGACCCACGCCAGATTTGAATCCGGAGCTGCTCCAGGAAATGTGGAGGCCGGGACCCATTGTGCTTCACTGTCATCAAGGACCCCTTTGCGCCTACTTCAGCTCTTGGAGAGGTACTATTGTAAAAGCGGTCGCGCTGTGGTCTACGGGAAGGATTGCCCGAGAGCAGAGTCTAGAAAACAACGAAACCTTGATAAAAAGAGGCTAGGAAAAGGCTGGATCGTCATCCCGGATACTGAATGGCTGAGCATCCCATCCCCAATTGAGCCCCGAGGCGCAAGAGTCAACCACGTGGGAAATTGCTCAGCAGGTCATCGCGACCCTCAGGAGATAATCATGAGTTGTCCGCCATTGAATGGAGCCGTGTTTCTCAGACATTTATTTTAGGGGCACTGGATAAGCAGGAAAACAAAGCGCCACCGTAGCCGAAGCTGCCAATATCGGGCGATCACAACGGTTGGGGGGGCCTGGGGGGCCAGATTCCCAAATATGTGTGCCAAGTGGCGTTTGGTACTCTGCAGTCAGATACGAATTCGGAATGCCGTGACTACCATGGTGGGCTACAAATTTACCCCGCGTGGTCGGCGCCAGGAAACTCTCCGCCCAATGGACGGTCCCTTCTTCACCAATGCACATTACTCAGATCTTTTTGAGAGCTGTCAGCATGTCAGGGACTCAATGTACTGATGGCTGTCTGTTTCATCCTGTCGTTCGTCCGTACATTTCTGCATCTGGCCAGCAGTCAAAGAGCGGCTGACCGTGCACGCCAGCGCCAGCCGTGTGCCGCAAGGCATATCTACAAAAGTCTGGGGACATTGCCCTAGGGGAAAAGGGGGAAGAGGGCTTAGAGACACTGACACCGACGGCTGCGCCAGATAAACTGCGACTCTGCGGTTACAGAGCAAATTGCACGTAATTTTGTTGCGTGACCGCTACAGGATGCGGGATCGCTAGGCGCATTTACCGCCTAGCAGAGTTAGGCACGAGTCTTGAGACGTTCTCAACAGCTCCACAACATCGTTTTCTTTTTTGCCTGTCCGTCCTGCCTCTCTAGAGTCCAGGGGTCGTCATCCAGATCCGCGAGCCACAGCAGCCGAGAAGTTTATCTCCGCTGCTGGGGACAAGGAAACGGTAGCGTGGGTATAGCGTACCGTACGTGTGCCAGCTGTCCTCCTCACCCCATGGCGGTGGGCCACCGCCGTCTCAACCGCATGCGGCAAAAATGGGTTTAGCCATGTGGGGGCGCCTAAATGATCTGTGCCCATCATGCAAGGTGTGGAGGAAACATAACCGACAGGCGGCCACAGGAGTCCATCCATCCATCCATTAGCAATACGATGTGCAGTGCTTAGTACTATGGTCGAAGCCGGCGCTCTTGCTCGTCCTGGATCGTCTGGCAGAACCCGGCGCCCTCCCCTCCTTTTCCAAGAGCACCGGGACACTGAAGCCCAAGTGCAGGTCAGCATATAAGATCAAAAGGCGCCAGCAAAGACCAAGTGTAGATTGTCATTCGTGCATTGTCACGAGGGGCGACACCATCGCAGGAGGATTCGGTGGCTGTCGGTTCGGCCTACATGTTTCAAGGATGGCTGGCTCCAGGCACGGAAGCGACCGGCCTAGGAGCGCTTTGCTCTGTTCTTCTTTCCTTTTGGCAAACTAGCCGACCACGGAGTGAATGTGAGGCAGGCGTGTTGATTACTGTATTGGAGTAACTGTGTGGTGCTAAAGTCGGAAGCATGCAGTGTACTTCCATGCTTGTACTACGGCTCAAGCTGTGCGGAGAGAGAAAGAAGGAAGGGGGGGGGGCGTTGAAAACGCCCTTCGCGAGAGGGATGGCGGCGGCGGAATGTCAGACTTTGACGTTGGCGCGTGGGTCATGAGCAATGCGATGACGCCGCCACCAGCCAGCGCCACAAGAAACAGCGATGCACTTTGGGGGGTGGTTCAGGCGCCAGCCTGGCCGCGGCCTGGCGCCCGTTCGGAGCTGCGAGCGATACCTTACGTCTGTGCTACCATACCATAGTCGCATGCATGTACGGTTTACTCCCGTGCTACCTGCAGCGATGCGAGTGTCTCACTACAAGATTAGTGCATACAAGGTACATGGCATGCGGAGAGAGAGACAAGGGCCTGAGAACCCAGAAGCCCACTGGCACCAACCCCCTGTCGCAAGGGGGGGTGTGATGTGTGTGTGTGTGTGGGAAGGGTTGGTGCCCCCCTCCAGGGGCAGGCCAGGAGCCCTGACCCACTCCCTGCGGCCCCGGAATCTGCAGCTAAGGGGAAAGCGTCATGGCGTGCGCTGCGGGCACACTCCCGATTCTGGGAGGAGTGGCGCTACATGCGGCAAGGGGTCTGACAAGGGTGGCTGTCATGTACTCGGTACGTCAATTCACCATAAGCCACAAGCCATTCCCACCCTGCATGCTGCACGAGTCGAACGTGGTGGAGGTCCTCCTCTCAGGGCCTTGTCAGCCGCCCATCCTCCTCGGGCTCCACACCCTAGTACTATAGTGCTGAGTTGAAGAGGGCGAACCCTAACCCAATCTCTGTCTGTCTCTCCCCCTCCCCTGCAAACAAGAAGGAAGAAAGAGTGCCCGGGAGAACACCGTTTTGAGGGGCGAGAGTACGCATTCCGGCAACGCGAGACACACTCAGACACATGCAGCACAAAAGCAGACCATGCTGGGCGCCTGAACCCTTGTGTCGCCGCCTCGTCCCCTACTGTCTGGATGCATTAACCCATGGGCAAACATGGGATGAAACAAACAATTCTTCCCACATCCATCCATTCTGTCCACCTGGGTGCGATTGGCCTTCGTCCCAACCACGGGAAAATAGGCTGGTGTCAGGCCTACAGGCGTGTCACCCTGCCTGCTTACCTACAGCTGTGACGGGATGAAGAGGGTTTGTTGGTCTGGCACATGACTTTCTTGCCTTTGTGAGCTGATCGACATCGAAACCTCTCCTCAGGAGAAGGAATCACTGGTAGCAGATAATGCGGGTCTGCAGAGTGATTTTGCTCCGCAGGAAAATTCTCCAGCAAAACCGGTGTACATAGTAGTAGAGTGTACACGATAGAAACCCAGTAGTACCTGAACTAGATCTGTCTGTCAATGCCTCAGATTTGCCTACAATCCACTGTGGTCTGCACATGCTGTGTCCTAAACGCGCGCTCTTGTATGTTGGTCTGGCCGGTATGCAGATGACGCCATGACGATTCGAAGAGGAGACGAGAGTTGGAAGCTGTCGCGTCTTAGTCGCTTTTGCCCGCCCAGAGAGGCAGTCCTCAAATCCCGGGACGACATGTCGCGCCAAGATGCCACCACCGAGCTGCACACCCTACAAAATAGAAGCCATGTTTTATTTAAATTTGACTATGTAGAGCGGGAGGGAGAGAAAAGGGAAAAAATATTGTGGACAATGTGGCGGTGGAGCCTGCCCTGCCTGGGCCTGTCTTGCCCCAGAGGGCTAGGTACTACATAGTATGTATTGGGTCGAAAAGGAAGCTTGGCCCCTCCCCAAGAGAGGGCTGCTGTTAGTAGTGGCTTGGGCCCCGAAGTAGCGGGGACCTGGTCCCACCTAAAGGTGGTTGTACCAGTTCTCCCAGGATATTGGCTCTCCACTAGCGCCTAATAAGACCCCCTGGAGTGGTTGAGCAGCTGGGTAAGGGTAGTTTGGCAGCTGCGTTCTCATCTTCTCGCTTCTCCCCGTTGGCTTTTTTCTCCTCCCGCCTATCGGTCCAGGACCAGCCGCCTCAACCTTTCGTTCTTCTCTCTTCCCACCTTCGTCATCCTCATCATCGCCCACACTCCTGCCCACCGGAAAATTCCCATGACACTTGACTGAATAGGCACACGCTCGGTCTTCGCGTTCTTTTCTTCCTTTCTTGTTCACTATCTAACCAATCATATTTTACTCGGAGGACCTCGCTTCTGACTTGTCAGCGTCACTGTCCTGCGTCCTCCCCCATGGCGGCACAGGCCCATCACCAGTCTCCTTCAATGCCTCTGCATCAGGCAGTCGGCGTGGCGCCTCCGCCCCCGCCTCCGGGCCCTCAATGGGCTCCCTCGCGACAGATCCTCACAATGAACGAGGCTGTCTGGGTCCAGATAGGTACGTCCAGTATACATACGGCTTCACCACGGCCCGTCTATGTCGTCGCCGGTCGCCTCACCTTTTTTTCCCCCCATGTCGGCTCCGTTGCGCGCATGCACGCATCGACTATCCAGTCGGTGCTGTCAATCAATCCAACTTCTGTAGTACCATCCACAGTCAAGGCGCTGACAGTCTCTCTAGGCAGCTTGTCGGAGCTTCTCGGTAATATCGAGGACGCCCTGTTCGCGTACGAGCAGGCTATCCGCGCGAACCCGCAATCGACCCAAGCTATGAACTCCATCAGCGCGATCTTAAGGACTCGCGAGGACTTCCCAAAGGCCATCGAATACCTCAACCAAATTCTCAAGATTGATAACTGCAACGGGGAAGCATGGGGCAGCCTGGGTCCGTATTACCTGCCCTGGGTACTTCTAGGGCTTTCAGGCACACCCTGCATTCACTGACACATTTTTGCGCAGGACACTGCTACTTGATGATGGATGACCTCCAGCAAGCCTATGCCGCATACCAGAATGCGCTGATCAACCTGAGGAATCCAAAGGTCAGTGATATGCGGCTCTGTCGCTGCCCTTACCTTCCTATGACCATGTGCTGACTGGCCGCCCTGTAGGAACCGAAGCTTTGGTATGGCATCGGCATTCTCTATGATCGCTACGGCTCTCTGGACCATGCGGAGGAGGCCTTTTCCCAAGTCATGCAGATGCAGCCGGACTTCGAAAAGGCCAATGAGATTTACTTTCGTCTTGGCATCATATACAAGCAGCAACAAAAGTACAACCAGAGTCTTGAGGTATGCTTGGCTTCTCCCGTGTCTTTTTCTGAGGGCATTGTTCATTAACTTGTGCGCAGTGTTTCAAGTACATTGTCAACTCACCGCCGCCCCCATTGACCGAGGAGGACATCTGGTTCCAGATTGGTCATGTTCATGAGCAGCAGAAGGACTTTGATAGCGCTAAGAACGCTTACCAGCGTGTGCTAGACAGAGATCCTAACCATGCTAAGGTTTTGCAGCAGTTGGGCTGGCTGCATCACCAGCAGAGCAATAGCTTTGCAAGTCAGGAGAAGGCCATCGAGTTTCTCGAAAAGTCTGTCGCTGCCGGTAAGTGCTTGCTTGTGTTCGGTTGTCAGATGCCCCCCTCCCATGCGTACTGACATGGCCAAATAGACAATAGTGATGCTCAGAGCTGGTATCTCCTCGGCCGGTGCTACATGTCGCAGCAGAAGTACCCCAAGGCGTATGAGGCCTATCAGCAAGCAGTCTACCGGGACGGCCGCAATCCCACTTTCTGGTGCTCGATCGGAGTTCTCTACTATCAGATCAACCAGTATCGGGATGCACTGGATGCGTACTCCCGAGCAATCCGCCTGAATCCTTTCATCTCCGAAGTCTGGTATGATCTGGGCACATTGGTAAGTTCGTGCAGTCCTAATAGCCATATGAGCGGTAGACTGACCAAAATTTCAGTATGAGAGCTGCAACAATCAGATCAACGACGCCCTGGATGCCTACCAGAGAGCGGCTGAGCTGGACCCAACCAATCCTCATATCAAGGCAAGGCTCCAGCTCCTGAGAAACGGCCAGGCGAATGGCGCCGGTGCTGCTCCAATGCCGACGGACGTCCATCCCCAGGCGTACCAGCAGCAGGGTGCTATTGGACCCCCAGGCCCGAACTGGTCAAACTCGGGCCCCGCTCCCCAGCATACCCAGCCGCCTCCAGGTCCGCCTCCTGGGCCTTCGGGCAATTGGCGGCTCGCTGAAGTGAACCCTCCGCCCCAGCCGCCCAATCCTTATGAGCAAAGAGCCGAGCCTTTCCGGGGACCGGCTCCTGGGTCGCTACCCCGTCAGCCAAGCCCACGCCAGGAACAGCAGATGCGGCAGTACTCGGACCCAACTCGCTCAGCTGGACCCGGAGGGCCACCCGGCCCGGCAGGCCCAGCAGGAGGTCCAGGAGGCCCACCGGGTCCAGTAGGTCCAGCAGGGCCGGGAGGCCCAATGCTGAGAGCGCGGTCGCCGCCTTCTCTCCATTACGCGCCGCCTCCACCCCAACATCAACAGCCTCTCCCGCCCTCGTCGGGACCACCTCGCATTGCGAATCCCAACTACAATGGGCCGACGCCAACCTCTGCCACCGCACCTCCCGGGCCGCCTCCGACAAATGGTGTGAATGGGCCACCGCCAGGCTCTAATACGATGATGACGTACCGGCCTAACAGCCCGCGCGGTGATCTTCGCCCGATGCATGACAATCGCATGCCCTCTCCAAAGTCGGCGTATCCTCAACACCAACCCCCCTACCCCCCTCACCAGGAGCAAGCTGGCCCAAGCGGCCATGAGTCTGGTGGGCCGCCGCCGCCTCCTCCCCAGACAGCTGCTGCTGCTGCCGAGGCTGCCTTGCACCGCGGTGAGCATGACACCCGGCCACCCTCTGTCGGTCCCAAGCGGCTCCGTGAGTGGGAGGACGAGTCTTCCTCCAAGAAGGCCCGGCCCTCGACACCGACTCGGACTGATTCCTACCGCCGTGAATCATCTGAGCACCACCGCATGGACGAGCCACGTCGCATGGATTACCACCCTTCAGAGGCAGCGCATCACCCTCCCACGCATGGCATGCCTGGCCAACTGCCTCCCATGCAGGGACCGCCGCCGCCGCCACCTCCTCCACAAGCCCACGAGCCAGAGCGGGCTGCTAGGAAGATGGACATCGACGAGGAGTATGACGACAGCGGTGAAGATGAGAAAAAGATTCTCCCTACTGCTTCCGGCCCAGGCTCTTCGTCGGGTGAGCTGAAGAATACATCGCCCACAGGCATGATGTCGAATGGTGGGCCAAAAGTTGAGTAGTTCCCACGATCTTGGCACAAACCTTTATCTTTCTTGGAAGTGAATTCTTGACTCTCACTTTGGTTTCTTTTCTTTTCCTTTCTTTTCTCTTTCTCTCTTCCCATCGGCGCCTTCATGGCAAGCAATCACAGGGATGTTGTTTTTTGTTGTAAATCCCGTATCAAACCCGAGACCTTCTTTCTGTTGTCGTGCTTTTGTTTTTGTCGTCAGTGCAGCTCTTTGGTTTACGGTATACCTGTCTGCGCGTGCTTATGCAATGAGATTCGAATTGCGCGTCTGTCTGTTCAATTTCATGGCAAAGGTGGAGAAATGTGGACGAGAAAAGACGGCAGAAGGCGATTTGGTGGAATACACAGCCAGACTAATCTAAAAGGCTTACGATGGCGCCACGTGTAACGACGGGAATAGGAAGGGCTCGAATCCTGACCAATTCAGTTTCCTCGATGCCACCCTTGAATACGTATGGGCGGAATAGCGATGAATTTGCCTTTATGGCCCTTGACTTGGTTTCAGTTCACGCGCAAAAGTGGTAGCTCCTGTATCCAGGGTATCTGGACAGACGTTTATAACTTTATTGATCAATCGACATGCTGCGCAAATCAACCCGGTTCCCATCAGAACATCATGATGAGAAGAGAACTTCGGTGTTGTAGTTAGTTGTAGTGTACAAGTCGCCCAACGACCATACTCGCGAAACACCACCTGGATTCCCGGCCGTTTTCGAATCCTAGAAGTTGGTACCCTATCGATTGAGAGTGCCGAGAAGTCGAAGAAAAGCCTGCGGCGGGCCCCCTTTTCCTCCATCTTTTCTGGTATCTTGTTCATAAACCCACATAAGCCGGCCAACCACGGCCAGAGAATCCCGCAACAATTACGCCCAGTAGCTGTGTTACATGACAGTACTACCCTCCCTTGTGTTGCCTTCCCTCCCAGAGGTAACAGGTATAGCAGACTATGCCTCGCTCTTCTCGCTGCCGTCATGCTCAGGGTTATAACTCGTTTCGCCCAGCATCCCATCGCCCGGCCTCGAGGTCATGGCTGTCTGGCTGTTCGCCGGCTGCGTCTGTACCGTGGGCCCTGTCGTCGCGGGCGGAGGGACAGCCGTGGCGGCCGGCGGTGGGGGCGCAGGGGAAACGGAGGAGAAGCCGGCATTACCGGCTGCAGCACTGATACCTGCGCGTCCAGCGGTGGCGGCATGTAGCCTCTGGTCGAGGGCCTTGAGAGCCAACGCCCTTCTCCTCTCGGCCTCAGCTCTTGCGCTGCCCGGGGCTGCGTTGCGGTGGGTGTGCTGGTAGGCACCGGGCCCACCGGCGGCGGCAGAGACCTCGGCGGACGAGAAGGGTGTGCACAGGCGCATGGCAACGAGCACGTTGAACACCTGGTCGGCGATGGCGGCGACAAGCGGCTTGGCAGGGCCGGGAAAGAACTCTGCGAAGGCGAAGGTCTCGGATGCATCGCCGCGGAGTGAGTAGGGCGTCTGTGAGGAGTCGAGGTCGGGGAAGACGGTCTTGTAGAATCGCAGGTAGGTCCAGCTGGTCAGGAAGCCGAAGATGGCGAGAAGGAACGAGGCGATGGTCAGGAGCGGCGTGAGCGAGAGGATCAGGACCAGGCCGAGGTAGAGGAGCGGAAAGCGCGGCACACGGAGGGAGAATATTCCACGAAAGAGGGTGACGGTGTGGGCTGGCACGAGCTGGCTGAAGGCGACGAGGAAACTGATCTGCAAAGGAATGGTGCCAGCAATGGTGGTAAGTCTGGGAAATGCAATGCAGAGTTAGCTTGAGGCTGGCTGGACCAGGTCTTTTTCATTTTCTCTTCTTCTTTTCTTTTTGGACAGAGACGAGACAAAAAAAAAAAAAAGGGGGGGGGGGTAAGTTCCAAAGACGCACGTCCAGGTCTCATTACGAGTGAAAGTGAAGAATATGATCATCATGCCGAAGCATAATGTGTTGGGCACAAGGGCAGCGACAAGGAGGAACTTGGCAAATTCCCTCGAGGACCAGGCCCTCTCCAGATACCTCCCGCCCTGGTACAGAGTCAGGGCGGCAATGGTCAGAGTGAAGACATTGCTCTCGACCAGCGTGGTGGTGATGAAGGTCCAGGGGTAGATGAGAGACAGCTGTGGGATGAGGTTCAGATAAGGGATGACGATCTCGGAGTTTGCTGTCCATTGCTTGTAGCGGATGGCAGCACTCAAGATGCTCTGCAAGCCCAGGGTGATGAGCACAATGCGTGTGACAGGCGGGATGTTTATTCTTGGAGGCATCTTGGTAGCAACAGCAGCAGCAGCAGCACTGTTTGTGGAGAGAAGGTTGGGTTGATGCGCCTCGGGGGGCTGCTGAGCTCGAGGTGAGGCTCCCTGGGGTGGGTTTGAAGGTTGAAGGTCGTGATACTATTTGGATGCGACAGGTCCCTTGTTGGCTTGTGTCCTGTTCGGTGACCCCCGTGCAGCAGCAGCAGCGCGGTGCAGTACTGTGTCATTGTGCAGGGGTGTCATTACGCACCTGTGTTGCTACTGTAGGAGCTCTAACCCGGCAGCCAACACCAGTGGTCTGTGCACGGACCAGTGCGAACCCAGACACTGACACGACTTGAAACTTCGACTGCACACAAGTCCAACTGTCCAATACTAGGGTAGTAGGCTGACCCAACAAAGCATTCCCAAATAAGAGCTATTATGTCGGGGGCCGGGAATGGCACATCCAGCACCGGCCACCCCATGGCTTGATCACCTTCTTTTGTCATCAAGTCAAGTGTCATGCGCAAGAGGAAGAGCCTCAGCAAACAGCAGTACTTACTTTAGTTACGGGCTGCTGGGGTATAGGGTTTACAGCACAAGTGATGGCAGTGATCATCAGCTGGTCGGATCCGCCAGCATGGCCTGCACCCACTTTATAAAGATTATCGTCAACAACCTTACCCACGGCTTCAAAGTATGTACTGTATCTCTACTTTCCTGTTCCCTTCCTGGAAGAAGGATCCTCGGGGGGGGGGGGGCCAGAGTGGACGACGCGCCCACTGGGGATTAGACGCCCACCTGTCTGCGACCTTCACCGTTAGCGCGCACTTGCGGCGATCATCCACACGCGCAGAAACACTAATGGGTCGTGGCCAGGCGCTGTTGCCGACGGATCAGCACCAGGTCGATGATGCTCTGAAGGGGTGGTTGTTGGGACGGGCGCGCTGCATATGTACGCCACACCCCGCCGTGCCACGCCGTACAGCATGTTTCAAGTGTTGTATATACATAGCACTATGTATAAGTATGTATGGGATGCACACACTCTCACATGTACCTCCCTCCGCTACTTACTATAGTACCATAAGCCACTCCTCTGCATCCGCAGGAACCCTCAACCCCCCCCCCCCCTTTTGAGACAGGATCTCGGACTATTATTCTCGGCGGACGGGGTGGGACGGACGTTGTACCAATAATTTGAGCCCAATGAGATTACGCGGGTGTAGATCGAAAGGGTCCCCGGAACCGAACACCATCGAACAGGCACCCTTGCAGATTTGCGTATGTGCCACCCGCGACAGACCCCTGGGGTGGCCTGGGCCCAGCCCTGATAATCGCGGAAGGCGAATCATCTGCAGCCTCTCGTTCAATTCCTATGCTTCTCTGGAGTACTCGAGAAGCGGGCCCCCAGTCGGTCCACCTCACACCCCCTTTCGCTGCTCTGGGAATGCGGATGACTACAGACAGGATGAGAGAAGGAAGAAGGAAAAAAGAAGGAAAAAAGAGAGACCTCAGCAGATGCGAGGCGTCTTCTTAGTCACTCATATTCTTCTTGTCCTTGTCCCGCGAGAGTGCAGGGCAGCAGAGAATGGCCCGGCTGGCAGAAAGCCGGGGGCGGGCCTGCTGACAGACGAGGCGGCAGCAGAGAAGTAAGGCGCAGCATCTTGTCGCGATGGCGTGACACGGCATTGTGCATGTCAGGGTCTTATGGCAAAACCGCACAACAAAAACAAACATTGTCGACGGCGGCAGCGACCACAACGAAACTCAATCGCTGTGCTCCTGATGCGGTCTGGCGGACAACCCGATGACGAACACTTAAGCTTGTGGGAGCCGAGATCGCCCCTGCCCTGGGGATTCATAGGTAGACCGGGGCTATGAATACAGCACAACAGCCCCCATCCCCGCAAGCGACCACTGGCCGTGGCTGCAAAATTTGGTCTGTCAGCTGCAATATCCGTTACAATGCACGGGCATTGAACTGCATTTCGGAGGAGAGCAGCTGTGGATTTTCTCGGGAGAAACGGAGATGGGAGGCATTACGATCTGTCATGAACCTACTGCGGCCTCTCTCTCTCTCTCTGTCTCTACACATCATTCTCCCCTCCTCCCCCGCCAGGCTTCTTGAAGCGGAGTAGCAGACAAAAGATGGATGAATCAATAGCAAGAGCGCGCACGGCCAAGAACTCTCTTTCTCTAGACAGCAGGGCTGATTCGTGAGACGGCAGCCGTCAACTCTCAGCCGTGCTGACATACGGGGCCCGGCGATCGATTTGGCCAGCCAGGTTACTACCATGTGTGCTGGGGTGTGACCTTGGTCAGGGGTCCGCGACTCAGGCCTCACACACACACACACACACACACACCACAAACACACACAGCTCCCGCCCTCACCTCGAATTATGGGGTGCGAACCAGCAAAGTTCTCGCAGCCAGCACTCCAGAAGCCCGCCACACGGTAGGTAAAAAGTTGTTCGTACCCGGTCAAATCCAGACCGTCCTGCACTGGATGAACAGGGCCCAGAATGAAGCAGAACATTGCCTGCGCTGGGAGGGCCGTGGCGTATCCATACCCCTTGATACTCGGTGCCATCCCGTGGTTGCCACCAACGCTGTCCGACGTCAAAAGGCGGCAGCGGGTAGGGGGGCGGTCAGATGCAGCAGGCGTTAGCCGGCGACCACGCGATGATGTAGTATGTCGAGTGGCAGCCTAGAGGATTTATGAAACGGATCAAAAGGGGACATGTTGCAAATGCATATCTGTCTTGTCTGTCCCATTAGGCTGTCTATTTGATCATGCACTATGGTATGTGTGTATTCATACACACAAACACACGTCGATGCAATCCTGGCCAGCTTGGTTGTCCATCCTGACCACCCTGGCAGCTTGTGGAATTGGAAAGGATGGTGGGGACTGGCTGGTAATGGGCAAGCCTCTCCCAAAGGAAGGAGGGGATGCTTGCCCTCTCCTCTCCTCAAGCAGCCATTGGAGGGGACAACTGGTGAGCAGGTGATTATCTGGATGGTTTGTGATTGAAGATTTGAAGACAAGGGGACTTGAAGACCCGGTACGGAGCAGCGGGACCCACCCTGCAAGAATATGAAGGGAGACTGGAGACTGGAGACAAACGCACACCAGATCCGCGAGCGCAAGGATCGTAGCCTGTGGGTGGGGCCCCACCTACAAAGGCTGGCAGCGCTATCCCGCTCGTGGCCCTAGAGCGATGGTGTTCACTAAGTACCTCGGCGCGGGTGGCTGACCTGGGAGTAACATCCAGATTTAGCCTGCAGTACATGCTGGACCCAAAAACAACCCTGGCTCGGCCTCGCTGCTTGGTCGTCACTTTGGGGTGCGTATGTGTGTGTGTGAGAGGGTGGGGCCCCCTGCTAAGACTTACCCAGCGGGACAGAAGCGGCCCTGGCAACGCTCTGGCATCCTGGAGAGTCCCATCTTTTTTTTTCTCCTCTAGGTGAGCCGGTTCCTTGTGGCCCCCCCCCCCCAAGCAACCTGACTGGCGCACCTGCGCACCTGGGGCACCTTAGCACACCACCTGTAGCGCCTGGACCCAGGACCTTGCCTCTCCAGAACCTGGGCCTGTTTGGCTGGGCTGGCAGAACTCCCGAGCCCGCTAGCAGCAAAGTCCCATCTCGAAAAAAACGTACCTCATTCTTCCCTCTCGACACGACACACACCTCTTGGACATGATCCCCTCGACCTCCGACTGATCAGGGCCCGGATAACAACCTAAGACTGTCCGTCCTGTGTTGGTGAGAGACCTCTCTGCAATCTCGAATCGCCCACGCTCCACCTCCCACGGCCGCTGGACCGACTGTTGCCCGCCATGAAGGAACTTCTCGACTCGGACAGAGTCAACTATCTCATCTGGAGGTTCGTCTCGCCTCACCTCGCCTCGCCTCTCACCCAGCACCACCACCACCACCACCACCACATTTCACCACGCACACACTACACTCCCACAACCCTCGCCTCTCTCATCTTTTTCTCTCCCTTCCCTCCCTCCCTCCCTCTCTCTCTCTGTGTGTGTGTGTGTGTGCCTACCCAGCTCGTCCCTTGCCCATGCCAACACTTACCTCACACCATGCTCCCTCTTGGCCTCAAACAGGCCGCGCTGCCGTGCCTCACTCTTGAAAACACACATACACAAACACACACCCGAACCTGTGACACTTGAATTCCTAGCTCCTAGAGCTTACTACTGACACCGCCTGCCAGATACCTGCTCGAAGCCAGTACGTCCTCCCGTGGTCGTCGATAAGCCTCTCAGCCGACATGACCCCCTTTCTCCCACCCCATGCATCCCCCTTTGGTAAAGCAACTAACTCACAGTGCACCCCGTGCAGACTATCGAGAGACGGCCGCCAAGCTGCAGAAAGAGTGGCGCGTCCAGGCGCCTCACCGGCACTTCGACTTCGCGCCCCATGTAAAGAACTACGCACTTGTCGACGCCCTCAACAAGGGACTGATCTACCAGGGCCTCGAGAGGGACTACGCGCAGTCTCAGGTGAGATTCCCGTCTGTTGCATCAAATCGTATCGCATCGCAGCACATCGCCTCGCCTTCTTGAACTTGGATCTGTATCCCGCTGCCCCCCGTCGCTTCCACCCGCGTGGGGTGGGGGGTTTGTTGTTTTCCGGGCTTCGCCTCGCCCTTCAGCCTCTGTTCCTGGTCAGGCCGCGCTTCTGTGGCAGCACTAACAATATTCCCCGTGCAGGTACCTGAAGCCGCTGCTGCAGCGGCAACCACCGGTGAGCCCCGTGGAGTCTTCGGCCCCCTTTTGCCGCAGGCGCCCGTCAATTACGATCAGCTGCACGACGACGAAGAAGAGGTTCTTCTGCCTTCGTCCGAGACGGCTGTTGGTCACGATGAGAAGGCACAGCCTCGGGTGCCGGCGCAGTCTCAGTCGCATACGCAGACACAACAGCAACAACAGCCAGAGCAGCAGCAGCAACAGCAGCAGCAACAGCAGCAGCAGCAACAACAACAACAACAACAACAACAACAGCTGCAGCTGCAGCTGCAGCAGCAGCCACCACAGGCGCAAACACCAACAACACTAAAACGGCAGGTCGAGCCTCAGGGCCAGCTGGCAAATGGGAATCCCGCTAAGCGGCCGAGGTTGGGCAATGCCAACGGCCTGGAGAATGGGGCGGATACGGCCGCGAGCCCAATGGAACTGGACCACCACCAATCCGACGGTCATGCTTATCCCTCCCCACTCGAGGGAGAACAGGCCCCAGCCCTGGCCCCACGCACCGAGGGCCCTGACCACGCAACCCAGACCGAAAAGGTCGACGAGCTCGAGTCCAGGACCGTCTACCTGCGGCTCGCAAATGATGAGCCCAATTCCTCTTCTTCCATCGCCGCCACTCCGACTGCAGAAGTGTCGCACCTGCGGTCTCACCAGAACCCAATCCTGCTGCACTGCGAGTGGAACCCCAACGATCCATCCCGCCTCGCCGCAGCCGGTACTGACGCGCTAGCCCGCGTTTGGACCGTCTCGCGCGCCACCGGCCCGGAGCAGGTGGCTGATCACGTGGATCCCGGCTGGCCCTCCATCAATCTGATCGATGAGGATTTCCCGCCAAACTCGAGGATCTCCGCCATCTCCTGGGCTTCAGACGGCAAGCACATCGCCGTCGCCACCGATGATGACCAGAAGGCCCGCATCGACCTGTGGGATATGGAGGGAAACCAGGTGCAACACTGGGACGACTTCGAGGCCCCCATCGTCAAGCTGCGATGTAATCCCTATGGCCGTCAGACGCTGTGCGTCTCTCCATCGACGACCAAGACCGCATCTAATCAGCCTGACGGGTGGATCGCCACCCTGCTGCCGTCGGCGTCAGCGAACGTCGTCGAGAGGCCCCTGCCCGGCTATGACGAGAGTGACGAGCCAGATGCCGACTGGATCAATGAGACCGACTTCGTGCTGTGCATCAGAACCAAGCTGGCCATCTTCAAGCACACTGGCGATTCCATTATCCAGGTCAGAGAGTTTGTGACCAGGGCAAACGACCCTTTGACGGCGGTTCAATACGACGGGACCCTGGAAACGGGCTGCATCGCAGCCGCAACCGCGAACGGCTACATAGATGTAAGTTCACCCTACTTTCTTAACCTACCCCGGTTTTTTTGGTTTTTTTTTTTCAATTTTTTTTTTTTTTTTTTCAATCTTAAGCAGACTCCTTATTGAAATAGCTGTTCAAGGTCTGGGATGTATCCGGTGAACGACGTTCCAGTGATGCACCTGCACATGATGGTCGGATCTCTGTCCTCCAATGGCAGCCGGTGCAGGGTGCGAGGCCCGAAAATGAGCGACTACTGGCATCTGGCGGCGAGGATGGCACAATCGCTATTCGCGATGCCCGCATGTCCGACAACAAAGCAAAGTTCGAGATGACTATTGACGCCAACCCCGTCCTTGCTCTCTCCTTTACGCCCGATGGTGCTTTCATTGCCGGCGCCACTCGGGATAGAGTCCTGATCTGGAAGGTTGGTGAATACACAATGCCGCGGGCACAATGGAGCAGGACCAGTCAGCCAAGCAGATTAAGTCCCAAGGTCAACGGCACTGCAGAGATAGAGGACCAACACTGCCTATGCTGGGATGCAAACGGACAGAGGCTGGCATTTGGTGTGAATGACTTGGTATGCTTTCTCCTCCTCTCTTTTTCTCACTTCTCACTTCTCACTCTGCCATTGCTGAGCATGCCTGCTGACCTGGTAAGCTTGCTGTTATAAATTTCCGGTGATAACTTGAGTCAACGTTCTTGAACTCTATTCGGGCTTGTATGATGCTCGAGTCATACCTTACAAAAAAAGATCCAAAAGAAATCAGCCAACCTGAGCTGAATATATGACATCTGGGTGCTCCTCACAGCAAAATTTGGACGACAAAGTTCAAAATATATGGCACTTGTCACGGGAACTCCGATCTGTCCTGCAACAAAAGTCAATTGCTTATCTCGGGAGCGAACCTTTTCCCTACAGCTGCAATTATATTCTTCCACAGAGGGCACGACGATGTACAGTCCCATCACAAGTGAAGCGATCTGATTGGCTGTGGATTCTGGAATGACTGATTCAGTATGACGCGCAACTTGTACTATGAACCGGGCTCCAGCATTTCAAAAGAAGGACAGCAGCATTACACTCATGAGGACCAGCCATCTGGCAAGGTTTTGATGTCAGCCTGCATAGGAAGTTGGATTTGAAAGGCGGATCATACAAGCAGTCAGACAGGGGACGTGGTTTGTGATTGGATCATGTGTCCATAGACTGGCATTGTCAATTTGGCTCATATACATCTGGGCCTGGCGTTCAGGAGTTCATTCTTTTTTGAGGGTGTGGGATGTGGGCTTGCAATCAGCTGTGATACTGTTATTGTACATCTCAACAAAGAAAAAGTGGTCGGGGCCCGGGGGTGGGGATGGCTGGTTGTCCCTGGATTAAAGGGGTGTCTGCAAAGGGGGAGTAGACAGACAGTGCAATACTTGGGCGCATCGCCGTGTATCCTACAAAGCCATGTTATGTTGACTTGTCAAGAATAAACTATATTCCCAGTATTTGAATTCTACAGGCCAGTACATACTCTTAATATAATCTTAGTCACAGCTTTCTCAAAGCAAAGAATCCTACCCATGAGCAAAAGTTGCGAACAAACTGGCCAGACAATTGATTCTACACAGGCCCGTGCTGTCCATATAGAATAACTAAGGTTGATTGCTGTGTTGGTGACCATCGTACTTTGGTATTCTACTGGCATGCATCAGTGCAGTGCAGCTGTATCAGACCATCCTGCTCGCCTGAGGGAGAGGTTTCTCACGTGTGTCACTGTGTTGACAAGGGGAGATAGGTGGATGTGCACTTCATACAGCAAAGCCATGCAGGTAAGCAAACAGTCCATCTCTAATGGCAGCGTTGGAGTACTCGTTATTTGTAGTCCTTTACTCTCTGGGTATATCTATCTCAACACCTCAAATAACCATACCCCCTCCCCGGGGCTCATCTGCCTTATACCTCGTTGGCCTCTCTCGGCAATACTAGGGCCTGTTTCCCCCTAAAGTGCTGTGTTGTGTTATGTGTCACCTGCCCGAAGGATCAGTAGGTACTACAGCGCCTCAATTCTCGTCAGCATGCTCTTCGTGGGCTGTGTCATGCAGTCCCTTCTCCCGGATCTCTCCGGCCCTCCGCTCTAGATCCTCAGTCAGATTAGCCGTGTACGAGCTCCTATCGGCGCCGGGGATGATCCAAGGCGCGTGGTTGAAGAGGTAGTTCATCTCCTCGAGCGGCAGCAGCTTCGTCTCGGGCAGAGTCAGCCAGAAGTAGACGGCGTTGGTAAAGTTGAAGATGATGAAGATCATGTAGTACTTCCAGCCGATGTTGGCGATGGCCGGGTCCGTAACCTGGCCGATCATGGTGTTGAAGGCGAACGAGACCATGGTCGCGATCGACACACCCTTGGAACGCGTGTGTGTGTCGAAGATCTCGGCGGGGATGATGAAGGACAGAGGACCGCAGGTTGCCGAGAACGAGATGTTGTACAGCCACGTGCTATATGGTGCGCAAAGTGATTAGTTTTTAGTTTTTTTTTTTTTTTTTTTTTTTTTTTTTTGTTTCTGCGGTTCCCTTGACAGGAGTTCTCCTTTACGACGCATAGTAGAAATAAGAACAAGAGAACTCACGAGATAATGAACCCCCAGCCAGCCGAGCTCGATGTCGTCCCGTAGACGGCAATCAGGATCGTCGCGATCATAAACATGAGACTGTTCACCAAGTTACCGCCAATGAGGGCCCACCTACGCCCGACCTTGTCGATGAAGAGAACGCATGACGCCTGGGCGAGCAGGGCCAGGATGTTATTGATGGCCTGGTACTTGAGTGTGTTTTGCCCAGAAATGCCGACTTGGCCGTAGATGGCGACGCTGTAATACTGGATGGCCTTTTTAGGGGGGGGGGGGGGGCAGAATTAGTTAAGAGCAATGGTCCCGCAGAAGAAGAAAAACAGACTGTAGGAGGAGGAAAGGCCTTACAGAGACACCCGTCATTTGGCAAGAAGCTTGGCAGGAGCAAGCTATCAAGAGACGTCGGAAGGACGATCTGTGGACTTGTTAGTTCTATGGTTGGGATACTGTGGTTCCAGGAAGGATTGTGCGAGCTGACCGAGACTTGAAGAGCTCCATATAGCTCTTTGCTTCATGCTCGGCATCATACGCGACGGCCTCTTCAATCTGAGCAAACTCGGCCCTGACCCAAGGGTCGTCGACATTACCATGAGCATGCAGCTTGGCTAGCGTCTGCAACCCTTCGTCTTTGCGCCCATGACTGATGAGCCAACGGGGACTCTCGGGGAAGATCAAGATCAACGAGACGAGAATGAGGGCGGGGATGATCTGAATGCCGAGTGGGACTAAACAGAAGACGAGCAACCTGGTCAGCAGAAGAATGGCTTGTTTCTTTCCTTTCTTTTTTTCTTTCTGTTTTCTTTGTTGCCAATTTCATGGATGTGAGTGGAAAAGCTTACTTCTGAAGGCTCCAGTATTGTTCAAGAGATACGTGCCATAACTGAGCCAACCGGCGACAAACGAGCCTATTCCCAACATGAACTGTTGCAAGGCAGTCACTCGTCCTCGGATGCTTGGATGCGCGATTTCACTCTGGTAGATTGGGATGATCATGACAAGGAATCCAACACCGAGACCAGCAATGGCCCTTCCGCCATAGAGCCAGTCGATGGTCTGAGCGGCTGTCTGGAAGGTAGCTCCGATGATGAAGATTACGCCTCCCAGGAAGATGGTGAGCCGCCGTCCAAGGTGGTCGCCCGCAGGACCAGCAAAGCCCTGTTGTAGCCCAAAGTCAGCAATTGACATACCCAATAGAGAGATCTTGAACCGTAATCAACGTGTCATCTAGACTTGAGACTGTGGTAAAGAGAAGAAAGAAAAAAAGAAAAGGGGGGCGGGAGTTTTACTCACAGCGCCAAAGAATGCTCCTCCAGTGAAAAGACTGACGACGACACCACTACCAAGGAAACAAATATTAGCCAATTCACACAATACGCATCACCTCCCTTTTGGTTCCAAAGGGGCTATGGAACCGAAGGCTGAAGAATCTTACGTTTGGATTGTAGACGGATTGTGGAACGTCTGTTTGAAGGCATCGCATGCGATGACTTCTGCAACCACACCGAGATCATAACCATAGAGGATAGATCCGAATGAGGCGAAGACGCTCACAAAGAACTATAACAGCATGTGTAAGCCACGAATGTACATAGATACCATACATGTATACGTGCAAACTAAGAGCCATTTCCTCGTTTGTTTCGCTAGGAAAGGGGAGTAGTTGGGTTTCGAACCTGGTATGTCTTTGGTGACAACACCATTGTGGCAAACGTCTTTAGCAATATCCCGTCGAGGGAGGGGTGGATGCTGTCTCTCTGTGAAGGCTGAGTTCTCACTTATGAGACTGGAAAAGAGATGAAGAAGAAGAAGAAAAGAAAAGGAAAAGAAGACCCCGGCAGGCTTGCCAGCATTTTAACTTACACTGGCGTCGCTATGGGATATATAGTCAGTCCATGCACCAGATCAGATCACCCCAGACCACGAGTAAATCCCCATCAGGTAGTTTTGGGCCATGTAGGATCCGTGGTGGCCGGTCCGCTGACCATACGGTACGCCAGCCGAGTTGCTTCCCTGCCCTGGTCCATCAAAAAAGCCGTCGTTCATCAAGGATCATCAGAAAAAGTATCGACCCGCTTCCCCAAACCTAGCGCAATGCGGGGGGGGGGGGGGGCAAGGGGGAGAAACGGCGTGGAGAAGCACAAAGGCTAGGCACTGGAGGATCCGGAAGACTATGTGGGTGGACCCGTGTGTAGGGATTCAACAGTGCAGGAAGAGACAAAGGAGGAGGACCCAAAATGCGTGGGTCTGAAGTCCCTCGGCGGAGGGAGAAACGTTGTTTCCCCCTATCACAGGCTTTTCCGAACAGCATGGGGTGCCAAGGGTGGTGCAAGGAGATGGACATGGAGATGGCGGGAAGAAAGGCTGAAGACAGACCCTGATCAGCTCAGAGAGAGCCTTCAAAGGAACAAAGCCAAGAGTAGCCAGCGGCTTGGCCTCCTTGAACAGAAGTCAATGTTTACCTGGTCTGAATGGGCCTGGCGTGCTCCAAGACCACCTTGCCATCGCATCATGCCAGCACCGACTACATAGCATATCTAGAGTGGAGGAGGGTGGGCACGTATACTTCTGAGGCGAGAGGCAAACGAAACCAGGCAGGAAAATGTGACAGAGGCTTGGATGGTGTAGCACACCCAAAGAGGTGAGGAAAGGAGGGTGGTGGTGGTGGTAGTTGTTACGAGGCGGCCACACTAATATGCTTGTGGGCCGATGTGACCTGGGGACGAATTATGCGCTCCAATCATGACACAGGCCCAACAGATGCGCATCCGGTGCTCTCTCTCCCGGGAAACTGACATATGTGGGGAAATTTGGAGCCAAAGTTGGGGTCGAGGTAAAAAAAGAAGGCTATTGTTCCCCTTCATCGACGACCATGAGCCGCGCCTGTGAGCGCTGGACAGTCAAGAAGGCTGGACAGCCACCAGAGCTGGCGAGGAAAGCTGTGCTGAAGCCCACAGTCCTCCTGTACGATACCACAAGCCTCGGCCTCACCCACACCCAGCAGCAATGACGACCTTCACGAAGCTACCTGATGGCGAGCAGGCCCTCCTCGAAGTTGATGCGGGGAAGAGGCTCTCCAAGATAGACCCAATGATCTATGGCGGCTTCACGGAGTGCGTTGCCATATCTTCCTTCTCACACATATCTCGTTTCCGGCCCCGACAGGACAGACCAGCTGAGCTGACGATGGGAATGAACTGAGCTAGACACATGGGAAGATGTATCTACGGCGGGATGTACGACCCTGGAAACCCCCTTTCCGACGAGCATGGCTTCCGCACAGACGTCCTCGACGCGCTGAGAGAGCTCGATATCCCCGTGGTCCGCTACCCCGGGGGCAACTTTGTCGCCACGTACCACTGTCAGTAACATGCCATCAGCCCCTGTGATCTCCCTTTGCCGTCTCGGGAACAAGAAAAATGCCTTGCCTGGGGCTCAGACGGGGGCCGTGTTGCTGAACGGCGGGTGAGAGAATTTCTAGGGCTCGACGGGGTTGGTCCTCGGGACAAGCGACCCAAGCGGCCAGAGCTGGCCTGGCTGGGAACCGAGACGAACCAGTTCGGAACGGACGAGTTCATGCAGTGGCTGTCGGTGCTCAGTGAGGGCAAGAAAGACCGTGTCGAGCCGTACATTTGTCTGAACATGGGGACCGGCACCCTGGACGAGGCGCTGGCCTGGGTCGAGTACTGCAACGGGACCAAGGATACCTACTATGCCAACCTGCGCAGGCAGAACGGCCACGAGGAGCCGTACAGGGTCAAGTACTGGGCGCTGGGCAACGAGATCTGGGGCCCGTGGCAGGTCGAGCAGATGACCAAGGAAGACTATGCCAAGAAGGCGGCGCAGTGGGCCAAGGCGCTCCGCCTGCTCGACCCCAGCCTGTGCCTGATCCTCTGCGGCGAGACGGGCCACAGCTCATGGGACCACCACGTGCTGAAGGAGTGTGTGTCTGTCGTCGACATGCACTCTATCCACATCTACACGGCGTCGGCCCAGCACCTGCCCAACGTCACGGCCCCGCTGTCGGCGGAGCGTGCAATCCAGACGGCGGCAGCGCTGATCGACATTGCGCGCATCGAGAACAACGTGCCGCCGACCAAGGCTCAAACCACAATCTGCTTCGACGAGTGGAACGTGTGGGACCCGGAGCGAGCGCCAGGCGACAAGGGCGCAGAGGAAAAGTACACGCTGTCGGATGCGCTGGCCGTGGCCGTGTGGCTCAACGTGTTCGTGCGGCAGAGCAGGTACATCGGCATGGCCAACATCGCGCAGACGGTCAACGTGATCTCGCCACTCATGACGAGCAAGGATGGCATCGTCAAGCAGACGACGTGGTGGCCCCTGCTGCTCTTCAGCCGCTTCATGCGCGGGTGGACGGTAGCGGCGCACGTCAGCTGCGGGTCCTGGGCGGGGGAGACGAGCCCAGCCTGGCTGCAGGGCGTGTTGCAGGACGGTGCGCCATGGCTGGACGTCAGCGCCGTGGTGGACGACGAGGGCTTCGTCAATGTGGCGGTGGTGAACATTAGCGACGAGGCTGATCTCGAGGCCAGCCTGAAGGGCGTCTCGGGCAAGGTCGAGGTGCACACCGTCAACGGCCCCGGCGTGAAGGCCGTCAATGTCGCCGGCAGCGATGAGGTGGGCGTCAGGGAGTCTCAATGGGACGGCGAGGGCGCCTTCGTGTTTCCCAAGCACTCGATGACGCTGCTGAGGTGGAAGGCTGCATGATGGAATGACACATCATGAACGACGATCGATGACAACACCTGCTGAGGTGGGCAAAGGGACAGCACGAGCTGAGCTGCGAGAGATGTGATGTGTCAGTTATTACTACTATGTATGGCCCTCGTAGAACAACAATGCAATAGAGAAGAAGAGAGACTCGATCCTTTCTTCTTTCTCTCTCTCTCTCTCTTTCATTCTCGAATTCTGATGCTGGTGTCTCGGCACGGTCCGCGTAGATCTTGAACAAGGCTATTGTTGTCGTCATCATGATCGTCGCGGCCTTGTTCTCCGTGCTAGTCGATGTAGATGCTCATCCTTCATTCTTAGTTGGTTGAGCTTGGATAAATTGAAGTGCGGTACTATACAGCACGTGCCGGCCTGTTTGTTCGATTTATTCGAGAGGCGGGCCAGTGGTGCCATAGGACTGCGGGGAACACAAGACCTAGGGCTGTGTAAAGTTATACGCAGCCAGTACCCGCTGCGGTACCCCAGTTGGGTAGTAGTAAGAAATAGGAGGTGTCCCGTTGCACTGGTTGTCACCGCCTAATGTGCGGAAGTCTACAGAAGGTGAGGCGTGTTGGCGCTGGCGGACTGGTTGCCCCATTTCGAGCCGCCTACAGTAGGGGTCCCACTAGACAAACTGTTCACCACCGGCTGCAAGGGCGGGCCAGGTGTTGTAGTCCTCCCCAAGGACTGGCGTATATTCTCTAGTATTGTTACTCTGTGTATATAGCGTGGTCTACCTACAAACTACTTTCTGAACCCCGCCAGACCAGCCAGCGCAGAATCTCCGACACATCACGGCATCTCCAAACTTATCTTTAACAACCCTTCTGCAAGGAAACAAGGCGACAATGGCTTCCTCAGCCTCACACGCAGACCCATTCTCCAGGCCCCCAGGCCGTATCTTGTCCAACTCGTCTTCAGGCTCCTCGTCCTGGAGTGATCACAGGCACTGGGCCTCTCATCCAGACGACATGGTCCAGCCCTTTACTGCCGACATGCGAGACCGTCAGGCTCGTGGCAAGGACCCTTACGTGCCCGAGGACGATTCCAACGGAGCCGACTTCGCCCGCCGCGCCGGGAGGGCAGCCCCTCCCATGGGCATCCACGCCATGGGCGGTGGCAGCGTCAGGCTGGGCGGTGGCGCACCCTCGAGGTGAGACTTTTGCTTCTGAAAAACAATCCATCCGGGCCCCTCGCCTTCTCCTCTTCTCCCCACTTCTTGTTTCCCCTCTCACAAAGGGATGACGGACGACAAAAGACTAATGGGACAATTCAACCTGTCCACCTTACCCCTCAGGCAACTCAAGGAGCCCTTTCAAAAAACAGAGCGGCGTGACTGGGCGGAGACGGTTCTCGACAGCCCAGAACTGCTAATGCTGTATGCCCACAGCACCGGCGAGGTAAATGGAAACCTTCCTAGCCATCCCTCGTGACCTCTCCCCACCACCCACTTCCGATCGTCTGGCTAATTGTCCTCGCAGACTCTTCCTGTAGCCCGCATGAGGTTCAAGAAGATCATGTGTGGCCTCGACGACTACGAGGAGGATGACACGTCTCTCCCGGACGCCTCTCAGGGTGGTCCTGGCGGATACCAGAACAACGGCGGTCTGCAGCAGCAGCAGCAACAACAGAGGTCCAGCACTTCCTCCCTCTCGGCCCAACAGCACGGCAGCCGGAGAGGAGGTGGTACAGCCGGCGGGCCAAGAAATGGGAGGTGACCAAAACCCAGGCAAAAGGAGAGGAGATTGACCCGGGGAGGGACTGGCGGTGGGGTTGTAGGATATCTCTACAGAGGCATGGTCTATGTTTTTTATGATGATTATGATAGTGATGATAATGATCTGATCACTCAATTATTGATGTTGCATCAGAATGCTGGAATGTAAAACATTCCCTCACACGAAAGGGAATTACACGACCTGTTTAAAACATTCCTACAAGTCATCGTTCATGAACTATGTCAAGAAGCACTCTCCAAAAATCATCCCAGGACGGGTGGTATATATATACATTTATGAAAGAGCCTTGTCACAAGTGCCTGGTGTTCCGAGCATGCATAACGACAAACGAACATTGAAGAGACGTCAGATTGAGGTATAATCATGCTACAATAATGTCTCCTTCCAGAGAAATATTGCATCCCACTCCTTTCCATATGTGACCGTTATGCCCTACCACCCTTTGAAACGCCGCTGATGCACCATGAATGATCACAACATGCCGAGCCTGGCTGAGATAATCTGGCATCTTCCTTCTGGCCGTGATCGTCGTGACAGCGAAGAATATCAATATGCCAGCCCAAATTGTTTGATATGCGAAACCCACCCTTTTGACCTCCAACAAGATCCTCCAACCACTTCCAGACCATAACGCCTCATTAGATTGGTACCATGTCTTCTTTATGCATATCGTGTACTCATGCTCGGCTGCCAACCACCATTTTCGTACGCTGGTGGCGGTGCTGCCCCAGGATACAAGCTTGCTCTCGACCTGTTGGGTCGACCCGCCCGCCCGGCTCTGCTCCTGGGGCCTGGTGGCGGCGAGGGTACGAGGTCCGAGGCAGCCGAAGACGACTTACCCCCTCGCGCTGCACGCGTTCGACGCGCCCTCCTGCGCCGACAGGACCAGATACAACTTGCTATCACGAGAAGGAGGATTGCCCCCAGCACACATGCGACCGGGATCACAATGTCCTTATTACTGTTGATCCAGTCCTTGATCTCATCGCCAGTGTTGATACCCTTGCAGTTTCCATTGCTGCATTTGCCGCCGCCCTGGCAGGGTGTGCCGTCGAGGAAGTTCTGGTTCAGCTTGTAGCAGACGTTGCTTCCGAACTCTGGCGACTGACACGAGATCTGGCACCCAGAGGAGTCGCACGCCGTGGTGTCGTTGTCCGTGGTGAGGGATCCCATCAGGGACTGGCACTGCTCGTTGCGCGAGGTACACTGGCCCGAGGCACACTTGAGACCGGAACCACAGCCCGTACCATCCGGCGCGTTCTGGTCCGCCGGACAGGTGGATGAGGTGCCGGTGCAGACTTCCTGGGGATCACATACGCCGGTGCTGTCTCGGCACACAGTGCCGTTACTGGCGAACTGGCACTGCGAGGTACAGCAGTCCTCGTTCGATGGGTCGCACACCGAGTTTGTCGTGAACTTGCAGGTCGAGGCGTCACAACACGTGTTGCCGTTGCAGCCGGCTGTCCCGCCACAGTCGCACTCTTCGCCAGACTCCACGATGCCGTTGCCGCATTGGCTTCCGGTGATGGTCGGGACATCCTTGTTGTTGGTCAGGCAGGTCGACTGGACAGACTGACGGCCCAGGGCGGAGCAGATATTGCCCACGGTGCACTGGGAGAACTGTGTGATGCCGGAGCCGGTCGACGGGTTCATGATGAACTGAGCGTTGGCATTACAGGTGGCTGAGCTCAGCGGGCAGCACTGCTGCTTCGTTGCCGTGCCGTCCGCGCACGTGGTGGATGTACAGTCGTGTACGGCTCCAAAGGTGTGGCCCGACTCGTGGGCAAAGACTTGCCATTCCGTAGATGTCCGGACGACAACGTTCGCTGCGGCCACCGTCTCGTTGCTTTCGGTAGACGAGCCGCTCATACACAGCTGACCGAGCCACGCGAGCCCGACGGCCGACTCGGTTTTGCACGTGCTCATGAGCGTCCAGTAGGCGTTTGTGTCGTTGTGCTGGCCGCGCCACTGCGAGAAGAGGTTGAGCCGGTCGGTGATGGTGACGCTGTCGGAGCAGCCCACGTTCCAGGGCGCCTCGGTGCTCGCAGTCGAGGGGCAGCTGCTCGGGCTGAGGGTGAGGTTTTGGATGCCCAGCGAGATGTTAAAGGTGCTCTCATACAGCTGGGAGGCAGTATTGACCTGGGCGATGATGTTGGTCTTGGCGGCCGTATCGTTGGCAAAGTCGGCCGTGTAGGTGCAGTCGGTCGCGATGCCGATCAGGGCGACCTTGCGGGAGGTCGGACAGCCGGCCGTGGACCCAATGGCGGCCGTCAGGTTGATGCCAGCGCTGTTTCCCCCAGTGGTACCGTCTATCTGCCGCGCAAACAGGGTGCTGGGCATCACGGAGGCCCATAGGGACCTCTTGTCCGGGCCCTCTACCGTTCCGCGATAGAGCGGGTGGTTCTCGTCACGGTTGAAGATGAGCCGCTCAGCAGTGCAGGTATCGCTCGTTGGCAGTCCTCTCTTCAGCTCGTCCAAGCCCAAGTGCCGGTTGTCATCTGCTGTTGTGGTGATGTCCGAGTCGCGCCAGACGACCATGGACTCGCCGCCTGGCCGCCAGGCGTCTGGATCATCCTCGAGCCGGGTCTTCAGGTAGTTATGGCTCGTCTGGACGTGGTGCTGGTCGCCGTAGAGCTGAAAGGCGCCCTCGAAGAGGGGGTTAGGGCCATCTCTGTGCACGTGGATCCTTGCCCAGCCAGCGTTGGTCCACTCGCTGTCTCCGGGGTATTTGACAAACGCGGTGCCCTTGAACACGCGGTGTTGCAGGCGGTCGACGGGCTCCGTTCTCTGCACAGACCCGTCCTCGGCGAGGTAAGTGACTGTGGCTCCGTCGGCAATCACATCGTGATTTGGTTCGAGGGACAGTCGTATGCTGGGGTCTGCATTGCTGAGGGTGAATGTCAACTGGAAAGAAGAGAGGGCGTGGACCCGATGGAGGGGCGTGAGAAAGACAGGGTCATCGATGAAGCCCACGGCTCGCAGCGGGTTGCGCTGTGTGGAGTGGGCCGAAGCTGGAGAAAGTAGGAGGAGGAGGTTGAGGAATCCGGCGATCGCGACGGCGATGCCTGGGAAGAACCTCATCGTCGCCCAGGGCTGCCCCGGCCGGGAGACCGTCCAGTCGCGGCGCCGTGATTGAGGATGCGCAGTGGGCGGTTACACAGGAGAAGGGCTGTTATCCACAGCGCGAGAGGTCCACGTCCTTGTCCCGGGGGAGGGGTTTTGCTGTGTTGCGCGTGTGTGCGCTATATGTGTTTGTGTGTTTTTGTGTATGAGGCCGTCACTGTTCAACAGGAGAGGTGACGTTGGTGTACGAAGAGAGCATGTATAGGCGACGACGACGAGGAGGAGGAGGAAGGGAGAAGAGTGAAGCGGTTAGACGTCTCAACAGTAAGCTGAAGGATTCCGGAAACGGCATGAGGCTTATGTGAGGAGGGCCATCGAGACCAACACACAGCAATGATTGAACGACTTTTTCCCTTTACCCATCCAACACTTAAAAGAAACCCCAGCCAAGCCCACTCAGCCCAGCAAAGCCAAGCCCAGCCAAGCCATGTGCGCAGGTTCTAGTTTAGACCTTGGGGGTTTGAGTTGGAAGTAGAGTTAACCAAAAGGTTGGAGGTGGGGCGGGATCTTAGCGCTCTCCCCATGTACTGCTGCTACTACTGTACATTGTGCAATGTAACATCTCAAGTACTATATGCAGCAATGGATAAACCCGCAATCTCCTAATTATTAGAGTGGTACGTGAATGAATTTTTTGATTTTATTTTCTGGTGGTGCTGTGTGCGGTGGTGTATGGGTGGTTGCAGTTGCTAACATACTCCTGTACATGGCAAGAAACTGCAGTACTCGTCGAAGAATTCCTGACTTGCCACCCTGATCAGCACCTGCATCTGTTGTGCATCATGCATCCTGGGAGAGTGGCAGGGGCGACTGGCATCTTCCTCCTTCTTCCTACTCCTCAGGGCCAGACATTTCCTTAAATTATCTCTATGCGAAGATTCTGTAGGCACAGCCCCAAGGAGAGAGAGAGAGAGAACAGAAAGTGGGCAGATTTGTCCGAGCCGCCAAAAAGCACACAACATGCAACCGGCGCGTACATGCCGTCTCTGCGTGTAGAAATAATAACAAGAGGTTGAGGTAGTAATGCTTTAATCTTTTTGGGTCACAGCGGGGAAGAACAACTCACTTCTCATGCAGTGTACAATTGTTAGGCTGCCATGCTGACACTCCACCAACAGGTGGCCCCCGGCCTCCTAATTAACACCAAGCAGTAAGATCCTCTATTACAGAGCATCATCCCTCAATAAATCGAGACGACTAATCAGATCTCGTCAAGAGACTCTTTGGGGCATAACATGAAATTTCCTGGACAACAGGTGTCCGGAGCGGAGAGCATCCTCATTCTTCCTGGGCTCTGACTCCCATGGAATTAGGGCGTGGCACACCGGTGCGTGAAGCTTTCCGCGCATAGCTGCTTCTTTCTTTACCGCGCGCCACTGCAATAAGCCTGGGCTTCGAGAATGAGCGTCAGACTGGTTTCAGAAGCTGGCAGGCAAGTAGGCATCCTACCGTCGAGACTCGGAATACCTCCCGAGGGACTCATGTTTGTAAACCCCCTTGGGCCAACATGGCCGCTATGAGAGGACATTCTAAGCAGTTGGAAACAGAGAGGGGCGGGGGTTGAGAGAGGATGAAATAAGCCTCTCTCCTGGAACTACTTCACCCTTTGACATTCAAATATCAACTTTTGATGTCCTGAACCCGGCCGGTTGATGTAGAGCCAAGCCAAGACCTCTGGACCTTTACCGTGACTCAATATATTCACCGCGCTGTCGGGCCTCCGGAGCCGTTGACTTCATGGGCCCAGAGCTTATGCTACAGCTGCTGCTCTTGGCAGGAATATGATAGGAAACAGCTATTCATCACACGACCAACCTGAATGACCAGATTTGACTTGTATCGACAAGAAACTGAAGGGGGAGGTGATGTGCGCGTGGCACTTATCGCCTCGTACCATCTCTCAACGTGAGGCGCAGGCAAAGTCACTAGCTATGCCGAGCGGTGCCCGCCACCGCGCCAAGTTTGACGATGACGACGCATATGCTAATTTGTACGAGATCGTGGTGGTGTGCACCGCACTAACAACGGAGGTTGCGCGCTCTAGCACCATGGGACCACTTTAAGCAGGTCGCGTCGTTGGCCAAGCCTTTGCAACAATTATTGATAGACGCTAGACAATAGTCGCTCCTTACATGTATAGACGAAAAAAATAGTTGCTTCAGTTCAGGTTCTGACTCCTGTACCCATTCAACTGAATGTGCTTGACACGGAATAGGCCTCCCTCCTCATCCTTCTAGTTGGTATCCAAATTCGCACCTTCATGGCGGACCACAGACCTTCCCTATCTCAGTAGCGCACGCCATGTGATGGAGCCAGTACGACTACAGCCAAGGTAACCACCACACACAGGCTAAATTTACTTCTTGCGGTGTTCATGCACGATGGCAATGATTTTATCCACAATCGAGGGGTCCGACAGCGTGGAAGTATCGCCAAGTTGGTCCTCCTCGCCCGCGAGAATCTTTCTGAGAATACGCCGCATAATCTTACCCGAGCGGGTCTTGGGCAGATCTGGAACGATATAAACAGCCTTGGGCGCCGCAAAAGGCCCGATGCTCTTGCGGACCTGCAGGATGAACTCCTTGCGCAGGGCGTCTGAGGACTCATTGCCGTCCTTGATGGCCACGAAGGCATTCACAGCCTGCCCGGTCAGCTCGTCGGCGATACCAACGACGGCAGCCTCGGCGATAGCGTGATGCTCAATCAAGGCCGCCTCGATCTCTGCTGTGGACAGACGATGACCGCTGACATTGACCACATCGTCAACACGGCCGCGGATCCAGTAAAATCCCTCATGGTCCCGGCCAGCGCCGTCACCGGTGAACTATGAAGCCCTGGTCAGCACAGAACTCTCGAAAGTGGTGGCAAGGTTTGTTGTCTACTCACATAGTAGCCCTTGTAGACGTTCAGATACGTGTCCATGTAGCGCTTGTGGGCGCCGTACACTGTCCTCGCCATGCTTGGCCATGGTTGTTTGAAGGCCAAGACACCCTCCACATCATTGCCGTGGATCTCCTCACCGGAGACGGGATCTATGATGGCAGGCTCAATACCGAAAAATGGTAGAGATGCAGAGCCAGGCTTGGTAGGCGTGACACCTGCGAGTGGCGTGATGACGTTGGATCCGGTCTCGGTTTGCCAGTATGTCTGCCCCCAAGTCAATTTACTACCCATTCAATTAGGGGAAGGGGGGGGGGGGGACGAGGAACCAGCCGCAGCTTACATCAACGATCTGTGCCTCCTCTTTTCCGACAACCTCGAAATACCACTTCCACACCTCGGCGGCGATAGGCTCTCCGACAGAGCCGAGGACGCGGAGGTGGCTCATCTTACTCTTCACAAAGTGGTCACCGGCGCGCTTGAGCAGCCGCAGGGCAGTAGGCGCCACGTAGAACTGGGTCACCTGGTGCTTGTCGATAATCTCCCAGTAGCGAGAAAAGTCGGGGTATGCAGGCGTACCCTCAAAGACGACCGTCGAGACACCAAGCAGCAGGGGCGCGTAAACGACGTACGTGTGGCCGGTGATCCAACCCACGTCACCACCGCAGAAATAACGGTCCCCATCGTGGATGTCGAAGACATACTTGCCAGTCATGGCAGCTCCCAGCAGGTAACCGGCCGTGGTGTGCATGACACCCTTGGGCTTGCCAGTCGACCCTGATGTGTACAGGAGGAAAAGCGGGTCCTCGGAGTTCATGGGCTCTGGTGCGATGTAAGAAGGCCACTTTTCGACCTCCTCGTGCCACCACCAATCCCGACCCTTAGTGAATGGCACGTCGGCACCCGTCCGCTTATAGACCAGGACATGGCTGACATCGGGGCACTGCTTGAGAGCGTCATCCACAATCTTCTTGGTCCCGATGAGCTTGCCGCCGCGCTTGCCCTCGTCCGTAGTGATGACCACCTTGGACTGAGCGTCAATGACACGGTCGCGCAGAGAGTCAGCCGAGAAACCAGCAAAGACGACGGAGTGGACGGCGCCAATGCGGGTGATGGCAAGCAGGGCGATGACTGCCTCGGGGATCATGGGCAGATACACGGCAACAGTGTCGCCCTTCTTGACGCCCATCTGCTTAAGGACCCAGGCGGTCCTGCAGACCTCTCGGAGCAGCTGCCCGTAAGTCAGGTTGCGGCCCTCCTCGGGCTCGTCTGCCTCGTAGATGATGGCCACCTTGTTGGGGTCCTTGGCAGCGTGCCGATCGACACAGTTGTACGAGGCGTTCAGCTCGCCCTCGAGGAACCAGGCACTGTCGCCATCCTGCAGGGTTCCTGTGTGAACGGTCTGGAAGTCTTTGGACCAGGTCAGAAGCTCTCGGGCCTTGGTGCCCCAGAACTTTTGCGGTTCAGTGATGGACTGCTTGTAAAGCTGCTGATAGTCCTCCAGCCCTGGAAATCGTACGAGTCAGTCCCAGTTGCGCCCTCACGACTCACCCTTTCTTCCCCACCCCGCACTTTTCCCAAAAGGAGAACCAACAATAACCATGCGACCGAAGAAAAAAGAAGCGGCGACATACCAGACAGGTGAGGTTTGCTCGGATGCTCTGCAGCAGAATGTCAGCTCCGGTTCCGAGGGTGCACTCGTTGATCGCAATTACAACTTGGGCGAGCGCTGTCTCGGCGGGATTACATACTGTCAAGCATTTTCTGAGGAGGATCTGTGGTACGATTTGTCAGTGCCACTGGTCCACACACCTTTCTGCTTCATACGGCAGGGCAGGGCAGGACGAGGCCACTCACGAAATGTGTCCACCTCATGGGCCTCGAGGACCACTGGGTTCTTGGGTGCTCCTTGTGCCATGTTGAGCTGGCTTTGTGCGTGTGTTTGGGTGAGTGCGGCTGTGTGTATGTGCAAAGATGGCAGCTGTTCTTGGGGTTGTCAGGCCTGGCGATGGATGGCGGGGTAGCTGTTGGGGGGATTGTCTTGTTGGCTGGCTCCGCGCCGTCTTCGACGGGTCTGTGTCCACAACTTGCTGACCACGAAAGGAAAGCAACACACAAGGACTAGAGTTGAATGGTAATGATGTGACCAGCGACTGGGAGTAGTTGAGGTGTAGGGAGAGAAATAAAAAAAAAGAAGGGGAGGAAAAGGAAGATGGAGAGGGTGTAAGATTGAGGAGGGGGACCCAAGGTGAAGTTAGGTGTGCGTTGAAGGCAGGGGGGTAGCTTTGTATTATACGCTGTAACCAAGACAGGTAGCCCTGTACCTTTCCCCTCCCCTCCAAAACTCACCCTTCGTCCACACTTGCAGCAAGTACATCCCACCGCACCAACACCTGCACCTGCACCCGCATCCCCGTCCACTTTCCCAACGATACTCATCACCAGAGTGTGGTACCACTCGCCCATCCCGATTCCCATCCCTGTCCGCATATCTCTCTCTGTTACCGTACAGATATGTACATAGTACGTTGCACCCTACCGCGTGTACGCAAGGTCCCTTGTGTCCGAGGGGAGCTTACAATGGCACCATGGGCACTTGTTGTACGCCGATCATCTGCACTGGTCCCTGGCTCACCAGGGTTGTCTATTGGCTGGTCTGCCATGCTAGCACCTCGCACTTTCCACCCAGCCGGGTTTGAGGACGGCGTGGGTGCCCTTTTTCCCCACAGCCATGAGGTGTGTTGAGGTTGAGGTCCCACCTCTAACTACTTCCTACGTACTCACAGAAGCAGTGCGAAAAGGGAGACCCTGCAGCGCACGACCAGCTGCCAGGGCCACTTTACGAGCGGCCTAGCCTTTCCGTCCGTCCGGACTCGTCGCCCACCATTGTCGAAGCTTTGATCTGGGTGCATGCTGTGCGGGAATGGCGGAGTAAAGCCATTGCATTGTCCCGCAATGTATTTTTCTTTAATTCCAATTCTTGTTCCATCTAGTTCCCTTCTTATCCTTTCCCCTTCCATGTCCGGTCTTCGGATGAAATGAATCAGTGCAAGTCCTGGACACACAGGCTCGGCATATCGAATGTACTATATACAAACAGGTGAATGCTCTCTTCTTCTCCGGAAGATAGCCGCGGTTGTGTTTTGGATCCAGTCATATCAATCGCATCTCCAATTACCCAATCTCGAGAAACGGCGAGAAGCGAAAGCGCGAACACCCCCTGTCCACTTTTTCTTTGTTTTTTTTTTCGGTGGTTTTTTCTCTCTTTTCCCCCTGGCACGACAGTCGTTAATTACACAGACAGTACTAGTCACTTGTTTGATGACTGCATTCGGTCTCGGGCCCGCGACAAATGCATCCACCATCCCGAACGCAGAATGTGTGTACTATGTATGTAAGTACTAACTAGTATGCTCGTTTTGGACATCAGCGTCTATTCGGACTCCAGCCCCGCATGACCCCAACGCCATCATACCCTCCCATTCAGCCTGGCGCAGCCTTTGTCACACCTGAGGTGCATCTTTGTGTCTTTGTCTCACACCATGCACGCACGCACGCACACACACACACACACAGAAAGGGAAGCCCTCGACCTCGCCCTCGCCCTCGCCCTCTCGCCTCCGATGTCAATACGTCAAAAGCGTCGAGAGTATTACAGCCCGCAGCTGGGCCACAGTGTACCAGGCGACCAGGATTGCAACGTATAATGTTCTGGGTGCGGATGTCTGTCAAGCCAGATTCCCGATTTGTCGACAAATAAATGTGCTGGAAGACTCGGAAGGGGGAACACATCCTCGTTCTACCATTTCCCACCAAGCATTAGAGTGTGCGCATTGCCCCAACACCTTTAGCTCTCTCTCTCTCCAGCCTCCCCACCAAGCCGCTATTCTCTTACTTCCCCACATCTCGCCTGGGGTAGCGCCGTTTACCAACAAGGTTGGATGATTGCTTGACCACGGGGAAAAGGCCCACGAGACCAAGAGAACCAGCATCTGCTATGTAGCCGTGCCTTTCGGTGGCAGATTCAAGCCCGTCTCGGCTAGTCGCTGTCATCGACAAAGGTCCCCCCTCCCCCCCCTGCTTCCCCCCTCCCCCCCGGATACACCCCGCTTCGTCTTGACCTGTCCTCCTTTCAGTATGGTGGACTGGATGGCTGAAGGTATTTGTTTTGTGCGAGCACTTAAAGCACAAAGACCGGCTCGATGACGATCCGTCTTTGGTGTGTACTCACCATACAATATTCCATGGTCCTGCAGGTACCATAGTACAATTATACCTAAGTGGTCTGCACCTGGAACTACCACCATCAATGCAGGCGTGCCCGCTTGGTCGTAGCCTCTACCATAGCAAGCTTAGTGCAAATTCAAAGACAGGATGATTCGATCACACCCTGCGGATCCGTAGGGCTATCAAGGCTGGCTTGACAGATCCGCATCAGGCTCTGCGGACAAAGCAGGAACACGGGCCTCTCTACTCACGGCAGGATTCGGTAATCACCATTGTTCGCCCCGTTGTGTTGGTATCTTCTGATTCGCATACTGAAGTTAAAATAGCTGTCTCCCGAGGTAAAACGGAAAACATCCTCCCACCCGTCCAGGCCTCTATCTAGTAGTAGTCCGATTCGCTCGGTAACATAGTACATATCTTTTTTCTTGCTCGCCTCTTTTTTTTTTCATCACGAAACTTCCTCCTCTTCAGCTCAGCCCTGGGGTCCATCCAGACTGCTCCCCGCCGTACCAGATGACCTCATTCCCCCCAGTTGACAGGACGGCTCCGACAAATGAGAGGGTCTACGTCCAGAGTCCCGGGTCTGTTGAAACCAACTGATGCGAGACGCCAAAAGCCGAGGGGGTTGCATTGCCGCATGGACAAAAGGAACCTGTAACCTTGTTATCACTACGATACACACATGTCAAAGTACACTATGTACATAGCACTGTGTTCGTGGTACGTACATGCATACACATAGTAGTCTCTTGATACATAGTAAGAGGCAGCATTCAGGCGCTTATCTCTCATATGAAACCCAAGACCTCCAAGTACCATGCCGCCGCCTCCCAATGTCCCTTCTGTGAAGAGACTATTCCGGACCCTCGACGGATAGGCAAGATGTGTGCCGCAAAAGAGACCTCGGTAGAGAATCCTAGCATTAGGACAAACGCACAAGCTCTCGGCACGGTCCTATGAAGCCTGCACTGGCAGCCTCGGCGGCAGCCAACATAACCGATTACGCATTTTCGAGTGCGTGGTTGTACAGTACACACCACACTGTTCGCTGAGGGACGGCACGCGGATATACTCGTCTTGGCCAAGCCTACAGGATGGTACGCAATCAAGAATATTCATGTTCCTGTGTTCGCTCTGGATTTGTGCACTGCACCGGATGCTAGAAACTGAAGCACGCTGCCCCCAGAAGTCCACCCTGTTATTCATTGCACACCCTCCCTCATCCGGAACGCCTTTAATGATATCTCTCCCAGGGCTCCAAGCCCATTTCTTTTGCCTCGGTGTGAATATTGTCATATTCGTCGCTGGAAGCACCTAATCATGTAAACGTATCGGCCTTGCCATGTGCAGGGACAGGAATGAGCATAAGCCATGCCCACTGCCGCTGGCCCAAAAGGAAAAGACTGCGTGCGGTCTCAGGTGTCAGATGTTGTGTTCTAAAAATCCATCTCCATAAGATAAATCTCCAAGATTCTCATAAACTTGGCGACAAACGCCTCGAGGTGAAAAATGACTTTGGTGCCCGTCTTGATTCGGTGCTCGTAGAACGCCGACCACTTGATGACATCGCCCTTCAAGGCCTCGTCGATTTTGGGAACAAGCTTGAACGTGAGGGTCTTGAGGATGGTTGTGGCTGGGATGCAGTGCGTGAGGAGATCGTAAAGCTTCGCCCGCACAACCAAGATCTGCGCGGGCGTATGCTCTTGCATCATTTCCCTCGCAATCTGTTCAATGAGTGCTTCCCAGTCGGGCGGTGGTATTGGTGTTGTGTTGGTAACCTTTTCACTACAGCAGTAACTCGATCAGCACAAAAGCTCTTCCAAATGTGTCGTCTGAGCGTGAGTTCGCGAGTTGTCGGAACACCTACTTCTGCGCGTGGACCGCCTCATACATTAGCAAGGCTCTTCGAAGATTGCGTCCACTTTCCTCTGCTATCCTCTGGTGCAAGCCCTCCACCACCGGCCAGTTCTCCCTTTTCGCGGACAGAGCCAGGACCTCGCAGATCTCCGCATGCGTCGGCGCTGCGACTCGTACCAACAGCGTGCGCGAGCGGATCGGCGCAATGATGTTGGCTGTCGAGTTTGCCAGAAGGATGAGGCGTAGGTTGGGGCTGTATTTCTCCATGGTCCTCCTGAGCGCAGCCTGCGCGTCGCGCGTCAGGTGGTCCGCCTCATTGATCACGACAACCTTGAACCGCTGCTTCGCTGCCGTGTCCACCTGCTGTGTCTGCGCGACCTCCTTCAGAAGGTCCTGAACCACTACACGGTCGTAGTTGCCCACATCGCTGGGAGTGATCTCGAGATGATATACGGACGCAACTATATTGAACTCGAGCTTACGGTTGGAGGTGGTCTGGAATACGCGCGCGTCGATCTTAATCTTCTCGACGCCGGGGCCGAAGAGCTCCTTCAGCGTCGCAACGATACGGGTCTTCTTGCCAGCGCCGGAGGGTCCGTAGACGAGGAGATGTGGAAAGTCTCCGCTTTGGGCCTGTAGGAAATATTGGCGTCAGTTAGGTCTACTGAGGCCTTGATATATCAAGGGTTGGGTAGGAGCACATACGAGCGACTTGAGGCGCTCGGAAAGCTCTGGGTGGTAGGTGAGTTGATCCAGAGATCTAGGCCGGTGTTTGTCGACGATCAATGCCATCTTGACTGCGCCCTCGAACAGAGTCAAACAAAGAGGACACTGCCGATTGCTTGGGCGCCCAGTCAATGTGGAAGTTGCTGATGGGGTTGGGTAATTTGAGTAGGAGAGGTGCCGCCTGGGTGACGGACCCAGACGCGTCGGACCCCACCTAGACGCGTTCTGCTGAGGAGAAGACTTAATTGAGTGCTGCACGCCCTAACCCTCGTATTGGGAACCCATTGAGGTACCACCACAACTGGCCTCAGAATTTAAAAAGAACAATACACAGATTCATAATCCGGCACAGCTAGCATCCAAAAAAAAATTTGTTGTACGTGATCTCATGCGAAAGAAGAAAAAATAATTTGGTGCCTCCGGCCTGTACAGATGGTCAAATTATTGCTGAGGAGCAGTAACGAGCACTGCGCTCCCTAATTGACAGTCTATGACACCCAAATGCCCTGAAGTAAGCTTGAAGATATGAAAGGCTGGCCCTTGTTTGCAAATCTTAAGTCTCTTTGCTTGTTCGTAAATTCTCGGGTATTAATGAACGGTAGACGTCTTGAGAACATATCCGACTCAGCCGCTCGTCCTCTTCGTCGAGCGCTGAGTGTGTATACGTCTTTGCAGATCACAGTTCTAGGCATCCACCGCCTGAGCATGCCCCATTCTTTAGCATGGAACAAAAGTCGCCCAGGTCCCAAATATATACATTGTGCAGCCGTATTATGCATCCAACTCGGATCCTGCTATTCCTACGATGGTGGAGGGACTGAAGACGGGGTTGTTGTCGCTGCTGGGGTGACCTCTGGCTTCTCTGCTGTGGGCAACTGCTTCCAAGGTCGCTTGAGATCATCAATTGTGACCCCTTTCAGCTTCGTGATGCCGACGACTGGGGGCTCTCCCTTCTTAATGAACTCGTACTGGCCTGGCAGCTTGTTCCCCGCAAGACGGAAGGCATCTCTAACAACTTGCTCGTGAAGTGCTCCTCTTATCTCGAAGATCACCCTATTGACCGCCACTCTGGTTGCCCAATGATCAAAGGATCCCTTTCCCTTGCCCATACGCATCTAACAGTCTCGTTAGCCATCATAGATCCATTGCCCGGACGGAGACAAGTGACCCACCTCGTTTCCGCTAACATAGACGCCAATATTGCAGTTGACCCTTGTGTATAATCGATATCTCTGCCCTCGCAATCTCTGCTTTATGGTGGTTTCCGCAAGCTTAAGCTGTGCTGCACTGATCCTCCTGTGGTGGTCGACCATCCGCAGGCCGTAGTCCCCAATCATGATTGTCGTGCCCTTCACCGAACCACCCGTAGCCACTCTTGGTCTGCCCTTCTGCATCTTCTTGGTCCGATCGATGAATGGTTCCAGCCATGAGCCCAGCTGGGGCGCTGTCGAGGTGAACGTTCTGACATGTGGGGCTAGACTGGCCGTTCTTGCGGCGTTCAAGGAGAGTGTTGGTGTGGCGGCAGATATCCGCAGCCCTTGTAGGGCACTCAAGATCGATGAGCCTTGGCGATTCATCTCTTCTTGGAATTCGGCGTCGCAAGAGGTGTCTAAGTTGTGGTGTCGCTCGGACTCGGGAACGCCTTCCGATCAGGTAGCTCTTAGAAAAAACGTTAGGCAGGCAAGACAGGGTCTTGGTGGCCCGAGCTTTTTACGTATGAGCCTTGCCTGAGCTGCCTAAGTAGCCCCACTTTAAAGTAGACTTACCTCCCATCAACGCGTCGCGCGCGTCTTGTCAGTTACGCCTGCATCTTTGACGACGCACCCACCTCCATGCAACTTCTTTCCTTCTCGATTGACTGGTTGGCTTGCACCACCAACTTGACCCCTACACTTGTGAAATCTTTTAGGAAGTTCAGATCAGATCATTTCAGTTGTGGTGTCCAGCTGATCTCAAAATGCCCGACATTCGAAACTTCTTCACCCCCAAAGGAGGGGCAGCCTCCGCAAAGCCACCAGTGCCGAAGAAAGAAGAACCTCCTAAGAAGGGCCGGGGCAGACCTCGCAAGATCATTGAAGATAGCGATGAAGATGATGAGCCTGCTGAAAAGCCCAAAGCTACGGCAGCAAAGGCAGCACCAAAGTCGACACCCAAGAAAAAGGCCGCTGCTTCCGAGTCACTAAAAGGCAAAGAGATCTCTGCAGACGATTACTTTTCATCTACCAACTCGAAGAAAGCGAAGACTCAAACCACCCCCAGTAAACCTACCATGCAGGCACCACTCCGTCAGAGCCCTAGAAACAAGGCTACGGTATCCCCGGTGAATGCGAAACGTGCGGTCAGAGCGAGACCGACGGCGTCTTACACCAAAACCACAACGCACGATGACGAGGATGCATATATGGAGGACGGTGACGAGGATGGAGATGACATCTTTGCTGCAGATGTAAAGGGCCGCAACAAGAGGAAGAATGACGAATATGCGGAGGAGGACAGCGAGGAGGAGGTTTTACCCAAGCCGAAGCGAATCGCTTCCCGGGCCAAGACTTCAAAGGCTCACGTGTCCGAGAGTGAAGAAGATGACTTCAAGCCTGTATCGAAGAAAGCTACGAGCACTTCTAAGAAGCGCAAATCACCACAGTCTGACGATGATGACGAGCCCGAGGCAACGCCGCGAAAGAAAGCGGCTGCATCGAAGCCTCGCGCCCCAAGGAAGAAGAAGGAACCGGAAACGGAAGATGCAGACTTCCAGGCGCTCCTGAACTCCGTGCCCACGGTCAGGCCACCCACCCCACCGCCTAAAGACCCAAATGCCAAATTTGACTGGCACAAAGCTGGTGGTAATTCTGGTCCTCCTCCGATGGAGGGCGCGGCTGAGATCCCCGAGGGCGCCGATGGCTGTCTCACTGGCATGACATTCGTTTTCACTGGCCAGCTTAAAACGATCGGCCGGGACGATGGCCAAGCTTTAGTCAAGCGTTACGGAGGCAAGGTCACAGGAATGCCCAGCAGCAAGACGACTTTTGTGGTGCTTGGTGACGACGCCGGCCCGTCCAAATTGAAGAAGATCAAGGACCTCGGTATCAAGACTATTGACGACAACGGTCTGTTCGACTTAATTCGCAGAGCGCCCGCGAATGGTGGATCTGGCAAGAATGCGGAGAAACTCAAGGAGAAACAAGAGGCAGACAAGAAAAAGGTGCAACAGGCAGCCGCCGAGCTCGAGAAAGAAGAGAAGGCACTCCGTGCCGAAGCTGAGAAAACTCGCAAAGCTGCTGCTGCTCGAGGCGTCACTGCGCCAAAGCCTGTTGCTGCCGACGCACAGCTGTGGACTACCAAATATGCCCCTACACAACTAGCCCACATCTGTGGAAACAAGACCAATGTCGAGAAGATACAGAGCTGGCTGCAAGCTTGGCCCAAGAACCGAAAGTACGATTTTCAGAGGCGCGGCGCGGACGGCATGGGTGGCGTCCGGGCAATCATCCTGTCTGGCCCTCCAGGCATCGGCAAAACGACTGCCGCACATCTCGCAGCCAAGCTTGCAGGTTTTGATGTCATTGAGAGCAATGCCAGTGATACCCGCAGCAAGAAGTTGGTGGAGAACGGAGTCAGCGACATCATGGACAACACATCTCTGCTTGGGTACTTTGCAGGCGATGGAAAGAAGCTTGAGAATGCCAAGAAAAACATTGTCCTGATCATGGACGAGGTTGATGGCATGTCAGCAGGTGACCGGGGCGGCGTTGGCGCGTTGGCCAAGTTCTGCAAGAAGACCGAGGTACCCTTGATCCTGATCTGCAACGAACGGAGGCTGCCCAAGATGAAGCCATTTGATCACGTTACCTACGATATCCAGTTCAGACGGCCTACCGTGGATCAGGTTCGCTCACGGATCATGACCATCTGCCACCGAGAGGGCCTCAAGCTACCCGTCCAGGTTGTTGACGCTCTCATCGAGGGCAGCAACAAGGACATCAGACAGATCATCAACATGCTCTCCACTATCAAACTCGATCAAACAGCCATGGACTTTGACCAAAGCAAGTCCATGTCTAAGGCGTGGGAGAAGCATGTCATACTGAAGCCATGGGACATTTGCCAGAAATTGCTTGGTGGCAATTTGTTCAACCCAGCGAGCAAAGCGACCCTGAATGACAAGATCGAGTTGTATTTCAACGACCACGAGTTCAGTTATCTGATGATCCAGGAGAACTATCTCAAGGCCAAACCGGCGGGTCTAAGCGGCAAGGGATATAACAAGCGAGAGGAGAACCTGAAGTATCTGGAGCTCGTGGATCAAGCGGCTGAGAGCATCAGCGATGGCGATCTCGTAGATAAGATGATCCACGGTTCGCAGCAACAATGGAGCCTCATGCCCACACACGCGGTATTCAGCACTGTCCGACCTGCGAGCTTCGTGTCTGGTAGCATGATTGGCTCCAATTTCACCTCGTGGCTTGGCAACAATAGCAAGCAAGGCAAGCTCGGTCGCTTCACTCGTGAGATCCACTCTCACATGCGGCTCAAATCTTCTGGAGACGCAAATGAGATCCGTCAGCAGTACCTACCTGTTCTCTGGTACCAGCTCATCAAACGCCTGTCATTCGAGGGCAAGGACTGCGTTGGGGACGTCATCAATCTCATGGACAGCTACTACTTGACAAGGGAAGACTTCGACGCTATCAAAGAGCTCGGCGTTGGGCCGCAGGCTGAGAGCCTGGTCGAAATTGAACCGCAGACCAAGTCCGCCTTCACGAGGGTGTAAGTGAATCAGCCTGCCGTGACGGTCGACACTGAGCTGACTATTGCAGGTATAATTCTATGTCTCATCCGGTACCTTTCATGAAGGCCAGCAGCGTTGCCGAGCCGAAGAAGGCAAGCAAAGAGGTGCCCGACATCGAAGATGCCATAGATGCAGACGATGACGAAGCCGACCTTGCCGAGCCCGTAGACGACGACGACGACGACGAGATCGATCTCAAGAAGGACAAATATATCAAGAAGCCCAAGGCTAAGGCTAAGCGAGTGCCCAAGAAGAAGGCGGCTGATGAGGTCGACGAACTGGATGATGGTGCTGAGAAGACCCAAAAGGGTCGTGGCAAAGGAAAGGCTGCTGCCAAAGGTAAGGCGAAGAAATAATCCCAACCTCGCAAGTGGGAAGGCGGTTTAGGTCACAGGTGGTCAGTTTTCTGCAACAATACCTGGTATGAGACGGTTGTCATTTGCCTTGAGATCATTTTCCCATTAGCAGGCGTGGCTTTCCGAGCATGCGTGACATGCGTCTCAAACAAACTATTTTGGGCTTGCTGGAGGTATTCTTTATGACTAGGATGGTTGTTGAAAGGGATGGCACTCGTGTAGAGCACGCCTTTGTTGAACAAAACCTCAGACTCACATGTCTGCAAATGATGAGCCAGTAGATAGCCTAAACATCATCTAAGAAATGGAGATAGCATCCCATGATAGGCCTGCTTTGTGTCTTATGAGCATGATGATACACACCTCAATGTTGGACACTGTTAGTGGCTTTGAAAGAGGCCTCTGTTTCGACTGAAGTATACCTATCCCTTTGCTGTTCAATTTTCTAACAAGCCTCACTTGAGCTCGACGCCTCTGTCGACAGCTCCCACACTTTTGTATTATGTAGCCCCGTCAAATACCCAACTGCACAAAGTATGGCTGGCTCTCTTCCCAATGGGAGTGATGTTTTCACTACTGCGTCAACATCAAACAACTCTACTTCCATTTCTGGTCAACATAGCTTGATACAAACGCCGTCTTCTCGTACTGCCTCTTCTGCAAAGGCGCCACATCTTAACGCCAACATGTATTCGAAGCACCGGTATAGGTCGGACTGCGTTCAACCAGCGCCCTATGAGGAAATGTCCGCAAGAAAGGGTCGCCAGAACGGCAAGCAAGGCACGCGTTATCCCCAGGAGCTGACTGTATGCAACTCACATTTTTCTTTCTGACACTCGCTTTCAGACGCCGCGGTTGGCATAGTTTTCCCCGGGTGCTCCAAGGGAAAGGACCACGCGAAGAAGTGGGACATGACAACGTCAACGATGCAGGCTTATATTGCCATGCGAGGACCAGGTGCAGATGTCGAGGACCCTTTACTGAGCTGGATAGGCATGCAGGACAAGAAAAATGCAAAGTCTGAAGTGGGAGTGTCTGGGTACGTTTTCGCATCCCTCGAGGTTACGACGATTTCAATGGCTTACAAGTAAAACACGTCCCAGCATGTTCGACGATATCACAGGGTCCATCAAAGAGAAGTGCGCATGGGATGCTCATGGCCCAACACAATACACCGAGGAGGAACGTCGCGCCGTATTTCAGTACATGCGCCCCAAGATCAAGCACCTCAAGGTCCCTAAGTCATTCGATCGCGACGAGCTGGAGGCGATCTGGCAGAACCGTGAAAAGCAGAGCGACGGTTGGCACAAGTATGCTGCTAGCGAGGTCTCGGACGATGAGGGCGATCCCTCCAATGGTCGGATATCTCCTTGCACCTTTGCGCACTGGGCTCAGGGCGCAAAGCGATGGGATGCGCCTGGAGACAAGTATCAGTCAATATGGGAGACTCGAAAGACCTACAAGCTACCCGTAAGCAGTGATCTCACAGCTTGGAAGGCGTCGCATAGATCATACTTACAACGAAGTCTAGGAGGAGCGCCAGCGACCCCCATCTCCAAACACAATCAAGCCACGAGACCCGAAGTTTCGCGATCGCCAAGCTCAGATTGACGAGGATGACGGCCAACCCCTCTCTGCGGCCTGCAGCGAGTATGCGAAGACTCAGCCGTCTATCGTCTGGTCTCCCCCACGTGAGCAAAAACGAACTACTTGTCGCACACGTTGTCCAATTGGCTGCCCTGTACTGATCTTTAGAGGACAGCTATGAAGGCAACTCTCCCTTACGACTTCTACAACCGGAAAATAGATCGCATGGATCCCGAGCTGGCTAAAGCTTTACGCGAGGGCATCACCCACACCGTGCCGTCCTTTGGGGTCGGGTCTACCGAGGACGTCCAAAATTTCAGCCGCGTCAGTCTCCTTGCCTACAATATTACTTCCCACTTCGAAACGTATCCTCTAACATTCAGCTTGGTTCATCTCAGTTCGCTGTTGAGAGCGTCGTCGAGAAGTACTGGGGCCTTGACCAGATGAACGCCATTCTTGCAGACAAGCACAAAGAACTTGCGTTTCTCCAGTACAACGAGGAGCAGGTGAACTTGATCAACGAAGACTACCGGCATAAGGTGCGCCGTCTGAAGCATGAGAACCGCAAACTGGGCGACTGTCTGGCGCTGCAGCAAAATATGCGCAACCGACGTATTCTCAAGTCCGTCGACCGGCACATTCGCAGTCTGGAATACGAGAGCAAGGCCAAGCTCGCCGAGGTCAAGGCCCGGTATAAGGAAAACGAGCAGCTTCGCAACGAATACGCGAACATGCAGGATTACCAGAAGAAGCTGCTCGTCGTGCTCGGCAAGGAGACGCCTGAGGAGGTGTTCAAGATGTTCCCCCACGTCTGGGAGCCATTGGAAGTGAGGAAGAACCGCCGCAATTTCTCTTGAAAGAAAGAACTTACGTGGAAGAATCAGCATGGTTTTCCCTCATTCTGGACTGAACCAACTTAGGTACTCGATGAGGGAGAATTCGGCCCAGCACGCAACGATCTTGCGACGCAAATTACGGTTTGGCTGAAGCTCTGTACGATCACATTGCTGATGCCTAACGTGAGAGGGGCCTTTATGTCTTCCGAAACTATGAAGATTCGGTGCTGTTGGTCTCTATGTACAATGGGTAGTGATGCAGATCCTTGACTTTTCAGATCCCGAGAACGACCCTGTGACCAGCCGCGCCATATACTTTTCCGTGATGAGAGAGGAGCATGTATGATCCCGTCCACCCCAACGCCAATGCCAATCTCTTGTGTGGTTTTCTCGTGAGGCATCCATCACATAAGTAATAGTACAAATGGAACACGAAAAAGGGTAGTTTATCATGTCCGCTTAAGGTTCGAGAGGGGGGTCTCCCTATTTGTTCTTGACCACGCCCACCTTGGCGGCGCGAAGTACCCGGTTATTGAGCTTGAAGCCCTTCTGCTGGACGTAGAATACGGTGTTGTCCTCTTTGCCCTCCTGAGGCGACATGAAGGTTGCCTCGTGCTCGTTGGGGTTGAACTTTTCTCCGGTCGGGTCGAAACGCTCGAGGCCGTGCTTCTTGATGGTATTCATAAGAATGTCATCGGTCATCTTGAGCCCTTCGTACAGATTCACCAGGTCCTTGAGGTCATCCGACTTCTCATCAGAGGCCAGCTTGGCTGCTGGCACCATCGAGAGCGCCCTGTCCAGGTTGTCGACGCTGTCGACGAGATCCTTGGCAAAGCTCTGAATGGCGAACTCGCGGGCGTTCTTCACCTCGCGTTGGGTCCGGTCTTGAAGGTTGCGGAAATCGGCGATAGAGCGGAGACATTTGTCCTAGGCATGGTGTGAGCACAAACTGAGTACGACGGGGTGTTACGAAGGCGTGCGCCACCAACCTTCCAGTCTGCGGCCTCCTTCTCCTTGGTTTCTAGCTTCTTCTTGAGCTCTGTGACAGCTGCGTCCTCGGCTGGCTCAGAGGTGGACTCTGGACTTTCCGCGGACGGCTTGGTCTCTGCATCGCCGTTCTTCTGTTCGTCCTTAACTGCCTCACTGTACCATCTCGCTGCCGCCGGTTGTATCCTCCGTACTGCGATGGGCGCAACAAAGGTCTGTGGTGGGCAAAAGAGTCGCTGGTTCGCAAGGGAGCGAGATGTCGAGCGAAGGGCTCTAGAAGGAGCAACGAGGGCTTGTCGGAGCATCTTCAACGTGGCCTAGAACCTATATGAAAGTTGTGGCAGGTGGTGTGGTTGAGCTCGAAGAATTTAATCTTCCACCATGACGCTGGGTTCCAGGGTACTTGGAAATTTTATACAGTGCCTTCTTTGCCTGCCTGCCTCCGAGGTCCGGTCTGCAAATCTTCGCTGGTTATGCTGAGCATGGCAGGCCTGGCGATAAGCTGATAAGGACACCAAACCCGCCTAGGGCCACCCGCCCTCTAGCAGTGCTACTTACTCATTCGTCTTCAACTTTCACAACCCTCTGAATACAGCTCCTTTGCCCTCCATTTTCGTTCTCCCCGTTCAACTACTACTCTTCACACCCACATAATTACTGTCTTGTGCTTCGTCCTCTGCAAGACCTGCGTCTCTCAAGCAACCTTTTGGACGGCCAAGATATCTATCTGCGCAGCGCTCCGCCTTTGGCTCCTGCGCACCTGAAAAGAAGCTGGAAGTATCAGCTGGACGCCACAATGGATGTCTATGGCAATGACCCGATGATGATGGATGGCGACTCGGTCAAGCCGATGGAGGTCAAGATCACAGAGGTAAGGGAAGGGCGCACAGCGCTCAAGAGGTAGTTTTGTGGTGTTCTAATGTGGTCGCCCACGGTAGGCCGACAGCCATCACGTCAATTTCAACCTCGCCAACGTCGACCTTTCCCTCGCCAACGCGTTACGTCGCATCATCCTCGCCGAAGTCCCGACGATCGCTATTGACCTGGTTGAAATCGAGGAAAACAGTAGCGTTCTGGCCGACGAGTTCATCGCCCATCGCCTGGGCCTCATCCCACTCAACTCCAAGAACGCCGACGACGTCATCTATACCCGCGACTGCGAGTGTGAACAGTACTGCGAGCTCTGCAGCATTAAGCTCACCCTACATGCGAAGTGTACCACCCATGGCGAGATCATGAAGGTCTACGCCCGTGACCTCGTCGTCGACGCCATGCGACCCAACGAGTGGGTTGGCTCACCTGTCATCAACGATCCCGATGGGCAGGGCCCTCTCATCGCGAAATTGCGGGATGGCCAGGAGCTGAGGTTAAAATGCATTGCGAAGAAGGGCATGGCCAAGGAACATGCCAAGTGGGCCCCAACCGCGGCTGTGGGCTTCGAGTACGATCCTCACAACAAGCTGGGCCACACCGATCTGTGGTTTGAGGGCAAGGGCGAGGGTGCGAAGCCAGAGGACGAGTGGTACGATGCCCCCCCCCCCCGTCTCCCCTTTTTTTGAGAGGCATATTCTCCGCATCATGCTGACTTCCCCTCTATAGGCCTCGAAGCAAGTACGCAGACTTTGAAGAGCCTCGCCAACCAGCCCAGGCATTTGACTGGGATGCGGTACCCGGCAAGTTCTACTTTGAGGTTGAGAGCGCAGGAAATCTGGAGCCCGACGCGATCATCGCGCAGGGCATCGCTGTCATGCAGCAGAAGCTTGCGGGTCTAATCCACGGGCTGACGGAGGATGAGACTAGTGGTGACTACGCCGGCCCTCGAAGCCCCGAGTTTGGTGGCGGAGATGGCTGGGGTCAAGACCAGGGCTATACGACTCCATTTGTGGGTGGCGGCACGACACCTTATGCCACAACGCCTTTCAATGTCCCGGGAGGGTATTAAATACCAGCATTGGGAGGACTTATTGCTGGTGATGAGGCGTTTCGGGCCATGGATTAGTTTTGTTATGCTGCTGGCTGTCGGCAGACGGACTCAGGCCACTCATCAGGCACGGAGTTCGTTCGAGACTGACAGGCCGGTGGCTCGTCGAGGTGAGACAGTAAAGCCCTTCATTTAGAATCTGGCAATTGGTAATCAAGGAGGGGTGGGGGGTGTGATGAACGGCAACGAGGAAGGCGCACAACACCCGTGCGGGGACGAGTTCCTCGTCAGCAGTCTAAAGGGGGGATGAGGATACTCAACGTGGGAAGAGAAAAGAGAAACACCAGATACCCTCACTGCATGGGACGGCGTCATGTTTGGTTCGGGTCCTCTGACAAGGGAAAGGCGTTGATCAAAGGTCTAGGAAATGGTACGCGCAGTCGGCACTGGAGTTAGTCTATACATTGTGTGCAGAACAAAAAGCAAAAAAGCAAAAAAGGAAAGAAGAAAAAAACCTCAGGTGCAATTCACGCTGTGACTGACTGGTCCCCAACGTGTACTTGTGGTCGTCATAACTCTTTCCTAGTGCCTCTTTCAACCACATTTAGGCGTTAGACCTGTGACAGCTACGCCCACGATTCGACAAGAAATATGTCAACGTAGAGCCCCGGGTAAAAGACAGGCTTCTGGTGCCTAGATCGAGTAAGTTTGGAGGGCATGGAGGTGAGTAAAGTTGGATTTGGTCTATGGACATATCGTAGGCATACTCTCAAGCAGCCTGCCTGCCTGCCTTATAACGGATGTACCACGAGACTGCCAAGCTTGTCAAGCTACACACCTTGGGGGCTTTCGGAAAAGCGTTACCTGATCTCAACGCCCAACTTGTCAACTAGGGCCCTTGTGACCTCTTCATGCATCTGGTTCGTCTCGGCGTTGGTGAGTGTCCTCTCCAGACTTCGATAGTTGATTCTGTAGCACATGCTTCGCCTGCCCGTCTTGGGATGCGTAAACTCGTCCACAAGCTTGACGTCCTCGACCACATCGCCGGCGATGCTGCGTATAATCTCCATCACATCATTTTCGTGGAAATCATGCACATTCGCTCTGGCGTTCCCGCCGGCAGACGACGTCGAGCGCAGCCAGAAGGAAACGTCCTTGTAGCACTCGGGATACTTGGAAAACGGCACGAACCGCTTTAACGAGTCCAAGTTGCCCGAGACGCCGGCAAACTGGGACAGAAACCTCTGGTCGGTGGACCAAAACAGTCGGATGTCAGGTATGTTAAATAGTAGCATGGCGATGCGGTCAAGCCCGATGCCGAACGCCCAGCCTAGCTGTTGAGGCTGGCCTGCATTGATGTACATGCTTTGCTGGGTGACGCCACACCCAAGCACCTCAAGCCAGTCGCCGTCGTAGTACACCTCGAGCTCCCACGAGGGACTCGTGAAGGGAAAGTAAGCCTCGACCCACCGCACCCGCAGCGGTTCATCTTTGTAATGGGGATCGCTCCTTGCGGCAGCCGCCTTTGCACGTGTGAAGATCTCCACCACCATCAGCTCCAGTGACCGCTTCAGGTGCGCGGCGATAGCCTCAGCCTCGGCCGGAGAGTGGTGCGCAGCCTGCAGGGGGTTCCGCCCCGGGTGGAAGGGCGGGTTGGGGTCCTCTACCTTGATGTCGTGTTTGGGCAGCTGCTCGATGTCCGCCCACACAGCAGCTGCTACATCGCCGCCTGGCACGCAAGAGCGGTCCCACAACCGGGCGCCCTCCATCTGGTGGAACACCGGGTAGTGACTCCGGTCAACCTCGTCCCGGCGGTATACATCGGCGGATATAAGGTAGCCGCTGCTCTCGTTGGCCTTAAAAATCGCGGCCTCGTGTGCGCTCGTGTGTGTTCGAAGGAGCGTCGACTCGTTGATATAGTATGTGTCAGAGCGAGCGCGGCCAGGGTGGTCCGGGGGGAAGCCAAGCGAGTCGAAGTTCTCGTGGACGGACACAACGGGGTGGAAGGTATTATAGTACTTGTAGGTTGGGCCCGGGAAGACGCGCTCGATGATCTGTCGTGTGATGGCCACGGGATGATCTTGCTGGAGGTGAAGTTTGCGGGCAGCGGCAGTAATGACATTTGCTGGGGCGTTGAACCAGCTGTCAGTCGTGCAGGTCTTGCCGTCGATCTCAACCGTCAAGGGTATACTCGTGCTCGGCGCGCGGGCGGCCGCTTCATCTTGTCAGACAGGCAAGGTCGACTTTTGTCATATTATGGAGATCTGGGTCGATTCACCTGTCGAGTAAGCCACCGTCCGTGGAGGCTGAGGACGGCTCCTGGAGCTCCTGCGCAAGAGGCTGAGGAGCGGCGGCTGTTGGAGGGCCGCAGCAACACGGAGCTTGGACGGGGCCAGTGGTATCATGAGTCGCCATTGAGAGGCCATTGTGACTTTAGACAGCAGACGAGTGGCTCTGTCATGCCATCTCCACAAGTGTATTGTATGGGCGCCACGCTTAGCCCTCATGCGAAGCCTTGGTATAGCTAGGTTGAGGGGGATCTTGTCGAAGCATTTCTGTCGAGGTCGGAAGTCTTGGGAAAGAAGCAAACATTGGCTTGTCAAGGGTTTGCCTGCCGCAAAAGTGGTGAGACTCAAGGGTCCCTGGCTCATGCATGATGACGATTAGGGCCCTGCATTGTCAATTCTGTCGCTCGCAAAAACCGGCCGGATGGGTTTGCAAGGGCCCGCAGAAATCGTGCCGGCAAAGCAGGAGATAGGTTCTCTCGGTCTGGGATTGCGATCTGGATCTAACTTTTGGCTTGGGCATAGGCTTGGGTCTGAATCTGGATTTGGATCTTGATCTCAACATCAGTTGGCGCAGTACACTCGAGTAGTCGACTTGTTCGTCGTCATCCGCGCCCTCCTACGGCTGATGTTACACAATCATAGCATTTCTCTCTCTGTGTGTGTGCTTGGAGAGCCTTGCCGCCCCCCCCCCCCCGGGCTCCAAAGACCTCACCTGTCTCCGTCTTTCATCTCCTAGGCCCTCCCCAGGTATTCGTCAAGGAATGTGCATGTAGCACCGGCCGGCCTTTGGTGTGAAACGAGACAGTCGCCCATGCAGTCGCAGACAGAGGCCACAGCTGCCTCTTCTGCTGCTGCTGCGCCTTCAAGGCCAGCTCTGACCATGAAGGATGGTCAGCAGAAGCACGCTGCCTCCATACGATATCCCTTCTGGTTTGGAGGCAGCGCAAGTAGCATGGCCGCATGCGTAACCCATCCATTGGACCTGGTCAAGGTGTGCTCGCACTGTCAACCCTTTCCACCTTCTTAGCATCCCCAGATCGTCCTGCGTTGTCCTGAGAGAGGTCCTGACGTGTTCAATCCCAGGTCCGACTACAGATGCGCACCGGCAGTATGCCATCAAGTATGCTGGGAACCTTCCAATACATCGTCCGGAATAACGGGTTCCTAGGCCTCTACGCCGGTCTGTCTGCCTCCCTCCTCCGGCAGATCACATATAGTACCACGCGCTTTGGGATATACGAGGAGCTCAAGACCCGACTGACCAAGAAGAACAACGGCAAACAGCCCTCGTTCCCCGTCCTTGTCGCCTTGTCGTGTACGTCTGGATTTATTGGTGGCATAGCAGGTAATGCAGCAGATATCACCAATGTCAGGATGCAACATGATGCCGCCCTGCCGCCCGAGAAGAGGAGGAATTACAAGCATGCACTGGACGGCATGCTGAGGATGGCGAGGGAAGAGGGCTTACTGTCATGGTTTAGAGGCGTGCTGCCCAACTCGTTAAGAGCCGCCGCCATGACGGCCAGCCAGCTGGCAAGCTACGACACGTTCAAGAAACTGCTGATAGGGCATACGCCCATGACGGACAATCTCGCGACACACTTCACGGCCTCGTTCCTGGCTGGGGTCACGGCCGCGACGGTGACTTCTCCCATCGACGTTGTGAAGACGAGGGTCATGTCTGCAAGCGGGAAGAGTATAAACATTGCTGCCCTGCTGAAGGACCTTTTTGCAAGTGAAGGCCCGGCGTGGATGTTCAAGGGCTGGGTTCCCAGTTTCCTGCGACTCGGGCCGCAGACGATTTGTACATTCATCTTTCTAGAGATGCACCGCAAGGCATACAGAAAAATTGAGGATCTGGCTGAACCTCAGTAGGAGCGCGAGATATCGTTACCAGGCGGACAGCACACTACATACGTGGCGTACATCGAGATGGGCATATGACCTCTGCATAAATTTGTATCTGCCAGCATCAGGGGCGGCGTTCACCTTAGAGAAGGGCGAAGGGGTTCAGGTACCATTGCATCGATAGTCTGCACAATAAGAAATTTTTTTTTTTTTTGGCTTCCCCATCTTACAGCAGTGCAGATCACCTGCCAGTCAACCTGAAAAATACCACCCAGTCCACGTCTTAGGTAGGAAGAGGCTCATATTAGATGCGAGTTGATAGGGATTCGCGTGGAGGCACGTCGAGATGTGGTCCAGGCGCCGGATTGAGGCGTTGATGATGCCAAGAGTCCCCTACTTATGGAGCCCTCGATCCAGTTTGTTCGAGAGCTCAGAGTTGCGCGATCAATAGAGAATTTCGAAACATGTGAGTACAAGTTTGAGCCACGTTTGGTCTGATCTCCGTATCCCGGGACTTCTCTTCTCTTGATACTCGAACAGCTTGCTCCGGGACCTCGGCAGCATAGCTTGAAGCGCAGGAAGCTGCTCAACGGATCAGGACAACGACGACGACAGGTTATCGTGGCAGAGCCTGAGCGGAAAAAGAATGCTCGCCTCGTCGGAAACAACAACAAAAATCAGATGAAAGCCATAGTCCAAGGCCTCGCACTGCAGATGCCTGGCGGGCCACCCAGCAACAACTCAGCCGTTTCAATCTCAGGTGTGGTGAGAAGGCTGAGCTGTCTTGAGTGGCCGGGTACGAATGGCTGCCGAGTCTCTCATCTGTGGCTCGTTTCGTGGAGTGGGTCGGTGCTTCATAACATTGTAAGTACGCGAGCCATGGGGGAAAGAAAGGCCGCGACGCCTTATCGGCACTGCCCTTGGATCGTCATGGCATGCTTGGGCAACGTAAAGGGAGGCCGCATTCTTGGTAAATTAACGAGTACGCGGTGCTGTGCAATATGCAGTAGTTATGAAAAACCTGGGATCGTGTACGCTGCTCCAGGCCAGACGACACAGCCACCTCGTCTAGATCAATCCAGACTTTGGGTCATTTTGGCCACACTCGCTTGGAGTCGAACTAGGAGGCCTTCTCGCTCCGCTCCTTACCCGAGCAAAACCCTTTCTCCCTCTCCCGGACATATTCTGCGGAGGAGGAGCACTATGAGGAGTATGCAGGTCGGCGGTGCGCGACCGGATACAGTGATCACTATCGACGGCTCCTTGCGCTGCCTGAATCGTCTCGAAATTACCAGCGTGGCTGATTGTGTGCAAGCCGTGGTATTATCCGGTGGTGGCAACGGAAGGCGACACGTACCACTGGACTGGCTTTGCTTCTTAGGTGCTCAGCCCCTGTTCAAGCCTGCTGAGCGTGCCAGTGCTTGCACTGTGGAAGTAGAGGTCCCGTATAGCGAATTCCGCGTGCTCTGTGCTACTGCTGTTAGTGGCCTCTAGTCAGTGGGTCATGGGGTCGCGCGGTGGCTGCGGGGCGCTTGACAGGTCCACCGGGGGGGGGGGGGTTCACTCTAGTCGCCAGCAGGCGCGCGTACTTGTCTTGTGTTCTCAGATGAAACAGCTGACGAGCATGATTTTGGCCCAGCAAGCATCACCGCCCTCCTCGTGCCATCTCCACCGCCTGTATGTCCTTGTCAGTGATGCTGATTGACGGCAGGTGAGGATGCAGCTCAAAACGTGACGATCACTATGCACAGATTCGCTCAGGGCCGAGCGGCCTCTTTTGTTGAAAGGCTGAGCCTTTGCCAAGCATGAAGTGAGGGAGGGACTCTGATGGGGGAAGATACCCTGCCGGTCCCCCTGCAGCACGTCCTACCCAGCCACTGCCAGCCAGGCGATTACTTACTTACTACAGTGGCTACAGCACCATAGGCCTACTATTCGCTGCTATTTGCCTCCTCCTTCTAGTCCTGACACGGGCCAAGTCCTCACTACGGTCCACCTCACTTGGCGCCGTTACGCAGCACTTATCCCGGTCCCGGCAGCGGTCGAGGCAAATCATCCATCTTCAGGCACAGCCACAATTCCAAACCATCCGAGTGCATCCCTACTATCCACGCCAACCACCGCCGCTCAACACGAACGGCAAATCCGACTTGCAAACCATATAACAACCATCATCCGTTCTCCTACTCGGCAACTGTCACGTTTTATCGTCCATCCACCAAATTCTCTCGCACATCCTCGCCCAAACAAATACAAAGACAGAAACCACAAGAGAAGACGAATCGATTGCCTGTCTTTCACGGCAACAACCTTCGCGTGTTCGCCCTCAGCTCCATACAAAAATGGCTGCGACATTTCCAGATGCGAGGCCGCAGCCGCCGTCGCGCGCTTCCAGCAAGTCCTCCAGGGCATCCCTCAGCCTCGACTTGTCCAACATACCGCCATTGCAACAGCCCACCCCTCCTTCCAACACCCTCCTCATCACAAACCTGCAAGATCTCTCTGTCTTCCGTCCCGACAACCTGCAGACCATTCGGGACCTCATCTCCAAGACCGCCTCGATTCACACTTGGGCACCCTTGAAGTCCTTCCGTCGTATCCTGGTATCTTTTTACTCCGAGTCCGACGCCATAGCCGTGCGCTCTATCTGGGATGGTGAGGCCATCATGGGTGAGCGCTGCCGTGTCTACTTCGGCCAGCCCACGCCCGTCAGTACCTCGCCCAAGGATACGCACCTGTCACTGCCCGATGCCGGCAAGCTGTTCTTCATCTCACCTCCACCTTCGCCTCCCCACGACTGGGAGCAGCGCCTCGAGGGGGCCCCGAACAAGGAGGTCCATGCCGAAGACCTGGCCGAGGCTCTGGCAAAGTTACGTCACAGCGCGGCGCCCAACAGCATGGACGTGGCGGAATCACCTATCAGTCCCGTCGAGGGGAAGAGTCCTGGTGGCTTCAGCTCGAGGACGACGAGAAGCCGGAGCTCGACCCTGATTTTCCATCCCGAGGAACATGGCGGCTCGCCAAACCTGCCCTGCGTCATGGTCGATGACATGACCGAGGCCGCTGAGGAGGTCGTGAGTCCTATGGACGTCGAGCCTCGCCCTATCATGGCGCACACATCCCGCCCGCCTGTGGAGCTTATGATGGATGGTGCCTGAGCCAACACAGGAACATACAGATTCTTGTTTTTTCCCTTTTCTTTTCTTGTTTTTCTAGGTGGTTGTTTTGCGAGGGCGTTAAGGTTACACGAGCAAATGCATCGCGGTCACAAGATTATATTTCTAGCATCTGGCCACTGACAATACTGGCTCACAGCCTGTGTGATGGCTTTGGTAAGCAACGGTACGAGTTTTATGGGAGTATAAACATGGGCGTTGCTCACAGAGGGTGTGAGCATGCAGCGGGAAAGGGCCGCTGCTGTACAATAGCTTGATGCAGCACAAAATTGTCTATAGCAAGCCGCAAATGTTCAAATTTGAGATGAAGAAACGCAGCAGCAAGAATCTTATCTGCATGCGCACACACAAATCGCCGGCCCTGCCTATTCCAACATCATCACTACAAAGTGTCAAAACCTAGCAGCGTATCGAGCTCCTAGCCACACTACCAGTCCCGCCAGAAGAGCCATAAGCACCAACGCCGACAAATTGGTGTGCTCAGAGGAGTTGATTCGCTTGCCTGGCCCCAGATCCTCAGACCCGCCCGGCGAGGTGGTCAGATCTAATTGCGGCACGAACTTGAAATCAAAGATGTTCTCCTGACCCAGTCCTACTGTCTTGTCTTGGACCGTCATCCTGTAGAACAATTTGCGTACGCGCTACAGTGCGTTTGTGTGTGAGGATCCCGCCATCAGCTTGATTTTCAATTCCGGCCCCGAGGCAATTATCGCCTAGGGATAGGATTGGAATGACACAACAGATATCACTTTTTTTTGGGTTGGGGGCGGGGGAGAAGTCTATTGTAGGCAGGGAGGACAGTGGTGCCTGACTTGTAGAATGACAAAAATAAACGGCTCGCGGCCTCGTACAACAGGACCAACGAACCATCTGCGCAAAACGTACCTCGATCCTCTGTCTGTCCCAGGACGGAACTGTCCTGTACAGGTAACAGGTGCACATGAAATATAAACACTGGGCCGCCACCAAGGCCTTGTGCCATTGTCTCGGCTCCGGGATTCCCAAGGCAAGCGACAGCTCGGTCCCATTCAACCAGTGTGCCTCGGCGCATAAGAAATCCCGACTGGCGTAAGTCGGCGGCTGACAGCTCAGCCCGGTAAGGACATTGTTGGCGAGTACCCTGGAGGTTTCGCTTGGCACTAACTCCGCCACGATCAGGTTTTCAAGCATGACCTTGGACTGCTGCCAGTCGGCCAGCCACGGGTCTGTCGGCGTCCCGAGAAGATACCCTACCCACCGCCACAGGGCGTGATAGTCGACGATCTCTTGTTCACGCAGGTAGATGCCCTGTCTGGGCAGCCCCAGCCAGATCAGCGCCGCTGAGAAGCTGAGTACGGTGCCGATACAGTCCAGGTCGTTGAGAGGTACGCCCCATTCCGCGACATCGAAGTAGCCGGGCTTCTTCCTGGCCAGGGACATGATCCTCCGCCTTACACTTGCATGGAGCAGGCGGACCCTAATTGAGCTCACGAAGCCGTCACCACCGGGTCGGACGCTGTCCAGGTCCTTGGTAACCTGGAGGATATGCTGGAAGGTTTCGAGAAGACGGTGCTTGGCCACCTTGACTCCAAAGCCCCCGGTGCGCGCAAGGGTCTCGACAACACGCCAACCAGCCATGCCGCCGACAAGGGACTGGAATGTGAGAGATACAACGGAGGGCCCGCCGTACCGGTACAAGACATCCTGCCCGCGCCTGATCTGTTCCCAGTCGACCCAGGGCGGCACGGTGTGGACTTGTGTCCACAGTTCCTCGAGCTTGGCGTCAGAGGCGTGGTGCTGCTCGAGGAGGGTGTATAGATCACGACGTGGATGTGCCACCCTGCTGCTATCGTTCGGTGGAACACCCAAGCTGCCCTCTTTCATGCCTCGGAAGGGAAACTTGGTCGATAGCAGGCTGCGTTCGTCCAGCCGATCCAAGCAGTCTGATGCCAGGACATCATAGGTGAACGTCAGAGGTCGCATCTGGTCTTTTGTTTGGTGCTCTGTCGTCCACTCGAACGTGTGGCCCCAAACTGTCCGCATATGACACGGCCTGTCCTTCAAGAAAAACATGATGACGATGACTTCTTTCTTCTTTATTTCCTGAGGAAAGGGTGAGCATGTAGAGCACGAGGCCGCGCAGATTGTATGACATCAAAACTCTTAGCGGCAGACTGGGCCACGAGGTCGAGCACAACGAAGAGAAAAAGAGACGAAGAAAATCAAATAACCGCAAAAATAGATGGGAAGAGGGGTTTGGGTGAGGTGTATAAGTGAGGTGGCAAGACGATATACGAAGGTGAAGGCAATTCTAGGAGCCCTACTTCACTCCAAGTCACGTAATTGACCCTAACTCTCCAAACGTTTTCGATGCATCCGTCTTGCAGCAGTGTATGGCCGAACTCTACACCCCCCCCCCCCAATATGCTTGGCTTGAGAGACGGGCTATGGTAGCCCACTGACTAGAGTGGCAACGAACCAACCCCCCCTCCTCACACCCAGGCCCTCGAAGCGTTGCATCATACATGCAGACGGAGATGAAGAAATACAATCAAGAGCAAAAGGATGCCCATTCCGATGGGAACATGGCATCCAGGTTGATTCTTCATATACCAGGAATGCAAGGAGAGAAAATGTCAGTTCAGTGCGTGTGAATGAATGCAGGCAGTTTGCGAGCTGGTGTTGGGTGTAGACGGTCGCAGGTGAAGTGCGAACTACTGAAGCATAACGCATAGGTATTGCTTGTTACTCAGCAACGTACTGTACTAGAACTACATGCTACAATAACTTCGTCACTGCACTGCAGTAATGGGGTGGCGCTGCGGCTCCATGAAAGCTGTGCGCCGCCGCAGCGCCCCCTGTTCATTTTAGTATGTGCTGGCATGGTACTAATTGGGGTGGCGGGCCGCGGGCCGGGGGGTCGCGCTTTAGCCTGGGAATTTTTTTCCTGATACAATCCGAGCAGCCTCAGCAAATACAACCACAACACCGGCCAGACCTTCCAGCGACTCGATGCGCACGACAATGGCAACAGCTTGCTCCTGTCGCTCCCATACATTATGGGTATTTGTACAAATTGTTGCCCAAATCCATATTCCAAATGAGAGGCTTGCGAGACTACCACGGCAGGCGGCCCGTGGCGTGGCCTTAACTCGCACCACCACCACGAGGAGTCTAACTGCTGGGTTGCCGTCTGGGGTCAGGACATTGCGCACGGCCTCAGGGCCTGACAATACGACATCTGATGCAGTTGATGACTCTGTCTCAGCGGATGTACCGTCAGAGGCTCGCCATGAGGAACAGAAATTGGACCCCTACATAAGTCCAGATGAGGATACACTGTTCAAAATCGACACCCCCTCCAAGGCCACAAGGAAGCCGAGGGTCAGATATGCGAAGCTCGTTCGGCCTTCAAGCGCGACTGCTGGCCCAGCCACATCCACCACAGAGATGCAACCACGATCGCCCGACAGCACGCGAAGTTCTCCCGTCCAAGACCCATTAATCCAAGATCCTGTCTTCTCCCTCGACGAGGAGGCACGGTTGGTAGAGGATCGAAAGGAGAAGCAACGGCTCGACACGAAGAGGGAAAGGGAGCAATCTAGGATGGACAGATACAATGAGAGGCAGCAGGAGAAGGCAGAACGCGAAAAACAACGACTCCAGGACAGGCCGCTCTGGGCCATACAGAAGGACGCTCTCAAGAAAAAGTTCCCAGAAGGCTGGGCGCCGCGCAAGAAGCTGTCCCCAGATGCGCTCAGTGGTATCCGAGCTCTGCACCAGCAGTTCCCAGACATGTACACGACGGAAACGTTGGCGAATAAATTTGAGGTCTCTCCCGAGGCCATCCGCCGGATCCTGAGAGCCAAATGGGAGCCCAGTGCGGAGGAGGAGGAGGACCGCCAGCGCCGATGGTACAACCGCGGCGTGGCCGTCTGGGACAGATACGCGGCGCTCGGCAAGAAGCCACCCAAGAAGTGGCGCGATGCAGGCATTGCCCTCAGGCCCTGGGGTGGCCTGAAGTCCTGGGATCGTGAACCTCGCACGTCGGACAGAGACTACTCAGGAGAGGATACGGTGTATGATGGCGAGGAGGCCGAGGTCGACTTGGAGAAACAACGACGGTTGAAGGCGCAACGCAGGCTGGCCAAGAATCTGATGTGAATGCCGTAGCATTGCGCGAAACACATCGTCTGCAAGTTATTAGGTGTTTGGGAAAGATTCACCCCCTTCTAATACAGCGGCCCCTCGTCGCTTCTCGTCAGTTTCCTGCTGTAGTCGCCTGAGGATCCTGACATGATAAACCGACGTTGTTGTGATGGATTATGTTTTCTGGGCTCGATAATGCCAAAATCATCATCCTAGATAGATCGAGTTACTTGTTCTCCACCTTATCATATCTTCATGTCACCTCCATTCCCCAGACATTTTGGGCTGCGAGACAATCCGGAGAGTGCCAAAATGGCTACCTTGTTTTTATTTGGTTTTCCCAGTCTAAGACGATGGGGCTAATGACCACGGACCAGGGGCTGAGCCTACTAAAGAAATAAATCCCTGCCGCAGTGAATGGTTTGATTAAGTGATTGCCCTCCGTGTTCGTGATTTGATATTGAGTCCAAAAAAAAATGACTGGCACGGACGTTTTTTCTCCCTTTCATGAAGTGATGCTGAGATTTGATCAGACTCGACCACGAAGGGAGGTGTGAAGATCATTCTCTACCATTCTTTAATAACGCCACTCTCATCTGGGACCCCCTCCTCTCTTTGTGTCATGGTCTGCAGTGCCAGCAGCAACCAAGTGTGTCACCCAGTGACTTGTTCGCCTCCATCTGCAGAGCCTAGGTTCGTCCTCCCTGCTGCAGCAGTGGAGTCAAGCATGCAGAAAGAGCCCTTGTGAACCTTTTGAGCCCGTTTCATGAAGTTTCCTTCCTGCTGGTGATAAGTATGCCGTGGGAGTCGTTCTTACCCTCTTGACTGACCTGTTGAGAATTGTATGAATGACCCCTTCCCAGATTGTGGCCCCCTTTCGGAGAAGATTCGGCTGACTGGCCGCAGTAGAAGCTCTCCTCCCGGCCTTCCTCAACCGTTGGTCCGGGGCTGGTGCCTTCCTGCTCAGGCATCTTGGTCCCTTTTCCTTTCTCTCCTCCACCTCGTCGTTGGCAGCCTCCTAAAGCTTCAGGATGTTCCTACCGCCATAGCTTGAGGTCCCGTTGTCAAGGCATCCAAAGAGAGGCAGCCCCCACCCCGGCTCTTCCCACCCACCCCCAAAGAACCCGGACTGTCGGCGGTATAAAGAATATACAAGAGGCTCACTCAGGATGGCGTCTACTCCCTCGAGACGCCTGAAGCCAATGCCGTCCACTCCTCAGCTGTTCCCTGCCCCGTCAAAGTCTCCAAGTCGAAATCGCCCCCATCAGTCATGTCTGGTCCTGAAGCGCATCATTGGAAACACCTGTCCCTCGCCTACTGCCTTTGATTCGTCTGGCAGCAGCTTTGCCTATGTTGCTGGAGGAGCTGTCGTCGTCATTGACGTCCAAGGCAGCGGACAGCCTTCCCAGGCATTCTACCGCGCTCGTCCTACAGCCGTCCCTGTCTTTGCAACCGCACCTATCCCACAAGCGTCACCCAGCCTCAACACTACGCCAAAGGGGAGTGGCGCGAGAAAACGCCCTCCGAGGTCGACTCGAGACTCGCCGTCTGGTCTTGGTCTCGGTCTCGGTCTCGGTCCTAGTCTGCCTGACCCCAGCACTTCTAGCTCGTCAGGGACTTGGACGAGCCGTGAGCGGATCAAAGCCGCGACCTGTGTGTCCCTGAGCAAAGACGCGAGGTTCCTGGCCGTTGGAGAGACCGGCTACGCGCCCAGGGTTTTGGTCTTCGGCCTGAAGAATAGCTCCTCGTCCTCGTCCTCCTCCTCTTTGCAAAGGCCCCTTGTGTCCATCAGCGAACATGCTTTTGGTGTCAGGGCAGTTGCGTGGTCTCAAGACGGCAAGTGGCTCGCGTCTCTCGGAACAACCCACGACGGATTTCTCTTTGTGTGGAAGATTGACCCTCGAACGGGCTCGGCAAGCCTCTTCCAGCAGAATCGATGTACTTCGTATGTCGCAGGCATGATTTGGCTCGGCAGTAACCTTATCACATTTGGACTTCGGCATATGGTATGTTGTTCTGTATTGGTTTTCCCCAGCTTTGAGCGGCCCCTTGACTAACCGTTCGTGGTTGGCAGAAAGTGTGGAAAGTGGTCGATGGGACACAGCGGCCTCCATCACCATCCAAAAAATATGCTGGCCCAGATCCCAACCGTCAGAACCCTTCCAAAACACTCCCGGGGAGGAATGTCCTTCTCGGATCTCTACTAGAAGCTAGCTTCACATGTGCTGTTGCTATAGAAGAGGACAAGGCGCTGATGTTCTCGGACGGTGGAAATGTCTGCCTCCTCGACGGCGCAGCCGGTCAGATGAAACTCGCCCAAGTCACCAGCATCGATTTCCACGTCACATCTTGCGCCCTACGCGCTAGTGTAGAGCGGCCATTTGTGTTGGCTGGAGGCAATGATGGCCAGCTAGTGAGCATCGATGTTGGCGACGTGTTGAGTGGCACGGATACTTGTACGACCAGAAATCACTGCGGCCCAGTCGTGCTTGCTATGGCTTTCGCCCAAGACAAACTCGTGACAGTAGACAGGGATCGACATATCGATATCTGGGATGCGGACACCCTGCCGGAAGTTACTCTCGAGGCGTCTGCCCGCGTTCGGCTGCCTGGACAAAATGACCCCGTGCTTGGCATTCAATCGCTGGAGAGGGCGGATGAAACCAGCCCTGTTTTCTTCACATGGTCTGGATCAGGCAGGGTACTCCTGTGGGATCTGGACGGTAGCGTCCAGGAGAGTCTAGACATGTGCGTGGATCAAGTCTATACTGGCGAGGACATGGAACTCCAGAATCAGATGTGCGTGGTGGGGGCTGATGAACAGGGCCACGTCTTTGCCGCGGGGGACCGGGTTGGCGTCCTACAAATAGTAGATCGTGCCGATGGCCATTTGCTTCTAAAAGCGAAGGCGCACATGTCTGAGATCACCCATATCGCCGTCCGCCACGACGCGTCAAAATCCTTGGTCGCAACCAGCGGGCGCGACCGGACCGTTCAGCTCTTTCATCGAATCTCTGACGGCTCATTCAACCTCTTGCAAACCCTCGCATTTCCGGCAAGAGTCACTCATATGATCTTGTCACCAGATGATAAGATCATCACCGCTTCAATGGATCGTGCTATACAGACCCACGAGCTCGTCACCAAAACGGGAGAGCCAGGCACGCTTGCGGCTGTCCAGTGCAGGTCGATCACCCTCAAGGCATCGCCAACGTCTATGGCCCTGGACAACGAAAACCAATCACTTCTTGTATCCAGCCTAGACAAATGCGTCTATCACCTGAAAATAGGCAGTGGCCGGCCGCTCAAAGCGTTCAGATGCGCAGACGAGACTACAGATACCGTGGTGCTCGACTCCCTTGTTCTTGAGTCGCTTCAGAATAAAGAACGACCCCTGCTCATTGGTCTGTCGAACACTGACAAGTCGGTGCGAATCTACGATTGCAAGACAGGCGCCTTGTTGGATCGCGAATGGGGACACACTGAATCCATCAGCGGTGTTGCTGTAGTGCATGATGGGGACTCGACGCCCAAAGTAGTCAGCGTCGGATGTGATGGAACAATCATGGTCTTCGACTTAGATTTACAAGACCTCTCCCCTGTCGCGACAAGTAGATCACCATCACCCGCGCAGGACGGTCTTTTGGGCACTAATCATCCGCCTCTGAGACGAGTTCTCTCCAAGGCCGAACTTGCAGGCTTTTCACGGCTTTCATCTTCACTTGGTGACGGACGCCGTTCTCCGTCAAGAAATTTGCGCAGCAAAAAGTCCAAGACTGACTTCTCGTCATCTACGTTAGTGGAAACGCCGCCACCACCTTGCAGAGATCCTTGCAAAACCAAGACGGATCAGACGTCCTCTCGCAGAACTACACCCAGCCGATACGGCAACTCCGGGGTGAACAGAGGCCCTAACTCTGCTACGTTGACTCGGAGACCATCACTGCCAGCGATAGGTTCTTTTGATACGCAGCAGGCAGCTCGGAAGAAATCCAGCAATATCAGTCTTCGCTCATTGTGTGGACCCGGTTCCCTCGGGATAGCATCCGAGCAGGTCTGCCGGCAGCTGCGAGCCTACCGCAAGGAGCTCTCGTCACTGGAATCAGTAACGTCCGATATGCTTGCCCAGGTAGAGGTCGAGCTGCAACTGACCAGCATCGCCATAAGCGAGCGGGCGACTCGTCATGCGCAGCAATCCATGGAGCTCAACAAAGAGAGAGATTATACCAACGACGACGGCAGTCTCGCAGCCAGAGATGTTCCTAACCTGTTAGGACCTGGTAAAAACAGAAACCCGGAACGGCCCCGTACTGCGTGTTGACATGACAACGTCTGCATTTAGCTACCATGTTCAGTGTTTCTACCCTAATACAACATGCCCGTGCGCCACGACAACCTCTTGCCAAGTCTGAGGCCTCAGATTCGTTTGGTCTCACTGAGGAGTGCTGGCCAATGATCTACTACGTTCATCACTTGGAGTATCTCGCACCTGCAGCTCAATTTCAGCAAAGTAAACTGAGGCAGACGATAAGATCGACCTCTGGGGTTATTGGAGACGGGGCGTAGTCTGCTCGGCCTAACAGCTTAGGGACTTCCATCGTGCCCAGGCGTATATACAAGGCGGGGTTAGTCATGTGCGAGGGACAGCCACTGTCGAATAGAATCATCAATTTACAGCTACCTATTTCCAAACCATTTGAGGATACTGTCAGATAGGACTGAAGAGATGCAATTGCGGCAGAGACTGCAGAGGAACACAGCCTCGTGTATTTTATGACTTGCTCGACTCTTTTACTACTAGTAATAGGAGAAAGCCAAGTCATTGGCTCGAGAGGCGAAAACGCTTCGAGAATTTGTACATCTGGCACATGCGTCTATCTCCAAGGTGCTGTCAAGGTTACAGCTGATGACGGCCTAAGTGATCGGTTTGCCACTTCACTATACTACAAGCCCCTCTTCGAGTGCTTCATCCCTCTCTAGTCTTTCCAGGCCCTTGCACACGGCACCATACACCCTCAACGGCACAGCAACCTCGAAGCTCTCACACACGAGATTTTCTGCTGCCACAAGGACAAGACCGCCTCGGTCATCACGAGCTATCTCCTCCAAAAGAGGATGTGAAGCTGTTTGTTGCTTGGGTTCTGGGATAAGGAGCCTCTCCTGGCCCGAGCCATCATCGTTGTATTCGTCATCCTCTGGCTGCTCTTCTATAGTGCGTGCCTCGGCATCCTGAGAGGGTACCACGAATTCCAGCCTGATCTTCCATTCTAAGCTGATGCCGCTTGTGACAAATTCTGGGGTCGCCGTGACAGGAATGGTAGGGCTAAATATCATGCGCCGTGAGAAAAGAGTAGCTTCGGAGGAGGAGACGTGCACCTTGCGCGATGCGCGATGGATACTTGCTTCAGATCGCATAGCCAGGCTGGGATCAACCCTCTCGGAAGTTTCGAGAGCCGCGTGCACTGCGTAGCATGGTATCTCTGCTCCAGTAAAGTCGACAGCCATGGTCACAACTTCACCGAGGCGGTATGCCGGCCGTGCTAACATCACCACGCCAACGCGCCGGCCGTTCCGGGCGATCTCAAAGCGGTTCGCGCTTTGTTGGCCCTCCGTCGTGAGATTGCTTCTTATGATTGCCAAGTCAATGGCCTCCTTGGCTGTGGTTGCCTCTTCGAAAGCTGATAGTCTTCTGGAGCTTGTTGTAGCAGTCGGCGATAGTAGTCCTGCTCCTGGTCCTAGACGGGAGCTGTGAACTAGTTCGTCTGCGTATGAGAGGAAATCGTTCATCGACGACCTAGTCTCTGTGCCCTTGCCGTTCTTGTCCGCCGCCTTGGCATCACTTGACCTTCTGTTCGCGTACAGGCTGCCTCTCTTTTCTATGCTTCGTATGCTTGCTTGATCTCGCAGCATGATGTACGGAGACTTCAAGTCGTGGCCGAGTATCTCGCCATGGCTGTTGACGCTGCCAAGCACCCTGAATGGGATCTCAACCGATTTGACCTGCTGCTCCTTTGCGCCTCCAGGACGTTGCGTTCCAACAATCAGGCTGTAGGATATCTTCATGGCCTTCCCCCGGTGTGTGGGCGGTAGACCCTTGGGCAGCCTAAAGGTGTATTCGAAGGCCTTGCTTTCCCCTGGTGCCAGGGTGAGATCCACAAAGAGGACAGATTGCGGTGTGGACAGCAAAGGCACCGACTTGGAACTTGCGACTCCTCGCATCTCCTTGATAGTACTCAGCTCCCCAGCTCCCAGTAGCTCCCCGATGGAATTGGTGAAGCTGCCCCAGCCGAAGCCTCGCATAAAACCGCTTTCCCTCTTGGAGGTTTCTATGCCGACAACGCCGCCGCCTTGGCCACCGACAACAGCCTTCCGTTTCACTTCTTCAAACGGTGCAAGGCTCACAAGTGAGCCGTCCAACGTGAAGGAACCCTGTACTTGTGCAAACCCCATCATGAGCGCTTCAGGGCGCTTCGCCTTCTGTGGTGAAAAAGTGGACCTCTGTCGTAGATGGGACGGCCGACCATGTGTCCTCATAGGCGGATGCATGGCATATTCAGAGACGAGAGTCTCGGTAGAGTTGTTGCTCATAGAATAGAATTCCCCGCTGCTCCTCGGGGTTCCAGCCACACTGGTGGTGGATAGAACCCTGGCAACAGGGGTGGTGATCTGCTCATTGATGATTGGTATGGGATCTTTCGATCGCATTGGTATGATGGCAGGCTCGCCAAGCGAGGTGGACGACGGTTTCGCACCGTCTTGGACGAGGGTTTTGGACGAGGCACCGGCCCCGTCGGCGAGCGGGGAAGGAGCCATTGGGAACTTGAACTCGGATAATGCAGCAGCCGGGGTTCTCGGAGAGGAAGGACCGTCGATGTTCGGGGTAGTAGGGGCTGTTGAGACGCCCGGGGGCCGGTGCAAGGGAGACGCCTTGTCCGGCGGGTAAGACGCATTGTATAATGGCGAGGAAGGTGAGTGGAAAGGTCGCTGCGGATGCGTGGCTGCGGAAGGTTAGCACCAGGCAAAGAGACTGCAGCCACGGGAAAGGCTATGACGAACCAGATCTTGGGCCTGACATGGTCGGGCTGCGGGACGCTATCTGCAAGCTCGCGGAGCGACCATGGCCACGGCCTGGGCGGGAGACGGTCGACCCAGCATTGCTCGTACCATGGCTGTCAACCGAGCTGACCGAGCCGATGGACACGATGGATACAGATCGCCTGTGGGCGTTCCCGTTGCGCTGTGAAAAGTCTGGAGGGTGCGAGGGAGGGACCCAGGGGATGGACCCAGCGCGACCTTTGGCGGTGTTTGAGGGCGAGATGGTCAGGGAAGAAGTTGGGCGATGACCTCGGCGGGAGGCGGGAGTGGATGTAGGCGTGGAAGGAGGGGGGGCGAGGCGGCTCGAAGGGTGGGAGCTGGTCGTGCGATACTGGTTGGGAGGAGGCTTCAATTGTGACTGAGTCGAGCTGCTTGTGTTGGGGCCAGCTGACGCGATATTCTTGAAGCAGATGGTGCACTGTACTGCCTCACCACTGAATATGGTTGAGTCGTCATCCCAGCGAACAAAGACTCGGATGTTGCTAGAATCTGGTGACATATTGTCTCCCCTTGCACTGGAGCTCCTTCAGAACGAAGGAGTGGTCGTGGAAGGATCATCAATATGGGTTAGCATTGCTGTCTCGTTATGATGACAATCAAGATGGAGTTGGTTTGAGATGGCAGGATAGGATAGGTATGGTGCAGAGTGCACGAGGTAGTCTAGAGCCTTGGGGTGGTTGTTGCATGCAGCTGGGAAGGGCTTGTTACATAATTCTCTTGTAGTGGAATCCTTGCTGTCTCTCTGAGAAAGCACCACAGAAAGCACACCATTTTTTCAACTGCAACGAGATCAGCTATATAGCTCTAGAGAATTAATTCTCATAATTTTTTCGTTACAATAGTATACTATCTTATATAATATGAGAAATAATAAAAAGTTATAAAAAATTACTCTATAATATATTATAAATATTAAAAAAAATTACAAACTTTATAATTATTTATTTATTTAAATATAATAATACACTACAATATTCGAAGATTCTAAAGTATACAAAGAGTTTATACTAACAAGAGCGGTGTTAAAATATTAATTTATAATAATACATTGCAGTATTCGAAAATTCTAAAGTATATAAAAAGATTTATGCTAATAAAAACAGTATTATTATAATTCATTCAATATACAGATTATAAAACAAGCTCTTATTAATAAGAAACTAAGTGTTACAACTTAATATCGAACAACAAGCAGGATTACATAACTCAGAGTTAGAATTATAAAGAAAATAAAATCGATAGAATTGCTACATTGTAATGAGCACTGCAGTAATCCGAAGATTCCAAAGTATACAAAGAGTTTATGTTAACAAGAGCGGTGCTAAGTATAGGCCTTAAATACGGAAATACAACTGAGATAACTATGCAAGTATTTACTGCCTTTGGAGCTATCAGAGTAAGAGAGTAATCTGATACTTAGATTGATAACTGAAGAGCTATATATTGAATCTATCTAATGGTAATGAATATGTTTTTATATATTTAGCTTTTCAGTGTAGCTCATCTTAGCTTATTACTAATTCAGATAATCCGAGCTTACTAGATCATTTAATGATTCAGTGATCTATCTCTATTATAATCCTAATCCTGGATTATATAATCAATGCTTAGTTAGAATGTTGGATTCTTAATATCTGGTTCTTGTTACTTGTAATCTGTTCATAACCTGCATGTTGAATGAGTCATAACATACAGATTCAAGCAAGCTTTATATTATGAATTACTAAGCTTGCTAGCAATTTATCGAAGCTATATTAAAAAGCTAAATATATAAGAATACATTCGTTATCATTAGATAAATTATTAAAATATAGTTTTTTAATTATTAATCTAAGTGTTATAACTCATCTAACATGCAGGTTACAGGATAAGCTCTGCTAACAAAGAAACCAGATATCACAACTCAATGCTGAATACCAGGCAGGATTACATAACTCAGGGTTAGGGTTGTAAAGGAGGAAGGATTGCTAGACTTGCTAGCAATCCCAACGAGCCTCACACCTTGAATCGCTAAACTCGCTAGCAATCCCAGCAAGCCTTATACCTTGAATCGCTAAACTTGCTAGCAATTCCAGCAATTCATACTAAAGAGCTGAATATATAACTATATGCTTATTATTATTAAATAGATCAAATATATAACTCTTCAGTTATTAATCTAAATATTAAATTACTCTTCTATTCTAATAGCTTCAAAAATAGTAAATACTTGTATAATTATTGCAGTTATATTTCTGTATTTAAAGCTTATACTTAGTACTGCTCTTATTAGCATAAACTCCTTATATACTTTGAAATCTTCGGATTACTGCAATGCTTATTACATTTTAACAACTCTTATTCAAGAATAGTTCAGTATTACTTTCTTGAGTAATATGGAATATAATAGCTTCTTAGAGATTCTTTTCGTTCTTATATGCTTCTACTTAGAAAGAATTGATTAATTAGATATATTAGCTTATTCAGTATATTTAGAATCTGTATAATTAATAGCAAGCTTAAAGCATTATTATTACTAACTAGCAAGCTTAGCTAGCTTAATAAGCTTAGCAGATGCAATTTATTTCTATAATTATTAGTAATATTAAGAAAGTATATAAGATAAATAAGCTTGCTATATATAATAGCAATCAAAAGATATTATATGAATTTCTTACTTACTGCAGAGCATACTTTTTGTATTATGCAATTTAGTTTACTAAGAAATCTAAGAAAACTATTCTTATAAGAATTCGTTTTGAAAAGAATACTCTTATCTAATATAAATCTTTTCTATATAACTATTTAAAGTATTAGAATAATTCCAATATATATATTCAGAATATTAAGAATATATTTAATTTCTTTACAAGCTTTAAGAAAGCTTTTAAGAAAATTTTTAGTAATTCTAATAAAGAATATATTATAGCTTAGCAACTTATAAATCTTAAGCAAACTAAATCAGCTTCTGCTTATATAATTAGATTTAAGCAATTCTTAGTAAGATTTTTATAAGAGAATAAGAATCTTATGAAATATTATTATAAGGGATTTAAGAATAATATTAAAAATAAAATCTTTAAGCAGAATTAGCTAGAAAACTTTGTAATATTTTTTAATTAAGCAATCTGTATTAATAATCAACTATATAAATAATAAGTAAAGAAATCTAAGAAGAAAGAAAGCTAGATTTGAAGATTTCTAGCTAATATAAGCAAGAAATTCTAATATAAAAGTAGCAGTTAATATAGCAATATAGCTTAGAGCAGTATTATATATGCTGATTTTATAGAATTCAATACTGCTAATAAGCAGTATAGTAAAAAGAATAGTATTACTTACTATAATTGCAACAAATAGAGATATATATTATGCAACTACTATCAATTTTAAAGAAATAAATAGCAATTAGTTTAGAAAGAATACTAAATGAATATTGCTTAGCAATAGAAATTCAATTAACTAAGCAAAAATATTTTCTTGGAACAAGTATTAAACTCTATTAATTATGGAAATCTCAGCTGAACATTCTGCTATAATAATAACTACTTAATATATCTCTCAAGTAAGAAAAGCTTAGAATAATTCTTTCAAAAATCTAAGTATTATAAGCAGATAGCAATAGAAGAGCAAGAGTATATACTTAGTATAACTATAAGCAGCAACAACTCGAACTGCTTTAATATTACTAAATAGAGCATCTAAGCATTAAAGAAAGAATTTAGCAATAATACTCTTTATTATTTCTTATTATTTATATTAAGTATTATAACTAGGAATATGAATAAGAAATAGTACTCTTTTAGCTATTAATATAAATACTTAGATAATACTGAAAATACCTCTCAAACAATAGAAGAATTAAGCTAGAGCAAACAATTTAGCGATTTATTAGAATTTTTCGTAAATAGCAAACTTAACAGCTTTACAGAAGTTTGAAAAGAAAGATTTCCCTTCAGCATTGAATGAAATAAGGAAACAATATGAATTGAATATCTTATCTATAGGATAGGCTTAGAGAAGCTCTTTATCTGTATTCTCTTGCAAAATATTAAAGTATAATAAGATAAGAATTCTTAAATTAGCTTACTTCATAATCTATATTATAAGCTAGCATGAATCTCTTATACTTATTATAGCTGCAGAGCACATTTCTCGGAAAAGATACAATATAAATAGTTCTCTATTAGAGAATTAAAATAAATTCTTTAAGCTATTGAAAAATAAGAGCTTTGCTTTAAAGAAGTTCTTAATAAATAGTATAATAATATATACATTAAGCTATTAAATAACTACTTCAGATAATATATAAATAAGAAAGTAGAATAATAATAATATAGAATAATGCTTTATATAATTTATATTAATAACAAAATCTGCAACTAGTATTAACAGAAAAAAGATTAGAAATAATAATAATATAAGCAAAAGCAAGCTAAAAAGCTTGCTTAAGAAGTAATGAAGTAAGCTTAGAGGAAGAATAAGTAATTCTTAATAATTTTAAAAGGCTAGAATTGCTTATAAGAGAATTGCAGATAATTAGATTAGAATAGTTTTTATATAAAGCTTTTAAAGCAAACTATGCTTATATTAAGCTTAATATATATATTCAAGAATATAAGTATAGCATATTATTGAATAGTAATGCTTAGAGAAACTTTATATTTCTATATATCATCAATCAAGTATAACTATAATAAAAATGAAAGAAGTAGCTATATACTCTTAGCACTATAAAAGAATAATCTATTGTATACAATTAAGAAGTAATTAATAAGGAAACTAATTATCTACTTATCTTAATCTAAGAATACATGATTAGAGTTTCCTTTGATATTATGAATATAATATAGCATAAGCTGATTATAAAGCTTTTATAGCTTAAGAAGCATAATTCTCAAATTAATTGAACTATTAGCTAGATCTTATGAAAACAAGCTATACTTAGAAAGATAGTTGCAATTAATAGCACAAAATGAAAGTTAGTTATTGGAGAATACTTAAGAAAAAAAGCTTCAAATAACTTTATATATACTTCCAAACTAGCTAAGCTAGCGATTCAAGGAGAAGAATCTAGTAATAAGCAAACTCAAATAATGCTAGAGTGCTAATAGGTTAACAAAACAATGAAAGCAAGATTCTCAGTAAGTTGGTTTGCTTTGAAGCAATAAGGAAAGACTTCAGAATGTGAATTGTGAGTTCATACGAGAAAAATCTCGAAACCAGGCCTTCAAGCAGTTAATTCAGCTTAGAGCGAATGCTTAAAGCTTTCAAAAACGCTACCAAAAACAATAAGCAAAAAGAAATATGCTTAATAATATCTACTATTCCTCCAAATAATAGAAACAGTACAGAAATCAGAACTAATACTTGCAAGTATATTATAAAAATACTACAAATTCAAGAAATTATTCTAGAAAGAATTGAATACAGAATTGCTAAAATACAGCTTATATAATCATAAGATCTTGCTATAAGAAGAAAAATAGCTCAAATTCTTCCCTATTTACAGATTAAACA